GGTGTGGTTGTGTTGAAAGAGGGAGAGGGGGGAGAGGGAACAGACCTGCATTAATCAACATCCTCTCCCCAGGCAACATCACGGGGCGCGAATCTCGCAGCTTCAACTTCTTTCTCCATGTTCTCTTCCACCTAGAAAGACAATGTGGTCCTATCCTCCATCACTGTCATTTGCTCGTCACTGTAGTCTCGAATGACATATCAACCACCACTGCTTGTGTCTGGTACCCCAGGACAGAGTGAGTGCGACTTGACGGTTGATCCAGCGAAGCTCTTATCCCAAACGATTCTGGAGCACTTCGAAATGGACTGTTGTTAAAACAACTCGGAAGAAATGAACATCGTCGTCTGAAGTGCGAAAGCAGTAGCAATGCTTCTACCACAACTCGTCGCAATCGAAATGGCTGGAAGACGATGCGATGCGACTGACGCGACGGTCACGTGAAAGGAGGCCTTCTTCCCTCCATTTTCGGTTACTTCACTTCTCCAACGTTGATTTGCATCTTTGATCTCACCTTATCATCAGAGATGCTGGTTTGCGCGCACTCGGTGTGCATTCATGAAAGCGGAAACAAGATGACAGCTCAGGGCTAGTGCCTTCATGGTCTCAATGGGACAGGACGCTGCATTCTAGGCTGCTAGCGCTACTGAGCCTTGCGGCAAAGGACTACCTTCCAATACCTCCCATGTCCATCGACCCTCTATCATCCACTCTAGGTTCAATCAAGAAAGTCACACATGTCCTTGAACTGCTCAAGACCAGGGGTACATGATGAACAGACTTCCAGGCGACCGCAGCTCACATTTGAAATGCTATTGCGTTGACCCTGACATATCTTTTGAGCCCTTTTTCAAGGCTCTGGGGCAATGGTGATCCCTTTAAACCGTCCAACACAAAATCCCAGTACTTATCAGGCCTGAGCAATCTCCGGCCTCGTGATGCTTCGGGACTTTGTGGAATTGTGGATGGTCGCCATCAGTCTAACCAGCCAGCGCTATTTGAGAAGATGGAACAAGCTCCTTAGCCTATTATGCTTATTCCATTGAAACCCCTACTTCTGCCAAACCAATTCGCGACTTTGGTAATATCGGACTCGGGTCATCCGAAGTCTCTTGATATTACCTCGCTAGCTAGTGAGAAGCTCCGCCACCTGACCTTCACTAGTAGCTTGCTTCTGATAATATAACAGCAAAACCTACTCTTCCGACACTTCAATGCATTGCTATCGAGAAGGAGATTAGGCCGATGTTCTCAATCACCGCGACGCGTCACTTAGGGGTCCGGGATGCCGTCATCAACCAAACTGCCGAACTGAAATTCTCTTTCCGGAGTTTCACTGTGGTTTTCACCACCCGTGCGGGCTCGGCTTTTCCAAATTGGCGTCTAAGCTGGACTAAATATGTCGAACTTGCGGCAATCGAGTTGGTCGCAGAATGAGTGCCCTTGAACATTACCTTTTCAGGTAGAGATACTGGTGGGCCTCGCGTGGTAATGCTCAGGGACCTCGCACCGCGAATGTTAGAGCGTCTTTCCTCTTTGTCATACAGTGATACCCTTTCAAGGGCAAGATGAGTTGAAGGCGATTGAGGGAGGTGAGGGAGGACTATAAATGGAGCGATGCGCCTCTGTGGATGATGCCAGGAATCTTACTTATCAAAGCTGGCTGGCCACATCCGTTCGTTTCTTATCTATTCTTGTGTACTAAATCCATTCATTCGTTCGTCTTCCATATGTTCTTCTGGTCAAAATGAGACCCATTTCACTTGCCGTGACGGCAGCCCTGCTTGGCTTGACAGGCGCGTCGAGCTCGTCAACATTGGGCTTACTTAAGGCCAATGGTGGTAAGTAGACCAGTCATGCCTCATGTCATATGTATGCACTCGTAACATCGAAATAGTGGCGCTAGGAGACTGGGAGGCAGCCTATGAAAAGGCGTCTGCGTTTGTTGCAGGGCTAACCACTGATCAGAAACTGGCTTTGATCACCGGTAGCAGTGTTTGCTCTTCCAATGGCAGTTTCAGTGCTCTGGAATTTCTTGACGGAGATATGGGTCTCCAGAACTATTTCTATGTTTCTGCTTTTAGCTTGTCCTCGGCCCTGGCTATGACCTGGGACCACGATGCTATCTATGCTCAAGCCAAAGCTGTCGGATCAGAGTTCTATAACAAAGGCATCCAGGTGGTGGCTGGTCCTACTTCTCAGCCAATGGGCCGTAGCCCTTGGGGTGGTCGCAATGTTGAAGGATTTGGCCCTGATCCTTATCTCAATGGCTTAGCCACTGGCCTCTCCACTAAAGGTTATGTCGACGCTGGTGCGATTCCGGGTGGCAAGGTAAGATCATCGCTCCTCAGTCCTACATGCTGTTAGTTTCCTGACATGAGACCCGTCACCCGCTAGCATTTTCTTCTTTATGAGCAAGAAACCAACCGTACTTCCAGTGGTGGCGGCGGCGGTCCCGGTGGTGGAGGCGGAGGAGGTATGCCTCCTGGGGGCATGGGCTTCGGTGGCTCGAACTCTTCGTCACCAGGGCCGCAGCCCTCAGGTTCTTTCATTCGACGTGATACCGTCTCCTCAGATACGGAACCAGCCCCCTACTCCTCCAACGCAGACGACAAAACCTTGCACGAAACATACCTCTGGCCCTTTTACGATGCAGTGAAGAATGGTCTTGGAGCTGTCATGTGCGCGATGACTAAAGTCAATGGCACATACAGTTGCGAGAACTCGGATCTTTTGATGAAGACATTGAAGACCGAACTTGGCTTCCTGGGTTTAGTCTGGCCTGACATTAATGGCCAAAACAGTGCTGAAGGGCCGGCATTAGGCGGCGAGGATTATGGATCGAGCAGTGTTTGGAGTATCTCCACAATGAAAAATCTCCTGTCAAATGGTACCCTTACCGAGGCCCGTCTGCACGATATGGCAATCAGGAAACTCGATTGTGGATCTCCTCTATGGCGCTATCAGCCCTTCCGGTCGTCTTGTCCACACCATTGCCAAGAACGAGAGTGACTACAACGTGGAGCTTTGCTACACTGCTCAATGCGATTTTACCGAGGGTATGTCTTGGATCCTATTTGATTATCAGTGCTGAACGGCATGATGACGCTGACCGCATGAACAGGTGTTTATATTGACTACCGCTACTTTGATGCCAAGAATGTTACTCCCAGATACCCCTTTGGTCATGGTATTTCCTACACTACGTTCAAGTACTCGGATCTTGCCATAAAGACCCCATTTGCTATAACCAAGGCTCCCCAGGGCAACCTTACCGTCGGTGGCAACAGTGACCTGTGGGACATTGTGGGAACCGTCTCTGCTCGCATCACCAACAGTGGCATGCTTGCGGGTGCGGAGATTCCTCAACTCTACCTTGGGTTCCCAGACGCAGCAGATCAACCTGTTCGTCAGCTTCGTGGTTTCGACCGTGTTGAACTTCGCGCAGAACAGGAAACCATCGTTACGTTCAATCTCCGGCGCCGTGACATTTCCTACTGGGATGTAGCTGCCCAGCAATGTCTCGTTGCTTCTGGAAAGTACAAGGTATATGTGGGTGCAAGCTCTCGGGACTTGAGATTGAATGGAACATTCTCTTTGAGAGTGAGGTCTTAGCATGGCTTGTCATGGGAGGGGTCCTGATACTCAGCATTCTACCCTAGAAGAGCATTTCACTGGCGGGTGCTCCTTTCAAGGACCTGCCTGCTCGTTCCTATTTGTTCTAGATCACTCAATCAGCGGCCGTGGGTCGGTACAAACTTATTCACCGAATCCCTTGTTAGTTGAGTATAATATAGTTAAGACCTTGCGACCAGCCTGCCTAGGATTGGCATCAAGAATACAATGGCGCAATTCCCATTCATCAATCCACATAGCTACTGTATCATTCACAAGCACCTGGCCTGTATAGTTACTTCACCACCTTCCTGTCCCATCTTCACACTAAGTTCTTGACATCTCGTCCTTTTTCTTCCCCTGCCTTCTTCCTCTTCCTCCCTCTTCCACATTCTCCTTCCCACTCTATCGCATCAATGATTACGCACTTCATCTACTTCTGACCAGTTTCCCCCAACCAAAGACTCACCTCCAGCTGGTAGGGTGCCTTCCCCTCCGAGCCTGGTATAGTCTCCGATGAGATCACGGAGACTACATATCTCCCGTAAGTTCAATTCAACCAACCAACGGCTGCCCCTAGACTGATACAGTTCCTAGCCACGCGAGCACCAGACCGGTTGCTACCATCGTCCCAATCATCACTGTCAGATACTCCGCCAGCCAACTGAACCGGTACATGAAGCAAGTCACGTCGTCCGTGCTACCTTGCGATGTCTCGTTTAGAGAGCCGCAGGGCCCGTCAAGAGGCTCATTGTTATGTGAACTACCACACTTCAGGAGTAGGATGGACGATGACTCCTGCTGAGAAAACCCTTGCGATAATCAGTCTTGACAGCAAAATGATCACCTACCATCTTGATCCATCAGGCATAAATCGTTACACACTTCCCTTTTCGTCTTCTTGTGGTGGCAATGCATTGGAACGGTAAAACGCCATGTACGGATGCTCAAGTCACCGAGCTTCAGAGCAGCTTCGAAGTCTTGACAATCGAGCCAAGGCTAACTCTGTCTTTGGGCACCCCGTTCATCAGAACGCAGGCTAAGTGAGACCGGTTTCTGGAGCATATACCGAGCTGTCCAACTTTGCTGGCTGGGTACATTCTGCTATTCTGAACCTGAAATCGCGACATGCCCTACTGCCATTATGAGTGCATGAGCATTGCCATACTCCGGAGAATCTATCAATGAGAGCAAGAGTTTCTGAATACGGGGAGGGAAGTTCTGAATGGCTCCTTGAGGTTGACTGCGTCTGTGACGCTGCCAAGTCCGTGCTATGCCATCAGTGCTGTGATCGCAGTTTGACATGCGGAACGCATGGAGCAGTACGCTGTGCAGAAGTACCTTCCTTGTCTAACTTGGATTCTCAGGGATGAGAACTACGATATGAAAGTAACTGTCAGAGCTCTAGAGCATGGCTGCATGATAATCGCCACACGAACATTACCAAAATTCCTTTATAAAGTCGGGGTTTACCGAGCCAATCAGCCCGCAATACAGAATATTAATCTTTGTCTGCATTCGTCCAAAGGAAAAGTTGCAGGCCGTTATTGAGCTGGGCCAGGCTCTTCGACACCAGGCGAACCTGTGAGACAAAACTTTTCCTTGACCATCTGAGGCGAGATAGCTGCCAGTATATCAGACCTCTTAGCGGAAACCCAGGACAACCTTCTCGTCGCCTCCCTCTGCAAACTCGTGGTCTCAGAGCCAAGTCTGTGTCTTGCTTCGGCCTCTATCTCGGATTCTGACGCGCGTTCCTCATCGCAGGTGAGTTTACGTCTTGTAACTTCAGCTACACGTTCTGACTTCTCAATGTCCACTCCCAGGTCCCATCTTGCCACCATGAGCGCGCCAAACACGGCTTACGTCGCGGATATCGCACCCGGTGGGCTAGCGGAACGCCTCCGATCCCCGTTGAACCAATTCCATGTACCATCGTTCCGCCGTGTCAACTAAGCAGTCTGCTAGATGTTGGAATCAGACCAGCAGACGATCCATGAAGCACCCGAGGCTGATGACGCGCCGAGTAACGCGGTTGAATTCGTGCAATTTGGTCTCAAGGACGGTATTGAAGATTGCAAAGAGCTTGTCCGCTCTATAATGAGAATGAATATCCAGAACAAGGGCCGCCAGAACTGTCTTGATTTGTTGAAGCGTCTACAGTCTGCTGCTAAGCACCTGGCGGAGTTGAAGATAATCCTGAGAGAGCTAGAGACGGACTTAAGTGATTGGGCGGGCGTTCGCCCTCACATCGGGCTTCCTGTGGTTTACTAGCTAACGACTGAAAGAAAGTCCGAGTTGATGCACTTGGAGAGACTCGTCACAGGCCAGGCAATAAATAACCCAGCAAGAGTCGACCTAAATCATCGACCACATTGCAGAATTGCTGCCGGCCTCGCAGCTGCTGGGATTGACATCAGTAGGACCTGCGTGCCTGAAAGGACGCGATTGCGGCGTATGAAGACCCGGGTGAAGTGATAAACCAAGGCTTGCGGTCCATTTCGGAGAGCAGCCTGGTGATGTTGTTGGTTCATTGCCTGGCTGCAAGCTTCCACCCTCGAGTGAAGTCGGGACCTTTTCCGATACTTGCGGTAAGTCTTCTCTGATTCGCACCGGGCGTCGCGACTGACTTGGCATGATAGTTGCCTGCCCCCGCCGCCGCCGCCGCCCATCTCCGGTCCGGGGTTGTCCAATACACGCTGCGGATGAGGAACATTTGGTCTACACCACCATGTTTGTCCCTTCATCCTGGCCAATCTGAGAACCGGGGCGGCCTTGAGCTTGGGCAGGCTCGTTTGTCCCTGAGAATGTCTATACTAGCCTTGGGTTTCATTTCCTCCTTTTGCCTTGGAAGGAAGATCTATGGAGCCTTGACACTAGACTACACTTTAGAGAGCTGGCGACATGTTCGCGCCTGGTTGTTGTTTTGATGCTGTTTCGAGCGTTAATTGCCAGCAGTGCGCTGCCCGCAAAACAAACTGCGCGACCGTGGGTCTTCCAATATCAAGCAGTGGAAGTCAGCTAACCGTATTACAGACGGCGGCGGGGATGTTGGGAAATGCAAAGGAATTGGCGTCGATCCTGCCAGTGGTCGAGTCTCTTCTGGGATGAAGACAACGAGGAGGAATGGGATCCCATCCTTCGCGGCCCGTAGGGCATAATTGCGTGTTCCTTGGCCGCAACGTTCGCGGATGCCGAGCGTGCCCAGCCCATCGTGCCGAACATGGCCTGACTGCTGCCACCAAGAAAGCCATGGCTGTGAGTACTTTTTACAATTCATGTTGGCTTTGCTAATTATCCGATAGAAGAACGCCGGTGCTTATCGTGCTTGGGTGGAAGCACGTCGTGCCCTCGCGGTCCAGGCTGGGATGTACCACATTCTAGTCGCAGTCTCTCTGCGAGGCAGATGAGCGTGGATTTTCTGGATTTAGTTGAAGCAGCAAGCGCATTGAGATTCTGAAACAAGCTATCACCAGGAGAATACAGTGCAGACTGTTGTGTACTCCTTTCTGCTGAAATGGAAGGTTCTCTTTCAACTGGATCCGGAAGAGGGTCCAAGACCAACGATGAGTGGCAGTTCAAGATCGATTTGGCTCATGTATCTGCCGGTTTCTTGGCGGATGGCCCTGTCCATACTCAGGTAAAACCCCCGAAACCGGACAACGTGGATTAGTTCTGCGACCGCAAAACTTATTGTTAATGATTGATCATGATTGTTCGACGGGGACATTTCGACATTTACGCCTTTGGCAGAGACCAAAGAGTAAAGTCACAAGTTGTCTTCGTGAGGCTTTCTGGCTAAGGGCTTCTAGTATATGATTATCGAGCTCCGATGGCCACGAGCCTGAGACAAGCAGAAAAAATTTCGGGCTCGTGCATGAGGTCTGTGGAGATGCAGCTTCAGCAGCCACCTTGGCGTGTCATTTGCTCCTGAAGAAGGGGTAATGCGGTAGCAAGAAGTGTCAAGGAAGTCACTGCATATCCGAGCGATGAAATAAAGAGACTGGGGGAGACGAGCGAGGATGAAATGGTCAGATTTCTGGCGGAAAATGTTGAGAGTGAACAGCTGTGGGTTCCCCGTCCCATATTTATGAAGCATTCCACTGACTCTCGGTTAGGATCATGGCCATGGGCGCAAGCATTGCAGAGAACCGACTCTCGGAGACGAATTAGGAGAGGTGCCAACGATCCTTTCGTCTCAAGGGCAAACAAGGCAAGAATTGAGATGATCGCATTCGCTTCCTAGGGCTCAAGACTGGTCTCAGGCCCTACCAGGGATATGCTGCCTTCTGGCTCCTCACTTCAAAAGGCAAGGGAGCCGTGGGAGGATTTGTTACAAGCCAAATGAGCTATGGTAAGATCCTCATAGTGATCGCGGTCATTATCATCAGCCTGGATCTGAGCAGGACACAGCGTGAAGTAAAGAAATCACGGCTGCGGCAAGATGGTAGACACCTCAGTTCACCGCAACCGGGTCAATCGTGCCCTACATACAAAGGGCCTATCGCCTGTGCCGTTTGAATCCGACAGTCCCACGGCCTCAATTTCCGCGCCTGAGGGGCCACAGCTCCAGTCGGGCTGATGTCTACCTGGACAGAAGAGTGGAAGGGGTATGTGGATTTCGAAGCTGTTAACATCGAGTTAAGAATTGGACACGACAAGAAGGTGGGCGTAATGATTTGCAAGCAAGATTGGTAAGCTGGGATGAGGCCTTCGGGCATAATGCAGCTCCTTGAAGGCTATAATGTTTTGGTGGTGGGCACAAAGCACCGCTTTTCCAACAACGCTACTACTAGTGATCTATACTCACGCGGCCCATTTACGAAAATACCACTCAGATCCAGCAGAAAAGACCTGGAAGCACGTCTGTACCACGGATAGATGGAGACCCTACACACCGACCTTGTCATGGTGTACGCCTACAGCAACGAGAAGCGTAATGCATTTACGCTGTCTCTCGAAACGGACAAAGCAGGTTTTCTTCTCAACGAACAGAGCCTCACGGTGAGCATAAAGGACGTTGAGCCGGCACACATGCGAGACGACCGCTTCACGAAATAGTACAGTCGAACCATGTGGTACAAAACCGGTATATAAACAACCCCTCTGCTTGCAGGGAAGACCCAACCAGCACGTGAAGTTGGGATTCGAGACAACCAGCTCCTATTATACCTGTCTCCGTGAGGTTACGAGAGAAAAGGCCACACCAGACGCGAAGCAGACAATCACCGCACCGCCGCGTTTGGCGGATCGATAGTCGGAGGGAGTTTGTGCCACGATATATCTCTACTACAGTCGTCGATATGAGCATGAGGCACCTGTCCATCCAGGGGCCCTCGGTGGTTTTCAAGTTTAGCAGAGTGATCAGTGGACAGCCCGTTCTACCCAAGCACTATCTCATCTGTGGCCCTAGGCATTTGATCAAGATGAGCGATTCGTTCGATGTCATGAGCTGTTTTCTAGCGATGCGTGCAGACCTGCAGCTTCTCCAGTAGCCCCATAGGAGAATAATGCGAAGAAACAGTCATTCTTCGAAGTGGTTTATCTTAGTGGATGTACTGCACGATCTGCTGATCTTCACTCGCAGACCCCAAGAATGGATGCTAATTCTAGGGGGCCTAAGGACAGGTGGTGTCAAATTCTCACGGCTCAATGCTTGGAATGTGAGAGATCAGTTATGATCAAGTCAATACGCAATGCTGATGACGAGCACAAGCTCTCCCTAGTCCAAAGAGGACGTTTCCGCTTCATGGAGCTGAAGAGATTCAGACTGGTGCATTGTGACCAGATACCAAAGCCGAAATACCATGTGCCTGATGAGATGTTGAACTCCATGAACCGCCGAGCAGTGGTTATGACCTTCTACGTCCGTCACCTGGTTGCTATGAATCCTAATGACTCACCGATTTCTTGAACGCGGGCCCAAACGAGCGGCTTCACGTTTTTGGTAAGCTGTGCATTACTAGACCTTAAAAAAACTAGTAATGTGAAAGCAGCATATTAGCCCAGATAATATGATATAGGACATCAAGAAGGAAAACCTTGAAAACCAGGCTTTCCAATCCCCCGCAAGGCCTATCTCGAGCGTTCTGAAATGGCCAAGAAGGAAGTAAAACTGATTCGACAGGTTCAAAAATCGTTCAAGGATCAGAATCATGCGCAGAAGGTCCAACTTATTAGCCGCGTTAAACAAGTACGCGTATGCTCGGCGGTTCCGGCTTTGTGGAAGGTCCGCGAGAGACCCCTCTGACTATCGAGAAAATGCGAGAGGATAAGATTTATACCAAGCCTGATGAGTCATTCTTTGCGAAGAACCTGGAAATCATCCTTCAAAGTCGTAACAAGTGGCTCGACCTAAAGCAGCGACTATCAGCTCTGGATTAGCAGGAGAAAGTCGTCATCCTATCGAAGTCCCCCGTAGTTGCATTCATCATATTCCTTGTAAGACCTGCCGTCACGTTACTAAATGTTATTCTGTACTAAATGCTTCTACAGGCCGTGCAGAAACAGTGAAAGTCACACCTGCAGATGATCGTTGCGAACAAGAAAAGCCTCCAGGAAAGCCGGATAGGGTTTACTCGAGAAGTCCGCACGCTGCCTCCTGAGGAACGAGGGCGCTATCAATAATCCAGTTGAAATGTTTCAAGGGCGTGACCACATCACCATACACACCAAAAGACGTGATATTTCATAGTTAAACATGGTCTGGGACGACATCGAGAGAAAGATCTCCCTTGACGGAGGAAACCTGATCAGCTGCTACCGCACTGGGAGTCGTCTCGAATACCGACTCCTTTCTTCTTTCTTCTTGATCCTTGATCCTAGTGTAGGCTGCCACATCTGGTAGCATGGTGAGGACGTCGAGGCGGTGTTGGAGATAATAGATGAGGTAGTGGAAGCACAATAGCAGTAACTACTGTAGGAAGGTATCGAAATGGTAATATTTTTTCGCCTTCAAGGACTATCCGAGCGTGCTGCAAGCTATGCTCGAGCCCTAGGCGCGACTAGGGAGGATGTTCCGCCGCGTGGCCGTTCGACCACCACCATCTCATGGAGGTTGTTCACGATAATGGCACCTACACCATCCTCAGGATGCTCGATCTTGTCCGTCGTTTGGTCGACTTTCGTGAAGCTGCCCACGAGCGCGGATCCGCCCCGGAGGTCTATGCCGACGTCACCCTGACACTCTCTTTGCTGTGCATTCTACCGGCAGCGGCGGCCCCTCGGGGTTGCGCTTGCCTACAACTTGTTTTTCTTCATGATTAGTTCAATGCAAAGGAAATGGCTGCGGATACGGGGGGGTCTTTCAGACTTACTTTCCGTGACTCTTATGTTACTCTTCACACGCCTGCCTGCATCTGAATATCTGGCGTGGGAGTTACCTAAATGTTGATAAGCATAAAGACCTCACCAAGCTACTACCTCGAACACAGATACTCGTAATGCTGTTTTCAGCCATGTCTGGACACCTGCAGAGAAGAACTATTGGCACACAGAGCTAAAGGCATCGTGCCTTGCATGTGCCTTGCAGAGACTCCGCAATATGCTTTAAGCTACACGCGCGTCCAGACATTCCTAGGACCTGACAGCAGAGATGTTCGATGGCGGGATATTAGACTAATCTGCTATACTCGACTCGAAAAAGGCATGGGGCTATGCAGATCCAAGAAGGCACGGATCGCCTCTTCAAAGCCACTGATCGTAAAGTGAGCGGCTTCTATTTGTCGGAGCTATGTATTGTGGCATATCACTACGCTTAACCTTCAGGTTCTCAACTTGGTGGCACCTGTTCAATGGGGCTCGTCATATGTATTGACAGCGCACCTGCGCTTTTTCAATTTCCTTAGCCGACACAACCACCTCGTGAGAGTCATGGAGATTTTCCACGTGCCCTTTTCGCAATCGAACTCATCATCAGGACGAAGCTAGTGGGGTTCAAACACAGAAGAACAAGAAAACCGGAGATGGCTAGCCGGCGAAAGCTCCCCGTTTCAAGGTCATCTACAAGTGAATTGTCCAAGTTCGGTTCTTAGAACACCTATGTTTCTTTATATTGAAGACCCAGGATGCATACCCCACCACTAGGGATCAGCTCAGAAGAAACTGGGGGGTTTAATGCAAGGACGAGAGACCACTTGAGGTGTTTGAATGCACCGCTTTATATCATCGACTCGCTCGCCAACCGCAGAGCGCAATCCGTGAAGCCATAAAGCTTCAGATAAAACCTCGACATCCAAAGAGAGCAGGGAACGCATAGAGGGGCCAAGGGAGCTGGCAGCGTAGATCCTAGGAGCCAAGTGCAAGATATAAGACCTTCACCTTCCCGAATCGACTTAAGTGGACCATCTGACTTTCTCTCATTCCCGTACCACAGAATTCCATCTTTCCAGTATCCCACCCAACAACCAAACCCTCCCCCTCCCCACTCCTCAACTCAAACCCCCGTAATCCTCACGGAACGCCCCTCCCCCTCCGCACAGCCCTAGCCAACTCACTCCGCGCCTTATCCTCAGCATACCTAGCATAAATCGGAAGATACCACTCCCTCTCACTACACGTCTCCCTAACACTCCTGCGCGCCTCAACAGCAGCCAACCAACGGCGCCACCGCTCCCAAACGCCCTCATCCTCCCCACCCTCCCCAGGCAAAGGGATCCCGACCCCACCCTTAAACTCCTCGAAAACCCACAACCGCGTCGCCCACGGCGCCAACACGACATCCACAAGACTGAACTCCTGACCCAGGAAATACGGCCCCTGGGGACTCAATTCCCTCGCAAACTCCTTCAGTGTATCCACGAACTCCCCCCTCACCATCTTCAACCCATCAGCCCCACCCCCATCCCCATCACCAGGCTGAAACTGCAAAAACCGATGAAACGCCGGAATCACGCGCGAGGTAACGAAATCAATCCAGATGCGGGCGCGGGCGCGTAGGTAGGGGTCCGTCGGGAGGAGGGCGGGCTTGTGCGATGGGTAGGCTTCTTCGAGGTATTCGAGGATCACGGTCGATTCGTATAATGGCCGCGCGGAGTGGGGACTGTGATTGTCTGGGCTTGGGCAGGGGCTGGTGATGGTTGGGACGAGGCCCCGTGGGTTCAGGGCGAGGAAGCTCGGGTCTTTGTTGTAGGGGTTTATTTCGATGTATTGGTAGGGGATTCGCTTTTCTTCGAGGGCGAGCCAGACTCTTTGGACTTTGAGGGATTTCGTTAGATTTGGTTTGGTTTGGGGTGGGGTTGGGGTGGGAACACTTGGGCTGGGTTACCGAAGCTGTTGGAGGGAGGTTAGTGAGGTGTTGATTGTTAGAGTATGTATGGAGGGCCAGACGTACGGACAGAACCAGCCTGCGTAGAACTTCAGCGGTTGCTCGGCTTGGTGCTTGGCTACGAGGGCTTGGGCGGGCCCGGTAGCTGAGGGGTGGATGTCGGCGTCGGGAACGGGCATGTTTCCATTATTCTGAGTATAGAGAGGAGTGGTGTGGCATTGAGGATGAAGGAGATAATGAGGGGACTGACACAAGAGGGACATATATAGATACAGTGACAGCGACAGTAACAGTGACGATCGATGGTGTCATCAGAGATTATTAATCCAACTCACATCCACGATTCAGCCATACTTCTTCAACAACCTCTCCATTATCGCCACCGCTCCAGACCGATATCCCGCCCCGAAGATCGCATGATGATTCAAATGATGGTATCTGTAGCAGTCACCAGTCAGCCAAACCCACAACCCACCACCTCGAAGTAGGGAAACATACAACTCATACAACCGCACGCGATCCTCATACTCCTCGACCGGCTCCGTTTTCGGCACGAGACGGTGATACTCCTCGAAGAAGCGGCTCCCAAACCCGCCGAACATGCGCATAATGCCCAGCTCGAACTCACTGTGCGCATAGCACGCCGAGGGATCGTAGACGACATCGCCGACGACCTGCTCGTCAGCGGCACCGCGGACAATCCTACCGCGATCCGCATTGCCACTCCACAGATCCCCATGCACGACGACCGGCACGATCCCCTCACCGTTCCCACTCTTATCGTACCCCAAATGCTCTTTCCCCAGCAGCCGCGGCACGACCGTGCCCGCCGTCCGCTCCACCAGCTCCCTCAGCCCGCCATCGCGCCCATTGCGCTTCTCCGAGGTCTCCAGGATCGTAAGCAGCCGCTCGTTGGCGTAGAACTCCGCCCAGTCGTCGCAGAACCGGTTCGGCTGCTTCGTATCGCCGCAGAACGTCGGCACGGGGAACCCGAACCGCCGCCGCTGGGTGTCTGGGTCCGCTGGCGCAGGGGTCGTGTGAAGCTTGGCCAGCCGGTGCGCGAGGGAGAGGGAGGGCGAGGCGATCCCTGCGCGGTGGCCGCCGCCAACGCCTAGATCCAGGAACTCGGTGAGAAGGAAGTAGCTTTTCTTGTTCGTGCTGGACGGGTCGTCTTCGTCCTCGTCTAATGCCCCCCATGCTAGAGCCCGGGGGCAGAAGTCCGGCACGCTGTTGGCGATGGCGTTCAGCGACTCGTATTCACCCCGGAACATCTCCGCCGCGGAGGCCCCGTCGGCTGAGGTCTTCACGAAGTAGCGGCGCTCTTCTTCGTCGCCGTTGGCGTTAGGGACCAGGGCGCGGAGGGCGCCGGTGCTGGTGAAGCCGGAGCCGAGGCCGGAGGTGGAGAGGCTAGCTTTGGCCGGGTCGGTGATGGAGAGAGCTCGGAGGATTGAGCTCGGTACGGGCGCCATGATGATGATGGTGTGTATGAGTGAAATTGGATGAGTTGAGTGAAGCTGGGAGAAAATGCGAAGGAGGGGAACAGGCAATAAATTGGGAGATGGAGCAGCAATGACGTCGCTTGGTTATCTTATCGCGATAAGATAAGACATATCGAAACAAGCTACAGAGCACAATAGGCTTAAGTGTCAATATAGCATTGCAGCACCAATTGTAGTGCGAGTAGAATTGTAACTACACATCTACATCATCACGTGTAAATCTTTGTACATTCAGTGCCATCCAACGCCGCCCATCGCAACCGCAAGGTCCCCCTTTCCAGACAGAAGCATCGCTATGCATGGGTCAATGAATTCACCATATCCTGCGCCGTTTTGGTCCGCTCGCGCACATCCAGGTCTGGATCATCCTCTAGACTGGCCAGCCGTTCCATCACCCCCATCGTCCGCATCCGAATCGCGCGATCCCGACATCCCTCTCGATCACTCGAGTCGTCCTGGTACACCAGATTGATCACCACCCACACGCAGTTGATCCGGACATCGCGCTGGCTGTGGTTGAAGTACGTCATGAGACACTTCAGCAAATCCGGGTGCAGCTGCAGCAGCTGCCGGTGCCGCGGCAGGCCAGCCGCCAAGTGAATGATCACGTACGTCACCGACACCAAGATCTCGGTTGGGACGGACAACGTGCGCGAGGTTGGCACATCACGTCGAGGCGGGAGGGAGATGGAACGCGGCCGCAGTTTATCTGCCAGCGCATCCAAGAACAGGTCTTGTCCTATCTCCTTGAACAGATGATCGATCATTTCCGATGCCCCGGGCCCGCAGATGATGTTGCGCAGCAGGTCGAACGTCTGTTCCTGCACCGCAATATCGTCCTGGCGGGCACGCGTCGTCTGGTCGAGGTCACCCTGCAAAGTCAACCTGCGCCGCCGAGTGGCATCGGGGAGAAACATGTCTAGGCTGATTTTGTGCGACGGGAGCGTATCAGCCATCTTCATATCCTCGTCCTCGCCGCTCACTACCGGATTCAGCAGGTCTACCTGCTCGCCGGCTGAGTTGGCTCGGCTCATACCCGCGCTGGTATTACTGTCCATCTCATCGTCCAGACCGCGCTTGGTCAAGGCGATTGTAGGATCCTGGGTAATAATCTGCTTGATCCACTCCGCGCCTAACCCTTCGATAATCTTGATTTTTACATCATTGGTGGAGTTATATGCCACATGCTTCAAGGCCCAGAGCGATTCTATCCGCAACTTGGTGCTCTGGGAATGAGCATGCTCGCACAGGATGGGAAGAACGTCGGCCGAAATGATCGCCTAGATACCATGAGCGCGTGGAAGAGGGAATAAGATCAAGCAGTTGACAACGAACCTCTTTCATCGGACTGAAATCCAAAGCCAGGTTACAGATGACTTGCGTCGCTGCAATCTGGACTTCGATGTCGGGGTGTTTGATCAAGACAAACAAAGGGGTCGCAACACCCGCATCAATTAGACTCGTGCGTAGAACACTCACCGAGCGGGTGAGCATGCGTGCGGCCCCGCAGGCTGCCAGCAGGGTAGGCGTGGGATTCCCATCGGCCACGGTATTCTTCGGAGTCGATGTGTCTCCCGACAAATCTTCCGAGCACGGCTTGAGTGAGTCGATGATGTATGGTACTACTCCATTCTCACAGACGGCTTTGCGATACTCGTCCTTGAAGGGAACCAAAGCCGCCAAGGCCTTCAGAATGTTCTCCCGATATCGCATGACGTGACAGTGAAGTGGGGAAAAGCCTGAAGGACCTAGTTGACATTCAGGGGTGGTAGTATCAGGGCCCGAGAGGCCCTCTTCGCCGTCCGCGTGCCACATGGGGTTAACACTATCTTGAACTGGGTTGTAGGTCTCTTTCAACAACTGCGACAACCGTTTGATAGCGCCTCCCTCATAAGCATGCTTCTGTAATTCGTGATCATCAATCACCAGCATCGCTAACACAAATGGGGCTTCTTCTCGGAGACGTTCGGTAGAAGGGATTAACCCTCCGTACTGCACTCCATCATCAGCGGTCACTTCATAATCCTTGTCCAGCATGCGAATCAAAACAGGAATCATCAAATAACAAAGCATGGACACGCGATGCTTCTTTGTCAGCCCAAGACGAAACAGAACTGTAACGAGACGGGCCGCCATCAGGCGCACCATCCCGCTTTCGCTTCGGACGATATACAAAAGCCATGGAACGACCGCATTTTCTTCCTCCTCAGGAGAAGGTGTCTCGAAGTTTGATAGAGGTGTCGAAAATGAGTGGCTGTGTCGACGATGCGTATTACCATGGTGGCCCAGAGGAGGGAAATTGGAAGTGCTAGGGGATGCCTTGCTTTGCGCCAGAGGTACCGACGGCAACAAGTACTCCAATGGACTAGCCCCTGCATGCCGAGGCACTGCTGATCCGGACAGATAGGTAGCACCCCATGGCCCTCGCTTTATATCCCACGGAGCGAACTCAGCCAGCTGCTTTGGGAATACGGTGACGATGCCTGGCGAAGAAAGGAAATGCTCCGCGCGGTTTTTGGAGTGCTCCACAATAACGGTAACCGCGCGGAGGATGGGTGCCAGTTTGGCCCCCGGGGGTGCCGGGGGTGGCATAGTGCCCAGAGCTCCAGGCTCTTGAACGTGCTCTTCGGCACCAGGGTAGACGAAGCCCTGCGCGGCCACGAACGAGGCGACTTTCACCGCCAAGGCATCCAATACTCCGCACTCCGCCAAGACCGCCTTGTGAGACTCCTCCGTACACAATTTCCCGATGAGGGATGCAGCAAGCTCGATGGCTGCCTGATCGTGATAGTTGCCGTAGTCGCGGCCCAGGATGCGAGCCAAGCAGCCAATATACTCGCCAGAGAAGATGAGGTCGGCTAGCCGGGTATCTTTAAACGATCGTTGCTGACTCTGTAACGGTAATCGGTCGGCCACATTATTCAACGTTCGAAGGATCGGAAGGATGAAGAATGAGGGACAGTCAGGTTTGGACAAGATGTTCAGGAGCGTCGAGAGTATGCCACTGGACAGGATGGGAGAGAGAAAGGAGGCACCGCCTATTTGAAAGCAAGATCAGTCACTGTGTACAACATAGACACAACATAACTACCTTGAGCTAGGCTACTCATGATCACGATTGCTTGTAGGCACGCCTCATCATCCTCTGACTGTGGACAACGAAGCTTTGCGGCCCCGTTGGGTTCTGGTGTAACAATGTCCTTGCCGTGACGGGCTGCGAGGATATTGGCTAGTACGGGGATGATCCCCCACCGCACCCAAGCCTCTTTCCGCTGGTCATGGCCTATTGTCTCATTCTTCAAGCTTCGCAAAGCCGCTGCCTGCGCCGAGGAAGAGTCCGCTGTTTGAAGTTGGAGCAGCAGCGGAGGCGCTGAAGCGCGGGTCATGGTCCGAAATCGCCGCCTCCCGCGGGAGGGCCGTGGGATCGATTACGTCGAAGAACAGGACGAGCGCTGGTTGCGCCGAGACACGACAATACAGATTCAGAGGTATAGGAGCAGCCAGGCACTGATCGGTTGATTTGAAGCTGTCTCTTCAGGCAACAAGGAGGTAGTTTGGATGACCAGCCAGCCTGAAGCGATGGTTGAATGCGATGGACTGAGTTGTGAGGGATGGAATAATAACTGGTTAATGTCACGGCGGCGAGACCCTCGGCGATTGAGGAGGGGTCTACAAGTGCCAAACGAAGCACCCCCAACCAAGAAAAGCAGGATAAGATAGACAAGTGTACTACAGACAGATGAGAATAGGAGCACACATGCAACAGGAAACTGGCCTCAAAACGACCAGCTCCGAAAGATTGAGTGGTGATTGATGCAGCTGTCGATAGCTCGCTGTCCGCTGCCGGCCGCTGACCGCTTTCGGCCACTCTATCAGGTGATGTCACCTGACACAAATGAGTATAGCTGACTCAGCATGTGCATAAACCAGTATCATCATGTGACTCAGCCCTATCGTGATCTTCGTCAAGAAGACCCATCGCTCTCGGTCCCGGGTGGAAGATAGGATGTTACGAGAGACACGAGAGACAGAGGCTTGTGTAGCAATGGAGCCAATGATATGTAATCATTGCTCAACCACGAATTGAGTTTTGAGCACGGTGTTCCCACGAGTTCGGGGTCGGTCAAAGCGAAAGAAGAGAAGGAATGCGTAACCCCAAAAGTTGAACCTTTAGGGGGTTGGAGAAGGAAGGCTGGGAGTACCCTGGGGGATCCTTGACCGGCTCGCTCGTATGGCCAAAAGCAATGATTGAGAGCGCATGATCGTCAGTTGACAGCTGACTTCTGGGAAAGGGAAGGAACCACGGGAAAGCAAGTCTTTTCTTAGCAGTGCCCATCTTCTGAGACCGAGGGACGAGCCTTCACAAATGGACAATGAAAAAGGATACACCTGGTGGTTCCTTGCTTATGCCTCAAGATTCCTGACTGTTGCCCACTCTTAGGCTCTTAGCCCCAGTACTGTATCGATGGTGGGTTCTGGGCGGTAATACACTATCGACGTTTGTGCCGATAATCCGTATCACTCGTATTCATTTCACCCTGCCTTGGCTCTGATTGGAGGCCTGGGCTCCCTGACACAGTGACAATCCAGAACTGCGGGATTCGCGAGATCCACTTAGCGCACTGCAGTATTGGTAATTACCAGGAATCAGGCGTGATAAAGCCGCATGAAAAACTCGAGTTGAACTTGGCATTATACTACGGACTAGGTTGTTGTTAGCAGCGGCACTTACTAGAGTCACTACTGATCAGATTGGAGCCGCCTGTTGTTCCCCCTCTTTGTCGGGATTCCCTGATCAGCGTCATTGTTTTATTTTTCTCTCGTCTTCCTCCTTTTCTTCTTCTTCTTCTTCTTCTCCTCCTTCTCTTTCACACCTCCACTTTTTTTCCTTCCCTCCCTCCCTTTATCTTACTCAGTGCGGCTACTTCCTCTTTTTGCTCCAGAAAGAGTTGAAGTTCTTTCATTCCTCTCTCCCCTCCCCACAGATCACAATGTGTCTGTGCACGCCGCCCTTGCCTCTCGCCGCAGCACAAGGTTTCGCAGCGTCCGCCAGCTTCGTTGCACGTCGTTCAGTCGTGCGCCCACGTGGTGAACTCGTTGGGCGGAGATGCTAGTTTCATCGCCCTCACCCTCCGCCGCCTTCCAGCGCCCATCTCCCGCCTCTCCTCATTCGCACCATCCTCCTCATTCTTCGCATTCTCAACCCTCCATCCCTTTCTCCTCCTCTGCGGCCTCCTCATCCTCTCCTCGCCCGCGTTCTCGTCACCCTTCGATCACGGCATCGTTTTCTCCACATCACCAGTATGAGCCCTCCGGGCCTGTTCTTGCCGCATCGTCCAGTCATCGTTACGATCCCCATTCTCCCCGCGCGGCCATCGAAGAGCTGCGATCGGCCCTAAATCGGCACACCGTTGGCCATTCCCCTCAGGGGCCCTCAGGGGATCTGCCTCGCGGTCGGATGTTCGCCGGGCTGACCTCCTCTGGGGGCGGAAGTAGCATCACGTCCGACGCCGCCATTCCCGCCTCCCACCACCACCACCACAGCAACAATCACTCTCACCCTCACCCTACTGCTCCTTCGCAGCCATCTGTTCCTGCAGCCGCCGCATCCGCTTCTTCCGCCCCTGCCCCCCCTGTCTCCCATTCATCCGCTACGCCCCCTATGCCGGCCCCCAATAGCGCTGGCTCAGGGTCCAACAAGCGCAACAGCCCCAATGACCCAGCCGTCGATGGGACGCGGCCCGCAGCTTTGGGTCATGCGGACCTCGAAGGCTCTCAGGCGAAACGCTTACGCCCGGAAAAGCCCGCCGTCAAACTCCTTCCGGCTCGTTACGAGTTGGCCGATGCCCGAGATCTAGTGGTATTGATCTCCAGTATGCTGATGGAGCTGATCCGATTCAACGACAAGATCCCCCTCCACCAAGGCCGACTGACCCGCTTCCACTCCCGAACACCGCCCCGCATCTCCGTTCAAGACTACTTGCAACGACTCACGACCCACGCCACACTCTCTCCTCCAATTCTGCTTAGCATGGTATACTATATTGATCGACTCTGCGCTATGTATCCGGCTTTCACTGTTTCCAGCTTGACGATCCATCGATTCTTGATTACCAGCGCCACGGTAGCCAGCAAGGGATTGAGTGACAGTTTCTGGACTAACAAGACCTACGCACGGGTGGGGGGCATCAGCATGACTGAGTTAGCATTGCTCGAGTTGGAGTTCCTCTTCCGTGTCGAGTGGCGAATTGTCCCCGAGCCGGAAGTACTCGTGGACTATTATCAGAGCCTGGTAGAACGATGCGAAGGGTATGCGATTCAACGCGATAGTTGATTCCTGCAGGTCCCGGGGATCTTGGTCTTTCAACCGCTTTACTCCTATATGCATTGCCTTGGCATCTGAGGTTTGGAGCGCACCCCGCATTGGGGTACAATCGGGGGCGTTTCGATAGTGTCTGTACGAGTACATACATACACATACACGGGGCATGGAGTTGATATTGTTTTTGTGCATGGATACGACGACGACCAAGTGATTTTATATCCATAAGGCTTTGTTTGTGTTTCTCGCGCTTCTCTTGTTCGTCCGATCATAAGTCTTGTACAGCTCACATTTTTTTCAAATTCATTTCGAGTCCTTTCTCTCTACATATGCGTCCGCGTAGTTCAATTTAACTCCAGAGATCTAGTCCGGCCTAAATCGGTAGCGTGGTTGGTGAGCTGAGACATGACGTCTGCGATTCTGCCAGACTACGCTAGTCCATAATCAATGAAGCTAGGGCTTAGGGCATGGGGCTCAGGGTTGCGGCAGCTCCATCCATGGAAAACCATCTCTGCGGTTGAGAACTGCATGTACAGTACAGGCGTGAGCAGGCTATCTTCGAGGCTGTTCTATCCAGAAAGCAAAGCATGAGCTGTCCGACGCCTACCTGAATATCAATTCTCCCCTACTTATCTCGCACACTTTTCTATGATCCTCAATTTCTCACGCTGAACCTTTGTCATTCCCATTAGCATCACAATGGATGCGGAGAGCATCCTACGTGGAGTCCAGCCCCTCATGGGCGAGGTGGTTCCCATTCGCTCCGTACAAGAGACTCGCCCGCTTGAAGAATACGGTATGTTTTCATCAGGGTCCCCTAGACTTATTCAAACAGTTACTCACGAACCCAGCGGAGGCCTACGTCGCCGAAGTGAACGTCAAGACCGCCTCGAAAGTCATCAAGTCAGTTCTTTCCATCGGCTACTCCTTCCTCACTCAACAGCTAACTTCATGAATAGAGCCCTCGACTCCAAATTCCCCCGCGACTCTTCCCACCCCCAAAGCCACCTCCGTCGCTTCGCCAAACACAACCAGATTCCCGAGTCCCTCCGCCCCACCCTCCTGAAGCAAGGCTATCTGCCCTCGCAAACCATCTTTGTCCTTGTCCCTCCTCCACTCCCAGCTCCAGAGGCACTACAAGCCCTCCTCGCCCCTTTCGCACCCCCACCCCGCGAACCTCCCACCACCCCTCAACCCACCGAACCCTCTTCAACAACCACATCAGCCCCCGCACCCGCCGATACCACCCCCGCCGCCAGCAAAATCACCCTCCATACAATCACCGTACCGATGCAGCCCCCGCTCACACCCCCGCAAGCCGAGCTCTGGTCCTCGAAGATGTGGCCAGTAGTCTTCAACCCCGCCGCGCCCCGCGCCCTGATCGCCCCACCGCCGCAAATCCTCTCGCGGGTCCGCGACTCCATCAACCCGAAAGCCGGCCACTATCTCGCTCTCGCGCAGATCGTCGCCGCGGAGGCGGAGCAAAGCGGTCTCGGACGCGGGGTAGGCGCCGTGGTCGTGGATCCAGAACTCGAACCGGAAGCTACCGACATAGACCCCCAGACAGAAGCGGCAGAGGGAGGAAGTACATGGACCGACGCGATCGTGGCCGTTGCCGGTGATGGGCGGTATTCCCGGCGGGAGGGCGGGAACCCAGCGCAGGCGGAACTAGTTGGCGGTGGTGGTGGTGGTGGGCCGAATCCGAACTGCGGGGTGTATAATGCGGACTGTGAGGGGGGACCGGAGCTTCATGCGCTGATGCGCGTGGTAGAATTGATCTCGAGTAAGAGGCGGGAGGATCAGCCTGGTTCTCGGAGACAGCAGATCCGGCCTGTGCTGTACGGGTTGGAGGATTATTTTCTTAAGAAGTCGGATGTTGCTGCGGTTGCTACGGAGGCGGCAGGGGAGAATGAGGAGAGCGAGGAAGCTGCCCCGCCGCCGGAGAAGTACCAGAAGACCACCGAGACAGAGGCGCAAGCGATTCACATCCACAAGTCCGGGGAGGAGAAAGTGGAGGCAGATGATGGAGGCGTGGGACCGCGGATCCGCTCCCGCGCGCAGGGAGGCTATCTCTGCAACGACCTGGATGTCTATTTCTCGCATGAGCCGTGCATTTGCTGCTGCATGGGCCTGCTGCTCTCCCGGTTCCGTGCGGTGATTTTTCCAAGGCGAGGACGCATGGTCTCTGGCGGTCTGGCATCGGAGCCGGTCGTCAAGCCGGTGCCTGTTGAGACTGAAGGTGGAGAATCGACAGAAGCCAGTGAGGACAAAGAGGACGACTCAGAGAAGACGCGCGAGTACTATGGTCTACATTGGCGCAAGGAGTTGAATTGGCGGGCTCTAGGATTCGAGTTCGTTGCGGAGAACGACTCCACTGGTGAGTCTTGCGCTGAGAAAGGTGTGCCATTCCATGCATGAGTTGCGAACCTAGCGTATAATATGTATTGTATTATAGATTATCATAAAAGAATATAGTATTATGATGGAATTCACAAACCGGCTAATGCTAGCAGGAATACACTCAGATGGTTGTGAAAGGGATTGAAACCTGTCATTTGACATATATAAACAGGCTGGCACCGAGTAGAACCAGGACGCAGTGTTTTATCATATTGAGTGCTTCATTGGCTGTGGTTACTGTGAGACTAGGACCCTAACAAATATCCACAATTCATTATTCATACTTAGTATATATCAAAAAGAAAAGAAACTAGAAAAGAAAACCAGACGGTCATAAGCATCGTTAGTCAGCTTATGCAGCATCCACCCGTCTCATCACCTGACCGCGCGATCGCGCTCATGGATTGCGCCAATCAGTGGATGGTATCCGACTTCCCATCCCCCAGGCTTAAACCGCCGACCATCAGCCATCACTCTATTTTGCTGGAGAGCAGCGCATGCACCAGCACTAAGGACAAGAAAAATGGCGCCGGAGAAAAGAGAAGAGACGCGTTCTCTCACCTCGCCCGATACCACCACAGCTCCAGACCCGCCGCCCATCCATCCTTCATTCATCCAGGTCGCCAAGCCGTACATCTTCGAGCAGACCATCCAGCGATGTATTGCCGCCATGGGGGTCAACCCCCTGCGCGAGGAATCGCTCCGCCTACAGGGCGTCACCTGGATCGATAGCGTGCGGCGCAATCTGTCACTGTATGTCTCCTATATTCTCATCTCAGCACTGAAGAAATAGAAGTTAACATGCATGCATAGTCCGATTCGCACATTTAACACGGCGGTGGTTTACTACCACAAATTCCGACTCGTTCATCCGGACAACGAGTACAATTACACTGTAAATCACTAACTCGCGAATTGATCTGTGGGTCAGTACTGACAATTTTCCTAGGACGCCGCCACTGCCGCTCTCTTCACGGCCTGCAAGGTTGAAGACACGCTCAAGCGGTCTCGTGAGATCGTCTGTGCAGCGTACAACCTTAAGCTGCCGCCTCATGAGCACATGGCCCCTGACAGCCAGGTATGATGCAATCTTCTTTGATGCGTTTCTCTTCAGGTTTCTTCTTTTACTCTCCCTGAGCGAATTGTTCCGCATTAGACTAAATCGTGGATGTAGGCCTTTGATATGCCCGCGCGGGGCATAATCGGTCTCGAGCGCCTGATGCTTGAATCTTCCGGCTTTGACTTCCGCACACGCCACCCGCAGAAATCCCTTGTCAAGCTGGCGCGGAAGTACGGGTTGACGTCTCAATCCGAAGTCTCGACCGTGGCCTACCGCATCGCGCAGGATCTGTACCGGACGTACGCGCCCATCAAACAGACTACCTCGACCATGGCTTTCAGCGCCCTGGAGCTGGCCGGGCGTTTACTGGATCAGCGGATTCCGGAGGTCGAGGAAGGCCTCGACTATGAGGATTGGAAGACAAGCCGGGTGGAAGTTATGGGTTCGTGTTCCCTCTTTCGCTAATTTCTGGAACATGACCACTGAGCCCTCTTGAACTTTCAAACTAACGGATATGCAGAAACCCTTCTCGACCTCCTAGAATTGTACACGCACAATCGTGCACAAACCACCGTCGGCCCGCACTTCCCCGCGGACCGGTTCTTGACTGTGCGGATTCCGCTGAACTCCGAGGCGGAGGAGAAGAGGCTACCTCGATATACGCACTGGGTCGACGAGAAGCCGAAAGTGGTTCCCCCGCCACGCGGTCCGAAGGGAAAGGGGTATACAAATGGCACGAGTACCCACGCTAACAAAAACACAAATAATGGCAGCAACAACAACAACAGCAACAGCAACAGCAACACTAGTGCGTCCGACAAACCAGCTCATCCACTCACTCCCGTTGCGGCGAACGGGGACCGCCTCAGGGCCGGGGAGAAGTTCGCTGTGCGGTTCATGCTGGAGCCCGACCGCGCGGAGGGAGAGAGGACCCGGGTTGAGGAGTATTTCCGAGTCGACATTGAGGAGTATGAGGTTGAAGAGTGAAGCGATTTCCTCCCCTGAGTTCCACTTTTTGGGGTAGATTTGGTGTTTCCTGGATCTCTGGAAAGTGATAGGATGTTAGAGGTGGTGCGCGTGGTCGGAAAATCCGCAGGAACAGGTAGCTCCACTGTGTTGGTCTTCAGAAGCCGCAGGTAGCTATTCCTGCCCCCATGCTTCTGCTTCAGATGCTGGTATATGCACCTCACCTGGCGTGCAGCAGTGTCTGTCATCATTGGGATTCTCTATCTCAGTCCGGAGCACCCACCACCGCGCTTGGTACAAATACTCCTTATGCCTTCTCAGACAGAGAGAAGGGTTAGCCTCTGGCATATCCCGACACTCAACAGTAGGATCCCTGCTATCACCCAGTCTGATCGGTATCTCCCAGGGTGAAGGAGCGGAGTGATGCCTGAGTCAACGCGCGAGCGCAGCAGCGGACCCAGCTTATCTGCCCTCGTACGGCATGCACATAATCACCTTGCTTTACATGTGAAGAACAGACCTGTGAACATTGTTTCGACCCACATTCTGTATATACCACATAATCCTACACTCAAGACAACATAATACAGCTCTACTTTATCACATCAGACCAAGACCTCATCATGTGCGGAAATCACAATTACAGGGACAGCCAAGAAGAAGCAACCAGCAAAATTGCTATATATTCACATTTTTACAATATAAAGAGCGTCTACCTACTGAGACATTACCTACCCCATGGCACCACAGCCCAGATCGAGACCGGAGATAGAAAGAAAGACCGATAGACATATTGATGTGTTAAACAATAGAAGTTTCTGGTAGCCTCGGGATAGAGACTCCTTCCATTCTTCTGCACTTCGCTTGTTACCCGTCAAGTCCTTCTCATTCGCTCGGGAAAGGTCCCGGACCTTCAAGGTGGTAATGAAGTTGCGCGAGCGGAAGGTGTATGCACATGTCGAGAGAGTCCGGGAGCCTATCGATTCCGATCGAGTCCGTAAAAACGAGGCGCTCGGGAGGATGAGAAAAGGGTAGATTATAAAAAGCATATTTTGATCGTAAGCTGCGGTATGTGACCCCTCCGAGGACTCGGAAGGGAAAAAAAAAGAAACTGAGGACTTCGTCACGGAGGTCTCCGAACAAGAATGGGTCATCAAGGGGAGTGACGCTCTAGCGACGCTTGAGCTCGGTGTTGAGGCAATCCAAGATCTGCGACGATGTCAGTGACTGAGTGAAATGAGAAAGATGTGCATAACATACCGTTTCAGAAACAGTTCCTTGATTGTACAAATATTTGCCAAGGCCACGGACAACCTCCAATTGTTCCTCGACAGTGAGACCGGTGATGGCGGCCTCGATGATATCTCCGACACTGGCCTTGTAGACAGCAATGAAGCTGTGATAGTACATGTAGGAGAAGAATCCCATGATGAACTGGCAGTCCATGCGATCGGTAATACCACCGTGACCGGGAATGGATTCGCCGAAGTCCTTGATCTTGAAGGTCCGCTTCAGCCCAGAGGCGAAGAAACCGCCGAAGGGCGCAATAAGAGAGGCAAAAGTCGCAAAGACAAGGAGGTGGAACTGCATAGGCTCAATGTAGAACGTCTTGTCGACTCCAGTCCAATCCGGGAAGGAATACGGTTCCGGGACGAAGGCCGGGTTGGGGGTACACTCGAGGCCGGTCAACACGTTCGATCCGAGATCGTTGACAGGGCAGATGAAGTACTTGTAACGCATGAGGATGTTGGTAATGAAGAATCCGAAGATAATGGTGCAGATCCAAGCGCCGATAAAGCCTTCGACAGTCTTCTTCGGCGAGAGCTGAATGAGCTGGGTCCGACCAAACGTGATACCACAGACGTAGGCGAAAATGTCATTGACAATGACCAGAGAGGCAGGAAGGAAGAACCAGATCATTCCCTCCAAGACATTGTTCATGACAAAGTGCGCTTGAACGACAATGAGGTACAGAGCCATGTGCGTCCAGGCAAACTGGGTGAACTGGAACCGATAGTGTCCTTTTTTCAGAGACGCGACGAAGAAAACGAAACCTAAACAATCAGAGATGGGGCGATGGAGGCCAAGGAGCGAAACCTACCCATGACATAGAGCATAAAGCTGATGAACCGGTGGTGAGTCGCCAGCGGGAGCAACACCTTGTCGACCAATAGAATGTGCTTGAAATAATAGATCACACTTTCACCATATAAGAAGTACATCGTGGTCGCCAGGAAGTACCAATTCAGCGACTTGGTAAACCGGAGGTTTTTCTCTTTGCTGGGAACATTGGCGATCGCAATGACTTCTTTGAACGAGACAATCTGAACAGCAGTGACGATGCCGAGGATGTAGATGTGGCCGGAGAAAAGGACGACGAAGAAACCGAAGATCATGACAAAAGTCCATATCGTGCGCGTAATGAAGGTCTGCTTCTTCTTCTCGTAGTCGGACAGCTGAGGTTTATCGGATTTCTGGTTGCGCGTGGTCAGCATATTTCTTCAAGGTGTGCAAGTAGCTGTGCGCTGCCCACCTCTTCGGGAATCGTGGCCGGCTTCGCGACAGTGCCGTCTTTGGACGGACTGCCCGGATCGGATAGGATATCGCTGGCCTCAGAGATACTGGACCGACGACCTTCCGAGGCATTCGACATTCTGTGTGGAAATCTGACGTTCCGACGGGACTTGGACATAGTGAATGAATATGTACAGACGAGGGGAAACGGAACTGAGCGGCTGCTTAGGTTGAGAAGCGCGGGGCCGGAGGGAGAAGCTGGCGAGAGCTTGCGAGCTGAGAAAAAGGTTCGGAAGGGACCGAACCAAGCAAGGGTGGAACTGATCAAAAGAAACCTGACAAAGAATAAAGGGGTAGGGAGACACCAGAAGCAAGAAAAAAGGGTCAGGCAGCAGTGATCGTCGTCCTTAATGAAAATTCATGTGAATTGGCGACCGAGGAATGGATAACAACAGATAGACGGAAACCTCGAGCGATAGGGCCAAAGAGCTTTTGGTCGGATTCTAATGCAAGCCTGAGATAAATCACCTGGAGTGACTAACCGTGCCACGAGAAAAGTCGACAAGATAAATAGTCCAGGGAGGGGAGGCTGAGGGAGTCTTGCATATAAAGGTGAAGGTGGAGGAGAAGAGAGAGAGAGAGAGGAAGGAGAGTTGAGCAGGCGGGAATTCTTGATTACGCGCCAACTCCGTCGACGTCAGTCCGACCCCGGCTTACCCTTTCTTTCTTTCCCTCCCGCATGCATCTCCTCTCCTCTTCATTTGTTGATCATCTTCACAGATCTACGACCTTAAACTTCTTCTACCAGGACGTGTATCTCATGGCGATCGTCCATTGTTGGGTATGGAAGAAAACGAAGATGATTTCTTCTCCGACGATGGCTTTGACGACCTGCCACCGGGCACACTCTACCAACTCGAACAGAACGCTTATCGTGCCACGCAGGCCCCAAGCCAGCTCCAGCAGCAGCCCCTGCCTGAGTTGACAGCCTCTTCTCGTCCCTATACTCGGCCCCATCATGCCATCATCTCCGGAGACAATCTCGGGGCATCAAATGCGGCCCTGCAACCCCCACCGCGTCTACATACTGGGTTGACCAATGATTACGACGACTGGGACATTGGCGAGCTCGACGCGGAGGTTCTGGAGGACGGCGTCGCTATACAATCGGACAATGTGCTCAAACAAGCCTCTGCCTTTGCTACACCCGCTCATCACGGTGACCCTCTTCCTCACGCTGAAAATAACGACTTCCGAGCCGATGCGGATGACGAATATGGATACCTTCCTGATCCTATGGAGATTGAGGGAATGGATTTGGGAGGGTCCTCTCAATTTGCTGAGCTACATAGGACTCACGCCGAATTGAGCGAGAAGGTAAAGCTAGGAAAGGTTGATTGGAGATTATAGGCCTGCAGAACTAATCCTTGAAATAGCTGGCAATGGAGAATAAACGCTACAAACAATTGCTAGACGAGCTGACCGCAGCCAAATCGATGGCGGAAACGAAGACTGGCGAAATTGCTATTATCCGAGCCAACCAAGCGAAAGTCACTCACGACTATGATCGACAGATGACAGCCCTGCGCAAGGCGATGGCCGAGCAGGCCGCAAGACACAGAGAAGAGGTTGAAGCTGCGCGTGCTGAGGGGAAGATGCTTGCCACAGAGAACGCCTTCCTCAAACAAGATTTGGCCGAGGAAGCGATGCGCATTAACCAACTGAAGGCGAAAGCTCGAGTCGAGGAAAAAGCGCCACCAATGACTCCCAAGAAAACCAGAGTCCTGCCATTCCGAGACGGATTCGACGACGATGAGATTCTCGCCATTTCACCCAGCAAATCGGCGAAATCGAAGCGAGCCACGCCGACCGTGCCTGGAAAGAGAAAGAGGAAGCTCAGTCAAGGCAGCCCGACACCGCTACAATTGAGTCCGCAGGCTGAGCCTCCACCGATTGAGCCACCGGAAGACTTGTCGGATGATGAAATGGTCGATGTCCCGCCGGAACAGATTACACCGGATGTCAAGAATTTTGACAGCAGCATCGTGAAGCGTATCTTGAACCATCGGACAATCCCCGGGGGAAGCCCCGACATCGAGATTATGGCTGGACTCGCGTTTCCCTCCGATCCTGAGCAGATGTTATCCACGGCCCTATTGGGCGAGACTGCAAAGCTTGACTTTGGCAACTACATGGTGGAATATGCTCGGGCCATTACCTCCCTGTGGGGACGTGCATTGAGCGAGAAATATTATCTCCCTATCCCGATGTTCATGTCAATCATGGGGCTCCTTATTTCGATGAATGTGCAATCGCATGATTCGGATCTAGTTGAGCACTTAGTGCCCATCCTACAGGAGTCCGGAGACATCAACGGCGTGCCCCGGTTTAAACATTCTCCTGTGTCGCGACCGAACCTTGGCCAGGTACGGAAGACCCCGTTGTCAGAACTGGAACCGCTTGTAGATTCCACGGAAGCAATGAGTCTCCTGTTTCAAATGGCCTGTCACCGTATGCATGTGGAGCGGGAGATGGCGACATTCTGGCGATGCATGCGCTACGACTTTGTTTTGATGATGTTGAACTGCTCGCAACCACTCAAAGACATCAGCTTGATGCTTGGCCTGTTGTCGACTAGCATCCGTGAAGGCTCGTTCGGGTCGATTCTAGGCACGGAGCAGGACCAAACCGCCAATGAGAACTACATCGTAGACCGCGTTGCGAACCTGCTCAGCGAGACTCCTCAGCTCGATGAAGGGCAAGACCCGTACCTGCCACGGGAAGTCTGCAGTATGCGGCAGGAGGCGTTGTCTTTTTTGACTACGGTGGCATTCAATTCTAAGGCGCCGGATAGTACACACGGCAGCTTGACCCTGGCGTCCCATCCAACCGTGCTCGCTCGGTTGATCCGGTCGATGCACGATGAGATGCACGCGTTATACACCTCACCACCCGAGAAGGATGTCCACGCGTCGATGGTGAATGGGCTGATGAGGCTTGTGTACGGGGTGATCCAGCGACACCGTGAGCAGGTGGATCTACAGGCGAAATTGTGTCGCGTGGCCGGTGGGAAGCAGAAATTCCTGGTTGTTTTGACCCGACTGGCGTTCAGCGAAGGAGTGATGCTCGAAGCGGGCATCACAGATGACACGGTGGAAATGGCGCATGAAATTCTTGATGATGCGGTGAATCCGCAGGAAGCGGAGGCATTGCTGGAGGCATTCCCAAATGCCAACCGGGAGGGAGACTGATAGGGGCAAGGATGACGGAATGTAGAAAACACTATGTGTCACGAGTAATGAAGCACGAATGCACCACGAATGCATATCTTTTGGGTTACACCTTGAAAAAGGGAGATACACCGCGAGAGAAGGGCAAAACCAGCTTGAAGCTAGGTGTACGTGCTCGATCAACATCGGTTCTAGGATACGATACATCTACAAGTCTCTTCTCCATAACCCCACGCAAGGCGGAGCGATGATGAAAAGAAAAAGAATCCCGAAGGAAGAGTGCCAAAGAATACGCCTGTCAATGACCCGAAGGCCGTTGAACAGACTGTTCCGCCGCGCTGTGCAATGCAGGGACCAATCTGTGGTGGACCGCCTTCTTGATCGCAGCCACCCAAACAAGGTAAGTATGAAGAAAAGAAAGAAGAAAATAGACAAAGAGCGGCGGGCAAGACGGCATTATATACCCATGATGGGGGCGGTGAGTTTACGCTAGCCACAAGCGAGATTGTGACTGGCCAATCATCACTGTTCTCCGTCTCTCCAACATGCCTGCCTTACTCCCAAGGCCGCAAGATTGAAGTCATGTGCTACGCGAGTCACGTGCACTACCGGCCGCGAAGTTTTGGCCGCCGGCGATAGTCACGGAAGAAAGACAGCAGCAAGCTGAACAGGAGCAGCCAAACTCACAACCCCAATCCTCGTCCCCAGCTCGCCGCCATCATGAGGAACAGGGCGACTACCTCGTTGAATAAACCGGTACGTCAGGTCCCATTTTTGCCCTTCTTCCTACCAGTCCTGCTCTAACACTATCCCCGTCCGAAACAGAAAATCCGGCAATCATGGAGTAAATATAACCTGTACAACCTCAGTCGCATACGCCCCCCCCATTTCGGCCAGCGTACCTTCTTCCAGCAAAAATGGGCGTCGAAATCCATGGCCCGTGACTATCACGGTGAACAGGTTCCCGAGAAGAAATGGCAACGCATGTTCTCCCCCCGCATGCGCAGCGTCGTCCCTATGAGCTCCTTCGAAATGGCCAAGGATGACGGTTCTTCCCAGTCGGCCGGACGTGGATCTGGCCTGGACAAAAAGCCGGGTGCCCCTGATACCTTAGAGAAATTCATCCGGTCCAGGAGAGTGCCGTACACTCAGATGACGTTCGCCCCGTTGGAGCGTCGGCTTGATACGGCTATCTTCCGCGCCATGTTTGCGAGCAGCGCGAGACAGGCCCGGCAGTTCGTGGTGCATGGTGCGGTCACAGTCAATGGCAAGCCGGTAGGTTCCCCTGTTTGCCCTCTCGCATGCAGTTGGAGATTTCGATGAGCTGGACAAATACTGACGAGGCCCTCGCATCGGTAGATGAGATACCCCGGCTACCTGCTCAATCCTGGCGACATGTTCCAGGTCGAGCCCGAACGCGTCATGTATGCTACCGGCGCCCCCAAGGATCGGAACGAGCGACGACAGACCCGTGCGGCCCGGAAGGAGAAGGCAGCTGCCAAGGAGGCCGAGGAGGCTGCGGAGGAGGCTGCATCTACTGAGGAGGCAAAGGACGAGACTAAGGGCGAGGCCAAGGAGGAGGCTGCGGTGGAAACAGAGTCCCCCCGCGAAACCCTCACGGCTCTCCTGGCTCAGGCCAAGAACATCATGTCTAGAAGCAAGGACGTGCTCCCTGCCAAGCGCAAACAGGAGCTGCGTGGGTTTCAAAAGGCCGTCCGTCGAATCCTGTCTCGCTCTGGAAGCAGCACTGTTCTCACCACCAATCTCGAGGAGCAGTTCGCTGAGCTGACCACACTTCTCAAGGCCAAGCGCGCTGAAAAGCCGTCCGACAGTAAAGCGAAGGAGGAGAACGGGGAGAACTCCGAGGAGGCTACGGCAGAGAAGCCTTCCACCGAGAACTCTGCGTCCGAAGATGTTGCCGGGAAGGCACCCGAGAACAGCCCCATCACTACGCAGCTAGCTGAGGCATTCCGTCAAGCCACCCAGAACCCGGAACAAGATGTGGACGCATCAGAACTCACAGACCACGAATTCGAGGTGCTGCGCCGGGCGCTCATTCAGATGCGCGATAACCCGATTGACAGCACCAAGCCCTACGCCACACCCTGGCGGCCGCGTGAGTACATGAGCGCATTCGCTATGATCCCGCGATACCTGGAAGTCAATCACAACATCTGCGCCGCTGTGTACTTGCGACACCCGGTGGCTCGTCCTGGATGGACCGAGGTACCATCGCCATTCGGAGAAGCTACGCACACTCCGGCGTTTTTGTGGTACTTAAGACGGCGGTAGTTGGGATTCCTCGTTGGGGGTTTAATCATCTGTATTCTCTCTTCTCTGATTCTCTGTTTCTGCGGGCTTGTTCCACAGTCTTTATGTATTACTGGGTGTCTGATGTGTTTTTTTTTTCTTTTATACTTTGATTTTATTTTGATCTGCATCGTTCGGTGCTAAGCTGTATTTTTTATGATTTGTTGTTTCCCTTAAGCCTACACAGGGGGGGGAGGGCAAAAGTCATGTCGCAACGGTGTTGGAGCTAGAGGAGCCCACTGTACATCATCAATACATTCGAATATACTATTGATCCATCCTCTGTATCCTACCGGCACTGAAAAGCAAAGCAGGTGAGTGAGTAGCCTGTCGATGTGTGATGAGATGTGATGTGAATTCGAAGCGAAACGCCAAGTACTGAATGAGAATGAGAATTTAAGAATTTAGTGAATACATGGTTACAATACAGTAGATCAATCACGATATCACCCACTTATCCACAGCCCCCTGAAAAATACGGTTTTCCTCTTGTCAACCGCGGGGCTATGGGCCAACCAACCGGCTTGAATGACTAAAATTGCAGACAATCAGGGCGAAATTTTCAGCAGGCGTGCGTATGGGGCCTTCCTTCCTCCATTCAGCTTAAGTTCTCCGCCGCCCGCTGGCAGTTTATTGTTGCTGCTGTTGTTGGTGACCCTCAACTCTCTTTTCCTCTGTCTCTCTCCACCTCACCCACCCACGTCTGGGGTCTCCTCATTAATCATGTCCATGTTTCCCTGGCATGGTTCAACTGCCACTACCTCTTCCAACCATCATCGACATCCTCATCACCATCAGCAACAGCAGCACCAGCACCAGCACCAGCACCAACACCACCCCCTTCACCCCCATCACCCCCATCACACCGCAAACGCCGCCACCGCTGCCGCCGCTGCGGCATCAAATTCGCGCATCGACCCGGCTTCGACCACCACAACCGCCACCGCTGGTCCCACCAATATCTCTGCCTCCACCTTTCAGATGCCTCAGATGCGATGGCTTCCTTCCATGATCTCCGCGCGAACGAACCCGCAGCACGCAGCGCTCCCCAACCTATCGACGAATTCCCGCCTCCAACAGCAGTCGCCGCCGCAGCCCACCGCGCAGAATGCACAGCAGCACCAGCACCATCATGCGCGTCCTCACACACTCTCCCGACATCCACAACAACAGTCGTCGGTTTCGATGGTTATTGACGCACGTCAACAGTCGCGACAGCAACCACAACAACAAGCCGTCTCAGTATCAAGCGAAGAAAGTGATCCCGATAACTCTGACTCCGGCGCGCGGGATGCTACCTCCGCGGACGCGTTGGGAGGCCAGGCCTACGTTTCTTCCGATGCAATGGGCGCGAACGCAATTGCGCATGCGCATGCGCATGCTCGCGCGCAGCAGCAGCAGCAACGTCGTCATGGTCATCGTCCGGAAGCCGAAGGTACCAATGGAACCACCGCTGCCACTTCTAGTACCATTAACAATCGCAACGAACCCATTCTCAACCGCACTGCGACACCAACCCGACCTGCGACTACCACTATCCTCGTCGACGATCGCGATGACCTCGATCTCGATCCCACCGCTACGGGTAGCAGTGCCGACCATCCCCTCAACCTCACCGGCGACCGTGACGGGCCGCGCAAACACGGAAAGCGCCTGACCACTCTCGAGGAAGTCTCCCTGTTTAACATCTGCAACCGTCACGGGCACGAATTCGGTCAGCGCAGTAACCTGTGCAAGTGGTGGATGACGGTCACGGAGGAGTTCACGCGCGACCAGGGTCATCCGTACTCATGGCATTCGGTCCGACGCAAGGTGGAACTGGTCACGAAGCAGCGCATGAAGTTCCTGGATGAGCAGCGCGAGAGAGGAGGTAGTGAGAGCGATGATCACTCCAATCTCAGGTGGAGGGCTGCGGTGGATGCGTGGATCCCCACGTGGCAGCGGTGGGAGGAGGCCGAGGCCAAGCGGATCGAGAAGAGGGACTCGAGGAAGCCAAGGAAGAGAAAGAACAGAGACTGGGAGGCCTGGGTCAACGGCGCCGACGCCGCTGGTACTGGCGTTGGGGCCTGGAGGACAACGGGAAATCTGAGCGTCAGTGGCAGTCCGTTAGTGCCAGCAGCTGCGCAGCTCCCAGCCTCGTCGCAGCAACCATTCCACACTCCGCGTGTTATCACACCCCAGAACACCAAAGTCCGCCTCCCCCCAGGTTTCGACAATATGTTCGCCAGCCAGTCGCAGTCACTGCATGGCACCCCGACTCCAGCCCCCGCTTTGCAACAGCCCAACGGCACGCCCGGAAATACAGACTCATCAATGATGAGCGCCGTCCTCGAGACACTGGGCAAATTAAACCGGCATCTCGACGCCGCCAACTCCACGCCCGCCTCCTTCAAAATCACCCAACCCCCCGACAGCCGCTCACGCCCAACAGAAGAGCAACAACCACCCGAGTCACAATCCGACTCCAGCCCAGACCCTGACCCCTCGCCCACCCAATCCCCCGACGTATCCCAAGTCTCCTCCCAACTTCAAATCCCAATCCACCTCATCACCAAGCTCAAGGCCGAACTCCGCGAGGAGATGCGCGAGGAAATGCGGTCCGCGCTGGCCAAGGACCGCGGACGTCTGGAAGAGAAACTGGACTCTGTGCAACGGACGCAGGACATGATCTTGGAGATGTTGAGACAGGAGCCGTCTTGATTTGCTCTCTCCTTTTTACTTTCTTTTCTGTCCATACCCCCTTTATTTCTTCTTCTTATAATAATGTTGATTCACTTCATGTATTGCTTGCAGATGATACCCACTGGTCTAGAGCACAGTGTTGACTCTTTTGGTTTTGTTGCTAGGCCAGCCTCTTATTTATTCTCTTTCTTTCTCATTATGCTTTTCGTTTATATCCTGTGACCCATGAGAAGGGCCTAACAAATATCTAATTCGGTAAACACCTACATATGACTGCAGATCTAATCTTGCTGGACGGATGGATGGATGGATGGAAGGGTGGGTTGATGACCGGCCAGCTGTCCATCTAGCACATCAAGAAGCCAGGAATCGCAATGATAATGAATGTCGAACATCGCAGTCCTTATTTCCCTCAAACTATAGCATGACAGAGTGTATAGCACGCAGTCCGTCCCACCAAAGCACAAAAGCGTAAACACGATAAAAAAAATAATGATAATTCCCGGCTAAATTACATAGTTTGATAACAAACGTTCCATGAGAGTTGTGTGAGTGTGTGTATGAGAATGTGGGAGGTTTTAAAGAGATCCTGTGTGTGTATCCCAAACGGAAAAAGAGGTAGGCGGGAAGGCCACCACTTCTTTCCTGTTTGTGTTGTCCATCCAAATCCCATCATCACCATCATCCTTAATAGGTATTCCTTTCATCACCGGACCTCTCTTTGCTCTCTTTCACCTCTATTTTCCTGGCACATCACTGCTTGAAGAGAAACTTTCTAGTAGTAGTAGGTCTCGTCAACAGTGCGGCCTCTCATCCAGCGGGGCTCGCTGCCACGGACGTAGATGTCCTCGTACAGGATGCGGGGGGTGCTGTCGGGGGCGGGCATCTTCTCGGCGATGGCGACCTCGCTGTCGACGTGGGTGCGGGCGGCCTTGTCGAGGGCCTTGAGCTCCTCCTCGGTGCAGACGCTCCAGTCGAGGATCTTCTGCTTGAGGCCGGCGATGGGGTCGTGGGTGCTGCGCATGCGCTGGATCTCCTCACGGCTGCGGTAGGTGGTACCGGGGTCGGACATGGAGTGACCACCGTAGCGGTAGGTGACGTACTCGAAGACGAGGGGTCCGTTGCCCGAGGTGGCGTAGTCCTTTCCGTACTTGACGGCGGCCTTGGTGGCCAGGACGTCCATGCCGTTGACCTTGATACCGGGGATGTACTGACCGCGCTTGTAGTATTCGGTCAGGGCGGAGGAGCGGGCGGCGGAGGTACCCATGCCGTACTTGTTGTCTGTGATAGGGTTTGTTAGATTTCGGGCGGGCGAGTCTTAACTTCCAATGGGACAGGGAAAAACGTACTCTCACAACCGAACAGGGCGGGCAAGTTCCACAGCTTGGCCATGTTGAAGGCCTCGAAGACCTGACCCTGGTTGGAGGCACCATCACCGTACAGGACGATACTGGTGGCCTTCTCGTTGTTGTACTGCTGGGCGAAAGCCAGACCGGCACCGACGGGGACCTGGGCACCGACGATACCGTTACCGCCGTAGAAGTTGGGGGCGAACATGTGCATGGAACCACCCTTGCCGTAGGCGATACCCTCACGGCGACCGAGCAGCTCTCCGATGATAGAGCGGACGGTACCGCCGCGCATCAGGGCGAAACCGTGGCAACGGTAGGCAGTAATGACCTTGTCGTCGCGGGAGATAGCGTGCTCGATACCGGTGGCGACGGCTTCCTGACCGGTGGACAAGTGGCAGAAACCTCTGATCTTCTTCTCCTTGTAGAGACGGTCGGCGGCCATTTCCATGCGTCTATCCCAATGGTTAATTGGGGGTGGTTATTGAGGCAAGAGAGAGGAACAGCAGCATACCTCATGGCAACCATGTCGTAGTACATCTGCTTCAGCTCCTTCTTGGTGATCTCCAGAGTGTAGGGAGGAGGGTCGATCTCGTAGGTCTCGAAGCTCTCGTCGGAGAGGCGGACGGTGAAGGGCTTGTCATCCTCCTACAGTGCCGTTAGCTTGATGAACTGGTAGAGGCATTGAAGCCAAAAGTCGAGGCTGGGAGGCGTCTGACCTGAGGAACGTTCTCAGCATGCGCCGAGGCAGCGTCGGTGGTGACGGAGCGACGGGCAATGGGAGCAAAGGCCTGACGCCTCAAGGGCGCGGCTTGACGGGCCGCAGCACGGAACAACATGGTGGATGAGAGGCAGCAAAAGACAGCGAGATGCTGGTGAAGATGAGCAGAAGGAGAGCAGGGCTGCTGTTATCTTTCAACAACCCGGATATGTTGGGAACAAACTTTCCCCTGCGACTAGGCGGAATTCGGCAGACGGCTTAGATAAGCATCCCTTAGAGGCCGTCCGGTGTAGCCGTTGCAAACCGTGCAAACTCCACTCGACGACTCGGGCGGCGAGTGTTTTGTAGATGATGGCTGGTGGCTATTAGGATAGCTACAACCAATTAGTTCTTTGTCTTTCGGTATTGTCTGGTGAATATGTTAAGTGTCATATTTATGCTCTCTGACGCCTTCTACTTCCATCAGTCAAGCCCTCCTCTCCACCACTTGTCGCGGTCAACTCCATCATCGCTCCGGGCGTCACCGCCGCATCCTTGGCTGCATCGGACTATGTTAATCCCGAATTCCTCCGTTGAGCGCGAGTAAACGGTGAAGCTTGAACTGACTCAGCGTAACGGAGTCAACGACGCGAACTCATCTCTGACTGATCGAGGATATAAGTCAAACTAGTCAGAAGAGCTCTGTACTTGTAACTGAGGAGCTCACTGCCGGTGTAGCAAGTTGCGAGTTGGGGTGAGTTCATACGTCAGCATCAATATATAACCGTTGCCGGGGAATGGCCTGAGTTTTATAAGGAGATAAGTCGACAACAAAATGTAGCGATACTGCCTTGACCTTGACCTTCTACTGATCTTCCATATGATACCACTTTGTAGTAACTATAAGGCTACCCTGTGCTATTATCTGAAGCATAGTACAGACCTACCGTGGTGTGTCAGCCGCCTCTTGGAAATGCGCCGAAGAATGCGCAGTGCCCAGCATCATCCCAGCCGTTCGTGAGTGCTCTCTGTTAACAAGCCGGACGAAGCATTCTTCCTATCCATCCTTATCTATCGGCATAACCCTGTTACCCTCCGGCTTCCTCCGAGAACAATTTCAAATGAGTGTTCGAGGCAGATCCCGCCTTGACACTTTGGCCCCAGTGACGGGAGCACCGAAAAAGCAAGCAAACAAAATCTCACTGCGCATTGCGATGACAGAACCGTACTAGACCGTGGCAGTGCGACTGTCATTCGTTTATCACAGCCCCAAGATGACTGCTCAAAAGGAATGCTTGCTTTTCATAGCCGTCGTTACTGACTGGAGTCTAGCGGAAAGCGCCACGCGAGACCATAAGCAGCAAGCTGGGCAGGCTAGCAATGGCTTGCATGACCTGCACGTTGGGCCATGCTGACATGCGTCCAAATCCTAACAGATGAACTGTTTGCTAAGATGCTAATCGGCATTTGAGACAAGGGCATTGTTCCTTCGAGTGCTGGGTATGATAGGCAGTCATGTCAAAGCCCATCCTGGCTGTGTACCTGAGTTAGTTAGCGGAGCTGCAAGGTGTCATAGTTGCTGTCGCGCGATAACCGATGTGTCAATTCTCCTGAGAGATTAATAAAGGAGAGTTTGACACCTGCGTCACCTGTCTGCTATTTCTGACATCGCATGGCAGCAACGTCGCAGAAGGTGTGAAAAATGGGGAAAGGCAGGTATAAATCTGATGCTCTGAATGCTTCATCCTCAGCAAAGGTGGGTCCTTGGACTCTAGATCAGCTTACCCCATGCGGATATTTAAGCGACCACAACCATTGCATCGGCACGAACTTCAACCTGCGATCCGGGCAGATCCCGAATGATCGCTCAGGGTGGGCTGCACCTAAATCATCCCTAATCTGGAAGCGTAGGGCACAATGAACACCGTCCTCATGCTCATATCTGCTTACCTCAATGCGGTAATTGTGCTCAGGGCCCTTCGCAATGGTAAATCGATTGGTGATCGCAATATAAAAAGGGGGCGAAAACACCGTAGTTTTGTCAGCCTAATGCATGTTAGTTACTGGTGCCGATGCCTGGAATGATTCATGGCTATTATGCGCTGCCTTGCTGTTGACTCGCACAATTCAATTCAGCTCGTTCTCGTAACAAAAGCAGGTATTAAGGGATCCCACTCGATCGCGAGTCTCCATAGTTCATTATTAATATCCAGCCCAGGTGGAATTCTTGTTCCCTTTCGAAACGTGGCAGCAGAGTGGGTATGCCGAAGATTGGTACTCGCATGGGGCCCGAAATCTGGAAATAGAAATCAACAGTCGAAAAGGTATAGGCGTCAAAGAACTTCTTCTATCCATTCTCCGCAGCTTCTGGAAGTGCTTCTGGAGCGCGCCAGTACTTCAATCTGTTGATCAGGGATAGATACTGGTTTCCGGGGGCCGCGTTCGCCCAGATTTTCTAGTTTCCAATCAGTAATTGTATAAGTGCTTCGTAGATGCAAATCATGTTACAAGAGGGCACGGGAGGCGGCACATCCTTCACGAATGCTTCCCCTCTCAGGTGAGTACAGCATTGCGCTGTTGATCTGGAACAGAGGTTGCCCGAGGTAGCATCTACATGACTCCCACGTTCCTATCAGATGGGCTAGGAAAACTGCCTCTTCTGGGCTATCTCCGACGATAGTTCACGGACTACTGTCTCAAGGTTCGGTAGATCGCGAGAAGTTTTCAGTCCGGAAGAATTCTGGAAGAGGCTGAAGAGTGCGATTTGTTGTGTTCTGAAGCCGCAAAACCTTGGTGGGGAATCGCATTGGAGTCGAGGTTCGTCTCTGCTTCCGTTTAAGTTTGCTTAGTCGGTGCTAGTCGAGTGGAGGGGAAATCTTTCACGGTCACATCCAGTTTGCTCGGGTGTATTGACCGGTATGGTATGGATGCTGGTAACCAGAGATTCCGGATGCAAGGACTGAAGAGGAAGGGTTCGAAAGGCTTGTTTTAGGAGCCTAGAGGTCATCTAAATTGTGCCTTTGTGGATGACATCACGCATAACATGATCCGATGGAAGGATGTAAACAAAACTAATGAGTAGGTAGACTAGAATGATCTCATAACTAATACCTATGGGAAAGCACCGGATAATTGTCGCGAATCATTCTGGTTCTCAAATTCAGATGAACAGTCTCAATTGCTCTGATCCAGAGACCTAATAGCCTAGTCTAGTAGCGTAGGCCATAGCCACCGATCACGAAACGCTACCTCTGAGAAGTACACTACTCCCCCGGAGTCCCGAGAAACCACTCATTTGCTAAATCATTTAGCCTGACAATTGGAGTCTCAGCATTGAGCAATGACGTGATGTTCGCAATAGTGACTGCATCAAATATACCCCACAAGATTATTTATAATCCTATCGATAAAGGGGTATGTGATCAATGCCTTCGTACACAAGGCAACGCTCATGCTAGGTGATTATGATTTTTCCACTCTGTACCGAGGTAGAGGGACAAAATAAGCACCTTGAATCGTGTTCGCATCAATAGATTATTTGCCAAAGGGAGTACATAGAGCAGATCCGATGATGAACCGATGATCAAATCCCGAGGTAATCTACGGAAGATCGTCGTCGCAACCCACAGATCGATGGAAAGTACCTTGCGTGAGGCCCAGACTATGCGGATTATTGGGTGCTCGATAACCTATCTGGGAAGATGAATCTGAAGATACTCTCCCCGATATGTAGAAGATAGACGGAGGCAGTCTCTGCCTTATCCTGTGAGGTTGAATTCTGCAGTTCTCTACAAAATGGTATGGATGAGGTTGGTAATAGCGGCCGAATGGAGTGGTTTGGTCCCACACATCGCAGCATCCCTCATTGGGAGGGTCGCCCATGACAGGTCGCATTTTGTGACAACAACCTGACAGCAGCATCGTGGTGAGATCAGGCAGGCTGAAGTCGTACTTTCTCAATGCTTGATACGTTCGAGTGCCAGTCAAATGAAACTCATTCCATTGTCCAAAGCCGTGCTACCCGGACCGTGGCAAACCATCGAAATTACACTCTCAAAAAGTGGTTGTTAGGCGGGTTTCACGATTGTTTCACCCCCCATTCGAGAACAAGGATATTTTCTTCTCTCCGCGCCATTTCGTCAACGGCGAATTTAGGGGCCGCTTACATGATTCTGTCTGGGATAATGGTTGGCTTGGGGGTAAATTATGGGTTGTTTGGCCACCGGGCAGCGCGACGGTCTTGCTCTTTCAAGGATGGTCGCTCCGGTAGTTTCTTCCTCACAAGGGTAGTGGATTTGTCTGCACGGAATGTCCGAGACTGCCATTGCTTCAGGTGGCTATTTTCATTTGATTGTCCTTTTGTCCAGGTCTCTCCCCCAGCCTTCGCTCATTTGTCGGTCCGTTGAGCTGGGCAGGGCGACATCTGACCAGTCCAACGCCATGACGGTGGAGATGAAAGGAGACAGTGGTGGTGATCATTGACCCCGACAGCACTACAAGGCCTCGGCTCGTGCATAACTAGTCAGTCAATGAAATTTTGCCGCCTGTGCGTCTTGTTGAAATCCGGGTACGGGGAAGCAGAGATCGGAATCGTGAGGCTCCAGATGAGATGGATGATCCGCCATCTCGAGTATAGACACTGGAGATTTCACAGTAGGTGGTCGACACCTGGTAGGGCAAGAATGAGCCGAGTCGGCCGTCGGTTCTCGTTGTACCGACTGAGGAAGAATCGTGGAAAACAGTTGGAGAACGATTCCGTCAGCTGACCTTGACAGCGTTCCATTCTTCCATCCAACGAACCTAAACGTTATCGGTGGCTTTACCGTTGTCAAACCAGCACGCGTGCTTTGCCACAGACGACCCACGGTTGAGCGCGATGGTGCAAAGATTGGGCAAGACGGAACGTGATGCATCAGACTGGCGAAAGCCTCGACTCGGGAAGGAACAAGTTTGGTCGTACCCTTGTAGACCTGGTTTCTCAGGAACGAGGTCCAGGGACTGGTTGATAGCAGATGAAGCCTGGCTTTGACGGAGAGGATGCACTGCCAAGATGAGGTCCCGGTCGGGATCGCGACGGGCCACAATTCGACTCATTAGCCCCCTCGCTTTTACCGGCACCAATGATGCTCATAAGGATGGTCAGAGAAAGGAAGTGAGTTGCTACGATGCGTCGGGGTATCTTTTAGAGTTTACATCTATCAAGTTGAGGGAATGGAGAGGTAAAGCGCTCGACTCCCAAGCTAACGCACTGCACCGCACGGATAGCACCTCCGATAAAGCGTTCTGTGGTTCGCATCAGACGATCATCCAGCAAAGCCGGAAGGGGGCCGATCATCCGTGGGCTGGACAGCGTTTCATGGCAGCTTGCGAGCTTCTTTGGGCTCCTATAGGATTCAGCTGACTGGGGGCTGAATCCTGATGTTGTAAGGCAAGAGGGAGGGAGGATGACTGCATTGCTGCGCCCACGAACGATGGAGGATGGCCCATGACAGTACTCGGTACAGTAAATACCAAGAAGTCCATGCACTAAACCTTACCTTAGATCTTTATTGCCCTAGTTGAAGGCCTGCCTTTCATGTCTTAACGCAATATTTCTTTGACCACATTGCAGACATTGAGCCCTTGACAGCCTGCTTGGCTCCTGAGTCTGCCTCTCTCCAGCGTCCCTTGGCCTGTGATGGATAGATAGATACATTGGCTACCGTGCTTCCATACCGATCGGGACAGGAAGTGGAGAGAGAGCCGATATTAGCCATGGATTCCCCGCATCGTCGGATTTTTGGACTCAACCCAGCAGTCGGGTTCCGGTGGATTACTCATCCGTCCGATGCAGAGTGTCAAGAAGTCTCTCAGTGAGTGGGTGTCCAGAGTCACAGAGTCAAACAAAGAGGAACCTAGCCTGGGTTTATTCTTATCCTTCCCTTCAGCAGAGAGGTGGTCTGAGTGCCTGTGTCCCCTTTTTTCTTTGAACTGTTCAGACTTAAGGGGAAAGTAGGTTTGAGAGTCTCGAGTTGGACGGGGACTAGGAGAAAGGGCCCAAGTCAGGTTGGCGCTGTATGGTACCTCTAGCATTTGCCATGCGGGTGGAAATTCATCCACTGTGGAGATCCCGCTGTTATGCAGCAACACCACTCGTTGGTGGGTGGTCATTGGTTACGCACTTACGGGCGTACTTACACTCCTGCCATGCTTTTCAACTTCCCATGGGTCGAGACTAGTTCACCACTTCGACTCAGGAACTCAGGAGAAGCACACCAGAGTGCTAGGAGGCCTGACAGAAAACGCTAAGGGATCGACAACCCACTGCGCATTGTTGAGGTCAATCGTTGCTGTATTGTGCAAAAGTATCGCCTGGAGCACCGTGGATCATTATACATACTTCAATAGGTATCATCAGTCTTCCGCATGTCACTATTTCCCCAAGGCCCATCAGTGGCGGAGATCCGCCCAGTCTAGCGGCCATTGGAAGGCCGCGAGTAGTCCGATGAGGCGCATGACGGTCCCCAATAGCGGCGACCTGCATATACTAAACCCCGGTTGTGGCTGGGCTGATGAATGATGACGAAGAGATGAAGAGAAATTCTCCGAGAATGAGGAACTGATAGATGGAATGGATATATCCAGGTCAAGGGGAAATCATTAGAGGCACCTGCATAATCTCAGCAAGGAGATTTGATGGTACAATATCGATTGATGGATGCCTGTCTATCCGCCTGTTTAGTGGCTTGTGACTTTAGGTTATGAAGTTCGAGAGCATGGGATGGATGATGATGATGATGATGATGATGATGATGATGATGACACCCTTGAACCTTTCCACCTCACATACTTTGTGGTCTATCTGTCGAGGAAACCCTAGGAAAGTGAATGCCGTGCTATATTGAGCCCGGAGGGTTCGTGCCATTGCAGTTTATTCAGGACCGATGACCCATTGGTAGGTAGATAGTATTCAGGGGTAAGCAGCATTGGGATGAATGGCGGCGAGGTGTAAATGAGAGTAATTGGCACGGTAACCGGACGGTATCAACTTTCCAGTCCCTGGAGCTGCCCCACCGGGTTGGCTTAGTGAGCTTGCAGCATCCATGGCTATAAGGCTTGGCTGCCACTTGCCCCACTTCTGGCTAGTTCGGTTCTTTTTTCTCGGTTCCTTTTCTTTTCTTCTTTCCTGTTCTTTGCTTTCTTACCTAAACTCCAATTTGAATGGTTTTCTTCCCGGGGGCTGCAACCACGGCTCAATTGCAGTACCTGCAGCCTTTTCCAGTGGGATGCATCTCCGTAGAATTATGGAAAAGACGCCGCCAGATTTCCTCCAATAGAGAAGATTGCTTAATTGGAAAAAAGTAGATTAGAATAAAAAAACATAAAAGAAATCAAAAATCCCAATAAAAGAAAATCAACTGGGACCAATCCAGCTCTGCTCCGGTGGGAGTGGGTTATCAGCGGCGCCGTCGTAAAATTATTCGCACCATCATGATATCTCCAACTTTCACCTCCTCCTTTCTCTTTCTTCTCTTTTTCCTCTCGTCGGTTTTCTTTTTCCTTTCCGACGTGAACCTGGTGTTTCCAACCTTTTGGCTCACCAACCTCCCCTGGCTTCACATTCTCATCATCGGGGGCCCTTTTTTGCTTCAGAGTTGTCTTACCCCCACCACTTTCTTCCGCCCCCCCACTTGGTTTCCACTTTACCTCCCCCTAAGTAGGAAATCCTCTTTCTTCTCAGGGCTCTGACTGACTGACTGACTTGCTTTGCTTGCACTTGCAAGCTTCACCTTTCCCTCCCTCCCTCTATCTTCCATCCTCTTCTCTCCTGTCCCTATTCCGCCCACCCCCCCAGTCAATCTTGTGTTTCAACAGGCCCATGTGGAAACATCGGCCCCCCTCTAGATCGGATTCCAATCCTGGAACCAACAACATTCCAGGCCGTCACGGATCCGAGCGTGGTTTGTTTGGGCGCTCTAAAAAGAAGTCTCCGCTTCGTAAGTCTATATATCGTCACCACGCACTGCTTTTCTTATCTGCTCTGGTACTAGCGTGGGTCATGAGGATGCGTTAAGTTCCGGCTGCTTGAATCTTATATTGTTGTTTCCTGCTGCAACAGTCCTTTTGCTGTCTCTCCTTTGGACCCATTTCTGTCTCTTCCACTTCTTTCACCTGCTTGTGCTCTCCACTCATTTCTCTTTACACTCCTGCCTCCTCTCAATTTCGCGCCTCATTGCTGCTCTTTGTCTATTGAAGACGACGGCCGTCACTTCAGACTCCAGGGAGAGGAAAAAGTGATCGTTGTCCTTGTCTCTCTCCGATCTGTTGTGTTATGCGACCCTACCATCTCACTTCCCCACCGCCGTGTCTTCTGCTGAGGTCCATCAGCCCCGAATACTTTCTCCTCTTCTGTGACTGACCTGGACGGACGATTCTCGCTTGCAGACGCCTCTCACCCCGACTCTAATACTCGTTCCTTACGCCCATTTCGTTCATTCACCTACCGCGAGCGTCCGGGGAGCGGTTACTCTGGCCACTCCGATCCCACCCGACCCCGTGCACCGTCCAACGCCAATAGTACGTCCGGATATCCAAACGCTTCCCGTCAGGACGGACATTCGAACCCCAATCTCAATTCGTCTTCTGGCTCCTTCGGTGCAGGAAATCCCATGGCGGCCGTGGATGTGGACCGCAGCCGGACGCGGCGGGAGAGAACATTTGTGGGCAGTGATTGCGCCGTGTGCGACGAGCCCTTAGAGCACACCTTGCGGGGAGAGCGGGTTCTGCAGTTTTCCTGCACCCACGTATCGCACGAGGCCTGCTTCTATGAGTTTATCCGCGAATGCGAGGGCCAGTACTGCCCCACATGCGATGCGCCGCTTGGGTTGGATACCAGTCGGGGAGGCAATGTGCTCGATCTTGGTAGGTGGAATCTGCGCTTGAAATTAGACCAACCCATGCTAATTCATCGCGCAAAGAGAAACTTAGCAACATCGTCCGCTCGGTGACTAGCGACGCAGCAACACAACGAAGTGGCTACACCGCCCCTACTCCATGGGATCAAAACCAAGCTCCCGGACGTCGTCCCAGTGATGCAGGAAGTCGGCCTAATACCCACCGTGAGAGCCGTGATATGTATGTTCGTCGCGATAGCCGAGATACTGGTAGCCACCGAGATCGTGTCGAGCATCTCACCCAGGGCTCCCGTCAACAGCATTCACGCAACGGTAGTGCTGCCGGATCGTCTACGGACTACAATGATCCACACCATTCGGCCAATGTTAGACGGCATGACTACGATGTGCAAGCCATGGAGTCCGACCTCAGTCCCCGTCCTCCGGTTACGAGGAACCCGATCCCGGCGCCAACTGTGACAATTCGCAGCGAGTTCCCCACCCTCAACCGGTCTCGCCAACAGCAGGCGTTGACCTGCCTGGTCACCGTTGAAGTGCCAGAGGGTAGTTGGCGTCCCGACGATGACGATTTGCGCCACGCAGCAAATGTCACTCCGCAACCACAGGATGAGATACTGAGTGCAATGCGGTTTCCCACCGTTCAAGAGCCCCGACAAATCCCTTTCGAGCCACAAGAGAGTCTGGATGAACTTGCCGAGCATCTGCGGAAAAAGGTGGACAATTGGCATGGTCTGGAATTCCAACGGTAAGTCCAAATCAACTACATCTCACCGAAATCCTGAACTGACACTATCACAGCTTTGGCAAGCTTCGACTGCATGGCCAGATGAGCGTGGGAAAGGACCGCCAGTCTTGGCAAGAGCTGGAATGCTATTTGTTTGGCGAAATGCTCATCTGTGTCAAAGACAAGAAAAGCAAACCCCCTCGCCATCCCGATGAAGAGCCGACCAAGCCCAAGCCTACGAGGTCGACGCTGAAAGGATCGATTCTGATCAAGAAGCATCTCAAAAGCATGGAGATTTCGCCGGGTGAGTGAAATTGCCAAGAGTAGGTAAGATTTGATTGCTGACTGGTTTAGATGACCTTGTCCTTGCACTGAACTTGTCTGTGGCTGAGCTTCCTTGCTTTTATCTGCGCTTCCCGACTCGGAACCAACTTGACATCTGGCGGCGGGCCCTTATCGATCTTCATCCGGTGGATGGGATGTCTCGAAACGGTGACTTTGACTTGGATCATTCAGGCGCAGAGGAAGAAGAGTACCGGGCCAGCCAGATCAAGCGTCAGGCCTCGCTGAACTCGTCTCATGGAGCCGCTCGCTCTAACAACACGGCTATAACCGACTATACCAATGCTGGCATGGACAGCCCATACCAGTCGTCAATTCACATCCCCCTCGACCTCGTCGTTGTGATTCCGGTCTCTTCATCCATGCAAGGCCTGAAAATCACTCTTCTGCGCGACGCACTCAAGTTCCTTGTGCATAACCTGGGCCCTCGCGATCGCATGGGCCTGGTGACTTTTGGTTCAAGTGGTGGAGGTGTTCCTCTTGTTGGCATGACTACGAAGAACTGGGGCGGTTGGAACAAGATTCTGGATTCTATTCGCCCTGTTGGTCAGAAGAGTCTTCGCGCCGACGTTGTTGAAGGTGCCAATGTGGCTATGGACTTGCTCATGCAGCGCAAGTCGGCCAATCCCGTCTCGACTATCCTTCTAATCAGCGATTCCTCCACGTCCGACCCGGAAAGTGTTGATTTTGTTGTTTCCCGAGCGGAGGCTGCTAAGTTCGTACCCATACTCCCCATCTAGGAGAACCCATATACTGACAACAAACAGGATCAGCATTCACTCTTTCGGCCTCGGCCTGACCCACAAACCGGATACGATGATCGAGCTGTCAACTCGGACCAAAGGCTCATACCTCTACGTCAAAGACTGGATGATGCTCCGCGAGTGCGTGGCTGGTTGCTTGGGGTCTCTGCAAACGACTTCGCACCAAAATGTCAAGCTCAAGCTTCGTTTGCCTGAGGGGTCCCCAGCCAAGTTTGTTAAGATCAGCGGTGCTCTTCATACCACAAAACGGGCTACTGGGCGTGATGCCGAGGCTGCTCTTGGAGATCTTCGCTTTGGGGACAAACGCGATATTCTCGTACAACTCGTTATTCCCCCGGACAATTCGAGTCAAGACAGCCTGCCCCAAGACGCATGGGAGAGCCTTGTGTCTGGGTTAGAGGCGCTTGGAGGCGTGTCGGATACTGATGACCAGCGTGTGTCTAGTGTGGAGGAGGTTCCGTTGATCCAGGCAGATCTCACTTATGGTGATCTCTTGCGGGACGGCCATCTCACACATTCTCCTCGGCCTTCGCTGTTGGCTATCACTATGCTCCCACCAAACCCCAAAGCCAAGCCTGGCCGTCCGGCTAGCCCTCCCATTCCACCTCTCCCGTCGATTGTTCAGCGACGTATGGAGCTGTTGACGTCCGACATGCTGACGAGAGCACTGACCCTGGTGTCGCGGGGGCAGCATGATCGCGCACAGCATCTATTAACCGAGACTCGCAGTATCCTGAAGGGCCTTGGTAAGGGTAGTCTACCACCTCTCCCTCCAGGCGCGAAGCCATCTGGCACCAGTGATACTGGTAGTCGAGGCGGAACTCCCACATCGTCCTCGTTCGATGGTCATTCAGCATCCTCGGACACGGCCACCATCACGCCCGGGGCCGGGGTTGACGCACAGACCATGACCGCCTTGGATGCCGATCTCAAGGCTGCCCTGGAGTGGATCAACCACCCAGCAGTCTTCTCCCGCGACTCTCGCAAGGCTGTCCTCCAGGGCATCGGCGTGATCTCTTCGCAGCGCGGATACACCTTCCGTTCCCCCGCCGAAGCTCACTGGGCCCAGCGCGTGGCGGGTGTCCGACGCCTAACCGAACGCTCTAAAGAATGGCGAGAGACCAGTGACGACGCGCTGATGGAGGAATAAACTCGTTCAACTCATACAACATTCGCCTTCTACTTGTTCCCGGAATTTTGGATCGGCTTTTTTGTTTTGATTTTTCCCTTGTTATTGCCACTTATGATACCACTCTGTTCACCACGACTGTGCGACATGATACCACGGTTTTATTTCCCCTTCACCTTGCATTTAATTGTATATCTATACCATACCGGGAGAGTTTCTGTACATACAACCTTATTTTCTCTAACTTAATTGGCGGGTGGTTGCCTGGTCTTTCTGGACTGATATTGGGAATGATTTTTACGGCTTTGGTGGTACGCATGGTGTCATTGATGAGGTACGGTGTTGATTTTTGAGAACTTCCAAATACATTAGTGTCTTTCACAATAAATCTATATGAGTGCTTGAATCACTGCTGAAAGATACATCGTTCGTAAAGATGCATATCTACTTATGGTGTCGCGCCTTGCATCTTCAGTCGCAATAACAAAGCAACAGGAGACTATTGGATACATCACCTTAGCTTCCGATTGATATCCGAAGAACGAGACCCGTGACTGCAGCCGTGCCTTCGCAAAGGAGATATTACAACATGCTCACGGAGGTATATTACATAGAGCAAGCTAAGCGCCCGACAGCCTTTAACCGCCCACTTCCCCCTTTCTCCCTCACCACATCAACATAGAGACAATAGTTGTTAGCTAATGACTACCCATAACTAGTTACCGTACGACAACCTTCCCAACAGTCTCCTTTAGTCCAGTGCCCAGGAACCCAAGAAAGCCAAATCAGGCATAGCGAACCAACCTCTGTCCAGGCTCCCCAAGGTCGCCAGGTAGCTTGCAAGCGCTTTGAAAACAGGTTAACCAGGCCCCGTCCGTTGAACAAACTGTTATCTCCCTTCCCCTTTTTCATGGCTTCTATGAAATGCTTTCGCGCCTATGTGTCAGTTCGCAGTGTGTTGGATGCTGGGTTTATTTGACTCTCTTTTCGCTTTTCTACTTGATATGCACACGGTGAAGACGAAATTCTGCTTTGATATTTGCGGTGCCGGGTGGGGTAGGATGCAGGGGATGGGCGTGCGGGGTAAGTACTGTACATGCATGGGTATTACGTGTACGTGGTACATACATACATGGTGCATGGTGCATTGCGTTCGGACAGGGTGCTGGGTGCTGGGTGCTGGGGAGGATGGCGTGGGATGATGGGCTGGGCGACTACGGGTACAGGAAAGGGAGGGGGAAGGGAGATGAACATGTTAGGAGAGTCCTGGCTGCTGCCCAGTGTGCTGTGCCTTGGTCTGTGTAGGTGTGACTATTAGTGGTCTTGAGGCACAAGCGATATCTGTGCTGGTGGGATTCACATTGGTACCTAGGGTGATTCGGGTTCCCTGTCGATGCTCTATTTGAGGAAGAATGGCAGCATTTTGTTCTACTTGTCAGCTCACTGTGGTTTCTGGAAGCCAGAAAAAGAGGGACAGAGACAAGCCAGATTGGCATTGATTTTAAATCATCACGAGACGAAAGAATTGAAACCTCTTTTGAGCGCCTTGACGCCTTCCGCTAACCCTGGACACCCATCATGATATGCTGAAATAAATGCTAGTGATCACAGACTACCATCCTACCGTCTCCTTTATGTGCAATCTTGGTGGAAGAGGAAAAGGAGAAAGAGAAAAGGATTCCCGGCCTCACTCGACCACGGAGACCACCTGAGCCGAGAAGGCAGAGCTAAGCTGAGACATCTCGTCCTCGACCAAAGTCGAATTACCGGCTTCGTCGTCCGACTCAGACGCCGAGTCCGTGTCGAGCTCTTCGATCGGGGTTGCCAGACTTCCACACTGACTGTCTTCTACCCTCAATTGCAGATTGCCAGTGTCATCAAACCAGAGCGCCCCTAGTGGGTGCTTCCGTGCAATATCTAGGGGTGTCTGTCCGTCGTCCAACTCTGCGTCGTCAGTGGTGCTGCTTGGCACCTTAATAGTCAGGTCCGCCCCCGCGGCGAGTAAAGTTTGGAAGATCGAGTTGCGGCCGCGTTCGGCTGCTAAGTGAAGGGGCGTCTTGCCTTCGCTGGTCATGCAGTTCACGAACGCACCACGGCCGACCAGATAGGACACCAGGGATGGGCGGGCGTTTGTCGCGACGACGGCGAGGTGGAGAGGGGTCTCCCCCTTCGGGGATGCGGCGACGGCATTGATGTCGGCCCCGCTGGAGACGAGGAGCTCAATGTACTCGGACGTCTTGTCGAACTCGATATCCGGCGCGCCGGTACCCACGAGAACCGTCTGGTGAAGCGGGGTCCATCCATTGGTACAGGTGGCTGTCACGTCGAGACCCATATCCACAAGAGTCGCGAGTATGTCCAGGCAATCCTGACTGGCCGGAGGAGTAAGGTGCAGAAGTGTCTCGCCTTTCGGCGTCTCAATATCGTATTTAGCGCCGTTCTCTAGTAGGAAGAAGAACATCTGTTTGTTCCCGCTCATGGCTGCACATTGTAGGGCCGTGTAGCCTTGACTGGTACAGACCTCCATGTTGGCACCGTGTTCCAGCAACAGAGACGCGACGGTCGTACTGGACGCTTGGCGGGCCTGCTTATGTAGCAGTGTCTCGCCGTCATTGTCCCATGCGTTGATGTCGGCGCCGCCGACCATAAGCATGGCGAAAGCAACCCAGTTTCCCTCTGCGGCCGCAATGTGTATTGCCCTGAGAGCGAAGAGCGAGCACATCTCGACCTTCGCACCCCGTTCGAGAAGCAGCACAAGCGCTTCAATATTATCGGTCTTAGCAGCCAATTGAAGCGGTGTGAGGCCCTGCTTGTTGAACGCGTTGATGTTCGCGCCCTTCTCCAGAAGAAAGAGAAGGATACGTGCTCGTTTGAGTTCGACTGCAACATGAAGCGTGGTGTTCCCTGTCACAACATTCTGAGCATCCATATCAGTTCTACTCTTGACCAGCAGCGGCACTGTGGCTTCATCGAACGCAGTGCCAACAGACATATGCAGAGCCGTGACACCCTTACGGTTAGCCGTCCGAGAGTTCGCACGTCGTGAGAGCAGGATTCGCATGACTCGTCTTTGCCCCTGGTCTGCGGCGTAATGCATTGCACTATTACCATTTTTGCAGATCGCATTGATGTTTGCCTTGTTATCCAGCAGCAACTCGACCATCTCCTCATGTCCACGGTATGCGGCGCAATGAAGCGCTGTCAGCCCTAAAGCATTGTCATTGGCATTGACATCAACGCCCTTTTCAATGAGTCGTCTCGCCTTTGGCGTGATTCCGAAGTAAGCCAGTACATGAAGCGCGCTCCAGTCGGAAAAGTATTTGCCAAGCCCCAGTCGTGACGGAATCGTCATGTCATCCACAGTATAATCATCGCCGACCGGTGGGCGTCTCCAGCAGAGCTTGTTGAGGAAAGCGCCGATGAGGACTTGCGTTGTCTGCTCCTCTTCAGGTGCCTCCCGGGCATGATCTCCCCAGTAAGCGGCGGCGTAGCCAAGAAGGCTGCTGCTCGGAACTCTGGGTGTGGTTCCCCGATTCACATAACAGTCATCGACAGCTTCATCTGATGCGATAACTGTGAGACATGTCTCTGCAATATGTTTGCGTGCAGTCGGGAAAAAGACCCGGGCTGCCGCTCCCGTAAGGTACTCCTTTGCTGTCTGGTGCACCAGATGAACTGCGGTTGTGATGGGATCGACAATGAGAAGACCCGCGGTTTCGACATGCAATATATGGTCAAAGGACGACGGTTCCTTCTGCGCAGCTCCGTTCTGGGGCTCACAGAATACAGCAGCTTTCAATTCTGCAACAGTCAGAGGCCGGTAAGCATACAAAGTCCAAGATATACAGCGACTGGCATATAGGTTGTGACTGGCGAGTTGCTTCATTGATTCTGCGTAAGCATCATTGAGCGTATGGGGGAGATGAACAAGAGTCGTCTGAAGAATATTTGCATCGCTGCATCGTGAAAGTAGATCAAGGTGCAGCCTTGCCAGGAGGAACCTATTAAAATGTCAATACCGGATCGTTAACTTTGCAAGAAAAAATGGACTTACAAGCCATGTGATCGCGCAATCACCTGGGCGATGATTGCCCCCCTCAGGTTAAATTGAAGAGGATAGTGTTCCAAGAGAGCCGACAGACCAGTATCTCCCTCGATCCTCGTGTTGATATAGATTTCAAGATCTTTATGTGATGCCAGGACTGGTATGCATTCATCCTTCTCATTTCTTGCTTCGCGTAGAGTGATCAGAAACTGAGTATGTTCAGGAAGCTTATGAAATCGATTCAGAATGCGATCTTTGTCGGAAAACAGGTCTAGTCCATCGATGACGAATATCACTTTGGAGAAATAACACAGCTCCGCTCGAATCGCACTTTGATATAGCTTCACCGATACTTGGCCCTGGGCAAAAGCGGTCGAATTGTAGAGAGAGGCTGTTATTTGAGACGCTGCACCTCTGCGATCGACAAGTTGAGCAAGGATGCTTGACATCATGTTGATTGATGAGGCCTGATCATTCTCATTTTCATCTTCACAGAACAGAAAAACGGTTGCGACGTTGGGAGACTTGAATGTGTGCTGTAAACTCTCGATCACCGACGAACTAAACAACCGAAATATTAGGCATTGATAAGACTGACAATGCAGGACCACTTACGCAAGAAAGGTTTTGCCAGCCCCAGCTAAGAGCCTTCTTAGCATACATCATTGTCTCACTGTGGGGCCTGCTTACCTGGTCCAACGCAGTACAACGTTCGAAAAGACCCAAATAGCCAATCTTTATACCGCTCTTCCTCGAATATCCACTGAGCTGTTCCCTTTTCCCGCCGACTGCACATCTCGGTGAGCCTGATAACGTTCTTGGAAGTGATCGGCCTCGTGATATTGTGGTATCCATGTTCGTTCAAGACTGGAGTATTGCGCGCTTTAGGAGAATCAGCCTTCTATTCACATCCGGAGAAGATCCAATGACAAGGGGGGACAAACATGAATCCAGCTCACGGCATGCCCGTATGTAGCTTTTCAGATTTTGCTCTGTGGCAGTCCTCTCACTTGACAATGCGGTCAGCAATGCTCACGAGGATGATCAAGCAAAGCTACCCTCACGGGGTATTCTCTGTGGGGCACACAATACCAGGAATCAGGCTGCATTGCCACAATGAAAGCCACTTTGTAGTGTTCGAACCGAGGAATGAATGTGTTGTCCAAAATGCCTTTTTTGTATGTGCGACTATTGACAGCTCCCGACTGGAGGCTCATCTCAAGACTGGCGATCGTAGTATTCAGTGATGACAGGAGATCGTCCAATGTATGCAGACGGGGCTGCGTTACAATCCATTTCTCCTCAGCCCAGATGATATGATCTTTGAGTTGATGAATTAGGTCCGAAATCTCGCTCATGACCATAATCCCCTTCTGTGAAGAGTCCTGGGACTCCCGACCGCCCCCGAGGGACCGGATAGCAGCCCGGAGGGACTGTACTGCCTGTGTCAGGCGAAGGCAAATCCCATGAACCTCGATCATACTTGGTGAAGACAGAAGCACTAGAATGAAGCCCGTCTCACTGCGGAAGACTGCAGACACATCGAGATTGTCAAGGTAAGAATATAAAATGTGGAAAAAACCTAAAACCGCGAGAAAGTCGTATATGACAAGATAAGAAGAACCTGGAGCACAAGGACGAGTCCAACATTGCCTTAGCCGCCAAAACGCGCCGCTCCTTGAGCACACCAGATCCAGCGAGTGAGATGACAGACATGTTAGCGGCTAAACAAGAAATTCCTGTAGGAGTCAAGACGACCCGTATATAGTGGCATGGACTAATGTCAACGTGGATCTTCCTGCATCGATCATCCAGGAACTGAGGGGTCGGGCGACAATGTCCCCTTATCGGTCAGGCGATGTCCTCGGAGCTATGACCGTCATGGAAAAGTGCAAGGTCAGTCCGGCCCAGGAGGCAGCTGAGTCGGTGGTAATTGGACGTCATGTATGATGTATCATGGAAGAAGGTTGACTGTTTGTAAGCGCTGGAGGAGGGCAAGGAAATGGTTGGTTGAAGTACGGTCGACGGGTGGCCCGGTGGCTAGACCAGCCACCACTCTCCGCCCTGCATTAAGCGCCCGACTGGATTCAGTCTTCCAAGTCTCATGTGCTGAGATGTCAATACTGCTTTGAATCACACAAGCCTGTCGATGTGAGCGACTCCGCATCTATGCTATTGGCTTGAAGTACTCCGAGCCCGATTCTTGCCTCCACACAAGGAACGGCGGCCTGCGGCCCCATGCTCAGATGTGGTCATTGGGACATGGTGTCTCTTGAAAACTGGTAAAGTACAGAGACCTCGAAGCTTTCTCTTCGACTCCTCAATGCTTTTTTGGCAATCGGTCGGGGCTACTGTAACGTTTTCTGTCTCCTAATGTTCATTGACTATTCTCAAATCTATCTACGCAAGGACCCGCTTCGGTCTCTCGCTCAACTTCCTCTTTCACTTTTGCAAATCATCACGCACCTCTGCTAGACGACCGAGAAGTTTTACCAAGGCAAAGAGCAACAGATGCAAGAACAATATGGATACATCAACAGCTGACTAGACTCTCCGGGTAGAGGGCGACGAAGGCGTGAGCCAGGTCAAGCGCCCGATGTAGAGCACATTCTAAGCGCCGAATGGAGGCAATTACTACCATAAGCTTTCACAAAGGGAAGATGAAATGAGAGAGAACAAGGGACAAGGCAAACACGACAATCGAAAAACAAGATAAATAGAACTTCAAAGTTAAGATACAACCACAATCACGCTCATATGCCAGAAGGTACAGGTAGGAGGCAATCATACGCATAGGGAATTCGTTTCATTCATGAGGGGAATTTGCGTGGCCGTGAAAAAAAAATACAACTGAACCGGGCATGAAGGGGGTGTAAAGGAAAACTGAATGAAAATCGGTGAGGCATGGGTATCACGTAAAAATGTCTGGGGTTGTGATGGGTCCTTAAATGAAATTGTTGCTCATGTCAAACCCGTTCTCACGACCCCGTTTCAAGGCCTTGGCAAGCATCAATTCTCGCATCCAGTCAATACGTTCGTCACGAGTATTGACTGCAAAGTGATGGGACTTCCCAGGGTTCAGAAAGAGAGCCTTCTTGTCGACAATGGTGTTGCTGCTGCCGGTGGCCGGAATGAGAGAAAATGCGAACGCAGACTCATTACCGCCATTGTTTCTCCGTTTGAGGACCGTCTTCTTGAATGCGGCGGTCAACTTCGAACTGGATGCGAGTGATGAGCAGGCCACAGCATAGTCGTCGACGTCAATATACTCCAGAGCTCTGGAGTGCCGCTGAGCAGAGGCTTCATCAGCGTGCTTGGCAAGCTGGGTTCCTTTGAGGGTATAGTGATTCTCTTCCCATTCATGGCGCAAAAGGCGGGTGGTCTTGCGCTTCTTCATCCAACCACTGTGAGTGACGTCATTTGGCGACCTTCTGGTCGGAGAACCATGTCCCATACGCTGAGCCTGCGCAAGGTCTTCAGGGGTGTCAATTGGATTGACGGCACGACGCTCGTCAAGTGATTTCAAGTTCGGTGTGTTCTGGTGAGATGTGTTGCGCCGAGGTCTCATTGCCTTGGTGGATGAGGGCCGGTGAATAGGGTCAGCCAAATTCAGTCGGTCTGACCCAAATCGCATGTTGGGAGGCACGGATTGAGAATCCTCCCGCGCTATGAGCCCGATCGGGAATGCCGTTACGGGAACATCCACTTCGGAATATGGAGTATATTGACTGTAATGGGGGTCATCTCGATAGAAGTCCGCGGGTGACTCTGCCGTGCCATAGGCGTAACGCTGTTGACCTCTGGGAATGGCAGTGGGATATTCTTGTGTAACAGTCCTCTGAGCCGACAAGTTTGTGTAGGTTTCGTCGTCGTCGTCGTCCAGGTCATCTGTACCCGGGATCATCAATCTGGGCAGATGGCGAAGGTTTTCAGACAGAGTCGGATTTCCCTTTGGTGACATAGGTGACGAGGACTCTGGAGAACGAGCTGACTCCTGTGGAGGGGTTGCAGGATCATTGATGGATTGTATGTTACTCAGATGTTGGAAACTCAGAAAGTTTCGGACATTTTCCTGCGGGTCTCGAGGTTGAACCTCATTGAGCTTCTCCTTCGATAGGCCGAGACTCCGCGGTGTTTGCAATGGACCCAGCACATCAGAGGATGCAACAAGGGAAGGGGTCTGATCCACCTTGGGCGTTTTGATGAGATTAGGTGCAGTCTTGGGGTTACCAGGGTCTCCGGTGAGGATGATCCTACCATTCACATTGCCAATGGGGAGATCCTGTGCCAGCTGGGCTAGCTTTGCCTGTTGCTTCTGCCATTTCCGGCAGTTCTCCCCTTTCGAGCAACTGTGAAGCTTAGGAAGAACTTCCTCAATTGCCACAATAGAGACCGAGTCCCCTGGTAGCATGTCACCCGGTACACGTGAGCGGCTTCCCAAGTGGTGCTGATCTTGCGCAAGTCCACTAGAGGCATCAGACCCATAGCCATCTGGGTTTGGGTTTGATGGACAATCTGAGCTAGAAACAGTGAAACCTGTGCGAGGTGTTGGGGGGACCGACGATATTTCCGATGGTAAAGGAACATTCATGGTTGTGGTGTGTGGGCTCTCTTGAAGTGTCTTGATGGCGTTCATCAGCATCCGACGCTTTCCGAACGATTGGATACCCAACTCCTTCAGATCCTCGGTTTGGAGCTCAAGCAGAATAGAGCCGTTGATATCGTTCACGTAGAACATTTCCGTTATAGTCCCATCGAACCCCTGATCATGCAACCACCTCACAACGTCTCCAGGGCACCATTGCCACACCTCCTTCAGACCAGGAGTCTGCAGGCCTGGCGTCGTCAGACTTGGTGCGGTTAGACATGATGCTGTCAGGCTTGGCGTCTTCAGGCCAGGAGCCTCACAAGTTTGGCTATAAGCCGCTGGATGGATCTGAGGGTCGAGCTGGAGTTGCTGCGGGCGATGGCGAGGTTGAGGCTGTGGCGGTGCTTGAGGCTGCGGGGCAATTGCAATCCGGTTTGGAACTGGGGTATCCATTCTGAACGGATCGAGCTTCGAAGCAGATTGGTAAAAAGCCGCCATGGCACTGGGTGGCGGATCCTCGAAGGTTGCATCAGTCCCCACAAAGCTGCTGTATTCCGAGAGGTCCATGGATGACCTGAAAAGGTGTGGCCCGGACGGGCCCCTAACATGCTTTTCATCGATGTGAAAGTCAAAGGCCGTCAAGCCGGTGGAGTCTGGCGTAGTCACTTCATCTGACGTCGAGGCCGAGGAAGTGCTCCCGGTACCAAACTGAACACACCGAAGGTCAGCCATGATATTATGAATGAAGAATGAGCCACTGTGCTAGCACCTACCGAAGCAACACTTGTGAAGGGCGACTCATCGAGATAACTCAAGTCATCATCCTCGTCGTTCTCACTATCCAATTCCTCCATGATGGTGGCATGCGACACCGGTCGGGACATCGGGTTGCGGGCAGCATAGTATGCTTCTGTTTCTTTGAGCTGGGCTCCGGGAAGGGTTCCACTGTAGGCTAGGTGGGTTGCCTATACTATTGTTAGCAGATAATAATCTGAGACCCGTCGGGGATCAAAGGCTGACCATGGCTGAGACTATCTCGGTTGCCTCAAAGGCAAGGGAAGTGGAAGAAAACACCAGAAACCAACACCAGAGTGAGGGCTGAGCGCTCTGTGTTTGTTGGTTGATGGAAGGCTGAATTAGTGCTTAAGCAGGGGCAATCTGGAGTAGTCTCCGGACCACAACAATAGCGCTGTTGGGGACAGCAAAGATCAGGTTATGGAAGAGTTTATGTACAACGCCCCCTCCGGGAATAAGTGGGCATGTTCTACATGCCTCACGCCGGGATCCTTTAGGCAGGCCCGTCACTCGTGGCTGAATCGAACGAATTGGAAGTACGGATAACGCAACAATGAAGGGGACTTGGTCCAGCGGCAGGCGGGCGTTGAGCTGCTTCTGTGATGAGCACGGTGGTTGGTACATCCGAGTCGCCCTAGCTTAGCGGTTAGACGGTGAAAAAGGCGGAGAAAGACAAAAGTGAGGGATAATCCAGGTCCATCACCTGGGAGAAGAGTAAAACGGGCAGAGTGGTGAAATCTCGGCGGGTGATGGTGGCCGCTGAGAGGTCGGTTGTTGGCGCTACTGCCGTGACGACTTTCTCAGCACGGCATGACTGGCTGTGATTGCCCCGCAGATGTATGCGCCCCGAGCACTGCTGGTTTCACCAGTTCCTAGTAGGAAACCTGTCTCCTGAAGGTACTGTACAGAGACGAGATGTGATAGTCGGGTGCGTATCATTGAAGAGGACTATTTAGGTGGCAGGATCCGGATCCCAGCGAGCCGCTCGGTTGTCCCAGAGTCTGGTCCTCGACCGCTGGTTTCCACATACTTAGAGCCGGCCTCGTCAGCAGTCAGGATATCTTCCTTACGAACAAGATCTGAAACGTCACTTCATGACCAGTAAGCTCTAATCTTAGGCGCTGTGGTCGATACAGTACAAAATTCGTTCTCTGTATACTGGCGCGTAGAGGTTAGGAGGAGCTAGCGATAGTTCTCTAGGCTATGTAACCGCTAAATGCCGCCGGGAGTCAAGCGGCAAAATGCGGAGGTAGACTGAGTTGGAGTAATGGTCAAGCGTTGTAGAGGCGGTAAGAAGATGCGTTATCAGGTGATAGTGGTTCTCCTGGCTAATAGCCACCACCCTGTTGTCGGGGTATACCGGCCGGCGGTCGGCTTCGCTTTCCAGGACCGGACATGAAGTTTGCACTGGTGACTTTATTTGGCGGTCATATTTCCTCCTCACTCTAGTAACATATCTTCATAGCATATCTTCAACTATGTTCATGGCATAATGCATATTACCTTCGCATGCTAAGAACCAACTAAGTAATCCATTTATCTTAAGAATTGCAGCGAAGAGCTAGACCCGGTGTGCTTTGTGGAAGACTACTTGAGTCTGCCGCTGCAGCTTAGTCTACAGAGTCTGGATGTCAAGGGTCACGTAGCCCCCGCCCCTGAGGACAATGCCATGTGCAGTGTTTTGAGTTGTAGGATGGCGACTGATGGCGACTGGCTAAAGCTTCCCGTTTGGCATCAATCTGGAGGCCCCCTCGAACAAGTTGTAATTCATAGCATGACAGTTTTGAGCACAACATCTCATACCTACCTAGCTATCTAAAAAAGGCCAGTCTTTGCACATGCTTGTGTGAGGCTGCTCGGACAAACGTTCCCTAAAATGAGCCACAGAGCGATAGCCATGTACGAAGATGCACATGCCAACTACACCACTTCCTAACGCCATTCTGGATGATTGCCGCGAGGTATGAAGAAAACAGACTGTTCAAGTCCCTTTGTGCATATTCAGTCAAGTGTGCTGTGCAAAGAGTGACTTCATGATTCTTGCTTTGACAGTGTCCCATGATGCCTGTTCTTTGGTGCCGTGACTGTGTAGAGATTCAAGCCTATCGGCCAAAGAGTCACAATGGCTAAGTAGGATTGTGCGTCGTAGCTGGGTCACATACAGTCAAAAGATAAGGTGGCTGTTGCGCGGTGAAATGAGATCGCTCCTGGATGATGCTCGAGGAGGCGATCAAAGACGAGTGAAGGATTAGCACCCCTCTAGACATATGAACTTCATATCAAACTTCCTATACTGACTGGCCTGAAGCTTTATATTCTGATACAAAATCTGAGGAATATTTGTTATGGTTTGAATAGGTGCCCGAGGAGAGACTTCAGCAGCTTCGCACGAGAAGGTGCCGTGTCCGAGGGAGAGGTGAACAGTACGGACACAGTCTAGCGACACGGTTTGACTGGTGGTGATGAGGAAAGAACTTGATCTCAATGCATAATGTGCAGTTGGTAGTGTTAGAGGCAACTAGGAATGCTGCGTGGAAGCCACAAGTCATTGCGAAGACATTGGTAGGAGAGAAGCTTGCATCGGAGAAAGGATCAGAGCAGCGGCAGCGGCAACAATAGCGTATGATGGCACAGCAAGAATGCATCAACAGGGGACAATCCAGGAACCAAGTTTACCGTGGAGCCAAGCAGTAGCATGCGATAAGTATAGAGTCAAATTCCCCTCATTTGGATGTTATAGGCTGTGAGACTTAGAATATCATTGGCTATATTTCGCACTAATGCAAAATACTTTAACCTATATACAAAATTAACAACACTTTAACTAGATCTGGTATGGTCTGTAGTTAATGAGATTAACGAGGCGTCATCTACAGCAAAGGTGCAGAACGAAGTTGTAGAGGAGCCAATGGAATGAATGCCTCGCGAATGCCGGTGCTATGCTTTTCTCGGGGCGTGGACAGGGGTGTGTTGCTAATTATGACATCTTCTTCAAGCTATTCTTAGAATTTAGCAGGGTTACCTGCAGAAGCCACGTACCAAATATAAATTTATGCATTGTTAGTTACCTGCTAACTGAGGGCATTCATCAATCAACATCCGAAGATCAAGCCCCAGCGGTTACCATGTTGCTAATTAAGGGTTCTTCACGCTACGAAGTCCGTGGCCCCGAGCGTCAGTTACCCGCTCCGCTCATGCACGGGCCGAGTTTCCTCCACCTGGCACCTGCATGACAGGTAACCTGAGCTTTTTGAACCACTGGCTCTCACCACGTCAAAGCCCTACCACCCTGAAGCTTGGCATGTCTCGTTTGGCGCCCGGATGCCATCAGCGCCAATGATTACCGTGCAATATCCGGCCTAGACGCTGTGATGAGAATTGATTGGAGACCCATTTCTCATGAGAATGAAATGGAAACGCTCTTGTCTACTTTCTCCGGGTGACCCCATGGTTGTACCTTGCTCTCAAATGAATCCAGCGTTTAGTACGGCATGATCACACTTTCATGATCGAGGAGGGGGAAAGAGACAGAGATTCCAACATAGTAGCAGAGATGCCGAAGTTCGACACCTATTCTTAGAAAGCGAAACGAGGAACTAACACAATCTACATGTTCTCTTTCTACGCCGCTGGTAAATCCACATACACCATTGGCGAGACTCGATCAGACGAAATAGTTCATCCAATGTATGTTGATCGATTATCCGCTAACCTCAGGTTCGCGCTAAGACGAACGGATAGACCCTGACAGGAACCTATGGGCCCCCAGGTGATCCTTGCACCCATCAGTACTGCGCGTCTAAATGCCATCGGCGACTCGACGTTCTAACCACCTTGTCTACCAACTCTCCATACAGCGACCACCACCATAGATCCCAAATTAGTTTTCGCGCTCTCTTTAGCATTGAACTATAGACGGTGATTTGCTCTTCAAGAAATTCCCCACAGGTTGTGCATATCAAGTTGGTTTCGAAACATGATCCCTTGTCTAGCAGCCGCTGGGGTAGGCAAAAAATAGAACTCATCGGCGCATGGATTTACTTGTGCAGATGCACACCATCGACTTTATCATATCTCAGATCTCAAGATGAACGGCTTGATAAAGACCTATTCGATGCCACCTTAAGTTTCGAACTTCATTCTCTGAAACATCATCGTTCAGAATCAGACTCCGAGAACACTTTCATACCCGTCTTGAATATCAAACAAGCAATTGACTTTGTGCCTTCTCGTTGAGGCTGTCATACAGCCCCACCGATGCCTTGGCTTCCCTATTGAGGCTCCTCGTTTTTATATCGGTCTCGATTCACCATTCACCAAGCCATTGTGCAGCATTGAAGACCGCTAGTCAAGGGAGTCAAGCGCAATGGCATCTTCCTCGAGCCAGGCAGCAGTGGAAGAATCCTTCCATTCCGATAGAGCTGATTCTGACCTTTCCGATTCCCCCATTCAGGAAAACGAAGCAATAGTCAAATCCTATCGGAGATCTCGATCAGGTAGAGTGTGCTCCCAGTTCGCGGATGGCCAACGGAAGAAGAATATAGCTTAGAGTTTGGCAAGCAAAGGGGATTGGCAGTACTGACGGTTATTTGTTCAGGCTGCTTTACCTGTCGTCTAAGACGGAAGAAGTGTGATGAGACTCGTCCAATATGCGCATCGTGTGCCAAGCTTGGATTGAAATGCGACTACAGGACCCCCGGTTGGTGGCAGAGCGTGGACCAACGGCGACGGCAGAAAGACATGATCAAAAAGAGAATACGGCAAACCAAAGTCATCGAAAAGGAAGGAAACATGAAAGGTTCTATCGATGCACGCCAACTATATTGCGCAGATTCAGGTTTGCTAACCTCTTTCTGTGCTGTCTAGAGTACATGGATCGAATTCGCGCGCTCGCTCACAAGCCTCCTGTGACCATGGACAATGGTTTCACCAATCCAGTGTTCGTGGAACAACCGACCGCAATCATGCAGCCCCTTCCGACCCCTGCTACGCCTAGCGAGAGTCAATTCAAGATTCAGCAGGATAGCCTCATGAACGGCATGGCGTTGCCTCCCACTCCTGCTTTGTTTCAGGGCCCAACATTCGACCAGGGTTCTCTCTTCCCTCAGGGCTCTGTGCTACCACCACCTCCGGCCTATCCCCAGGGACCGGTTTATCCCCAAGAAGTGGCTTATCCACAGGGATCGGCCTATACCCAGGGAATGGCCTATCCCCGGACACCCGCCTTACCACCGACTCCGGTATCCGCCCCCTTGACCTCGCCATTCGTCCATACACCAACGATGCCACAGTCTGCGTCCTTCTCTCAACCTCTCTGTCTCCCTCACACCCAATCATTTTCTCAGTCATCAACCTTAGGGCCAACCCCTCTACCACCGACATTTACCCCTACTGGGATGGCACAGTTGCCTTCCGAATCAGCACAACTTACAGCCCAAAACTGGCTTCCCTCCAGCTTCACTTCGCAGAAGAGCTACCAGCAGCCTTCAAGTACGGCTCAAACGGCATCTTCGCTGAACTCAAGCGTCCGCCGACCGCTCTCGGAGTCACTAAGGAATTTGATCTCCGTGGAAGATCGAGATCGTCCACTGCTCGACCATTTTGTGGATAAGGTTCTGCAAATCGTGTTCCCCATACTCGGCGCAACACAGAAATCTCCTAAGCATATCAGTGAGATACTGAAACTCATGCAGAACAATCGCTCCTACCTTCACTGCTGCCTGAGCGTATCGGCGATACACCTCAAGAACAGCATGCGCCTTGATGATCAAATGGACCACGACATAGTGCAACACCGGTATGCAGCGATCTCGCAACTGTCAAGGATTCTGAACCGTGGCACTGGCCACTTGCAGATCATGGATGCAACATTGGGGCTCATATTTTTCCACTGCTCGGTGGGGACTTCCGATGACTATTTGCCCGACATTCCCTGGAATCAGCATTTTGTAGCCGTCTCAAACCTTGTGAAGAAGCTGGACTGCACCCCAAGCCAGTTCAATGTCTCTCTCATCGCATGGATCGACATCCTGGGTAGCACAATGCTTGGCGTCACCCCGGAATTTTCTCATACCTATCGCACCAAGCATCTGAGCGGAGTATCATCCGGACTGCAACAGATGATGGGATGCGACGATCGCGTCATGTACTTGATCTCAGAAATCTCTTGTCTGGAATCGCTCTGGATCGAGGGTCGAGTTGACGACTTGTCCTTGTATCAACATGTTTGCGCTCTCAATTCCCAAATCAACTGGACCGAGCCCGTCAATCCGGCAGTCGAAAACCCCTACACATTAGAGGGTGCCATCAAGCCTGAGCAGCTTACGAAGATTGTCACAGCTCTATTTCGCATTGCGGCGCGTATCTACGCTCATAGCTTTCTTCCTACGTTTGATAGCTACGATCCCATCGTTATGAGTTGGATTACAGCAATGGGCGAGATCCTACAATGTATTCCGCCGGGTCCATCGGGCTTCGACCGTTGCCTAGTTTGGCCGCTATTTATGGCAGGCATATACTCCGTACCAGCAAGCCTGTTCCGGAAGACGATCGCCGAAAGAGTCGCAGCACTGGGGTTTCTCGGCCATTTCGGAAGCATAAGTCGCATGTACCGCGTCTTGAAGGAATTCTGGAGAGTAGCAGATGAGACGGCTTCTGTTCCCGGGAGCGGCACCAGAACCCGCAAACAACGACCCGCTGCAACAACAGCAGCGGCCGCCGATAGCACCGGCTTGCAAGCCGATCAACAGGAGCAATTCCTTCAACCAGAGCAGTACCGGCCACAGGACCAGTACCCGCAGCAGGAGGAGAAGAATCACATTCATTGGCGTGAGATCATGCGGAAGAAAAAGTGGCACTATCTCCTAATGTAGTTCGCGAAAACGAGCCAAAAGCTCAACATGATCGATTGGACGATCGGCCAACAAAGTGCCTGGGAGGTATGTAACAGGATCTGACTCCTCCGACCTACCTATCCAAAGGCAATATTGACACCTTTCTACAAGTACAACATGCATTCTGTCGAAATCTCCACCTCACTTTGAATTTCATGTCGCCATTGCGTTCCCACTGAGAATCTCCCGCTAGTTCAAGAGTATTTTGTGGTATATGCGAATTTTGACTTCCACTTCCTGCACTTCTGTCCGCTTTTTCTTTCTTTTTTTTTTTTTTTGGTTCAATGTCTTATGCTTATGTCTTGCCATGCTTGATGCTGTCATGTCTGCTTTCTTTCCCATTCCGGGTTTTACCTCGGCTTCCGTGCTGGGCGGTTCTTTGATCTTCCCCACCACATTCTCTATGTCAATATCGTTGGTCCAGTATATACGTCTTTCTTATTAGTATTTTCATTTGACCGGGTCTTACGGGCGCGTGACTTCAAGTTTTTTTCCATCTCTGTCACTCATTAACCATTTTCTGCATCTTGTTTACGACTTGTCTATGATTCTATACCCTTCAAATTCTCTCGCTATACCACATTATTTGCTTTGCATTTTTTTTTCTTTTACGCAATTGCCCGTGACAGTTTTTCTAGTCTTTCCAATGCAAGTTGTCGATTTGCGTTCCAAGTACTCGATGGCCTCTTCATCTATTCGATAATTCACGAGCTTGCAATAATGCACCGCTAGGGTAATGGACCCTGTAACCCGCAGGGAGGACTCCTGCCTCGCTTAGGGCGATTCCACTCGCCCCCCCTACCCCAACCTTATCTCGCAATATCGGACATCGTGCCATGTTATTATTTGCACCACAAATCACATCAGCCAGTAGACTCGCAACACAAACCAGTCAGTCGACTCAGAATCATTCAATACCTACTACAAAGTAGCCCAGGACAAATCAACAAAGTCTGGAAGACTAACGGCGCCTGCGATCAGACTCCGCCAACAGCACCAGATTCAATCCTGCCCTTTGTTCCCGCAAGAAGCCAAGAACTCACTACTCCTTTACTGCCCTCTCAAGAGTTAAGGTTAAGCGCGCCCACTACCTACACGATACCTAGGTACTTCCTAACCTCTACCTACCTATCTTTGTAAATAAACCCAAAAACCCCACCCAATCCGCGCGGCCACCGAAACAGCGAGATTCCTTTCCTGCCGCCACAAACTCTACCTCGCTGCCCAAGTACTGTACCAGTCAACACCATGAAAGACAAAAGAAAAGCCAGCCATTCCCCAATCGCAGAAGGATTTGAAGGATAACGAGCGTGGCCGGTCCATTTGACCGCCTGGAGCGCTGGGGGGGGGCGGCAGGGGGCATACAAAGCATTTGGTAGCGAGAGAAAATCCTCCAGGATTTCCTTCGCCCGCGCGCGCGCGCGCAACCCAAACCACGTGCTTAGGCCGGCCCAACTAACCTAAATCCGCCGGGGGCCCCCAAGTCGCCCAACAAGCGCGAGCGGTCCCGGCCCCTTCCCGCCAGCCCAATCAATTCGCACCAAACGACGACGACTTAATGTTCTCGATCTATCATCGATGGAAGAACATACACGGGAAAACGATGATTGATTCCTTCGTTCTGCGTACGGTGAGGGAATTCAACATCACTGGTGCAGTTGGAGATTCCTTCTGACGATTATGTGAGCCGCGTGGTGGATGAGTATTGGTCTCAAACGCGCAATCTGGGTTCAACTACGATGGCTTTGTTCGCTGGGCGGGCCGGGGGGGTGGGGGGCGGCTGCTTTTGAGGCTGAGTTCTTGGGGTCCGCGCGCTTACTTCGAGTCGGTATGTATGTATACATGTATGTATGTATATAGTACGAATTGTTGTGTCGGGTGGGGCTCTTTTGTCTTTGAGTGCTAGACAGGTCTGTGGTATAGGCTAGTCGAGGAGGTATGTTTGTTTTGGGCTCGTTGTGTGGGCAATGTATAGTACGTGGTTCGATGTTAATTCGAAATTGGTGTTGGGGTTACAGGAGAGAGAAGGAGTATTATTGATGGTAATGTCATTGAGGTTTCTAGATAGCTCGCGTATAAAAGACAAAACATAAAAAAAAACATGGCCCCAGATTTGCTACATCAGACAATCAAAATCAAACAATACAGGTACAGTTCTTCCCACTTCAGAACGCCGCCGTTGTCCCGCTACCAAGGCTCATCATGCATGTCCGCAGTAACAATACAACATAGCGAATGAACCCCGATTTGTAGGCCCAGAAAGAGAAAGAAAAATCGGAATTGTAACACCATCCAGAGTTAATGCATGTCGTAATAAGTGACTCAAGTAGAAGACGTCGTTATGCCTTTGTTTGAATGCTCATAGATAACTAGATGGGAGGCTATGTCGTCCGGCGACTGATATTCTTTCTCCGCTTACCCTGCGGGGCAGGATCGAGCTGAGGCGCTCGCTTGTAGGTAATTGTGGTCGTCACAACATGTCGGACGTTGAAAGAGCTTCCCACTTCACTAATAGGAGATTCAAACTGGTGGATGCGCCATTCCGTTGGGGAGTATGGAGATCGCAATGCGTGTGCACTCCGGGGGGAGTCAGAAACAGGTGTATAGACGTAGGGTGGCGGTAAGCGCAAGCGTTGGCCATGAACTGGGCTCTTACTCGCCCATGGTGGTGAAGGAGCTCGGGGAGGAATGGTCGTGGAGGTAGATTTCTGAGGATGGCTGTTGGGGAACGAGGTAGATGTGGTACTGGAGGGAGTGGAAGCGGGTGGCGAGCGCGGTTTCTCAAGCATGAACTTGGAGAAATTGGCACGCGAAGATGTGGGACTGGCAAAGATTGGACTGAACGTGTTGAGAAAGTCTGTGTATGCTGGAGGAGGAGTGATGGTGATTTCAGGGTCCTCGTCTCTCTTCTCAGTACATGGCCGGTCCATGTCAAGGCATGTCGTGAAGGTACGCTCACGAAGCTCGGAAGGAAAGCTCATGTTTTTCGGAGTAGCCAATGGACGTAAAACTGGCTTTGTCGGTCCCATATTGAGCAAGAAGCAGAGATATATGAGTAGTCAAGGAGTTGTTGGAAATAGAGTGATAGGATGATAGAAGATCGTGGCGAAGTTCAGGTAGGCCAGGAGGCTTTGAGAGGAAAAGTATGATGTTGGACTGGACGATGCTGGGTGCAGAGCAGGAGGCAAGGAAATTTATCTAGCAGCGAAATTGAGGAAAGGAGCTCGCTCTGGTGGCTGTCTGGCGACGACAGGATCTGAGGATCGCAGTTAGAACACTATACAATGCGTAAGATATCATGTGTAAACATACCCAACCCAGTACCGGACCGTAAAAATACACTTGTGTATAGAGAGTCGGTGTATTATCTAACCAAAGCAGGTTAGCACGTTCAGCTATCGAAAATAGCAACAAAACTCGAGCGATCCACTTACGAACGAAGCAGAGATCCGAAAGCAAACCGCTCTCAATGAGTGAGATCTAATGCACGGCCTGGTTAAGGGTGATGTAAACCCTGTCCTGTAATGGGCGTGGCGGATTCCTTCTCTCAGATGATGCTTGTGCACTAGCGGCGGAATGGAAGCAGTACGCCTGAACAACACAAGTATAGTATCAGGGAGGACTTTTATTTGAAGCGATGAGACGCGCGATAATGTGAATTTTTGGAGATAGGTTGAAGAGGTCATGATTTCGAGAGGAGCTGCCATTACTTTATAACTCTGTCTTAGGTCTTCCTTGCGCTGTCAATACGCTGTCAATAATGAGAATTGCTTTTCGTGAATTGTCGCGCGCTTTCTGAATCACTTATTATCGCGGTACCCCCTACTTTCAGAGATCTTGACAGCCATCATGCTTCAGAATTCCTAGAATATTCGTTGATGGTTCGTCGCAAGAACGCGCGCGGTTCTACAACCACCGTTGGACCTGGTCGCCCAGTCGGGGTTGAAACACGGGGTACAATCGTAAACGTGCTGCGGATGATACCAACAACGCAAAGGGTATAGTCTGAAGAAACTTGACCAGGATTACCATCAATGGAGACGCCATACATAGGGCGAGATCCAGTGAGAGAACTTGAAACGATCCCGTCTGTTGGACTGCTTGTTTCAGGTTGCGACCCCTTACTTCTGTTCGAAGTCGCAGCGCGTTGCGGAGCGGGAATTGGACCCTGACAGGCACGCAAAGTGACAGGCACTCTACATCAGGCGTTGCCCTAAGATACCATGTCGATAGTGGTCATTTCTTTTGAGACTATGGCGCAGATGTGGAAGATTTCCAGGGCAACCCTTTGACACCGCCACTACTTGCGCTTACGCTATCTCATACCTCTACCTCACTGTCAAATTCCCTATGCATACACCTACCTATTTAGCGCTGTTTGGCCACAGCACAATGTTAAGATGATGCGCTCATTGAAACCATAATCATTGTTTCCGTTCGCCACTGTTAATCTCATCTTTTGCATATTGAGAAATCAACCGCAGCTCTCAGGGCTCCGATGACATCCACCTAGGAGTTGAGGGCAACAAGACATTACGTGGGCACTTGGCTATGCTCCATCTAATTAGTGTCTCTCCCAGGAAGAAGGCTTCTCGCCATACGCGACCAGCGCCATAGTCTGGATAGATCCTGAAGGTGGTGATACTCATGCCTGTTAGGCAAGCTGCACAGAATGACCGGCGCCTAGCTGAATTAGTTGCTGCTGGCATGTGATATGATTGGCTCAGGTCAGTTTATTAACAGTAACACTCACCCTGGTAATTGAAGCGCAAGCCAAGGCGTGCAGCAACACTGCTGCCGTCTCTGTCAAGAATTAGCCGCCCATGAATGACATCTGACCAGCGACGAGACAGGGCAAATGCTAAATTTCTGACCAGATGGGCCCTTGAGGGTCGTGCTCCAATCAGGCGAATTGCTTATCGCCCGGGGATGGTCTGTGGGTGCTAAGATTAGATTGCCAAGAGAGCAACTACCGTGCTAAGAATAACCATCCCTGCAGATCAATCTCCTCGCTATTTTTATCCATCGCGCGCTAGCAGAACTTCTTAACCTCACTTCGAATACATGTGGTGTCTTCCCACCACCATGAAAGACCTGGAGGTTGTGGATTTCTCTTCTTTCGAGGTAGCTGCTATACTGCCACAGCTTTGAGGTTCTCAACACACAACAATCTCCGACAAAAAGCCTCCCAATCCTGTCTGTATTTGAGAACATGGCAGCGTGTTCTGAGCTTCATGAAATCGCCCTCCAAAGCGACATACACGCCGCCATCTGCAGCCTGGCCTTTTCATTTACATGACAGCCAATCCCATTGCTGTCACTGAATATCATGCCGATCTATACCTATTCTACTCTGTCTCCCCGACCGGGCATACTGCCGTTGTCTTCCACTCCTCCGCACGATCTTCGATAGGGCAGTCTAAACCCGTCATATGCTGTCTCTATAGCGTATCCAGTGGGAATGAACGCTTGTCTTCAAGCGAGACAAGCTCCATATCATCACTTGTTCTATTCTTGTCTTCCCATGTGGCCCCAGGCCGCGCTTAATTGACCTTCACTCCCCACCTCATTGACCGAATCAACCCAGGTTATTGCCTAGCTTGCTGCACTCTCGCCCCTCGGTTCGCATATGTATGCACCTATTCTTATTCCACCTCTGTCTCTTTTCACTTTTCGCTGTCCACTTCATCACACCATTTGCTTTCAGTATCCACCACTAGGCACGAGCTATGCACATCTCGTGTTGATTTCGCCGGTCAAGGCGTTAATTATAGAACATCCCCTAGGGCCAGCGCTTGTGTAATCCTGTCTGCTCCATCGTCCCCTCCCTCCGCTGTTCATATCTCTGCACTTTGATGTCAAGATGCCTATAGATTGTCCGTTTACATATCGTTCGTATGGTACCGTACCATACAATCTGCAGGGGACTACCTGCCATCATGCAGGTCTATCTCCTTATCGAAACTCCCTATTTCTAAATATATCATCTTCTCTCTGCTCCTGCATGAGCATCATGCCTTGAGTCTCATATCCTGAAGCCGACACAATGACCTAACGTGGTGATGTCCGAGTATGAAGCCTCTCTCCACTACACGTCCAGTCCGTAGGGGCTAGCTAGGAGCCATTAGTAAACAATCAACGGACGATATACGCCAGACGACGTTCTTCGTATGACCTACGAGGCCCTCCAAAGCCTTTAATTCCAACTCGCAAGCTGTATATGCAAGATCAATCCTTTGCATCATGGAATTCGAGTACAGGCACATAACTTGAGCCCCCCACATTAGTCAGTCATGTAGACTGGAGCTTCTCGCCCTTGAAGCAAACGAACACTCTCGTAAGTCTACCATATTACCAATTTTGATGACGCAGTCACTTCACCGGCATGTTACCAATCGTTCGCGTTAGATGCATGTCCGTTACCGCGACCCCGCCTTAGTTCAACCTGACTCCCCAAAGCCGGTTTTACTAACTGACCGAGGTATTGAGCAAGCGATTCTCCCAACCAACATACATCCCGAAGAGCGACCCGGGAAAATCAGAGATGATCACGGTCTCTAGCCTTTGGATTTGATGCACAAACTGCTCAATTTTTACAAACCTACCCGTCAAGCTCTTATCGTACATTCTGCCGAGGTAGTGGGCATTCCCTGAAAGTCCGCAATGGCTGCATTTACCCGGCAATCATGTCCGACGGAGGTCGGACAAAGGGATTAGATTTGGCTCATACCCCTCACACCCTTCTCAACTTTCGGGTTTAGTGACGAAATGGCCTTCCCGCCTCGCAGCAAGATACATCTTAGCAGCTTTAATTGTCCTCCTTGCCTACCCTGACAATTCCTCAGATTAACTCTTATCGTCTCGGTCATAACCACTTTAGAGCGGCCCTATCCTGTCACTTATAGAGCTCACCATGCTTCACAAGTGAGCTTCGTGTGTTTGCAGCGTCACACTTTGATGTTCTTCTCCTTGGGTAAATAAAAATATCATGGAAATGTGTTGTGAAACAAATGCTAGACGCCCTCAAAGGAACGCCCCTGTATGCCGAGAGCAGCGAAATAACATTAGAAGGTAGTAATTCCCCTCAAAGCTGGCTAACTCAATTAGCAATAGAGTTCTTGGATGAGAAGAAGACGCGTCGGGTGGCTCTAGATCTTTATTGCAAAGGATAAGCGAAGCCAAGGACATGGGAAAATGTAGCCAAGCTAACATGAATGCATCATCTATAACCCCCAATAGACTTCCAACGTACCCGAACCAACGACTACCCCATCATCCGCACAACAACATAAACCCACCCATCCCCATAAGCCGAGCACCGCACCAGCTCCTCCACGGGCGCCCCCATCGGCACAGCAGCCCCATGCAACACCGGCTTCGCCAGTACGGGCGTCCTCCGACTAGGAAACAGATTCGGCAAAAGCGCATGCAACGCGGACCCGACCGTCTGCGTCTGCGGCGCGCCCCGCGCAGCAGCCATGACCGACTGGCTCGCCGCGACATTCATTGTTGACGCCGCGACAGCCGACGACGGCTGAATTACCGGCGGGATGGGCGACTGGACTACTTTCAGGGATGGGGAGTCCGAGTCTGGCGGTAGCGGAAGGAAGAATCGGATGGGCACATTACGGAAGGGCTGGTTGGGCGGTGGGAGGAGGATGTTGGATATTCGTTGGAAGGAGGGGAGGTCCACTGTTGCTGCCCATTAATGGTTTTATCTTTGCGGAAGGTAGACAGATAGTGTCAAGAAGTGATAGGGTTTGATGAGCGTACCGTCTCTGACAGCCCTCCAGAGTCCCGCGGAGTCCTCCTTCGAAAGCGTCATGATTCCCTTTGCGGTACCGTTGCGCAGGAAATCTGCTTCTTTGACGCTGTTGATGAACGCGTCGTGCATGACCATCCCCTCCGCGTCGAGGCGGACGAGCTCCTCGTCTGGCCAGTCACTGAAATGCACCGTCAGGCGCCAGGGGAGCGGATCCTCGTCTGCGGCGGAGAGGAGGTCGGTGTCGGTGCCGCCTTTGGAGGCGGGGTCGGCGCCCGCGTAGAGGTCATACAGGAGGCCGATGGGGTAGTGCCATTTCAGAGGGACACCCTCGAAGGAGAACCAGCCTTCATGCGGGCCTGAGGTCGGGTTGATGAGCGAGGAAGCGAAGAAGTCCCGCAGTCGGGGAAGAAGAGAGGGGAGATATGAGATGCGGGAGTAGGAGATCTGGATTCTGGTTAGTGAATGATTTATTATCCAGCGGGTGTTTCAATGGGAAGTACAAGGTACGGATCTGTTTGGTCAAAGGTTCGGCTCTCTGATGCAGCCAGGGTGATGTGCAGCGGCAGCTTGCCGTTCCAGACGGCTTTCTGGATACTGCCTAATGATGCTTTAGCATCCATACTTGCTGTTATGCTTGCGCTTTATCTACAAGAGGTTAGCTCTTGCTATCTATATTTTAGACTTGGGATCAGAGGTGGTCGTGTTTAGAGGTATACCTATTGATGCTTCATTCAGGTCGGAGCCGTGACTAATGGCCCAAATCGACTAATTGACTGTTTTTACTCCCGAAGTCAAGACATGACAATTTGGCAGATACTCAGGCTCATGAAAAAGGCGAGATCCCGATCCCAAGTAGCTAAGGTCTATTGGGCCGAGTAACAAGGAGAAAGCGTGCAGCTTCGCGAAGATGGAGAGATAGTGATGATGGTGAAGCGATACAGGCGGATATACGGCCAACTTACCAAACAGGGATTAGGCACCACGTGAGGGGCTTGCTGCCTGAGGCAGAGACAGTCTACCACAGTATCACCAACAATGACAACAATCAAATCTAACATTCATTTGGGTAGCAGACACAGGACGTCATGCATACTCTTTGTGGGAAGTTTTCCTAGCCAAAAAGAGATAATCATGATATAGCTTCATCCAATTTTCTCTACTGTCCTTCTGGTAGCCAGCAAAAGACGAACTTGCGAGAGCACGATTGCATCAAAGCTGCATGTACACGTTCAGGAATCGAACCGGCCAAGCAGGAGAGTGTCACTTTAACTGGCTTTTGCACTACATCTGCTTCTCTGCATAGTGCACAAGCCACTGCCGGGTTCAAGTCGTCCTGTTGGGTCTTACTCATGTCAACACCGCCACTGGTAAGCCTCAAAAAGCACATATCTCAACAACATCCTCTCCTCGCGGATAAGACAGCTCTCCATGAACATGCAGCCTTGACTGCTATCTACTTAGTCCTCTGGTCTCCTGAGCATTAGACACTTATCCCGCAGCCACCTCGTGTACAAGCGCAACCCGCTCCTCCCCAATACGAAGACATCACTACTGAAAGACAGAAGTCCATCGACGGGACTGATTAGATCCAGTTCGATAATTGGATCGATCAGTGTAGCATCTTACCTGAAGATCACACGTTGCTACAATTATCTTCAATTATCACTGGTGGATAGTCAGCATCTTGCATGCATATACATACAGCACCCATTCGGCGACAGACAGTGATCAGCATCATATGCAGTGCAGACACTGCGGGAGAAACCTGTTGTGAGGCTCTCTGCATCGATTACTATTGCAAATCATGAGGCCCTCTTCCGAGAATAGCCGACGGAGGGTGCGGCCCATAGTGTGGAGCATCAAGAGATAGACACAAGTCGTCCAAATGATGACCAAGCGGTTGATCTAGACTGTGACTCTCCGCGGGATTTGGCTCAGGCTGGTAAAGGTAAGACTGGCGTAGGTCTCGGTTGCCTTGTAGTTGCCTTGCATGACTGTGCTGTGCTGTGGTGCTCGACTTTTGCAACAAGCTATCTTTTCGAGCTATCATCGCCATGTGGGTGCAATCGATACTCTGTAGCTTGTGACTCAAGAGTGGGGATAATATCATGGACTATGCAGGCTGCTTGAGTAATGAAAATTTGTTTGGGCATGGAGTGTATGGTGTCATCAGTTACCTGGATGGGAAGCGTAGACGAGAAGAGCTTGACGGAGTTGGTAGTCCTGTAGCGAGCCTACGTTGCCTCCGTTAGCTCCAGCCTGACGACGCGGTGCTTGCTGGTCTTGGCTTATGACCTCTACGCCAGATCTATGAAACGTACAATAAGTTGTGCAACAACGACAATCCTGCACTTCGTATCACCATCATGAGCATTTCCACGCAACAGGTCTGTATGCCGCCCATGTGATGGCCATGCAAGACGAGATTCCAGCTTGAGTCACACGCATCTGGATGCCAAAAGAATCAGGCGGGTATCTCAGGCTCCACCTCCATGCATTTCGTCCATCAGACGAACAGGATGATGAACCGGCAAAGGCCGTTATCACATCTCAGACCCACCTCGACCTAACAGCATTGCATGGACCACATGTAAGACTGTTATTATGGCGTCATGATTCGACAGCCGAGCTTGTGACCAATGTTGAAACACCGACAACACTGGGAGCATGCCGATACACCCCACTTCAGATCAAACACATCATTGGGAACGAAAGTCCACCTCATGATGACTATCGCATACTGGGCGTTTGCAGATCACATCATGCATCGATCCAGGACCCCACTACGTTTCGTTCACATTCGACCAGGGTACCGTCGAGGGGGGTCAATCTCAATACCGCATTACATGAACATGGATGAACCCGTGTTGCATGATAGCAATGTACGCTGCAGGCCCGGGGATGCCGACCCAGCGTGCGTTTGCTAGCAGATGAGACATGCGCTAGTATAGCGTCGCCAAGTTCCAGACTCGAGGTTCTGTCTTGGGGTTAAGCGAGCCACACCAGGTATCTTGCCATGAAATGATATGTTTCAGATCGCTCAAGGGTCTACCGTTAGTGGATTCATCTCGGCTCCATGCCAAAGAAGGTAAGACGAAGTGGGGAGTGGTTCACGCTGGGACTCAAGTGCATACGACACCTCAAGAAGAAGAATGTGATGCATGCAAAGGCGAGCCCCATCGTTCGTACACAAGTCCAAGCATGTAGTTCTGACCACTATCTCCACTTTCAGCCGTCGGCACGAACTATCATAAGGTCTAGTGATTGGTAGGCTGGCTGATGGTCTGGCTATCTCGCAGCAGCACGGACTCGCGAGTCACGTATTCGAAATACTTCAAGAAAAGCGAATACGAAGCCGACCGCATATCGGACGTCGGACCTCCATCGCTTGCCGATGTCTGTGTAACGTTCTTTAGCCTCGGCAGCATCAGCAGAGACTGAGCCTTCATTTTCTCATAGTTGAGAACCTTGCTCATTAAGGGGGTGCTTGGTCGGACTTTTCGTAGGTAGAAGGGGCGCGGCTCGGGAAATATCGTCTCTCCTACAAATCGGACGTGTTGCAAAAGAAAAAGGGACGCCAATCCCTACCCGAAATGTTTGTCGTGTGCGCATGCCTTGCGGAGGCGAAAAGGGGAGGCCGCAAAGGCCGAAGAGCAGGAATGTGTTCAGGCACAACATGGCTCGGAAAAAGCCGTCGAATTCTTGCTACTCTGATCAGTGGCCTCATCAGCGGTTGGCGTCATCCTCGTTCCTGTTTGTTGACGTAACAGCTCTTGCGCGGCTGTTTCATCTACCCTGTCCCGCAGGTGGGCGTTGTGACTGCTTGTCAAGTTCATTTCATGGCGGCTGAAAGGGGCTGAGAGGCAGAGAAAAAGCAAAGAAAGGGTATGTTAGGAGACAAAGAAGCAAAAACATTAGATAAAAGAGGAGCGCAGGAGAAATAAAAATCTCTCCGGAGTTCGGCTACGCCGTTTCACCAGCTCTCATTTGGAGAGGATCGACGAAGCGTAGTCATAGAGCCGACAAGCACCGAATCTCGTGGAGTGAATTGAAGATTAGTACCAGATTCAAATTTGAACAATCGCCCATTCCCCCTGGAAGCACATACGTTGCTTCCGGCTCGGTAACTGCCATTCTCCGGCTCGGTTCGAAACATGGCAGCTTTACCCAGCAGCCCACGCGAGACAGTATGAGTGGCTGTGCCGAAATTTGACTTTGCTGGCCACTTCTAGGGTCCTAAGCTGTCCAGGGCCTATCGCACACTCGAGCCGTCATTCCTCATTCGCCCGTATAGTACGTGGTTGAAGATCGCTTAAACGCACCTAAAGAGCATCCAATGAGAGCTCGTACTGGTCGACAGCCCCGTATTCCTGCCAAGGAGGGCTCAGACCACAGGCTGATGAATGGTGGATCATGACGCCGAAAGATAAGGTTGCTAGAGCTCGGGCCAAGTGTGCCTTGCAAGGGAGACCAAACCACCTGATGCAGATGCTAATATCAATCCGACGGGAAAGGTGCCTGGTATTATCTTGGAAAAAAGCAAAGAGGAAGATTTCACCCTCTCTCAACCCCCTTTGCGACAGGGAGCAGTCGGAATAAGTGATAAGGCCGGGAGGCCGTTTGCGATCGCGTTAGGAAAGCAATCCGTTTCAAGGGAGAGCATGCATCAATAACTCCCTCGGAGCTCTCTCCCCAGATAGTCAATGCCCCCGCAATATTTTCTTCGCAGGGCACGGAGACTATTGATTCCGACAGCTGCCCGCGGAGCAAGCCGCAAGGGATTGACCGTATCCGGAAAGGGAGAAGGTCAGGGGGGTTGGGAAAGGAACAAGAAAAGCAAAAAGAGCACTGGGCATAACTGCGGAAAGCCCCTTTCGGTTCCCTTATCCGAGGACCCTGGTTTTATTCAACCTGTTGTGCTGTGCATTTCATAAAACCTCTGCGCTACGAACCCAGCGCTGTGGTAACCCATGCTAAGGAGGCAGCCAGGCCTGAATCACTCCGTCGATCTGATACCGTTGGCCAATCAAATCCGATGTGCTCTGTCGTTTAGCGCAAGGTTTAGCTCGTGAGAGATCCATAGTTCGCCATTAGTGGTGGTAGGTAGTCAGAGATGAACGGGATTTGCACCCAAATATAGAACTGCCAATTGCTTTTTCATCCCACCCTGTCTCATTTCCCCCCGTTATCCGTCGTGGAGATCCCCTTTTTGACAACCGATATGCAATCGTAAGGACGTACTTTGATACGCACGCGCACTGGCCAGCTGTGGCCAGCTCAGGTAGAACGAGGCTTAGCTCAGAATGCTCCCATTCCGGTGCGGCATAACCGGTCGTGAAATTAAAGGAGCACTGCATAGCCGGATTATTGATGTCAGCTTATTCCAGATGCCATGAATGTAAGCGCAGATGTGACAATCTCAAGGATGATCAGTTCCGAACCAGCGAGCCGTTATCTGTGTGCTTCCAGCTGACCAACATGAGGATGAAGCTGGGAAGGGTCAGAGCTAGTAAGCTTGCATTTAATCTAATCTTCAATGCTCTTATCACAGCGTCTGTAAGCGATAAAAGTCCGCTAACCAGTTTGGTCAGCAGGGCCTGTGCCCTGAGTCATTGTCGTCTCCCAAGCCGTGCAAGGTGTGCATTGCCCTCAATGCAATAATGCCGTTATTCTGTCGGAGGAGACAGGGGCCATTAGCTTACGACATAGTCAATCGTGGCTGAACATATCAGAAGAAAATACTGTATGCAGCAGCGCGGGCGGGGCAGGACACCAAGCACTGACGCTGCCATCCCCTGGGGCAGTGCGTGATCACCTCGAAGAGATCGACCACGTTTTGACCAGATCGGTTGATCCTAGCCGATTCGCAAACGGCCTGTCCCTGGTCCCTTCTCACTTTAGTGGATCCTGTGATTTCTGGTCCGAGATCACATTGTGGGCTATGACATCGATAGCGTCTGCGCCAATACGGGAGGTTTTGGCTTCAAAGGTCTAGATTCGTGACAACCCCTTCGAACGGGGCTTGAGAATCTGATGCCGAGATTTCAGCCCTTTTCACCCCCTGCCCGGATGCTTTCCACGACCAATGGCAGACAGCTTCAGCGGGCCGTCATGACCAGCAGAGTGTCTTAGTATGCATGCCGAATGATCGGTTATGTCGCCTTTCGGTTCATGTGCCCGGTGCTCGCCGTGCTGACGATCGTTCATGGGTTCCCCAGAATGCTCCTGCCATACCCAATCAAACGAAATCCGGTTTCTGAGCTTATCCTCCCTATACTGACTGGGTAATCGTTCCCTTAACCGCTGGGGGGCAGAACGAACTCTCCTTGTTTTAGTTCCTGAAGCTCGACGCGGCAGCTCGGCAGATCTCCCAATTGAAGCTTTTGACTGCTATTCAAGGCACATAGGGAGAGACATCAACGACTCCCTCGGGGGCTGTAAGTCCGGGCACATCCTTGAACGAGGTGATCCTTGGATACCTGAAACCAGTTTGCCTGGATTGTGAGAAAGCTGCGATCCGGATGCGAAGGACAAACTGAAGATCTCCATCTCTCTGTGTCACACAGGTTGCGTTGCTCGTCGTCTTGCTTCCCTCTTCACGCGACTTTGGTGGCTGCCATCTCGTCACTTTTGGTTCCGGGCCGTTGTATCCCAGCATCGCTTCAGATTCATCCCGGTCTATTTTTGTATCACATTCTCTGTTTCACTCGGAAGCAACAGCAAGGCTTGAGGTTCGGGGGAAGTCCTTTCTCAGATATATAGCAGCTGGTTTTCCACCGACATTCTCACTCAGATCATCAGTGTCATCACTTCCACAAGTCAAACCAGAACCGAATAACAAGCCTACCGATACCGAAGACCCGCACCTAATCGTCACACACTCATTGACCGAGCAAACCGTGTCGTCTTGGCTTTGCAGTTGCTCTCAGAGATTCTTCGAGTTGCTGTCTCTGACTCCTCTACAATCACACCTTTCCTGCCGAGATCAAGTCTCGATTACCATCGGCCATGTCTTCCGAGAACAAGCAAACACAAAAGTCAGCTATATGCTCTCCTATTCTGGGTCTCTTTCACACTGACAATTATGCAACAGGGCTAGTAACGGGGTCAGCAACAGCCTCAGCGCCGGAAACCTGAGACACATTCCGGATGGCTCCAGCGGAAGTCTCGTGGAGCGTTTCACGCAGTCACCGGCAGCGGATGGACCATACTTTGCTGGGGCTCGGATCCATGATCGTTCCGAGCACGCTTCACGCCTGTCAAGCCAGCTTGAAGCGACGGAAAAGGTTCTAAAGAAATAAGAAAGATACTGGTTTCAGATCCAGGTACATACATTGAAAGACGCTTCAAATGTGAAGGAATATGAAGAACAGAAGATTCGTCTATATACAGAGTCTATTAGAGATGTGTGTGCGGAGCAGGATTGTGCCGAACAACATATGTCGGGGATATGAGAGAAGCATCGCGGAGTCATCACAAGAAGGCCGTTCCTTTCAAAGAATTTCATTTGTCATGTCATTGAGCTGCAAAAATTCCATCATATACTGAGCCACATCTTCGTATTTCGTGCTTGGGAACTCATGACCAGCGTCGTAGGACTTGAAGCTCGCGAGACCCTGCAGTGCTGCGGTGGCGTCGGGAACGAGATCGTCTTTCACAATAACCGCGTCGTGTTCGCCATACATAATAAGAACCTTATTATGATGAAGACCAGGCATCGCCTCCGAGCCTAGCTTTTTCCCGGTGGCAAGCCAGTCTCCAAGCTGTCTCCACACCTTCAATTGGCGCTCCTGCAGGATTGGACCATGTCGCATACTGGACATGAATGCATGTACAAAACCAGGGTGCTCATCTACCTGCCACTTGACGGTGCTTGGGACATTCACATGTGGATAGGCTCGAGACAACCGCTGAACCTCTGCACCTTGAGAAGGAAGCTCCTCAACCAAAGCATCTTCCGCGCTCAGCTTCTTATTCGCAGGTTTGGATGTCAACGGGCCTGCTCGCAGACGGCGACGGACAAAGAACTTGAGCAGTTTCTCGGGGATCCAATCGTGCGAGTAGAGAAGCTGAGACTGGAAGCTGATCCGGGAATCACGGATCAAGCCTGCCGGCGCAAGCAGTACCAGAGAAGAGATAGCCTGGGGATGGAAAGCGGCGAAGTTGGCAGCGATGCCGCCGCCCAATGAATAGCCGACCAAGCAGAGATCTCCCAATTTCTTGAAAATGGGAGACGAGTTAATGGCGCACCATATCTGTCGGTTCCAAAGTGTGCTGTCCTGCGGCTTATCGGAAGGACAATCGGAATAGCCTCTTCCGAAACTAATGGCACCTGTTAGCAGTCCCTATGGTGGCGTCGCTCGGCAGTTCACCTACAGATCGAACAGCATAACACGGCAGCCCCGATCGACCAAGGCATGGGCTAATCCGCCCAGTGCTATACAAGGCGTTGTAATGCCATGGATCAACAAGACCCTGGGGCCATTTTCCGGGCCCCACTCGTATACACGCATCGAGCCACCAAAGCTGGTGGGAACATCGCGGGCTCCTGGAAGGACGTCGATAGGCAGAGGGAGATTGCGATTTTCCTCATCCGACAAGGCCTTGACCTTTGCAAGAGGGGAGGAATACACATTACCCTCCGGGTGAGATTCCGATAAAAGCGAGCGCAAAACCAATGCCGCAGTCAATGAGGCCCCTGTCGCGGCCAGTAAGGGAAGTTGGCTGCGGTGGCTTGCCAAGAAATCGGAGAGTGTATCGACGGTCTGATTGTACCAAGCCATGTTTCTTGTCTATGAGTAATGTCTATTGTATAATGCAAGTCTACCAAAAAGAAAAAAGAAAAGGATGCAAGAGTGAATAAAGTGAACAAGAAATGCAGGCTGAATACAGTGAAGAGCATCAAGTTGGCGGGCAGGCGATGTCGACAACTTCTTGGTTAGCCTCGGTCTATTCCTCTTCAGGCCGAAGCCCCGTCACCGGACGCCGATAAGAGATAACGGAAGTCATGTGCCGTGCGGCCATCAGCCGAGGCTTCGACTCTCTACTTTCCACGCAACACACAGTACGTCTTGCTCAAGGCAGTAAAGCAGACAGTTTTGTGTCTCTTATGATTCAGCCCTCCAGGATTCTAAGATGCTATCATAAGCTTGGTATGCATGTACACTGGACCTTGAGATCAACGATGAGAAGACTTCCACAGCATCTTACACTATAACAGTGTGGACACTGAAATCGAAATATATTTCCGGATCAATCGAAACACACTCACCACCAATGATTTAAGTCAAAAGCGACGCCTAATACAGAATTTGATGAAACAACTCGTGCAAATACCGGACTACTGTACAGTTACAGGCAGAGACGCTGTAGGAGGCCACATGGGGTTGGAAACCTCCCTCAGCATCCTTCTCCTATGAATGACCGTGTGCAATATCGGGACCACGCGGCTACTAGACATGTGAGATGTCGCCAAGACTCTCTTGCTGTCCATGCGCCCGAGTAAGACCGGATAACAAGAGCCAAGAGTCATAAGACCGGGGGATCTCTGCGCATAATCATGAAACCAGCTTTGCAGTAAGCACAACAACAGGCAACAACACATTCCTGGAGCAGTGCGCTGCATAAGTTAGAATGACAGATCAGTCAGCAGAACAACTCAAGACCCGTTCCGTTCGAGTCGCGGAGATTACCTCCGTGGAATCCTTTGAGAGTGTTTCCCGGCTAAATGGAGATTATTACTCACAAAGCCTGGACAGCCGTTGGACGGCAGCTAGCAACAACCGGGAGCGATCCGCAAGGTACAGCGCCATGACTTATGCCGGGTTTGTCGGACGGTACTACGATAGAGCACCCTTGTGATCTGGTTCGATATGCCGAGATAATCAATCCCGCCAATTTCAAAGACATCAGTCCACATTAGCCGCTGTCAAATGAGCTTCGTCTACGTCAAGGAAATGAAAGGAGGAGAGCGGCTCCAGAATCAATTGCTGTCACTGGTCCTCCGACATCGGGCCATATTTCACACCACCTTGAAACATTAAAGTGTCTGATATAAACCCACAACCGGCTTTTTTTCTTTTAGCCCACTGTGGGGAAATTTTTATGTGGATTATAGTGAGAAGACGCGGGCTTGGAAGAGTCCAATCAAGATAGACTACACCATTCCTTCTGATCGGGGCCAAAGGCGCCCTCCCGTTTAGCCACCTGCAAGACGGATGTTATGCTCGAGCCAGAATTGGATCTCATTGATGGAATCTTGCCCCCCACACTCCGAAGATCGACGAGGTCAAAGAGAACCCTGAAATCTAATTAGATTATGGATTAGGGTCATCGCCGCACGAGAGACCGGTTGACGCCCGACCAGCGCCACATCTGCCACATCGTCATTTGCGCAGCGGTTATTCGGATGTTGGCCGAATGCATCTCTTGAAAATCATAGTAGACATACATGGCACCAGCAGCTTCAGCTCAGAGCTGACACATGGCTTCAATGGTAGTTGACTTGCTCCAGGGCTCAAACGACAGTCTCCCCACCTAGCTTTCTATTTGTGTTTCAAGAGGGCTCCAATTGACCGTTTCCGGTAGATGTGGTGCTTTTCTAAACAAAACTAATCTGAGACCAAACTCTCCCCAGAGCTGGGCAATCATGGTATCAATCCTTCTGGCCCAAACCTCCGCATCTGAGACGGCATCAGCATCTGGCCACTTTGTATAGCCTGGTCGAACTGGTAGGATACTGCAAGTGACTGAAATAGGTCGGAGTAATCTCCGGCACTGCAATCTTGAAACCCAACAGACCCGTAATCCCGGTATTCGATCGAATGGATTCGACAGCTCACAGCAATTGCCGCGTTGGATCCACTCTCGGACATGGATAGACGCCCACCTGCCTTGCAATGCGGAACGGAGGTACCTTTTGCTTCACGAAATAGGAAAGAGAGTATTCTCCGAAACAGTCAGTCAACGGTATGGCGGTCCGTTCAACCGTTGCGAGACGGATTCAACGTCAACAGGAGAGAAAATAGGAGAGCTACACGAGGTAGCAGAGGTATAAAAGGCAGGAAAGTTTCCAGTCAAGTCTGTTCATCATCTCTGCAGGACAGACAATCAAGCACCAACAATCGACTCAACGAACAACTCTGGACACAATGTATCAACGCGCCCTACTCTTCTCTGCGCTCTGGAGCGCGGCTCACGCTCAGCAGGCCGGGACTCAGACCGCGGAAACTCACCCAGCCCTGACCTGGCAGAAATGTACTGCTGCTGGCAGCTGCACGGAGCAGAGTGCTTCCGTGGTCATTGATTCCAACTGGCGATGGGTTCACTCCGTGGACGGCACCAACAACTGCTACACCGGTAACACTGTAAGTTGTGTGCAAACCCCAGCTCAAATGCAGCTATTGACTGACAAATTTCCCAGTGGGATGCCTCTTTGTGCCCCGATGACAAGACTTGTGCTTCGAACTGTGCTCTGGATGGCGCCAACTACGAGTCCACCTACGGTGTCACCACCAGCGGTGATGCCTTGACCCTCAAATTCGTCACTGGGTCCAACGTCGGCTCCCGCCTCTATCTCATGGACACCAGCGATGAGAAGTATCAGACATTCGATCTTTTGGACGCCGAGTTTACCTTCGACGTCGATGTGTCCAACCTCCCTTGCGGGCTGAACGGCGCCCTGTACTTCACCGCAATGGACGCCGATGGTGGTGTATCTCGATTCCCCACCAACAAGGCCGGTGCCAAGTACGGAACGGGATACTGTGATTCGCAGTGCCCGCGGGATCTGAAGTTCATTGACGGACAGGTATGCATATGTGGCCCCATTTCACCCTTATGACAGACGGCGCTGACATCAGGAATAGGCAAACGTAGAAGGCTGGACCCCGTCCACCACCAACTCCAACTCGGGCGTCGGCGATCACGGATCCTGCTGCCCGGAGATGGACATCTGGGAAGCGAACAAGATCTCGACCGCTTTCACCCCTCACCCCTGCGACTCGGCCACCCAAGTGATGTGCTCGGGCGACGACTGCGGCGGAACCTACTCGTCCAGCCGCTACTCCGGCACCTGCGACCCCGACGGATGTGACTTCAACGCCTACCGCATGGGCAACGAGACCTTCTTCGGCCCCGGAAAGACCGTGGACTCCAACTCGAAGATGACAGTCGTGACCCAGTTCATCAAGGGCAGCTCCGGCTCCCTGTCCGAGATCCGCCGCTACTACGTGCAGAACGGCAAAGTGATTGCCAACGCTGCCTCCGACGTGAGCGGCGTCTCCGGCAACTCGATCACCTCCGACTTCTGCACGGCCCAAAAGAAGGCCTTCGGCGACGATGACATCTTCACCAAGCACGGCGGCCTCTCCGGCATGGGCGATGCCCTCTCGTCCATGGTCCTCATCATGAGCCTGTGGGATGACTCGTACGCCAGCATGAACTGGTTGGACAGCCACTACCCCACCACCGCGACCGCCACCGACCCCGGTGTTGCTCGCGGCACTTGCGAGACCGGCGAGGGAGACCCCAAGACGGTCGAGTCGGCCCACTCCGATGCTTCCGTGACCTTCTCCAACATCAAGTTCGGCCCGATCAACTCCACCTTCAGAGCATAAACGGCGAAAGTTCGAATGTTGCGTGAGCCTTGCATATCACATCAGGGCAGGCTCTTGATGTGAAAGGGTTCCACACCACTTTACAATGGGAATCTTGGGAATTGTAGCCCTGTTCTACAGTCTTCCTAGTTATCTTCTTCTTTTTCTCTTTACAACGTGTCCCAGTGACCTTTCAAGTTTGATTCTTGCTAGTGGTAGATAAATAAATGGACAAGAATTTCCGAGCACAAAATTTCAATCAAGCAGAAGCAGTAGAACCGGCCCCCAAGCCCTTCACAATATGCTTGCAGCACCAAATTATGGTGTCGCGGTCGTAGCAGACTGGGCAGTATCGGCATTGTTGAGGTACACCCGACCAACTCTGACAAGTAACTTAGTACAAACAAGCAGAAGCTGACGCGTGGTACAATCATCATCCGTTCCAGCGGTAGCACTAGAGACATTAGCACCGAGTATCGAACCGAAGCCCACGACACATACCTACTAAGGGCCCTCTCCAAGAAAACAAGGTCCTCCATTGCACACTCAATACCACCACTCTGCTCAGACTTTACCGTCTCGAGCATATTATGAGCACAACTGATGAGCTCTTCCTCATCACGACCCTCAGCGGATGAAACACAGCGCCTATCTAGCCATTAATCACCAACCTAAAAACCGAGATGAGGAGATAACAAACCTCTTTGCAGGATCCAGAGCATCGCCATCCTTCGACTTGCGCTTCATATACAACAAATGAACCCGCCTTCTAGATGCCAGTAGCTCGTGGTGCTTTTTCATCAAATCCGCACTGGCTTCGGCGAGTCTATTGACATCAGCAACCCAGTATATAGCCTCGAGCTTTCCCGGCGTATCATACTCCGCATCTAGCACTTCCTTGTCGTCCCCCGACAGATCTTCCACAGAATCAGGACCCGGTCCCGCGACAGCAGGTGCCGCGGGCGCTTCCGCACTGGGGCTTGCGGGATACTGCGTATCCTTTAACTGGCTATCCACTTATTATTAGCATCAATCGATTAGTAGAATAGGAGGGAGAGCTAACTGCTGCTTATAGTCCTTCACAACATCACTATAAAAGTCTGTCCAAGTAAGCCACGTATCCCATGCTTCGGAAGAGCAAAACTAACTCAACGCAGCATCGATCGCCTTCGGACTCGGCTTGCCTGAGTCGCCTGGCTTGACCTTGATACCGGCGTGGGATGCGAGGTGCTTGCGCAGATTGTTTGTTTTCTTGAGACCCTGCTCTTTTGTGTGAAGTGGATGTTAGGTGATAGTGGAGGGACCGTGAATACTGTACTCACTCTCGAGCAGTTGGGGTACCGGCATTTGACTTCGCCTAGGTAGACGGTGGCGCCGTTTGTGCGCTAGTATTTTGGGCTTAGTATACATGGAGGGTGAGGGTGAAGGTTGGGGAGGGCATACCTCTTCGTCGGTGTAGGTGGGTAGGATGTAGGTTCTGTCTTCTAAGATGGCGAGGTACGATTTGTACTCGGGCTGGAGAGAATGAGGAGCAAGTTAGTTGGTTGGCTAAGGGGATGGAATGATGAATGTGGGACGTACGCGTTCCTCGAGCTTTGGAGTCATTGTGATCGCGGAGCGACAGGTGGAGCGATGTGAGGTTGGTATGAGGAAGGAGAGATGAAGGAAGGATAAGTAGGTCGGGAAGAAGACGAGGTAATGCTTGATGTCGATAACTTACCAAAACCTGAATGTTGAGATAATGTTGTGAATGAAGTGTAATGCATCTTGGGATGTACACATTCACTTCCTTGCTCGAAACTAGAGAATGCGCGCCCACCCAATCCTGTGCCTCTTTTGGCCAGAACCACGAAGCTATACTGATTGCACTAATTACTGGACGTAGGTTGCTCGGGAGACTGATCAAGAACAGGGGATTTGGAGAGCACTCATCTCTGGCTGTAGAGAAGCCCATATCGCCTCATCATGAAGCGAGGTAGTTGAGTTGCAAAATTGAATAACGATGCAATGACCAACTTCAACCTTGCTTGTTTACTCCTTTGCTTGTTACCCCATGGTTCAGAGTTCACAGAGAGTAGATTGGCTTAAGTTACAAGATGCAAAGTACGAATGCCAGCACAAGAGAACTAAAGCCATCGTCAAAAAAAAAGCCTGCAGTTGGAATCTGTTCCTTTCCCTGACATAAAGGTATCCGTGTCTCCATACATTGGGTCATTAGAAACATCTGCAGCACATAACACTCCTCCCCTTTTCAGCCTCAGACTTACGCAAGAGGCAATTTGGCAGATCATCTATGCATCTATCGGTGTACGGCAATTGCGAGAATATTGACAACCAGGCGTAAGTTAAGAGCTGAACAACGAATACACAAGTTGGGTAGACCTCTAGTGAGTGATTCTCATCCCGGCAAGAGCGTTTGTACGCCAATGAACCAGATGGTCAAGGTTTCTCCTTATAACCGGACTCTGCAAGTCTAATCGCGTCCTACATGGGTATAGGAACATGACATGTATGAGTGCAACTTCGGGGCTCCTTACTATTCGGTAGCAAAATCGTCGTCTGAACCCGAGCCACACACCCCAAATCGCCCAACCTCGACAGGAACCAAACCCGCAGCCCTAACCGGCCGAGACTTCTACCGAGGTAAAACTCTAAAGCACCACGACCATACCCCAATTAAGGGGCTGCAGGCAATCCTGAGCCTCACCTTGTCAACTGACTCGAAAGCGGTTCAAGCCGCCTCGTCCGCTGCATGTTGCATACCCCGGAGTGGTGTGTGGGGTGCGTCCAGTGCGCGTGCGGCTTGCATCGGCAGCCTTGCACCGTATCGCCTTGCTAGCTTCACTGACCTGATTCCTTCATTAGTCTTACCGCTAAGGGCCTATTAGCAGGCGCTTACAGAAATTAATTATTCCAACGCAGTGTGCACACGTGAAACCCTACCCCGTATGTAACGGAGGAAGTCACCTTGTCATTTATGGAAAGTCCTTCGACAATGCTTTGCGCGGACCGAGGAGAGAGGTTGTTGTTGCAACACTTCCTATTCTCAAGGCAGGAGGCGCCTTTGTGCCATTGGGACCAGCTAGTCCTCTCAAGCAGCAGAGGCAAATCCTGAGCCAAGTGAATGCCAGTATTGTCGCTCACCCCCTTGAGTATGCCGGGCTTCTAAAAGGTTTTCCATGTGATGGATTATTCTTGATTCAAATCTCGTTCGAAACACCGCCCCGTGCGCCATTTTCGCTGACAATCCATTAAATAGTTTGGAAACACTTGGTTTACGACCACACAAGTCTAATAACCGACACCAAGACCATTGCGTTCGAAACCAGTAAATAAATATCACACGCTGTTTCTCGCTATAAAGTCGGGCGCCGACATATCCTTCGAGGACGAACCTTCAAGATTGCCAGTGGAGATAATGCTAAGATTATTACGATCGACGACTGTACTACCCTTGCCCCTTTATGGGCATTTCTCGCGCAACTGGGATATGATTTGCAACCCATGACCGGGGATAAGTGGCTGCGCAGCTTGATAACTTTAATTATCACTGAAGGAGAGACACACGCTCTATAGCCAATGGTGCATATTTTCAAGTAGAGCAATTGCTGCTTGGGAGCAAAGCTGCCTAAGATGTCAAGCCACGAAAATCATGGGCAGTTGTAAGAAGCTTTACGCCAAAATTTAGCAGCTTTGATACGTGTCGGGTTGTTGCCCACGCCCCCAGGGTTGAGACATTCACTCCACTATCGCAGTCTGGAATTCATGATAATTGCTCACTTCCGGAACTCACAATAATGTTGTATGCTCAATAGCATGCAGGTATCCAGCACAGGTTCATGCTCTATACATATTTCCAATTTGCCTGTGCAACGTCATTTCGAAGAAAGAACTCTCGCTTCCGTTGGCAACAAGAAAGCTAGTAGTAAAGGCTCAATGATGTTGAGGAGAGTCTGTGCGAAACATGTGTGAATCTGGTGAATCTGAACCCAATAAACTATACTGTGAAGGTGCCTGCCCAGTGAATCATTCTGACAGTTGCCTACCATTCTAGGAAAGCGGCAGTCCACCCCCGCTCGGGCCGATGAGCGGGTTATCAGCTGCCAAGCACCGAAAGATTGTCCGGAAGATCCCTCGGCCCGCCTCCTCAAAAGTCGAGCTTCTGGCCCGCTCGAGATACAATCTACTAGCTCTCGAAAGTCAAAGATTAAACGAGTGGAACTAGGTCTTTCGCCCCAATCGTCACAGTCCGCAACATGTTCGACACGGTCTGCACCTTGCCGCTGTCGGCGGACCTGTTCTCGCAGGCAATTCACCCCAACGAACCCATCGTCTCCGTTGGCCTTGCTACGGGCCATGTCCAGACCTACCGACTTCCCTCCGAGGAGGCCGACAGCGATGATGACGGAGCCTCGACGTCCTCGTCCCGCAATGGCAAAGGACACATCGATACGATGTGGAGCACCCGACGACACAAGGGCAGCTGCCGATGTTTGACTTTCGCGCTGGACGGCGAGACGTTGTACTCGGCTGGAACGGATGGGTTGGTCAAGGCCGCAAAGGCGGAGACCGGAGTCGTGACCAGCAAGATCGCCATTCCTACAGCGAAGGATGGGTCAGTGACCACGCTTTCTTCCACATAAAGACAATTGGTCACCTTGCAGGATCAATCGACTCAATTGGACTGTGGCAATTGCTAATGCGGGGATTTCTACTTCAGATCCGTCGACGCCCCCACCATTGTACACGCTCTTTCCCCTCAGACCCTTCTCCTCGCGACAGACTCTAGCGCCCTCCACCTCTACGACCTCCGCACCCCGTCCTCCAAAGTCTCCGCCAAGCCGCAGCAATCGCACCACCCTCACGACGATTACGTTTCTTCCCTCACGCCTCTCCCCGCGTCCGATACCAGTACTTCGGGCTTCAGCAAGCAATGGGTGACTACGGGTGGTACCACGCTGGCGGTCACGGATCTCCGCCGTGGTGTGCTGGTGCGCAGTGAGGATCAGGAGGAGGAGTTGATCAGCTCCGTGTACATCGGCGGGCTGACGACGAGTGGAACGAACCGCGGCGAGAAGGTGATTGTGGGTGGCTCCAATGGTGTGCTGACGCTGTGGGAAAAGGGTGCCTGGGACGACCAGGACGAGCGCATCTACGTCCAGCCCCGTACCGGTGGCGCCGACTCGTTGGAGACACTGACGGTCGTGCCGGAGGAACTCGGGAAGGGCAAGATGATTGCTGTGGGTATGGGCGGTGGTGCGGTCAAGTTCGTCCGGATCGGTAACAACAAGGTCATGTCGGAGGTCATGCACGATGAGACAGAAGGCGTGATCGGGTTGGGCTTCGATGTTGAAGGCCGCATGGTCAGTGGTGGTGGCCAGGTGGTCAAGGTTTGGCACGAGGCTGTCGGCTCGGGCGGCGCCAATGGTTCCCATTTGGGTGACAAGCGCATGTACGGGGACAGTGATGATAGCGAGGATGATGTGGACAGCGATGAGGAATCTGGCGATGATAGCGATAACGAAAGACCACGGGAGGTTCAGCCCAAGAAGCGCAAGAAGGGCAAAGGAGGCAGGGGAGGACAGCAGATCATGGCTTTTGCGGATATGGACTAAATGATACCCAGACGAAGAAAAAGAAAAAAGAGAAGTTATGGTGGCATCGACTCGGATATAAGATAAAGCGATGCTCCCTTCGGCGACTGGAAGTATGTCGTGAGACTATTTAAGTAGTGCAACTACGTATACTACGCTTTAATACAGCTCAGATTGTTCTTTCAAGGGTCAATATGTTCAATCTAAGCCTCCCATTAGCTGACTCGGCTAAGATCAGGCCCAATCGCTTAGCCTCGTAAGCGCTACATTCAGCATGATCCTGTAGGAATGATGAGAGTTCGCCTGAGAGCCTGGATGAGGAGAAGCAGGAGCTGCTGTGGAAAAGGACTTTGCGGTGGGCTCAAATTGGTGCCGGTGACACTGTTCTGTCTATTGTGTGAGTGTTGCTTTTTACTCCTGGATTGTGTCTATCCAATATGAAATTGGTGGTCTCAACATCTGCTGTGCCGGAGGAGTACGGTGCCTGTGGTATAGTATAGTCTGCGACGGCATAATTACTTGCCGGTATCGGCAATCCGTCACTGGCATGTTCTTTCCGTACTCTCTTCACAAAGCCTGACATGCATCATGTAAACGCACGAGAAAGCGTGCGAAGTCTGCGCCGGGTTGATTGAAGAGTCAATAATATGATATCGATCTGTCGGAAATTATTGTATGGTGCCAATTGATAGTCAGAGTCGAAGGCGGCGCAACTGCCGAGGCCCTCCACCTTCGGCGCGACTGCGACCCACGGCAAAAGCCTTTGCCTAAATCGCCCCAATGGCTTCATGACGTTTACAGTAGGCTAGTGGGGTGTGGGGAACACCTTTATTATTCATGATGATCAAGCTTCGGATGCCTTCCTGACTGTCGGATCCAGGCACATGTTTAACTATTTATATCAATCAGGGATACCCCAATCTTTCTAATCTCTTCCCCGCTATCCTTCAATCCGGATAGATCCAGCCACCTCCACATCTCTACGCCCATCCACTATGGACGCATTCGAGTACAACTCCAACCCCGGTCGTGTCATCTTCGGCAGTGGCACGCTCAAGAAACTCCCCGATGAAGTCGCTCGTTTGAATGTGAAAGCTCCTTTGGTGCTTTCAACTCCCCACCAGATCAGCCAAGCCGAGAGCGTCAAGGCTGTTCTCCATGGACAGGTAGCTGGCATCTTCACCGAGGCCACCATGCACACACCCACCCACATCACCGACAAGGCGCTGGAATACGCGAAAGCACAGGGCGCGGATGCAGTCATCTCCGTTGGCGGTGGTAGCACAATTGGCCTCGGAAAGGCCATCAGCATCCGCACCGGGCTACCGCACATCTGCATCCCAACGACCTATGCTGGGAGCGAGATGACCCCTATTCTGGGCGAAACTGCCGACGGACTGAAGAAGACTCGTTCCGATCCTAAAATCTTGCCTGGAACGGTGATCTACGATGTTGACCTGACCATGACTCTGCCCGCGGCCATGAGTGCCACGAGTGGTGTGAACGCCATTGCTCATGCCGGTGAGATCCAACCTTAGCTCTTGGGTTGAGTGGGAGATGCTAATGCAATCGCAATAGTGGAGGCGCTCTACGCCCGTAACACTAACCCGGTAATCAACCTTATGGCTCTTGAGGGAACCCGTGCACTTGCCTCGGCCCTCCCTGAGATCGTGGAGAGCCCCAGCTCTCAATCGGCACGTTCGTCTGCGCTGTACGGCGCTTGGCTGTGCGGGACTTGCCTGGGCAGCGTTGGCATGTCCATCCATCACAAGCTTTGTCACACGCTGGGCGGGAGCTTCAACCTGCCCCATGCGGAAACCCACACCGCCGTGCTACCGCACGCTATCTCCTATAATGCGCCCAAGATCCCTGAGGCCATGAAGAAGCTAGCCGAGGCACTTCCCGAGAGCAACGGCGACGCCATCCACGGCTTGAATGTCTTGTTGTCGAAGCTGAAGGTTAAGCGGGGTCTCAAGGACTTTGGAATGAAGGAGGAGGACATTGACAAAGCAGCAGACATTGCAGTCAGCAACCCGTACTGGAACCCGCGGGAGATGGAGCGGGAGCCGATTCGTGAGCTGATCCGGCGTGTGTGGGCTGGCGAGCCGGCCCGGGCAGATTTGTAGATGGCGATAGCACCTTTCTGTACATATCAAATGAGTTTCGAGGGAAGACCCAACATGATAGACTAAGTCTCTTGCTGCGATCACCATTGACTGTTGTGTTGTAGCGAAAATGTCTATAAAAACGTGTATGGCACCACAAGTAATCCTTGAAAGCGCCATTGGTTCCCCTGCGGATGGCGGGGTGAAAGTGGGGTTGGAAAATGCGATGGATTTTCCTCGCAGTCAAAAATTCCGTCCAATTCTCCCCCTCCATTGTCACCACCACTGCTCTCAATTGCCAGCTTGGGGCTGCTGACAACTTATTCAAATCCTACTAGTCAGCCATTTCACCATGACCAACGAAATGGAGGCCGCTCCGGTCCTCTCCACCCCCGACGACCGCATTCTCGAGGCCACCGACCCTGTTGCGTCTCAGGAACCGAACCGCACCGTTTCCGACGAGGAGCTCTCGATCACCTATGACATCGAACGCACTCTGAAAGAAATCCGCCAGGCACGGTACAAGCGCATCGCGCTCCAGTTTCCCGATGACATGCTCCCCGATGCTCCCCGGGTATTCCAACTCCTCAGCCGCGGCCTGGACGTTAGCGATGCCCCTCAGCCTCGCGGTAACGGCGAAAGCAGCAACGGAGATGCGGAACACCTAGCCGATTCGGTGTCCCAGCTCAAGGTCGACGCGACAGCCGAACCCGCGCCCAAACTCTATATCCTGGCGGATACCTCCTACGGAACGTGTTGCGTGGACGAGGTGGCCGCGGAGCATGTGGATGCGGATGTGGTCGTCCACTACGGCCGCTCCTGTTTGTCCCCCACGGCCAGACTACCAGTCATCTACGTGTTCACGCATAAGCCTCTGCCTCTTGAGCCTGTTATCCGCGCCTTCAAGGAGACCTACCCCGATCCCACCACCAAGGTCATTCTGGCGGCTGATGTGACCTACTCGAATCATGTTCCTACCGTCTACTCGCGTCTCGTTGAGGAAGGCTACACCAACGTCTTCGCCACGGATATTGTCCATAACCCATCTTCTGCTATCCCCAACCGCACGGTGCCTGATTCAGTGCAAGAAACCCCGGAGTCGCTTTCTGAGTGGCAGCTCTTCCACATTTCCGATCCACCTACAGCTCTCCTCCTAACCCTTGCGTCTCGCGTTGCTGCCATCCACATTTATCCGACCGATGATGTCACCAAGGAAATTGTCAAGCCGCTGCCCGCGTCGACGGCGGCTGCATTGCGCCGCCGCTATGCGATCTTGACCTCCCTCAATACCGTGCCCATTTTCGGAATCCTGGTTAACACCCTAAGTGTGAAGAACTACCTGCACATTGTGGATCATGTGCGTGAGAAAATCGCGGCAGCCGGTAAGAAGAGCTACCTGTTCGTAGTGGGCAAGCTGAATGCAGCCAAGGTGGCCAACTTCAGCGAGATCGGCGGATGGGTGGTCATTGGATGCTGGGAGAGCTCTTTGGTCGATAGCAAGGATTTCTGGAAGCCGGTGATCACTCCATCAGAATTGGAGCTCACACTTCAAGGGGACGCCGAGCGAGTGTGGACAGGAGCTTGGCGGAGTGATTTCCAGAGCGTCCTGGATAAGTCCAAGGAAGAGGAAGAGAGTGCGGACCCCTCGATGGAGGAGGAAGGAGAGATGTCGGAACCTGAGTCCGCACCGCCCGAGTTCGACCTGCGCACCGGTCGGTATGTCTCGCACTCCCGTCCCATGCGGAATGCTGCACCCCGCGTTTCTGCTTCAGCAGAGGAGGCCGCGTCGGCCGCTAGTGGACCGTCGGCCGCGCGCGCCTTAGCCAGGCGGGCAAAGGGCGATATCGCCATGATCGGCGGGGCGTTCTCGCCAGGGGCGGAATTCCTGCAATCCCAGCGGACATGGAAGGGTCTGGGTAGTGATTTCGACATTCAATATGAGGAGGATGCGCCGGATAGCACGCTGGTGGTGGAAGGGCGCAAGGGTATTGCAAGGGGATATACGGTGGGCGATGATATCGATCGACACTAGGATAGACTTTCGCCCTGGGGCACTCCCAAAAATCAAGTTTTGTGTTGAGATGACCTTTGAGCTGGGCCTGCACTGTAGAGAATCGCCATCTGACTGGTCAAATGTAATTTCGTGCCTTATTAGTTGTTACTGCTATCAGCCCAAACCAGACGTTGGGTGGTGCTTGACTAGTCGAAGTTGGTTGGAGAGTGATGAAGATTCAATAAAGACGGGTCGATCACTAAAGAACCATGTTGAGGGAATAATAGTTCCCATCCCCTTACCCTTTTCCCCCCAATAAATCCCTAAATCCTTTCGCACATCATCCCACATCACGAAGAAGACCATCATTAGCATCATCATCAGCATCATGCCAGTCGATAACACATCCCATCTAGGCTCGTGACGGTCGAAGCGACCTATCACATGATGCTGGGCCGGGCAGATCCCGGCTCCCGTCGCTGGATTTTGTCCCAATCCCCAATATTAATCGGAGGTGAGTTGGCAAAGCCACCCCCATCACCTCAATACCCTCTTGCCCCCCTCTCTCTTCTCATTTTCTCAGCATTTCTGCCTGCTTCCTCTTCTCTCCCTTGGTAGATCCCGTACAATGTTCAACCTTTGGGTGTAAACCGCCCTCCTTGCGCATTGTCGCCTTCTTTATTCCCCTTATGATGGGCGGTCTTTCCCGCATTCTCGGCTGTGATCGCGATTCCGCGTCCCTCTACTACCCTCCAACTCCGTGTCGGGCTCAAACCTTTAACAAAGTCACCCAGGGCTTAGAACAAGACCAGCCAGTAATCCCGGCCGCCGCGCCGTCATGTCATATCGACATTCCCCGGTAGCGCCCGCCGTAACCACGATAACGATGGACGGGGAGAACAACAATACCGCGGGCCCGAGCCAGCAAGTGCTGGTTGAGCCCGCGCTGGAGCAATCCGAAATCCAAGCTCAACATTCGCTATCGACCTTCGAACGTGTCCTCACCACTCACGCGCCGATCCTCGAATCCCTCCTCCTTCAGACGCCCACCGACTCGATTCTCTCGCTTTATCACACTTCCCGCTACCTCCGTTCCTTTCTCCGCTCCTACCCAACAGCATGGAAGTACCTCTCGTTCCGGCTACTATACCCCTCCGGCACGCCCCCCCCGATTCGCGTTGTTTTCACAGGCTCCTCAGAGGCAGTCGTGCCCCGCCAGTCGCGCCCATATGCTCTCGACCAGCTCTTGATGAATGTGGTGCTGCCGTTCAGCCCGTGCTTGCGCAGTCTGGAGTTGGACAACACGGCGGTGTCGGGCCAGATTCTTATCTCTACAGTCCTTCATGCTAGACGAGAGACACTGGAGCATTTGTCCGTTCGAGGATGCAAGAATGTGTCGCTCAAATACCATATCATCCCATATTTGACGATGTTCGGGCTCCAGTACGATGTGAATATGGAGCAGAATATCGGTAGTTCACCTGCCACAAAGCACCTCGCACTGAAGAGTCTATACACTTATCGATGTCGACATCACCGCCGTCGCCCATACCTCACCTCGTCGCTGTCGCGGAAGGATTCGGACTCCGAGCCCACACATGAGCTGGTCAACCTCTGTCACAAACTGGGAATCTGGACGGATACCGCGTGGTGCTCGACCCCGGCTGGGCGATGTTTCCGTAGAAGAGGGTATGTGTCAATGCGGGTTCCTCAGGGTTCTGCTGAGGTATGGGTGGTCTTTGACCGGCTATGGCGGTCGAAGAACTGGATTGGACCGATCGACTCGGGTAATCGGCCACCACAACGTGACGGCAAGTTGTGGGAGCACAATGAGACTGGCTACTGCGGCGAACCCCTTGGCACTGGTGAGGTTGGCGATCTCGGTGATGGAAGAATGAAGCCGGCACATCTCCGTCAAAGTCACACGCAATTCGTGCAGAACATCCGCTGTGATAATTGCTGCGAGATCATTCCGGAGAGATGCGAGCAGTGCAGTATCTTGATGCATTGTGTGGGGTGTCGAAAGACCCTCTGTGCTAGTTGTGCGTACGACCGTCCTTATCTTGCTGGCCAGCTGGGGTCTTCACCTGCTCAGGAAACCAACCCGTTCTGGTGGGCGCCCGGTGCGACAGTCTCGCCATGCTTGATGTATGACCCACTTGAGCTCACCGATCACGATGCACTCACCACCAATATCACTACACCTCCTCCTTATCCAGCCCTCAAACTGCACTGGTGCTGCACTGAACCTATCTTTTCCGGCGGAGGCGGCATCAGTATCGGTACCTCCACGCGAGACGTGGATCAAGTACGGGCGGTGCCCTTGCCCAAGGGACAAGGCTGGGAGGACCTCGAAATCTCAGCTCAGGAATGGAGCAAGACCTTCCCTCGAGATGCATATGGGGACCCACGCAAGCCGGACTATACGCTCGAGACGGGACACATCGCGATGATGAAGTGGCTGCTGGGTCCGCCCGACCGACAGCCTTCGGCTTGTCCCAGAAATTTATGTCAAGATTGCTACGATACACCGCAGTGGAAGGTGCACTGCAAGAGCTGTTCGAAACCGTTGTGTATTGAGCATGATCTCCGTGGTCTACGATTGAGAATTTGTGGATATCGGGACTTGACACTGGAGAAGATGGAGATCCAAAATCACGCCGCCTCGAGCTCTCGCGGCTTCCTTGCACCGCACGTGGTCTATCCCCATTCCGTTCCTGAGTTTGAGTTACCGTTCCGGACCCAGCGAATGATAGATTCCACGACGAGCAGTTTCACGGAAGACCATGGCGACGGCGTTGTGGAGCTGCGCAGTCGTGCTCTGCCTGAACCGCCAGGCCCAGCTTCCTTGATCCATCGGCGTGCGCGGAGTCTTTCTCTGTCCAACTCCAACCGTTCTCGTTCCTCGTCACCCTCGTCCATTTACTGTGATTCGCCGTCCGACCAGTTCAGATGGCAAGGGTGCCAATCCTTTTTCTGCCCCCAGTACCGCGCTGTTGGCGACCAACGGCAGCGCTGCGCCAGCGTGCTCCGAGAGTGCACAAGCTGCGCGGTCTACGTTTGCCAGGACTGCGTGAAAGCCCATCCGCCCTGCAAATGCTCCTTCTGCGAAGTCAACTACATCTGCCCGAACTGCGTCAAGGTCCGAGAACGCGAGGGGACCTGTCGCCGGCCCGCAGAGGAGAAGGCCCGTCGGGAGCAGAAATGGAAGGAGGACATGCGCATGCTGGAGGGCATTCTGGAGGCGAAGCTCGCGAACGCGACCGCGGAATATGCGGGACAGTTCTTCCACCTCTTTGAAGGAGGGGAAGAAGGTCAAGTGGCAGAGGTGGAGGACGTGCAGCATCCGGAACCGGCGTCGACGGCTTACCGCCCAAGCGACTCGCATGGCCTACATGAAGTGGACCTGTTCGGAGAGGAGAATCTTACGGATAGTACGGAATGATGATAACCAGGAAGGTTAAGGGACGGTCTCACTTTGATGGCGTTTACTGGATTTATGGGAGCATTTCATTCTGTTATCTCTTAGCATCTGTGCGAAAACAAAAGATCTGTTGTTGGGTTGTGGAGGAATGGTAATCTCGATGGCATTTGCATAGACAGTCTCGCTGGCGGCAGTCATGATGCGCAGGAAGCATGGAGACTGTGTGGTCGGGAGACTGTCTGCCGGGGTTCGCTGTTGAGCCGGAAGGGACTTAGGCAGGTATATATGGCTTAATGAACTCGGTGACATGTGGATCACATTGTTTTCAAGACATGATGCAGCTTTTGTCTTAGAACTCAGCAGACGGTGAAGATCAGTGTCGCTATCTAGGATACTCGTACGTAGTCTAGTGATGAACCCAAGTAAGCTCAACCCAGCGGGCGCGCCCCGCAACGACGGAAACTACTGGAACCGCCGCAGCTCCGCTCCACACTCGACTTTAGCCTCTCTTTCTATCCCCGCGCCGCACTCTTTCTTTCCTTCTCCAACATCTCCAGGCTCTCTCTATACTCATCCCGTTCCAACTAACTAGGTACGTCGTCCCCCCTCGACTCTACCGAGAGGCCCAAAATAACTCAACCTAACCCTATGCAATCTAGACAAAGCCAAGCAGAATGTCCGAACAAAACCCCACCCCCGCGGACGTGGCCGCGCGCGAAGCCGAAGAGCAAGCCCGCAAAGCCGCCGAGGACGCCGAGCAGGCCAAACTCCCCTACAAATGGACGCAAACCATCCGCGACGTGGAGGTGACCATTCCCGTGCCGGGCAACCTGCGCGGCCGGGATCTCGACGTCGTGCTCACTAAGACCAAGATCCGGGTTGCGGTTAAGGGGCAGGAGGCTGTTATTGAGGTGGGTGTTTTCCTTTCCTTTCCTTTCGAATTTTTCCTTGTGTATATTGGGTTTTATTTTTGGGTATGGGGGTGGGGCTGTGGTTGTGGTTGTGGTTGTGCTTTGCTATTTGGGTTGAGAATTACATGGCTAATGTGTTTGTGTTTGTGTCTGAAAACGACAGGGCGAATTTCCGCACCCGATTATCGTGGACGAGAGCTCGTGGACGCTCGAGACGACCTCGCATCCGCCGGGTAAGGAGGTCGCGGTGCATTTGGATAAGGTCAATAAGGTCGAGTGGTGGCCGCATGTTGTGACGGGGGCGCCGAAGATCGACGTCACGAAGATCACGCCTGAGTCGTCTCAGCTGAGTGATCTGGATGGCGAGACGCGCGCCATGGTCGAGAAGATGATGTATGATCAGCGGCAGAAGGAGATGGGTGGTCCCACCAGCGATGAGCAGAAGAAGATGGATATTCTGAAGAAGTTCCAGGCGGAACATCCTGGTTAGTTCCTTATTCTCTTGGAGTGTGGTTCATTGTGCTAATGGTTTTTCGCAGAGATGGATTTCTCGAATGCGCAGATTGGTTGAAGTGCCATAGTTTGATAGTTTGAGTAGTGTTGTGTATGAAGTAATGACTTATCTTGTCTTGCATTGCTGGGGTTGATTCTTGTACTTGATTGCATTGTTTTAAGTCATGTATGATGATTGATTGATGATCGAATACGAGGCTGCTTCTTTGGGATTAGCGTCTCAGCCTTATCGTCTATCGATGCCCTCAGGCTTATCCCCTCATTGCAACCCATGTCATTGTTGGTTGCATCGATAGTTATGCGACCAGACAATCTCTAAACTTAGTCATAACCTGATCCTATCAATCACCATGTCGCTCCCTGCAGGCCAGGGGATTCTCCAGCTCCAACTCCTGGCCTCCAAACCGGAACGCATCTACCATGCCCGTCGAGCCCACCGGAAGTCCCGTGCCGGATGCGCCAAGTGTAAACAACGACGAGTCAAGGTAATCTGATGTTATCGCTATGCACGGCCCTGGTCTGATATCAGGTCTAGTGTGATGAATCCAAGCCCCACTGTGTCCGCTGCCAGAAACTCCATCTGGACTGTAGCTATGAGCCCATCAACACCAACCCCGAGCAAGCCGTGACGCGGTTTCTGACCAGCTCGCCGGACTCGCGAGCATACAGCATGGGGCTGGACGCTGTAGGCGCGCAGATCCACAAGCTTTTGCAGTTACCGGCAGGGGCGTCGCCGTCGGTGCGCGTGCAGGCCCTGCACCACTTCTACGAGCTTTCCGACCCGGCCTTGGGACCACACGCCGTGCAAGCCGATATGCAGAGACAGGTGATCCAGCAGGGTTTCGAGGTAATATTTTCTTCCTCCCCCTCCGTACCCTCACACCCCTCACACGGCCCACCTCATTACAATTGAAGATCTACTTACGATACAAAAAAGTCACCCTTCCTGATGCACGCGATCATCGCTTCTGCAACCTCCCACCTCCGCTCCACCACGACGCCAGACCAAACCCTCCACCATTCCCGCGCAGCAACCGAAGCCTACCACTGGCACCACGCAATCACAGGCTACGCAGCGGAGCTTCCGCGCATCGGCCCGCAGAACATGGACGGGCTCTTCTCCGCCTGCCTACTTCTAACCCTCCGCTCCTTTGAACTAGAGCACTACGACCCTCTCTCCTCCTTCGTCTTCTCTTCCGACCCCTCCGCCCTCAACTGGTTGACACTGCAGGTCGGCCTCCGCCGCCTCCTGGAAGCTACCGTCCCCTGGCAGACGCAGAGTATGTGGTGGGACGTCTTCATGGAGTCCGCTGCAAAGCACTGGGCCATCTTCGAGGATCATCCTCCTTCCGGTCTCAGCTTGGAGGGGCTAGACCCCCGGTTGGCAGAGCTGTGCGGCATCGATGAGCGGACCTCCGCGGAAGGTAATGTGTATTATGAGCCTGTCCGGATGCTGAGTGGCTTGCTCCGGCTGCAGCCGCGCGGGATTAGGTCTTTGGTTGCGTATACCGGGTGGATGGGCCGGTTGGAGCAGGGGTTCTTTGATTGTTTGTTGAGGAAGGAGCCTCCTGCTCTTGTGGTTTTGAGGGCTTGGTTGGAGTTGTTGGGGACTGCGGAGTTGTGGTGGCTAGGGAATAGGGTTAGGTCTGAGGTGCAGGCTATCACTTGGTTTTTGGAGGGTTTGGGGTTGTGACTGCTTGCTGAGTGCGTTGGGGGGGAGGGAGGGGGTGGTGGTGTTGGGTGATGTGGTTTGGGGTCTGGTTGGCTGGGCTTCGGGTTTATTGTCTAGTTATTGATGTCATGATGGGTACTGGGGCTTGCTGCTGCGGTTACTTATGTTCTGTATAGCGGGAGGTGGGAATATGGGGCTTCCTGACTCCCAGTACGATTTTCAGAGTCTAGAGCGCTCTATCGCATATATAGATAAGGCAGCATTGTCTAGACCAGCACGAGCACCTCTAGGCTCTGCCCTACATCTGCAGGAATGCTGAAGGGGCTTCTTCGCAACGCCCAGGAATGTGGGAGAGACCCTCCTTCGACACCCCGCCTTGCGCCGCATTCGCGAGGAGGAGACCCTGCTCCAGAGAACATGATATGTCTTAGCCCTCATCTCCTGCGTGGCGGGTCAATCATTGAGGCATTATTCCCCTGCAGGGGGTGGAACTTACCGCTTCCCTAAGCGTCCAGGCCCGTCGACTATATGGTATATACTACACCATCCAACCGCGCAACCCCCATCCCAATTCACCCAGAGAGACAATGTCAGACACCAAGAGCCAGGTCGATACCTCCTACGTGGAGAGCACCACTACCGACGACCGCCTGAAAAACCAGGAACCCGCCACACATGACAGGCCATGGCAATGCTCGCTGGAGGCAGCCAAGGCCGCGAACGCCCGCGAGCACGAGATGTCCGTCACGCAGGCGCTGAAGCTCTTCCCATGGGCCGTCGCGTGGTCGCTCGTCCCCTCCATCGCCATCGTCATGGAAGGGTACGACACCATCCTGATCACCAGTTTCTTCGGATACCCGGCCTTCAGGACGAAGTTCGGCGAAGAGCATTCTGGCAAGGGGTATCAGGTGGCGGGGTCCTGGCAGTCGGCTCTCGGGGCGGCGGGGAACTTGGGATGTATGGTGGGAGCTTTAATCAATGGCTTTTTGATTGAGCGGTTGGGGTTCAAGCGGGTCTTCCTTCTGGCTCAGGTCCTGATGTGTGCGTTTATCTGCATCCCTTTCTTCGGCGACTCCGTCGGGCTTCAAGTCGCGGGGCAGACTCTGTGTGGGTGAGTTTCTGGCATGTGGGTTGGAGTTTGGGGGTTACGCGTTTTGGGTGAGCTAATTAGCGGTAGACTTCCTTGGGGCATCTTTGCGACCCTTGGACCGGCGTATAGTTCCGAGCTCTGTCCGATGGTGCTGCGGCCCTATCTGACGGCATTCGTGAATGTGTCCTTCGTGATGGGCCAGCTGATCAGTGCTGGAGTGCTGCAGGGTCTGATTGATCTCGATAACCAGTGGTCCTACCGCATCCCATTTGCGCTGCAGTGGGTGTGGCCCGTCCCGTTGTTTGTGTTTGGCTGCTTCATGCCCGAATCGCCTTGGTGGCACGTGCGGAAGGGCCAGTATGATTCCGCATCGAAGATCGTCAATCGACTCCTGGCGGAGCCGAACACCGATACGGCGCACCAGACTGTCGCGATGATGATCCACACCAACAACCTGGAAAACGAGATCAAGGAAGGGTCCTACCTGGACTGCTTCTGCGGGCCCAATTCCCGCCGCACCGAGATCGCCTGCATGGCACTGGCGGGACAGGTGTTTGCAGGGATCGCGTTCGCGTACTCGCCGACGTACTTCTTCGAGCAGGCCGGGATGAGCGACGACGACTCGTACAAGCTCGGGCTGGGCGGCGCCGGCCTTGCCTTCGTCGGCACGACCGTCTCCGGCCTCGCCATGCATTATCTAGGCCGTCGCATCATGTACGTGGGCGGCATGGGCTTGATGAGTGTCTATCTGCTCGTCATCGGGTGCATGACGCCGGCCACTAAGGGCCACAACAGCAACCCGGCTGTTCTTTGGGCGCAGTCCGTTGTATGTATCATTTGGCTATTTACATTCTCTTTGACTGTCGGACCGATTGCGTGGGTGATCCCGCCCGAGGTGTCGTCCACGCGGCTGCGGTCGAAGACGGTGGTGCTGGCCCGCAATTCTTATTACGTTGCGTCTGTGGTTGCCAATGGGCTGGAGCCATTGATGCTCAACCCCACGGCGTGGAATTGGCGGGGGTACGCGGGGTTCTTTTGGTTTGGGTCGGCGTTTTTGACCTTTGTTTGGAGCTACTTCCGACTTCCGGAGACCAAGGGACGGACGTATGAGGAGTTGGATCTTATGTTTGCGAGGGAGGTTCCGACTCGGGAGTTCGGGAAGTATCAAGTGGATGCGTATGAGGAAGATTCCCACCTAAGTTGAAGATCATACCAGCGTTCCATAGAAATGCCGCCAACTGGCAAACAAAGGCTACGTACTTCCTAGCGGCCCACGGATCAATCAGCGGTGCGGGGAATGTCGATGCCTGGGAATTGAGGCTGTGTCAGCCTTGCTCTCCATCTACTTCTGTCCACCAAATCACCAGCTGCTCTTCTTCATCCCTCAATGTGACACCGTGAACCGTTCATTCCAGCCAGTGCTGTCAGAATTCATCTGGCATTTGTTTGTTTATTTATCGCCGTCGATTCATTCACTACACTTTCCATGTGGCCTCGACCACTCCCTCTCTATCGATAGCACTTATCTATCTACGAGCGATAACGCGATAACCTCACTCACCACCACCATCAATGTCCCTCTTTAGCTCCATCACCAGCTGGCTCTGCTGCATCCCCAGCCCAAGCCCAGCCGCAACCTCAAATCGAGAGACAACTCCTCCCAACCACCAACCCACCCACTCCCCTCGAATCCACCACCAAGATGCCAACAACGAAGGCTACCTGCCCCCCTCCCCACCTCTCCCCGCCTACACCCCCCATCCACACACCTTAACCGAAAAGACCCTCGCCCTGCATCCTCGCTCATCCTCCATATCCTCTCTGAACGAGAAACCCGCTGCATCACCTTCCTCCTCATCATCTTCATCATCATCAACAACAGCCCTCTCACAACCACCAATCTCCCCATCCCCGACAATTCCCCCCGCCGCACCCACTCCTCCGCCCGCACCCTCCTACCCACCCTACTACCACCACCACTACCGCCTCTCCGACCCGGACGAAAGCGACACCTCGTCGACTCTCTCCTTCCCCAGCACCAGCAGCTACGGCAACACCTCCACCGCCACCCGCGAGACCCCGCCGCCGCCCTACTCACCTCGAAGTCTGGCGACGACTGCGGGTTCGCGTACGATGTCGCCTGTGCCGTCTTTGATGTCGGATTCCGGGCGGAGTCATAGTAGTGGTGGGAGTAGTAGTGATGGGCAGAGCGTTGCGGGGTTTGGGTTTCAGCAGGCCGGGAGGAGGGACGAGGAGATGGTGCAGATTGCGGCGCCGAGGCCGGTGGTTGTTTGGGATGGGAGGGCGGGGAGAGGGGCGGGGATGAGCATGGGGATGGGGTGGGGCGATATATATGAGGAGTGATTTGGGGATTAGGGTGTGGGTGTTATTGGGGAAGGGTCATGGGATTAATTGGGTTGGGCGTTGGTCTTGGGGATTGGTTTTCATATGCATGGATGGGTGGGTGGGTGAGGAAGGCAGGGAGGTATGTTGTGCTCTGTATATATTGGCATACATGCGTCTATAATGATAGGTTAAGGTCAATCTACTAATAGTCTGTTTTGGGAAAGGGTCAATATTAATGTTCATTCACCGCTACGCACCTGTACAGCCATTATATACCGCCATATATACTATACTCTGTCAACAACCTCACCAAACGATCAACGATACCCAGACTCGATCTACTGGAAAGTCACCTGCAACTTCTCATTGCCCAGAATCTTCGGCACCGCTTGCACACTGGAGCTATGGGTATCCTGGACGGCGTAGAGGGCGGCGGAATCCGAAGCGAGGTTATACTCCTTGCCGTCGGCAGTCTTAGCCACACAGCCGGTGAAGAAGGCGTCTCCGAAGTCCAAGAAAGTGAACCCATCGCCATCGACAGCGAGATCCTCGACGATCCACTCGGCGTTCTGGCCCTGCAGCTTGGAGGCGGTGTCGGGCGCGCTACCATGCATGGTGATGCTCTTGCCGGTGGTGCGGTTCTCGATAATAGCCGTGCCGGTGCTGTCGCTGGTGGCCTCGACCGAGGCAAACACCACGTCCCCGATGGAGAAGTCCATCTCGACGTTGACCGAGTTGAGCGGGTACCACTCGTACCAGGCCGCGAACGAGGTCTCGTTGTTGCTGTCCACGTAGATGTCCACGCCCGTCTGCCAGATGCTGTTGCCTGCCGTCGCCCCGTCAATGCCCACCCAGAATGACACCGCCTGCGTATCGCTGCTGCTGGGCGCCGCCGTCGGCGTCACGCTCGGCAGCGTGAACGTCGCCGCCACATACGTGTACGTCGCGCTCGACGCCGGCGCCGACTCCAGCACCACCCCCGCCCAGTTCTCGTTGATCATGTAGTTGGCCTCCGCGTTGGTGTTGCTGGTGCGCTGCGGCGTCGTGGTCGTCGTGGGCAGGACGCTGGTCGTTTGCGCTGCGGCCGCATACGTCGGCGCGGCCGTCTGCGTCGGCACGTCCTCGTCGCAATTCGAGCTCGAGACTGCGCTGCTACTGCCATCAGCTGCTGCGAATCCGTTGCCCCACGGCTGGTCTGACTTGCCGCCGCTCGTGAACTTGGAGTCCCCGCCGCCGAACCCGGAGAACTGCCGGCGGTCGTGCGGCGCCGCCAGCGCGGTGCTGCTGGCCAACAGGGCGCCCATAGCGAGGGAGGTGGTGAACTTCATGGTGAGAGATGCCGGTAATAAAGAAGAAGTTAAAGAATGTATATGAGGGAACGGAATCGAGCACAGCTCTCTTTTGAAAGATAGATAGATAGTTGGAAGGGAAGGAATGAAAGCCTCTGCACCCAGATCACAGATCTTGCTTGATTTGATAGGAATGAAGTGGGATTCCACCGTCGTGGTGCTGCTTCCGCCGTCGCGGTTTATATCCCGTGCCGTGACTTAGGGCTCGTTTGGGATTGATTGCCGCGCGTCGACTGCGATGAAACCCGTTAGCGGCGCCGGTGGAGAGATCGGCCCCGTCTGGCGTTTGACACTCGATCACCCTCATTTTCCTTGGACGGGGAGGAGTGGGGGGGATTGCGTCGGACTTGAGTCGGATTGATGTCGGGTTTAGGGAGTTGGTTATGGTGGTGAGTTATGCTTCCTTTATTACCTGGATGGAGTCGGGGTGGATGCGCTGCTTAGGCTTAGGGTAAGATACTATAGAGCTGGGTATGAGCGTCATGCATAGGAAGGGCTCGTGGACTGACAAACTCAAAGAGCCAGGGTCTACAGCATGTGGTCTCATCCATCGGAGAGTTCTTCACCGTCGTATACGAGAGTAAGTCTAGATTCTCCAGTGGCTCCACTCATGCTGAGATGCGATGTTCAGACTTAACTTAAGCATACTACTCACTCAGTACCTTATTTCAACCTCCCGATCAGGAAATCAACAGCCGAGACTTGCTCCAACGAATAGATTAGGGGTCAATTACTCCGAACATACTTAGTAACGATCATCCCGGCCACGCCAAATGGTCTGATGGACCCTTCTCGGTATTTCTCCGCGGGCTAAACTCTCGACAATGCGTCCCTCGGTGCCGAGGGCATATACTGGAGATACTCACTGGTAAAAATAGCACCAGAGTGGCACCAATCTAAGTCCGATGAGACTTTTTATATATCCACAACTCCAGTTATGTACAAAGAAGTCAAAAAAAAAAAGAGCTAATACTCAAGTCTATACATCCATCTCTATTCCACCCCGCCTAGTTCACCATGTTCGGGCATTCTCCCTGAGCCCGCTTGAACGCCCCCGCGAACAGATCCTGCATGGCAAGGTAGTGGAACAGAATTCCGCCTAGCACCGCGAAGTGCCAGATGTTGTGGCTGCCTCCCACATAGTCGAACAAGCCTGGTCGCCACCGCTCTGGCACCTGCGACGCATACACGCACGCGCCCACGAAATACACCATGACACTCTTCACCACCGGTGCGTAGAAGTACAGGCACCAGAAGAAGCCTCGTGTGTACGTCAGCTGCGCCAGCGGCGCGAACCCGGTCAGAGCCAGTGAGACATAGAAAGCCACCCGCGCCCATGCCATGTCCGCCCGGTTGAAGGTCGGGTGCCACGGCAGGATCACTCCACCAATACCGAGAGACATCGTCAGCAGGATGTAAATCCACCGCGACACCGGCTCGCAGTAGAAGGCCGTGTACTCGGTCGTCACGATCGAGGCTGCTACCAGCATCGAGATGCCCGTGTAGTCGACACACGCGAACCGCTCCATCAGCGTCTGACTGGCAATGCTATTCATCGTGTGCCACAGCGTGCTGCACACCAGACACTTGCACGCCGCGAAGAAGAAGACTGCCGCCACCAGCACGTCGGTCTTGGTGCTCAGGTGGAAGTTGGGGTTCAGTGGGTAGAAGTAGAAGGCCACAGACAGGACGATGAACAGCCCAATCAGATGCGACCAGATGTTGACAAGCTCGTTCGAGAAGGTGAACATGGAGGTCAAGCACTCCACCTTCGAGTGCGTGAACCGATACCCCTCAAGAATGTGGGGGTTGACCCGCCATGGGTGCGGCAGGTCCGCATATCCAATCAACCGCTTCTCCTGGGCCAGCAGGATCGCCCGGTCGATGTTGTCCTTCATCGCTTCTTTGGCCCGACGCGCCCGCTCCATGCCCTCATCGACGACCTCCCGAGCATGTACCAGGCTCGAGTCCATCGCCTTCCACGCACCGTCCAACGCCCCGTCCAAGCCGCGGTCCCATCCGGCGTGAGCACGAGACTCGAGCTCGACGAGGAAGGACTCCATCAGGCGGACACCGGCTTGAGCCTTCTGCTCCAACGTTTCCTTCGTGGCCAGGGCGTCCTTGTAGCCATCCTCCAGGGTGTCCACCAGGATCTTGGCGCTCTTCTTGCCGCTGCCCATAAGCTCCCCTGAGGCGTGAGAGCAGGAGTCCCGGACGGCCTCTAATGTAGCGTAGCCGCGACGAAGGCTGGCATCGATCTGGTCCATGTGAGATTTGCCATATTGCTCGATCCACAGTAGTCGTCGCTCCAGCTCGGTCAGAAAGAGTTCGACCTGGGACCCATTAGCTAAAATTCCGAGCACCACCGGATAAGATTGGGCGGCCATACCCTCAGAAACACCGCATCTGCGTCATAGTCCAAGGATAACTTCCGAGCCGTGTGGAAAGAGTGACGTCGCCGACGGTCTCGTAGTAAACTGGTTTCCTCGGAGGGGGTTGCGTAGGCGGAAGTGTTGGCCTCAGGATAAGACTCGATGGTCATGGATTGCGCAGAGCAAGCCATGGTGTGTACCGTATACCGTTTCAGCCGTCAATCGAACCAGTAGCTAGTTTAGGAGATCGACTCGCATATCCTGGAGGGGACCAAAAGGAAAAAGAAGGGGAAGAGTCAGTGGGAGAGAAGATCAACGTTGGGGTGGAGATCGGGAGGATCGGGAATCGGCGGGACGGCCGAAGCAGAACATACAGCTGCAAGTTGGGGACAAACTAGAGAAATTTCGGGTGGCTGCAAGGGAGAGTAGCGCTAGGATGAGTGGAGAGGAGGGTAGGGAAACAGGGAAAAGGCTAATGATAATAATCCTAAAGAAAAATGAGAGACACCTCTTAGGAGAGAGAGGGAATTGATTAGGTATTAGGAGAGGGGGGAGGAGAAGGGAAGAAGAAGAGAAGAAGAGAGAAGAGGTTGAAGAGGGGAAACCCGACAATATTAATCCCATCAATAATCGCAACCAATCTCTCTATCCTTTCCTTTCCTTTCCCCGCCGGCCCTTCATTACTCAACTTGGCAAATGTCCACTTTTTTAAGGCTCAACTGCTAAGGAACCATTCTTTCTCCAATCACTTACAGCTTACTACGACGTTGCAGACCAGTATTGGCTCTTCATTTCGCCGCCGTTCTTCTTGTCAGTCCTTCACTTTAGCCCATCAGCGCCCGGCTTGCCTCCACGTTGGGTCATTCTTATCCGCGCTCGCCACCAGCCACCCGCTCCGAACCATCCACCATACTTCGCTCGTCCACCTGCAGCCAGCTGTTCCTTTCACCTGACGCGCAGCATTTCCCTCACCATGGCCATTCGGGACATTGTTGTTAACCCTTCCCTGCTGCCGGTGCTCAATCTAAGCGCCGAGACCCGCGACCAATGCATGCAATTGCTCGCCGTGCTCGACCCGTCGGCTGACTCCTACCCTGACTCCGAACAACGCGCCCTGGCAGCTTCCAAGGAACAGAAGCAGCTGTTCGCTCTTCTGGCTCGGCTGCGCGGGCTCAATCGGGATGCCATTCTGCGCGTGCGAGAGACCAAACAGGCGACCGCAGAGGCTCGCCAGGAGATCGATCGCCTGCATCTCCAACTGCAGAATCTCTACTACGAGCAACGACACCTGACGGGGGAGATCGCTGCCTGCGAATCCTATGAGTATGTTTTGGTGATCCTACGGACAGATGACAAAGAACTCTGATCTCATAATTGCAGTCACAAGTACCTTGCCCTACCGTTGATCCCGCTGGAGGAATTCCTCACGTTACATCCCGAGCACCGCGAATCGGACGAGCACGAGCTCATGATCGCCCGCATCAACCACGAACATGCTGAACGCGAGAAGCTGGAGCAAGCGCGACAGGAGCTCTTGAAGCGGAAGCAGGCTTTGATTGCGGAAAACAACAAACGCAAGGAGGATTTGGCCAGCTTGGACCAGGACTTGGAGCGCTTTATTGACGTAAGTCTCGGTTCCAGCGAGTTTTTGACGAGGTTGCTAACCCCTGGCAGGCCGCCAAGCCTATCCAAAAGATTTTTGAAAAGGAGTATTAGCGGGGGATGAGCTTTTTGTAGTTATTGCATGGATTGGCGCACTGGTTAGATACCCAAGAATGGTTTGATTTGAACAAGACAAAGATCTCTAGTAGCTGCTGTAAAAGCGTGTTCCCTTGTAATGCCACACCGTCAACTGGTGTCCGCCTCTCCGCCTCTCCGCCTTCCGCCCTCCTCTCCGCAACCTCAGCTTCACCAACCCCAACAACTCCAACTCTCCTCGAACTCACCCATCTGGTCTTGCGCCAGATTACACTGCCTAACTCAAAGCATGCCCTGGTCATGATCACCAAGTATGAAGACCCGTCATCATCTCACACCGTCTCCACAAGCCCCGACCACACTATGACCGTCAGCACCACCTCGCCGCCCCCGCCGCCGCCGGAGAAACCGGAGGCTATCCGGACACGATTCAAGGTCATTGCAGCCTTCTGGGCTGTGATCATTTTTCTCGGCTTTCCAATCTGGTGGAAGACAACATCTATCTATCGAGCCTCCTTGCCCATCCCGGATATGATCGATTGGGCCGACGGAAAGGTCCGCATCTCGAGCCCCGAAAGATGCATACCTGGCTGACTGATAGCCAATTGTTTTAGACCTGTCGTCCTGTTTTCCCACTCGAGATTCGTGTCGAGACCCCTTCTCTGCCGGAAGCAGAGGCTCAGCACTTGCTTCGGACCACTCAACACACTCTCGATGACCTGAACGAGTTCTCCGCACATCATCTGCGTCTGAAGTTATCCAACGATAATGTGGAGGAGCAGCTGGAGGAAACCGCAGATACGGCCTTGACCGTGCGCCTCCTGCCACAAGACGACCTAGTCAATCCCAAATCTGTACTTCAGTCCGACACCACTCAGCTAGATGTCTTTTACTCTCCAAGCCAGATACCGCCCCTATCGTCTTCCAACCCGCCGTTGTCCGCTTATATCGCAGGTGAGCTTCAGCAGCTGTTCACCGAGGAGAAGGCCATCATTGCGCAAATCCTGTCAAACAGCCATGCATCCAGCGCGGTAGCCACCGGGCAGCCGTCCTCGGCTGTGCTTTCCTCCGTCTCACCTCAGCTCGCGGACAGCATCGCCAAGCGCCTCCGTCGCTCGATGAAGTATGCCGATACCTATCATCTCGCCTTTTCCTTGTTCACCCCGGGTGCAGAGCCCTCATCCTGGGACATCCAAGCCGCGGTTCACGAATACATCACTCCTCTGCTACAAGCCTTCTCTCCGATCAGCAATTTCACCGTCGACACACAAGTGCAGCTGTACGCGACCTTTGCACCCACAGCCCCGGCGCCTGAGTACGATGAGGGCCTCGCAGTCTGGTCCTTGAAGCCCGAGGATCTTAGCGCCTTCATTAATGCGGCTGAATGGCCTCTCAGTCCCAGCATCGGTCCTGGTCCGACGATCAACTTTATTCTTTATGTGCCTGATGCAGCGCAATCTCCCTTGGTTGTCAAAGATAGTCTAGCCACCAGCTGGGTCGTTCCGCAGTGGGGCGGCGTCTTTCTTCTCAACCCCCCCAACGGCACTCACCTGCATCACCTATCACACGAAGCGCTCCAGGGCGCCTTCATGACATTCTCCCATCAGCTCCTCACCCTGCTCGGCGCACCTACCACTCCGGCTGCGCTGCCATTCCGGCTGCAGACCCTTACACGAATCCGGGCTGCCAGTCTCCTACTCTCCGCTTCCTCTACCATGGGCTCCCTTGCTCGTCTCACCGAGTCACTTCCTTCCATTCCGATCCCGGCCACCGTGGCTGCCTCTGTTGCCACGACCCTCTCGCATCTGACCTCAGCCTGTGAACATCTCCGACGGGGACGGTTCCAGGCCGCACTAGCGGATGCACGCGTGGCCGAGACGGCGGCGGAGCGGAGCTTCTTCGAGAAGAGCATGGTGGGCCAGATGTATTTCCCGGACGAACACAAGGTGGCTGTGTATCTGCCTCTGTTGGGCCCGATTGGCGTTCCACTCATTGTCGGCTTGCTCAAGGAGGTCAAGAAGGCATTAGCAATGCGCAAGGCCAAGAAGGCTTCCTAGTCCGCGTTAAAACAGTATATAGTATCCTTCAAGCATGTATTTTTTCTTTCTCTCTAATAAGACACAACAAGATAAATCAGAAACTCGCTAAACATATAATCAGGACTATTAAGATTAAGTCATGCAAGACTCATAACCATGCTAACACAGTCATGAGATAACAAAACAGAGACCAACAAGCAAAAACGCTTTACTCAAAACACCACACTCAAATTACCAGTATACATGTACAACGAAATCAAAAAATCATCTACCCGCGCTGCGACCCCAACCTCGAATTCCCCCTACTCAACCCCCCACCAGCCCCCTGCCCATCCTCGGAAAACGCTCCCATCGCCCGCGGATTTGTGGGATACGCATCCGGCTTCAGGACTCCCGTCGTCGCAAACACGCCGGGAGGCGTATACACGCGGATACTCTCTGTTCTGGGCAACGCCGGAATCACCGGCGCAGAGCTATTGACCCCTCTACTGCTGGTAGTAGTATTGGTAGCAGCAGCCGCAGCAACGCCGGGCCGCCCCTCCTCTGTCTGCTTCTTGGCCACAAGGTTTCCGTTAATGTTGAGCGGCAACGGCGGCACAGGCACAGGGACCCGACTACTACCACTGCTGCCTCCCCCTTTCTCCGGCACCAGCACCGTCTCATACGCCGCGACCCCTGCGGCTGCTCTCGCATTCATTCCACCGTCTCTTTGATACGCGGGGTTGTGCGGGTTGAACAGACTCCGCACCCGGCCGCCGGTCTTTTGGATCATCGAGCGGGAGCGCGAGCGCGAGCGGCTAGTTGCTGTTGTTGCTTTCGAGGCCCGCGATTGCGTGCGTCGGAGGAGGAAGTCCGTGCGGTAGGCGGTCTCGTCTGAGGGCATGGGCGAGGAGATCCCGATGAGCGTGCCCTTGGATGAGCGGCGCGTGAACTGGGCGACTTTGGCGGACGCTGGCTGGTGTTTGCGGCGGTAGGTGCGGTAGAGGACTAGGGAGAGGAGGGTGGCGGTTACGCCGAGGAGCATGCCCGGGAAGAAGCCGGCGAGGATCGCCGCTGTTGGGTATTGCGGGCAGGTAAGTGGGGATGCTGTTGTGTTCGTGTTTGTGTCTTGGGAGGTGGTGGAGGATTTCGAGACGCGGGGGTCCGTGGCGGAGATGGCTGTTGCCAGGGAGGACGGCGTCGAGGAGGATGTGGTTGATGCGGTGGAGGAGATCGTTGCGGTGGGCTTTGTGGTTGATGCTGTTGCAGTCGATGCGGTCGATGTGTCCAGGCTGCAGAGCGAGTTACCTGTGCAGGTGTAGCCGAATGGACAGCATTTCGAGCCGCACTTGGCCAGGCTTTCGTCGAGGCGGGTGGTGTGCACGCTGTTCTTGGGGTGCGAGGTTGCGTTCTGCAGCTGCACGTCGCAGGTTATCGGCTCGATGTAGTCGCAGCTTTGCCCGGCTGGACAGCAGATGGCTGAGCTGGAGTCGTCGAGACTGATGCAGGTTGAGGTGCTGGGACAGCAGAATGTGCTGGGGAGGTTGCTACCAGAGCATTGCGTGTAGTCGCTGGGACAGGTGTCGTCGCTCCGCGGCAACAAGATGCCAACGGCCTGCGTTGGCGAGATTGTTGTAGCGAGCAATCCAAATAGCAGTAATTGCATTGGCGAGGTGCCCTTTTTCGTGACCATTGTGACTCTTTGGGAACAGAAATAGCTAGAGAGGACTTATTAAGAGAGAAAATAGTGGCAGAAGGGTCAGGGACGCCCGGTGTATTGTCTGTACAATAGTCGGGGGCTGAGTGAAAGAGCGTGGAGGTGCAATGAAAGAAAGTTCTAAGACAATGGGTTTGAGAATGAAAGAGAGGAAGAGAGAGAGCCCCGTCGAACAAAGAGCGCTTGGAAGCTGCCTGCAGTAGAATCAGGTCCTGAAGAAGATCTCCCTCCCGTCCAACTCATTGCGATTTGCTGCCCAAGCTGTTCTGCATGCATCATGCTATTGCAATCCCAGACGACAGCAGGCGCCGAAGCCCAGAATAGCGACGAAAAACGGGGCACATGGTCGACGGACTAATGATGAAGAGACAGTTAGGCGCCAGAACAGGTCCTTCAGACTTGGACTGGACGAGAAGCCTGAATGAGTGCTGCGAAACGTCAGATAGACCGGCGCGTAGTTGAATGTTGTTGTTTCAACCTGAGCGGTTTGATGCAGAAGTAAATCCCGACCCGCTGATTGGCCCGTGTTGGCGCCTGCTTACCTTAGCCGCACTAGTCCCAATTTGGTAATCTTTCGATCTGGAGCGGAGGAAATTCTGCGGTTTGGAATCCCATCGCTGCTCGTCAAGCACGACTTCCCCTGCTCTATCCCTCCACCCCCAGATCACCATGTTGAACCGACTTCTCCGGCCGCAGCCTACGCTGCGCGCAGCCTCCTCCCTCACTCAGGTGAGCACTTGCCCACCCTCCAGCTGGCTGCATTGACGCCCCGACTGACAGCGCGGACAGAAGCCCGTCTCCGCGCTCCCATGCTTCCAGACCCGTGCCTACCACCGTGTGCCTACGCTTGCCCACGAGTCGCAGTTCAAAAACAATGGTATCCCGGAATTTATGTCGCCAGAGGCCTTTGACTTTGCCTGGACACAATACCAGACCCTGCTTGTCGACAAGCTGAATCTGTTGACACAGGGTGAGTACCAACTCCGCGGACCTCTCTCGGCCTACCAAACACACCGGGACTCTAACAATTTTCTTTAATCCAAAGACACCGTCGATGCCGATGCGAAGCCCGGAGAACTGCTGGTCAAGTACTCCCGGCGTCCGGAGATGGCCTCCGTGTTCAACTACGCCTCAATGGCTCACAACAACCACTTCTTCTTCAACTGCCTGGTACGACTCGGACCTTCCACGATGCCTTGAAAAGGAAAAGAAAAGAAAAGAAAGAAAAGAAAGCTTTCAGAATCTAATTCTTCCCCAACAGTCTCCCACCAAAACCCAGATGCCCGAGAAGTTCGAACGAGACGTGACCGAAACGTGCTCGTCGGTAGAGTCGCTGAAGCTCGATTTCCTTGCCACGGCCAACGCGATGTTCGGGCCTGGTTTCGTCTGGCTGGCCAAAAGCTTGGAAAAGGAGGGTATGCTGCACGTTTTCTGCACCTACAACGCCGGCTCGCCCTACCCTGCGGCGCACTCGCGCCGCCAAGGGGTCGACATGGCCACGCACACTCCCGAGACTCAGCTGGGCAACCAGCACGCCGGAGCGATGGGCGCCCACGCGCCCAACCAGAAGAACATGGCTCCCGGAGCGGTGGATGTGCAGCCGATTCTGTGTGTCAACACCTGGGAGCACGTGTGGATGATGGATTACGGAATCGCCGGCAAGGAGGAGTACCTGGAGCGGTGGTGGGATCGGATCAACTGGGAGGTGGTGGCTGACAACTATAACCGGATCAGCGTGAATAAGGGGCTGCGCTCCAATGTTCCCACCTGGAACCGCAGTCTGAACATGGTGTAATTTTCTTTTGCCGGATGGTTTGATAAATTGTATTATACACATGGGTTTCTCTTTTTTTTCTTTTCCTTCTTCTGGCATCTATGGTCTAATAAAGTACAAGCATTCCCCCACTTGGAATATAGACATGAATCCTTTCTTCCACTCTTTCTTGCCCGCAGTGTTGAAGGTAAACACCTCCAACTCTTTACATACACCCTCGGCCACCCATCCACAGGTATTACCGCCGCCCAACGACCTCCCCAATCCTCTTCTCGAACGCCTCAATCATAACCCCAGCCATTTGCCCCTCCACGGCGCTCATCATGGTAGCATGCCACTGGTTCTTGAACTCAAACCCAATCTCCAAATGCACCCTGGTCATATTCCCCTGTCCCCCCATTTCCCCGGTAACATCCACCAACTCCCACTTGGTGCTCAAATACTCGAAGATCCCTTCCTCCGCCCCCGGAAACCCGAACCCAAATCCGCCTGCGTTCCCCGCGCTGCTGGAGCTGCTACTCACATCCTGTCCATCCTTCTTCTCCACCCCGAACCGCGCCCCACTCTGCGCCGTCACCGTCAGCCGGTCCGCGTCGCAGTCCACCTTCGAGGTGAAGGTCTCGCTGAGCGGACCGTAGCCGACGGTGAGAAAGGCGCGCGTCGGGTAGTTTGTCGCGGGGTCGCGGTGGGTGACGGTGCTGGCGGTGAGGAAGGGGAGGAAGGAGGCGTAGGACTGGACGTCGGAGATGACTTCGAAGAGGGGGCCCGGTGGGTAAGGGAGCGTGCGGGTGGCGGTTAGGCGGCGGGTGCGCGAGGAGGGATCGTCATTCTTGTTGGAGCCATTGGGGCTGTTTCCGGGGAGGAAGGAGGAGAGGAAGGTTCGGCGCTGTTGCTGGTTTGTGGGTTTCTGGGTTTGGAGTCTGGGTGGTGTTGTTGCGGTTGTGGTGATGCGGAGGGGATGCGTTGACAATGTCGATAGTGGTTGTTCGGTCTGGGGGGACTGTAGGAGGCGACGAGTGGGCTTAACTTGCCGTATCGTTTGGATGAGTGGTGTGCGCATCTTGTTGGTACGGGGAAAGGGGAGGTAAATCGTGAAGGATTGTGAAAATGGATTGTGGCGAGAATAGAAGAGAAGTTGAGGCCGACGCGGTATCTTGGGTTTTTTTGAGAATCTTGCCTGTTTGGGTCTGCTTCCGAAGCGGAGTTTGTTCCGCGGTCTCTGCTATCCAGGAACTGTACCTGAATTGAACTATATCCATTCATCTACCAGCTTTTTTTTCCCTCCTTCCACGCTTGATATGCTAGCTTGTTAGTACTATACCATTTATCTCTGACAATCTTCTGGTCCTCGAGTGACTCGAAATCTCACATGCTTGATGCTATATCTTCCACCTAGTTGAATAGTCCCAATAACTAGTTCATGGGGCCCCATATTCGGCCAAGATTTCCCAAATTCATCAAGATGAGCTGACAAGGGATCGCACTGTCTGTGGGAGAGAGCCTTGCATCTGCTTCGACGGATGGGGGTTGTGACTTCTTAAGAAGGAGACTAGTATATGCTTCTTTCCTTATAAATCACTTTCACCCTGGCTCCTCCTGCTCCCCATTCTCTCTTTTGCAGACATGAGATAACGTTTTATTTCAACTAGATTGCTTATCAGAGAGTTTGAATAGCAATGCTTATAACATATGTCTTCCTATTCTTCTTCTACCGAAGTGTTCTTGGAATTACCACAAGGCTTCTGGAACAATATCCGGCTAACACTGAGCGCATTGAGAGAACTCGAACGCAGATATAGTCTTGTACCTCTTCCACCCCCAAGGTCTGAAGCTTCCCAAGCCTAAGTGTAGGATTGCTGAGCTGACATCGACTAAAGCCCTGTTGAACCCTTCCACTTTGCCCCTTTCTCCTCACCGCAAGTCCGGACTGCCTGGAGTCCATCAGGCAACTCGCTCGACATGGAGGCCCCAATATGCCTGACATACGGGGTGTATGATCTTAGCTACCTCGCTCACAGCTTGATAGCTGATTCTCTAGTTTCTAGTGCCCAAAACCTCCATGGTTCAGCAACCGCCTCACAAGTATATCGACGCTCGATGATCCGAAATCAACGACTCCATCTGGGTAAACAGAATCCGGCGTTCGAATTGATGTCAACCAGTGTATTTGCACTTAGAACAACTAGATCAACTGCATCTTGTCTAGCATCATGGATTGAGGCTCACCATTGCCGGCAGGGAGGTGCCCGGATTTTTCGTCTAGCTGGTCAGCCCAGTAGTGTTCCTCAGCTTGGCTAACAGCTTAAATTGGGAAAAGCCTACGCAACAACGAGACAGGGCACGCGTTTTTGTGCATTGAGATTGCACCTGTCAAAGATGATCAAGTCAAATACCTTTGCACGCGCTGCCAGGACTTGGGTTGACTCAACAGGTTCCATGTTTACTGTAACAACGAATTGAACCCGATATCCGAGTCTCCCAGTAACAGTCCAGTGTTTTCTTTCTTACGTGCTCACTCATCTTTCTTTATGTTCTCTCTTCCCGTTCTTGGTCGTGCTCGGGCTTCGTGCCTGAGCAGAATAATCTGTGAGAAAACACTCAGCTATGTTTTTAATAATAAGTTATAGATTTATAACAGTGAACTATTTGAGCATAGCTTATCGTTCACTCGGGCCTGGAATCCCATACTGCAGCGAAAAGACGAACCTCCCATCCAAACTTATGTGGCGTGGGGAATGGAATCCTGCGAGTATATCCCGGACTTACCACGGAGATAACCCCGGCCATCAACGGCGATAGCGAGAGCTAACCACCTCGCCATCCGCAGCTCACTTCATCATCGATTTCCTTAATTCTACATGTTACACAAAAGCCTCGCTTGAAATACTACTCAAACTCTCTCCAATACCACTAATTTAGTCTCTTAACGCATCATTATTTGAAATGACTGACGCCAACAAAGCACCCCAACTTAAGGAAGGCAAACGCACCCGCGTCCAACTATCTTGTACAGCATGTAGAGCACGCAAGCAAGTACCCCTAATAATGACACACACTTTTCTCTCTTTTCCTGAAATATCCAGTGCCAAAGAGGATTGTTAACAAGGTCCCAGGTTAAAGTGCTGTCGCACCCATCCCTGCACCAACTGTAGAAAGCGTGGCGAGGCCAGCTCGTGCACCTTCGTCGGCCGCGGACCGCGGGGAAAGACTTCACAAGGACGAGCAAGTCCCACACATGTTCAGGATCGGTTACAGCACCTGGAGAATTTGATTCTGTCGCTGACGCAGCAGCGGAAGCTGGAACAACCTACAGAGGAGGATGGCGATAGTGAAGCGATTGAGCGGGGAGAGGTGGACGACTTCAACAGCCTGGAACCGACAAATGCGAGAGATGCTCCCCCTGCTCATAGCTCTGATAGACACGACAATGGGGCAACCGGGGATCGGCGCTCGCCATTGTCGGAGCTGGGGACAAGGTCTCATACCCTTACTCCCGAGGGATCGCTGTCTGACCCCCCTGGGAAGTTGGTGGCTCAGGAAGCCGAAACGAGGTACATTGATGGGGCACATTGGAGGGCTGTATTAGAAGAGGTATGTTGTCTCATGCTGGATTCTCTTGTCCCAGCGGCTTCTGTGTAGGAAGGAGGCTAAACGTCGGCAGATCAGCGAGGTGAGGGAGTATCTGCGCGAGCAAGATGCGCATTCGGACGATGAGCTTGCCCAGAATGAGGCGACTGATGTAGCTGGGCCGACTTTGTTGCTGGGACTGCACAAACCACTTAAAAAGGAGGAGCTGCTGGCAAGTCTACCGCCGCGGCCGATAACAGATCGGCTGATTGCGCAGTGGCTCAATTCCAAAGAGCCTGTGATCAGTGAGTCTTCAACCAATCTCAGAAGAAGCAGCGATGGCTAATACTTCAAGTGATCACACACATACCAACCTTCCAGAAAGAGGTAAATGCCCGGAGAGCAAGTCTTCGATGGCTATCGCAGCTGACAATCGCAGTATAATCAATTCTGGGACAGACCGCACGATGTGTCCTTACCCTGGCTGGCTCTTTTGTATTCCTGTATCACAATGGCGGTTGCCTTTCATCAGCGGGCCGGCGATCCTGGGCCACTGTCACTGGGAGATTCTGCTGAAGCCATGGATACCTTCGGAAAGCTCACGGCGCAATGTCTCGTCCAGTCAAACTATACCACCCCTGCAAAATACAAAGTTGAGGCGCTCTTCCTCTACACGATGGCTGAATTTTTACGGAGTGACGACGCACAAGTCGGCGTGTCATTCCTTCTCGGCATCACGATCCGCCTGGCCATGCGAGCAGGGTACCATCGCGACCCGAAACACTTTCCTGAGATGTCCGCATTTGACGGCGAAATGCGTCGACGTGTGTGGACTATCCTCCGCCAACTGGACATTCTCATAAGCTTCCAGGTTGGCGTACCACGAACAGTCCAAGAGTGGCAACATGACGTGGAGCTACCTCGCAACTTGTCCGACGAAGACTTCGATGAGAACACCAAGGAGCTACCTCCATCCCATCCCGAAGAGGTATACACATTGATGTCGTATACTCGAGCGAAATCGCGGATCATGAATGTTTTCGGCAGGATCGCAGATCTGGCCTTCTCGCGCGAGCCGGTCACCTACGATGAGACACTCGCTCTTGATCGACGTCTGGACGAAGCGCACGATCTTGTGCCTGTTATGTTCAAATTGCGACCACTAAGCCAATCCATCGCTGACCCATCGGACATCATCCTCCGACGTTACACCGTGGAGTTGCTGTATCTGAAGTCGCGGTGCGTGCTGCACCGGAGATATCTTGGCGAGGACCATACCAACCTGCGGTATGCGTACTCTCGGTGGGTGTGCATGAGTTCCTCGAAAGAAATCCTTCGGTGCCAAGCGGATCTCTACCAAGAGACACAACCAGGAGGCCTGTTATACCGGGATCGCCAATTCCCCACTGCACTTCAATATGCGGATTACCTGCTGGCCGCGATGATCATCTGTCTGGAGTTGTCGCATACACGCACGACGACCCCACCCGTTGGCGGAGGCACCAGCGATGATATTGCAGTGGTAGTCCGGGGTTCGGAGGAATTGCTGTCTGCGCTGGAAACGTCGCACCGGATCTTTGGTGAGATGCGACACCGGTCGGCCGATGCGCAGCTGGGGTATGCCGCCATGACGATCATGCTTCGGCGGGTGAAACAGCAGCGTTCAGAGCAGGAGGGTCAGAGTGAGCCTACTCACTCAAGTAAGTAGCCTGTGCATGTTGTTCTACCTATCAGGAAGGAACTAATTGGTACCTACAGGCTTTCCTCCCGCGTATGGAAGCTGGCAACTGGAGGCTCCAAGCTCGCTGGATGCGCTGGATATTCAACCCATGGACGGGGTCACTCCAGGGTATGCCTCTTTGGATGTGATTGGGGATATGCTGGACACTCCTACCAACATGGACTGGGTGAGTTCTTCCTTCCTGTGAGAAAACAAATATACTGACTGTCGTAGCGTCTCTGGGATCTGCAGATATATGGCATCGAGGGACAAAACGCGGGAAATGCAGGGACTCAACCGGTCATTAACGACGTGCTTCAGCCATACTAACCAGGAACTATTCATTATATTTTATGCTGAGCTGGCAGCTACCGGCCCACCGCACCATATATTCTGTGATCGAGATTGCCACTGCCTTCATCGACAGTTCAGGCCCAGAGACTGAGTCATCTCCGGGTTCTTCTACGTAGTCAAAATCGATATTACTTTAGGCAGTGTCAAATATGTAACCTGATATTCATTCTAAAACAGAACTAAATCACGAGCGCAAGGTACCAGAAGCAATCATTGCGAGTTTATGTGCGATAATTCGCTTTGTCGACACCGGTGGGACGATCATGCTCGACAGGCGCAGACCTGGCCACTAGATATACCCAGCCTGGTACATGCTGCTGGGGCCTTCAAAGCACATACTCTTGCAAGCTGGGCCGTATATCTGGCCACCTTCGAGGAGATAGACCTCGCAGTCAAAGACACTCGAGAACTTGAGGTGAAAGGCAGAGGTTGTGCTCGCCATCTTGTTGGTGGGATCGCCGAGGAGAATTCATAAGACTACAAACATAAGAATATAGCAAGTCCGAAGGTCAAGACCAAGGTGAGTCCTGCAGTCCTTAAGGTTTTCTGCTATCAAGAGACTCATTCCAGCTGCCAACAATTGGGTCCGTTTGAATGAATTCCATAGTATCCCGTCTTCGTCATACTTTGGTAGCCAGTATAGAGCGAGCCTGCGGCAAAGGAGTTAAGGAGAAGGCAGGTAGAATTGCCCACAAGCGATATGCGTCGGCCCTACCAAGATGCGACCCTTATTTATCGCTCATAAGCTGGATCTCGAACATCACTCATGTTGAGTTGTTGTATGCAGTGGCAATATCTATAGATAAAGATCAGTAGCTTAATCGGAACATTGTGGCTCCGGTCCCGTGGCGAGGGTGGAGCAATAGACTGCCGACAGCCTCAACCCGCGCCCAGCTTGCGAGTCTACATCACACTGGTCCTGCCTCTCCTAGGATCGCTACCCATAAAACGTCATGGCTTCCTTACTCGGAGCTGGCTACGAGTCAAGCGACGATGACACCGCTCCCTCCGCCCCGCAAACCCAGCCCCCGGTGCCGTCTGCGACCAAGATTGTCGCGGCGCCCGAAGTGAATACAGAGGTTTGGTCCCTTGAGATTCTCTGCTTGATAGCCAATGGAACCCCGGCCTCCGTTGCCAAACCACTCGAGCCCACACAGCTAACATCCCTACAGGATCAAGCGCACATGCAGATGATGCTGGCTAATACGTCCTCCACCGCCCTCACCTACAACGCCACATACGATGACCTCTCTCGACCATCGCAAGGCCCGGCCAACCCTTTCAAGCCCGCCGGCGCGGCCAACGGCGCCAAGCGCAAGAACGTGCCGACGGGCTACGCTGAAGAGGCAGCCATCAGCGAAGCGATGTTTACGGCACAACACCGCACGTTCCAGAGTCTCGGCTACACACGCAACCCGACTGTCCCCGAGCAATTCGTCGGCAACCTCGCCCACGCAGCGCAGTTCGGCGGCCGCGACGTGATCCAGATGAAACCGTCGAAGGAGGTCTCCGCGGCGCTGCGCGCCAAGCGACAGAAGAAGGGCGACTCGAGCATCGTCGAAGGGGAGGGCGCCTACCTGGGCCCGTGGGCCAAATACCAATCCGACAACCACTACTATGAAGATGCAGAAGCTGTGGAAGGCGCAGAGGACCGCGAGCTAGCCAGCGACGAGGAGTACGTGTACGAGGACGAGGCGGACGCGGCGGCGGCACCACCATCGCACATCCCCGCGGCGATGGACAAACTAGCGACGGACTACCAAGACGACACGGGCAACGCGGAGACGACCGAGTTTCACGGCAGCGAGCAATTCGACTACCTGGGGCGGACGTACATGCACATTCCGCAGGATCTGGACATCGACCTCCGCAAGGAGCCGGGCAGCACGAAGAACTTCATCCCCAAGAAACTCATCCACACGTACAAATCGCACACGAAGGCGATCACATCGCTACGGTTCTTCCCGCGGGCGGGCCACCTCCTCCTGTCCTCGGCGGCGGACGGGCAAGCCAAGATCTGGGACGCGTACCACTCGCGCGAGCTGCTGCGCACGTTCTCGGGCCACAGCAAGGCGATCACGGACACGGACTTCCACCCGACGGGGACGACGTTCCTCACGGCCTCGTACGACCGGCAGATCAAGCTGTGGGACACGGAGTACGGCAAGTGCGTGGGGCGGTTCTCGACGGGCAAGACGCCGCACGTGGTGCGGTTCAACCCGTCGCCGGAGCTCTCGCACGAGTTCCTGGCGGGCATGTCGGACAAGAAGATCGTGCAGTTCGACACGCGGTCGGGCGAGCTCGTCCAGGAGTACGACCACCACCTGGCGGCCATCAACACCATCACCTTCGTCGACGACAACCGCCGCTTCATCTCCACCTCGGACGACAAGTCGCTGCGCGCCTGGGAGTACGGCATCCCCGTGCCTATCAAGTTCATCGCCGAGCCCTACATGTTCGCCCTCACCCGCGCCGCGCCCCACCCCAACGGCAAGTACGTCGCCTTCCAGTCCGGCGACAACCAGATCGTCGTCTACGGCGCCACCGACAAGTTCCGCCAGAACCGCAAGAAGAGCTTCCGCGGCCACAACAACGCCGGCTACGGCATCGACATCAAGATCTCCCCCGACGGCCAGTTCCTCGTTTCGGGAGACAGCGCCGGCTACGTCTGCTTCTGGGACTGGAAGACCGGCAAAATGTACCACAAGATCATGGCCGGCGGCAAGGAAGGTGGCGCCACCACCTGTCTGGATTGGCATCCCCAGGAGACCAGCAAGGTCGTCACCGGTGGTCTGGATGGTATCATTCGCTATTGGGATTGATTGCGTCGTCGTCGACTTTGCTCTTTCCTTTTACTTTCGCGGGAAAAGGGGCATGGGGTTATGGATCATGTTCTTCCTTCTTATCCTTTTTTTTTTTAATATCTTCATAGATATGGGCCCTTCGTCGCCGGTTTCTTGGGACGGTTAGTAGTATAGGTGCTGTACATGCATACATACATACATACATACTACTTTCCGCAGCGACCAGCTTGTTTCTCTTCCCCAGGGCAACAGTGTCTGTCCGGTTTCAATTAACCACAAAAGGAAATCTCACCCTTTTGAGGTCTACATGAGCTAGATTATAATTGCTAGCCTTCTGGTCATCCCCAAGTGAATCCGTCAGATATGTTTCCCGTAGACCCCGTACCAGTCCTATACATATATATATTCACGAATACTTAAATAGATGTAGAATTTTTCTTCAACCTTCATGATGCGAACTACCATCATGCATCTCACCGCTACTGGTACTGTCCGTACCGTATATATACACAAATGAACATCATATATCCTCAACCCATAGCCGCGCGGTCCTAGAAACTAGCCATCTCAATCCAGCTAGCCACGAAAGCCAGCGTGCGGCCCCGATCCATCGCCATGCGCTGCGCGAACTCCTCGAAGTTGAGCTTAGCGCCGCTGCCGCCGCGCTCTTTGGCTTCGCGTTCCACTTTATTCAGGTAGGCCCAGCGGGATAGCGTCACCGGAGAAGGGGGGAGCGTCGGGCTGGGTCGTTTGGGGAGGGTGGAGGATGGAGGCGGAAGGGGTTGAATGGGGGAGGGGGAGAGCTTGGGGGCCGTGGCTTCGGCTTCGGGGGAGGATGCCGGGAGAGGGGAGGCGGGTGCTGGGAAGGAGATTGGGTTGGTAGGGTCGAGACGGAGTTCGCTGGGGAGGTCGGTCTGGTGAGAGGGGAGAAAAGCGGGTGATGGGCTGCGGGTTGTGGTTTGGTGGAAAGTCGGGGTGGTTGTGAGGAGGTCGTCCTCGTTGGGACGGTGGTGGGGGAGTGTGGGATCGTAGTATGATGCTGCAGCGGAGGACGGACAACTGTCTGCTGGTTCCGAGGCAATTGAGGAGGTGGATAGAGAAGGCGAAGAGGGAGATATCGCGTGAGGCTGATACCAGTTCCCGGTTTCGTGAAGAGCCGCAGACTGATTCATTGTGCCCAGCTCCTCTGCAATACCTTCCGACTCGGTAGGGTCAATGAGCGATTCAACATCCTCATCTGGAATGTGCAACTCTGGTGTTGGAGGCGCCAAAACCTGGGCGGGTTCAAGTGTAGGACTTTGGACGGAATATCCTGCCCGTTGAAGGAGTTCATCAAGAGATCTGTCGCGAATCATGCTCTGCATTGCTGCCTCTGGCTCCCCCTCATCGGCTTCAGCTTCCGGCTGTACGACAGGAACTTCTTGAGCAGCCTGGCTGCCATGCTCCATCTGCTCGGTGAGTTCGATTTCGCGGGCCCATATCTTACGCTCAGCCCGGGTCTCGTAGACCTCCATAAGCAGATCCTCCTTCGGCTTGAAAAGGATGTCGAGTAGTTCGTTGAACCCTTGTTGAGTGACTTGATACAGAATCTCTTTTCCAACATCTCTTTCCACTTCAGGGACCTCAAAGCCGCCCCACCGTTCACTCACAAGGATGCTTCGCGAGGAGGTCGACGGATTCGATCTCACGTCATAATCGTCAGTCAGGTCATCCTGGAATCGCACCTTGGATGAGGAGCGAGAACGGGGAGATGGCGGGTGTGACTCCGATGTGGCTGGGTGTGTTTCGTCAACCTCATGGTCGTCCTCTTCATCTGAGCTAGCTGCATCCGTGTCGCTTTGGTAGCCAACGGGGGCGGTGGCGCCATCTTCTTCGTCCGTGTAGAAACCTCTTCGTCTCCATCGGTCGTGAACCCCCATTCGGCGGGTCACGTGGAGACGAACCTGATCCGTGGCATACATCCTATTGTATACAGCCGTGCCGATGCGAGCCCGATCAACAGGATCTGTGATCTCATGAACAGGAACGTAAGCTCCAAGAGCGCTAACAATGTCCTCGTTGCGAATGTGCTCCGGAGGAGGCCATCGATCGCTGGCACCAGACGAACTCGATGCATCATCAGCTGCAACCCCGGCTTCATCGGTGTTCGTTCCTCTTCTCGCTTGGCTCCCTGAAGCACGAGCAGCGCCAGAGGCAGGTGGCCGCATTGCCGTAGGGAACACCGGCCGCGTGACCCCGTAATAGCTTCGAACGGCAGCATCTCCAATCACCGAGTAACGATCACCAGTATCCGTTCCATCAAGACGCAACACTCCCTCGTTGTCGACAATCTCCAGATCTCCGTCATGGTTGACGCGCTTCCCTTCACCTGCCCGTGAGGGTTCACCATTAGGAATGCTCCCAGGAAACGCTGAACTGATCGGCTGGCTTCCAAGAACGACATCCCGCGCACCACCTTCCAAGAAATCATCTTCCAGACCGGCAATCATATCTCTGGTCAACTCCCTGCTGAGAGCGTAATAGGCTCTAAATATCCGCAAGAAATCCTTTCTCTCAATGAAGCCATCATTGTCGATGTCATATCCCCGGAAAACGCGGCGAAGCCGTTCGTCATTACTCTTGTTGTTCAGGCTAGCAATACCCTTCAGGAACTCCTCCAGTCCAATGAGGCCGTCGTTGTTGGTGTCATAAAACGCAAACATGCGGTCATAGATGAGACTCGGGGGCGGCGGCCTGATAGAAGTATTCGGCACAAAGCACCGATCAAACGTCTTCCGGTCGATGGCCATATGCACCTTGTTCGGGTCATCCTCCCATTCGTGATTTGCTAGACACCGGAACTGATCCCATAACGCATCCAACTCGGTATTCTCGAACCCAGTCTCTTTCATCAACCGCTTGAACAAAGTTCTTGGCAAGCTGCGCGGCATCATCGCCGGCTTTCCAGGATACCAAACCGGCTGCGACTGGCGGGGACTGCCCGGGAACGGCGCGGGAATGCGCACCTTGTAGAACATATGCGTCTTGATATGCACCTGCATGGCTTCGCAGGTTTCACACAGGTCATAATCAATGCAGTTGGCGCATCGGTACCTGATTCCCTGAATCGGCATAGCACCACAGCTGTTACACGTCACGCCGCGATGGATATACCCATCCCGCCTCGCCTGATCCTCCGCGATATGATAGAGCAGATTCAGCAGATTCTGGCCCTCATGCATCGGCGCCGCCTCATTGTTATGTTCCGCGCCGTCGCGCCACGAGAAGACACTCTGGTCATCCACGACCGTCTCATCGCCGCCATCGACGGCGGCACTACTCTGCAGGTCCGGCCTCGGGGACTCGCCTTCCTCGGTTTCGTAGGGAAAGCTCGACGTCGACAGCGTCACTCTCTCACCGTTCTGCCGCCGGCGCCGCAGATCCGCCCCATAGTTATCGTCCGCATTGAACCGAACGAGCGCCCTCTCGATCCCCGCGCGCGAGATCCCGCGTCGCTGGAGCTGCGCGATCAGGTACTCCCGCTCAGGACTGCCTTCGTCCAGCCGGTGACTGGCGGGGAAGTCCAGCGCGAGGAACGACTCCAAAAAGGTATCTTCCATCATCTCCCGCATGCGTTCGGCGTGGGCCTCGGGCACCCCAACCTGCTCCATCAGCTGGTCTCGAGTCGCCAGGAGAGACGGGAGGAGGCCGCTTTCGACGCGCCGGCCATCTTCGGTCTCGATGCGGAAAGTTCCGTACACGCCGTTGTGGCGCTCGAGTTGTTCGAGGTGCGCGATGGCGCGCGATGACGGCGTGTCCGCGGCGGAGGAGGACTCTTCGGGAGGATCATTGCCACTGCTGTTGTTGCGGCGCGGGCGGCGGACGGCGCGGCGGCGATGAAGACGTGAGCCACCTGGGGAAGAAGAGGCGCCGGTTTCTCCTGGGTGGAGGAGGTGCTGATGAATGTAGACGATCGCGTAGGCTGCTGCTACACCGGAGAGGAGGTACAGGATCGGACGGTATCGTGACAAAGCGGACCTGGAGTGGGCGTCCGACATCGCGGCCAACGAACAATGCGAATTATAAGGCAGACGGGAGCATTTCTGTTGTTATCAGCCGGACTAGTGGCGTGCTCCGGTTGTTGAGGCCACAGAATCTCAGATCCGATGAGCTCAGTCTCGACTCGCAGTGAATAAGGTAGATAGATTGTTTAATGCGGAGTGGGTTCAAGATTCTCCGGCCTCTTGGGCAGGCGGAAGCTACGGCCATGACCGCCTTCGCGGTAGAGACTTGAATCTTCCGCGCTAGCTGTGTTGCATCTTCGACAAACACACACAGTAAATGTTATTTGGGTGCAGCTGTAGAGCTAAGCCTACGTTGATGACGCTTGTCCGGGAGAGTTTTCATCGATCAATCTACATAAACCGGACTTACAGTTCTCATTTCGCTGGCCACTCCATCCGAGTCATCTTGCGCGTGCAGATTGTGGAATGCAGCTTGGGTATCGTACGCTCTTCATTGTCACACCGCTGAAGGTATATACAGTATTATTGAACACATCAACAAGGAATATAACATTATCAGAGAACCAAAGGAAACGTAAAGCAAATGCAAGGTTACACACACATAGCCTCAAGCACAAGGGCTCCGAGGCACGATAGGAGGGAGCTTCTCCCTCATCGCTGCTAGAGTTCAAGAGAGAAAAATTAAAGCCAAAACTGCAATAGCTCAAATCCACCTTCACACTGTCGCTGTCGTCAATGATAATCTTTCATAGTCACGTCATATACAAGGTCTCCTGCTGCAGGCGCCCGATCGCATCGAGTGCAGCCCGGCAGGAGATGTGCAGGGGTTAGCGAAGCGAATGCGATCGGAATGCAGCAGCGAGGTTGATACTCGCAGAACCATGCTTCATCCAAGCCGTTTCGACTAAAGGACAAGACTTGACGCCGCGCGATACATTAGCCCGGACGGCCGTTGCGCATCGCGTGCTCTGCCTTGTCGCGAAGTCAGTGAGACTCGTCGCGGATAAGAGCAACAATCATGCTGTAGAGGTAGAAGAAGAACATGATCAGGTGGAAGCCCAGCTTGATGAAGGATTCCTAGAGTTGAGAGGGTTAGCTAACGCTTCGCCAAGGATGAGTGACGTAAAGCCGGTATGCGGTGCAGACTGACCTTCTTGTGCACGTTGAGCTTGCGGAAGATTTCGGTCGCATCCAGCAAGTGCTGGTTCTCGTAAATCCTGTAGTAGAGTTGTGGTTAGCGAATATGTCGAAGGGGACCGTTTTCCCTGCGAGGGCGGTAGCTGCGAGGAAAACGTACTTCTTGGCATTGAACGCCAACAGAGGCAGGTTGAGCACGATAGCGACCCAGTAGCCATTGATGACGAAGAGGATGGTGAGGAATGCGTGAACGGCAGCTTCAGGGATGATGTAGGCGTTGAGGCGGTTGCACAGATCGATCGGGTTAATATAGTCACTGCACAAGAGTCATATTAGCGAGTGGTCTGCCATCTAGGACTTTGTCGCAAAAACAACCGCCGAAGCAGTCGGACACCTTGCCCTTTTCAAGCAAAGGCCAGTCTGAATGTGCAAAGGGTATCTCGTACCATTCCAAGTCGCTGTACATGATCGTGAAGAAAACCTGAAGGAACAGGTTGACGGCGTTGATCAACACCGCCAACAGATAGAGCCAGGCTTCACCGGACATGGTGGGCAAGAAGACGAACTGGAAGAAGGTTGTCGAGGGCCACGAGAGGGTAGACTCAGCAAAGTTGAAGAGACGTGCTCGAGATTATCCGAAGGGGACGCAGAGAAGGGGAGTCTAGACAAGTGAAAGGAGAGGTGAAGAAGGTAGAGAAAGGTAGAGGAGGATGCAAGCAGGTGAAGTTCATAAGTCGGTTGTGGATTCGCCCCGATAGGGAAAAGCCGCGAAGGGAAGCTGGCCAAGGCGGTGAGCCCATCTGGGTGGAAAGCTGTCACCGCTTATGGCATCATCACCATGTTTACTACTGGAAGAGCTATCACTTTGCTATTGACAATTCAAATCTGTGTATTTCTGTCTGGCAGACAAGATAATGATCTGTACGCTAAATCTACTCCATCTGTCGTTCCAGGCCAACCTCAACACGATGCTCACATGCAACTACCCAGCAATCGCACGGTGATGACCAACGATGACGTGGTGGGAGGGGAAACACGTGCTTCATTCCGCACTGGAAATGCTTGTTACTGTCAGTACCCGTGAGTGTAGATCCATTCATCCCAAGTGACCATTCTCCATCTATATACAATACACCGGTCGTTAACATGACAGAACTCGTGGCTGAACAAAGAAAGATAGCATAAGAAAGTAATATCTCATCAGCATTTCCCGTCACAAAAAAGTACACAACATTAAAAGATATTCAAAAAACAAATCTCTTCAGGCAGAGATAACGCGACCAAGTACGGCACATACAGAGGTACTCGTCTAAGGGGGAAATGATGCTGCCGTCACCGCTTCTCAACAAGGAGAATATGCATCGCTCCATAGGCAATCACGATGAAAGCACCGGAGACGATGGCTAGTCCAATAACATCCTTCCACAAGGCCAGAGTATCAAAGCCGAAAGCACTCAGAATGGACGCGCCTGGGACTTCAATATCTAGACCATATTTATGATCAATCAAGGTCAGGTACGTCACTTCATTGACAATCAATGCCTCGAAGCCATAGTGGAAAATCGAAAGCTAGACGGATGTCAGCAAGTTCAGGTCTATCTGAGACAAGATTGGAGTAAATAAACTTACGGTTTGTAACCACAGAGCAGACTTGGGAATCGCGTCGTGGTTGAGCAGCAGACCAGCAAAGAGAAGACTGAACAGCATCACAAGACTTCCAATCAGATTGGCCACTCCTCCATCACGGAAGATAATGCCGATGAAGAGACAAATGTTGGCAGCGGCAAGGTTGAAGAGCACCAGCACCAGAATGAAGCGGAAGAACTCTCCCCAGGCCGGGATCAAGCCGGTCATTGGATACACGATTATTCCCATGATGATTGGTGGAAGAAGCCGCAGAGGTACGATGTCAAACACCACCTTCGCAGCAAAGTAGGTGATCGGGTGGTAATAGCCATTGGCCCTCTCACGCACGAAAAGAAGTCTTTCTGATGAGAAAACCGTCAGACTGGTAAGAGTACTGAAGCCGAAGAGGGCTAGGATGAAGAAAAAGAGACCCAGGCGATTCTGAAAGCCCTTAATATCGTCGGTCAGTCCATAGAAGAGGTAGCCACACAGGACGGCAAGCAGGATAGATATTGCGTAATGCGTAAGCATCAACATCGGGTTTCGGTACAGGTTTCGCCAGGTGCGCTGCGATAGAATCAGGAACTGACGGAAGAGACCAATGCGAGCATAGCCTTTGTTGGTTCCAGCGTGGGGAGCAGACAAGGCTTCCGGGTTGGCGAATCCGTTAGCCGCCCGAGCGTTCTGAATGGCAGCCACAATCTCATCATGCACAGAACGAGCAATATCTGACGAGGAGTAATTGGCGACCAGGATGTCAAGATCTGTTTGGCCCGGAGCGACGGGTGGGAACTGATCCGGGTCTTCAGGAGTCTGATTCGGGATGAGGGCGGGCTGGCGAGATAGTCGTAGCCATTGCTGGGTGTTCTCTGCTACATCGTCCAATTGAACATCTTCTTCATCTGTCTTTGGGGTGGACGGAGCCTCGGGATCTTTCTTCCGTGAGTAGAGTTGTCTATCCTGTCTTTGTTTGAGAGAAACCCGCCGTTTACTCTTGGGCCGTCGATTCGCTTCCAAGGTGCTACTGGAATTATCCTCCAAGCTCACATTCGATGCGCTAGCGACAGATTTGACCGCTCTCAAACTGCTCGAGGCCGTCTTCGGGGGATCCATACGTGTTCCGAGTAAGGGAGACTCGACCTCGTCACTGTAAGAGCGAGTGACACTGGCATGCATCGTAAGGTCAACCAGATAGTCAGCAATATTGAAACCCGGAGGGCAAGAGTATCCCGCCTGATCGAAGTACTGTTGACATGTCGAGAATGGTCCAGAGTAGACGGTATTTCCTTTAGCCAAGAGAATAAGGCGATCGAAGAGAGCCACAATATTAGATCTGGGTTGATGAATGGTGAAAATGACCGTCCGGTTGTATGTTTTTGCCAGAGTGACGAGGCATTCCACGACATTAAATGCATTGTATGCGTCCTAATCAATCATGTGAGTGAAAGTCGCATTGGCCGAATATTCGCGAACTTACTAATCCACTAGTAGGCTCATCCAAGAAAAGTATACTGGGGCTGGTGACAAGTTCGCAAGCGATACCCACTCGTCGCTTTTCACCGCCCGAGATACCTCGGCCTTTGCCTTCCTCGGAGCCAATCAATTGATCTTTGATATGTGAAATCCCAAGCTGCTTCTCGACCTCAAATACTCGCTGTTCCTTTGCAGCTCGGCTCATATCCCGAGGGAGGCGGAGCAACGCACTAGTCAAAATAGTCTCGTGTACAGTCAAAGTGGGAAGCATAGTATCCTCTTGATCGACAAAGCCAATCATCGACTTGAAGTCATGGTCGCTGATCTTTTCCCCGTTGATGTAGAAGTCACCACGGACTGTACCTCTCTTGTTCTTTCGAGCGAGAATGTCAAGGAAGGTAGTCTTCCCTGCGCCTGAAGCACCCATGATAGCCGTGATCTGACCCGGTTGGGAAGCGCCTTGGATGCCGCTGAGGATTTCCTTGCCGTTGAGGTAGTACGAGACATTGTCCCAGTACATAGCTGCCGGCTTGTGCTCGGCCAAGAGTTTAGCCGCTTCATCATCTGAATCGTCGGAGAGAGGCAGTTGGATGCGGCCGTATGATCTGCGCGAGAGGTACCATACGGCTAATATCACAGCCACGACAAACAGAGCGCATCCAGCAATGACTCCAGCAATAAGAGGGGTGTTGATCTGCTTGACAGGACGAGTGTATCCAGGGACGTCTGTCCTATACAAACACTCTCCCGCATTGCAATTCAGCGTGATACTTTTGTCTCCGAACACTGCCTTGATCAAGTCATCCATCGCTGGTTCCTGAAACTTGCTTCCATCGTCGGGGCTACCACCCACAGTCGACACGGACGAGAACGATGCCGGACCTGCGATTGATTCTCTGAGGAAATCGCCGATGTCAATGGAGCCCTCCTCGCCACAAAGCATTCGTCCAGGGATACACTCGCAGTGGATATTCTCGCACGTGTAGTGAGTCTTGTTCTGGTTGTGAGTCGTCTCCAGGCCCCATTGACACGTATCCAAGCCACAGTAGAATGACTCTACCTTGCCCACCCAAAACTGAAAGTTGCACGTGTTATCTTCCGCCTCGCATGAAAATGTGACTTGAGGCTTGCGCTCCTTCAGTTGGTCCAGAATCTTGCGGTTTGTCACATCGCACATCTGGAAGTTCTCCTTGACAGTAACACCCTGCTTGTAGCAAACGCCGCCTTCCCCTTCCGGCATCATTGCATTACAAGCATCGTCCGTCTGACAGACGTTGCAGTTCAAGCCTTCCCAGCCATCCTTGCAAGCGCACTGCCCATCTTTCGGCGGAGACCTCTGGTGACCGTCGGCCAGCGATCCACACAGCGGCTGTGCACAATCATCACCTCCGAAACCGGGTGGACAGACACATTTTCCTGTGAACTTATCGCAAGATGCGAATTGAGCGCATTGGAAGGCATCTAGCTGACAGTTGAAGCAAGGCGGGCATCCATCTGGGCGATCGCTGAAGGTGGAGAAAAGTGGAGGGATTAGCTCGGCTTCGGAGTAGTTGCTCCGCGCCGCAACAGCAGATGCAGACAACGTGAGCCCAAGAGCCAGGGAGAGGTGAAACGCTGAGGGGAGTCTCATCCTGAACTAGAATGAAGGCATTGTTATTAGCGACCGGATACCAGAGGAGATAACAACCGAATGCCAGTTGAGGTGTCGCACCGGAGAAAGGACCGATGCGGAGATAGTGTCGAGCAATCCCCAAGTAATCAAGAAGCCAGGTGGTGCATCGGGCTTTCTTGTCAGACAAGGGTAAAGGACAGGCTGGGCGGAGAGAAAGAGTACTTGAATTGAAGGAACGAGATTGCTTGTGCAGATGGGGATAGGACGCGCTACAACAACAAGCAAAGAGGCGGTAAGATGATGGAGGCAAGAGATGAGGAGGTCGGAGGTTGGAAGGGAAACCGGTTGGGGTTGGGGGCGATGACGAGGGCGGAGATGCGCTAAGCTAAAGCCATGGCCTGACAGCCTGGGGCACCAATAGCAACTCCGCATAATTATTATTGTCTGTCCCATCTCGGGTACCTACGTAGTACACCACTCAGCACACAGGTACCAGGCACTATCAAGTTATGGGAGTATCCTGTTAACTGGAAAGTATTTGGGCCTCGGTTATGAGCTCGGAATACACATACTCGCACCTGATTTTTGAGTATCACTCCGAGTGAGCTAGAAATCTCCCGTCCTACATCTTCTGGAATTCATGTTCGTATAATATGTAATCCGATAACGTTGATCGAAGGGGTCATTTCCATATCACTGACAACAACTGAGTCGCACAACGACCAAAACCTGTTAGAAAACTGACAGAATACTGTTAGTAACATAGAGTCAGATTGATGATGCCTTTGAAAACAAGGTTCTGGGGCTGGAGAACTGGTCATTTTGTGCCATGAACCAGAGACACGCATAGATCCGAGCGCCGACACACGCCCCCGCATTAACTAACTAGCCACGCTGCTAAACCCGCGACTAGGATTGCTTAGTGCTCAACAGGCAAAGCCAAATACCACGCAAAACGTGGCTGGTATCTGTCGCACCCTTGTGAGCTAGCCTAAGGGCCAGTCAGAGAGTGATCTGATCCACTATCGCTCGTGGTGCCATGCTGATTGAAGAGTAGCTAGAAGTGAGCTGACCGGATTAGAGCATCTAATCGAATTATTATCAAAGGTCAGCTAGTACGCTGTTTCGATGCTAGTCCTAACCGAACCAGCAACAGCAGAGGGTTCCAGAAGATGGAAAGAGAAGCACAAGGAGTAGAGGCCACGAAAATTTGAGTAAACAATGCCATGGGATAATATTTTTTCTCTCAAATTAGGTAGCTCCAAGCTTCAGGGACCCACATTGGCCCGATTTCAAATAGAACGGGGAGCTGGGACTCTATAAAAGTTATTTATACTTATAACTTTCAAGTTGAGTCCGTGGTTCGATGTATCTTGGTATCATGTACCGTACTCATCAGCTTAGGTAGATGGTTAGTGGAGGGGGGAAGCTGACTGTCCTTGCCCAGAGTACATTCAAATGTCCAGAATGCTTGACCATGTGAAACCTAGGCTCAAGGATGGAAATGATAGAATTCTTTGACCGTCAGCGTTATTGCTCTATTTATTTCCGGAAGTGGTACGAACATTTGCAACCTGCATGATCCAAGGCAGCAAAGTGAGTGTGTTTGCTTCATTCCAGCATGATCATGGATAGGATCAGTGGAGACTGGGATTGGAGAGGCTGCCGGAACGATGATGTTAGCGGGTGGGGCTTCCCCAGTTTACTTACAGCTAAACAATAAGGGTGACTGACTTCATCCCGTTAACCGAAGTTCATATTTTGCATAACGCTGCATAGTACGCCAGCCGAGGTAGAAAGTTCCCTCTACTCCCTGTCATTGGAGGTACGATGCCTGTCGTTCATTGTTCTGCTCGTGAGCGCTTCCGGCGGGTTTCCTGTCTCTTCTTTCTTCCTGATGCCTTATCTCATACCCTCTCTTCCCCTCTTTGCAAATTCTTCCAGTCTTTGAACTGCTGGTGCATCGAGTCAGACACAGATATTCCCCAGAGCTCTCGTCACTTACCTTCGTGCAAGCCAGTATGCTTGAGATTCCTGGTATGCAAGGACAATCAATGTAAAAGACTCCTTAGCACTGACTCGACCAGATGTACCATTGGCCCTCGCCGGGCCCGCGCTGGCTACGGTTCTCGCCTATATAAATGCCAAGTACTCGGTCTTCTATGATCGCATGTTGATCAAAATGCTTTTCAAGGTTGCCTTCAACCTCCGATCAGCCGAGCGTCGCGACAAAGTCAACCTATTTTACAAGCTTGAAGGTCATGCATTGAACCCCAAGATGAGGGACCGACCGTTTCTTGTCTATAATGGCCGTAGCTGGACGTTCCACGAGGCTTACATCACCGCCTTACAATATGGTGCCTGGCTCAAAAAGGTACAAAAGGTCAAACCCAAGGAAATTGTGGCCATGGACTTCATGAATTCGTCAACATACATTTTCATCTGGTTTGGCCTCTGGAGCATCGGTGCCGTGCCCGCTTTTATCAACTACAACCTGACAGAGAAGCCTTTGACGCATTCGGTGCTGACCTCATCTGCGAGGTTGCTGCTGGTAGATGAGGAGTTGAGTGCGCAAATTCCTCCGGAGCAGCTGGAAGCCTTTGCGTCCCCGGATTTTCGAGGAGACAATGGGCCCGTTGAGGTGGTTTTCATCACATCTGGAGTGGAATCGCAAATCCTACAGATGGAGCCCACACGGGAGGATGACAAGATTCGCGATGGAGTCAGTATGCGGGACACAGCTGTGCTTATCTATACGAGCGGGACTACTGGGCTTCCCAAACCTGCTATCATCGGCTGGAGAAAGGCTTGGAGTTCAGGCATAGCGATCACGAATTGGCTGGGTCTCAAGAACACGGATCGCTATTATACAGTAGGTTTCATTCCTTTCGCATGTGGAATGATTACTGATTTACGCTAGGCCATGCCATTATACCACTCATCGGCTTCTCTGCTAGCTGTCTTATCGTGCGTTTGGGCCGGATGTGCAGCCGTTATTGGCCGCAAATTCTCTGCCCGTAATTTCTGGCAAGAAGTACGAGAAAGTGATGCGACGATAATCCAGTACGTGGGTGAGACCATGCGGTACCTCCTGGCTGTCCCTCCTGCACTCGACCCAGTCACTGGAGAGGATCTAGACAAGAAGCATAACTTACGACTGGCGGTGGGGAACGGCCTTCGTCCCGACATTTGGAACCGAGTGAAGGAGCGCTTCAATATCCCTACCATCGCCGAGTTCTACGCCTCTACCGAGGGCACAACCGGATCTTGGAACATTTCGAGTAACGACTTCGGGGCAGGAGCTATTGGTCGAAACGGAGCATTCACCGCCTGGATCCTCCGTCGCAAGGTAGTAGTCGTCAAGGTTGACGAGGTCTCGCAGCAGCCCTGGCGCGACCCGAAGACAGGCTTTTGCAAACCGATGCCCCAAGGCGAGCCCGGGGAGTTGTTGTGGGCGCTTAATCCTACAGATCCCAACGAAACTTTCAATGGTTACTTCAACAACTCCAATGCTTCGGATAGCAAGATTATCCGTGATGTTCTGCGCAAGGGCGACGCCTACTTCCGGACAGGCGATCTGATTCGATTTGACAACGAGGGCCGGTGCTATTTTAATGACCGCCTGGGGGATACGTTTCGGTGGAAGAGCGAGAATGTATCCACGGCTGAAGTGTCCGAAGTGCTAGGTGGCCATTCAGATGTACACGAAGCGAACGTGTACGGGGTGGCCTTGCCTCATCATGATGGCCGGGCAGGCTGTGCGGCTATTCTCCTCCAGCAACAAACTCGTGCTGCTGATCCAACTGTTCTAATTCCTCCTTCCCAGGAGACAATGAGCAGCTTGTCGGCGCATGTCCTGAAGAATCTGCCGCGGTATGCCGCGCCTCAGTTCCTGCGCTTTACGGTGGCGATGCAGACCACGGGGAACAACAAACAGCAGAAGCATGTTTTGCGGTCACAGGGTGTGGATCCATCACTGGTCGCTGCAGACGACAAATTGTACTGGCTGCAGGGCAGTCAATACGTACCTTTTGAGCGAGATGACTGGAGTCGGTTGCAAGCAGGGAAGGTGAAGCTGTGAATGGATGGATCTGTCGGGTTGAGCATGTCAGGTACTTATAATCTGAAGCTTTCGATAGTACATATTCAGATATGCCATGTCTATAGTGCTTGCACATCTTTGATGCAGGAACGGAGTTCTCGTACAAATGCCGAATGGACCCACTGTACCCCACTGGGTGGGGCGATGGCTTTATGGCCTTCGGAGGAATGATATCCTTTACCGAACGCAGCATATCGAGCCAGACGGGCATTCAGAAAGATACATGCTTCATTGGCTACCTCTTCATCTATCGGATTTAGTATGCTTGATAGATCTCACACTATATCAGAAACTTATCAATCTTTTTTACTGATGACAGGAAGTCTCTGGCTCTTTATTCAGAAGACAACGGACGAATGATATGATACCTCACTAATTTATTAACCCTCTTCCCTCCATAGCTGCCGCATGCTCCTTCACGTCCAGATATGTGACCTTGAAATAGATGAGAACTCTGAAGAAGCAATAACACAACTTGAAACATCATATTTGATGACGAGGGTCTCGCAGTCCCATGTCCCATGGGTATTAGTGTGACTAGCAAGTACGGATGGGATGCATGAGTTCCTGGCCGACTAGCGCGAACTTAGCACAAGCTTAGCTTATCTGATTTTGGATCTACATCCTTCATCTGGATTACTGACCCTGAAATAATACAGTTCTATGGAATATGGCGCCCTGTACACTGTCGATTGCAGATCTGCAAGCCTATCGGCTACTCGGAAAGTCCCCGGTTTCGGCACGGCGATATGCTCTCTGCTCCGCGCGGTATAAGATAACCCCACACCCGCCAGTTGGAGATCTCCCCATCCCATTCCCCAGCATTCCTCGCAACACAAATCAGTCAATCGACACCCTGCGCACTCTGATAATCACTATGCCCCTCTCTACAACAACAAGATGGACGACGCAAGCCCTCCGACCGAAGCTCCGCCTCAGCGCAAACAACAACACCACCAGCCGTCACTTCTCCGCGCATCGGGCTCTCCGCACGAGCCCCGACACCTCCGCATCCGCCATCGCAACAGCCTTTCTCACACGATTCCAGTCACTGGGCCCGCAAACCCGCACGCAAACGCTGGACGCAAACCAACTGCAGCTCCTCTCGCTAACACTGAACCGGCCCTCTCTCTTCCCCAACACACCCTCCCTCTCCAACTCCCCCACGCCGCTCCCAACCGGTACCCCACTCCCCGCAGGCTACCACCTCGTCTACTTCGCGCCGGCATGCCTCGAAACCGAGCTCGGCAATGACGGCACCGACACCTCCTACAATCCGGCCTCACCCTTCACGCGGCGCATGTGGGCCGGCGGCGAGGTGCACTGGCCGCGCGACGCCGCCTCGGGCAAGCCGAATCCCCTCCGAGTCGGACAGGAGGTGCAGGAAACGACGCGGGTGCTCAGTGCAGAACCGAAGATCGTCCGCAAGACGGGCGAGGAGATGATCGTGGTTGGGGTGGAGAAGGAGTTCCGCAATGAGGACGGCGTCGCTGTTTTGGATCGGAGGTGTGTTCCTGCCTGTATCCCCCAGAGTCTCTTCCTCCCCACTTCGTCGTATCGACCACGCAAGAACTAACTATTGTAACCCAAACCCCAAACACAGAAACTGGGTCTTCCGCAAAGCTCTAACCAGCCCATCACCCACACCATCACCACCACCACCACCGACAACCAGCAACCCACCCAGTACCGCAACTACAACCACCTCAAAGACAGGCAAAACCCACACGCGCACCCACCGCCAAACAGCCATTTCACTCTTCCGCTTCTCAGCGCTAACATTCAACCCGCACAAGATCCACTACTCGACGCCGTGGGCGCGGGATGTCGAGAGCCACAAGGATATCGTGGTGCACGGGCCGCTGAATCTGCTCGCTATGTTGGATCTGTGGCGGGATACGCGGGGCGGTGACCTCGGGGGCCTGATGCTCCCTGAGGCGATTGCGTACCGGGCGACCAGTCCGTTATATGCGGAGGAAGAGTATCAGGTGGTGTTGGATGAGGAGGCGGGGGATGGGGTTGGAAGGGTGCGGATTTTGGGGCCTGGTGGGGTGGTGGCTATGAAGGCGGAGATTCGGTAGTGTGGTTCTTTCTTGTTCTGTTTAGTGTACATACATACTGTAGACAGAAGCCGTAGATTGATCTGAGCGTGGTTACTGGTTGGTTGTTATGGTTGGTAGGGGTATGTTCAAGGCTGTTCTTGTTGCAAATAAAGGATAAGCAGCCTGAACTATTCTAAATCGGAAGAGCCCAGCTAAGGTTGCATGAATACCAGCCGTAGAGTTCAGCCACGGGCAGTAGTACGGCGGATACGATAACCTCGCTCACTTCCTTGAAGCACGGAATCAACCCGATACTTCGCATGGGTAGATGTAGAGACATCAGTCCAGCAAAGAGAAATCGACATTTCTCCTAACGGAAACCTTCCCCATGGCCATAGGCATTCTTTCCGAACCTTGACCTAAGTCACTACCAGAACTCCTCAAACAGTAGATAATGCATCCATGCTGTTTATCTAGCATCGCTCGTCTAGTCATGCAACTATGTATATTCCACACTGACCAGGCCCTGCAGTATGCTCAGCAAACCCCTCAGGTGCAAGCAAAAATAACAAGAAGACAAGAAAGCTTTTGTAGACGGATGAAGTATAATGTAACCACGCTGCGCTGCGTATCGCATAAGGATCATTGAATGTATCGAGGCCTCAGACAGATCTTACGTCGAAGGAACTCAGCGACTAAGCCTCTTCTCGTGGATGAACAGACTGCAAACAAACGAGCAGAACACGATGCCGATCACGAAGGTAAAGCTCTTGTTAGTAGCCCAGCCATAGCAGCTGCGGACGATCCTGGCGACCGCGGGGTCAAGGGTCTTGATGAAATCCAGGCTCTGGCGCACGCCGTCCACGATGTGATCGATGTCTTCGCTGTCGCGCAGGCCCCACTGTAGCCGATCGCGGAGGACCTGCTGGACGACGGTTGAGGAGAGCGAGAGGCCGATGACTGAGCCTAGGGACCGGAAGAGGTACGAGCAGGCGGTTACGACGGCTTGGTCTTCTGGGGTGGCGTTCGAGACTGTGATGTGCGGATACGGGGTTAGAAATGTATGTGGATGGGACAGGGGTGGGTTTGACTTACTCAGGCTGATGAGGGTCGAGGTGACGCCCGTGCCGTTACCGAAGGCACTGAATACCGTGCCCAGAACCATGACCGTCGTGTTTTCAAATACCCCGCCGGAGGCGAGGGTAATGATCACCAGGCCTACAGTGAGCGAGGCGTAGGCGAACACTGTGAGCCAGTAGAATTTGCCCGTCCACTTCATGACGAATCCGGCGAAGAGAGAGCCGGTGACTCCGGAGACGATGCTGGGCAGCAGCCGCAGGCCCGCGATGGTGGCCGAGACGCCGTCGACTGCCTGGAAGTATAGCGGGATATAGAAGAGAGCCGCCATCCAGCCTCCAAAGCTGAAGAAGTTGCATCCATAGGCGGCGAAGAAGGTCCGGTTGAAAATGATGTGGCCGGGGGCGAACGGCTCGGTTGCATAGTAGCACTCCACCACCACAAAGAGCACGAAGAGGGCAACGGACACGCTCAGGGAGATAATCGTGATGGGGATCGTCCAGGATACATTGCTGCCTCGGTCCAGACCTAGAAGAAAACCGAACACTGCGCCCACAAGAACGACCGCTCCAGGGAAATCGATGCGGCCCAGTTTGTCCCTCCAGTGGCTGTCCTCGATTGCGGGCAAGTCGAGCATTATTGTGACAGCAATAAAAGCAAGGGCACAGAGAGGCCCCTGGGCGATGAAGGCCCTGCGTCGCAAGTCAGAGGATAATTGATACTTCGGGCGCAACATGCGTACTCACCATCGCCAGCCGATGTAATCAGCCAAGATGCCACCTGCAGTCATTGTCAGCGAAAAGGGCCGGTGACAGCAGCACTTATATCCTTACCAAGCGGTGCTCCAACTCCGGCGCCTGTCGCATAGATCATGTTGATGATACCTTGCCAGACTCCCCGTTCTCGAAGCGGGATGATATCGCTCAGAAGAATGCTGACTACTGTCGTCATGCCGCCGCCTCCGATACCTTGGAAGACCTGCATGCTCTCATTAGAACATGACCAGTATACAGGGCAGAATCACATACTCGTGCAGCAATGAGCTGGTTGATATTTTGGGCGATGCCGCAGCCCAAGCAGCCAATGCCGAAAATAGCATAGGCAGATAAAAGGCAGGTCTTCCGGCCAAAGATGTCACTCAATTTTCCATAGAGGGGTTGAAATGATGTCAACGTCAAAAAGTATGAAGTAGCAATCCAGTTGGTCAAATTGAGTGCCTTCAAGTCGCTACCGATCTGGCCGTAACTGGCCATGATAATGGTCTGGTCGGCTGCGGACAAGAAAATCTAGACCAATTTAGCGGTCAACTCAAATGAGTTTTACAACGAATCGCCAGTAGCGGAATGGACATACCCCGATGGATACAGCTGGCAGGATATACTTCAAGTTTGGACGGGCTCCCGCGGCGAGTTTGGTCTGAACCCCCTCTGCGCCGTCCTCCCCGGTGGGAATTTGTTGTTGGCTGCCAGACTCGACATCCCGCTGGCCAACGTCGGGAATTGCCCCTGTGGTTTGGGTGTTACTGTGAGACCGCAGCAACGGGGATGTCTCCGTCGCGGCTCGTTCCGGTGACATGTTTGCTCAGGCACAGAATCCACTACCCAAAGGCCAGAAAGTCGACATATAATTCGGATTGCGAGAACAGGGAAAGGAAAAAGAATGGGACAACGCTTAGGACTATGAGGTGCTTTCATAGTGCTTGCTACTCACGTGCTGATAAGCTCCCCACCAGATCTGACAAATCAGGATGTGGTCAGACCGGCTAACCCCACTTGCCTGAGGCCCTAATTGCGATAAGATGATGCACTATTCCCTTTCTGAGCCGCGATTGTCGGAAGTAATCCTTATTGGCCCTGCTTCTTATCCAGCTATCAGATGCTGACTTGTCAGGTCTCAAGTAACATTCCCAAACACCGGAAGCTTGCTGCCCTTTGAATTTATGAACAATATGAAGACTTGGTAGTCAATAGGCCCTTAATCCACTAATGTGAATGGGTTATCCTGGAACAATGCTTTTGACTAACTATCAGGCTCTCGGTATAACAAAGAAAGAATACTATCATGATTGTTATGGCTATGCATGTCCCCCAAGTGTCACGAATCCAAAGGGGTGACGCCGAACTGAAAACACACCGCATCATTTATATAGACGTAACAATGTCTCATCGTGAATGTTCTATTTCATGTCTCTAATAGCAATGCAACTGGATCCCGTATTCACGCCTCCGTCTTGGGCTCCTCGGCCACAGGAATGGGAATGGGACCACCGGGCGAGTCCGGCAAGCGAGCGGTCAGAACCTCCACACCATCCTCCGTCACCAGCATAGTGTGCTCAAATTGAGCCGACAACTTGCCATCGGCTGTGGAGCTGGTCCAGTCATCGGGCCACGTACGATCGCGGTGAGTACCCAAGTTGATCATAGGCTCAATGGTAAAGCACATGCCGGGTTTGGCGGTACCGACCGCCTTGTTCTTTGCGTAGTGGGGAACGTTGGGAGCGCAGTGGAAGAGTTGGTTGATACCATGGCCACAGTAACTCTTGACCACACTGCAGTCACGGGACTTGGCGTGCTTCTCGATCACATTACCGGGGTCTCGGAACAACATGCCGGGCTTGACCAGTTCAATGGACTTTTCCAAGCACTCTCGCGCGGTTTCCACGACACGCACAGCATCCGGGTTGGCCTTGGCCTTATCGCCAACGTAGTAGGTTTCGTTAATGTCGCCGTGGAAGCCCTTGTGATACAGAGTAACGTCGATGTTGACGATGTCGCCGTCCTCCAGGGGGCGCTGATCGGGGATACCGTGGCAAATAATCTCGTTGATCGAGGTACAGACCGACTTGGGGAAGTTGACGTAGTTGAGCGGAGACGGGTAGGACTAGACACCATTAGCACACGACGCTCACTGGGAGCATACCGTCTGCAGCCTCTCCCTGTCGCAGCCATGAAAACCACTCACATCACGCTCAATGCAAGCCTTGTGAACCACCTCATCGATGTAGTCGGTCGTAACACCGGGCTTGATTTCCCGCGCAGCGATATCCAAAACCTCGCGGGCCAAGCGACACACTTTGCGCATGCCCTCTTGCTCCTCCTTGTTCAAGATCGTAATGTTGTGCCGACCGACGAACTTCTGCTCGGACCGGGGAATGCCATCCTTGGCGTAGTCGGGGTGGGGGATGGCCTTGGGAACGGTTCTCCGAGGGGACAGCGGATATACAGGTCGCAAGTCGCCGGCGAAAGGGTAGGAGGGAAAGGGGTTGTAGAGCCCCGTGGCTGGATCTGGTTCAGAAACTACTTTCGGGGTAAAGAGGTTGCTCAGGAAATTACTCTTCTTGTGAATCGTCTTGTGTTCTCCCTGTGTTGTTGGATGGAGTTAGTCACAGTCGAACGGGGCAAGCTCAGTGAAGGCGCATGAGACAGTCGTACCCAGCTCTTCTTGAAACAGTCCTGCGAACAGAAGAAGCTATCCGTTCCTTGTTTGAGGCAAGTCGGACATTGTAGCGTTCCGGCGTTCTTATCACAATCCACGCCGGTACATTTCCGAGGAGCGACTTCAGCAGTCATTTTGAAAGTCTAGAATGCAACAAGCTAAGCAGGAATACAGCCTTATGTTGCCACGGAGATAGAAAGAGTCAACGATGCTTCAGAGAGGTCTATCGAAAGGTCGCGCCAGAGGGAAAAAATGGGACAATCCCGAGTCCCCCACGGCTGAGCGGCGCCAATCGCTGGTCCGCCAATCGAGCCTGCCAGAAATGAACTACGCCAAAGGGGGATTAGCGCAGGCACGGGACCGCTATCCATACCGGGACTAGCGGCTGATCAACAAGCGCGCGTCTAGATTCCTAGAGTATCACGTGCATCTGGGAAATTCAGAATCAACGGTTGCGGTTGATTGGAGGGTGTGGCTGACAGAAAACGGGTGTGGGGCTCCACTTTCTTCTTCCGAATTTGTGACACATCCATCGCCCAGCCAGTCCAGATAGCAATTTGTAGTCTTTTGTATCACTCAAAGACTGTTGCGATCAAGGCCAAGAGCTGCAAGGCACAGACTGACTGACAGGACGAACGATAGTTTGAAGATATACACTCTCGTTTTTTGCTTCAAGTGACTGACTCCTCCTTTCTCCGTGCTCGTTGATCGTCACTCTGCCCCGCCATGGCACATTCCACACCAGCCAAGCAAAAGGTTGTCATTGTGGGCGCTGGCCCGGTGGGGTCCCTTGCGGCGCTCTATGCAGCTGCCAGAGGCGATGAAGTCGAAGTATACGAGCTGCGCGGAGGTTAGTAGTCGCAATTGCTCCTGTCCATCTTTCCACCAGTCGCCTCATAAAACCCACATGCGCTCTTACATCTCGCTGATAACCCACTTTTTATCGACCCACTATGATATCTATACCTGGGCTTTTAAGAGTCAACTCAATAACATGACCTACAGATCTGCGCGATCCGGCTACCATCCCATTAAACTTCACCAAGTCAATCAACCTGGCGTTGTCCGAGCGAGGCATCACCGCCATGAAACAGTCGAACCGCGACGAGCTCACCAGCCGGATCCTCGCAGACTCAATCCCCATGGAAGGACGAATGATCCACGGCCGGACAGACGGCAAGCTGTGGGAAGCTGCTCAAGCATACGACGTTCACGGCCGTGTACGTGCCACCACATAACTTCCCTCCATCGACTCCATCCCACTCCCTCTAACACCAAAAACACATCAGGCCATCAACGCCGTCGACCGCGGCACACTCAACAACGCCTTCCTCGACGAGCTCGAGAAGATCCCGAACGTCAAACTTTTCTTCAACCACAAGCTCGTCGGAGCAGAGTTCCGCTCCAACCGCGCCTGGTTCGAGCGCCGTGACCCGGGGAGCAGCCCTTACGACAAAGCAGCCGAGGTGGAGGTGACGTTCGACCTCCTCATCGGCGCAGACGGCGCGCACTCGGCCTCGCGCTACCACATGATGAAGTACGCCCGCGTCGACTACCAACAGGAATACATCGACACGCTGTGGTGCGAGTTCCGCATCCCACCGTCCCCGGCAACCAACGACTTCCTGATCTCCCCGAACCACCTCCACATCTGGCCCGGCAAGGAATTCATGTTCATCGCGATCCCCTCAGCGGACAAATCGTTCACCTGCACGCTCTTCGCTCCTGCATACCACTACGAGACGCTCTCGACGCAGCCCCGACAAGCGCTCCTCGAGTTCTTCGACACCAATTTTCCCGGCGTGTGCCCGGACCTCATCAGCCCGGAGGCTCTGCACGAACAATTCACCAACAACCAGCACCTACCCCTCATCAGCATCAAGTGCAAGCCCCACCACTACGACGCCAGCGTTGTCATCGTTGGCGACGCCGCCCACGCCGTGCTGCCGTTCTACGGCCAAGGTCTGAACGCAGGGCTAGAGGACATCCGGACGTTGTTCGACATCCTGGACCGGCACGGGGTGTACGACAACGCAGCAGGGAACCACGACGGCTCTGCTGACGTTGGCTCGCAGGAGCAGCAGCGCCGGCGCGAGGCCCGCGGGCGCGCGTTGCAGGCGTACACGGACCAGCGCGCGGCCGACACGCACGCCATCAACGACCTGTCCAAGCAGAACTTCCTCGAGATGCGGTGGGGCGTCAAGTCGCCGCTGTACCGGCTGCGCAAGTCGGTCGAGGAGACGCTGGTCCGCTACGTGCCGGGCCTGGGCTGGCAGACCCAGTACACCCGCGTCAGCTTCAGCAATCAGCGGTACTCCGAGGTGGTCCAGGCCGTGCGCAGGCAGGGCCAGCTGCTGGGGCTTGGGCTCGGCGCGGCGGCGCTGGTGGTCAGCCTGGCGACGGGTCTGCTGGTCTTCAGGAGGCGGGCGACGGCGCCAGTCTGGCCGTGGACGGTGCTACGGAACGTCTGGCGCGAGGCGAGGAGGGCCTGGAGAGGGTTGCTCTGATCGTCGGGCAGCCCGCTTCGTCAGATTTTCCCACGCTATCGGCGGAATTTCGGTTGCCGTGATTTGTAACATCATTTTCATTCTCCCCCCCCCCGGCATTAGATGGTTATTATCTAGAGGTCTACCACTTATACTTGCCATGACGAATCCGACGAACCCTTCTCATCTGCATAGAGTTATTTTATTGCGTACTGTTTCAAGTTCGGTGCAGGTGTCGACTCGACTTGACGCAGACGCTAGAATACCTGGTATCCAACAGTTAGATGCACAAAGAAGGACCACCACCCTGTCTCTTGCCTTTGTCATATGTATATCTCTTACACCTGTACAGCTAGATTTCTGGTCTCTTCCCTCTATCTTCCACATGCATGACATCATCCTTACCGTCCCAGCCCGGCCCACATTAGCAGCAGCGCCTCGGGCGCTTGTGTGCCGTTTGTGTGCCTTGTATATAATCAGAAGAAAATAAATCGAAAGTCCATCCACATTGTGCACAAGATGTGAGACGCTGTTTAAGAGTCTCAGTAACCCCAAAATTATGTAAACGCTCATTGGGTTCGCAGAAGAGTAAGATGCTTCGGATCAGCATGAAGAAACAAAGTCCGCCTTACACTGGTAAATCAGAGCACGCGCCAATAACATGTAAAGAAAAGCCGGTAAAGCAGAAGCCAGAAACAAGAGTACTGAATCAGATGCTTCCACTAAGGCCACAAGCATGGTATGATACCAAGCGAGAACATCACCAAAATGGACAGACGCACATCATACAATAGTGGAATAAGATCTTGCAGCTTGGGGTAATTGACAAACGCAACCAAAGGCGGAAAATAGCCGAACCGAAATGTAGTTTTCCCAACGAAAACAGTGGGACAGCCCGAAACGAGAAAGGACAGAACAAACATAAGTCATAATCATGAGGATAGGAGGGCCCTAGCCAATCAATGCAACCGATTGCAAGTCACTCTTGACGACGCGCAAGAGCTTTCGAGTAACGGCTTATAAGCAATTTCTTTATCAGTCCGGGTCGATCCAGGAAATCCAGGATTGTTCGCAAATTGGGGCGTCTAATGAGGCCTGGGACGCTGGGATAAAGTCTCCATTCGAAACACCCTGGTAAATGTTCACCATCCCGCGGCAAATGTGCTGGATAAGGGTCCATAAATTCCATGGGCAAGGAACGCATTAGAATCCTGACGGTAGCTTCCTTGGGATACCCATCCAATGGACCAGCGGAAACGTGTGACAAAAACTGGCAGAACGGGGGTTTCCAGCCGGGTTGAGCTATAGCATGGTAAAATCGTGGCCATTTTTGAGAAAGAAAGATCATCAATATCATCACGAGGGTCAAACTCAACAGGTCAGGGGCCGGTAAATTTCACCCGACGACTGCGCCGGTCTTGGATGCGCTTCTCCGTGTCAACATAAAGACGGTCAAGATAATCCATTGCAGTGGCATCCTTGAGAATCTTGGCCACCTGCGTGCCGGCAGAGATCAGCTGAAGAACGTTTCGGTCGTCTTTAATGGGCCTGGACTGGTGCTTGGCAGCATGTCTCATCTCCAAGGAATTTTCCAGTATAGTGACTAGCTGCTTAATCTGGCCATTATAGAGGACCCTGGCGGGGATCCGCCGCTTGGTGGCCAGTCTTTTGAGGAGGTATACCCACTCAGTCCATTCACGGTCTGAGGGCACTCTCACCTGTCTCTTGTCCGGTTCCAGTGGAATCGGAAATTGGTACTTTGCAACAAAGTCGAATGCGCATTGCGACAATCGCTCATTCACCGACGACAGAATACGATCTTGCTCTGAAACATCAAGATTAGTAGGTAGATGAGGCAAATCTCTCCCTTGCGCCGCCATCACACGTGGGGAGGGAGGCTCTAGTAGTTGATGGGGGCCGTCAAACTCATCCCGGTTAGATGGTCTCCTTTGTGAGTGATATCTTGTGGTGCCTTTGAATTTATCAGCAGCTCGTCGACTGTTTCGCTCAACCATGTATTCCGGAGTCTCGTATGACCTGGCGAAGTCGTATTCACGTCTCAGAGATTCCGCCGGCAAGCGAGCAGGATGATCCCACTCCGGGTAGTGGGACATAGGACGTGGCAGTGTTGTCCCTGACGGTGCAGGAATGCCGGTAGTAATCTGGGAAGTCACCGGCAGTCCGCTGTAGGGCATGGAGAAGTTAAAGTCTGGAGAAATAGGCTTCAGAGGCCTCGCGGCAGCACTCTGAGCGTCCAAGGGTCCACGTTCAAGGTGTGGCGGTGACGTTCTTTTAGTGCTGCTCATGAGTAAGTTTTCCCTCGGTAAAAGCTCCTCCTTGCTAGGATATTGAAGTGTAATACAAGATGAAATGGTACCTTGGGTGGTAAACGGTAGGACTGTCGCCTGGAGTGCCATACATCGGCGGCGGCTGGGACGTAATACCACTGCAGAAAGTGAGCCTTCCACCGAGCTCATCAACATCTGAAGAAAAGAAAAGGTACGGGATATTGCTGATGATGCTAACCTGTGACGAGACCAAGAATCATCGCTACCGATAGATTGCGTGCAGGAGCCACTGCTTCCAGTTGCCCTCGAGAAGTAGCTCAGGCCGGATGACATTGTGATCAATGGAGGCGAGAGGACTGGTGGCATGGAGGTCAGGACTTATGAGGCGGAACAAGATCGTGATGTTGTATAATGAGAAGCTGAGCGACTTGAAGGTTCGAGTGACAGACTGCTACGGGTATTCCAGACCATTGAGGACTCAATCCCACAGCAAATAGAGAAGGTGTTTATAGGAACAACTAAAGTCGAATGAATGGCAAGGACAATAGCGATTTGTCCCAGGCGCTAGATAAGCTTTTAATCTCTGGACCGTGTGAGGTAGGAAGAAGGACAGGACATGAGGAGCTCCACAGCGGTGGCAATGAGAAGACTCGATCACTCTGGAAGGCACCCGTCCCTGTCAGAGAGCAATCGTGTACCAGCCAGTAGTCATATAGGTCAGTTGTATACGGCGACAAAGGATCTATCTTGGACCCATATCCAATCGAGGTTCGACCCCACCGTGCCTCGTTGGATTGACAGGGCAAGCTAGTAGGATCGATTAAGCCAGAGACGCCCGGAACTGCCAGGGTGCCGATGGTTAGGCCATGGTAATAAGCAAAGCGGCATTCAAGACAACCAGAATGCAGAGAGTGGGGAGCGGCACAGGCATGACGGGGTACATGGTCATGGATGAACCCGGCTGCAAGAGGCAGTCAAACTCCACCAGCAAGATATCGCCAACTCTCATGCGCTGATCCTACCCCCAACCGCGGTTGTCAGGACCACAAACGAGTTGAAGGATTCGGTGATGCGTAGGGTTTTGGGCAGCAAAGAACCGGCCGGAGTCTGCAGGGAAGACGCATCCACTAGGTAGAGGGAGGACGACATATCCAGGCATTGACCCATTACAGGACTACCCACTGGCAGCTGTAGTGGGAGATTGCTTCTGTTTTAGAGTTCCTGGGCACAAAGTGGATGTTCTCATTTGGTCCACTTTCTGTCTGGTCTGTCGCCCGCATCTTCAGTGTCTCCACAATTTCGGAATGAACTGGAGAGTGGATGGCTGGACTCTTCATCAGAAAAGAAGGAAAAAGGGGAAGTTGGCTGGAACGAGTAGTTCAGTAGTAATCGACAAGTGAGGTATTCCTCCAGGCTGCATTGCACTAAGTACTAGGGTTAAGATCATCCGTTTCGGGCAAGGACAGTGGATGCCTGAGTCCTCCCCCGTGTCTGCCTGCGAGCCTTTCTGCCTGCCTCGCCCTGAAAGTGATCTCTACTGTACTTGAGCGAGTGAGCGAGCGAACAAGCAAGCACAGCAAGTGAGTGAGCCAGCCCACCAGGTACAGTCCCCACTCTAACCTGTCAATATCCATTCCCTACCACGGTTCTCACTGACTATTCAGAATTGCTTTAATCCAGATCTGTCAATATGACAGTTCATACAATCACCGGCTCGAAAAGAAATGGTACTATATCACTCGACCCAGTGCCACGAAAAGCTCCGACGGTAAGAAGGCGGCCGCTTGTATACCTTTACAATTCCCAGCCGGGAAGCACCACAGCGCGCGCAGCCTACTCTAGAGCACACCAGAGATATAATGACGGGTGGGTCGGAGAGCAGATATCAACCGCTGCTCCATACCACGGGTGGCGGCCTAACAGTCGAGGTCTAAGTGTGGAGGGTCTGCAGTCCTCAACCTGATTGCCATTCAACCTCGACACTGTTGGGCAGACATTTTGCTGCACGCCTAGTTGCCCAAGCTCAGAACGGAGGTGTTGGCCAATCCTCCATTGGCGAGGGCAATGTCTGGCGGCCGCAATGTTCTTCTAGGCCACCGACACGCAGCAATAGCTTCACTGCATTATTGGCTATAAGATCATGCATTTCTGATCTTGAAAGACAGAATGGAGACTTCTTATACTAATGGGATCCCTGGCAGAATGGTGTTGTCCCAAACCGTCAGTGACACCGTCAGTGACCATCAACTCCAGCATGGATGAGATTGGCAATGAGTAGGAAATCACCATCCAAAGAGACGATCGGGGATCAAGGAAAGACGAGAAGGGAGCGAATAAGCTCTGGCTTACCCAGGTCGACCGATGCTCCGATCGATTGATCCAGACGCGCATGGTGAGACAATGCCGGAGTACGGGGTATTATGGTGTACTGTACTGTACATCATTGCGACCCAACGAGGAATCGCCAAGGTAACTTCCCGACGAGGGGCGAAACTGATTCGTGGGTGTGTCATTGCCGGGCAACTCACTAACTTATCTTGCCATGCTTAATGCCAAACCAACTAGAACCTCCTCCGTCTTATGTCATTACCTTCACAACTCCCGGTCTCACTGTCTTACATATGCCAGTTCCCGATAGCTCTTCCCTCGCTATGCTTCATTGCTTGAGTCAGTCAGCGGCAGATCAAGTTTCGGTCTACGTACGCACTTCGCCCGAGACAACAGATGGTTCTCGAATACGGGCCCTCAACACGAGCTCCGTCATAGAACTATTGCCTTAATCTGCCGCAGCCACGGCGAATATTTCACTGGCACCACATCGACGAGCCTACGGTGGCGGCCTAACACTTACATTCCGCGAATTCTCACCGGTCTCACGCTCCGACAACAGTATCACACAAGACTGGCTGCCAGGCGGGCGCAGCCCGCGCGACACTAGCTTTCTGGCTTGGGGTGCAAGACAAGGAACCTCCATTGACCCGGGTATAGCAGACAGAGTAGATATTGAGGGAGTTGCGGTAACAACAGCGTGCTACAGGCCGAACAAAGAATCCAGAACAACACGTCGGTACAAATGGGTCTATCCGCTGGACAACTGTCAAGGCACTGGTACTTTAGGTAGCCAGTCATAAGACCGAGAGCGATCGTAGAAAGTATCTTCAGTTGCAAAGCAGGCTGCGGTCAGCCGACCTGTTGCGGGGTTCAAGAGTAAGACCAGCAACCTGATAAGAACTGTTGTTCATGGCGAAACAGGCCAGCATCTGACTACTGAGCTATGACGATAAGGCAGACCTCAGCAAAATAGTCCATTGCCGGTTGTGTTGACTAGGAGGATGCAGTCAGCCACCACAATTGGTCGGAGGCAAAGAGCCGGTTTGGCCAAGCATAGAAAGAACGGAATGCTGAGTGCTATTAATCAATCATATCGCTAAATACTTAGTCAAGAGGCATCCGAGAACAACTCAGCGAGCGCCATAATAGCTCATAGCCGCCGGAAAATGCACGGCTTCGCGACAACGGAAGCTCGCAAGTCGCATGACTTCTGTTCAATCCCAGTATGAAGAGAGGATGACCAGCTCAAACGCTGGGCACCTCCCGATACCCGCTGATCAGAAGGCATCTCAGTTTAGACTTCGATCGCCTGCAGTTGTCACTAATACAAGCCATAGAACCAGGAACCCGGGCACAGCGGAGCAAGTGAGGTAGTGAATGAAGAAAATGAGTTATGTTACTATACAAGGTATCCAACCAACAGTCGCAGGTGCAGGAAAACATACACAGCATGCGAGGAGACACTGCGACTGACCAAACTCCGGTTCAAATGCAAAGCCCAGACAACTCTCAAATATAGAGCTCTTCATCTACCCTAATGATTCTCGACTCGGCACAGGACCATACCGCCGGACTTCTTCTCAACGCACTCTCTCGCCTCCATGATGCCTTTGTCCGTTGAAACGTATAAGCTCTCACCAGGCGACCGCAATCCCCGCACAAAGGGAGCATCATAACCCTGACACACCTTACGGAGGCCTTTCAAATTGATAGTAACTCGTTTTTTGGGCGTGCTGACCATTTGCATCTTGCCCAAAACAGGCTCGGTCCGCCAGTACTTCAGTCCAAGCCAGAGGCGTCTGTCGGCGACGTTGGTCTGGGTCACAGGTTCCAGGCCAATTTTCTCATCGTTTGCGGCGGGGATTCCGAGGAGTTGATGCGGAGCAGGAGGCCTCGTGCCTCCGCGAACAACCGCGGAGACCAATCCGTCATTTTGAAGAGCAAGGCATAGCTTCAGATGTAGCTTGGTGTTGGGGATCGAGGTGAGAGCGAGACGAGCCTTGTTGACATTGTTCAAGTGGGAGATAACGTGGGAGAGATTGCTGAGAGACATTTTGTATCGTTAAAGCAAAACCGGTCGCCCAATGGGGACAATGACTGTTGTATACGCCGTGCGGAAAGAAGGAAAGGCCGCTGGCGGGGATGAGAGTGAGCGACAAAACGCTACCACTGGGGCGAAAGGCTTGTTTGTTCTTACCTTCAAAAATCGACAAAATAGAATTATCGTACAGACCGATGAATGAATCAGGCGCTATTATGAATAGCAGGGGATATGATCGTAAATAGCGTGCGGCAGACTGATAACCCCGAAGATGCAATGCAACGGGAAGCTCAGATGAAATTTTCGGAGAAACGAAATCACGGATCCGGGGAGACAGATGGATGCCTGGATCATCAGGCAAGAATTGGCTGCCTGTGCCGCAGCCAATCAACATCATCTCCTCGTCTCAGTACTTCTGTAGCCGCCGGGCTTCTGCACGCTGCATCTCCTCACATTGTCACCAGCCAGTCAGTGACTTCCCCTCATATGGGCGGCTTTGATGTATAAAATGCCATCTCTCCGCGTTGCACCTGGCCGTCGGGTCATCCTTTTTTCGTTCTCACCTTCCCTTGTGGCATTTTCCTGTCTGTTGTTGACCTTATCATCACCAACATTCGCCCATCATGCCGCTGTTGTCAGGTGAGGAGCGAGTCCTCACTGTGTACGTTCCTGCGACTTTTCTTACCCCGCAATTACCTATTAGCAACCGTGCGACATGGCTGACACGCTTGTAGCTTCGCCGATATCCATTATTTTTTCGCAGCACCAAGCCCACGACCTCTTCGCCACCGATTTGATAAAGGTTCCTATCTATATCTTTACCAGAGTTCCGCCCAGCGCAAGACCAGAATTGAAATCGCGAACAACCCGGGCACCCCGGAGCAAGACGCTTTCAGTGGGGGTTAGCTAACACTGTCTCTCCTCTAAAGTTCACCTTGAGTACTGATCAATTGGTAGCTCTGGACAAGATCCATGTGCGACATTCGACCCAATTCCCGACTTTATGCACGGTAACGGTAGACGGACATTCGCAAAGCCCAGCACAGAATGTGCCTAGTTTCCCTCCTCCACCGGGCACCGCGGCTGAATGGGAGCTAGTGCAAGATGAATCGCAGGGCTTAATGCGCCTTCACACCCTGGACATCTACTTTTGGACCGTGGAAGATGCGAACCAATTTCTCGATATTATCGAGCGGAATTTGCCTGCAGCGCAGGTCGAATCTGACCGACATCCATATCCGCCTCCACCTCAGAGTACCATCAGCTCGGTGGTCCAACAGTTGGAGACTGTGGCTATCACCGACCCCGCATATCAGAATGGACAGACACGCAACTCTCAAGCAGAAGTAGTTGCCAACCCTGCCTCCAACTACCAAGCCATTACTCCATCAAGCATCCTTCCTCCTCCGCCTCCATTGGCCTCCGACCCCGTCCACACAGGCTCGCAGTTTGCATCGAATGAGCAGCACCCGGACTCTGCTTCTCAATCCGGTCCTCTTCCTTATAACCCCGCCGCGCCAGCTGCGCCGGAACCCATCAAGCACCGCGAAAAGACCCCTCCACCAGAGGACTATGCCAATGGAACAGGCCTCGCGGCGGCGGCCGCTGCACCCGACCAGGGGTACCCATTTTCTTCTTCTGCCGCTCCTCTGTCACCGGGTCTCTCATCTCTGGTGTCCTCCCCTACTTCACCAGCACCCCATGCAACCGCAACAATGCCAGGAACCTACGCGTCCCCGCCGCCAAGCACAGGGCTGAGCTTTTCCCCTTCGGTGACCCGATCCTCATCCCTCTCCAATCCCCTTGGAGTCCCGTCGTATACACCATCATTTCTTTCCGGCGAAAGCACGGGATACCAGCATCAACAGCATCCGCACCAGCCTCGAAGCTCCCTCGGCAGCACAGGCTCCCTTCCTGGTCCGCCTCAAGCAACTACCATGACTTTCGCACCACCACCCACAGACACTACTGCCCAGCATACAAGCCCAACCACGATGACCTTCGCGCCTCCACCGACGGAGCCCATCTCGCCTCCTTCACAAACCCAGCCCCAAGCCCAGCCCCAAGCCCAAGCCCCTTCCTATGCCAACCAATACCCATACCAACAAGGACACGCGCAAACCACGCCCCCGCCCCCCATCCACCCGGCCGTAGCCATCGCCGGTTACTCAAACTACTCGTATGAGCAACCAGGCTCGACTTCCTCCGTCGCGGGCAGCAATGCACCCGCAGACTACGACATCCACCGCCAAATGTACCGACCGACAGAAGCAGAAGCCACGTCGCGGCACCAGAAGTACGCGCAAGAGGCGATGAAGAACCCCGGGGATCGGCCGCAGATGTTTGTGAAGAGTGCGTACCGAGTAGAGAACAGTGTGAACCGGTTTTTGAAGAAGTTGGAGAAGCGGTTGTAGATGTTGCCTGTCCCGTTCGCTCGGCAGAGGACGTCGATGTTTTCTGGATTGTATGTACTCTGCTCTTATTGCTTAGGCGTTCGGGGATGGAAAGTAGCTAGCTAGTTTGTCTATTTCTAAGTGATGGTCTAAGTCCCCATGCTACCTTACTGATGATTTCCGAAAGCGGGAGGTGTGCAGATGCGCATACAGTACTTCTCTAGTTACCACAAAGACTGCCAAAGCACACCCACCACCGAAGAAAGCCCACAATCGTAACTCCACCCCTAAACGACCACATGAATCCGAAACTGATTCCTCCCCCCCCCCCCACCCAACCTCCTTCCCGCCAAAGATATCCCAGAGAAAAGAATATAATTAATCCCTCTTCAGCCCCACCCTCCCCGTCTTCCTCAACCCCACAAACCCAACAACGGTACAAACCAGCATGAACCCAAACATCGTCCAAAAGCTAGCGCGATACCCCTCCATAAGGGCCTTCTTCTCCGCCTCACCGCGGCCGCCGCCGTTCTTCTTCTCCCTCTCAGCGGCCACAACCGTCGAGATAACCTGCAAGACAGCCATGCCCAGCGCGCTCCCGAACTGGGCCGAGGTGTTGAAGACGGCACCGGCCAACGCCTGCGTGGTGTCCGGGAAGCTATCGGTGATGATGATCAGGCCGACGGTGTAGAGGGCGTCGAAGCTGACGGGTTGCAGGAGCTGGGCGATGAAGGCGTTGGCCCAGTAGGGCCAGGCGGGCTGGATGACGGCCATGAGGAGTGGGGAGCCGGCACACAGGAGGGAGGTGACGGTGACGATCCAGAAGGCCGGGACGCGGTGCACGAAGACGCCGATCACGAAGTTCATTAGGATGCCGATTACTAGGCTTGGGAGGATGCGGATGGACGCTTGCAGTGCGGAGAGGGATTGGATTTCTTGGAAGCTGTTTTTCAGGGTTTAGTATGTCAGTCTGGTTGATTTTGCTGAAGGTGGAAAGTTGGGGAGGTGGGGGGGGGAGGACGTACTATAAACTAGCAAAGAGTTCCATTGAATTGATCACGGCATTGGAGACGGCGATCGTCACGCTGATGCTGCTGAACGATTTGTTGCGCCAGAGCGAGTTGGGGATGAGAGCCGGTTGGTTCCGCTTGACCTGGTGGTGCATCCAGTAGACAAACGCTGGGAGGGCGATGGCCGCCACGCATAGAATGACGATTGCTTCGGCGGACCGGATGCGAGACGGGTCTGCGCTTAGGATTCTGGGAAGCGGATGGTTAGCTTTTTTGGTTTATCTGACCCGAAACTGCTGCAGTACTCACGCCAGTAGGTAGCACACCAACGCCATGAACGCAGAGGCCAGGCCCGCGCCAACCCAGTCGATCTGCGTCTTGACATTGTGCATCAGGTTTGCGTGGCGAAGGGTCTCGCTGCGCGGGACAGCCCACAGGCCGACGACCGCGAAGAACAGGGTGATTCCCCCTGCGAGATACCAGCCCGCACGCCAGCCGATAGTGTCCACGAGCACGCCTCCCACTACCAGCCCCAAAGAGAAGCCAAGGGGCTGGCTGAGGCCCAGGCAGGAGAAGGCTAGGTTGCGGCCCTGACCCGGAGGCAAGAGCTGCGTGATGATGGAGATCGACGAGGCCAGATGGAATGCCAGCCCGACGCCCTGGAGGGCTCGCAGCACGACCAGCTCATCTCCGTTGCGAGACAAGCCCTGCCCGATCATCAACAGTCCGCTGGCGAACGAGCCGACAAGCTCGACCCATCGCGGACCGATAGCATCGGCGATGGAACCCGCCAATAGCAGGGTGGAAGCGGTGGCCAGGCTGCTCACAGACGAGGGCCAGAAGGAAAGGGACGACGGCAGCTGGAGATCCTTGGTGATAGTCGGCAGACCGACCACGACCAACCCATTGATCACACTGGCGGTAAGCGTGACGGCCGACAGCTGGGCTATCACCACCGATTGTTGGAAGCGGAACTTCCGTGCGGTGGGCGAGCGTGTACTGCCGTCGTCGGCGGATCGAATATCGCTACCTTCCAGCAGCAGCGACTGCGCTGGCGTATTCTTGGTGATGGTAGTAGTCGCCATCCTTGTGTCGCAGATAGAGGTGAATTGCTTGTTGCAACCGAACTTCTTTCCACACACAAGTGCGGAGTAAAGGTGATTTTTGATTCTGGGGAAGCGAGGTGGACTTGGTGGAGTAATTAAAACTTGATCCACCCTCTCTCCTCACGGATCACAAAGCGACCGAGTGCTTCTAGAGTGGGCAGGATCTGAAGAAGATTCCTTTCCAAGGGGACGGACTCCCCAAGCTGATGCGATTTCTCTCAAAACCTTCCATTTTGGGGTTGATGGCGCGAGCAAATTTCTTGTCACTGACCCACCAGGCCCGTCTTCCATAAGTCGTAGTCAGAACCATGATTTCTCACACTCGGCTCGGACTTCCTCCGGCTAGTAGGTTAGCCGATGATCGGAGCTTGTACAGAAACCGAAAAAAAACCAACTATTGCTGTCTTGAAGGAGTCGAGCATTCGCACATCTCGATGCGGGCCAGCCAGGAGTTATTAAGGTTTTGTTTGCCCCTAATAAAGTGCGTATCGGCGCTAAGCCCTATCTTGATCTTATCTTGCAGGAACGGCTTAAAAACATCCGAACTTCCACAAATGATCACGCTCTTCGTGTTGTAGCAGCGACAGAGATGACTGCGTTTGAGCTAAAATTAATCATTGTGTCAGACCAGACATTGTCAGCATATACTCTTAGGGACCAGTAGTGTGTGGGCTGCTGAGTAGCAGTTCAGACAAGACTACATGAGTCGTTCGACTCGAGGTCCAGAGAGTCGAGGTCCAGAGAGAAAGATCTAAGTAAACAATTACTGAATGATACAGTTGCTCGCAGTCCACGTTTCGACATCAAAGTCCAAAGGCGACCTACATTCCAATATCAGACTAGATACGCAGCACAAGCAAGTTCAAAATTCAATCTGAAACCCCAGTACATATGCAAGACGTACTCCGTACACAGCGCTAAGAATCAAGATCGACGAATCCCGAAACAACTCCACCGGACAATGCTCCGATATGCATCCATCGTCGGTCTTGTTCCTTTGGAGAGAACAAGAGGCTCGCTGGAACCGAAAGAAGAGAAGTGAAAATGAGGAGGGAAAGGAGAAAATCAAAAACAGATTGTGAAAAAGTGACAAGGCATGTGAGAACAGACGTGTGTACCGGGCCACATCACAATTACCAAGGGTATAAGAACGATATGTCACGGGAAATGAAGAATAGAACGTTTTATTCAAACCCTGGTGCAGCTACCAGTCGAAATTCCTACCGTCAAATTCAGTGTCATGCTTCAGTGGAGGGCAAGCTTGTCCATATCATGTTCGACTTCGCTAGCGGCTTCCGCAGGGGTTTTCTCGGAACTCTCTGTCACCGTTTCCGCAGGAGCTTCGACAGGCACAACCTCATCAGCCAATTCCTCCGACTCGGAAGCATCAACTGTGGCAGGCTCAGCAATTGCGGAGACGGCGTGGTCTTCCGGAACGGAAGGAAGAGTTTCAGCAACCTGTTCCTCCACAACGGCTGGCTGCTCGCTGTCTTCCTCACCGTTGGGAACAACGGCGGCCTCGGCAGGGTCTTCTGCCACGGGAGAATCAATATCTTCGACCACTGATTGCTTAGGCTCCTGCTCAACAGCAGGGGTCTCAGCAGGGGTCTTCTCCGGAGCGCTAGGCTCGGGCTCCGCAAGCTTTTCTTGGAGGGCAGCATGCGATGCCAGTGTTTCCTTTGAAGCAGCGTCCTGCTCCGGCTTGGGCTTAGGCTTCTGCGGTTCTGCAGAGGCTCCGCGCTGCTTGCCGTGCTCAGGCTTGGTCAGACGCGGTGTGCGGGTCTCGTTCATGGATGGAACCCGACGCGGAGCTTGAGCGGTTCTGGCGGGGCGAGGTGGACTCTTGATGTCGACCTTGTCATGCGACTTGTTGGCAGAACTTGCCGTCGGGCGCATCATTCTCGCCAAGAAGCCCTCGTCCACAGGCTTGGAGCTAGTATTGCTCGTCCGTGAGTGGGGCCTCTCGGGAGGGGAAGCGCGAGGGGCTTGCTTGCGAAGACTCGCAGCCGTTGGGGTGATGGCGCGACGCTGAGTTGTGGCGCTCGCATTCTTCAGCGTGGATGGCTTGCGCGACAGAGGAGCGGTGGGTGCTCCAGGAGTTCCCTTCTTGGCCGTTGTAGATGCGGTCGACGTGGTTGCTGCAGGGCGAGTAGCAGTAGACGCCGGTTTAGCGGTGCGGGAAACACTCGACGCCGTGGGTTTAGTCAAATCCCGAGCCGATGCAGAGGGACGCACGGCTCTGGTAGCAGGCTTAGTCGCAGGGTTCAAGGACGCCCGGCTTGGTCTCTGAGTGGCAGTTCTAGCTGGCTCATGCGAACTTGGCTTCGCGGTGGTGGATGGTCTAGATGTCCGGGTAGTCTTGGTTGTGGGTTCGGCAGCCTTTGCTGGGGATATTGGCGTACGAGGGTGAGCAGGAGATTTCACAGCAGGCTTCGCAGGAGACGCCGTTTTCGCTACCTGAATGGCAGCTGGGCGCGAGGCTACGCTTTTCTTGGGTGACGAGGGCTTTGGCGCTGCTGCAGTTGGTACGGTGGTGTTTTCAGCGGGGGTATTTTCTTTATCCTCCAATGGCTTAGTTTCCTCTACCAGAGGCGTAGCGACTTTCTCCGTGGTGGGCTTGGGCGCTATCTCTGGCTCTGTGGCTGACGGTGCAGAGGTCCTCCATGAGAAACCATTGCCTGTCGGCGACAGTGGACTCTTCAGACCGCCTTCCATGTCGTCCGAATGAAAGCTTCTCACTCGAGTTGGACCGGCGGGGCTGTCGCTGCGCACACTGACGCTGCGAAGATTTGCAAGAGGGTTGGGCTGAGTGGCCCCGTCAACAGCAACGAAGCTCGCACGGACTTTGGACAGAGGTCTCGCAGAGCCCGAATTGTCAGAGCCGGCAGGTGATCGACCTCGCGATGGTGGTGAGGGGGCACTGGGTTGGTTGTTTTCGAACTTAGCGAGCAGGCTCCGCACGCCTGGATGACCGCCGGTGTCATTCATGATGATTGTTGGTCGGTGATAAAGGAGCGCGGGCGCAAGACGTCAGGAGAGAACTGGGTGCGGATCGTCCCGGACCGGATGCCAGGGGATCGACCGAAGAGCGGAGTTGACTGAGGGGGAAAGGGGAGGTAGGCAAGGGCGTAGATAATAGTGGTGACGATCGAGGGCGGAGAGGTAGCAGCGATGCTACGAAGTAGGAAGTTCGGACGCGCTCCTAAAGAGCAGGGGAGAGCGTGTGACGTGACAAAGACAGAGGCCAACAACAACAAACGGGAGGGAGACGTGGTTCGGGTTGGTGGGGGGGTCAAAGCTAGTGAGACAGGTCAGAGGTGGGAGGAAATAGAACCATGGTGTTGAGCAACAACAATGCAGAAGGTGCAGAAGCAGGAGGATAGCATTGAGGGTTGATCAGGGGCTGTTATCCTCCAATGACCATGATCACGGCAGAGGAGAGGAATACGAAGAAGGAAGAGGTGGAGGAGGAGGAGGAGGAGAAGAAGAAGAAGAAGAGAAGGAGGCAGCAGGAGAAGCAGCAGGAGAAGACGGAGGAAGAAGAGGAGGAGCCAAAAGGCGAGAACGGGTCGAAAGTGGAGAAGTGAGAGAAACAGTCAATTCCGCCGCAGCCTCAGGCATGGTTTTCAGGGGTCGGATCCACGGCTTCACTTTGATTGAAACCACCAGAACAGAAAGAACAACTTTCCATTATTCTTTTGTGTCAATTATCACCCCATCCCTCTCTTACTTCCTCCTCTCATTCTCCGGTGGATACTCCTGGATAGTAAATAGTCTCAAGCACTATTGGTCTCATCAGGGAGTTAACCGGCGCTCAGCTCATTCATTGCCAGGCGCTGTTTTATTTGTACACTTTTCGCCCGGGGACTCAGCCATCATTCAACAATGATGACGATGACGCCCTTGCCAACAACTTTACTATCCCCTCCATCCACACCCCCTCAAAGGTCATTGCTGACGCAGATCGAAGCCGCTTGAAACGACCCTCTGGGGACTGTGAAACGTCAGCCAGTGCTATGAACCTGTTCACCCTTTCCTCCTGCTGCATCCAAAACCCGGCTTGCCCATTGTTGCATGTTTCCACCCCCTCTCTCTCTCCCCGGATGAATCTCTCGATCCAGATGCGCGCTATCCTCTGCTTCGGACTTGTATTACTAGTGGCCGAGCTCCCTGCAATCTCCTGCAGTCGCCGGAGTCTCCCCACGCCCCTAAAGGCCAGCTTGCAGCTCCCATGAGCGAATCAGACGTTCCTATCATCTTCAGTGCCTGAGAATGACTGCATGCATGGCTTCCCAGCACTTGCAGGCACCGGTAAGGTAAGCATGCCTTATCGCTCTTTGGGACCAGGATGATCAGGAGGTATGTGCACCCAAGCGGTTCGTAAGTGCGTATGTACTGTACTGTACATACCGCATTGTTGGCACTGCCAGTTGGTGTCTTGTTCACTTTACCCCCGTCCCACACGGCCTTCTGCATATTGCATGGCAGTTCTGCTTGGATGCCTGGCCGTCGTGTCCCTGCATGGGAGAGGGTCGCAGGATGGGGCCTACAATGGGGACGATCGTAATACCATTGACACCGGACTGTGCTCTAGCGTTCTTCTAGAATCAGCTGCGGAAGTACTCTACTGGTTTAGTGCTTCCTTTAATAATCATTCCCCGGTGACTTTTTACTCCGCACCTCCTTTTCCCGCGCTTCCTTCTAGGTTACCATCCCAGTAGCATCGATCAATTCCGCTTACACAGTGCATAACAACGGCATTTCAACTGCTTCGGTCTGCTTCATGAGCAGCTTAATGATGAGGGGAGCCAACATCATACTCATACCGGTACTAGTAGATCAACTCAAAGGGGGAAACAATACCATTTTGCTGGGGCAACAGTCGGGGGCACTTCCGCCCCCACGCGGGATCAACCTTATCCTAAGGCATGAACAGCATCTTACTAGAGACTGATGCTCATTGTACTCTTCTGGGCTCAGCGATAAAAGAATATATTAATTTTGAACATTGTGGTCTATACATAGCTTAAGAACAGCCCCGACTTGACATTAAGTCGACCAGAAAACCAGTTTCCACGTGGTGCACGTGTAGCAAGTATATATAGTTAAGGCGTAAATCACGTTCCATGAGCTCGAGTTTCTAGACACAAAACAAGACTAAATAAGAATCGTATCATCCAAAACCAGACTGGGACATGCATACAAATTCCTAAGCTAGATAGAAATGTTCTAGATATAAACGGCACAGTGACTAAAAACTACTCATAGATCAGCCGGGTCCGAGGGCAGTAACACCTGCATATCCGCACCCGCATCAACGTCCTCCTCAGGTTCATCCGTGAGTATCCCAATGCCACTATCCAGGCGCTTGCGATGCTTTCCCCGTCCAGTCTCCACATCAATGAATCTGGTCATGCTGACCGGTGTGATAGGTTCACTGCCCAGCGTGGTACCTTCCGACTGCAGTTCATCGGACTGAAGCTCCCAGTTGGCAGCTCGGACCTTTGCCTTGCGCCGTTCATTACTGACCGTGTTTTTCATGCAAGCAAATGAACGCGCTTGCTCCGCAGCCCACGTCTCCAGGAGATTATCCCTGGCTTCAGTTTCGAGTCGTAGCTGGTGTTCCAAGCCCACATTGCTCCGCCTTAATCGATCAATTTCCGACTTGGCACTCTGGAGTAAGGTGTTGAGTTCTGCGACGACAACATTCAGGGATCCTATCTCCTTTTCGCAATCTTGAACTTGCTCAGCCGCTTCCTGTTTAAGGCTATCAATCGCCTTCTGGCGTTCCGACTCCAGTTCCTCAACTTTGGCGGCCAATTCGCTCGATCGAAGACGATTATGCTCAACAGTGTCTTCTAGTTCACGAATGCGCGTTTCACGCTCTGCAACTGTGGTCTCGGCAACTCGACGGGCGCTTTCTTGCTCACTCAATTGTAATTGAAGCTTGGATACCTCCTGCCTGTGGACATTGCTGTTCCGGACCTTATCTGACTCGAGCTCCGTGACAAGTGTTTCTAGGCCTTTAACCTCCTCGCGATACCTGTCAAGTGCGGCATTAAGTCTGTCAATGCCTACGGCTTGTTCTTCACCGTTCTTTTCAAGCTCTTGCATCCGCATTCGTGTATGAAGCATGTCGCTAGCAGAGCCGGCAATGGACTCCTCGAGATCGTTGATCTTCCCACTAGCATCTTCATAACGAGCCAAGAGCTTGTCAAATTGACCACGAAGGGCTCTTTCCCGATCACCAGAGCCGACAGCCTTTGCTCGCTCGTCCCCTAGGCTCCTTATCAGCAACTCGACCCGTTTGACTAGAGCGCTAAGAGTCGCAGAGCCGTCATGCAAGCCTGCATTTGGTGTTTCCCCAGGGATCGCTCGTTCAAGCCGCAAGCGTGCGGAGCGAAACTGGTCGCGCATCTCGGAAACAATGTCCTCGGTGTGCTGCCCTGAGAACCCGAGATCTGACAATTCCTCCTTGATGGAATTTAATGCGTGCGTGGCATTCGAAGCTCGACCCAGTGTTTGAGTCAAACTGGGTATCAGTTGATCCACAAAGTCTGGCGGCGGAGACGCCCGATGAAGATGACGCTCAAGCGCAGTACCGTCAAAGGACGCAATGCGAAAGCGGCATGCTTCGAAAAGGGCCCGTTTCTCTTTTCTAGCCGTTTCGAGGTCTGCAATAAGAGCATTGGTTTCTGCTTCTGAGTCACGGTCAGGAAGCAAAAGTCTGGTTGCAGCATCCGCGTAGGGACTCTCACTCCGAAAAAGCTGTCGACCATCCGGCATAAAGCTTTGAAGTTTCCCAAGAGTTCGGAAATCAGGCGAGGTCGAGAGAAGCATTGTTTCACCCTCGAGCCCGCTATCACCGATAACGACTGTATCGCCATCGGTGTTGGCCACGCTGGAGTCGTCTATGAGATCATCTCTGGTAAAAGACAGCTCTTGTCCCAATCTAGGGGTCTCAGGCTCTGAGTACCCGACCAGTGATTGGGAGGGTAGCCATGGGTGTTCCTCAACAGGATCGAGCGTTGCAGCCTTTGGCAAGCCTTCTTGTTGTTTGACCGATTCCAGCTCTTGTTTCAATGAGTCGCGTTCCCGCAACAATGATTGCAGATCCCGCTCAAAACGTGCCGCGTCTCGCTTCTCGCGCTCTAGCTTGTTGATCTCATCACTCAGCCCTATACGTCGAATTCTGCGTTTGGTCCGCGAGTCTAAAAGTTGTCGGAGCGGCGCAAAGCGGAACTCTTGTTCCGACGGAGATACTGTTGGAGAGCTCGACTGATGGCGAGACTTAAAAGCTGGTGTCGAACGACGTCGCAAACGGCGACTTGGAGAGCCAGTCAAAAGATCAACATCCCCTCGGTTGTCAAAGGATGTGCGTAGCATAGCGGAGGTAAGTCCTGTTTCATTGCCCAAGCCATCCTGCAGCTGAGGGCCTGGGTCTGAGAAGCGGACCTTTTTCCGAGGCTGTCTCGGGGTCTTGCAGGGTGTGGATGCGACGTTAGCGTCAGTAGACTGACGACTCGTTTGATAACAGGCTGAGGGTTGAGGCTCCGGTCTGGATACAGAGCCGACCCGTCGTTTGCGCCCGGACTGTCTTGTCTCAACGACCATTGCGTATTGGCCTGGCGGGATATGCGCCTGTTAGGTTGTACAGCAAAGAAAATCAAGGATTATAGGTGGATTATCACCTGGAGGAGAACACTGCAGAAACGTGCTGCAATCGGGAGGTTTGGCCGAGTCGAGTCGAGCACATGGAAGCTGATATACCACCCCGAAGGCAACAGGGAGAGTATATTTTGATATGGTTTTACCCGAACCGGCAAGGGGTCGATCGTGCCTTCCTTACGCGTGATGGCCGGGACCCAGGGCCACTTCCCGATTGGGAAAGTGTAAACAATGGCCGGGCCCGGTGCCTTGCGCACATCAGGTGACTACTGCCGCTGTGCCTGGCGATTGTGATGAGTCTAGCCCGGTGTGTGTGTCGCTGTGACATGTGGGATTTTATCTCCACCCACTCGTTCATAATGACAGCAAGCAGTCTAGTTATCTACCCTGCGTCTCATTACGGATACATCAATTGGTGGCCGGGTCACAGCGGATCCTTGGAACTAGGTCGGGCACTTATCAAACCCAAGCCTGAGGCTGACCCCGACCCTCCGTGTCAGATAAGTTCCTATCTTATCGCCCGCAGAGAGGGAAATTTGGCTCTGCACATCCTACCTCCGCTCCAGGAATCAACGACCGTCTACCTCGAAAACCATCAGCGGTTTTGAGTTTGGCTCCATGCAAGTCACTGCGGACCATCAATTATCGGGCTCCCTTACCTTTATCAAGTCAACTGTCCTGGTAACAACGTTGCACGGTCTCTGCTAGGTGGATGATGAGGTGATGCGGGCCTGCTGCGGGTGATGTCATGCGATCTTACCCTCCCCTCGCCAGGCGAAGAAGCAACCCCCGAGACTAACTTAGGCGTGCAGATCGTTTTTGTCTAGATATCTTCTTCCACCCAACGCCCTCTACTAGCTGTCATTCTTGCGGTTCACAACGATCCCCGCTCCCGATTATAGAGTCTTCTACGCCCGAGCCGCTGCGATGGCCGCTGCGTCAACGAGTTGGTATTCGAGGCAGACTACCTTGGGCGAACCACGACAATCTTCAACCGGGCAGAAGAACGGTCTACAGCCGCTGGTAGCCGACCTTGACGCAGAAACCGATAACATCATGGAAAGCCCTTTGTTGAAGCTCCCTCCCGAACTGGTTCAACAAATCTTGTCTTATCTCTCAGCCCAAGAGCTTGCCCGTGTAGCCGTCACATGTCGTTCTTTCGCTGACCACGTCGACAACGAGTTGTTGTGGTTGAACCTGATCAACTCTTATTTGCCCGAGCCCATCCATGATCCTGGCCTTTTCGACTCCTTTCGTAGCCTTTACATTGCCCATCATCCATGCTGGTTCATTCCTAAGCATAAAATTTGGTTTTCCGACACAGAGCATACAGGGAATCTGATTCTGGCGCGGTATGATCACCGGCGAGGAGTCATCGAGGCATATCGGGTAATTGCAGAGCGGCGCTCTCACCAGTTTCAGATATGGGACTGGAACCCCGATGTTATTATCCAGAGCTTCGACCCGAAGGTCATTCTGTGGTTGGATGACCCCGTTCTCTTGTTAAAAAACCACCGCGAGGGGCGGCCACGCTATTTGCATGGAGAGATCCGCATGCCTATGCCGCTTGAGATACAGCATGTCTTCAATGCATTTTCACTCTGCTCAAAATATCTGCCCCCCAACCTCGATGCCAGCAAGCAATGGCCACCGCCAATCATCCCGAGCACTCATCGAGTCTATCGGGATGTCGAACTACAATTACCCGACTGGGAGCGCAATCCCCGACAGTTGGAAGAGGTGTCAGAGTATGGATTCCGAATCCGAAGATGGGCGCACTTCCGCTTGGGAATGCCCATATTCACGGCTGGTCGAAATGAAACCCTCTCAACCTTTGCGACACTCGACCCTGAAGTGTACACCCCAACCCAGCGCAAGCCATATCAAGGCATTTGGGTGGGCGATTATTCGGCGCACGGGTGCGAATTTTTGCTCATTCTGCAACGCGACCGTTGCGATGGACCTGTCTCTGTGGCCGAGCCCATTGATGGCGAAGAAGTAACGCTAAAGGGCAGCCTAGAGGCAATCAAGTTGACAGGAGACCCCAATGTACCACGAGGAGAAATCTCCTTTGCAGCAGATGACCTCGGCCCTGACGGCCTGGTCCGTATTGCTGATGAAGGCCTTTTCCAGGGCGCCAGGATTGTGCGCAGCCGAGGCCATGTGGCAGGCCTTGGCTTCCGTGATGGTAAGTGTTGAACCCGATTACCTGTCTACTCATGGTTTCTGACCCGAATTTCTAGATACCTTCATTTCGTCACAGCTGATCTTACTCTCAACGGATTGTGTGGCTCACTATTGGGAAACCATGGGTCACATCTCTTATTATCGTCGACTTGATGTTGACACTTTGCTTCAAACGTGAGGCAGAGACTTGACGAAATGTTACGTGTGAACGGTTCATGTCATTTACCTACTTCGCTCAAATCTTCGTGATCAATGGATCTCCGGAAATTCATTTCTGTGGTGCTGTACGCTCAGAACAATATCGGCTTTTCCAACGACATGAGCCCGAGCTGGGCCGCTCGACCAAGTAATCAACCTTTCGCTGACAGGAACCCACTATCTTCCGAGGGGACAACTCAAGATATCCCAGAGCGACAGCACCTGCATTGACAATCCGGCCACCATGCGGAAGAGAGCTGTAGTCTGGTTAAACATCAATGCTTAGAGGACAGGTAGAGCAGAAGGACACGAGGACAGTTTGCTGTCAACATAAGTTATGTACATGGTTATATCGCGGAGAGCGGAGACGGCGCCAATGTCAAAGACACGAGGGAGAAGAAGACTCAAGCTATACAGACAATGAAGGATATTCCTAACGCCGTGATTTGTTGTTATTGCAACGCCAGCAGAGTTGCATGCCGCAGACAATTCCCTTCCATGGGAGACCGACTCGGAAGCGTGGACGACCATCCGGCTTGGGCGGGGGAAGTATTCTTTCCTCTATCCAGGCAACCATAACCGAAATAGACACGTAGCACAGTGCTACAACCGATATCGATAACGAACTTCAAACGTTCACCGAACAGCCAGCCACTTCATCTACGCCGGAACAAAAGGGAGAAGGAAGGCCGACACCGCGGCCGATGATGTTCAACATCTACCGTCTCCGCTCGAACCAGCTGGTCGATCCCAGGACCGCGACGGACTGGTCCATCACCCACTCACCCACACCGAGGTATTGGTCGATCCACTTCTTGAAGTCCTTGTTATCGGTGATCTTGTCGGTTTCGAGACTGGGGCTGTGAAAGACCCCACGCGCAACCCGGGACAGGGGCGGGCGTGAGGAGTAAGAGTTAGCTTTTGAGTGTAGACCATTATCCCGACAGATGCTTTTGTCATTTGGGCGATCTGCAGCATGCAACCTGCCATGCCATCATGTTTGTCCGAAGTGAGAAGCAGAGGGGAGTTATTACGCTAAACCGGTCGACCGCTTGATACCGGCCAGGAAGGCAGAGACTAGTGAGCAAGAAAAACGAGTTAGCAATCTGTGGTCCTGGCATCTGATCGCCGCATGAACTCTAGACTCGACTCTTCTCTCGGGCACATCCTCGAGATCCAACGACAAGGCAGGGGAAGAACATACTAAGCACCGCATCAAAAGCGTAATGGCTGATACGACCCAACTAGAGCGACCACAAGCCATAATCAGTAACTCTTCATGCCCATTTCGCGAAGAATCCAAACTATCGCCCCCCCGTGAAGCACAAGAAGCAGTTCGGACACACCATCTTGACTGTTAGCCTTGCGTGTTATGGTACGATCGAAGTAGGCAAGTAGGGTCAGGCGATCAATCGGTGGGTGACTCGGCAAATCGGTAGGTGGGATGTAGATCGCACTGGATATATCTGCACCGTTAGCTCACTACCTCTACCATCATAATAAACAAAGCTGTACCAAACACAGAAGGAAATCCTCACGTCTTCAACTACTTTCGTTCAAGCGAGGCGCTGCCGGTGGGTTATCGGGTAAACGCTCAGGGCGGAGAGGAGGAGAGGACGCCGACGGAGAAGCGGTTCACGTGCTTCCAGGGCACATGACGTGGGCGAGTGATTTGGGCTAGATTTAGGCTGTACTGTGGGAAAGGCGGTGAGATGGGGTGGGGGAAGGAAAGGGAAGGGGGCTGGGTTGAGGGGCTGGTTCAGCGGGTGGTGGCTGGGGGAGGGGTTGTTTTGTGGCTGGTGCCCACTTTTCTGTTGCGGCTTGCTACAGGGGCGAGGGCAGTGTGATGTATTTATATCTAGGTCTGTCTCATTCAATTTGGCCGTGTGTCTCTATTGTACTTGAGTCTGTACTCTAGACCCAATGTCAATGTTGGAGGGTGAAGAATTGCTTCACATACAGCTAATATTGAAGCCATGGGATTTTGTGGCGGGTTATATAGCGGTACTTGGGGGAGGTTGAGCATATCAAAGTAGTATATCAAATAGTGGAATTACTTGTCATCTGGCGAGGGTCAGGGGATCAAGTAAGACAGTCGACCGTAGGTAGCCTCTCGAAAAAGTTGAGCAGAGTGGTCATCATGGTAATCCGGTTTCCATTGAACCTCTTTGGAGAACTCGATCTTCCTGAGGACCTCAGGAGTTAGTGCTAAGTCAGAATTGATCATTGGTAGCGAGTTTGACGAGAAAAAAGATTCGTGACAGAGATATATCTCTAGTTATAGTAGCAGTGTCGAATACTGCACATATATACACTTGGCCATCCATACTCAAGGCTAGAAAGTGCTCTTTGAAGCAGCAAGTCAAAAACCACCGATGGCCGAAGCAAAGATAAAAAGCATAATTTATACTTATGTGAACATTTACCTCCGAGTACTAAGTAGGCCCGGAGTAACTGCCGTGCTTGCCGGGCAGACAAGAAACTCCGCGCACCGGTAAAAGCCAAGTGCGGGCCTTGGACTCTGCGGACCGCGGAGTTGGGCCCTGTAATTACAAGTAGCTGCCTGGTCTCTGAGGCAACCCCGAACTCAAGAGTTCGTCTCACCGGGCGTCCCGAGTCGGCAACCGAAGTCTATCAATCCGTCGGAGAAGTCTGGATAGGGGGCGAACCTGTGTCCTGGCCAATCGGAGAGAGAAGAGTGATGCTGATGTTGGGATAATGTAAACCTCGTGTGGTAGAAGGTTGAGATACAGTAATGATTGCTCGGATGTGGGTGGTTGGCTTGCGTAAAGCAGCACCATGTAGATTGATACTGTTCGGGTCAAGGGCATGACGGAGGTCTTGGATCATCGATCCTTGAAAGTGGACTGACACGCACACAAACAGCTTCATCCATGCTTGACTATGAAATTTCGGTTGGTTGTGTATGTCACAAATGACCATGTTTAGAATCGTACTGCATCGTCTGATAGCGATCGTTCAGCCCTACGGACCGTCTCATCCACTTCGGCTCCAGGCTCCCAGTAAAAGGATGGGATATGCGTCCTGTGCGGCATCTGATTGAACGTCTGATGCTCATGGTGGGGATTGTGTCTCCTCCAGTGGTTTTGTCATGTGGTCCATGATCCATCGGGGCAAGCTGGTTCTTGGAGAACAAGGATACAAGGGGAAAATATGGGTTGTTGGCGACGTCGTAGACTCGCTACTAGATAGGGCAACGATCTCTCAACCGAATCGGGAGAGCTGCGAGTGAGGTGTGCCTGAGGACTCTGCTCCGGTTGGCGGTGCTTCCAGTACAAACAGACCCGGAACGGTGGTCAAGCAAGCAGCCAGCCGAAACAGAAAGATAGAGAGGGTTGCCATGAACAAACAAACGCATTAATAATAGCAATTAGAAACTAATGGTGAGCTACCCGTGGGGAACCGACCGAGAAGTGGAAGAGAGAGAGAGAGAGAGAGAGAGCTCAAAACGGCTGCCAACATTTTTCCAGACCGAACGAAGGACGGGCCACCCCTCTCTGAGAGTTGACTAGTCCCTCCCTCCACTCTACGCTCACTCGCTCTCTCTCACCGGATCCGCCGCCGCTCATCTTTTCTTCTTCCCTATCTTCCCCCCCACCCCACTCTTCCTCTCTCTCTCTCTCCTCCCCTCTGCTTCTTCTCTTTCTTCTCCTCCTTCTTCCTTCCACATCTCTCTCTTCTCTCCAATTCTCCCTTACCTCTTCTGATACTTTCCTACCCGGTTCAGTAGAGACATCATCCAAAATGGCCGCCAGTTCTTCTCTCGACCATCTGAGCAACCGTATGAAGCTGGAGTGGCACTCCAAGCTGAACACGGAGATGGTTCCCTCTAAGAACTTCCGCCGCACTTCCATCATCGGAACCATCGGTACGTCTTCCCTTTAAGCGCTCTGCATCAATTCTGCTTCGGTACAGCTTCAGAAGGTCAATGAGCTCATCCGTTACTGACATTTTGCCCCGCTTTCAGGTCCCAAGACCAACTCCGCCGAGAAGATCAACCTTCTCCGCAGAGGTACGAATGGATATTTCCCATCCCACTCGTTCAAAATGCGAGATACTAATCAGTAACTCAGCCGGTCTTAACGTCGTTCGCATGAACTTCTCCCACGGTTCCTACGAGGTGAGTTTCCCTGGCGCGACCGCCGATTTGTCCTCAATGCTGATTTTGATAGTACCACCAATCCGTTATCGACAACTCGCGCGAGGCTGCTCGCACTCAGGACGGACGTCCTCTGGCCATTGCTCTCGACACCGTAAGTGCATCTGACATATGCTCCTTGAATTGCGCATCTGACCCGACCGTAGAAAGGACCTGAGATCCGTACCGGAAACACCGTCGGCGACCAGGATATCCCCATCAAGGCCGGCCACGAGCTGAACATCACTACCGACGAGCAATATGCTACTGCCAGTGACGACAAGAACATGTAAGTCAATTGGTTCATGCCATCCTCGCGGACTTAGAAAGTCATTTTGGGCCGGAGGTGTCTCCTAGTCAGCTATGACTGACCAGTCTTCTCTCAGGTACCTTGACTACAAGAACATCACCAAGGTGATTGCTCCCGGCAAGCTCATCTATGTCGATGACGGTATCCTTTCTTTCGAGGTTCTGGAGGTCGTAGACGACAAGACCCTGCGCGTCAAGTGCTTGAACAACGGCAACATCTCCTCCCGTAAGGGTGTTAACTTGCCCGGCACTGATGTCGACCTTCCCGCTCTGTCCGAGAAGGATATTGCCGACTTGAAGTTCGGTGTTAAGAACGATGTCGACATGGTCTTCGCTTCGTTCATCCGCCGTGGTAGCGACATCCGCCAGATCCGTGAGGTTCTCGGCGAGGAGGGTAAGGAGATTCAGATCATTGCCAAGATCGAGAACCAGCAGGGTGTCAACAACTTCGATGAGATTCTCGAGGAGACCGACGGTGTCATGGTTGCTCGTGGTGACCTTGGTATCGAGATCCCCGCCCCCAAGGTGTTCATCGCCCAGAAGATGATGATTGCCAAGTGTAACATCAAGGGTAAGCCCGTCATCTGCGCCACCCAGATGCTCGAGTCTATGACCTACAACCCCCGCCCCACTCGTGCTGAGGTGTCCGATGTTGCCAACGCCGTTCTTGACGGTGCCGACTGTGTCATGTTGTCGGGTGAGACTGCCAAGGGTTCCTACCCCGCTGAGGCTGTCAAGATGATGTCCGAGACCTGCTTGCTCGCCGAAGTTGCCATTCCCCACTTCAACGTCTTCGATGAGCTCCGCAACCTCGCTCCCCGCCCCACCGATACCGTTGAGTCCATCGCTATGGCCGCTGTCAGTGCCAGTCTGGAACTCAACGCTGGCGCCATCATTGTCCTGACCACTAGGTAAGAGACACGCTCCAGTTGATCGAATGATGCGCTAATATGTCTTGCAGCGGCCAAACCGCTCGTTATGTCTCCAAGTACCGCCCCGTTTGCCCCATCATCATGGTCTCCCGTAACGCCAAGGCCTCTCGGGTAAGTCGCAGTGCTTTGTGTGGTTTTAAGATCGTGTGTGCTGACAAGTTCAATCGCAGTACTCTCACTTGTACCGTGGTGTCTGGCCCTTCCTCTTCCCCGAGAAGAAGCCCGACTTCAACGTCAAGATCTGGCAGGAGGACGTTGACCGCCGTCTCAAGTGGGGTATCAACCACGGTCTCAAGCTCGGCATCATCAACAAGGGCGACAACATTGTCTGCGTCCAGGGATGGCGCGGTGGCCAGGGCCACACCAACACCATCCGTGTGGTCCCTGCTGAGGAGAACCTCGGCCTGTCTGAGTAAATTCTTGGTTCGAGGATACCGCCACCAGGCCGGTGGATGATGCGACGAACGACAACGATTGGATAGTAACGCGCCAAGGGTGTTGTGTCTCTGGATATATCGTAGCACAAGGTCTTCTCTCATTTTCAACGCGATGATGACGGACGATGGATGATCCCCGAGCAGTGGCCACAAGCACCGAGCGTCCACTGCTCGAGCTTGGTTTCGTGAGTCGGGACGAGGTTGACCGAGAAGCACCTGGAGTGCTGTTCGGGTTTTGCCAGACTTCTCTTTGCTTCTCCCCGACGGCGCGGCTGAAGTGGGACACACTGGAGTTACCAGTTGTAATCTGCCTGCCATCTCTTTTGACAGTATCGAACTCATTAGGCAGTCATGTTCGGGTGGATTTTCTCTTTCCAAAAGCTGCGATTCCAAAAAAAAAACTAGAATAATGAGTTTTGCACATGTTAATAATTGCTCAGTCAATCATCGTCGTTCCTATGCTGCCCGTAGTCGACCTTGCTTAGTGCTAAGTTAGTGGTCCATCAGCCCTATTGTGTTGCTTATGAGTAATAGTGCCTTCCAATAAATGAGTAACAATGCCGCTTGCCAGCTAAGACAAGCGCAAAGTCCCACGGGAGCATCATTGCAGCAGCAGCAGCAGCAGCAGCAGAAGCGCCCAAGCGCGGAGGAAGGAGCAAACGGAGGAAAAACACTCCGGATCTCACCACAAGGCAGGACAGAGCAGGGGTTCGGCCCTTTTTAAGAAAAAGAAGAAAAGATGGAATGCGGGGGTTTTAGTGGGAAACCGATTACCCCGAAAGACCGAGGTCAGCTCTCCCCTTCCTTTTTTCAAAGAGACCTTCGGTAATAAATCGGGAAACACTTGAGGTTTAAGTAGTAGTGGTCGGAACGGGTCCGGGTGGTCTGTTGTAGTCGTTGAAAGATCGCACCTTAATACCACTAAACACAAAACAGCACCTCTGAGGGGAGGACGCAAAAGGGGAAATAGAGAAGAAGATTGAAGAGAAAAAGAAAAGGGAGAGAATCGAAACAATTAGATTGATTGTGAGAAGGGAACAGCAAGGAGGGCAAATCAAATTCCCGCGTGCTCACCCGAATGTTCCCGGGATCAGCCGGTGAAGGGTCGGGTGGTGGTGGAAGAGAGAAGCGTCGGGAGAACGGAAGTTGGGTGGTTTAGCATTGCGGGTGCAGTGCGTGGTGGTTCTTGCCCGGCCCGGTGCCGGTTTCTTCTTCAATCTGCTTTTTTGCCGGATTTTGCTGGTCTAATTGTCGAGTAAGCAGTTGACTCCCTACCGGTGAAGGTATACCGTGGGGATTTGGGTGGAATAGTAAGAAAGAAATGAAGTGGATGGTGGTTTTCATGATCGTGATGCAATCAAATCAGTCAACGCTAATCGCTGGCTAATCTCTCACTCCATTAATTACATTAAGGAAAGTACCGAGTTCTCTGCCGGTGAAAAGCTCGGATTATATGCTAATGCAAACAAAACCGCTTCGTGTTTTCCATGCTCAGTCGCTCACGTGTCATGGCAAATTGAATCAAAGTAACGCAGAGAAAAACAAAGATAAAGCGAATAATTGGCACCATAGAAGGACTGTTTGGTTCTTTTATACATCACTTCGTGTCGTCTCTTCGTGTCCTTATGTATGTACGTCTGTATGTATGCATGTTTGTCGTAGTTCATACAAGATGAAGTGTGATTGGAGGTATATGGAGTTGCCATCTTCAGCAAAATGGCAGCCCACTTCAGTGCGTCGTCTCCTCATTAGCATCACCATCGGTGGCTGAGTGATTGGGCTGGTTCGGGTAGTGCTCGATTGGAGCGTATCGGAATGCTTGGGGTTGTTGGAATTGGTGCCAGCAGCTAATAAATCAGTCAGTATCACTCCAGCGAGCATATTCCTACTGGATAGTAACCTACCTCGGTGCCTGGAGGACGTATCGGGCCATGGCCTCCCGGAAGCGACTTTTGTACTCCTTCGGGCTAGTAACAGTAGGCCGGTTCTTGCCACCACCGGCAAAACCACGGTCCTTGATCCAGGACTCCAGCTTCTTGTCCCAGGTGTAGGTTCGAATGCAATCGATGACTCCGACAACCAGTTCTGAACGGTTCTCATCGATGGCTATCATTAGAGAGTAATCCATCACATTCTGACGACCCAGGAAGAGGGTATCGTTCCAGACGCTTTGGCTGAGGAGCTTCTTGGAATGTTCACGGACGAACAGTGGTGTCTCGTAGATAAAATCAACCATATTCTCATCGAGAAGCACCTCGTTGCGTTCTCCGGTGCTCTGCACTTTGCGGTTCCTCATTGAGCCTTTGAGGTCGAATATCCGTGTCGGAACTCGGTCGTAGAACAGGTTCTCCATCAGCAGTAAGAACCAATTGAACTCCGTCCCCGTGGCAGGATTCTTGATGATGACCTGGTAGAACCCGAACATCTTGGCGATTGCGGAAGGGAGTTCGTGAAAGAGAGCTTCGGACATGATCTGGAAATACGCGGGGGCGAATTTCAAGAATGCCTGGGTTTCAATGGGCGACAGTGACTTGAGGATAAAGCGATCATCGAGGGTCTTTAAGAACAAGGACTTGGTCTTGCCTCCTTTCGAGTCCCATTTAGCACATCGGGAGAGTGATTCCACAATACGCTCTGCGACACCACACTTCCTCCGTAAAGCGTCGAACTGCTCGGCGTAGAAGATCTTACACAGCATCTTGGCTTGACCTTCTTGGAACTGATATTTCAGGTGCGTGCCGGTTGACCGCAGAAGTGCATGCTCCACCCGAGTTTCTTCGAGGGCCTCTGTCCCTTCTTCTAGGCTTGCGGTCTTCTCCTCAGGCTCCTCGTAGCGCCGTTGGATACCCGTCAATTTCTCCTTATAGTCAGACGAGTCCAATGCGAACGCTATCAGTGAGCTTGGTTCATCCTCACGCACGACAATATCGCAATCAGCGAAGACATGATCGGTCATAGTGAGTGGGTAGTCGAGAGGTGTCCAACCACTGGCTGAGCGCTCCGACCAGAAATTCGTCAGCATCTTGAGGAGGGTGCTTCTTTCGTGTTTCGGAAACTCTTTGAGGTCCATTTGTTCATCCTCCGGGGACCCCTTGATCTCGTCGTTCGAGTCGGTTCGCTGAAGGTCATCTGCCAATGTACGGTCCTCATCACTGTGTGCCTCTGCTTCATTGTCCGACAAATTATGCTCATCACGAGTTTCGTCCTCAATCTCTGGTTTCGCGTCAGGAAGATCGTGAGAAATGGAATCTTTCCTGTTGTCCTCCTCCGAGTCCTTTCTGAGGATGTCCTCGCTGTTTCTACTTGACTGATCCAGAGGGATACGCGACAGTAGTTCGTCACCTTCACCCGAAGGCTCTCGCTCTTCTACTGCCTCTCTAACGTTCTTATACACTTCCACAATGGGCTTGGAGGAGGCTAGTGGAAAAGCCCTGGAATGCGCCCCTTTAGCGGCACGCTGGGCTCTTTCACGTTGGCGCTCCTTCTCAAATTCTCGGCTCAGTTGCTCAAAGTGTCGCGCCAGGTTAGACACCCGTGAGTTCCTTCGGGGTATTGAACGTGGGATGAAAGATGGGCCAGGCGTCATCCTCCCGTTCCGCAGGGCATTGAAGCCAAATAATTTCTTGTCTCCAGGCTTGAACTTGGATTCTAGAGGAGGACTGGGGGTTCCATCCAACGGATTCATCTTTCCAAGCGCAAGCTTCATGCCCCGGATAGGTACACCTTCGTACGCTAGCTCCTTTTGCGGTTGAACGGGTTGAGTTTGAGAGCGAAACAAAGGCGGAGAGGACGACTTTCCGCTACGCCGGAAGAGACCTTCGGCCGGTCGTGGGATTGCCGACGGCAGACGGCTCGGAGGGATGACTTTGACTGCATCTTCACTCTTCTTTCGTGCATGAGTACTGGAATATTCGGGAAAGGGAATCTCCGTCGCTTTCGCATCAGGCACTGTAACAGGCACTGTAGGAATGGCCATGGGAGAAGGGGTGTCCATAGTCTCCAGAGAGCTTGCCACAGAGGGCACCAATGCTGACGGTTCTGGCTGCGCCGATGGTGTTGCGAGATCGAGATGTTGGACCTCTTTCTCTGCGGCCAGCTCAGCTTGAGGAGGCGAAAATCGTGAGCTTACCGGGCTAGATGAGATAGCTGATGAATCTATATCATCTCTGCTTAGCTCACTTCCTTGACTATGAGCGACATCTTTTCTGTTCGAATGCTCCTCGACAACCGACACGAGAACGTCCTGAGCTTTTTCAGGCGAGAGGGTCATGCGACGTGCCTGATGGATCCTTTCTGACTCCGGACTATTCCCACACTCTATCTCGGTTGGGGTTGTTGGGGGCTCTTCATTAGAGGTGAGCGAGGTCACAGACGCATCCCTGTCCAAAAATATCTTCTTCAGCTGCAAAGTCGCTAGACGCCGGATGTCCTTCTCCGAAGGGAAGAAATTCTTCTCAAACTCGGCGAAGGCAGTGTCCCATTCCACAACCTTTTCCTGGACAGCTCGGAGGACTTCGTTCAACGGTATGACCTCCCAGTACTGGGAATTGGTATACTTGTCTTGAAGATGCTTAACAAACATAGCGCTATCTTCATTGGCCTTTCTGTTCAGGTTCTCAATTTCCTTTTTGCAGTCTTCTGCTAATTTTGGAATCACGCTTTCGACATTGATCCCCTTCAATCTGGCTTTGACTGAGGTCATGAATCTATTGATGCGTTGTTCCATCCTCTGATAGACCTCGTTTCTGAGTTTGAGATCGTTGTCCACTTTCCAAGTGACTCGGGTCCGTGGAACGATAATCTCAAGTAGGTTAATTGTATCATAGTGAACTTGGATAGCAACATCCTTGAAGCCAAAGAAACGAAGATGATCGCGCTGCAGGTCATGGGGACAAACCCCCGCTCGGGCATGAAGGTTCTTGTTCCAGAACGAAAGCTCCAAGTACTTCCCGAAAGAATACTTCCAGGTGCCTTCGGACATTGGGAAGACCTGGGTTTCATTGCCACAGATCTTGCAGCAGCTCCACATCAAAATGGTATCCTGGAGGCCGCGAAGCTTCGAGGGATACGGCTGGGTGAAGATACTTATCTGGGCTTCTCCGTGGACATACTGACGGTGATGCTCGAACATTCTTTTCTCGCAGCCGTTCGCCGTGCAAACTGCATTGGCATGGAGACAGATATCCTCTACATATTGCCCAAGCGTACAGTCTGGCTCAAAGATTGCATCTCCACCATGCTCATTGTAGTACTCTAGCGCAAGGAGATCTGGCCCGGAACACGGGATCGAGGTGGTAGTGCAGACAAGGCTAAACAGGACGACAATGTTTTGATGTGCGTATGGGTCAAAGAGACCGACGCTGCCAGCGACATAGGCCTCCCACTGTCGTTTCTGGGTTTGATAATGATGAAGCGCTCGGTCATACTCGGCATCATGGGCTGCACGCAAAACTTCTTTGACCTTTAGGGGAGCTCCTTGTGGAGCCTGATGGACCATTTCAGGAGTGACGAGAATAAATTTTTGGGCTTTCGCCTTTTCGTCTGTGGGCAAACCTGAATCAGGATCTTGGTCGCGGAGACGCTTCAGGTAGGCTAGCCTGCGCTCCATCTCCCGAGCCCTTGCGAGTAGATAAGGAGGCTCGAATTTGACGAACGGAGAGGCAGACAATATCTTCGTTTCATGATCATGAATGATCTCCTCGTAGTACGTCGGCATGGGAACGTCGTCAGGGACTTCGCTAACCTCGCTGGTGGTCACCAAAGCCTCTTGAGACGAATTACCAGACTTCTTCTCACTCGATTCTCGATCGAACTCTAACTTTTTGTCGGGGTCAGTATCAGGTAAAGACGGCATCTGTGCAAATTCATCTCTCATCAAGCAGGTCTCTAGTTTGAGATTATAGGCAACATATGCCATGAACTCAGTGATCCGTTTAACTTTGGCAAGGATATTACCGTCACCTCCCCGCAAGACAATTGTACAGCCGAGTTCCTTGCGGCAGCCGGACAGGTACATGTATGTCTTTTTGCGGCCATTGTACAGGTAAGTTTTGACGTCAAAGCTGCCGCAGTCACTACTCACAGGCGTGGTCACAAGCTTGTCCATTGATGTTATAATCCGTGTCTGAGTGCAGCGAGAAACAGCCTCAAGGACCGAGGATTTCACATTGTATGCGGTTGCAATATTTGCCTTTTCCAGCAATTCCAGAGCTAAGCCAGACACGTTCTTCTCAACTAGAAGCAAGTTTGGCCGGAGAGCAGCAATGCGGCTAACCAAGTTCTCGAGGAACTCTCGCTCTTGACGAATCACGGGCTCTAAACTCATAAAGTGCTGCTGATGCCGTGCATACTCAAGTGGAAAAGCAATGATCAAGATTTTAGGTTGCGGAATGCTCCGAGGCATACTTTTAAGTGCAAGGTTCTTGGTGAAAACCAGACCTGAGACATACGATGTGTCCCCGGGCCTACCACCTGATATCTTCTTGAGCTTAATGTAGTGACGAATGTCCATGTCATCACCACCCTGCACATCTGGGACAACTTCATCGGCTGCCTTTAAAAGGATGGGAAGAAGAGCCGTCTCCCACTTTGACGCATTAGGCACGGAGGCATCTTTTAGGAGTTGTTGCAGGAGCTGTCGAACGTGATGCAGACTAGCCTTATTTAGTTCGACCGGGGGAGCGCCAGCTCCTCTCATAGACGAGCTCCTTGTCATCTTGAATCCACTCGAAGCGATCCCGATGGGGTGGAGGTGAGCAAGGCTTGGCGGCTCATGTGGGTTAAAGACGCTATCTTTGGACGCCCTTGGGGAATGACGGTGATGGATACTACTCGCAACGCTCAAATTGCGGCGTCGAGAAGCCCGGGGCAAGTTTACGGCTCTCGAGCTACTTAGGCTTCCTTCATCACCGTCACGGTAAGAGAAGTTCAGATTAGTAGTGCTTCGGTCTCCAAAAGCAGACCGACCTTTCTTCATCGCTGCAAGTAGCCCGCTGAAAGTGGTTCTCTCGCCCTCACCGCCGCTTTTGGACAATGAGCCTTCGGAAACCGCAGACAAAAGGTTGGGTTGCTCGTCGCCGCTGGAGGCATCGTCTGAAAGATATTGTGCCAAGTCTGGATCTATGATATTGTCCTTGTGAAACGCGGGGAGACGCTGTTCACGGGTAGTATCATCTGCATGGCGACGTTGAAAAGGAGCTCTGTCATCATGAAATGGCTTGAAGTTGCGAATATATTGCTGACGCGAATGATGGCGTTTGTGACCTATAGAATGGGTTCTTCCACTCAATGTGGACTTCAGCGATCTTGAGGAGGTAGGCCTGGCTAGGGGTCTATCAGGACTAATCTCCAAGACGGCAGATCGGCGGTTGTGCCCTTCACCCGCACGCCTAGTCGCTGGGATGGCCATAGTCGGCGTCTTCATAACATGTTCGATGGATTGCGAGACTATAGAGGACGTATCGTCATCGTCAGGGAGTATGCGTGAATATATGCCTGCGCCCAGTTCGGACACCCGAGGATTAACCACGATGGGGCTTTGTTCGCTATCTGAAAATTCGGAAGAATCATCATCATGACCGTTGATCATAGCCTCACAAGGTTTGCAGACACGAATGGTCCCAGGTTGACCAAACCTGTCACCCGGAATGAGGAGAGTACATTTTGAGTCGAAAATTTGGCCACAGGTTCGGCAGTGATGTTTGCGTCGGAAAGTAGAGAATGTTTCTCCACAATGGAAACAATCTTTTGCATTTTCATCTCGCATCCAAAACTCTTTGCTGAGTAGTTTGCTCCGCAGCTGAGACATGACGCCTTCGCCTCCACCATGAGACCGCCGGCTACGTCCGTCTTGGCTAGAAACTCGTTCCACGGCGGTATTGAGCGGAGGCAGGATTGGCGTCCCGGAGTTGGACTCCCCTGTTGAGGCTTGAGAAGCCACATAACCGGGTAAACGACTTGCGCTTGATATAGAGGGTCTTTCACCTGTTTTAAGCTTGATAGGAGCTTTCGCTGGCTCTTTTGACTGGGAGCTTCCATCAGTCAATGGGACCGGGGCAGTGACGCCCAGTGGCAATTTCCCTTCAGGCAAAGACCCTTCCCCGTGGTTTGAAACTTGACTGACGCTGTTTGTCCTCGAGCCAGAGGCAACTGTTGATCTTTCGGGTTTGAAAGAAGCACCTGAGTTTGACCTCAATCTTTCGTGAGGCAAGGATATACCATCTGGGCCAAGGTCAACCGATCTTTTCGCCTTTCGCAATGGCCCGGGTAAAGTGGATTCTATGTCATGGATTATATGCCCATCCGACCTCCTAAGATTATCGGGAGGCTGACTGCCCGCCGTTGATGATCTGCTAATCTCCTGACCATCGTAGGCGCTTTGATGTGACTTGACCTGGATAAGCGGAGAGGTCGGAAGACGTTGGCTCCAGCCTGAAGAGCTTAGTGATGCAATGTGCGGGCCTTCTTCCTTGTCCGTGCCAGCGGAGTCCACTGTCTGTAGGCTATTGGTAGAAAAATTGGCCGAGGTGTTACTTGAGTGGAGAGGTGGTTCTTTGACAGCATTCACATGAATCTCCGTGACTGTAGGGTCTACAGCCAATGCGCTGCCTGTAGTCTTCGGCAAGGGTGGAACGGGAGATTTCAAGGCTGGCTGTGGTAAGATAGAGGCTTTAGAGGATATGCTTGTTGCCTTTGAAGAAACCTTGGAGCTTTTAGCCAGTCCCAACGGCTGCGGGCCATTCGAAGCAGAGAAGCTTCCAGGCACCGGTGAGTGCAACCTCGATCCCTGAGATGAGCCGGGGTGGTGCTGTAGCGACTCTGCGACAGAGTCTGGGGCCGATCGGGGAAACGAGCGCTCTGACGGAGGGGGACTTTTCAGGCCAGTGTCTTCGATGGACGTGTTGTTCGATGTCTTGCCTACACCACCAACAATCCCACCCACTGAAGTTCGGAACCTAGTATATAGCCCACTCAAGCCTCCTTGCAGTTCGCCTGAGAGGCTCTTCTCGTCGACGATCGAGGTTGGGGCTGGTGGGCTTGTGAAGTCGTTGAACACGGTAAGGCTATCAGACTGGTAAGCTGCGTTATGGATCTGATCGAGGGTGGCATTCAGGCTTTCGCGTTCAGCCTGGGTTGATATAGACGCTCGAGAGCCTCTGCGGCCGAGAGGGAGGAAGACAGACGACGCAGATGGACTAGCTGTCCCTTGGGATCGTTGGGACGCCATCCAGGCTCCGTCACGCCCACACAACACACGGGTAGCACAGAGGAAAGTATCTCCCGCGGGTGACCTTAACGCGTCAACCTCACAAGTTTAGGAAGAGTAAGGGGTGGCAGGCATTCGAGGTATCTTGCTGCTGGTGCGGAGCTGCGTTGCTCGGTGATCGGAGTCTGTGCGGTGAGGATCCATGCATGGAGAGGTCGACTCCACATCATCTGGAGATGTTTATATCGGGTGGGTTTTCGGGAAGAGGGTCAGACTGTCAGTTCGCGTCGATGACAGAAGGCAGACAGAAGGCAAAGATTGACTTTTGCCGTGACAACGGGGGCGAGTGGAGAAGGCGAGGAAGTTGAATGATAATTCGGTGATTCATTGTCTAGACTCGGCGACAGAGAGGAAGACAAGCAGAGGCCGCAGGGATTGGGACGAAGCCCATGACATGTGCCGCTGCCCAATGACGTGGTTTGAGGAACTCAGAGGGGCTGTGGCTGGTATCCGAGCCGCGCCACAGCCAAGGCGGTCAGACGCGTCAAATCGGCAGAGCTCGCGTTACACAGGGATCAAGGTGAAAGAAAAGCCATGGGTCTGGGAGAGGGGGTTTGTCTCTATTTTCCCGGATTCACCTCAAACGAGGTGAGTCGCTGTGGAGCTGGGTAAATCGGACAGAGCAGCGAATGCCACACTGCTGGTAAAGCTAACGCACTCCCCATGCAGACAAATGTCAGCTCATCTTTTTGATTTGCATTCCGTACCGGACTATGTGCTGCTATAGCAGCATAACAGACGTCTTCGTACCTCCATGATGAGTTCCTCAACGAAGTGGATAATTTCGATGATCGAAGGCCTCTTGAATTCTTATCTCGGCAAGTCTTCAGTCCGAGTCGACTATTTGGACGATCATAGCAACCTTCGCTTCCAGATCGACTCAGTCAAGAGTGCACTGGTGAACAGTGTGAGCCGCCTTTTCCTTCACGAACCAATCAGTACTGATGAGAAACTCTTTGGATAGTGTACGAAGGATGATAATCACGTCGTCAAGCTCATGGTCACTGACTCAGATGCCCAAGTCGAAGCGATACTGTCCCGAGAGGCGCTGGAGGATCATCGAAAGAAATACCCGCATCGTCCATTTAGCAACGAAGAAGTACGGGGATACCGTATTCGCTTGGAGGACTTTGAGTTGGTCTTGGAATATACCACTGCTACTCCGAAAGTCCATTTCTACGTTCAATGCTTCGAGGTTGAGTGGGGCTCGACCAAGCTCAAGACATCTCCACAAGGGAAAACTCTCCGGAAGCATTCTATTTCTAAGTTGATACAGGATGCGTCCAGAAGAGCCAAGCAATCTGTCCCCAATATGTTAGAGCGTGCTCCAAGATACAATGATCCTTTTGGTCCGCCGGCCAATCAGTTGTCTCAAATGCCTGTCTCGCAGAATGTTTTTATGTCCCAACTTCATGCAGCTCGCGAAGCTCAAACCATGCAATATCCATCTATGAATGAGGGACTGGGAGGGGCTCACAATCTTCTTGCGCTGCTGGAACAGCCTGCTGGGGCTAGGGTCATTAGACCGTCGAACCAACTCCGCCGGGCACCTTCACACTTATTGAATGAGAGATACCAGAATGAAGGCGCAGTAGCTATTGCGATTGCAGGCGTACCAGTCACCCGGCAGTATACCGCAGGACCTGCAAGAACTAACATAGATATCTCACCAATGCCCGTGGCCTTCCCGGTTGCAGACGTCGAACCCGTCCAGCGTCCATCGAGCAACCAATTTCTTCGGGTGTCTCGACAACCCCTCGCCAACGACCGTGGATCTAGTGTCGAGAAAGTTGCGTCCCAGAGTGTTGAGAATGAACAAGAGCGACCTCCGCAGCCAGCAGGGACGGCTCAGCAAGCTGCAGAGAACAGCACTTTCCTGTCACCGCAAACGACCGCCCAATCTGACAAGACTGTAGTCAGGGAGAACCATTCACTTGAGAATCTAGGTCTTGGCTTTGAAGATCCCTGGAAAGGATTGACTCGGATTGAGGCTCGAGACATTGAAATACCCAAGGACCAACTAGAATTACTAGAGTTACATAAGCGCCGCTGGATACCACCCCTGCCTGGTGAAAGCAAACCCCAAGGACACGTGCCACCTCGTCTACTCGCCCGGTGGAACCATATCGTGACGCGAAGAAATCGGGCGGCTAGCCAAAAACCACTGGACAAAGCAGTAGACAAACCGCTTTCACCTGGTGTGCCTCTACCTGATCCTCTCAGTTCTGCACCTGGAGTCGATTCAGACTCGGAAGGTGAACCTCTGACGTCGCAGTGGTCGGAAAGCTCACCGGAACAAACAATACGTCGACGTCCTGCCCTTCCCGAAGACAGTAGCCCTATAAGAGGGAGCCCACGCAGGCCAGCGCGAAATGTACTAGCTGCAGATAAACCTAATTCGCGAGCTGATCACTTGACAAAAGAAACTGACGCAGCGCCTTGCCAGAGTATTTTGAGCAGGGTGCATGAGAAGCCAGCGAGCGTTACTGGCCCAGCCAAAACTGTCATTCCTCCTGCTGGGCGAAGCATCACGGACAGAGATCATAGCCAAAGTAAAGACTCGGATGGAGATAGCGATGACTCAATGATGGATACCTCTGTGCCCTGCCCACTAGGTGTTGAATTATCCCAGTCCCAGTTTGTCAGTCAGTTGGAGCGGGAGGTAACCAGTTCCGGCCCATTGCTTCCTGGGCCTGCTACACAGGATCAGGTGCAGGTTTTGGACACACCCGAGACTAACCTTAGTCGTTTCCGCCATTCTCAGCCTGATATGTGTAACAAGGGCGTGCAGATGCAGCCTTTGAGTACCCAGTCACCCCGGGTGGACAATTCGTCGTCCCAGTCACGAATCCTGAATTCAGTCGGGAGCAGCAACAACAAGGGGTCTTCTTCTCAGAGTGCTACTAATAATAAGTCTCGGGAGAGCAACGGTGAACCGCGAGTGGATATTGTTGGCACGCAGCTGAGCAGCCAGGGCCTAGCATCGCAGAACCCAACACCCTATTCTACCGCGGAGGTGGTTCTGGATTCAAGTGCGCCAAGACTGCCCGAAGCAAACGTCACAATGGGAGTTGTAATGCCCCGTTCTCAGACACCGAATGCGTTTTCCTCACATCGGGAGATGCCCTCATCACTGTCGCCCGAGATGGAAGGTCATACAGCAGCTAGCTTCATTTCGCTGACTCAGAGAACTCCGGATAGGTATTCCGTGGGAGTAGTCTCTAAACGACGTGCATCCGAGCTAGAGGACGAGGAACTTGGCCCATCAAAACGGTCTCGAACGCAACCACCAGAAATAGCTGAAGAGCCAATGTCCATCGCATTGACTCTGAGCAACAACAGTCCCAATGACAGCTGGGAAGCGCAGCAGGCTTATGGAAAGTTCTGTCGTAATTACCCGAACTATTCTGGCCAATTTCCTCATTTCACTAAGCTATGCTCTAAATTACAAGCTGTGCGAGCTAAGGGTCACCTTCAGCGGTCTTTCTTATGGGATGACTTCATCCTAAAGCATCTCGAGGAGTTTCCGCGCTATATTGAGCAATGCCGTGTTTCGGAAACGAAGTCCATGGAGTACGAGGAGTATTTCGCATCCACATTCAGTCGACCTGTATACAAGAAGCGAAGCTTGACATCTCAAGGGATAGCAGTTGCTGCAGCACAATACAATTGTGCTAGTGAGGAGAAAGCGCCTTCCCCTGTACTTGCTGCGCCAACCAGGCCAGACACATCGTTTACCGGCAGTCTTGTGGATCACTTCTCCAATTTGCATGCTCGGTCTTTTGAACCCGGTAGCCAAGCCACGCTATCTGATGCTGAAATGGACATATCGTCCATAATGTCGTCGCCCACCCCACATCGGCACCCTCAATCTCAAATTCTCGGAAGTGGGACTCAGTCTGTCGAGAACAATGAGGATCAAAATATGATCAGTCAAAGAGAACCTCACTGCCCAGAGAGAGATGCGTCCTCTGACATAGGCTCAGCGGAGCGGCTCATGATGCCTACGAGCTCAGCAAGCCACTATGAGTCTGCGATGGAAAGCATTTCCATGCATCAAGGGACTACAGTCGCCGAGAGTCACAATACTTCGGATTCAAACAGACCAGAAAGCTGGCGAATGTCTACGGAGGCCACGCCGACTCCGGGCGAGCAAATTCCTGCTGTTGAGTCTGAGCAGCACGGATCGCAGATCGAGGACGAATCCATGGCTGATCGCGAAGCTACTCCAACTCCGGCCAGGCCAGTGCCTGCGATTGAGTCTGAGCAGACGGAATCGCATGCCAATGAAAATCCCATGGCTGTTCGAGAAAATATGCTGATTTCGTGCGAGCAATTCCCGGCGTATAAATTTGAACGACGTGAATCGCAAATCGAGGACGAGTTCATGGCTGATCGGGAAGCTACTCCTATGCCGGCGGAGCCAATGCCCACGATTGAGTCCGAGCAGTTTGAATCGCAGATCGATGGCAGTTCCAAGCCTGGTCAAGAAGCTACTCCTATCCCAACCGGGCCAGTGCCCGGGGCTGAATCTGAGCACCTCGAATCGCAGGTTGATGACAAATCCGTAGCTGATCAAGAAGCTACTTCGCTTTCGGCCGGACCAGCGCTCGCAATTGAATCTGAACAGCATGAGTCGCAAAATGATATCAATTCCATGGCTGAGCAACAAATCATTTCATCACTGTGCGAACAAGTTGTTTCGCGTGAATCAGAGCAGCGTGAAATGGGTGACCGACGAGCCCCAGCTTTGGCCAAGACAATGCCCACGGTTGAGCTCGAACAATCTGAATTGCAGCTCGAGGACAATTTCCTCACGGAGCAACCAGCTGAAAGAATATTGATTGAGCATGTGGAAGTTCGCCAGTTCGGAGCGGCTGAGGGCAGCCAAGATGTCACAATGGCCGAGATGGAAGCACCAGATAGGCTAGTTGAAGAGAATTTCCACAGCATGGTTAGCCAAAAGTTAGAAACGGCGTTCCCAGAAGAGTCCCTGCAATCAATCACTGTGACAAGTGAAGCACGAACCTTGGTGCCTGGGGAGCATGACAAGTCGACTACGGAAGGTGCTCACATCACCGTTGATAAGGAAGCAGCGACAATGGGTCCAGCAGAGCCCTCACAATCGATGATGACAGCAGAAGAAGTGGGATCCTCTCCGCCCGATGCACATGACGAGTCTATTGTAGAAGACACCCAAGACACGGCCGACGAAGATGCTGAGGAAGTGGATCTAGCAGCAAGCCTGCAATCTATCATTGCAGCAGATCAAGCAGCGCCCGCTGCCTTGGAAGAGCATGACAAGTCGATAGTTGATGCTACACATGGACCAAGTGGCCAAGAAGGCACGGATGTTGAAATGGTTATAGAAGGGACAGTAGACTCGGCTGTTCAGGGCATTGAAGACTCGGTTGACCGAGAAGTTGGATTTGGGGACCCAGCAGAACAGCGACAACCTGTTCCTGCAGAGAGCGGAGCAGGATCCTCTCAACCAGAGGAGGAAGGCCAGTCGACTGCGGAAGACATCGCCAGCACAGTCAACCAGAAGACAAACATGGTGGACTTAGTGGGAGATCTGCATTCTATAACTGCGAAAAATGAGGCAGCAACCTCCGAGTCGGACGAGCAAGGCGAGCCGGTTATTGAAGAAACTTACACCTTTGATCACGGAAGCCAGGATGTAGAAATGGCTTCGGAAGAACAAGATGAGCCGGTTACTCAAGACATCCAAGCCACAATCGATCAAGAAGCTGGCTCACCGGGCCCATCAGAACAGTCGCATTATATCAGTGCAGGAGACGACGCGGACTCTATTCAGCCAGAAATGCAAGACGACTCCATTGTCAGGGTTACCAACGACACGCCCAACCAAGTGGCGGAGTTAGTGGGTTCTGCCGAGAAGCTGCACCCTGTTGCTGCAGAGAATGAACCCAGATTTGCTGAACCGACTCTGCTAGTATCAGCAGAGCAGTCAGACGCTGAGATAGAGAGCGATTTTGAGCAGCTGCATCCTGTTAGCGCAGAGGGCGATACAAGATCGGACGGCAAAGATTCAGTCACGCCAGCACAGCACTCAGATGCTGATACCCAGGGCAATATCGAGCAGCTGCACTCTGCTACCGCAGAGGATGCAGCACTGTCCACCGAGAATACTCCAGTCGGGCCAGAAGAGGCACTAAATCCTCCTATGGAGAGCGATTTCGAGAAGTCGTATTCTGTTGTTGCAGGTCATGAACCTGGATCTGTTGATGAAGCCTTAGTGGAATCTTCGGAATACTCGGATGCTATTACGCAGAGCAGAGTGCTAGGGTCGCACTCTCTGGTTACAGATCGTGAATCCAGGTCTGACGAAGAAGCTTCAGAACCATCAGAGCACTCGGATGCTGTGATGGAGAGCGACCCCGAGCAGTCGCCCTCTCCCATCGCTGAGGATGAAGGCGCATTTGCGGAAAAAGAAGCTTCAGTCGGACCATCAGAGCACTCGGACCTTGTTATGGAGAGCGGTGTCGAGCAGCCGGCCTCAATTATCACGGTGGACGAAGTTACCGCTGGCGAACAAACGCCGGTGAAGCTAGCCGCGCCCTCCGAACCCGAGCTCGCGAGTCAAGCCAATCCCATCGAAATCACTGATTCCGACGAGGAAGTCGACTCCGTGGTCATCGACGAAGGACATGAAACCGCCAGCATAGAGCTGGGCGAAGAACCTTCGTCGCCACCCACTACTCAACAGCCACAGCAGCCGGAGAGTGAATCTGAGGAGGAGGATGACATTAACGAGAACTGGTTCCTTTCCCTCCGCCACATGCGCCCGACAGGCCCGGTTTGGTCGGACAGCCCAAATACCCCCTTCAAACAATGGGTGCGAGCAGACCAGGCGGTTCTGAGTGAGCGGTACCGCCGAGGCGGGGCGTATCTTCCTGTGGATGAAAAGGGGGTGATTCAACGGCCGGGCTTCCGGTGACTTTCCTCTTCGGGGTTATCCTTTATTTCTATTTCCTTCGTTGTATAAGATAATGTGGGGTTGAATTTGCTTGCAAAAGCTGGGGCTTGAAATGTATGATATCCTAGAATCTCACCAGCAGGTACTGAAGTGACAAACAATTTTCTTTTTCAAACTCTCTTAGATCGCATATCAGAACCAACAGAAAAATCTACCCGAACGTACTGGGCACGCTCAACACACTCTCAAACCACCGATCATCCCCCAAATCCACCGACTGCATCCAGGCGAGCTGATCGAGATCTGGGATGTGGACAGAGCCAGTGGCACTTCCCATCTCGACCTCTTGCACCGGACAAGCCATGTCCCACCGCGCTTGCGCCCACAGACGGCATCGATCGAGCAACTTAGAGATGTACTGAAGCAGATGGTCGTCGCACCGCAGCTCGGGCTCCTGGCTGCCCTGATTGAGCTTCTGCAGCATGCGGTCGATGGCCGAGATGAGCGGGACGGTGCTGCGCACCGCCTGGCAGTCCCATGCGGGGTCTTTTAGCGTGGAAAGGTACTTCAAAAGTGTGAGGCTCAGGATCATCTGGGACCAGAAGTGGAAGGGCTGGGCGATGAGCTTGGAGGGTTGGACTGCGTCGAAGGTGTCCAGCCACGACTTGATATTCTCTACCGATTGCCATAGGCGCTCGAGACGTTCGAGGCCTAGTCGTCCGGAGAGATCTAGAGGTAGCGGGTCTTTGCTGATGGTGTAGGACAGATGATTGATGTATAGTTCGACGTATCGCGCGTGGGTATGGAGAATGTCTACAGCCCCATGATATCAGCAATTTACAGAGTTAAGGGTATACCATGTGGTTAATTCGTCGGAGAGACAATACTTACCTATCTGGGGAATATTGGTAGGGAACGACGATGTTAGCTCCTGTAGCTGTCTTCGTAGGGACTTGAGATACAGTAGGCGTGGAGCCGAGGTCGCCGCGGGAGCTGTCCCATTAAGAGCGCAATCTGCCTCCTCCTGTTGTCGCACATTATCCGCTTTCTGCTTCAACAGCTGCAAGCGTACTTGAGATGCAAATAACCCGTCCGTAGGGCACGACTCATTAAGCGTGAGAACTTGGAGCGCCTCTTCCATCTGAGGTGTCCATCTCAAAGCGTCATGTCTGCCAAGGTGCGACGAGATACTAGGAATTGTCCTACGTTAGTATGACTTTGCCCCAAAGACATTTATAGTAACAAAAACTGCGGCTGAGTCGGACAGGTCCCTGCGTACTTGGAGCTCAGTATGAAACATGCCAGCACTGCCCGCTGCTTTTCTAAGATGTTGTGGAGCGTTTCCTCGCTGGTGCTCGGACCATTCCCATCGGCACGTCCCTGGGTAATAGCCATCATGATCTGGACGTCCTGTTGAGGTGGTTTGAACAAACGCATATCATAGACTATAGAAATCGCCAGCATCATAAGGCGGGAGACAAGGTCTGCTCTGCCGAGAAAGGCATCGGTACTCCACGCTATGTACGTCAGTAATCCCAGTAACAGGTCAATGTTGGACTCCGCATTGAGCAAGGCGGACGTAGACAAGAGACGTTTCAGCTCCTCGACTTGAGCCAATCTCTGCTGGTTCGAGAATGTGGTTACAGTGTGAATGGCGTGTAACAAGACAGGTCTGTTCTGACGCAGGTACGGGCTTCCTATATCTGGGGCTAGGTCTATGAATGGAAAATAAGGCAACATCCGAGTTCGAAAATAATCCAAGCGCTCGTCTACTTGGTCTGGCAATGAAGGAGCGGTTGACGAAGTATAGTGTTGAGATAGGAGTAGCAGATTCGGATTTGGCGATACTGTGGCACTCGAGTCCTGCGCGAATGTCGGCCCTTTACTGGATCTCACATTTGCGCTCGTGGTCGTCCCTAGAGCGCTGTTTGGGTCGGTGGGGAGCTGGAGGATATTCACAGAAGGCTCAGAAGTACCGGAGGAACCGATGAAAGATTGCATTGCAGTCAGCAAACTCTCCATCCTGTCTTCCAATCGGGCGATCCGCGTATCGGACTCTTCGGCCACTTGAGCATGACGCCTGCGAGCCGATTCTGACGGCTGGCACCTTTTCTTGAGACGGAGGCATCTAGGGGATTTTCAGTGGAAGCCATGTGTAAACAATCGTCGGGTCCTTGTTGACCTTTCGCAATTATCGCCGCTTGAGCTCCTTACACACCGGCATTTTGCCTTATAACAATGCGTACACGCTCGGCCATAGGTGCTGGAATGACCGAGAGGCGGATTTGATCTCTCCATAAAACTGGTCGATAGGACTGAAAGTTCACCATGTCAAAAATAATGGGGAGCCTCGACTGGTAATGCTGGGAGAGTAATTCCCTGAGCACGTCGAACGGAGGGGAATCCGGCGGGCTTACGTCCGTCTCACGCCGACGGAGTTTGGCCTCCGAAGTCCGTACTACTAGCTTAACTTGGCGTGATTCAGTCCAAGTGAGATCAGAATAGATGCCAGAAGATATTTGAGAGGATTTATCGCACAAATCTTACATGTGCTGAACACAACTATAGAATCAGAGCACTTTCAACAATGTCCCTTCCGGACGAGACAAATCATGCGCTATCCCTCTGATATCCAATCTCACTCAGCGCCGATTGCCGATTGATCATCCAAGTAAAAAGCCGGTAGGGGAGAAAAGTGTTGCAAAACCAACTCAACGTAGACGCCTGGCCCCGCCGGACAAAGATGCCACTACCGCCAAGTACGTCGTCCACGATATTCTTCGCCGCGACGTCGATATTCTGTTTGTTCGGGTGAATTATCGTCTTCTTGTGACGATCGATAACCGCCGCAATCTTCCGGTAATGAGAATCTGGAGGCAGCTCCAAGTCCGCGATCTTGTTCGGGTCGTTTCCGCTGGTCTGGACGCCTCCGAGAATGACCGTAACAACCCGGACGCCGAGAGGCGCCATCTCCAGACGCAGCGTTTCAGAAATCCTTGTTCCAGCACTCCTGGAGCTGCTATATACACCTATGGCAGAGTAAGCCCCAGAGTCTTGGCGCTTGAGCTAGGGCTCGAACGTACCTGCCCATGCAAACACCATTTCACCAGACACGGAACTGATGTTGCACATGACGCCTTTGGCCTTGATAAGCATGGGAGCGAAGGCCTGCGCCATGGCAACAAGGCTCCACACATTGGTGTCGTAGACCTTCTTCGCCTCGTCGAAGGAGGCGTCGAGAAGTGGCACTATGGCGTTGACACCGGCGTTGTTGACGAGGATATCGAGCCGCCCGCCCGTAAGCTTCGCAACAGTTTGTGCACATTGACGGATTGATTCGACCGATGTCACCTCCAACTCGACGATCGCTATGCCTTCGATATCAGCCAACGATCCTGCTTTGGCCTTGTTGCGTAGTGTGGCAAAGACCCGGAAGCCTTTGGCCTGATAGACCTTGGCCATGGCCGCGCCGAGTCCTCCATAGCTGCAACCGGTGATCAAAACTGTTTTAGACATTCTGACACTTGCTAATGATGAAAGAAACTGGTCGTCTGAGTTGACTTGACAACATGGCTAGAGCACAGGCAAGACTTTACTTATATAAGGTGATGCAACGGACTCCGGACAGAAAATCCGTTGGTGTTGTTGAGATTCGACTCAGTGAAGCGGAGGAAGCGGAGGGAAGTCCATCGGCATTGTGTCCGTCCAGGAGGACATCGCAATTACGCGACGATAGAAGACAGCCGATGAAAGCCATGACTAGCTGCGTTCATTTGTCGTCGCTCAATGCGACACGATCCAGAGTCGCGATCAGACGCCTATGCAGGGGTTACCTTGAGGACCAATGATTCATTCATAGACTACCATGAACGATTGCTAGTGATATGAAGGGAGAAGACATTAGAGAGTGTGATGTGGCGGGTCTTGAAGGTGCTGGCGTGTCTGAGGCATGGCGACTTCTTGGAAAGATTTGCTTCACTGGTCCTGTGGAAATTTAGCGGGGAAAATCCGGGGGCGAGGGGGGGGGTTTATACTCCGCACTCAGATGCGCGACTTCCCAGTTCGGTTGCACCAGCACGCTTCCCCTAACCAGTGCTTCCTTGACCCGATTCAACAATGGCAGTCGATTCCGACCATAGCATGGCAGGGCCGCGTTGTTGCAGAGAGCACGCAACCGACTCGAGATTCCCAGATAGGAGGCGCAGTGCCCAGTACAGCATGCCTCTTCAAGATCTCAATGTCGCAACGAATTTTCTTCTGTCGGCTTCCACACATGATCTAGACTGACACTAGACCAATAATCTTCAGGGATCCATATAAGCATAAAATGCCGTCCTTGAATTTTCTGCTTTGAGAGATCCAACCAATTTTCAATGTGTAGTTACATTGACATATTATAAAGTCTGTCGCATTTTACTGGAACACTGGAAACCGTCCGTCCGTGCCCACTTTTCTCTTAGCCTTAGCATCAATTCCGCGCCTTACCGGCAAAACTACTAAACCCAGGCTGTACGCCTTACTGCTACTTGGTTAATCATTCGCAAGAATTGTGTGGCAAGACTTCCTGCCTATACTTATAAAAACTGACTCGTCTGGATTTCCATCGGTAGGTTCTTCTATATTTCATTCCGACTAATCCTTCCCCATCACACGAGGCCCACACCTAGAACGGAAATCTTAAATAGTACCGACACTTCACCACTTTCACCTTTATTCTTACTTTCTCTTTCACACATACTGCGAGTACTAAAGTTGGTTTTACCAAAAACAACAAAAACGACAATGGTTAAGCCCGTCGAATACGCCGGTCTCTCCGGACTCAAAGCCTTCGTGCGGCCTCTCGCTCTCTCCGATCTCGACAGCTGCGTTGAGGTCGAAAGCGCCTTCCCCGAGCAAGAACGCTGCTCAAGAGAAAAGGTACGAGCTCTCCACACTAATCCCTTCCGCCCTCGGAGATAGAAAACACAAGCATCGAAATCACAACCCAGACTAAACACGCAATACAGTTTATCTACCGCCTGACGGTATGTCCGGACCTGTGCCTGGGCCTATTCGTAGAGAAGACCCCCGGACAACCGCAGCTCATCGGCCACGTCATCGCCACACGGGTCTCCACAAACAGAGTGCTAGATGCCTCCATGGAGATGCCCGAGAACTGGACCGGTGGCCGGGAGGTCGTGCGGGACCAGGACGGGCAGGTGGTCGGCAACGACTCCAACGGCCGGTTTGTCGGCGTGCACTCCTTGGCGATCCGGGATGAGTACCAGCGTAAAGGGCTGGGGAGAGCGCTGATGGATGAGTATATCGCCTATGCGCGCGACAGCTTCGACTCGGCGCAGAGCATTGTCATTATCGCGCACGACCACTTGATTAAGTTCTATACGAGCTTTGGGTTTGAGAACCTGGGGCCCAGTCCGTGTGCGTTTGGTGGTGGTGGCTGGTATGACATGGTGAGTTTGGTGCTTTCCTTGTCGTGTACTGCCCTATCAAGACTAACAGGATGTCAACCGTCAATGTGCAGGAATTGAGCCTTTAGATTGGGTTTTTTGGGGGGTTTAGGTATGTGATGGGCGCATGAAGAAACGGAGAGATTACTGCGCACGAAGGGCAGCAGTGGTGGCCTCCCAAAACATTTGACGGCCATATTATTGTTGCTCAATCAAATGTACTAATAGAAGAATTCCATAAGAGCAAATATAAGTATCATCAGCATTTGTTGCGACCATGTGCTCAACCGGCCTGGTCTTATCGTATTATCGATTTCCTCAAACCCAGTGCCTCGCGTCAATGTCAATTAAGAGTATTTACAATGCAAAAAAACCATATTGACATCGCCTATTTCAGGACATTCATTTATACATAAAAATGATCCAATGCACGAAACGAACAATATACAGAGCTAATGGTCAAACCCACTGAGCCGAGCATCAGTATCGCACAGGCAGAACCATGCTTCGTGGGTCAGCCAGTGACAAACATACACAAAATGTACAAGAGAAGTGCCTATGTCTGAGGACCAAACTTCTCCTACGATTCCAAAAAATCCAGCTCCACGCACCCACAAATCCTGGAAGATCACGCCTATGGAGTCCACGGCTGAAAGGAAAAAGGTGATTAGCAACAGCAAACATCTAGACCAGGAATGCGCAATGACTATGCTCACCTATATTGCCAATGTTGGGCCACATATCGCCAGTGACAGGGAGCGTCTTCTTCGACTTCTCCTCGTACGGACGACACAGCTGCTCGGCGAAGGCTACCGTGCGGACTAACTTGGCCAGATGACCATCGTCAGAGGAATGGAGATAACTTTGGGAGAATGCTTCCGGTCAGCCCAGATGGATGGGATAGTTCAAGATATTGTCAAGCTGCGGCTCCGGCATCTTGCGAGACGCCTAGATCGGGATATCCATGCGCCCTTTCCCCCAGTCATACAAATTCAGCATGAGAAGTGCCTGGCCAGTTTGGATTTCCATGGCTACCATGGTATGGCTCATGATATTTTGGCGAATGTAGCCCACAGAATGGTCCGACGCCTTGGCAGGATTGCCATAAAGATTGCTCACGTCAGGCATGTACCGGAAACTCAAGGCCATGATGGCGCATAGCAGCAAGGGGGAATAAGTCTTATTTCAAGCAGCATAAGAAATCTTGGCTCATGAAGAAAATTGAACTTTGGGAAATTGCGTACAAAAACATGGAAAGCATGTTCAAGCAGCATATTGCCCAGCTCTGTCAACGGGTCCGATGATCGAGCACTTATCCCAGTTAGATGTAAGGCATCCCCTGCTTACCTATATTATCGTTGGGCAACGTAGCATTTGCATTGCATCGATCGGGTCGGTCGTCTGATCATCCCAGGCCGGGGAAAGAGGGAGTTTCTTGGTACTCGCTAGCTCGAAGGCGTCCAGGAGCGCGGCTCGTGGTATCCCTCCTGGGCTAAAATGAACTTCGAATTCGTTTTGACTGATACTTTGGCGTGGTGAAAACTCATTCCCGTCCGGGTTTCGATGCACGAGCTCGACAGGGCGGTGCGTCGTTATGATGGCACTTGACCTTCGCATTCTTAGGGCAGCATCACTTCAGCAGTCAATTTCTTGTATATGTCACGACTTAGAAGGCTCGCCGTCATCATTAACAAGCGAGTGTGAATCCCATGCTGAGAGAGAAACGCGGCTTGCGTGGTTATCGCTCGCAGGAAGAATGACTAAGTAAGCAAATGGAAGGAAAGGAGCGAAGGCGAGTTGAGTGTCCCATCAACAGTAATGTGATATGTATTGTCATTCAACCGTGGGCCACAATCGAGATGAAAATGAGTAGCTACGGTTGGGTTAGTAACATCTTGGGCATTCCATTTCCCGGTCAGTAGCCAGCAAACATGAATATCATTTTCGAACATTTCGACTGGGGTGCTGCGACACCTCCACTCGCAATGAGATAGTCAAGATCTAGGTAAAATATTCCGTGGGATTGCTAGGCTCTGCTGCGGCTTATAGACTTTTCAGGGACAGGTTGGGGATATGATGGGGCGGGGGAGGTTGACAGTGGGAATGTGCAGTGGTGGTTTCTTGGGCTGATGCACTTTGAGTACTTATCGCCCGTCCTTATCTCAGGTCGGAGCTGTCAACATTGGCTTCGATACATCCAATTGCCGGCATTATTACTGAATAAGTCAACAAATATAGAAGGATATGAAGATCTAACCTGTTAGCGCTTCACCCTAACGCCCAGGAACGATAGCGGCATCAGCTTCAGATGCACTGAGAGACCGATGTCACTCATGCACTGTCATGCTTCCTACAAAATGCGACTATACCAGCACGTGCAAATATTCAGATGGTAAATTTCTCTTCTATGTGCACACTAAAACAGCGCTGCAAAGCAGCAGGTATCAAGAAAATGAAGCAATGTACAAGTTCGAACGAACGCAAGGAGATAAAAAGTCTAGAGTTGATCGACCCTCAAATCCAAATCCAAGTGCAGCTTGCATTAAAGTCATCAAGTCAACATGAGCTCCACTCAGCTAGCCGTCAGCCGAAATGGTGTCACGCTGATAATTCATCATGATTGGTGTAGGGGGTCATTATCTCCGGATTTCTCCAACCGAAACGCCATTTTCCCAGATTCCATTCAACGAGTAAGGAATGACGCGATGCGGTACGCCTTTTAAACGTGACGGAAAGGCTCGTACGCGTTACTGCGGCCATTCTGCTGCATGGGAACGTGGCCCGGAGGAGGAGGGGGCGGGTAGGCGGTGTTGCCGTAGACGGGCTGCTGGGGCTGGCCGTAGGGACCGAGGGGCTCGTAGGTGTAGGGGGCCTTTTCGGCGGTGACGGCGCGTGCCTGGTTGCGGTGGTTGTAGGGCGAGCGACCGGAGCAGCAGCAGGAGCTGAGGAGCCAGAACAGAGAAGCACCAAGCGAGAAAGCGACAGCGAGCCAGGTGGCGACGTAGATGTTCTTGCCCATGTGGCCCTTGACGCCATAGGATTCCAGTTCGGCCTTGAAGACGCCCTTCAAAACGGCGAATAACGCAGTTGACGTCACAGAGGCGGCTGTAGTGAAGAGGAATGCGACCTGTGGGTTGTTAGTTATGCGAAGGAATGGAAGATTGCGTCAGACGTACGATCGAGACTAGAGTAGTCACGCAGCTACCCCAGCGACTGCAGATGGCAAAGACACCGACGACCAGTTCGACGATAGTGGCGATGAATGCGATCACGTAGGCGATGAACATCCATTTGGAGACGTTCTTGTAGACGTTCAGCTCCTTCTTCACGCTGCTGGAGAGAGCATTCTCGAGACCGGTCTCCTCCAAGTTCCACACTTCCAAGGGGTTGAACCAGAACTCGGCTTCGGGCTTCGAGCAGTTGGTTGTTTTGTAGTCGTTGCCGTTGGTGATATTGCCTGAACAGTAACCCCACAGACCGATCGTGTAGAAGTCCTGGATATTGTACTGCTTCTCGATCTCCTCCAATGCGGACGATAGGTCGCCATCCGAGACACCGGCGAGATCGCTGATCGCTGAAGTGATTTTCGCGGTCGTCGACGACGTCGAGTTCGTGATATTTTGGAGGTTGGCCTGAGTCAACGTTAGCATGGCCCAGGGGGGCTGGGAGGAGCATGACATACTCTGAAGAAGTACAGATCATTCAAGGTACTGGAGCTGGATTTGGTGCAGCCCAGCCCCACTATGACAATACATATCAAGGAAGCGATGGTGAAGACATATGGGGTGAAGATGCAGAAAATGCGACCGCCTTTACCCATGGTGACAGATGAGTAAATGGAGGGCTGTTAAGGTGTGATTTGTTTATGATGTTTCAAAACAATTGTCCGGGAGGTTGAAGATGGATGGACAATGTAAGCAGAAAAGTCGATGAAAGAAAGAGGAGTGAGAGATGGCTGGAGTAAGCGGACAGAGGCTGGGATTTAAACAGTAAATAAACGGGCAAGCCGAAGGATCGTCGGGACGGGCAAAGCAGCAACAGATGATGTATAGGTTGGTTAGTGGATGGAGGCGCAGTCAGCAGCAATAATAATGGAGATGGTTGGGAACAAATTTACAGCCAAGTCGATCAGCGGCCCAATCACGAGAACCACTGGACCAACTACTACGCCACGCTTGTTTCTATTTCCAAATGCAATGTTTCCACCGCAACACGGGAAGAGTGGAGCAATGGCATTCTTTGCACCTTTTTCACTGTTTGACACCGCAAGACCCTCGTGGCGGAGACTCACCAGCCCTACCACCACGTCAGTTGTGGCTGGGTTAATACGCGTCTTATGAGCATCTTATCAACTTATCTCTGGCGATCGGGGCAGATCCTGCTACAAATTAAGATAGATGTCCGGTGGGCTGGTGAGACCGTGTGAAGCTCAACCCTTCCGGGCCCCAGCTTCAAGTGCGGTCTTTTCAATAGTACTGCGGGAGTTGAGCTCTATGGACGAAGGATCCGAGCCCCAAAAGGACAAAACTTATCTGATACACAGTGGACCAACTCGAGCGATCGTCATTCTCTCCTCACAAGTTTATTATTCATCGAAATCCCCGTCAAATCTGACTTGAAAGGGTCACCCCATCACCTAAGATTCAAGGCACAAGAAAACCGAAACAGGAGTTTAGGCTTCTCCATTCTGCTCTTGGCGATTTTAATCTCAGTATCTATTCTGGGCTAGAGCCTTCATGACATCCGGAGAGACTACGTTAACCACCAGGCTGCAATTTCTGCGTCTAAGCCTCGACATACGCACACACGCACATCGGTTCTTGGCTTCATCTGCCGCATCCATGGAACACGACAGGAACCCTCCAATGACTAAGCAAGCGTCCTCCTTCCGGGTGCAGGCTTCAAAGCAAGCCTCAGAGCTTGAGCTCGTTGTGATGAACTAGAAGCATCAAATTTCGAGATTCATTACGACGGAAATATGACAAGGAACATTTCTTGACACTTTGTCAGTGGCCGATTGGCAACCAAGTTACGGACCTCAAGCAAAAACTTTGCCTGTCTCCGGGAAGCTTACGCTGCTGTCTGAGTCTATTTTAGGCACTCCTTATTCCGAACCATGGAACTACACCTACCCGCAAAACTCCTTGTTTCCAGGCTCCATCGTTAAGCTATCCTTAAGACTGAGAAAATGATGCATTCTTTCATATAACATCAGTTCTTACATCGGACAGGAAATTTCGAGCTCAGCCCAAGTACGGCTGCAGAACGTTCAGCATGCCGCTATAAGCCGGTCCACTTGGCGGCTCCATGCTGAACATATAATTCGCCCACCACGGCCCAGCTGCCCACCACACAGCACCCTTCCACACGTCAGTGTTGTTGGCCATGTATTCCAGCATACCGGAAATTGCCGTGCGACAGACATCGTTGGCACCTCCGGCATACTCGCCGATGATGCCAACTTTCTTGTTGTCCTTCAGCCACTGAGTGGCTGCCTTCAGTCGTTCCGCGCCAATCGTCTCCGACACGCAGGTGCCTGACGTCCCCGATCCGTCTGAATCCAGATACTGGTGCATCTCGTACACGATCTTATCTTGTGGATCGGTTAGACCCTTCATGTTGTCATTGATGTCCGCCCAGGTCCAGGCCCCCGACCATGAGTTACCCTCGGCGAAGATATACTGAGAGGTGGCGCCGGCCGCACGGATACCGTCGATCGCTGCCTGGTTGAGGTTCAACACAAGGGTTTGGTCCATGGTATTGTACTCATTGTCTGTGACTTCATCAGTACAGATTCATTAAATGCTTTTGGCATGGGAGACATACTTGTATCGAAGATGACCAGATTGTTGTCCTTGAACTGCCCGGCAAGGTTCTTCCAGAAAGTTTGGAAATCCGCGGTGCTGGAGATGATCTCGCTGTTGCTGCAAACGGTCAGTGCTATCCTCTCAACAGAGGTGATGACTTACTATCGTCCATAATTGTGAGGATCTATAATAGCATGAATACCCGCAGCCGTGATCGAATTCACCACCTGACCTTATCAGCTCGACCCATGAAGCGACTTGCCAAACTTACCGTCGTGAGGTTCTTCAAGTAGTCCTCATCATAGGATCCCGTCATCGAGTTTGGTACTAATCTTTCCATCATGAATTGCACCCGGAAGATGTTCATTCCCTTGCTGATGAGGGTCGCGATGGCAGATGTATCCGGGAAGATGTAGTCGACACCCTGATACGGTCAGTCGGTGCTTGTGGTATCTAAGGAGTGAACGCACCCAGGTTCCAGGAATGGCGGTGCCGAACTCGGCACCAGACTCATTGGAGCCGATCCCTGTTGTCGTGAGCACATACTCGATCGATAGCCTTTTGACAGATGCGACTTACATTCGAATACAGAAGCCCGTTTCTTGTGCTCGTTGGTAGGGGCTGCGACTGCGACGCTGGCGGCAGCAGCAATGAACAGGTTGACTAGCTTCATGGCTGCTTGACGAATATGGATATTATTGCTTCTAATCACAGATGATGCCTGGTATGGTCAACAACTTTATACCATGGTTTGATGCTGCTTCTTCCCGATGTAGAACGGAGATGTCGACGGACCTGCTACCGTTTCACTTCCATCAAATACCGAGTCTTGATATGACGATCAGCATGCCATTTCCTCCGCCCAGCTCCTCAGCTGGCGAGTGGTTTGATGATTGAAATCAAGAGTATACGCCGATCATCGGCGCCATTCCCGCCTTGGCATCTGGGGTGAAACAGGCACGGAGATTAACAGTTGTCCTGCTTTGGCGGGGATGGCTGTCCGTGGCGGTTCAGGCATGGATGTACAGACTCTGACACAGAGGTTTTCCAGGTATATATTATTGACAGAGTTACGCAGTAGCTCAAAGACGATTAAAATGGGATAAAAATTTCCTCGATTGCGTCCATGCATCACATCTACTTCCCATCATCGACTACACCGACTCCACAAGCATACTAGCTAGATCCTCACCAACCCCCCAAAACCTTCATCTGCGCCTTCATATCCTCCGCCTGCAGCAAATGATACTTCATCCCGGGGTGATAATTATTCCACCAGATACACGACGTGCCGTCATCATTGATACAGGTCGCATCCGGGAACCCATACGCCGTGGGGTTGTCCAAGACCTTGGTCATGTACGACCACGAATCATAGAAGACAGTGGTGACCTATCCCAGACCACGATTAGCCCAGCCCGCGTTCGAGAACAGAGTTATCGAATAGCCTTTACCCTTCCTTTCAATCTCAATCATTTTAGAGGAAAGAAAGAACTTACATCCTTATGCTCCTTCTTGAACTCCTCCACCATCGCCTTCAGGTTCCGGTTATACGTCGCCAAGTAAGCTGCATGCTGCGCCACGGTGGCATTCCCCTGGTCCAAGAAAAAGGGACTCCGGCTGGTGGGCGGCACATTCAAGAACAGAAACTTCCGGCCCCCTTTGGCGTGGATCTGGGCGACCTGTTTCTTGAGGCGGGCGATAAGGCGCGGGGTGTAGGTTTCTGCGTTGGTCGTCGCGTAGGCGTTGCCGATGCTGCGGCATCATATGGTTAGTTTTGTCCAGATCGAGGGAGGGAGGTGGTGGGAAAAAGGAGTTAACGCACTCGTTGATCCCGATCCAGAAACCGAAGACCGCATTCTTCGACGTCCAGGGTGCGGAAGCCGGTTTCGAGCTGTAGACGTCCTCGAAGAGGCGGAGCTGCGCGGCGACGTCGCCTGGGTAGGCTGGGATCAGGGCGTTGTCGATGGTGGCGCCGCCGGCGGCCAGGTTGTAGGAGAGGACTAGGGAGGCGTTCTCTTTTGTGGTCAGGTACCCGATGTAGTTCGGACCGTTGGTGGTGGTGCCGATCCCTGGTGGTTCTTTAGTATGTATGGTTTTTTTAGGATCGGGGGTTGGTATAAAGTTGGGATGGATGGCACAATGTGTAGGTTGCTGTGTCAAGGAAAAGCTTATAGGGAACTGTGTGTAGGGGACAAACATAGTGCAGATCGAGAGATGAAAGCCACTGGTCATACCTAGATCCGGATTGCCCATCGGCGCAGCAGCAGAAGGTTGAGTCCCAGAGGCACTGAACCCGGTCTGGGAGTACGAATCACCACTGATTCTTTCGTTAGTAAATGCCCCAAAGAGAGAGACGGACGTCATACAAAGTGAAGAAATAAGTCGGACTGGTCGCTGCTCGAGACGATGGCTGAGCACTAGCCATGGCGAGCATGGCTGATAACCAAAGAAACATCATCGTGAGAGAAGCTTATATCGAAGATGACACCGAAGGTAGAACTACTGAGGAATAACGGCCATTGGGCCTTATTGGAGTCTTCTTATATGCCAACTCCTGGATTCTGAATAGATTGCTTCCCCTCACGGCTCGATTGCTATTACCCCGAGTCTACTCTCCCTCTGCCATAGCATGCATTGCATCACAGAACAGACCGAGATGAAGTGGAAGTCGAATTTAACCGGGAGCCAACCACTTCACCTCCTGTTAAGTGCATTTCTGCAGCTATATGGTCTAACCTACTTGTTTGTTCCTGGTGCGGGGTCAAGCTCTCCTCCGATCTGCAACCAACCCCTGCTTCCAGGATAAGTTATCGGTCTATACCCGTTTGGTTACGGGATGTCCGCCTGGCATGATGCTTGGACGCGGTTAATTACATCCCCTCAAAAACTGTCAACGAATCTGCTATGCCTCTATTTTCTATGTCAAGGTATATGTGCATCCCATCACATCGTAGAGAAGGAGCTAATCTGCCCTCTCACAACCGTAGTTCCAACATCTCCATGCCCGCGCCGCACACAACCAGCTTGGCATGATCCGATTGCCCATCGTGGATAATATCTAGCGATGAGATGTCCGCCACGCAGCTGTACCTCTCCAGTGCTTGACCGATCTGGATCCTCTCCGGCCCATGCCTGCTGGCGTCTACGTCGATCCACCAGATCTTGACCTGGTGATCATTGCCCGAGGAAGCAACGGCAAATCTACTAACTCCATTACCCTGGTCTGGGAGGTGCTTGAGGATGCGAACCGTCGTGACGCATGCTGCATGCGCGTCGGGAATGGTCACGGTGGATGTCGCGTCGCCGGCCCCGGTGGTGTCTAGGAGAGTGGCCGTTACTGCGTTGTCATCTCCTCCGGCGACGATCAGCGCCAAGGTGTCGGACAGGTCAGCCAGATCCATAGATTTGACGCTGTTCCAGTGGATCTGATATCGATTCTCGCAGGTGATAGTCTCCGGTATGATCGACGCTCCGCGGATAGGTTGTGTGGGGATCAACGGCGACGCGATAGTATAGAATCGCTCGAGGACCGGAGTCAAGTTCCAGAGAGTAAAGTAGCCATCGGTCGCAGCCGTAATGAGACTCAAGGTAGACCCTTTCAGAATCAACCGAGCCTGGGTTAGGCAGTTGCTCATGTAGGTACCACTGGCGAGTAGGGTGAAGCAGCCTTTGTCGGTCGAAGAGTAATGGAAGATCTGGAAAATCAGCATAGAACATGACATATAGTGAGCGCGGTACATACCTTGATGGTGGAGTTGGAATACGTCAGGCAAAGAAGGAATCCAGACTCCGCCTCTCCCTCGTCCACTTCCAGCGTATCGAAGCTCGTCACCCGTAGATCGGAATTGGGATCGCTCTTAGGGCACTCTCCCGCGAGCATAGTTCCCAAGCCAAATCGAGGGATCGAGCACGTCCGCCAAACGAAGAATTGTTCATAGCCGCCGCTCGTAAATAGAACTTTACCGTCGCTAGACCAGCTTACGCTCTGGATGCCGGTATGATGCATTCTCAAAAGTCGCAGGCATTTGAATGCGCCCCAGCGACTCTCCAGCTGCGGGTCACGAGGAGCAAATATCCGCACGTTAGTGTCTTCTGATCCAGTCACAAACAAGGGACCCTGCCCATCCGAGTTCTGAGTGACACACATGTCCTTCACCTCCCTGCCATGGCTTCCAGAACGCAAGGTACGAGTCGCATCAGGCTGTATCGACAGGGCAGTCAGCCCCGACTGAATCCAGATGAAAGAACCCGCCCAAGCGACATCTTGACTTGGTTGGAACGCCCAGGATCGTCGGCCTCCGTTGCAATTATGTCTAGCGACCTCTGTCTGAGCAGACTCATTCCAGAGCACAAAGTCCATTGGCTGGAATCCATAGAACATTAGATCCTTGGAGACATGGTCGATATAAGCGCCCGCGATTTCACAATTAAAAGCAAGCGAAGAACAATGGAGCGTTTTCAGGGACACCGAGGGCTCCGGACCGGTTGAGAAGACCAGCTCATGGATGCTATAGGTTCCGTTGCGGCCACATGTCATGAAGAACGGCAGTTCTAATCCGCTCTCTCCATAGAGTGATGCAAACGAAGTGATGAAGCTAAGACCTTCGCGACCATGTACCTTGCAAGAAGGCATGACCGGTTGAAGCATGTCTGACACTAGAACTTGATACACCGCGAATGAGCCTGTCAAGGATCCTAGCGCAAGGTACTGGTCATTGTGGATCAAGGCTGCAGTCGACACGCCGAAGCCATAAGGTAGGTCAAGCTTGATCTTATCCACGTGCGGCTCTGCGCCATCTGCCAATGTAGCCAAGATGAGATCGGCTTTCTCGGCCTTGGGGTAAACTGCAACGAATGACAACTTCGCAGACGTTCCAGCTGTGCTAGGCTGGTAATCAAGTGCGTACAATCCCACTGGCCTTTGACCCGCATCGACCACTTTGGTGAGGGATCTGGTGCTGTGATCATACAAGCGTATCAAGCCTCGTGCGTTACCTAAGAGAGCTATTCCTTTCTGTGGCAGACCCGTGACGACTGAATATGAGCGCAGGTCCTCCTCGACAGTCAAAGTCTCTTTGAGGATATGACGTGTAGTTCCATGCCCAGTCCCGATTCGTCCGATCTGAATCTCACCCCGCACAGTCGTGGCAACAAACGAGTCCTGAGAGACAAATCCAAAACCTTTAATTGATGTTTCAATGTGAGGCTCGGGGCTTTGAGCATCTATCGATGTCGCAATTCGGTTACGCAAATTCGGCAAAATAACATCTCCATTGCCATGCAGTTCAATGGTGAAGCTCTTCACAGCGCCATCGGCACCACCGGTATAGACCACTGTGTCTGTATCGGTGTGGCGCATCTCGAGTGCCCAAATATGTTTGCCCGTATGTTTTCGGACGGACATGGTTTCCGCAAGTTCAAACTGGGGGTTTTCCGATGACGGATCCCAGGTCAGATCCCAGAGCAAGCATGTAGCATCTTCACCACGTGAAATCAGATTTACTTTCCCCGGTCCTTGCTTGATAGGCAGGAAGTGGACACCCCAAATGCGGGCCAAGTGTCCAAATGCACTCGCGAGAATTGACTCAGACCCAAGCTCATTGTCACCAGATCCTGCGCCAAATCCTGTACCGCGTAGTTCGAATCCGTCGGTTGAGTAGGCGGGGGTGTCGTGACGGGACGTACGCTCGCAGTCAGAAATGTCCCATATCCTGACGGTTCTGTCGTCACTACAACTAGCCAGTAGTCGTCCATCACGACCCCCGCGCAAGGAAGGAATGGGAGGCGAAATTTGCACTCCAAAGATTGAGCCTTCATGGCCCGTAAAGAAGTGGTGAATTGACCCAGTCGCAGTTGCAAAAGCATCCTCGGGCAAGAAACACGACCACACTATAATTTCACCAAAGACAGTGCCAGCCGCGACCAGGATATGAGCTTTGGACAGAGAAAGAACATTTGCCGAGTAGAGGATTGACTTCACCCCAGCCACAAGTTGGCGTATCTCGATAACCTTTTCGTAATCAGCTCTGGTCTGTCTGAAAAGCTGTACACTCAGGAGAGCATTGTGAGCTGTTAACATATAAGCATTTTCAATTTCGCCATCCGCCTCAAGCGCACATCCAGCCAGGATCCAATCCGGTGCCAGATATTCCGAGCTTGCAGCTTGTACGCTTGCATTCAGTTCCTTTTCGTTGAGGCATAAACTAAACGCCCGCACGGACTGTCCTCCCCAGGCAACGAAATGAGCATATTGGCCTTGTTCTTGGTGGCCAAGAGCAACGATCCCATGGACGTGATTCCTCTTGAACACTTTCAGCTCAGCAAGCAGTCGCCCGCTTTCTTCATGAATGAGGCGGACATAGGTTCCTTGGCTCTGAAGAAGAAGTCTGACGTCTTTCAATACCAGCGCCTTCAGCGCAGTTACCGGGACGCATGTGTCAATGTGCTTGTAAACGGGTTAGCAACAGGTCTGTCACCGGCGGAACAGAACAGCCACTCACCTCGAGGGAGGAAGTCATTGATGCTACCAGCGCGGCACATCGGTCCGCTCGGTTCTAGATGTTTTGTCAGTGACAAACAAGCGGTGGCTTTCCCCGCGTGGAGAATCATTCCCCTCGCTCAAAATTCCAGAATTTCTGAGTATGCTTAGTAAGCGCGATAAAAAGCCCACCTTCCCTATTCAGACCCAAGTGGCACGTGATGGGCAGTAGTTTGAGCACTGGACGGAGTACCTAGGTCCATCATCTATCCAAGAATGATTGAGCGGATTCCGTACTTTGTAGCAGACTTAGTTACAGCGCACAATCTTATCCGGAGATAATACTGCAAGCCCTTCCCTCGAAACTTGACTTGCTGCACATTGCAAGTGTTTTCTATAATGATTCGTGATGCTCTGCAATCCCGCCCGCTAAAAATGCCCCATCGACCGGAGGATCACTTGCTCCGGTCACTTCTAATCTAGGTTTGCAAGGTCCCAGGGATTTGTTGCGGATATCATTCATTTGACATGGGATGCAAGGATTAAACATGCCTGCATATCCAATCTGAGACATACGCGGATTGGTTCAGAGGCCCGTGAGACACCGATCAACAGGCACAGGGGACAGGAATGCTGATCAAAGCTTCATTCAAAGCGTTCTGTGCGCTTGAGTTCGTGCAGCAGATCCAGCGGTCTCGATGAAGAAGCCAAGAGTTAGGTAAATTGGGTTGAAACAGGTCAGGTGTCGAGAAGAAAATCGCCCACTGGCCCAGTAGTCGATGAGAACCCATTCTAGAGAGCACGGTTCTACGTGAATAATACTTCGGAAGGTCTGACTGACTGACCACCTCAAGATGTCAGGAAGCCCAATTGCTATGGCCAGGCACATCAGAAAAGTCTCTGTGGACACCATGAACCGATGAGGATAACAAGGTACAGAACTCAATGGCTGCTTCTCCTGAATTTTCAATCATGGACTGCATGAAAAATTTTTCGGCCGTCGTCATGCAGCAACAATTCGCTATGTCACCCCACCGTTCGTCATGATGTTGCAGTGCCGATTCCATTGCCAAGCTATTGCCAGGAGATTTGATTCTGGATGCTCCGAATGCGGAAATGGGCGATCACTACTGTGAACCAGAGAACACTGCATCTGTGCGGCATAGGAATCTAAATTATAGACCCGCATTGATCTGAGACTTGCAATTTACGTGTATCTTGGGATCACATTAGCCTCAGAGCATAGCTTGGTGGATAATTGTCATTCCCGGTCCGAAGACCTCCACGGGGCTGGGAAGCGCACTAGGCGATGATTTTCCTTCTTCACAGATGGAGCGTGAATTCCTACTATTAGGCAGCCATGCAAAGTTTGAGCAAACTAGCTTCCAGTGGGCGTGACATGATTGCATCGTGCAAACTTTGAATTGAAGCTTCATCTTCAGTTCATCGAGCGCGAGCGATCGATGACATCAGATATGGGGAAGGCGTTTTCCGGATCGCGATGACGTCGCGAATCGGATGGTGGTACGGAGGGTGGTATATCAGCCCTTCCTCGACGGTTTTGCATTTCTAGCCTCTCTATTCTACATCTCTGAGCAATTATCTCAAGATTCAAAGTGAGCTTAGCTCGGTGCACTTCATCTTGCGTACTCTGATTTGTCAATTCCCGTACAGATCAACCTCTTTTCACCGTACAAATAGTGTGCTCATTACTGCCCGACCAAGCCTCACCCTACTGAATTGGGTTAGCTTCACTCTCCAGTCTCGACGTCACCAGCCTCCAAAGCGTTGCAACCGCCCACTTCTTTTTTCTAGTTCTTCGATCTTGCAGTGCAAGGGGATCCTCAGGACCCAGAGCGCCAGAGTGTCATCGATCCTCCCCCCCCTCGAGGATCGCTTAACCAGTCAGTGCCTCGCTCAATCCACGGCTTTTAGTCGATCATCAGTCCACTGATCCAGATCTCGAACCGGTTGCAGGTTCCACCCAACCCTCGTCGGTCTCTCTTCCGTCGCATCCCGTCGCATCCCGTCGCACCCTCTACCACACGTCACTCCTGCGCAAAAAAGTTCTGTCTTAGAAAGGATTCCGACCGTCCTTCTCCGTGAAATTCTCTTCTCATATCCTCCCTTTCTCCTTCCTCCTTCCTTTCACTTGAAGCCCTCGCGACAACAGCGATCAACTTAGTCACCATGCATCGCACCTATTCTATGCGCCAGTCGCGCGTTCCCACCGCCTCACAGATCGAAAACCCTCCCCCGCCATTGTCCTCTACCAAGTCGAACAGACTGTTCGGTAAAGGAGGTTTCGGTGCGTGTTCATCGTTGAGGCTTGCGAGCCTCAATCATCGTCTGCTCCCATCCTGCTAACACGATTAAGGTACAGGCCATGCCTTGCGCAAGAACGCCGCCGGCGCGTTCGGGCCAGACCTAGCCCGGAAGCTCTCTCAGCTGGTCAAAATGGAGAAGAACGTCATGCGCAGCATGGAGATGGTCTCCAGGGAGCGCATGGAGACTGCTGTATGTTATGGCCTTTGTTCAGTTGCCTTGTCAATACTCTGCTAACGTCCTCAGCAACAACTCTCCATCTGGGGCGAGAACTGCGACGAGGATGTGTCCGATATCACTGACAAGCTCGGTGTCTTGCTCTACGAGATTGGAGAGCTGGAGGATCTATTCGTTGATCGCTACGACCAGTACCGTGTTACTATCAAGAGCATCCGCAACATCGAAGCTTCCGTCCAGCCTAGTCGTGACCGTGGGTTTTCCCTGCATTCTAATGCCGCATCATGGGTACTGATGGCGCATCCATTCCACAGGCAAGCAGAAGATTACCGATGAGATCGCCAAGCTCAAGTACAAGGACCCCAACTCTCCCCGCATCGTAGTTTTGGAGCAGGAGCTGGTCCGCGCAGAAGCCGAGTCGCTCGTCGCCGAGGCCCAGCTTTCCAACATCACCCGCGAGAAGCTCAAGGCCGCGTTCCAGTACCAATTCGATGCGCTCCGTGAGCACTGCGAGAAGGTGGCTCTGATCGCCGGCTACGGCAAGCACCTGTTGGACCTGATTGACGATACGCCGGTTACCCCCGGTGAGACCCGTCACGCCTACGACGGCTATGATGCCAGCAAGGCCATCATCCAGGACTGTGAGGAGGCGCTCGCCAATTGGGTCACCTCCAAGGCATCCGTCAAGTCTGCTTTGTCCACTCGCTCCCGCACCCTGTCGCAGCGTCGTCGCGAGGGAGTGAACAAGAACCGCGAGGGAGTAGATCTCTCTGGCCAGGACCAGCCTCTGGGTCGTGACTCATGGGTGCCAGCGGACCAGCATTCGTCCTACCACCACGATGAAGATGGTGAGGAAGTTGCCAGTACCCTGGACGATGAGACTCGGGGTCGAGAAGAGGAGAGAGAGCCCGTCACAGCCGGCTAAGGAGGCTCTTGAATGCGCGAGATGGCCCACCTACCAAGGAGTAGATGGTCCGGTTGATAATATTACGATCATTAAGGTTCCTGGAGTACGCTACTAATTCTGTGATTTGGTTTATTCATATTGCCCCCATCGAGATTCCCGCTTGATGTGTTATTGTTATGCCATCAATATGTTCTTCTTTCTTTCACCCCCGATGAATTACTTATGATTAATCGAGTTCCAATGACGATACTTATCCTGCAAAACAGAACATAATATCCAGGCGTGCACCAGAGGGGGAGAATTTGTACGAGGTCAAGCCTGCGATGCAACGGGATAGGTCTTTTCGCGGGAGGTTCCTTTTACTGTCTAATCGACTAATGTAATACTATACCACTTGCCTGTTTGACGGTGATGGGGAGGTACATGATTTGTCTTGTGGTTTCTGGTTGTGTTTCGTCTTGGTTGCAGTCATGTTGTTTAGGATCTGAGTAGTAATCAATTGACTTGCGAACGTTGCTTGATTCTTGTTCAAGGACTACAGGATGATTGGGGAACATGTAGTATATCTTTTTGTGTCAACACGGGCATCTAGCCGAGCGAAGTGAGCGCACCGCACTCATCTAGAACATTACAGTGACAATCCAAATCATGCATTACGTCTCAACTAAAACACCCTAAATCGATATTATACGATACTCAAGCCTCCACAATGGTCTTTGTGTCAAGGCTGAGCTTAGATCACGGCGGGAATCCTCGGCCGAGTCACCATCAGCATCCAATCGACGCCATTTTTGCGCCTATTGACCAATTCGCGACATTGCACCTTTGCAAAACAACTTCAATCGAAACTCCATCGATGGCTTTCCCTTCGGCTCGCTTGACAACTTTCACTATTGACTCGGAGATCCTCCATCATACATAAATACCGAAACGCACCCATGGCCTGGCTTTGCCTCGTGCATCGCGTGATGAGCAGACGTCGCTACGGTGGTCGCGCCGACCAGACTGCGGAAGATGACGGTGGGAGTGGATAGTCGGGGAATTGAGACGTATGTCTGATCTACGCATGGGCTTCATAATATGTTTCCTGCTCTGCGGATTCTGAGGCTCACTTCGTGCAGTTTCTTTTCGTGGTATCGGTAAGTTGCTTTATGGCTCTCAGAGGTGAATCCAAACGGGTCAATTGCATAATGGGTTGTATACTTCTGGGTGTGGAATACTGCGATTCTCAACACGGCCATGGTCCTATACAACTACGGGGTCGGCAGGCCCTTCTGGTATGCAACCGGCTGCTCCTCGATGATTGTATGCTCTGCACACCTGAGCATCATTCTGATTCCGTGCTGTTACCTGCAGCGAAGACGCTCACTGTCAACGAAGTAGGCTCTATCGTGGGTCTATGTGACCTGCTGTTGGCTGCGCAAGAACAAAATGAGTTTGAGGGTAACTACCAAGGCAGACTAGTGACTATGCCCTCGCAGCAGGCGATCTTATTCGGCATCATCCTGCTAGTTTCCAACGTCGGGGCTGCCATTGTGAGTGCAGGGGGAGTGGGTGGAGGCTGTGGTGCTGGAAAGTACTGCAACTTGTAACCAGGCACGGTAGTAGTCGACTGAGGTCAGTGCTTTGTAGAAACAAAAAAAGTAAAGAAAGCTTTGTATCCGTAATAGAACCTACACTCAAGCTAAACCATTAATCCGGTCACTGCACTCCGGGCTGGCTCGAAGCTCCCGCAGAGTCAGCTACCCCAATCCGGCAACCCACCCCGCGACCTGACCTCGTCCCTCAGAACGCCGGAACCTCAGGCAAGAAAGCCGAATTGAACAGGGGATGATGTGATGTCACTCACCTGCCCCTCCCTCACTGCTGCTGCATGCTGCACGGGACTTTGACTCTGGCCTAAGGCCATTTACGACCGGGGAAGGCCACCAGAACGGAGCCTGAGTCACGCTATCCAGCGACCCGAGTTATACTCTCGCAGTCAATATCACCCGCACCCGGATCGATGATCATCTATCTCCTCAACCGACTGTCCAACCAGAAGCAACTTGAAATTAAAGACCGTTGCTCGATCCGGATTAGGCGCTGCAGAAAATACCAGTTTCAGGATCAGGCTGACAACTCAAATCCGGGAGCGAGTGTGTGATTTGGTTTCAAGATGGCGCAATTTTCTTGAGGGGGGGAGGATCATCGACGCCAATCAATTGAGGAGAGAATCCTATTTCATCGAAAAACTGTCATTTGGTCTTTTTTTGGTTTCATGCGGGTGAATTTCCCCGTGGGGAGGGAGAGGGTTCTTCTTTCTCACTCTCTCTCTGCCTGGCATGAAATTGCTCAAACTGTAATTCCAGCCTATAAAGTAAATAGGATGCGAGCTGTGGCCCAGAACTTGGACAATCGAATACCCCCAATCTCCCAGGAACTCCGATTTGCGCAGTAGATGATAGAAAGAAACATCACACAGATGCACGAAGCAATGTATATATAGATAGAAAGACAAAACCAAAGCATAACCACAGGATCGAGGTGTCTTGATCCCATCCCTGTCCCCCTGATCGCAAGTGACAACCCCCAAACTCTTGCAGAAACAAACACATGTATATGACCCTCATATACGAAAACATGGTAATCAATGAACCTAGCCTGGGTTTCGCGCGCGCATAAACGCAAGGCACGTAGAAGAAAGGAAAAGTCATTACATCGTCATCCGACTTTCCATCCTAAGACGGATCTTCAGCCTTTCAAAAGCAAAAGGATATGAGAACAAAAACAGATGCGAAGCTACCAGCGTCGCATAAAGGACGAGGTAGAAACCAGTGCTGGTTGAGGTGTACGTATGGTTCTGATATGGCGAGTGGAGATTCAAATGTGGGTTTTCATCGCAATTAATTTTGAATTGGGGCTTCAGTTATCGGTGCCGACGCCCTTCTTTTTGGGCTGGATATGTTTCTGGCCGGGGCCGGTGACGCTAGAACCTTTCGAGGCCAAGGCACTGCTGTCAGTCGGGGGCGGCGCCAGCCGGGTCGAGCTGGCTTCGTGCTTCTCGGTGAGCAGGTTCTTCAGCCATCGATTCTCCATCTCGAGCTGTGCTACGCGGGCCTCCAGTGAGGCGTTCTTCTCCGTCGTCTCGCGCACGGTGCGTTCCAGCGCCTGTTCGCGTTGCTTCTTCTTCATGCGGAACCGGGCACTGGCGGCCGTGTTCCGCCGGCGACGGTCTTCTTCGGTGGCGCGGCGACAGCCCTCTTCTTGACTGAGAGCCGACGCGAGGTGGTCGCCGGGGATCTGTGTGCTGTACTTGGTGTTGGTGATCGCGCCGTTCGGGGGTGATATGGAAGAGGAGACGTCCGATGGAGTCAGCGCCCCAGGGACATGTGCGAGGTCATCGGGAGGCCCATATGAGATGGGAGGGTAGAGTGGGTGAGCTGAATAGGAAAGCATTTGATCTGTTGGGGAGCTGTCAACACCAAAGTATAGAGGTAGACGGCAAAACGATAAGATAAAAGAAAAGCCACAGTAAAACAGGCAAAGAAACAATGAAGCGGAGCAGCAAGATATGGGGCACATGGAAGGGGATCTAGGTACACCAAGGGGTGAGAGCTTGGCTTAAGGGTCCGTTACTGTACTGACAAGGCTCCCGACGTTGTCATTGGTGTGGACGATTGCGTGCTCACATAGAGCATTGCACTCATCGCCAGACGACCACAAGGCACCGGAAATAGATTGGACAAAAGGTGGGAAATCCGATTAGCAACAAAACAGTTCGCGCACGAGAGAAGAAGCGTTTTATCCGAAGAGCTCAGGATCTCCCTTCCCGCAATGATTGATCATTGCTGAGTCGGAGACAGCAGCAAGGGGAGAAAGAGACACAAGGGACATAGGAGACAGGCGGGCACGAGGCGGTTAGAAAAGGAAATAGAACGGTAAAGCCACACATTCCCATCAGGCAGCCAGGTAAGACAATCAATCAATCAAACCGATAGTGATTGGAAACCCATCGACTCCCAGAAACAGAAAGTCGTTTGCTGTTACATGCAGTCCGCAGTAGCTCCAGCATATCCCATCGGAGAGCCGTAGGGCCAGGAATTCGAAAAACGAACCATAAAGCTTGGAAATGGCGCCAACAATGCAACAATAAGAGTCATTGACAATAACTTCGAAGCTTCGAACTTACCATAATGCGGGTATCCTCGCACATCGATCGGACTGCGCTCGTCCTCGATGCTATCATATGAACTGACGGAAAGACCGCCCATCCCCTCGGTCTGGTCGTAATCCATGTTCAAATTCTGAAAGGAGGCCAAAGCTGTCGATTCGGCGTCAAAGGAGTACTGTCGACTCTTGGCCAGGTTGGGATCGTGTCGAGAAAGCAGAAAGTTGAAGTTTTCGAGCCTATCGAAGCTCGAGGCTGTCTGACGAGCGAGGTTTTGCTCATCTGACATTTTGGCAGTGGAGGGCTTTTTAGAGGATTTTTGGCTCCTGTCCTCTAATTTAGGTTCGTTTTATTAAAAGTGTTTTTCTCGACCTAAGGCTTGCCTCCCAATATATGCCGGGTGGCTTGCTTTTCCCCGAACCAACAGAGAATGATAGATGGCCACCACAAGAGCGAGCTGGAGTCAATGTCGAACCCCAGATCAGCCCAGTAGGAGGGGAGAGGTCGGTTCTAGGCAATAAAGGCAAATCGGACCAAACGGTAAGGGAAAATAATTTTTAATATTTTTTTTCTCGTTCTGGCTGCCTGAAGGGGCAAACGTTGGGAGGGTGACTTGTAGCAAAGATAAATTGTTCCGCAATCACTTCATGGTCATGGCATGGCCCGAGACGGCTAGCCACGTACGCAAAAGTGCACGAGTAATCAGACAGAAATAAGACACAATAAGTTTAGTTGAGTGGATCAGACAAGGAAGAAGGGAGAGGGGAGTAAAAGGGAAGGTGGGTGAATGATCATGGATGGAGTGGGAGGCGTTGGAGCAGGAGATGCAGGATCACACAGTAGGGGGAAGGGCCAGTAATAGAGAATCCGAGCATGTATCATCCAAGCAAAAAGATGAGAAAAGAGAGCATCAAACCGGGGGGAGGGAATAAGCACACAGCGAATACGACAAAGTGGTGGTGATCGTCTCATGGCCCGGCCAAGGCTAGCGGATGATCTGATAGAATGGAGAAATGTCGTGATCGCACTCTGTGGTTGGTCAGTTTCGCTACCTCGGGATAGTTCAATCAGCTTCACCGCTTAGTGGCAGAAAGAGTGGAAGGGTGTATGGAAGGAGAGGGAAAGGGAACTATATAGTAAGAATTTCTGCTATCTGGGTGAAAGGGATTTTCCAAAACCTAGAATGTCGAGCGGTTGAGAAGAAGTTCTCGGGAAACTGGAAGAGGGGAAAGTGGGTGTGAAGAAGGAGATATCTGAATGGGCAGGAGACCGAAGGCGGGCGGACGTCAACACAGCGCAAATGCCCACAGCATGGATCCATTGTGCAATTGAAAGCTGGGTGCAATGCGCAGACTGGAAAGGGGAGACGACCCGCTGTTGGGCCCAATCACGGACCCCTTTCAATTCTTCTCAATTTCAATCATTTCCTTCCTGTCACTACGGAGTACATATTCGTCATCAGGTATTTTAGCTACATTTACCTCCAGACGGCAACGCGTACCTGCAACACCTACCGAGTGATCGATCATGGTCAGAAGAGAGCATGGATGAGCGGATTCCAGGTTCCGCAGTGGATAACAACTTCCAACTTTCACCCACCACTTCATCAAGTTCCCAACTGATACTTCCGTGCTTCGAAATCAGAATTCCCGCTTATTCAGGGGAGGCTCTCGGAACTTACATCATCTCGGCTTAGACAGTTCTCACTGGTCGAGCCTGGCCCAGATTATCTTCAGTCCGATTTTACGGTTCAGGACACCCACCAGACTCCACCACTGCTGCAAGAACAAGTGCTGTGTGCTGCTAAGCTCGCAGCCCGAGCGAGCCCTGGGAAATTCTGGGAATGCCTCTCTTTCAATTCTCATTACACGGAGAAAACCGTAGCCACTCGGATGCCTTTGCCACCGATTGCGGTCGACGCCGTTGATTCTTATTAACGAGATGCTGTACCTTTCACTTCTTGGCCAGCCTTCCTCTCAACAATCTATTTTGGTGTCTTTCCACTTTCCACCCTCACAGGGCTCCCTCTCACCGGACGAACCAGGTGCCAATATCTCCCCCCTCCCCGCGCTCCACGTCTTTGTTCAACCGCCGTAGTTTCCCCGAGACTCTTCGAGACTCTCTTTAGGCATTGTCTAGCTATTGACTAGATGGATCGCACAAATCGAGAAGGAAGCTGACTCATCTAATGTTCTTTGGCTTTTCTAAGATCTTTTATCAGGCAGATCCTGCACGATCGTGTCCTTAAGCTCAAGATCGTGGCCTGCTGCTCTATCTTGATCTGATTGTATTGACCGTGTGCGTCGTGCGCCAAAGACAAATCTGGCATGGGATGTATATATTTACACGCCCTGCACTGCTCACAGCGAGGGCTGCTTCTTCATCCTAGCGGTAACTTCTACGGTAGTCCCTGATCGACATTGGTTCTCAGTTCCACGCTACTTTCTCCAACTCCACTGGGTTCGCTTGGCCATTATTCCGCGGACGCTTGACTTCCGTCCGGAGCGGCCCATACTCCATACATTTCCACTATGGCACAGTCCATGCTCTTATTCCCGACGGCCGGTTAACAGCTTCGCGCCACCTGCGTAGTCTACTCTCCCACTAACTCAGCAGTGCAGCTCCTCATCAACGTCTACGACCCAGCAGCAGTTTCACTGAGCGCCTCAGTTGTCCATTTATCCGCTTTTGCTATCTACGGGGAGCGCCGATGTCCATCACGTAGGATTTCTCTTCTAGTTAGAAGTAGTCAGTTGGCCATTGGTGATATGAGCATTGGAAATCGTTATACGTAAGGTCAGGAATCATAGGTTATTGAATGCAGCTTCAGACTGCATGTACCCATCAACTGATCAAGTACAGGAGCTTCTGTACTTGCGGTTCAGGTGGTTGCACTGCTTCGGTCGCGCTCAAGGAGCGACTTCCCGACTAGGCACTCCATTCAACTCGCCCGCCGGCGCCGGCCCCCGCGGGCAATCACATCATTCATCGCTTGGAGAATTGACAGATGCCATTAACTAGACTATGGCGTCTTATTGATGAATATCACGAAGCAGCTGCTTCAAAGCCGATGTGTTTCATCAGGAGACGTTGGTTATATGTCTACTGTCCAATGTGCTCTTCACCATACGACTTCCTAAAAGTAAACTGCCCAGCATGATCATATGTTGATTGATCTTTGCTTCGTGTTGATTGACAGGGACCAAAGCTTATACAACATCGCCCTGCAAGTGTCGGCACGACTATCAGTGCACCCAACGCCATGCTCTGGTAGCATGCAGCAATCTCACCCTCAGAACTGCTATTCACCACCGGCTCGCAACCTCCTCGGTCGCATCATGCGGTGAGTTGCCCATACCCATTTTCAACTAGGATTTCGCATCAGGCCAAGTCCAGTCAATGCGCAAGAATGCTGACGTACTGTCGCGTCCTTAGACCGACGACCCAGCGTCACCGCTCATCGCGGGGCAAAAGCTTTACGCACCGGTTCCAGAATGCGGGGAAGGCTTGATACTATTTGTGTTCTGGAAGTTCCCAATCGAATTCCGCCAGAGCTTAATTGTGTTTATATAAGAGCTCATGTCTGCCGCGGCAACCACCCAGACAGTGGTTACTGGGAGTTTTTGGCACTCCGTACTCCTCAACTTTCTACGAGCAGCGGCCGACGCTTTTTCCAGAAGGGACTACAATACCGGATAGGTCAGGAAAAAGTAGCGTTCACCGTCAAGGAAGAGACTGAAATCATTTCCGGCAATGCTCTTAACGATGTGATGTCCGAAGTGGCAGACGGTCTTCATCCTGATGCTATCCAGAATGCTATCAGGAACATGGACAAGGACTTGAAGATCGCCGAGCTCTGAGGGGTTTTGTATCACTATCGACTCGAGACCCTCGACAAATCGGAAAGGGGTGTTCAGTTGCCGTCCGGGACGGAAGTTGGAAGGGCCGACTCGCCGAGCCTCGACAAATCTCTTTCCAAACTGGCGCGGCATTAATAATCCCTGCCAAAAGGGAACACCAAAATGTCACCAGACAAATAAAAGATCCTAGTCGACACACTTGATCGGGTCTCCTTAACGCCTATTGTTGATGGTGCACATATTCTATGATTTGACTGTCTTTTACCATCGCTTCTGAGCAGTTTGCCTGGACAATTAAGCAGTGCACCACTCGTCTCAAATCCCCTGCACTAAACGGAAGCCGGGCTGCTTTAGAGCGTAAGGCTCGATCCATCCCGCGTAGCGCCGCCTCCATTCGTTTGCCGTTCACCACCCAACCTCTGCTCCCCTGTATATTTGCCTGGTAGGGCTGGTGTCATTCTTTTCTGCCAGACTTCCTGCCTTTCTTTCATCCGTTTGCTTCTTGCTCGTCGTGTTTGGACGAGCGATGCCACCTTCATCGCTTTCTGGTACATGATCGTCTTTACATACCGTCTGCCTCTCAGGTGATCCACCAGGCCCTCTTAGTATGGGCCCGTCTTGTTTCTTGGTTATAGTAGCCGATTGCTTCGTTTAAGCAAAGTCATGCAGAGCCCAGATCCGAGCACCAGTTACTCGGCTTCTTGGCGCGTTCAATCTAGTTCTTCTCGCCCAAGAGACACCTGCTCCAGCAGTGCTCAGGACCTGAACAGCCGGAGGCGGAACCCACTGGTAAGCATTCCTCGTCTTGTTTTGCGATCAAGAAGAGCACGTGAGTAAACATTTGATGCAGGCTTGTGAGACATGTTACAAGAGGAAGATCAAATGCGAAGTCGAAGGGTCTGATACCACTTGTATCCAATGTAAGCGCCGCAATGTAACGTGCAAGTTCACCACAAGAAAAGAGAAACGGGAGACTCTCAAAAGGTGACCATTCTTCTCATGCCGAAACATTTGCTTCTCTGAGACCGGGCTAAGTTTTGTTTAGGACCCAATATGTGAGAACATTAGAAGAACGAGTTAGAAGGACAGAATCTCTGCTTAGAGCTGCTGGCCTCCTAGATGAAGAGCTGTCGCTCCAGGACGATTATCTGAGTGAAGATGAAGAGGATCGTGATAAGGATGTGGAATCCGATGACGAGCTCATTTCTCCATATTTCAGTCCTCGCGGTAGCGCCAGTAGACGCAACTCGGGACCGTCAACTTCAGAAGCTTCGACCGATTTGGCCGATGGACCGCCTCAGGCGTCAAGAGAGAATGGAAAGTCACATATAACGCCCGTATCTCCCAAGGACGGACTACGTACTGTTCTCAAATCTAGCCAGCCTCATGCTCCTCTTTTTGTCCTTGACAATCGGGAGGAATATAGGTACTACGGTACGTCTACGCTTCACCATGCTCCGTCCCATAAGCTCCGACTGATAGATCTCTAGGACGATCCTCATCCATGTCTATCTTATCACGAGAAGGACTCGAATGGATCAAGAGGAAAACTGGTGAGACAAAGCTTGTGAACATCATATTCTCCGATTCCACTCGCGATAACCCATGGGACTACTGGCGGCCGGACGTCTTCCATGACATTTTCACCTCAGAAGTGTTCAAGCCGCTACCTCCTCGAGCAGAGGTATTTGCGTTATTGCGCGATTACTTTCGCACTGTGAATCGGTTGTTTCCACTGTATCATGAAGCGACATTTATGCAGTTAGTAGAGTGGCAGTATACGCAGCAGACATGTGATGATGCCGCTCGATGGGCTAGTATCAACATTCTACTATCTCTGGCCTACGAATATCGGTTCTCCAATTGTCAGAAATCCGAGAAGGATAGGGAGAGGGCATGGCTGTACTACAAGAACGCCATGTCGGTCTTTGTAGAGCTGTCGCTGAGAAGAACAGATCTTCTTAGCATACAAGCTCTTTTGGGCATGGCTCTTTTCCTCCGAGGAAATTCCGGAACCCAGTCCTCCTTGCCGATCATCACGGCTGCTGTACAAGCATGTCATCGCATGGGACTACACCGCAATATTGCGAGGCCTCGCCTTTCCCCTACTGAACAGGAGCAGAGGCGCAGAGTGTTTTGGGTTGCATATATACTTGACCAGAGGTGAGCCAACGCAGCACTTTTTTCTCCCCGCTAAGCTTGTCAGGGAGCAATCTGACTCGCGAGCTTGTCTAGTACGTGTATACGCGCGGGGAGCAGCCCCATCCAGAATCATGAGGACTTCGACGTGGACTTTCCCGCCGATAACACGGAGGATGCATTTGTTCAGTCGACGCACAATTCTTTCTTCCGTCAACTATGTAAAATTACCGTGATCAAGAGTCGGATGTATAGCAAGCTCTACTCTACGAAAGCCCTGCAACACAAGTCGCCGGCGGTAATCTTCCACGACATTCGAGAACTCCACGCAGAACTCGAAGAGTGGAAGAACGCCAATCCCTTCGAATGTCGGTTGAAGAAAAGAGGAACAGGTCAAGACTTTCTGCTTGGTTTCGCATCCGCTGGTCTGCAATTCGTCTACTATAATACCATGCTCATGATTCATCGTCTTCCAGTTTTGCTTCACTTTGCGTCGATGAATCACATCGCACAAGGACACCCTGTGCCGGATCATTACGGCTTGATCTTGAGCGAGGCTAATGCCTCTTCAGAAATTTGCGTACAGGCGGCACGGGATACTCTCAAACTAGTCAACAATCTTCCGTGGGGCGATATTGCATGGATATGGTAAAGCCTCTCCAAGTCGAGGTCTTTTCTCGAAGCTAACATTCCATAGGTCTCTCCTGTATTACGTGTTTCTTGCAGTAATGAACATCTTCGTCAAAATCTTGAAAGACCCTCAACATCCTAAAGCCAAAGAAGACTTGCAGTCTCTCACCATGGCTGCGACCTTCTTTGCAACACTTATACCCGGCGATGGACCTGGTCATTATGCTCGATTCATGACCAAGATGAGTGCTAACTTTGAACGGCTTGCCCGCAACCTTCTCGAGCGGGATCAGAAGGTCATCAAACCCAACGACATGAAAAGCAGTTCGTGCCAGGCCCACAAGAACGAGAACTCCACTGGATCCATGACCACACCAAATCACGCTTCTCACTCTCGTCATCGACGAACCCACCTTGATTCCCAGTCGCGGATTGATCCTTCCTCGGCTACTTCATCCTCTTCTTCAGCGTCTGCTACCAACGATAATACACACCACATCTCGCCAAACATCGAAGGTCTTCCCCAGATCAACTCCTCCGGCTACGTTGTTCCCGACAAGTTTAGTCCGGATATTGAACCCGACACTTTGACCATCTCAACCCCTCCTCTTACCACGACATATCCCCAACAGCCACAAGCACAATCTTCTAATCAATCCGCCACACCAACTCCCCTTCACCTTGCAGGTGCCTCCCAACAGCAACCTTTCGATCTGAATAGTGTCAGTACCGGCTTTTTTCCCGTCTCCGTCAACTCCGACAACTTCAATTTCGCCCAGCCAGGTCTGTGGCAGATCCCCTTGACGGCAGACTGGGAATTGTCGCCCCAGGCTCTAAATGGCATCTTTGGACTCGACTTCAATCATGCTGCGTCGGAGCAACCGCAAGCACAATCGCAACCGGTAGTCGACCCCGACGCCACGCGTGCCATGAGAACACAACCGCTGTCACAGTTCGACCAGCCGAATTTTGGTGGGCAGGCAATGGGCCCAACACCAATGGATCTGGGTCTGCCTTATGGGCCCAACATTGTGCCACAACCGAGTGGTACGTCTCAGGGTCAAACGGGCACTCTTGACGCAGTAGAGCAAGTCATGCAGGCGAACGCGATGTGGATGAACGGCTCATTTCCCGGCCCTTACCCATTTCCAATGTAGATTTGCCGGCTGCCTGGCCTGCTGCTAAATCAGTGCTTGCGGGCAGCATACAATCCTAATAAAGAAAGATCCTCTTCGTGCTTGTATGTAAATGAAGAGGGCGTGACGAAATTATGATCTCTGGGACTTCGCTCATTCTTTTTCACTGGCATAGTCATCGTTTAATGGGTAAAAGCAGAATATACCATACATCAAACAATACTTTTTCTTTTCGTTAGCTCTAATAGCACATAGATGAAAGACATTTCAAGGATAAACCATTGGTCCATGCTTATTCGCTTCACTACTTAAGAATATCAATTGACTTCCCGAAAACTACATAACCCCAACCGAACACCTATGCATGGCGGTAGACACCAGAGAAACCCGAATCCCACGCGCCTCCCGATAATTATGCACACACAAGGGGAATCTGAACATCGAACTAAAAATATTCGCAGAAGGTAGATAAATCAAGTACCACCATTCGCGCTTCCCATACGACCGTTTGGTTTAGGTCAACATCAAACGATCAACTCGCCCTTTCCACTTGAGAGGAGTAGTGTAAAATTAAAACACCGTGCCGGTAAGTTTCCTCACCGCCATCCTCCAGACTCCGCGGCCGAGTTTCACTTTCCCATCGGACGAATTCGCGGATCCCAGGCCCTTGTTCAGGATGCTTTGCATCTCAGTCTCCGAGATGCTCTTTGCCTGAGGACTGAATCCGTACACCTTGCTGGCTAGAACATCGGTCTGGATGTCCAGCTGCCCGATTCCCACACCGTCCTGGGATGGCAGGATGCGGGTCCGGACGGCGAAGTCGACGTCGATGCGGCGGTTCGGGGCCGGTTTGGTTGTTTGCACGTCCGGGGCGGGAGGCGTCGATGGGCCGAGGAGGGTGCAGCGCGCGCGAAGAGAAGGGTTGGTGGTCCCGGCTGCTTCGCCCTCGAGGAGTTTGAGCTTGGTTACGCCGCAGAATTCGAGGAGGCGGGCTTCTTCTTCGAGGCTGAGAGTGAGGTCCCATGCTTCGGAGATGAAGCGGAGGAGATGTTTAGGGGCGGTGCGGGATTGTGGGATGGTGGACAAGTGGGCTTGGAGGGATCTGAGAACGAGGAGGGTGATGGCGGAGAGGTGTGGTGTTGGTGTGGTCGGTTTGGTGTCGTTGTTCGGGGTGGGGGCGTATTTGAGCGTGATAGGGGCGTTTATGGCCCTGTCATCGGAAGTGGATGCGTTGTTATTGATGAGGAAGGATGCAGGGTGGAAGGTGAGTTGAAGCTGGTGGCGATAACTCATGGTCACTGCCGGTCCAGCCGGGGTCGAACTGTCTGATGCTGTGGCCGATACGATGGTCCAGCCGGTTTGACGCTCAATGTTGCGGACCGACTCTTTCAACTTGCTGATCTCTTGGGCGCTCCAGCCGCGGCATTCAGCCTTGACTCGTTCGGCTTCCTGGATCTGAGCCAGGTACTCGGCTTTGAGTTCGGTACCCGTCTCGACTGTATTGGTCGTATCCTCGAGTTCGGCTTGCATTTCCTGCAGAAGCTTCTTCTTCTGCGCAATCTCGTCCTCGACGCTCGCAAGCTTCTCACGTGCGCTGCGTAGTTCGTCCTGATCACAGTTCTCGAGCTCATCTGCCAATTGCTGCAGCGTCGTAGCCTCGGCCTCGAGAGAGGAGTGTTTTTCGATGAGAGCTGGTACGGTGCCGTTCAGAAGGGCTTCATGCTTAGCGAGAAGATCATCATCTGCCTTCATTTCCTGTTCGTGACGAGTGAGGCCGTCTCTTAGACCCTCCAATAGCTTCATGCGCCACTCATACCATGTAGCCTTGCTGAGAAGGCGAGCATGGGTCTTCACATTACGGAATTGATTGTCCATCAGTAGGCGGATGTCTGGTGGAGCTGTCATGTATTCACGGAATAACGGTGGATTGTCGGCAAATGTCTCGGTCTCAATTGACCGAATAACCTGTCTGCCTTCATTTATATACGATTTCAACTCTCTACAAGACTAGAGTAATGTCAGTGGAGCTATGGGATTGGCCGTAGCGGGAACTTACATGTTGAAACAGTTCAAGCATAGGCACGGTGCAGAAGCCAGCAGCCACGCATTCTTCAAAACTAGCAGGGTTTCTAGCCCCAGCTTCACTCGAGAGTCGGAGCGTTCGTTTCCGAGCACTATCTGGGGCAGTGGTATGCCGTCTTTTCGTGGTTGTGAGTTCCATAAAGTGGATGTTGGTCATGTTCAGGAATTCTTGCAACTGGATGGGTTCAACCTCAGGGCCAGCATCTTCAACAGGGGCTTCTTGCACTTCGGCTGTTTCCAAACTAGATGAAGTATCTGTATTATCCTTCGCAGGGCTCGTAGTAGCAGAGGTGGCCTTCGAGGCTTGTGTTGGTGTCAAGCTGAGTTTGAGAGGAGAAGCTCCACCGAGAGACTTCAAAGGAGACTGGAACCCACGTCCAAGGGTGTCGGTGTTGGAGGAATGAGCTGGAAGTCTGAATTTCTTCACTGGACTGCTATTCTCGCGACCGCGCAAGCGTTTCGGCGTGTTGTCAGAATCTGCTTCATCGTCTAGATCCAACTCAATAGGCCTTTTACCCAGCAGGCCACGGGCGGCTCCGACATGCAAGCTCTTTCTGCCACGAAGTTTGTTCTTCTTCGGTGTCAGGCTCGAAATCATGTCCTTCAGACTTGCGGTGGGATCTCTATCACTGAGTTTCGGAGGCGAGATAAAGCCATCTTCTCGGTTCACCTCCTCCTCGCGTTCGCGATCCACCTCCTCCTGAAGTTTCACAGGATCTTCAAAGCGTACGCCCTGCTTTGATTGTTCCTGCGGGACAAATTCAGGTGCTTCTTCGCCAATCGAACGACGCTTGTCAAGCATAGCAGCCACTCGAGGCGATCCAAGTCCCTCTTTGTCAATGCCGAGGCCAGAGGATCGTCTTTTCCCTTGTGGTTGCAATACAAACAGAGGAGCCGGCTTTCCATTCACACTCTCCCCAAATAAGCTTTGACGCCTTGGAGATGTATTCTTGTCCGCAGATTCTTGTACGTCTGATTGGACTGGCTTTTGTGGAGAGGCGCTTTGTGTCTCTACATCCTTGGAAGACGGCGTTCTGGAATTCAAGGGTGAATTAACTGGCGGAGTTGAGGGCTTGGAAGAAGACGATAAAGCTTTTGGTGGAGATACTTTTGGAGTATGCGGAGTAGGTGTAGCTGATACTGCACGGCTCAAACTCTGCCTTGTCCGGCGGGTCCGTACACTTGCCAAGCTAGGACTACCACTTTCTGATGCCACAGCTGCAACATGAAATGAGACCGGTGACTTAGAAGGAGACTTGTCTGAAGAGTGGGCGGGCAACTGGACTGGCAACTGGACCGGAGAATTGGCTGGCGACTTGGCTGGCGACTTGGCGGGTGACTTGGCGGGTGGTTTGATAGGGGACTCCTTCACGGCCTCTTGAAAAGGTGAACTGCCGATTTGAGCAGGCTCCGGCTCCGGCTCCGGGGTTTCTCTGACTTCAATCGGTTCCTGTGCCTCTCTTTCTGGTTGTAAGATCTTACCCACAGCAGCAGTCATATCCATGCCTGTCGTTTGATCATCATCTTCCGCTGCATTGCCTTCCAGGGTACCAGAAATGATTCCACCGACAGCCCCAGTGATCTCCATATCCACGTCATCATCCATGTCATCCCCATTTTTCCATTCAGAAAGAATACGTCCATTGTCGCCCAGTGTCAAGGGTTCTTCTGGGTTATTAATGTCATTTTCATCCGCATCGTTGACCGCCCCTGGCCTGTTCAGAAGGCCCCCTACGACGGAAGTGAACTCCATGGTCATCTCTTCATCTTCGTTTGCACTGTCGGCCCCTGTAGATTTCGCAGGCGAGATAGGCTGCGCGATGCCTCCCACAACATTAGTCAATTCCATGGTTTGTTCTTCGTAGTTGGTCTCCTCGCTAACAGACTTGCGACGGACAGCACTCTTGCGGCGGCTCGCATGGTTGGGAAGGATTCGACCAATCGCGTTCGTGACCTCCATGCTGAGATCTTCATCCATGACATCATCTCCATCATCTCTTGCGATGGGAGCATCGGCCATCGATTCTGAAGGCGGAGCATTTTCCTGATCGTACCGGGCGCTGATATCTCCCCAATCGAAACTTTCGCGTTGGCCCTTCTTGATCCAGGGTTGGAAAGCACCTGTGATCTCCTGGTCTGCAATTTCCATAGACATGTCTCCTTCATCGTCCTCAAGATCACGGGTTCCTGCTTCTCTAGCTGCTTGTCGCAAGGCTTCGTTCAGGCGAGCGCTGCTGGTGGTGGAATCAGAGCCATCCGAATGAACTGAGCCAGCAGAATGGACAGACATGTCATCCAAGCTCATTGCCGTGCTTTCTCCGTCGAATCCGGAAGTCGATGAGTTGTCGTCATCGTCATCATCGTCGTCTCTCTGTGTTCCAAGATCTTCGGTCCCGTCTGCTGAACTTCCGCTGAAGGGGCTCGAAAACATTTCTTGCGAGGAGCCCATCCCATCGTAACTTCCATTGGTAGACTGGCTTTGGAGTTGCTGCAGGTCCGGATACTGCACAGGCGAAAAGCCGACATCTGACTCTGCGTATGGATCGAGGGAGGGAGGTTCCGCTTGTTCAGCCTGGTGAGCAGGGGTCTGGTTTCCTTGTCCGGCTAATGAGGATGCGCGCCTGGTAGAGTTCGAAGCAGATGAAGAAGTCGAATCGTCGGGTATCTCTACCACGTTCCAGGTGTGCAGCGTGGCTTCGGGAGCAAATGACACACGGCGATTTGCTATGACATCAGGTAAGCGAGGTCTAGATTGCCAAGGATGAAGGTAACAGACCCATTGACTTCCGGCGTGCCTCCCTCTTCTCGAGGATCATTTTCCGTTCCCGTTCCCGCTGTTCCTTTTCTTCCTTCTCTCGCACAGCAGCCATTTCATCGCGAATGGATGCAGCGTTAAAGCTGTCAAAAGGATTGGATCGGTCTTCTCCAGAGGTGTTTGCAGCGGGTGCGGGAGTGTCGAGGTCGATTAATAGGCCCTCGTTGCCTTGAAGGTTGCTTTCATTGCTGCTGGTCGATTGCGACCCGCGAGCCGGCGTCCTTTTGCGCGTTTCCTCAAACGTTGGGATAGTTCGCACTGGCGACACGGGGACCGTGGGTTTGAGAATGGACTTCAACGGGAAGGCTGCTGTAGACTACGCGACAATAATCAGCCACGTTCTGAGCAAGACACAACTAGTGACTAAGGGGTAGAGGACAATAAGTACCTTGCGGCGATTGCCGTTTGAATCCTGGAGCGCATCTAGACCACCCGGACCTAAGCTCTTACTGCGAGACTTTTTGTCTCTGCCCACGGGCTTTGGGCGTCCATCAAGCGGTTGAGAGGAGCTGATATCCGTTGTCGCATTTTCTTGATCCAAGGTCGAGGTCAGCCTTGCCCTCGGGATATGAGCAAGAGAGCGACGAGATCGCGGACGGAGAGACCCCGCGGAGTCACTTCTGGACGCCATGGGTTCAAGCTGGTCCGGACATAGACTGGGAATAGTGCAGTATTCGGATAGTTGTCGCGTATAGTTCCTTTTCCATCGAAATCAGAGACGGGACAGCATAGTTGAAGTATCGCAATGGTGACGATGACGATGTGACTGATGGTGGTCGTCGGCGCTGTGGTTTGGTGTTGCGGGCAAAGCACAACAAACTAAGTCTACCGCTTTCCTCTAATCTCCTCCCGCGGGCGCGTCTCCCGGCCAGACCGCTCATGTGATCGGGCGGATGTAAACAAACCAAAAACGGAAAGCCCTAGCCGAGTCCCGAAAAAGACTAGCGCCCCCATCGCACACTCACACGGCGAATATCCGCCATCTTCAATAAATCTTCTCCATCATCGACGTCGACCACCGCACGCCCCGACACCCCCCTTCGCGACAACCCAGCTCGACTTCGCTTCCTCGTCGGACTGAACATATCGCAAAAATGGCCACCGAGTTGACCGTCCAGTCGGAACGTGCGTTCCAGAAGCAGCCTCACATCTTCGTCAACCCCAAGACCATTGCGAAGAGCAAGAAGGTCGCCTCTGGCCGCAGATGGTACAAGGATGTCGGTCTGGGTTTCCGTACCCCCAAGACCGCCATTGAGGGCACCTACATCGGTATGCACGACCTATATCAATTTCTGCGGAATGATCAAATCTCGATTTTGCGGCAAGGGACGGGGAATTTTCAGGGACCTTGAAGATGAGAATTGCCACTTGGGATTTCAGGGTCGGGTGCATGAGATTCACGGCCATGGTCACGACCGATCATTTGGCGCAAGAGAAGGAATTTGTATACGGAATATGCGGAGGGATATGATATCGTGGACCATCGACACCGAGCGCTTCGACGAACTTTCAAGATCCGGTCATTCTCATCTTCAAGGCCTTGGGAAATCTGCGCCAAACTCCGCTCGGGGGAGGACAGGAATAGCAGATCGCTAATATCAAACAGACAAGAAGTGCCCCTTCACCGGTCTGGTCTCCATCCGTGGTCGTATCCTGACCGGCCGTGTCGTCTCCACCAAGATGCACCGCACCATTGTCATCCGCCGTGAATACCTCCACTACGTCCCCAAGTACAACCGTTACGAGAAGAGACACAAGAACCTCGCTGCTCACGTCTCTCCCGCTTTCCGTGTTGAGGAGGGTGACTGGGTCACCGTCGGCCAGTGCCGTCCCCTCAGCAAGACTGTACGTTGCCTCGAATCCGTCAAGAACTTCCCTATTGTCTGTTAGGGGCAGTGGCTATGGTCATTCATCAACGATCAGGAAGTGGCCAATCCGCCGCAATGCTCCGAATAGATCCAGCAATAACTCGTCTCGCGCATGATCTAACATTATATTCTTAACAGGTCCGCTTCAACGTCCTCCGTGTCCTTCCCCGCACTGGTAAGGCCGTCAAGGCTTTCAGCAAGTTCTAAGCGTGTCGATGAGGAAGTGTTTTCGAGAGGAAAATAACCTAGGGCTGCGGCGTGACTGGATATACATGGATTAGTTAAACGGGTTGGGATTGTTTCACGATTTCATGTCCCAGGGACCCTTGAGAAAGAATATCCAATGAAAAAATTCTTTTGATTCTCTATAATAGCAGTCCGCCGTGCACTATACTTGGCCACGACCCCGGCATATCACTAGGTATCACTTGAATACTACAGCTCGGTCGATGACTTGGGCGGGACAATACCAGATTTCTATTCGCAATATCTGTTATCGGGGAAATGGTCTTGGTTATGGTACACTTCAACACGCTTCTGGAATTTTTTCCAAGTGTGGCTCAGACAGTACAATCCAACAGATGATTCCCTCGATATGTTGGTGGTCTTTGCAAATCCATGCACTCCATCGCTCTGTCTATCAGGTTTGAAACCTTTCGCGCCTTGTAAGACAGAAGATTTTTTACCCCAAACATGGACTGTCGACAATCGTAGATTACCCTGGAGTCGAATCACGAGAGCTTTAGGCAGAGGCTCGACCTTTCAGGTCAACCCCAGATCAGTCTTCGGCGCGCTCTATCCTGACCGAAAACATATTGGCAATCAATTTCGCTCGCGACCTTGCTCTCTTTCATGGCATTTTCCGTGTCTAGTTCCATGTCTTCGCACATAGCAGCGATAATGGAGCTTGAAGAATCAAGATCTGATCCCTCGAGTATCGGAAGCGAGATATAACCCCCCGAATCAGCACTGTCCGACGATCCCACATGATTAATCTTAAGCCTCTCACGCGAGGCCTCACTTGACGAGTGAGCTGCTACCTGGAGTGAGATTTCATCCTGTTGAAGAATCCATCTCCCGGTGTAGTCGTCGTATGTCTCAATGTTTGGGAGAGAACGGAGGCTTTGGCTTGGCCATTTCGGGATTAGATCGACGGCGCCATAGTAGTCGTCATCTTCATCCACCGACTGTTCATTGTCAGACATGCAAGAACTAGCAAGCAGGAGGACCTCGGAATTATCCTGCACGCGAAACTCGTCGTTGTCATCGATCCCTTGGTCGTTCTGAGAATGGGAGGTAGAGAAACGGCGCGTCTCATTCTGACCACTTTGGTGAGAGGTATAAGTCAAATACTTGTCAGTGTCATTCTCGAGGTGCACGATGTCGTTGTTGTCTCCATGGGCTCGATTAGCACTTGGAGCAACGGCAGCAAAGTTATGTTGTTCCACGGAACTTGGATCTTGAACACGCGCTTCTTCATCTTCGCTGGCTCCGTCCTCGGTGAGCGATTCGTCGTCCGAGATAACGTATACTTCCTGCTCCTGGTCATGGGAAGTAATCGGAGTCTCAGCAGGGAGTCCGTAGCATGCATTTAGTCCTTCTTGAAATGCTTTCCCGGGACCTCCTCGCTTTCGCAGCCGCCAGGAATAGTACATGCCTATTCCGACTTCTCCGCTAAATTCAAAGGGCACTTGAAGTAGAGAAAGGAGCTTCCCAATTATAGTTCCAGATGTGTGATCAAGATAGCCACCTCGTTTTTCCAGTGCGTCTTTCAGTGATCGTTGGTTATGCTTATAAGATGCAATAGTACGGAGCTGCAGAATTTCGGCGATATCATCGTGTTCGTCTGCAATTTGCTTCAATGTGCTGACTTTGAAGGAACAGATTATAGCATCAGACGGAACTTTGCCCCAAATCAAATACTCTCCACCGCCGTTGTAGCGGCCTATCCTAAGTTGATGTTTCTGACAGAAGCCGCGAGCCGAGTAAACGAGATCTCCAAGCTTCTTGGATTCGATTATCGAGATGATAGCACCTTCTTGGTTGCGTACGGCCCGGTGGACTGGTGCGAGCATTGACTTGAATGTTGAAATGAAGGGAGACGAAACTTCTTTTCTGTGAATATGATTTGAGAAGTATTCGTCAAATTTCTCTTGGCTTATCATGTCAGGGGAGAAATACTTGTCCCAGTCTACAAAGAGACCGGCGATGTAGAGATTCTTGTTGTTGACGCCTTGAGAATCAACATTCGACCACCGATACAGTAAGGGTTCCAAGATGCCTTTTCCTGTCGTGTATTCTCTGGGCTTATTCCTGGCCTGTATATATTCCTGTTAGTTGTCTTCCAGGCCTCGGGTCTTTGTGGTTGTACTTACCTCGTTGACACGCTCCTGAACACACCAGAAACATTCTTTGCCTCCATATTTGGAAAGAGCCGTATTCTCCCACGTAGAGACGTCATTGGTCGGTTGCTGCTCGCTTTTGTTCATGATAACTTCCTCGATCGCTTCATCGACTTGCTCAGTGGTACCGGCGATGTCTGCATCAGACTGCGGGTGAATCTGACTCTGGACTAGCGTATTAGTACACCGGCATGTAAACAAGATGATTTGAACTTACCGAGGTCGGCTGAGAGGAAGTATGGAGTGTGGGGTCAAAAGTAGAGGTATCAATATCATCTCGTGCCTTTTCCGGCAGATCTATCCTCAACGTCGCCAAAGTCCTGCGAATGGCCGCAATGAAAGGTGACCAGCGTCCATCCTTATCAAAAGGAGACAAATGCACTTCACCCCACTCGAAATGCGAAGACCGCCTCAAGTCATGCCATTGCGTGTTGAGGGTACTCTCCTTAACACCATGTGTGAACCCGAAAGTTCTGAGGTCGTCTTCGTATACGCTATCGAAGACAGCCTTGTATGCAGTGAGATCTTTCTCAAAGAACTTGAACAGGCAGCACAGAAACTGTTTCTTCTCCGGGTTCCAAGAGACATTGGGCTCCTTTACAGTATAGTTCAGTCCATCTGATAAGTCCATCTTCGACATATGGAGGGCATGCACGGTAGTGGCAATGAAGACGAATTGTTCAAGACCGAGGTGAGGAAGAGATTGGTTGAGAGGAAGAAAGAGATTTCTGAAGCTCCGTGAAGCCTACTCTGCGGTTCTGCCCACTGTATAGATCTGCAATTCGAACTGATCAGTTCATGTAGGGAGGATACTTTTGACCTGGCCTGGGAAACACTGTGCCCTATAGTGGGACCCATGTTTAGCTCACAACTCACTTGGTGTTACTAGCCCCAGGCAGTCATGCTAGAGGAAAGATTGTAGGACTATGGTAAATATAAAGCTAGAAGTAAATGAACTTTCTTCACTACATCATTCTCATGTGGTACTTAGGAAGTGAGTTACGGACGATTTCATCCCGCTATGATCTTCGGTAGTATATACTTTTTGAAGAAGACTGACACTTTCAAATGGATTCAAATGGCTACAAGACAATTGAAACTGCTAACCGAAAGAGCTCAGCACCTCCGAGCCTAGAGCCCATATTTGCAATAGTTTTACAAGGAAGACGTCAATCTCCCTTGAAAGGCTGCATGTGACGCGCAGCAAGTATACCAAAGCATTATGGACATTGTCAAGGCATCGGACCGGCAGAACCGCACTAGGCAATTCTCAGCCTAAGGCGACCAAGCGCAGCTCCACCGCAACGCCCGGTCATCATCCCCGACGGCCTCAAAGCTCCCTCTTCCAGATTCAGTCGTGAATCTTCTTTCCGTCCCCCGCTTGCCTGCATTCCCTCGCAACTTTTTCAAACCCCGCCATCTCGCTGGGACTTGTTCCGACAGGGTGTTCGCCCCGATACGTCCGTGCCATTCCCATCTTCACCAGCTGGGATTTGTTTCCGTCCCCGCTTCGTCATCGACAGACTACGTTAGGCAACACCAAGAAGGTTCCGCAGCATGGCCACTTGAGCGATCATGACTGTTCTTAGCATTGTTGTGAATAGATCAATCGGAAATCGACTCTTATAGACACTTGATTTAACTATCCACCACCTCAGCCCTCGCTCTCCCACGTCTTGACAACGGAACCACTGCCGCCCCTGACTCTTATCTCCGCCCGATAGCTTTCGCAAGCTTCAGCTTCCTTTCTTCAATATGTCCCACAATTTCGAGAAGTCGGTGAAGGGGGCTACCAAGGTCAAGGTTCGTCTAGGACAATGAAATCTTCTTCGATGTGGATTGCGCAGAAGCTAATTGCAGTGTTTCGACAGCTCGCCGCCCCCAAATCCAAGTACATCGAACATATCCTGGTAGCGACACATACAGGCGAAGCGGGTGTGGCAGAGATTTTTCGAACTTTGCAGCTCAGGCTCCGCGACTCAACATGGACAATCGTTTTCAAGGCTCTAATTGTGATACACCTCATGATAAGGGAGGGACAATTGGACGCCACGTTGCAGTACATGGCGGAGAACCCCCAGAAGCTGGCAATCAGCGGGTTTTCGGAAGGTAAGCTGCAGGATGCTTCTCCATGCAGATAATCGCTGATCCTGAGCCTGGTGTAGTCCAGTCGCAAGGCCACAACATTCGGAGATACTCCGACTATCTTCTGGCGCGCGCAAAAGCCTTCGAGACTACAAAGACCGATTATGTACGAAGCGGCCAGGGCCGGATGAGGCGATTGACTGTCGAAAAAGGTCTTCTGAGAGAAACAGAGATTGTTCAACGACAGATCCGGGCTTTGCTCCGATGTGACGTGTGTTGCCCTTACCCTGTCGCATCTTGGATGTACGACTGACCAGTGGCAGCTTTTGACGGACGATGTCGAAAACGAGATCTCCTTGACCGCATTCCGTTTGCTCACATTGGATCTATTGACCCTTTACTCAGTGATGAACGAGGGAACAATAAATGTCTTAGGTAAGTGTGTTGTATTGCCAGTTGGCCACACCATTCTTACGCAACTTGCCATCAGAGCATTACTTTGAGATGTCACGTCCCGACAGCGAAAGGGCGCTGGAGATCTATAAAACATTTACTCAGCAGACGGAAGAAGTCGTCAAGTTCCTCGGTGTTGCTCGGCATTTCCAATCAGCGACGCGTTTGGAAATACCTAAGCTCAAGCATGCCTCTACCGATTTGACTCGATTACTCGAAGACGATTTGAACGACCCAGACTTCAATCTCCGCCGTCGCGAGTACCTTGCACGCAAGCAGGGCAAGAGTGTTCCAGCCCCATCTTCCGTGCCCAAGAATTCGACAGGGGATCCTTCCGCCAACCACTCAAACTTCAATCAGGCCCGGCCTCAGACACAGCTCAACCCACAAGCGCAAGCGAAGTCGAACCCAGTGGATTTGATTGACTTTTTCGACTCGATCGAACAGAATCAACAGCCGATGGCGCAGCAAAACACTTTCCAACAGCAGCAGTTCCAGCAGCAGCCGCAGACGATGCAGTTCCAGCAAGCAGGCTTCCAACCACAGCAGCAAGCATTCTATGCACAACAGACTGGCTTTCCACAGCAGCAATTGCAACAGCAACCACAAGCAGCTGGCTATGGTCAGCAGCCAGCGCCATTCGGTCCTCAATTCACGGCTCAGAACCCTCAGCAATTCAATCAGCCGCATGTTCCACAGCCTCTCCAACCAGACCACACAGGAGCCGGATTTGGTGGCTACTCAGCGCAGCCTCAAAACTATGGGTACCAACTCAACCTGGCTCCCATCCCACAAAATGACGTTAGCGCATTCCCGCCGCAACAACAACAGCAGCCGCAGCCGCAGCAGCAACTGGTGCCAGGGGGTCAGCAACTATTGCAACCCCAGTCCACCAACCCCTTCAGACAGTCAATGCTGATGAACACGCCGACCGGATCGGTAACGCCACTTGACCGCCAAAACACCAACCCGTTCGCGCGGCGGTTATCGACGGCGCACCCGCAATACAACGCCGGCGGCCCTGAGGCGTTCCCTCCGGCGCAAGCGCAACCACAGTCCCAGGTGCAACAGCCTGCACCTCTTCAAGCTCAACGGACGGGAACAAACCCCTTTGCTCGCAGCTCCTCGGTACCACCACAGCAGACGCAGGGTCTACAACCTCCTGCTGCGGCACCTCTCCGGCCAAACCCCACGGGAAGCACGAACCCATTTCGCCAAAGTGCCTTTGTCAACCAGCAAACAGGCCAAGGATGGCATGTGGGCGGCCAACAAGGCACAATGGGTGGCCTAGAGCAATTGGACACGGTCCCCATCTTCCCGCGACCGGGCATGTAGATATGGATGGGTGGAGATCGTTTGTAGATAAAGATACTTGTTGGCTGCTACTGCGAATGCTGGGCTATAGTAGTTGTCTGGTGTGTTAGTACATTGCTGTCGGCCTTACCTCATATTCTTTGGCCCACTTAATTCTTGTCATTACCATTCGCTCTGTATCTGACATTTATTATGTATCGCTCTCATGACCTATGGGTTGAGGGTGGTGAGCTCACGGCGCGGGCGCGACTGTTCAATTGGCTGTCCTGTATTGATACCTACTTAGCTAGTGTTTGAGCAACATAACATAAATGAAGCGGGCGTAAATCGAAGCTGTGCTTTAATCCTCAAACTGTGGTTATATCCGACAGGCTAGAAGGAGGGTATTTCTGGTCGGAGATTAGAGCACTCCCACTCAACCTGGCACCTTGACCCTGTCAAAGAAGTATAAAAGTGTCTCGCATATGTGTCTGCGCCGCTCAAACCTACCAATGATCCCCTAGTATGCCTACTCTACGAAGCAGACACTATTAATACACAACCTTTACATCGGGAAACCTTGCACCCGGTAAGCCGACTTGACGTATGGGATAAATTATCTTTTACTTGTCGCCCAGACTACAAGAATACTACTAGTAGACGCCTAGCCGCAAAGCAAAGACATTTATTACATAGTAGAAGTGGAGGAGAGTAAGAGAGAGCCCGCCATGCCTGCGCCCAGCCCCAGCTTAGTTGATTAGGGGACTCCACACTGTGTCCAGCCAGAATCGGCTCGTTCCGCTCGGGAAAATCGGGATAATTGATTAAGAGAAGGCCTTTTAGGCTGAGAGCGAAGTCATTGCGTTCTGCTCCTCTATGTTTAGTTTCGATTTGCTAGGATGGAAGATGGAAAACAAAGTCGCCGTTCTCATTGCTGACGACCGAGTCAATCGTCTAAAGCTTACAATGCACAATTTACATGGAAGGGGTTAGCAGCTATGTAGCTTGTGTGAGAGCAGCTGCCAGCGGGAACTTTTCTTCTCCGTTCCCCTTCTTTGCAAGTAACTATAAAAACAGGAAATAGGAAAACAGACGGGAGAAAATATTTGCGGCCCACAGCGGAGATAATAAATCGTGGCATATCTAGTCTCCATTCCTTATGACGGGTTATTATCGAGGTTCTGTACTGGACATGCCACCGAAAGTGGTCTAATCAGCGAGCCAGAACGTTGTCGCCAGAATTTCCCAGTGGATGGCTAGCAAGCAAATTGGAACAATCGGTCATAGCTTTTGACTGGAATGTCCATAAACTACACCGGGCGCGGGAAGGGGCTGAAACTTGACAGCCGGACAGGGCAAGACTCGAGCACTCTTTGATTGTGATCCGTAATTCCGTAGTCGAGGTGTAAGCTATGTGTGGGTGGGCATATGTGTATGGAGTAGATTAAAGACCGGCAGCTTCATTATTGTGAGACTTTGTTCGAGATAGTGGATGTCCTACGTCGCGGCTATGCCTTGGCCTTTGTGGGTTTTTGAATATGTTTGAAGCATAAGAATGGAGTGGAGGGATACGACTACGAAAGATGGTTGTTTACTTCCCACCTCCCCGCTAGCAAGGGCTTGCAAAAGCGCTGTCGAGTAGGAATTGCAATCTCCCCATCTTGCGGTCAGGTTTGTAGTCATCAAGAGAAGGCGACCATGACCGTACCAAGGCTGACGTGCGTTTGTGTGCTGTAGTCGGTAGGTATGGAGCACCTACTCCGTACTAGTGTATGTGGTGGGAGAATTCTTGGATTTCTGTGATCGTCGATCGCTGCAAGACAGCCAGAAGCGAGGTGCAGCGTTGTAGTAGTCGAAGAAGCCGTCAATGCCTTGGAAATTGGACATTGCTTGTTCCCAATGGGCAACGTGGGTGGTTGTTGAGAGGAAGAGTCAAAGTGCAGACTGTTTCCGCCAGGCTGTGCTTCCCTCAACCGACGGAGCTCTCCGTATCTGAATAGAACTCGATTGACATGTTCAACCGTTGCGGTCAATCGGAATGGTCGGTGGATCAAACTTGTCTTGGCTAGATTTTAGCCCGTCTCAAGGTGGACTATGCTTGATTGTTTGTTGAGAACGGGGGCAACCTCATCCAGCTCGACGGCCTCGAATGACGTTGAAGACCTCGGTTTGGTTTGCATCTCACGTCGCTGAATAAATCAGTATCTCTCTTATAGTTAATATAGATTCATCATCGTTGGAGTGCCAGAGGTTCACCCTTGTATTTCGTCTTCCGCGTGCCACGGAGACACATCATATGCAGCCATGCAAGGGGATCGAAAAAAACGGAATGGAAGAACCATAATCCGGGCTTTGTCCGATCGGAAGTGAAAAATTAATTAGTGTGGATTTCAAACCTGGGTTGCCGATGACCAACTTTCAATTGATCATGACATTTAACTTCCGGTCCTGGAGGTGCCTACGAGACGGAGAGAAGAGAAAGAGTGCCTGATACTGACTGATACGGTATTCACAATCAGTAAATGCTGCTGATGAATCTCCTTCAGTCCCATCGCGTCCATCCTCCCATCCCCATCTGTTTCAATTTTCAGCAACAGCAATGTCCAAGCGTATGGCTGTATCGGATAGGCCATTGCAAACCACTCCAAAGGCCGCTCAGTACCTATACCTAGCTATCCCTCCCAGCGATTCCGGGATCCGATGTCGAAATTTAAGTTGCTGCTCCACTCGGGCTCCGGCAGCAACAGCATCCGAGATCTGGGCCTCGTGTCTTGCTGGTTGACCTACTTTCCTTGACTCTTCGCACCAGAGTGAATACGGATGGATGGCTCTATTGATGTTGATTCCCATTGTTACCTTGAAATGCTGGTACCGTCATGAATAGGAGGTGCATTGATCAGGTGCAGAATAGGTACAGCACTCTGTACAGCGGTCTCACTGACCCAACCAGACGGCGGCGGGAAACCCCCCTTGAGTTTAGAGTGACCATGGCTCCATGCAGGCGTGGAACAAAGTAAATCTTTCACAGCTGTTCGTTGCGCGTCTCCGTATCTCTCTCCCGTCCCGTCTCGCCTATGAATTGGTTGGATGCAATCAAATGAAAATCACTTGGTACTAGGGAAGGACAAGAACCTAAGGCAATGTTGGTTCGGAAAAATCCCAAGTCCAAAGTCCAGACAGTTAACTGACTACCATGTGAAATCGATATAACAAGTTCAGGGGAAAGGAACCATCAACAAACGTAGAAAGGAAAACAAGGATTGAAGCATTCGACACCCTCCCCCCTCAGCCTTCTTCGTCTGGATGTTTTTCCCTTCTTTCCATCAGTTCTAAAATTATACCGAATTGGTGCTTAGCCTTTTTCTTTAGGGACTGGACTCTTTTCCTGGCAGGCCATCGGCCATTCCCCCTCCACTTTACGGCCCCTCTCTTACTTTCATTCTCTCCGGCTTACACGCTCTTACGCTCTTCGCTTTACGCTTCCCTCTCACCACGACTTGACTAGTCCACCATTCCCAACCATCTTTCTCTTGTCATCCTCTCTCATTCCCGATCCTTTCATTACCCCCCCCCGTCGTCCACTCACCCCAAACTAAATTACCCAGAGATGGGCTTTTCCTGATAAGGGCAGTGCGCTGACCACTCAGCATTTCCCGTCTCTTCTGATCTTCCTCTTCCCCCCGGATTATTCTCACTCTTCCACACATCCTCCCTGAATCCTGAGAGGCCCTGACCAACCTCGTCTCAATCAGCTCCTTCTAGAATGATGAGCGACGGGGAAGATCATCAGCTGGACCTGTGAAATTATATAATTAAATTCGCGCGCGCGATGGACGCCAAGAATTCCCTTCATTATCAGCCAACGGCGCGCTCTCTGGTTACCGACCACGAGCAGGTCCTGCCCCTGCTGGGTAAATCACCTGCGTGGACGACACCGAACGCTGTTCATCCAGTGGCTATTAATAACCATCCATATCATCCTCATCATCAATATACCTATCCGATCGCAGCGCCTATTTCTGGCCCTGTACCGGGTCCCGCGCCCCCGCTGCCACCATCCCCGATTTCCTCACTCCCACCGCAGCAACAACAACTACAACAACCGCCACCATTAACACAACCCCCCGCGCCAGTCCATAATGGCGCGCAACCGTCCACAACCGCAGACTCGAATCGACAGGATGCAAACAAGAACGGGGTGACCAAGCCCCGCAAAGCGCGCAAGACCAACAATGCCGCTGGGGGCAAATCGACGCTGTTCTGGGTCCATACCGACCCCAAATCCGTGTCCGAAGGAACAAGGGAAGAGACCCTCAAGCGCATTCGTTCCCATGTGATGTCCGAGCATAATCGCAAGAAGCGACTAGAAAACACTAAGCGATACAAGAGCAAGACCTGGAAACATTTGGCTTTTCAACCGGTCGAGACAACAGCCTCTAGCTCGGCAGCAGCAGCGGCTTCGGCTTCTCCCACAAACCCATCTCCTAAAAAGACCGTCACCGAATCCTCCTTTGGAGCTCGGATCACCTCCGATTCGCCGTCACCGTCATCTTCGTCCTCGGGTTCGTCGTCCCCCGAACAACGACATCGAGAAGAACCGCAGAATGCGTTGGTGGTCACGGAGGCGAGCAGTTACCCGGTTGTTTCGGCGGCAGCCGCGACCAGTTACACCATCGACGCACCGGCGTCTAATGAACTATCGCCTGTGCAGGTGGCATCTCCGTGGGTTCTGGTGGGTCAGGGGGGCAGTGACCCTTTCAATACCTCGCATACGGTGCTTTCGGACCGTATGTCGCGGCATCTTCATCACTGTAGGTCTTGTTGATCCATGATATGGTGTATGTGAAATTAATGTTAGCATTGCAGTCTTCGAATTGACGCAGATCTCATATCCGCTGCAACGCCGGTACGGACCTAAATTGAGGGCCCACTGGGCTGCGTTGGTCCAACAGGACCCGGCTTCGTTGCATGCTTGTATATGTGTTGCAGCGTCCAATTCTGCTTTAGCCGCAGGGGAGCTGCCATTGACTGACCCGAACAAGCGGCGGTCCAGTGCGCTGCTTCTCGACACCTTCCACCACCGAGGCGAAACAATTCGACTGGTTAATGAAGGTCTTTCTGACCCGATCAAGGCATCAAGTGACGAGCTGATAGCCGCAGTATCTATCCTTCTAACCATTGAAGTATGTACACTCCTTAAATCTCATGCAAGCCGACACTAACAAGCTAGATTGCTTCCGGTAACCCTGATTATCTGAAGGTTCATCTTGCCGGGTTGCGGCAGATGGTTGGTATGCGGAACACCTTTGCAGATGTGCCTCCCGATGTTCGATTCCAGATTTCATGGTCAGCACTACTCCATCGCTGCTTCTTCTTCTTGCAGGCATACTAACATGAAATAGGACGGATATTCGAGTCGCATGCATGGCTTCTACTAAGCCAATATTCCCTTTCATTCGTTACGCCCGTCCTTTACATTTGGCGCTCAGACCCCCCCATAAAGATCTTGAGCCTACCGCTTCTCGCCTGGTACAACTAATGGAGATACCCGGCATCTTCGGCGACGCTTTGCCTAAAACGATATTGGACTTAGTTGAGCTGACCTGGTACAGCGAATGGATCAAGAGTGGGCCAAGCTACCAAGACTTCGACGAGGAGACCGAGGACTATTTCAATACCGAAGTTCTCCAGGTCGAATACGCCCTCCATACGGATCGATTCACGTCTACCGGTGAAGTCAAGGGCGATGCCACCATCGAAGGCTGCATCCGGCTGGCTTGTCTCCTGTTCCACAATAACGTGATCTGGAATTTCTACCCGGCTGTTGCACCCGTCTTTCCTAAACCGATTATTAATCTTCGATTGGCATTGGAGACGACCATGGGGGCCGGATATTTCGAGCTGTGTCGAGACGTGCTGATCTGGATCCTGTTCATTGGAGCCACTAGCTCCGGGCTGCTACCGGATCGGGCCTTCTTTGTGAACGAGCTGATCGCAGCGCTGAGGCAAGAAGGGATCCAATCATGGCAGGAGCTCCGTGCCCTTCTGTTTGGATTTTTCTACGTGGACCGGTGCTATCTCACCCCATTACGGGACTTGTGGGATGAGATCCAGACGGTCCCGGTCGTATCACCGGAGTGTATATAAAGGGCCTCAAATGGGCTTTCATACTTCTATCTATATATAGGGGCTTCACAGCATGTTGTTTCATATGCGCATGTTTTATGTATGATATACTAATGAGATGAGACATGGTATATATGATTCAGGATAGTTTGTTATTGGGTTTTGCCATACCCCCTATGATAATGTGATCTAATTTACCGAATCATACCACCCACCCATGTCTACTATTGATGCAACCCAGATTATTGGCAGTGAAACCAGCCAAGAACCGACTCTCAATCAGCAGCGCCGAGCTAAACACCTGCAGAACCCAGCCCCAACTACACCGGTAAAATCCCTCACCACGTTTTGATTTCTACTTGACTGAGTCATCCACCCAATCTTCAGGCTCACAATGACCTCAAAAACGAAGCACGAGCGAGAAGAGGAAGGAGAGGGGAATTCAAACCCTCACTCCTAAATCCTTTCCTACTGCACATACGTAGGAAACTAAATAGAGAAAACGCGCATTCCACCCTCACCCTCCCTCCCTCCCTCTCTCATCTCCGACAAAACCCGACAACCCAAGTTGTAGACGGTGTTCCGCCCCGAGAAAAAAAAAAGGGTCGGACGCCTAGATCGGAAACGCGGACTTGGTGTGGTCTAGTTGCATTCATATCTCGGCAGCCCAGCCCTTGTCCGTCATAAAACTACTCCGATTTTCCTCCGCCCGACCGAATCCCGCCCGATCCCCGACTTTGCACCGACTTCTGTTTAGGCCCTCGAGTGCAGTGGGAATTTATTTAGTTACCTTGATAGCCTATGTCTGCCGCGCTCTGTCGCTGTCTGACTCTTTTCACTCTTGCGCCCTGTTCTGTTCTCTCGGAGTTTTGTGGTTGCTTTCCCCCCACCCCACCCCCTCTTGTTTACTACTTTGTTGCTGGTGCTTAGCTCCATGTGAAGACGGGCGTGAGGGGAAAGTGAATCGAATACTTAAGCTACTGGCATCGCACCGCATAGCATAGCATGGCATGGCATGGTCTGGATCGTGGTGGACTAACTACTAACTTACACACCCCTATTGCTCATCTTGTCATTTATTTGCCTTTGCCATACTAACTACAGAACATACCCTACCTACCTGTCTATCTCTCATTATAGAAGAGGTATGGGCGGTGTCGATTGATTGATTGACCAATTAATTGACTGAGTAGTTCCACTTATCGATTTGTTGTTGCGCCTGTGCTTTGGGCACTTCGCTCTCATCTAGAGATGGGACACCGCTTGAACAAAGCACTGCTTGGTGGGTAACAAAGGCTATGCTAAGCTTCCGTCTCGGAGCTTGGGGATCGACCGAGTTGCTTCCCTTTGGGGGACCACCTGTCACTACCTTAACCCGCCGCTAACCCTGCAACAGAAGGCCGGGACTCGACTACTGCCGGTATCCTGTGACGGTTGAGTGCTCACCACAAACCGTGTATGGCCTTGTTGAGGATTGTCGGACTGCGCTTTCAACAAGGGCAATGGCAGCAACTTTCGACTTGCGCGGCATGTCATTGACTGTCACTATGCAGAAGTTGACATGGTTGCAGCATGCAGGTATATCTAGGTAGGTCATACACATGGAAAATCATCCATGCTAACGAGCACTTTCATAATAGTCATTCGAATCCTTCATTGAGCAACTGTGCATAGAAAGACAAAACTCCAAATCATCGTCCACGACAGCGGACTGCCTCATTATTACCCGATCGGTTATTTCCATATCCAGTTGGAATCAACAACAACCAAAACAAAAAACGATTAATGTACCGGACAACAACCCCGTGCGACGGTCTATGACTCGAACCAATCTCACAACAGGAGGTCCTACATGAATGGGTATCAGAATTATAACAATGGCATGTTCACATCCGAACATAGCGAGGCCGCTCTTAAGGCCTGGAACTATACGACTGCTGCAACACCCACCCCTCAGACAGTCTCGCGAGCAGTCTTCTGGCGAGAACGAGCGGTCGGAGACCAGGGAAAGTGGGCAACAGGGATGATGAAGAAGCTGTTACTGCTGTCGGCAATACCGGCCAAGGCGTTGTACCAAGCAGCGAAAGCAGCCAAGAAGCCGAAGAAGCCACCAGCCTTAATGATAGGGGTGTTGACTTCGTCGCTCACGTTGCGTTGCAGGTATCCAATACCAAGGAGCAAGAAGGTCAAGTCCAGGAAAAAGAACAGCAGGAAGAAGGCAACAGTGGAGCGCAGAGTGCAGAAGAGCATAATGGTGGTGAAGATGAACCAGCCCTGTGAATCGCAGTCAGCACAACGCCCGATGGTTGCGGCAGTCTTCGCGAAAACTTACCATCAGGAATAGACCCATCGAGTTATAGAACGCCTCGATACCGCCGGCTGTCTTCAGCGCTCCCTCAATGTCGAATCCACCGGGAGTCAAGACGATCGCGAAGGAGATCCAGAATCCACCATAAGAGGACAAAGCAGTGGCACCAAAAGTGTTTCCGACAGCCATTTCCCTACGTATCATGTGAGTCAAGACGATCATCGAGACGACGAAGAAACAGAGAATTGCAACATACCACATGCCGGCAAGCAGCTGAACGAGACCACCGTATCCGAAAGCCAGACCAACCACAATGTTAGGTGCAGAGATACCACGAGTTCCCATGTTGATGGCGCTCAGGACGAAAGTGGTGAGGGCGAAAGCGCAAAGACCCAGGGGAGCTGGGTTGGCGAACTTGCGACCTTCGACCGACTTGTAAAGACCAGGCTGGAACTCTCCTCCGAAGGGACGCAGGTTGGCTTCGGCGGTGTTGACATGAGCCATCGGACCATATCCGAAGCGCGCCGCGGCTCTGGCAGTTTCCTCCTCCGACATCTCGTGCCTCATGGGAGCAGCTCCATTGCTCTCGGCCTCAGTACCGATCTCCTTCTCAAGAGTAGGGTGTTGCTCGATCGACATATTGACCGATTGAACCAGAATCTATGGTTTATACAGATGCAAAAGGGGGTATCAATTGATCTCAAGCGAAGAGAATCAAATAATAGCTCAGCTAGCTGAGAGGTGGAGGAAGATTATTATAAACGAAACAGCGGAGGGGAGAGGATGCAAGAAATATATGGAGCACAGCACTGCTGGGCAGGTGAACAGGAAATCTCTTGAAAGGACGGGACCGTGCAAGAGAGGAAGAGGAATAAATAACAGCAGTGGGAGGGGAAGGGAGAGGATGAGAGGGGGAGAGGCGAAATAAGAATGGCCTCGGGGAACGAGACCTGGTGCTTGGATGGACGGACGGGCGAGACACCACGGACGAGCGAAGGTTGCAGGGGAGGAGCCAAGGAGAGGAAGGACCGTTCGTTAGCAAAGTTTAGTTTGGGTAAGTGGACTCTTTTCTTTTTGGTGATGATATTTTCTTCTATTTGATTATTTTTCTTTTTATTTTTTTTTTCCGGACACATGGGGAAGAGACTCGAAGGGGGAACAAACCCAATTTTCTTGGGGGTTTCACCGTTGATTTTTTGGCAGTGTGTGACTGATTATTATTACGGTAGTATTATTACTACAACAAGTCAACGACCCCATCATGCTTTGCTCGTGATGGAAGGCCGGGGTGGAGCGAGCCAAATTAGTGTCGGTCTTCTAAAACGATGTGCAGGAATCCACCTGACGGGAGTGGCCCGTATGTGTCGCTTTTTCCAAACTGACTGACTCTAGAAGCTGCTGCCGCTGCTGCTGACCAAGAGGGGTCCTGCACTTACTCACTCATCAATTTGAAGAAATGATGATCCTACCAGTCAATCCGCATTTCCCCAACTACTGGAAAGCACTGCAGCCAGAGAACAGCAAGCGGGGACTGGGGATCCGGGGTGGAAACGCTGGATCATCTCAACAGAATCAAATGCAGGGCCGGGATGAAGGGAAATTTTGCTTCCATTCGTCCAGGCTGCGAGAGTAGCCCAAAAAAGGTTGGAAGGGGTTTTCCCAACCGTACAGCTCTAATACCGATTGACTTTTCATGCCCGGGGAAACCAGAGCGTGGTGGAGCCCTAAGGAGCGCCCGAGGTCTGGGGACTGCACCAATGAGCACCCGTATAGGCGAGACACTTGCATTACCATTGGCAGACAACCTTCTCCCCGCCGAATGACATGGGGATGACATGGCTAGTATTGTACTGTAACGGATTAACGGACACACCGGAGATATCTCCAGCGCCAGTGGCATGCCACTCATTCTGCCCTTCTGCCCTTCCCATGGGTGGTTTGCTTTGCCGCACAGGAGCCAGCCCATGGGGTTCCCAGATTCCCGCTCGATGCGGAATGCGGAGTGCTTATGAATCCCTCATCTATGATCAGGACACAATTAGCGGCCCATTCATTGTGATTGCCCTCAAAATTCAGGCACCTTTGGGATGTTATCCATTCACCAATTTACGCTTCAATCTACTACTGCTACTAGCCTACTACCATACTACGTTAGACTCCGATGGCGGCTAGGACCCTGGAAAGAAACTACTCGTACTTACGCACGCAACTCACTTAGTTAAGTAAGTAAGTAACTAACTAACTAACTAACTAACCAACTAATCAATTAATCTACCTTCCTTCCTAAGGTATTCTCCAAAGAGCTGCGCTACATAGCTAGACCGTGCTGAGTGCTCTGATGTTCCATTTGTGTTCCCGCACTGGCATGGTACCAGATTACAAACGTCCCTTGGGTCTTCGGATGGGGCTGATGGCTTCCCATGGCACATCCAGATCAAGGTACCAACCAGGTTACTTCACTGACCTTTTGTCCATATTTGCGACGGTGGCGGCAGGGTCCGGACCAGACTTCTTACCTAGTAGTTTCCTCCTCTCATTCCCCTTCCGTCCGAGACCGACAGGAAGCTCGTAACCGTGCACTGGGAAGCGATTGTCTCCGACACAATCGTCTGCCACCAGATGTGCCGAACTCTCCAGTCGCCGTACCTGCGCTTGACCCAGTCCGGCCTCCAACAGGCTAAATGCTGGCTAATGCGGCTAATTGGAGCCTGCCATGGACGACGATGGCGAGAGGAGAGGGTGGAACCCGCCGCGGCCCTGCATGTCTGCAACTGCGACGGGGACCTTTTCTTTTTCCCCTCGGTGGCTTTAACTGCTACCGTCCTAGCCAGTCAGTCACTGGCAGACTGCTAAACTGTAACCAGCATTCCGCGCCTTAGAACTGGTGGATCGGCTCCCCGAGAAGCCTGATACTTTCCGAGTCTCGAGACCGAAAGGCTTGGTTTGGGGATAGACTATGGAAGGATGGGGTGGCCACCGGCCTCGATCAGATTTAATGTATGCACTTCGGTGCATAGGGGATGGCGGGCTTAGCTTAATCATCCTTTTGCTCTCACTAACTGTGGTTCCTGGGGGGTTAGTTTGTATCTTGTGTCATTGCCAACCGCACTTGCCGGTTAAATTGCACAGTCCCGGCTACTACTACAGTATGAGGATTTTATAATGTCGGATCGTCTCTGGCACCTGTCGCAAAGAGTCGATCCGTTCGGGCGAGCCTGCTAACTTATTTGACTAATCAAACAAGGCCAAAGTTTGTTTTCTTAGTTGACAAAAACAACCACGATCAGCATCAACCTAAGAGGCTTAGTAGCAGCTTTAGAATGAAAGCTTTAGGCCTGAGGTCTCACTATCGGCTCCAGATGGGAGATTCCCCGTGAGGCTAAGACAAACACACTTGAAGGAAATCTGGATCCATCGGATAGTTTTTATGCGGTTGTTCCACTAACAATAGGTAGACGGCCGTGGCGAGCCGTCTAGGATTTTTAGTACTCCATGAATCTACTTACTTAGTAGTACTTTCACACAGCGCTCTCCAATCACGAAAACGAGATAGACTTTGCGACTTGAGTGAGAGAAAGAAAGACTGTGTGTGTTCGTTTCCGTCGAGTGGTCGAAAGAAGGATCCATTTCTCCACTTGGACTCGGCGACCGTTTCTGCCGCCTCGTCGATTTTTTTCCCTTTCGCACGCGGCGGCGCGGGTTCGGCGGGTTCATCGTGGCCGGCCTACAAGCGCACCACCACCAAACGCCAGCTCATCAAATTTGATTACTACGGACAATTATCTACCTATCCGGCAGGCGGCAGGCGGCAGTCGCAAGCCTGGTTATATATCGCCCACCCCCTTTTCCCTATCCCTTCATTTTAGATGGCACTGGACGTCGTAGGTACTAGGAACAAGCTCAGACAGGCCCGCTTGTCTGATCTCAATCCTACCACAGGCCACAGCTTTCTTTTTTGCGCTTGTTCAACGGTCAACATCAAGCTCAATCACCGAGTAGTGGTAGTGTGGTGGTGGCTCAGTGCACGTGCACTGGCAGTCTCCTTTCGCTAGTATTCGCCCACTGCGGAAAAGATGATCACCGAGCCATCCACCAACAAATCAATGTTAAACAATCCAATAGTTTGCAGATTGTCTCTCACTGTCAGCTGTCAAAAAAGAAAGAGCAAGACCATACACCACACAAATTACACATACAAATACAAGATCAACCTTACTAAGGAAAGGGAATTAAGAGCATCTCGCGCCCTAATTTATCGCCTAAAAAGTTACCATATATCATGACTATTTGGTAATTTAGCAAAGCAAAGCAAAGCAAGCAAGTTTGCGCGTTCTTTCTTTCCAACCCCCCATTCTTTGGCTTCCCGGAGTACGGGCCCTCGGTTCTTCCCAGAACCAACCAGTTGTCAGCCTCGTGTGTGTCAGGTCAGTTCGAACGGATGCATTTCAGCGTACATATTTGGCGGCGGAGCTGGCATTGACATTAATTTATTATCGGTGCGAATTAAGCTAAGTCATTCCCTCGCTGCTGCCCCTTCGCTCGCTTGCGAACCTTATTATAGGAACAACAGGTAAGCTCCCCTCATCCCTTGACACAAATACCCAGCAGTGCGTGAGCACAAGGTAAAAGACAAAAAATTCGAGCTCTCAAACCACCTCACCTCACCATCCCAAAAAACGAACCCTTCTAGACTCCCCTTAGCTCCTTGGTAGACCGGATTGTACCTGGTACCTCCCACCATCTCAATCCCCTGCAGTACGCCACGAAGTCACTAGTATTTAGTACTGTGCCATCAACAAATTAGTTAGTTAGATAACCAGAGTGAAAAAAAAAAGAGAGTGCCCAAAGTCGGCTCCGACTCCGGAAAAGGACCACATCTCGTTGGTGCACACCCACTCGGGTATTTCTCCGCTCTAGATCGTGGACGACGCTGCAGCCAAGAATTTTGGACCTGTTTAGTGGCTAGATGTTTTTATTAGGTAGGTATTAAGTAGGATCTGAGCGAGGGTGAGTGTGGTTTTTGGTTTCTCAACAATCTTAGATAATAAAAGGGTCTGGTGTGGGCAGGTCTCGGCTGCAGTTTTTCTTCTGGACTATACCTCGTAGCTTTTGTATTGTAGATGTGTGTTTTTTTTTTGTGGGTTCAGTTGTAGTGGTGATAGTGATTTGAGCTACGAGTGTCCCGTGCGGGGGGGAGTCGGTTGCTCTAAACGGAGCTCCAGCTGGAGCTGAAGCTGGAGGTCGGAGCTCTCCGCTGGACTTTTCAAGGAAGGCGCAAGGATGCAGTGCAAGCTTGCTGGCTCACAGAAGCTATAATTACTTCCCGTGTGGTGGTCGCTACGGTACGTGCAAATATATGCTAATATCCACGAGCAGGGTTCTTACTCCTGCGGCAGTCAGTAGTGGTCGACTCTGTCTCGGATTTGATTAAAGGGGTACGTGTTATTGATCAGCAATTTTCTAGCTCGGATGAGGATTTTTAGATTATACGTGTATGAGAAGGGGATAGGGCAATTGGACCGTGAACTGAGACTATGGTAGTGTGTAGCGCTGATTGCGCTGGACTGTGTCTATATTGGACTCTGGCTACTGTCAACTGGACAGCCCTTGACTGTTTATACGACTATACTATGTAGTAGTACATTGAATTTAAGATTTTGAACTCATCAGTGCAAAGCAACGATAGTATACTGACCTAGTCTCACGCAAGGAGCCCATTATCCGAGACAACGTCCTATACAAATCACCGGCCAAAGTAAGCACCCTCTCTATCCCTTACATCCCAATAATGTATAGCCTAGAACCGCCTCCAATCCAAGATGTGCACAGAAACAGTCAGTCACTACCGTATACAGATTAGAAGTTTAACCCACGATCTTCAATTTACTGAATTCCCCAATAACCCCAAGAACGGGGTGATTTACCCCGCAATGCGGAGTATGCCTACCCTACGGTACTGACTGACGAGGTGGAGTAAGCACTACACAATACGCACGATACGCTCCGCCGACACACCACGTGAGAATGTCCATATACGGGTCTCTCTTTGGGATTTGGGGTAATGCCGACGGGTCACAGCTTCCATTTCACTCATGCCTCCTCAAGGAAGTGCAGATGGGGCCGATGGGATGCCGCGGGAGCCGTGCGGCTTGGACGAATCCATCTCTGTACTCCGTACAGGATTGGAAATTGGGAGTAGATGGACAAGAACCGGAGCGCGTCAACGAGATGATCTTTTCTTTGCTGATAGTCTTGAGGGACGACTGTGATGGATATGCCCATATACCTGTCTAGGAAGGATATGAGGTCCAAATCTGTGGAAATCGTCGGCAATGTTCGTAGATCTTTGGCTGTCAGGATTGTCAACAGGTGAGGACGTTCATTACTAATGCAGATCCTCCTTCGTCAGAGTCCTTGCGCTGCGGTGACGGGATCCGCTTACGCGGTTCGTTGACTGGGTCGTCGTGGTTTGATCGGATACATCATAGAGTCGGGGACTAACTACTCGTAATATCTGAGAAACAGGTCACGGGGTGATGGGTGATCGACGCCGGGGAGGAAGAGGGCAGAGCCCCAAAAAAAACAATAATGAAGAAAACGTGTTCTTCCAATCTGATAGCTGATAGCTGAGCTGTGCGGTTGAACTCGAAGTGTGTCTGGCGCATTGTACAGACTAATCAGTACTAGCCCACATCTAGTCAACTGATTGAGTTTCCCGCAGCCGAGGGAGCGAACTAGTGAACTTGATTCAGATCTCGTACGGATCTACTCGGAAGAAGGAAAACGCCTGACTCTCCGCGCATTACCCAATAACTTGGGTATATGGTACGATACTCGCTTGTCAAGGCTTTGTTCCATGTGTCCGGTTCCCCATCAACCTGATACGGACTAAAACCCGGTATTTTGGGAAGACCTGGGGTTCTGGGGGCTTGGGCTGGGGCTGGGGGGGATTCTACCCCGCCATGAGGGAAGCTGGGCGTAGGCATCCATGGGTTCGATGGGGACAAATTGGTGTTCCAGATGACAAATGGGCGCTTGGGAACAGTCATCTTATCCTCGGGTCGGCGGAGCGGAGATAAAACCAGAGCTTTCCCTCGGGCTTGGAAATCTGGCTTGTTCTTTTTTTTTCCATTGTTGCTTGGGCTCTCTCGTTATGGAGGCATGGACAACGAATGGAACGTAGGCCAAGACTGGAGAGGAATCATGCTGGGATCCACTATCTCCGGGCATGAGCGAAAACCTTCTTTCCCGTATTTTTTCCCTTCGAGACTTTGCCACACTTGATTAATCAACACCAAGTGCTTCCCAGCCAGAGACAAGGTTTCCGACGGGTGCCTTGCATGGTGCAATGTGAGTGGCTGGAGATGTGGTTCCAGAAGTTCTGGCGATGGCCTTCAGTTCAATAGTGCCCGCGCCAAAAGCCATTGTACCCAGATAACAAATTTTGCTTGGATCTTAGGTTTAGGGCCCGCTTGAAGTCCACCGAGCGATGATGCAATCGTGGACTGGGTCGAAGGTCGCCTAATCTCATCATTTCCTCGCTGATGGGATGAATGGGCTTCAATGTGTTCTCATTTTTTGGACTGGAAGTTCTCTTGGTGGGGGTACTTCCTCATACAGACAATGGGAAGCGTATATCACATCACCGACATCGGTTGGTTCTGAAAACCGGATGGTGGCGGACAATGAGAGAACAAAGACCGCGGCCGGTCCACTAAAGAGAGCAACCATATCGGAGCAAAGAATCTTGCTGTAGAAAATGCTCGCGGTTTGCATGAAACTCCGCAGAACCCCATAGTTCATGCAGCAACTCGGTAGTCATTGGCGTACTACTGCGATAGTAGCATGCATCGGCAATATGGTTTGCGCCTTAGCCAGCCCATGTGCTTTGTAGATCCTCGCCTCTCGTCCACCTTCCCACGCGTGATGGGGTGATAGTGCCATCGCGCGAGCTTACTGCTGGATTCCCAAGCCGTCATTCGCGATGATCGCCGGTGGTTGCTGTGGTGGTGGGGTGGAAGATCTACAGTATACGGAAGAAGCGGTCTGGCGGAGTTTGCTGGATCTGCCGAAAGAATAGTGTCGACTGAGATCAAACTCGCACGCATTGACTCTATCTCTCGATAGTTCGTGAGCGAAGGATGGTACTACTGGCTTATCGACTATGTTGATGCTCAACGAAAGTGTTGTGAGGTTGATGTCTTGGGCGTCGCACAAGCTTATTACCAAGAATGCAAGGTATTACCTGCCCTTACCTGCTTGAGACGCTTGGCCTAGCATAGTCAGTCATGTGCTTGTTGCATGTATGCACATCACGGGCATTAAAGGCAATTCGCGGTTTATCATCAGCCACTGGACTCGTTGTCACACCAGCCACCAACTCGTTGATTCCATGCCAAAAGCAGCCAGTCATCTTCTTGGATTGTATTCTTGTCGCTTTCTGTAGGCTTGATGTTCACTCGCAGTCGTATCAATGTCGATTTCGTGGAGAGATCTTTTCGGTCAAGACCGGCAAATCATTCAGACTCGGGTCTAATCGTACGAGCATCAGCTGTCCGGATTTTGTCCTTCAATGTCGCATGAGGGACACTTAACCATATTTATCAAGACGCTGGCGTCATGATGGCCATCACTGATAACAAACAAGACGCTATGCACTACTGCAGCACGGCATAGCCCCTCGTGCGGGGTTGATAAGTGACTTCTGCTCTTGATATGTCGCGAAGACATCTGAACATGTCAGCCTCCTACTTCAGGACTAGTCAGCGAGACAACGCAACTGTCCGCACATATCTCGCTTTTTCAATCTCTGCTAATCATGATCTGTTTTTACCTCAAGAAGCAGGTGCCTGAGAATCACTTGTTCAACAATGGGAATTATCTATGCCAGCTTGGCACCTCTCAACAGCTAGAATGTGCTGCATACTTGTGTCTGCTATCAGAGATACGGTTCCAGGATGAAAGATGGTGTAGAATGTTGAGCTATGCGTGTTATCAGTATTGGTCTGATACGACCGTACGGTTGAGGATGACAGACTACTATGAATGGTAACGAGATTAGCCCTCAAATCATGACAATTGAGATCCTGCAGTACATTCAGAGCACCGGCGCCTCTAAGGATGGGAGACCTTGCACTCGATTAAAAGAAGTCCATCGTCAATACGACTAAAGATGGCAGCCATTTACCCTCCCGTCAAGGCGATGCAGCGTTGGAGTACCTCTAGACTGGAGACGTGACCACATTCTCCGAGGTAGAAGAGAAACAGCTTGTTTCGAAAACCGATCGCATGATCGTGCCTCTGGTTTGGGCGATCTACTTCCTACAGTACCAAGATAAGATCCTAAGTCAGCATACCCATGGAATGTCATCGCTGTATCTAACTGAATAGCCCGTCAACTATGCATCAGTGATGTGTCTACTTGATGACACCGGGATGCGCACTGATCAGTTCTCCAATCTGGCGCTGGCATTCTACGTCTCAATTTTTTTGGAACTTCCTACAGGCTACCTGATGCAGCGTCTCGCGACTGCAAAGTACCTAGGGCTGAACGGTAAGTAACGACGTATGGGGAGTGTGAACGGTGCTGACAAGTCCAGTCACTCTTTTGAAGGGACTCTTGACTAACTACTTCAAACTTTGTCGCGAGAAATTTCGCCGGGCTTGTTGTCCTTCGAGTTCTGCTAGGATGCTTCGAGACCGCTGTCGTGCCTGCGCAAGACCCCCATCAACTCGAGAACTCACCAGACTGGCCATGCTAGTTTGATTTTGACCACGTCCATGTGGTATCGACGCGATGGTAGGGACCCATCCACTACGCTGCCTAGATCTGCTAACCCAGGCCAGAACAACCAAAGCGTATAGGTCTGTGGTACCTAGGAACCGGTACAGCAACCATTGTCGGCGCGCTCGTCGCGTACGGTCTGCTCTTCTACACAGCCGATAAGTTCTACTCATGGCAGATAATGTTCCTCATCTTTGGGCTGGTGACTATCGCCGTCGGGGTCACCGTGATTGCCATTTTCCTGGACAACTCCATGACCTCTCGACTCAATCACGAGGAGAATATCATCGTCATCGAGCGCCTCCGCGCGAACCGTATCGGCATCGAGAACAAGCAGTTCAAATGGGCCCAGTCCGTCGAGGTTTTCAGCGACCGGCAGGCGTACCTGATCGCCATCATTGTCGCGGCGAGCAACATCAGCAACGCCGCGATCAGCAGCTTCTCGGCGCTGATTATCAAGAACCTCGGGTTCACCACCCGTGGTCAGCGTGGTCAGCATCCTAGCGGGCACCCACCTGGCGGCCCGCTTCGACCAGCGCTGTCTCTGCGTCATTGGGATCCTGAGCTGTGGCCCCCGCGGAGGCTGTCTGATGGCCTTCGCACCGAGCGACAACAAGGGTGCCAAACTTGCGGGCAATTCCCTGAAGAACTGCGTCGGGTCCGCTCTTCCGTTGATGTACTCCATCGCCGGGGCCAACGTGGCCGGACACACGAAGAAGGTAACGATGAACGCCATCGTACTCATGTCGTTCTGCCTGGGAAATATCCTGGGCCCACTGTCGTTCCGCACGCAGGACGAGCCGCAGTACATGCCGGCCAAGGTCGCGATTGTGGCTACCGTCTCGGTGGCGATCCTGTTCACTGTGCTTCTCAAATGCTACTACATGTATGAGAACCGGCGGCGAGAGCGTAACGGGCTGGGTGCACAGCACCAGGAAAATTCCGAGTTTCTGAATCTTACAGATAGGGAGAATCTTGATTTCAGAGTAATTCGATTGTTTGCCTGATACCGGGCGAGTGGATTGTCGCTAACGTTCAGCAGTACAAGCATCAATCTAGTCGAAATGCTGGAGGTCAATGAAATGTTCTAGTATATCACATTAGGCGATAAGAAAATCTATCAGATCTATCAGATCTATGCAATGCAATCATCCCAACGCCCGAGCCAATTACCCGCTATATACAATAAACAACACAGAAAAGCGCTCCAATTCTTGAATTTCAAGAGGACTGCTTAAGCAGCAACCTTGACGACATCGGAAGCCTTGAACTCCTCGCTGTAGTCATAGTCGATGTAACCCTTGGGATCCTTGGGAAGGTAGAAGACATCGCGCTCATAAGGCTTGAGGGGGATACCGCGCTGGACCTTGAAGGGCAGCTCAGGGTTCGCGGTCCAGGGGCGACCAATGCCGACGATGACATCGTAGTCCTTGTAGTCGACATCAACGGCCGTCTTGGCAGAGTCGGCCGTGAAGCCACCGGCAGTGATGATGGGGCCGGCATGGCCATAGGCCTTGACAAAGAAGTCGAGGCTATCCTCGTTACCGCACTCGCCCTCAGTGTTACCCTGGATGCGCGGCTCGACGACATGGACATAGGCGAGCTTGAACTCCGCGGTCTTCTCCGCGAGGTAGCGGAACTGGGGCAGGGGGTCCTTCATGCGCATGCCCTGGAAGGTGCTGAAGGGCGAGTAGCGGATCGCGGTGCGGTCAGCGCCGACAGCGTCGACAACGGCCTTGATCGTCTCGAGGGCGAAGCGGGCGCGGTTCTCAACGCTACCGCCCCAGGCATCGGTGCGCTGGTTGGAGTTATCCTGGATGAACTGGTCGATCAGGTAGCCGTTGGCGCCGTGGATCTCGACGCCGTCGAAGCCGGCCGCGATGGCGTTGCGCGCCGCCTGCGCGTAGTCGCCGATGAAGCCCTGGATCTCCGTCTCGCTCAGCGCCCGCGGCACCGGCCCGTCCGCCGCCGCGGGGATCGCGCTCGCCGACACCAGGTCAAACCCGCCCTCTTCCTTCAGGACGGAAGGGTCCGCCACCCGCCCCAGCCCCCACAGCTGCATGTAGATGTACGACTTCTTCGCGTGCACCGCGTCCGTCACCTTGCGCCATTGCGCAATCTGCGCCTCGTTCCAGATCCCCGGCACGTTACGGTACCCTCCTGCCCGCGGAGACACCAGCGTCGCTTCCGTGATCAGCAGCGTGCCCGGCACCGCTGCCCGCTGCGCGTAGTGCTCCGTCACGATGTCCAAAGGCACGTGGGCGTCGTCCACGCGGAAGCGTGTCATCGGTGCCATCGCCAGTCGGTGGGACAGGTTCATCTTGCCCACGTTGAGGGGGGTGAAGAGTTTCGTGGTGGTGGACATTGTGGTGTGTGGTGTGGCGTGTTTGTGGTGTATGTGAAGTGTGGTTGTCGAGGAGAAGGACGAGAACGGTGGAGGTTGTATACTGCGCTTCAGCAACAGTAGCAATTAAAGAGTATATTAAAGCAAGTAATCTTGTCTGAGTGAATGAGATCAGAGGACGAAGACACACTCCCCCTTATATACACCACCTCATTCAAAGGATGTGGACTCTTCCATGGTAACCAGAGACGTAGGTGGGGAGAGTCCCACATGTTGATTTCCAAGCAATATGGGTCCTCTTTCCCCCTTTGACCTTGATGTTGCCCGTCTCGGGGTAGAACCTTCTATTAAAACGCATTCTGCCGAGTCGGGCGCGATTAGTAAACCGGATTTATTCTGTTGCATTAGCCATCGCTCTTTTGTGTAATGTTGTTGTTGAGATATGTGTGAAGTAAAAGTAGACGGTTCCTTGCATCCTGCCAGGAATACTCTGTAAGTAGCTTAGCCCTTTAATTGCCGTCTTACATGTCCCCCTGCAGGTTTGCAACGGTTCACGGGAAGGGGGAATAAGCATTGGCCACCTCGGCCCTAACCACGCCATACCAAGACCACCCATAGTAAAATAACGTGGGTGGCGGAGAAGCTGCAGAAAGTTTCTGTGTGGGACTTCGGTTTGGGAATCTATTTTCCGGCTGACAAATGCGGACTTGGTTCGAATGCTTTCTATGAATCAAATCTTTGGGGGGAATTCTCGGGTTGCCGGGCTCAGCTTTAGCAACGGTGGTCCGAGATTGGGAGAAGAGTACGGAGTAGGTTTTGCCACTAGGCTGGTTTGCGCTTAGTGCAGCTCTCGGTAGAAATCCAGCTGCGGAAAGCGGAGATGCGGCTCAGCTCGTATTCTGCACTCTGCTATGGAGTAGACTAGTACTATGTACTGTACCACTGGGCATATCGAGACCGGACTCCAGGAGTAATAATATTGCAATTCTAGTGAAAGTTAAGGTATCCAATAGCTAGTTATGATAGTACATGGTCGTTGTTAGGTATCCATTCATCATCAAATAATCCAACGATCCCTTCCGAAATAACCCCTTAACTCCGGTCGCAGTGTTCATGTGATTGGGTATTGGATCAATAGAAAGAGCAAAACGAGCGACGATAGTGTAAAGATGCACCATTCGCATCGTAGATGGTAACACAATGAAAGAAGTCGACGCCAATGGGTGGCATCCCCAAACGAAATGTTGGGAAAGGTATGGTAAACCGAAAATACTCAACTCTCCAACCTCCGTGCCGTAGCTTCAAGCTGCGCGTTGAAGGACCGAAGTTGATGTAAGAGCCCGCCCTGGCCTCCGGGCGCGGCGGAACTGACCGTCTCCGCGACGTTGCGGAGCAGAAACTCCATCCCACCTAAATCAGTAGATGTCTCATCGGGATCAGCCGGGCGGGTCTGACTTCGCTCAAGAGCAAGGTCGAGACTGTGGAGGGAGTTGTTGATCGTGGAGCGGGCCTGCAGGGTACGGTATGTTAGCTTGGATTGCTCCACCATTTGAGTATGCGTTCGAGAGTGTCAGTATCCAGAGACTCACCTTTCTTGCGGATTCATCTTCGGCATGCTTCCTCCGCACGGCGTCCATTTGCAACGCAACGGCCTCTCTCTCCTTCCGTACTTGGTACAGCCGACTTCGATACTCCATCATTTCCCGCTTGGCTTTCCGCATCTTCACCCCAAGCATGAAATTGCCGTCCAGCATCTCACTCAACTCGAGCAGACGGCCTTCTAGCTCGCTGCCATACGCCTCGACCACTTTCTTCTTGCGCGTCCATTCAGCGCGCCGAGCGGCGTTACCCTCGCCGTCAATGCCGTTTGTCAACGTGGTGAGCGTCTTCTCCAGCGTCTCGCGGCAAATCTGGCCCAGTACGTCTGCCACGTTGACTCCGCCTCGGTTGGGAAGTTTGGCCTGTTGTCTATCAGACGGCGGATCCGCTATCTCGCCCTCCTCGTCAGAAGACTCCAGCAGTGTAGGGTCGCCACCTAGAGCAGCGACGTTCGCGAGACGGTGCACCGTAACCGGCACAGTCTCGCCGCGAGGTTGTCTGGGCTTGCGTTTACGAGGCTGTGGCTCTGCGCTGCCCTCGCCTTCCGCTGCGGCGCTGTCTACTTCCCGTGTCGCGTTAACGCCGGCGCTCTCTGCTGAGTGCCTGCCACGACCGCGTTTTCTAGATCGAGGTTCAACGGGCTCTTGTTGAGGCTCTGGTTCTGGTTCTGGTTCTGGTTCTGGCTGTGCACGCTCTGGCTCTATCAATTCAGGTTCGGGCAAAACTTCAGCTGGTTTCTGCTCTGTCAATTGAGCTCCTCTCGCCTTCCGCCCTCTGGGCTTCGGCGCTGCCTTAGCTGGTTCATGCGCTGCCGACTTCGGCTCAGGTTGTACTACCTCCGCCTCAACTGTCCTTTGTTTTCGCCCTCTAGGCTTCGATACTGCTAGTTCTGGCCCTTCCGATTGTGGCTCGGGTTGCGTGACCTCAGGCTCTGCGGTCCGTGCCCTCCGCCCTCTCAGTCTCGGTTCGGGCACGGCTGGCTCTTGCTCTACCGGCTCCGGTTCGGCTGTCTTTGCCCTTCGCCCTCTGTGCCTTGATTCAGACATTGCTGGCTCTGGCACCGTTTGTGCTGGCTCCAGCTCCGGTTCCGTTGCCTTTGCCCTCCGCCCTCTGGGCTTCGGTTTGGGGGCTGTTTCAGCCTCCGCCTCAGCCTCCGCAGGCTCCGCAGGTTCCTCCTGTTCTCGGTCTGAATGTACAGGCTCTGACTCTGTTGGCTTCTGTCTCCGTCTTCTAGGCCTCGGTTGCACCTCTGTAGGTAGGGGCTGGGCCTCCAGAGATTGCGTCTCTTGTTGACTTTGCTTTGGTTCAACTGGCTGTGGCCCAGATGCCTTTGGTCTTCGTCCTCTTGCTTTTGGTTGTGGCTCTGACTTTGCAGGCCCCTGCACCTCCTCCTGTGCCTCCTCGAGAGGAGCCGGCTCTTCCTCCTCTACCACTTCCTTGAGAGATGGCAAAACTTTTCTTCCAGGGCGACCAGCGCGCTTCGGTTTTGATTCCGCCATTTCCAAGTGTTGCGGGCGTTTTTCGCGGGCTCCCTTCTGCCCCGCAACACGCACCTCTCCCTCTTCTGGAGCGTCAAGTTCCATGCCCTGATTTTCTGACTTCTCGTCCGTGATGGGAGCGCCATCTGTCGGTTCAGAGACATCATCGATCCGGGTTCCGACCCTCTTATTCTCCTTAACTTGAGTGGGTGCGCTTTCTGCTGAGCCCGCCCTAGCCACTCGAGGTTCCTTAATCGTGGTGATAGATGGTTGAACAGATGCCGCTCGTTCACCTCGTTGTCGCTTTGTTCGCGAAGAAATAGGGAGTCTCGAAAGCTTCGTCGTAGGTTGAGGTTCGGTGTTTGTTTGGGGGTGAGTCGTATCTTGGGGATCGACAGCCGCTTGTGGCTCAATGGCCTCGGTCGGTTGAGGAACACCTGGTAGTGCAGTGTCGTTTGACGATTCGGCGGAACCCGACACAGCTGTCGTCGGGGGTTCTGTAGTTTCCGGCTGTACATCCATCGATAGATCCATTGGTTCCGCTACCTGATTGGTCGGTGCATCACCCGTCTCAGAACTGGCTGTAGTGGGCGACGACCCTTCATTCTCCTGAGATCCTTGTCTCTTGCGTTTGCCTCTAGCCTTCCTACCCGGCGGTGATGGTGTCCCGTTCGCTTTGCGTGATGCTGTTTTCGACTTCGGGGGCAGCTTCTCCGTAACGATTGACCCTAACGCATTCTCTTGAGGGAACTGCTCAGATACCAGGCCATTGGGTGCTGTATATATTGCCTCCGGCGCGGCTGGCGATGCTGATTTCTCGAGCGAGGGTTCAGGAGCCGGTTCGGGGGCAGGTTCGGGGGCAGATTCGACGACAGATTCGGCTACAATTAGTGATTCTTCAACCGTTTGGGCAGTTTCAATCGTGACGGTTCCATTGGCGAGGGAAGACGAGTCGTTATCACCGTGCGCAGCGACCGAGACCGTGGGCGAGCTCCTAGGATGATCTTGGGATAGGTCAGTATCACAAAGGTCGCGTCAGTACTCATGACCACGCACTAATTTTCCTTATCTTCCGGCTTGGGCCATCTTCCGTTGTATCTTGCGATGGGCTCTTCGACGGAGGTGGTTGAGGTTTGGATTTGTTGCGCGGGCTTTGTCGCGTCCGTTGAGCGGCTCCTTGGTCCTGGGATGTCGAAAGCTCCCCTTCTGATGGTACAGGCGGCAATGCATTCTCCGCAGCTTCGTCTGCTATTACTGGAGTCTCTGTGATTGTTGGCCGTATCGCTGTTGGCGGTTCTGGGAGCGAGACAGAAGGCCCAATAGCAATGCCAGCGTCTTCCGGTCGCGACGCGGAGTCTGAAGGTTCATCCAGCGCAGGAGCTAACCCAAACGAAAAGCCGAAGTTAATATCTTTGGTCTTACGTGATCTGTACAGAAGTATGATTTATTAGCGACTCAAATCCTGGCTCAATGCGACGCGGGGTACTTGGGTGGTGATGCGCGTACGCTGCTCCGCGCTGCCGCATTTGCAGCCGCTCCTCTCGATCTATCGAGTCATTCATTAGCTGAGAACGCGAAGAAAGCTGGCGGGAAAAAGCCATACTGATATTCATTTTAGAGAAGCGGCGTCAGGCCAAGCTCAACGCGCAATTTCAACGCGCGAGGATAGATTGGCGTGAGAAGAGAGTCCGGATTCCTCCTCTGGGGGGCGGAAGTTGGTTTGAGATGATGGGATGGACGGGCGGCAAGACAATCGTTTTCCCCAATGCGGTTTGGTGCCCGGTCGAAGAGGGCAGAGAGTCCTGCCTTTCGGGCATCTCGCGCCATTCTCCGCATCAAACTATACACTGCGAAAAGCGGCGCGCGCCATCATTATTCTCTCGCTGCTCGTCTGCTAATTTCCACGGATTACCCTCAGCGGATACAACAATCTACATCTCACATCATGGGTTGGTTCTGGGGCAGTTCAAATCAAGACGATCCCGTCAAAAAGCTTGACCCGGAGCTGCGGGAATTCCTCGAGCACGAAGCCCCCCAAAAATACGTACCTACGCCTGCGACCCCTGCCTCGAACGAGCCTCCGAAGACGGTAGAGACTAGAGAGACGCCTGTTCAATCGTCGCAGTCGGAAAATGCTATACCTTCGAAACCTGCGGTCCCCAGTGCCTCCCTCTACCCCGATGGCCGCTATGCCCACCTTTGGAAGACCTACAAACCACCCCAAGAACAACAGTCCGATATGAGTACAGCCGAGCGAGTGATTGAAAAGTACAAACAGCGGGGTGATACTGTGCACCGGGCGGCGATGGAGAATTGTGCGTTGGAGCAGGAAGACTGGGCCCAATGCTTCCGGACCGGCAACTGGCAGAAACAATTGAAAGCCCGTGTGACAATGTGCTCAGAAGAGAACTCTAAGTTCTCTCGTTGTTTTACCACTCAGGCTGTATGTACACGGGGCGAGATGTGTCGGCTCCCATCCGCCCCTCTGGATGGTTGAATTCACGAGATGCTAACTGCTGGGCTCTAGAAATTCCTCCAAGCTTTGGGATACGCATCTTCCTTCGAATGGGACGAGGAAAAAGAGGAGCGGATCCAGATGCACGCAGATAAGCTTTATCATGAGATGTTGGACTACGAGAACCGGGTGAAGGAAGCGCAGAAGGCAGGGCTGGAACCTCCCCCTCTCACCTCGCTCTTCAACCCCCAAGCACCACCGCAGCCGAAATCTGCCGCTCCAGCCCAGAACCTGGAGATCCCTGGTGGGGAGGCTATCCCTACTGCACTTAAGCCATCCAGGCCATTAGAGAAGCTCACCCCCCATGAGCGAGAGCTGGAGATCCGGGCGCACAACGCACAGATGGAGCAACAGAAACTCTACGTGCAGGAGGCAACGCCTTTCATGAAGACACAGGAAGAAGCCCGTTCCAAGCGACGAGAGAAGGCTACCAGTTGGTTGGGTGAGACGATCGGTCGCTGGGTCACCTGAAGCATTCTGGAGTATGAGAAGTTTTGTCTTTTTGTTCTCATGTATATTATGATTATCCAACCTTACCAGCCTACCTTTGCTGTGGGAGTTTGTGGGAGTATCAGCGAGAATTTTACTGTTGAACTGTACGGTAGACATTTTCGTTCCTCAGGTTTAAGTAGACAATAGCCTTGTAGATCAGAGTTGGTGATGAAACACCAAGTTGAGCGATCTGCATCAATTCTTGTTGGACGATCTTGAAAAGAAGCGGTGACAAATTTCCGTTGACAGCCCTATTCTTCTTTCTCGAGTCGCTCACTGTCTGCTTTACTTACTCCCCATGTAGACACGGTCAGTGAGAGAGCGCTTGGCTGAACAACTGGGTAATTCTCGCGACGCATTAGTATGCCCGATACTGCCTAGAGCTGCAGATAGTCAAGCCATCTCAGCAGGTCTAGACTTCCCATCGCCCCTGGATACGAGATAGAGGATCATCAACAACAATAGTAGCTACCCTTACCTTTACTGGAACATAGCGTACAACACCCTAAAGGATGAACCATTGCCCCAACCACTGCCTCAAACAATCGTGGTACTGAGGAATCACCCGGCGCTTTTCCGAGAAACGAACCTACTCTTGTTGTCGAGGGGGTTTTCCAAGCAAAGTTGACACACATCGAACGGAAAGTAGATATATAGCCAGGGTGAAGCAGGCGTGAATGCGTCAATGCATCAATGCATGAATGTGAAAATGAAGTTACGCGCGATCGACCGAGCAGCCGAACGCGAAGCTGACGGACGCGGGGATTGTCATTCGCCGGGCGCGACACGAGGAAGAGAAAAAGGATGGGATGGACGACATCACCACCTCACGGACAACTACTTCCGCTTCGCTCCCTCCACTGTCGGTCTTCTGCCTTCTTCTTGGTCAAATCGGGATTATTACCTGTGTTAGAACTAGATTCCTTCGTCTTTTCTCTTTCAACTTCCTTGCCCATCCGACCTCCTGCTGCCTCTTTCTTCTCTTCTCCCCTCCTCCAAACCTTCCCTCCCTCTTCCACCCCCTTCTTTTTGGAGACTGCATAACTTGAATCCCTCCGAGAGGCTCCTGATCGTCCGGCACTGCTGCAAGAACTTACCGGCAGCTTGTTTGCGTTGAACTTCCTCGCCTGCAACCCTCCCTCCGCATCTCTTTCACGCCCTAACAAATCAACCTATTACTACTTCAATCCCACCCCTCTCCCTCCCCCCACACCTCTTATACTAATTGATTCGATAATTTTGCACAACATCTACGCAATATATTGTCGCCTTCAATACCCCCCAATTTCTCAACGGGTGCCCCCAATTGAGCATCCGTGCTCATCATGAAGGCCACCCCGTTGCTCATCTCGTGGCACGATGACAATGCTCCTATCTACTCGGTGCATTTCGACCCCAATGGCAAGGGTCGTCTAGCCACTGCTGGAAAGTGCGTTCCTCTGAACTTCCCGGTGCCGATCTACTTTCCGCCGTCCAATTTGCTGATGCTCGTCTCTCTTCCTTAGTGACAATAACGTCCGAGTACGATCCCTCCCCTCTCCACCCGCCTTCAACTCAACCTCCCTCATGACTCGCTTTTGGCGCTCTGTGCACCCTGTCTGACAATATAACACAACCATAGCTATGGAAGGTGGAATCAACCGGCGAAGAGCGAAAGGTGTCCTACCTAAGCACGCTGGTCAAACACACCCAAGCCGTCAATGTCGTCCGTTTCAGTCCCAAAGGTAGGCAGCAACGCTCGATCCGCCCTGTCTCTGGTTGCTTCCTGTTCTGACCGTGTCCCCTCGAACCTCATTCAGGCGAGATGCTGGCATCTGCTGGGGATGACGGCAATGTCTTACTCTGGGTGCCGTCCGAATTACAAACACAACCGGGCTTAGGTGAAGACCGCTCGGACGATAAGGAAACATGGCGAGTGAAGCATATGTGCCGTTCCTCCGGGGCGGAGATCTATGATCTCGCGTGGTCGCCTGATGGGGTCTTCATCATCACAGGCAGTATGGACAATATCGCTCGGATTTACAACGCTCAAACGGGTGAGTTTGGTTGTCTGGTGTGCTTGGGAATGCGCTACTAATAATGCCTCTGACAGGCCAAATGGTGCGCCAGATTGCCGAGCATTCACATTATGTCCAGGGGGTTGCTTGGGATCCGCTGAATGAATTCGTCGCGACGCAGTCATCAGACCGCTCCGTTCACATCTACAGCTTGAAAACCAAGGATGGACAATTTACTCTTACTTCCCATGGGAAGTTCCTCAAGATGGATCTACCTGCGAAACGCATCTCCTCCAGCAGCCCTGCGCCGCCCGATCTATCCATTCGCTCTCAACCTGCACCGACCAGCTCAGCCGCCATCGCTTCTCCTGCTCCGTCAACTCCAGGTACTCCCATGACCTCCAATCTGCCCATGGACCCTCCCCCAGTGTCGCACAGTCGCCGGTCATCGTTTGGATCCTCGCCATCCATCCGTCGCTCGGCGTCTCCGGCGCCATCGCTGCCTTTACCAGCGGTCAAGCCGCTAGAGGTACCGTCGCCGGGTTTGTTGGGAGGACTCGGAGTCAAGAATGCCAACATCTATGCAAACGAGACTTTTACTTCATTCTTCCGGAGGTTGACCTTCGCTCCCGATGGAAGCTTGCTCTTCACACCGGCCGGCCAATACAAGACGTCGCATGTATCGGCTACGGACTCAACCAAGACGACGGATGAAATCATCAATACTGTTTACATCTATACCCGTGCGGGTTTCAACAAGCCGCCCATCTCTCATCTTCCCGGGCATAAGAAACCATCCGTTGCTGTCAAGTGTTCCCCGGTGTTTTATACCCTGCGACAGACTCCCCAGCCTCCCCGTCATATCACATTAGACACTTCGTCCATTGAAGAGTCATTCTCTTCGCTCCCTGATCCAGTAGTGAGTTCCGCCAAGGATGGCGCTTTGATGGAACCTCCATCGTCAACGCTTGCCGCCAATGATCTGGTGAAGAACAACATGGGATCAAAGCCGGCAGAGCGAGACAGTCCCTCCGCAGGCCAGAGCCCTGCCCCCGTGTTCACACTACCCTATCGGATTGTGTATGCGGTAGCCACTCAGGATGGGGTCTTGGTATATGACACTCAGCAACAGACGCCGATCTGCGTCATTAGCAATCTGCACTTTGCTACTTTCACCGATCTAACATGGTGAGTTATGTTTTCACGCTACGATCGCTCCTGTATCTAAATCTTGTGGTCTAACATCGAACAGGTCGAATGATGGCTTGACCTTGATGATGAGTTCGTCGGACGGGTTCTGTTCTACCCTTGCATTTTCACCGGGCGAGCTAGGCCAACCATACACTGCGCCGGCATCAGCGTCTCATCAGAACGCGGCCGCCGTGCTATCGGCCAACAATACTCCTCTTCCCACACCGACCACTGCAAAACCTAGTCCGCTTCCTCAGGCTAATGTGAGCCAAGTTCCCCCTGCAAGCCCTGCGCGGTCCAACTCGGTGTCATCAGTCACGACGCAATCTGGTAGTCAACAAACGCCAGGGACAGTGGTCAACAACCCGACACCCACCCTCGGATCAGTACCGCTGGTGACGGCAACGCCTTCATCCCAGCCTCCGACGCTTCCGCTGACGACCCCGCCACAAACCCCCCTGCCCGTGGCCTCGCAAAGTGGGACAAGCAATGTCAGCGCCACTGTGCTAGGCAAACGGGTCAGTGAGTCGGAGAAGGAGGAAGACAGAGACCCGAGCGCGGCTCCGCCCGTCCAACCACCGAAGAAGCGACGAGTCGCGCCGACGCTCATATCTGCGGGCACCGAGCATACCTCAGCCAAAAAAGAGTCACATAGCACTACGGATGTTGGGGGTTAATTATGCCATCTGACAAATATTTGATTCTCAATGTTTTCTTTTCCCTCCGTGTCTAAAGTGTAACGCTTCTTCTCCGATTCTTCCCGTCCGCTTTACCACAAAACACCGCCACCCTTCCACGCGAGTCTCGGAGCGCTCCTTACTCGCTACGACATATTATCTATCTATCTAAGCCCATGCTCATGAATTCACGTGTCATCTCCCCCTTCTCCCATTTGCATATTCCATGAGTTAGCTACTCGATTGTCCTGTGTTTCCTGTGTTCTTACTTCTCATTAGGAAGGACCCCGGTAGAGTTCCAGGGTCAGTCAGTCATTCATCTAGGCAAGGCAAGGCATGCATGCATGATTGTTCCATACCGGCGCATTGTATTTATTGTATTCTTGTTTTTTTTCGTTCTCCCCGCTCTCCCCACCCTTATATTATCTTTCTTCTCCGCATTCCCCCCTCCTACCGGCATTCATCTCGTACCTCCTTTCGCGACGGACCTTTGAATAGCTTGATGTTTCACGTAATGTCATCCATCGATCCATCGGTTCAGATGTATCCACGTTTTCCTCCCAATATTTTTCCTTTCCTAGCTAAGCTAGTAAGCCTTGGATTATCACCCTGCCCTATCTAACCAAGTCCCTCCTCAACCCCTCACTCAGCTCAGCTCCAATTATATACCACCTGACACGGCGCAAGCAGTACACAGGTTGACCAGAATAGGTCACAAAAAGAAAAAAAACATACAACAGAAGGGATTCGCTGGTGGTCACCCACCCAACTACTAACCTCCCGGCGTGTGGCTTAAGTACGGCTGAGCGGACGGGAAGCCCTGTTTTCCACACCCTGTGGTCGTATGTGCTTGATTGACAGCTGTCAAGCAACTTATAACAGCATTTTGAGATGAAGTATCTATCTATCTCTCGAAAAGAGGTTCATTACGAACCCAGAGCAACCGAGCAATTGCTACCAGGCCAGCCGCTGAACATAAATCATCAAACACGGCGGTTGAATCCTGCTACGGAGAAGAGGGCATATGCCATCCCGTCAAATGTAGAAATGCAGGTATCCGTTTGACCTGTCGCGCGTGTGCGTGCGGCCACCGCTGGCAGCGGAGCGCCGCGCCCTGCTTACCTATCCTCATCTTATCACCTCCCACACTCCCCGTTGGTTTGGTTTATTAGTCAGTTAGTCAGTTGGTCATTCGCTGCAAGCCGTTTCGTGCTGTAGGGTTCGTACAGTCGAGTCATGGCATGAACTGCACTGCCCTATCTATCTATCTATGATCTATCTCATGCAGAATGAGCGAGGGAGGGAGGGAGGGAGGGCGCAAGAGTAGTGTGCGCGTGGTCGCCGACTGACCAACACCCGTCCGAGGTACTGTTTCCTCTTTGTCTACTGGGCTTGTTGCATACGGTAGTCGGCTGGATTGCTGGGGGACTTTAACTGCACTGCACTCTCAGTAAGCCTGAGGATGGGAGGCGAAGAAAGGGACTCTCGCGGCGAGGGAGTTTGTCTCATCTATGAGGGATCGGGTACAGGGATACCTACCTATTGGGCCTGGGGAGTGCATTGCGTTGTGATTTGTTGCGTTGCGTCGCGTTTCGTTGGAGGTCTGGTTGGTTGGTTGGTTGGCTGAGTCTGCCGGTAGAGATGGACCCGGGAAGGGAGACCCGGTCTCCTGCTGGGCACTACAGGGTACTGTACACTGATCTCCATGTCGGATGCGTCCGTCATGCTTGTCGCGCATACATACGCCCGCGTCTATCACGACCTGTTCAAAAATCATCTTACGATCACAGTTACAGTGTCGCGTCCGTGTCTTCGGATGAAGTTTCGCATGTCTACGTTGAAAGAAAGCAAGACAGAAGGTGAATGGCATTTTTATGATCAACACAGCTGGTGAAACTACCGAAGTCCTTCGTATATTCGGTTAAGGGATTTAGTTAGTCTAGACATATCATTCGACATCACATTGCAAATCTTCTGGCTTTCATCGTGTCTCCATTCGCCGTGATACGTCACATCCGCGGTAGGGAAAAAAAAAAAAAGAATAAAATAGACAGACGTGATAAAATGTTACCGAGAAGGTAATTATAGTAGTGTCTGAAAATTAAGGTCATATTATATCATGGCACGGCAAGAAGATGCTACAGGGTTTCTCTCGAACCGGGGAATAGAAGAGAGGGAGATAAGGCTGCATGAAAAGGTAAAAAGGTAAGTAGAGAGAAGTAGAAGGACAGGTGTTAGTGAGCCCTCGGGAGAGGTCGGTATCAAACGTGAGGATGTCAGGTCATAATGATTGAGTCACTCCGTTTATGCCATTCAGAGTGGGCGAGTGTTCCACAAGATGCCAGTCCGGAGTCGGAGACATGGGAGGGGTGGCGTATCCGTTTGGATGATGCTTTTCGGAGACGGGAGGAGGTGTTGCCGGAGCGTGCCCGTTAGTCTGCTCGTTCTCTTCATGTCCGTCCTGGACGGGACAAGTGTTGGTGACGAGGTCATCGGACTGTCCATCGAGGTGACCCTCGGGAAGAGAGAAGACCAAAGCATCTACGATGTCAGCAATGCCCAATCCCTCGGGGGTAACGGCTCTTGCTTCTGTGGCGTGAGTACCCACGGTGAGAGTGGTGACGCTGGGGTTTTTCTCGTCAGTTTGAAGGCGGTTCGCCCATCGGAACAGGGCTTCATCGCCGCGAGCTCCGCCTGCCACAAACAAAAAGTCCGGGATCTGATCCAGGTGTTGCAAGACGGCATCGGCCGCTTTGGCTTTCGTCATGTCCAAGGGTTCAACACTCACTGCGCACTCGGTGAGGACCACGCGAATGGCTTCACTGCCTCGAGTGCCATTAATCTGATCGGCAAGGCCAGAAGCCTGGCGGGCGGCCGCCTCGGGGTCAAGTGCATCATGATACCAGAAATTCAGCAGACAGCGACCTTCCTCCATCACACTTCCCTCGACCCGCTCGTGGTAATATTGGATCACCTTGCGGATGCCATTCCGCCAGTCCTTGGCTTTCTCCATGTCTACTAGTGTTTCCCAGTTGGAGTTTCCAATTTGTCGTACAAAACAACCGTTCTCCGCAATGATTCCGACTTTAGTGGATAGTGACTCGAGCTTGGATTCGAGCTGTTCGGGGCTTTTGCTGCTGGTCACGTATACCAAGTTCTTTGGGTCCTCCAGTAACCGCTCAAGCACAGAGACTAGGCTAGCCGGTCCACCGTGGCTGGAAGCGACTGTGCCCTCAACCTCCAAGAAGAACAACCGTGCAGTGGATTCGTCGTACGCGCCTTTTACCGCATCGAGCGAAAGAGGCTTTACCTGGCTGAGTTCACGAGACAGTTGTGCGCTGTGGGCTTTGGTCAGTGCGGACTGGAACGAGTTGAACCAGGCTAGAGCTGTGTGAGGAGTCATCTTTTCGAGCAGGAACTCCCAGTTGCGCTGTTTCTGCTCGGGGGTCATCTCAAGTGCTTTGTCTATCGTGTCGGCAACCTCCTTGTAATCCCATGGATTGACCATGAGTTCGTGACCGCTGAAGATCGAGGCACTGCCAGTAAACTCACTCAAGATGAGGGAGCCATGGCGCTGCGATGTCAAGATTCCATCTTGGCAGTGGATGTAATCGTGACTGCTGAGGTTCATACCTTCCCTCAGACTGGTGACCATAAAGATCTCAGCGACGCTCATGAGAGCCAAGAATTGGGAGTAACTGATATCTTGGCGAAGGAAGACCAGCGGCTGATGAGTCAAACTCGAGTACACTGAGTTGATTCGCATGGCTATCTTCGAAACCTGCGCTTCTAGCTCAGGTAACTCTGAGGCTGAAGCGATTTGAACAAGGACAACCTTATCAAATTAGCATTTGCTCTGCGCGCTCACTAAACGGCATAAACGGCAGGCTGAGCCCAACATACCTTGTCTCTCCACTTGGGGTATTGCTTCAAGAACAATTCATAAGCCATGAGCTTCTGCTTAATACCGCCGGGGGCATCCAGACGGTCTCTGGCGACAATCAAGTGCTTTCCCTTGTATCTGGAACTGATGTTCGCGATCCAATCTTTGACCTCGGTAGACCTGCGGAGCAGATCTAGGGCTTTCGGATCGACGCCAATGGGCATGTTCCGCACGTTGACGAACCTCTTCTCGAGCTGGACACCATCGACGGATACCTCCAGGCCGAGTAGACGGATACATGACTGGAGAAAGTGGTAGCAATATTCCTCCGTCTGAAACCCGATCAGGTCTGCACCCAGTAGACCATGGAGCAGCGCGTCTCTGGCATTGAGGCACCGGAAGATTTCAGAGGATGGGAAGGCAGTGTGCATGAAGAATCCAATCTCCGCATTGGGTAATCTCTCCCGGAGCATGGAAGGAAGAAGAAGAAGGTGATAGTCATGGATCCAAACACTATCCCCTGGGCGCCAGTAGGCAGCGATCTTGTCCGCAAAGGCCTCGTTGACCCTCACGTACTGTTTCCAAGAGTAATCATCATACTCTGTGTGTCGAGGGCTTTCCTGCATTTGGTAGTGGAAGGCAGGCCAAAGGACGGCACGACAGAAATGGGTGTAGTGCCCCTCGAACTCGCTGTCGTTGACGAAGACGGTCAAGGACTCGAACTCATCTTCAAGGGCCTCGGAGATACTGGCACGAGTCTCGTCCTTCAAGGAGTCGGTGGGCATACCCAAGGTCCCCACCCACATCTTGTCAGTCAGCATGCCAGCCTCTTCGGCGGCATTAATGGCATTTCGCAGGCCACCATTGCCTTGCTCAGCAGCTTTGACGACCCAGTCCATTTCAGAGAGCAGTGCTCGCGGACTGCCATGCTCTTCCTCCGAGCTGATGGCATCCAAGGGAGCATCCAGATATGCCGGGTTACCTAGCTCGTCTATTTCAAATCGACTGAGGATAGATGGTTCCGGGTACAGAGAAGCCTTGGAGCGTGGCTGGTTGAACTTCCGGCTCTGGCCCCAGGAGACTGTCCGAGGCTCGCTAGGACCCGGACCATTGGGGTCATCTGCAATGGGGATCTCCCCCGCAGCTCGGGAAATGTATGGCTTGAAGATCCGTTCATCTTCAGTGGTTGCCCCTGGTGTGTAGAGACTGATGCTCTTGGAATGACGCTTCCGATTGGTATCAGCCAGCCGCCCTACAATCTTCCCGTCTCCCTGAGAGGAACTGCTGGACGATTTGCGACGAGCATATCTCAGCTCAGTAGCTTGGAAGTTGATGGTGTAGGGAAGGAAGCTATGCAAGATCAGTATGATGAATGAATTGAGGACGTGATATGGAAGGAGGAAGGTGTATTGACATACAGTGAAGCGACGAAGACCGTCATTGCGACAAGGTGTGTGTCCTGAGACAAGTGGTCTTTCTAGAAATTCTTTGTGACACTAGAATGGACGCCTTGTAAGCGGGAAGAAGGGATCTAGGATGAGTGGGACCAGAAGGCTGAAATACAATGGTGCAATCAAAGAGTCTGTGATAGAGAAAGGAATGGGGAGGTGGTTCGACCGCAATGACTCGGACCAAGGGATGTTTTAAAGACTGGTGATAGATCGGTATGGAATAATAATGACGAGGGCGAGAGGACAATGGATAGGTCTTTAAGTCACACGAGGATGAAAGAGGAGTTGATGACCCTGAAAATCCCGGGTCTTGGTTGTTAGACACCCGAGCCATGCGCAAAAGGAATCAGCAAGTGGTGACGTCCTTGATTGATTGGGCCAGGGCCAGGGCACCTGTCAAAACCCGCGGGGAACGGAGCACATGCAAGACACACCGGCGACAGGAACATTCTGGCCTTTTCGGGTGAAGGAGGGGAGTCAAGAAAGGAGGGGTTTGGGCAGGTTTTTTTTTCTCGGTCTTCCTTTTTTTTTCTTTTCTTTTTTTCTTGTGTGTGGCCTTGGGCACAGGTGAGCTGTGCACGGAGGCATTGAAGGGGGAGGAAAGAAGGTGAGTGGGGGGGGGGGGGGGGGGGGTGTGAAAAAGAAAGAGGGGAAAAAAGGCCCCGGGGAGGGGAACAGGAATATTCTAGGCCAACAATGGCCTTGAGTTTGAGTGATTTATTCTTCTTTTCTCTTTTTGGGCTTGGAGAACATCGATGAACCAGATCACGAGCTCATACCATCAATTGAATATCAGAAGAATATCACCGATGAAGCTAGACCGGGGTAGGGGAGACTAGAGAGGGAAAAAAAACTTGCCTGCAGCACGGTCTGCAGATACTCAGTTCAAGTATAGACACTAGAATCAGATAGACTATCTTAGCTTGGGCTGGAGAGAGCGCAAGAGTCAAGTATAGAAAGGAAAAAGGCCAATAGGAACAATGACGTTGAGGTTCCCGTAGGATCCGCAACTTGATCCACCCGAGGCTTTTGGGCGACGGTTCGAGACAGTTCGACCACCGCGTGCCCGGTTTGTTGGCCCCGTCTTGCAACCCGTTGGCAGCCTCTGGCAACCTCTGGCAACACCACTCATATCCATCTTGCTCGCACATGGATTCGGGGTTGGTCCAGCAAGAAGGACCTGTACGGAAAAAGTAGGAATGGGTCGCAACAAGGGGGAGAAGATGCTGGTAATCGAGGCTTGATCCAGGCAGAAAAGATGGATGGATTGATAAGAAAGAATGAAGAAAGATTGATAGATGGAGGGGCAGATGGAGAAAAAGAAAAAGGCGGACAAGCAAGGTCCATACTCAAATCTAAAGAAGAAGAGGGGCTCGATGAGGCGGTGGTGAAGTAATACCTTCTAACCAACTACTTACAAGTTCTATTCTGCCAGCAATATTAAGTGGAGCTCTTTTTACACCAGGGAAACCAAATTTACCACTTTAATCCTCGTCCATGCCCTGTCCCTGATCTTTGTCTCTGTTCTGCACTCCTGATCTTCTAACTCACCGATACGAAGCCAGAAAGCCCATCACCACCCATTTCACCTCTTCCGCCTCCCCTCCCTCCCCCCCGCCTCGATCTCATTATATTACTCTTCCAATTTCTCCCTCCTATCGCTAGGCCCCAATTGACTCACCTCGTTTTGCTTTTCTTTTTCCATTCCATCCAAGCTCTTTCGAGATTCGATCTGAGAACAAGAAAAGCGGGGCAGACATCTCCTAGCTCTCCTAGCTTTCCTAGCTTCTCTCCAACTCAAGCTCCAGCTCTCTCTCATAATTTCACATTGAGTGTCACTCGTCATGACTAGTGATAATTCTTCACAAGGCGATTCCCGCCTGTTGATCGTTTCCAACCGTATCCCGGTCACCATTCGACGATCTGCCGGGGGCAAATATGAATTTTCCATGTCCTCGGGAGGATTGGTGACGGGATTGAGTGGGCTCTCCAAGGCAACAAAGTTCCAGTGGTATGGCTGGCCGGGACTGGAAGTGCCTGAGGATGAGATCGAATCGGTGACAGCGCGACTGTCCGACGAGTTCAATGCGACTCCAGTGTTCATGGACGACAAATTGGCGGATCGTCACTACAATGGCTTCTCCAGTGAGTCGCTGCCCTAAACGCCCGCGCCGCGCCTTAACCCCCCCTTCCTCCCTTCGCCCCTCGCCCCTCACCCCTCCTCTTTTGCTGCCCCTCTCTTGCCCGCATCTGATATGCGCCTGCATATTTCCCAGCTTCCGCGATAGCCACATGGCACCTAGCAACCGGCCCCGATGTTCATGACTAATGTGATCTGTCAGACTCTATTCTGTGGCCCTTGCTGCACTACCACCCCGGTGAAATTGTGTTCGACGAAGCAGCCTGGGATGCCTATCGTGAGGCGAACCGGCTCTTCGCTCGGACCATCGCGCGTGAGGCTCGCGACGGGGACATGGTTTGGGTCCACGACTACCACCTTATGCTCCTACCGGAATATCTCCGGGAGGAGCTTCAGGAGTTGGGCAAGAAGAATATCCGAATCGGATTCTTCCTGCATACGCCCTTCCCCAGTAGCGAGATTTACCGCATCCTCCCCGTGCGGAGTCAACTCTTGCGCGGCGTGCTGCAGTGTGATTTGATCGGATTCCACACTTATGATTACGCGCGCCACTTCTTGAGCTGTTGCTCGCATATCCTGTAAGTCACCACTCCCTCCCACTCACGAGCCCCGTCTGGCACATGCTGACACGGCAGGGTAGGGGATTGGTCACTACTCCGAGCAGCGTGGAATTCAAGGACAGATCGGTCGCTGTCGGGGCATTCCCCATTGGCATTGATCCCGACAAGTTCACCGAAGGTCTCCAGAGTCCCAAGGTGCAGAACCGGATCGCCAGCCTGGAAAGCAAGTTCGAGGGCACCAAGCTGATGGTCAGCGTTGACCGTCTCGACTATATCAAAGGTATTCCTCAGAAGCTGCATGCTTTGGAGGTCTTCCTCTCCCAGCACCCTGAATGGGTGGGCAAGGTCGTGCTGGTTCAGGTCGCCGTACCGAGTCGACAGGATGTCGAAGAGTATCAGAACCTGCGGGCGGTGGTTAACGAGCTGGTCGGAAGAATCAACGGCAAATTCGGTGAGTCCTTCTCCATCTGCTAGCGATACTCACTCGAATCGACCTTGTCTGGTTAGCGCAATCATACTAACACGCACAAAAAGGAACGGTGGATTACATGCCCATCCACTTCATGCACAAGTCGGTCAGTTTCGACGAACTGATTGCGTTGTACGCTGCCTCGGACGCGTGTGTGGTGTCGTCGACTCGCGACGGAATGAACCTCGTTTCATTCGAGTATGTCGCAACCCAGCAGAAGCGCAAGGGCGTGTTGATTCTCTCCGAATTCGCCGGTGCCGCGCAGAGTCTTAACGGAAGTATCGTCGTCAACCCGTGGAACACGGAGGAGCTTGCCAACGCATACCACGAAGCGGTCTCGATGACCGATGATCTGCGTGCGCAGAAGTTTGAGAAGCTCTACAAGTACATTTCCAAGTACACGAGGTAAGCTTACGTGGCCCCCCTTGCACAGGGACAGACGATCTTCCCGCCTGCCTCCCTTCCTCGCTTCCCCTTGCCTTACCTTCCCGCGCCACGCATGGAAAACAGATGACTGATCGTTGTTACACTGATATAGTGCATTCTGGGGCAAGTCTTTTGTCTCCGAACTATCCAAGTACCCGGTCGGAGCTACGGATGCATCGTGAATGAACTATTGTCAATTGGACTATCCCCCCTGATGATCTTTTTGCTCTTCTTTTATCTCTTTCTTTTCGGTGAATACGGGCATGAACTTTTTTGCTTTCGACCCAGGCGCACAAGTGAGCAGTCAACGATTATGTTTGATAGATTACCAGTAACAGCAGCCCCTCATCATTGCAAAGCACATGACATAGCATTGAATATAGGACAGGAAAGGGAATACCATAATGATTCTGAAACGCCAACATGTGGCAACTCTCTAGGTAACAACAAGTTAACTAGTTACGATGTGGTGATGACACAAGTCAACCCCGGCTTAACCAACAGATCAAGTCCACTGAAGCCAACATGGATTAATCTCCACCCGCAGCGATATCAATCAATTTCTTTGTCGAATTCACCCTGGTTTGATGGTAGGGTCTCATTCAAGCAAATCTTCACTTCTGCAACTACGTCATCCATCCACGTATCCGCCCCTGGTTCAACACTTCTCATCACCACTAATCTAACCACAATCCGCGAAACAAACCCACCCGCCTTCAGCTGACAAAACATTTTACCCCGCAGATATCAGAATCAAGCTCACGCAACAAGCACAATCCAAAAATACCACGCTTTCCCTAAACCGTGAATTAGATGAAGATAAGTTCCACAGACCTTGATACACCTTACTTGTAGACTACCGCCCACAAAAGTCCTCTACAATGGGAGAAATCGGCATAACCCAGTTCTCCGGGATAATATCACCATATCTCTCATACACCCCTGCTAGAATATCAAGCCGTGCTATAGTATAGCCGTAAGCCCATAAAGTACCATGACTTCACGATGACATCCCACCACTAATACGAGTAAATCGATCCACACGCCCACAAGGTCGTACGAGTTGAGTTGCATGGCAGCGGCAAAACACCTCCAGGCTGGTCTAGATCCTTCGCCGTCGAACATGCACCTATACGAGAAATCCATGCTATAGACATACAACAGATTCTACCAACAAGGGCAATATGCCACGACATACTTCCTCACAGAAAGAAAGAGATTGTCTAGAGTATGTAAGAGTGCGCTTGTCGGAGTCTCTATCCTTGCCAGGGATCAGGCAATCGCCTCGAAAAGGCCCTCTCGAGCAGCAACGTACCAGAACAGAAGCAGGCAGTGTCGAGGGATAACGCGATCGCAATCCTCCGGAATAGGTAATTCCGACTTTGTACCCTGGGGTTCAGTCGTCTATCAGATTCCGCGACCCGCCCTCTTCTCACGACCCACGTGCTGAAGAAAAGGGTCTCTCAAGTTCCCCGCCGGCGAATCTGTGGTTACCGGTCATGGATTGTGACCCGTTCTTATCACGTGATCAGTACCGACCTGTAGTTAGTCTATAATGCCTCTAATCTGGCGTCGCACTTTCTCTTTGCTTACCCTCGCACACCTATCATCGAACTCCATTGTCAATGAACAAAGAATTGAAGAGGAATAGACTTGAACAATTGTAACTGATATGTATTACTAGAATAATCATTAATCACGTGTAGCAGCTTCGGGGTAAATGACCTTTCTTTTAAGGGTCATGTCACACGTCGACACTTCGCGAGCGGCCCCGGCTTGATGACCAAAGTTAGATATACGTAATCACGAGTCATGGGAGCCAAGTCCCTGGAGGGAGGAGATCCCTATTCTTCTGTATGGGATATGAGGGGCTAGTCCGTTCTCGACCGGCCATCACTAATATTAGCAACGGAAACAAGATAAGGGGCCGAAGGGAAAAAAACCAAGACTTATATCTAATCGACTGATTGTCGCCTAAGTTTGCTACCATCTATGAATGATTTTTATGGTTCTTGAGCCCAGCGGATCAGGATAAGAGGGAGTGAAGAAACCCCTTGAAAATCCTCTCTATTTTGACTTTGTTTTCTCTCACCTTGATTAGGGGGGGGGGAATATTTGCCGCCTCCTCCTTTCTGTTTCTCTTCGGAAATCGATTTGCAACTCAGGGTCTGGCCACCATGGACCCCTAAATCAATCCAAGTCCTTTTCTTCTATTGAACCATTGGCATTTGGCATGAGAGACAGTTCTAACCTACTCCGTAGGGGGATCTACCCCTTTCCTCCATGGCATGGCAGGGGACCTAGCCAGGGACCACCACCCAAAAGTCAAAAATCTCGAGCCAGAAGCGCGAGGATCTCAGGGTTCCCTTCCCCGTTCCAAATGGATGAAAATATCTCCATTCAAATTGAAGACTTCAAAACCCCCCTCCCCTCTGGGCCAGGCCCGCCAGGGTCTAGGGCACTAGGTGCTTGACATGATTTGTGAGGAGACCAACCGAACGGGTCTAGCGGATGGAGTCCTCAACCTTGAAGGACTTTCCTCTAGCCAGATCTTGTGCCATGCCAAGACGGACGCTTGCGCGTCTCCGCCACCAGCCCGTCCCGTTTAGGAAGGATGCCGTAATCATGTAACACCGAGCGGTTTGAAGTTGCTTCCGAATCGAGTTGGACCAGAGGAAAAGGAAAGGAAAATAGGGAGGCTGAGCCTGGACTTTAGGGGAGTTGGGGAGTTCCTGCACCTCTGTCGGTATGTACGGCTGTCGGCTTGGTCGGGCCGTTCGACCACCAGTTCTGTCTCTGTCTATCTTTTCCGGGGAAAGTGGTTTCGCCATGTTCCCTGGATGTTCCATGTCAATCATGATGGAAGGAAGGTCTTTGCCATCTAGGGTCTTCTCGGGAAAAGGAGGAGGTGGCGAGGGACCGACTATCAATGTTGGGTCGTGTTCATGATCAACCTGTCTGTCTGTGTGGAGATAGCTGGTGCATTATTGCAGGTGCCGCGTAGTGCTTGCCCTGGTTATGGCGCTCTTCTTATCTGTACAGAACTCTACGGCATGGTAGGAAGAGAGATGCTTTCCCAGAGAGGGGTGCCGCACATATGTATACACCTCTTTAGTGACTGACAATCTCTGCGTATCACATGGCATACGTCGACGTCAGAAGATTCGTCGCCTGGTGAACCCGTCGGTAAGCATCAGGTTCTCAACCAGAGCAACAGGCCCCGTTTCGAGTTTGTCTGACTCAAGGGATCTGCGTGGCCTTCGCAATGCATCGTCGGAACTCGGAGTTTAGATACTGGGGTCCTAAAGCAGAGGAACTCGACCTCCGTTCGAATCGATCAAGATCATCATGGCCATCGACCGGCTTAAGTCTATCCCGGCTTGGATCTTGAATGGTCCTTGCAGGAGGCATCTCTGATGATTGACCTGGATCCTTTGACACTAGATATCTTGTCGGAAGCACCTAGCGGAGACTGGCTTGTCGTTCAAAAGCTGGATACTGCCAACCCGGGGAGCCATTTTCTCAAAAAGCCTCAATTCGTTGGCAAATGGTCACCTTGCCTCTTACGTTAGCTTGTCAGATTGTTTTATGCTTCATATCCTATTTGCCCAGAAAGCTTTCATCCCAGCAAAAAGAAGCCCAATCTCTGCCTGTAGGATATCCACTGCTTCGTCAGCAGAGGGTAATAGTTCGAGTAGGTGCAAATTCCGACTCATGGCTATGGGTCCAGTAAACTCGTAAGGCTATGCGGTTAAGGCCGCAATGGAGAATTGCCTAGTCGGGAGGTTGGTGAAGCTCTCGGTTAGGTTCTGATTTCTCCGAGACATCCTCACTGGGAGTCTCAACATCCCCAGAAGAAGAGCATATGACGAGAACAAAAGAAGTAAAAAACAAATTGTTTGTTGACCCAAAGTGTGCCTACCAACGGAGTGGAACTTGCGTGCGGTGTGCACGGTCACTAGCATGACAGAGTGACCGATGGTGACATTTTTTAGCCTGTTGGTCAGAGAGCCGCGTAAGACAGACAGGCTGACGTCGAACGAGATCCTCCATAGCGCGGACCCGGAGTGCGGGCGGTTGCGCTCGAGGATTACCATGTTAGGAGATTTCGTTTAGACGCGTCGAGAAAGGCAGATATAATAATTTTGTGGCCTCTCCGCCCAAGGACGTTGATGATGATGAAGCCCTTCAGAATCTAAGATAAAGCAGTGATCGGAGGGCTTGCGTGGACGCGATCTGGTGAGGGAGGGTAAATCCTTCCTCTCAAAAGTCGTGGACACGCGGAGAGAGCGACAAAGCGAGAGAGCCAAGCTTTAGGAAAAAGCATCAGCAAGTGGTTTGGTACCCCATCCAGAGACTAATTATTGCCAATGTGCCACGCTCTGTAGCATCGCGACCAAAGAGTGGAGCCAAGACATCCAGTTTCGCGAGTAGGCGGCGTATTAACAATCAATTGAGGGATGGCAATAGCTTCAGCGCTGCTGCTGCTGCTGCAACGAGAGGGCAGGAGTATGGTAGGGTAATATTAGGGGAGGAAGGTGGCAGTGGCAGTGGTCACGCCAAGGGTTTATTGCCACACGATGATCATGGTGACTGAAGATCGTGGTGATAACTAATGAAGAAGACCTTCAGTGCAGGGAGTGCAGGGAATACAGGGTAGGTCAGTAGGGATGTAGGCGTAGGAATGAGAGCGCGTGGCAGCAAAACGGGACCGAAGAGGGTCTTGGCCATGGTTCAGTTAACTGTTTCGGGGCGGGACACACGCGGCTTGCGGTGCTGGCGCGGGGCCCTGATTGGGGCGAGGAGCTCAAGGCTGACGACGCTTCGCCCTCGCTGCTGGCGTGGATGAAAAAAAATGGCCATTAACCCGAAAAATCCATCACCGTCGCCGGGTACTAAGCTACTTCTATCCAACCACGCTAGACGCTTCAGTCAGTACCAGTCAGTCAGTCAGTCCCTCACCAAGTGAAAGTGCAGAGAGTAAGTGAGGTGCCTGTCGTAGACTGCCCCATTCAGACTGTGGTCTGGTCCTCTCGTCCACTTCCAGTCTTCCAACCCTCCTCCTACTACCTACCTACCCTACAACTCTTTCTTTCTTCCCTTCTTCCACATCATCGTCGTCGTCGTCGTCGTCGTCGTCGTCGTTGTCTTCCTCACTGTCGGTGGAATCTTTCCTCCTACTCACCTGTAGTTTTATCCACCTTCTTAACCTAACTCGAACGCTCTCTCGCTCGTTTCTTTCCCTCTTTCTTCCTTTCTTCCCTCTTCGCTCCCCTTTCGGACTCCCTTCCCTTTCCTCCCTCTCCCCTCCAATCTTCGCCATACCGTTTCGGCCGTTCTCGGAGCCGCACCATTAATTCCACTTTTCACCTCTTTCATTTGTCCTGTAGCCCATTGTCGACTGGCTTCAGGATCATCTTCGTTGCTCCTGCTTCTCTCCTCTATAGTCGTGGCGGTTACGTTGACTTCAGCGCCAAGCGTGGCGACCGCCTGGCTGGGCTGTGCGACCATCATTATCCTGGTCGGCCGACTTGACTGACCTATTCTATCGACAAGCAACCCTTGAAACCTTGCTCCAGCGAAACAGCTTCATTGTTCGGCAGCCGACTTGGGTCGATTGTCTATAATACTCAGACCGACTTGGAAATTTGATTTTGGTCACTCTGGAGATCTATACGCACCACTGCCGCCGCTGGTGTCACTGACCCTGCCCCCCTACCAACCGCAACCATGGCAGACGGTAGACACCACCACCACCAGGCGACGAATCCTGAGAATTTCGATGCTGGCGAACTCACCAACGCTTTCGAACAATTGATGCGCAACAAGCGGTTCAACCAACTCCAAGAACAAGCCCGATCGCAATCTCGCACGCAGTCACCCTCTCCCAGCCTTTACCCTCCTCCCCATCCCTCGCGAGCACCGCCGCCGCCGCCCCCGACCGCGTCTCAGTATCCGTCACACCAAATGCCTCCGCAAACATCGTCACAGTCGCCCCTACTTCGCAGCCTGCCAATCGTCCCTGCACCTCCTCAAGACCCGGTCTCCCTCAAATTCCGCAACCTCCTCCACGTGCTCTCTGTCACACCAACGAAGTACGAAAACCCTGGTCTCCTCGATGAGGCGCTTGCCCATATTCCCCTCGATCGATTATATTCGGAAGCAGAGGAGGAAAGCCAAATATTGCAAGCCCAGGCAGCTAGTGTTGGAGAACGACCAGAATGGGGCTATCAGGACTGCGTCATTCGGGCGCTGTTAAGGTACGCCTGGCCTTTCAATAGGTGGCAAGTTCGACAGCTTACTGACTCGTGATGCCAGATGGTTCAAACGATCCTTCTTCCAATTCGTCAATAACCCCCCATGCACTCGGTGCTCAATGCCTACGATCGCACAAGGCATGACTCCTCCAACACCCGATGAAACCGCGCGAGGTGGCACTCGAGTCGAACTGTACCGATGCTCTGAACCCAGCTGCGGTGCTTACGAGCGGTTCCCCCGATACTCCGACGTATGGCAGTTGCTGCAGACTAGACGGGGACGTGCAGGCGAGTGGGCCAACTGCTTCAGCATGTTCTGCAGAGCCCTCGGCGGTCGTGTGCGTTGGGTGTGGAACGCCGAGGATCATGTCTGGACTGAGGTCTATTCTGATCACCAAAAACGTTGGATCCACGTCGACGCCTGCGAAGAGGCATGGGACCAGCCCCGCCTCTACACTGAAGGTATGTGCTTTGTCCTGTTGATTCATACGAGATATGCTAACTCAGACTCATTTAGGCTGGGGCCGAAAGATCTCATACTGCGTTGCGTTCTCGATTGATGGGGCCACGGATGTCACCAGACGATATGTTCGAAGTCCGACGAGGCACGGGACTCCACGGAACCGTGTGTCAGAGGAGGTTCTCGTTTGGGTTATTCACGAAATTCGAAAGAAGCGCCGTGAGAATTTGTCTAAGACGGACCAGCGACGCTTGATGAAGGAGGACGAGCGCGAAGAGAAGGAGCTCCGTGCCTACACCGCATCCGCCCTTGCAGCCGAGCTGAACAACCTCTTCCCTCGGAACACAACCAGCGGCCGCCTAGACGATCAGAAAACTCCCGCTTCCTTACAGGATGCCTCGGTTGAGTGGCTGAACAACAGACAAAGGACATCGGGCCAGTCTGGCCCAGATGGTTCACAGGACGGTCGCTAAACATGCGTTTCGTGCACCTTCCCACCCCACCCCATCATCTTGCATATATGAAGATCCAGTGCCTTGCGATCGGCATATACAGCATACCGACCGATCGCCTTGCGGCTTCGATACAAGATACCCCCAACGCGACCGTATAATATCGTTGGACCCTCGATGCATCAATTTGTCACCGCGCAACGTGCACGATCAAGTTCAACTTATTATAGGAATCCAACTGACACACTGCATGGTTCGGCACATCCCATGTGGTCCTCACAGTGGTCACGTTGTCCGACGTCCGGGATCGATCACGGTCCAGAATCGGGTCGTTTTCCCAGTTCTTAATCCGAACTGAGGCTTAGTCTCAGGCGGTACGAAGATGTCTGCATATCATGTTGGCGACATACCGACTTGACTATCACTCTTCTCCCTTGTGGGTTCACTGAACTTCACTTACCGATCCTTCAATTTTCTTATATTATTTCTTTCCCGTCTACACATTTTGACCAAAATGTACTTTCGTTTCTTATTTACTTTTTCTTGTTTGTTTTTGGGATGATGCATTTTCAGGAACATCTAATCGGATACCTTTTGGGGAAACGGTTACGGGTGGGAGGCGCACTTGTGACAGGGATTTGTCTATCTTTTTTCCTCTTATATAATGTCCTATAATTCTTTGCGTCTTTTCTATGTTTTTTTCGGGGGTAGCGCACCCAGCATTGCAACGGACCAGTCAATGCCATGTTCATGAGACAGACGTTTCGGTCGCACATAGCCTAAGCAGGCCGAGCGGCCTCTTCCATTTTCCCATTTTAGTTCTGGCTCCTGGCGATCTCAGATACCGAATTGAACCATTACCACTCAGAATCTTCTATTGCACCGTATCGTGGTTAGCGCTCGAACGCACGGTGCGTCATGGCATGGTAGTCTGATTGTCACGGATACTTTCCCGCTTCGTCATGCAGATTTTGCAAGTGAACCGCCCCATGACGACCACGCTTTCCTATTGCACCTTGGCCCCCAGTAATGTGGACCAGGTGTCTTTAATGTTCGAGACTTTAGGCATACCAGTGATCAATTCTGCTTGGTCACTGACTTATGGTGAGTACTCACGAGCCTATCTGCTCAAAACATACATACATACCTAGCATTAACTCCGCACGCAATGGAATGTCATTCAGGAACGGAGTACACGGTGTCCATTTGTCCGCGTTCGGAACTGCCAAAGCATCGATTGATTGACCAAACCCATCTCTTGAAATTACTTACTAGACAGTAGACAACAGTGTGTTTTGCCCGAATATTACTAAGTGAAAATTGATGTCTTCACTAACCCTATATAGCAGAGCCTAGATACGCGGAACACGCACTTCAGTCAATCAGTCAAAATGAAAAAGGAGAAAGAAGAGGGAGAAGCGCAGACTAACCATCTCAAAGATAGGACCCTACCTACGAGCCAGGCAGGTAGGTAGGCCAGGCTCCAATCCATGATTCCGAAGTCTCAGACTCTTAATCTCCGTGACCAGACCACAAGAAAAGCAAAAAGAGGGTCCAGAGCTTACAATAGGTGGAAGACCCACATAGCCCACCCTTTCCTTTCCCCCACCACCACGTCCTCCTCATCCCATGATTCAGTCTTCCGCAATCTTTCAGGAACAGAGGGGGCGGCGCTATCCAGTGCTTCTCTCCATAGTCATAACAGGAGTCTAGATGCGGCAAGCGAGATACCTTGAACAGTAGACTGGGTTTCTTTGAGGCTAGATGGAAAGCAAGAACGGAGTGAAGGTTTACGTATCCGTGCGGGTCCTGTTTACTTGCCCTGACCCGACCGACGTCGTCTCCCGGACCCGGGAGATGGATGTGAGACATCCAGGGGAATGGGCAGGCGAGGGAGGGCGGGGCGGCTGGTCACGGGGCTTAATTGTGCTCCGGTCGGGACCGTGGGCTTGTTTGCGGTGAATAGGAGTACATTTTTTGAGGGTGTTCTGTGTGGAGAAGGTGATTTGATTGTACAATCGGTAATTAACATTCGTGTATGCGATTAGTGGAAGGGGGTAAAGCAGAGCCCATGTTTTTAGTGTATATGCTCTTCTTGAAGGGTTGCATCTCGGTCTCTATGACGGGGGTTAAGGTATATATATGGAGGAATACTAGGGACAATGCTAAGACAAGCCACAGAACACCTTATACTAAGTCCGAATATCAGAGGACTGTGCGTGATAAACTTCCCCCTCTACAATTATGTGGTCGGGTTGATATTCGGCTTCCATACTGTTGCGCCTGGCACGCACGCGTCTCTTCCCCCGCGCTGAGAACAAGTCAAAGGCACTCTTACTATAATTAGACGCGTCTAATCGCGATCAGCAAAGAAGGGCAACGCCCATTGGCTGATAGTGGTGTCATGTGGACGGGTGATGGATCCGCTGGATCTTCGGCTTGGGAGGGGGTTGGGGTAGTCAAGGTTTTTTTGGCCTTGGACCGAGTGCAGCGGTGCCTGGCTTGGTCTGGTCGGAGTAGTAGTTTGATATACGTAAGTCCAATTGCTGTATCTAGGGTGACTACAATAGGTACCATTGTAAAAGGAAAGTATATTTGATTGATAATCGTACTCTACTCAAGTTGAGTGTCGCTGTGGTGATAGATCGCGTCTACGGCAATGACACCGACACTTACTAACTAACCCTAGTCTCAGGGTCTTCGGTGCCCCGTCGGAGGCTTGGATCCACACTCTTATTGGGAGACGTCCGCAAGATCCGACGAAAAAAGAATTATCAAAAAGGTCGTGCCCGGGATCGAACCGGGATTACAGGAATCAGAATCCTGGGTGCTAACCATTACACTACACAACCTGGTAGATGTCTTGCTCCTGAATTACTGCAATTATGACGCTAATTTTTCGTAACCATGTCGTTATGCCAATTCTTTCCTCGCAGTGATATCGCAACGAGGTGGTGATTTTGCCCTCCGCGTTCAGCCCCCAACTATAGGCTTTGAAAATTAGCGATATGGAGCGTGAGAATGCTAGTCGTGAGATTGGTGAAGATTAAGCGCTATGCGAAGAGCATGGGGGTAGGTCAGGCTGTGTGTGTCAGTAGACTCAAATTCCATCGATGTGGTGGTTTGCCGTCCCTGTTAATCATTACAGAAGCTCTTCGATGATTGCGGTTAATATACATATTCCGGGGTAGTGATGCATACACCCCAAGCATTAAAAGCCAAATCCCGAATCTCTCGTACCCATAACGCAACTTCTTTTTAGGCTAGACAGACAGCCAGTGGCCAAGTATCAGCTGCACATACCCGGAGACCCGTGCGGGGGCGTTCAATCTCATAAATCGATGTCTCTATCGGGCTACATCTGTAGATGTTCTATGCCCAAAAGGCCGTCGAGTTCGAGATGGCTTTGACTGCAGGATGTTGATTTCGGGTGACTTGGGCGTTAGAGCTAGACCACCTACGGATCAACAGCAGCACAGATAGTCTGCAACAGGATGCCCAGGGACGAAAGAATCAATAAATTAGATTAACACCATCATAAATCCTAAGTATTGGTGCAGAACTCCAAAGTATACTATCAACTGCTCTGCAGTACCCCAAGTGGAGCCATCTCACGGCCCCTGGGCCCGCTCTTGTACAGTACGAATGCGAACTCCCCGTTCTAGCCCAACTTGCACATAGCCAGAAAGAGCCATCTCCTGTTATCATATCTATCTCTATCATGTGCTTCCCTCAAGTCTGTGGTGCCCTCACTCCGCCACAAACAAAGTGACATCTACCCTCAAGGCTCTCTACAGATATCGAACCCTGCCCTTCAGCAAGCAGCAAGCAAGGACACATCCCAAGCGATCACCTCTCTCACGATGGCAGACCCCAATCAACAGATCTATCGAGCTCGATCAATCGACCCTTGCACATATACCCAAGCCAACAACGAGCAAGTCCGCGATTATCACACACATCAGGGAATGGAAATATGCCCTTGTTTCTTCACAGGCTCAATATATTAGTCTGTTCCCTCCCACTTTTAGCTAGAGCAAATCACCGATAATATTCCCAGGCTTGATCAGCTAGTGCCTGCAATGCTCAAGCTTCGGAAAGACCAAAGCACGAGCTCATGACCGCAACCTTGAGAGCATCAGCTATATCCAAAGTGACGTGAGTTCGACCACCAAGACTCACTCATCTACTTCCTTCCCATAGCGCCAGTAGAGCTCCTGCTGCAGAGATGCTGCTGACGCATTATTGCGGATACTGTGCGCTCATACAGACGCGAAGAAATTGAGCTGCGGACCAGGCTGGAGCTCTTGACGTATCAGGTTGCGCCGCAGATAGTGTATTCTGGTCAGGTGTAGGGCCGGCGGGGATTGTAGTATGCTTGGTCATGCTGGGCGAGAGGGCCATGTCATGTTAGGTTGAACAATTAAAAACATGGGCTGAACTTCTGCATGGTATTTTATTGCGGAGTTCTGAGTACTGTTGTCCGTCGCCAGGTCCCAGGGCCCTTTTTGTCGTTGGTTTATACCTCATGCTCTTGTGAACTTTTGATTGACTAAAGATAATTAATTCCTACTTGGTTTTGAAGGGCAATTGACGGACTGACCTGCTTTCCCATGGCATTCTGTACCAAACATCAAGCGCGGCCTTTTGTAATTATTATTGCATGCCAACAGAGCCATCCCGATTTAGACCTGTTTATGGCGATAAGTATGCGAAGGCAGAACTATTTAGATGTTGAGCCTGAGGCATAGTCAAGGGAGGAAATGGTGGCCGCTTTAGCGTGTTTTCTGCCACCGCCAAATCCAAACAGTTTACAGATCCGAATTTCGACCGCTGTTGGTCGTTATATCCGCTTAAATCCGTGGTTTTCGTCGCGAGGTCACGGCCGTTCTGCCGCCAGGAGCGGTGAAGCGGGCGGTAAGGTCCTGTTTTTCGAGGGTCATGATGCCTTATCGCTTGGATCATCTACAGCGGCGTTGGGAGCTACGCGCTTCCATTGCACGACCACGATTTATATCTATGACACGGAGTCGGGCTCGTGAGCATGAGATTGAAATGCGTTACAGAAGAGTGGAAGCTTTTGATGAGACTTCTGGAGTGTTAGCGAAACACTTTCGAAGATCAAATGAGGAGAGGTCCTCAGAGATGCGGGCCAAGGCCACAGGGAAGCTGCCCGAAGACCCCTCATACACACAGCCAGAGGTTATCAAAATGCAACAGGTATGTGTCATCACACCCATGTGTGCGGATTAATTAGAATAATATAATGAGAATAATCTATATACAGAGCATTAGCGTGTGGAACCGGACACACCAGACAAGTGGTCAGATGCTGCGAGACAGTCCACTATTTGGAACAAAGTATTCACAGGAATGGAACAGAAAAGGGTCGAATCCCTCAGCGCCAGGCCTCAGTCTCGTCGGGTGGTGATGTGCTATACCATGCTCTTGAAGCTTGATGCAGAGCGGAACAGGCTTGCCAGCGACGGTAGGGACTTGAGACGCTGAGGCCGTGGTAGGGTGTCGTGCAGCGACGCCGCAGATGGGAGATCCGGGCTCGCGCACTGGGAGTAAAAGCGGGCGATGTCTCCATCGGAGCCGTACTCGGTGGGGGTGGCGGAGCTGATCGACCGCGGGACTCCATCGGTTGAGATCTGGAGGTTGCTGCCCATATACTGGGCTTGGTGTCGGACAGGATATGCGCCAAAGCATGCTCGGGGAACGAGACCCTCCTGAGCAGTCTCAAGGACATTGACAAGGGCCTGCGAGAAAGAGGTCAGATTAGTGTCTGGTGCGGGAGAAAAAAGAGGCGAAGCTATTGACTTACCCAACCATCGTCGTAAACGAGATGCAAGACGGCATTTTGACCCTCTTTCAGCTCGACATGCTCGGGGCTGACAGGTTTGAAGTCCATCTCGACGCGATATACTCGGGCAAAGGAGATGTCGGGTGTGCCGGGGTACGTGCGACTCTCAACGGTCGGGCTCCTCGATACCCTGTCGACAGTCGGGCTTCTTGACACTGAAGGGCTGCTGCCTGCGGAGGTGGATTCAGGAGAGATGGGTGTGACGGTTTCCACCGTGGCTACTTTCGCCTCCGGAATCTTTCCAGTCTCGAGCTTCGGGGTGTTCGATACTGCAGCATCCTTCAATCGGCCGACGTCACCGACCAAAGTTTCCGATGATTCATTAGGGCCTTCAGCAACCTCCGCAACAGGAGCGAGTTCGTTTTGATGACACGGCCTATGGAGGTCGCGCAAGCCGTTCTGCAAGCCGTTGGTACTGTACGTGCTGTATGTGCTATAGGGGCGCGGAACGTGCGCCTTGGCCGCCCAGCTGGAATGAACGACGCCGCCGACTTTCTGCAGCGTGGTCACACCCGTCGAGTACACCTTTCGACTGAACTCCTTGATTGGCTCGTACTTTGCATTTTCGAAGTGGCGACACAGAACAGGAACTTTAGTTTCATAGGTTTGTTTGATCTTTCCTCCGGCCTCGCGCATAGCGCTTGCCCCTTCTGTGCAGACCTTGGATGCATATCGCTTGAACTCGTCACTCGCCCGTGGGGTATCGGGCACCTTCTCCCCCCTGCTTTCGGCGATGATAGCGCGGAGGCGGCGCTTCTTCCGACGCAGCGACCACAGAATGAGGCCTGCCATGGCGGCGACGACGATGACCACGCTGAGACCGATGGCCGCTTTGGTGCCGCCGGACGTCCCCACATGCTTTGCTGAATCGAGTGGAAGCACGGTGCTGGTAGCAGTGGCTTGGCTGCTGGTAGATGAGGGCAGTGCTTTAGAAGGGTTGGTGGCAGTGGGAATAGCTGCTGTTGCGAATGTTGTGGCTCCCAAGATCGAAGTAGCGGCGGCAGCTGTTGGGGGGTTCGCTTTGGCAGCTCCCGCACTCCATTCAGTAGTCGGATCGGTTATTGCAGTTCCTGCGGCTGTTTTGCCTGTGGCCGCGGCCCCGACAGGGGCAGCTGCCCAGGTATTGGCTGTTCCTGCTGCAGTGCTATCCTGAGCAGCGGCAGGTGCTTTTGCTGCTGCCGCTGTGCCGGCGCCTGTACCAGCGGTGTCGGCAGTGGCCTGTGTGGTTGTGTCGGTGGCCGCCGTGCCTGCCCATTGCCCGGTGCTTCCCTGCGCACTGCCTGCCCAAGTGCTGTCAGCAGCAGTCGTCCCAGCGGCAGTGGTGCCGTCTGCTGCAGCGACGGGCCCTGTCGCTCCTATCGCGCCTGTTCCGGCTGCGGTCCCAGCTGCGGTCCAGGCGGCTGTTCCGGCGGCTGTTCCGGCGGTTGTTCCGGCGGTTGTTCCGGCTGCTGTTCCGGCTGCTGTTCCGGCTGCTGTTCCGGCTGCTGTTCCGGCTGCTGTTCCGGCTGCTGCTGTACCTGCTGTTGCCCCCGCTGCCGTCCCCGCTCCCCATGTATCTCCTGCTGCTGTGCCACTGCCTGCCCATTGCCCAGAGCCGGCGAGGGAGCTGTCAGCGGACCACTGGCCAGTGCTGTAGCCAGTTGCAGCGCCGGAAGACCAAGTTGATCCAGAAGCATCGGCGAGTTGAGGTTGCCTCTTAGCGAGGCTAAGGCCATGGGGTCTGTTTCTTAGTCGCATCGTTGATCCTTGGTATTAGGGTGTACGATCATAGACCAAGCATGCGGTAATCGTCGGCCGTGGAGCTAAAAGTCGGGAAAGGTTTTGGCACTGGACGGCTGTCATTGTAACTAAATAAGTCTCATATTCGCAGACGCCACAAATCGTTCAACCCACAACATACACACCACACAAACAAACTACCGACTTCAGTGTCCAATCGTGCCAATCCACTATCGAAGTGGGGTTTGTTCTTTGCGCCTTCTATTGTTGTTGCATCCGCCAGCTGTGGAATGTTTTTTCTCTTGTCTATCGCATTCTTGCGTGGATTAAGCGCATTCCGGCCTCAACCCTAACGACTTTGGGAGATTACACATTACCCGGGAGGATAAGTCTACATTATACGGCGTCTTCTTGATAGTTTCTCCGATGGCCCGTCCGGAGCAGCTACTAGCTGTCTCTCGGAAGCATTCTTGAACCAGTTGTCTAGTCAACACTCGCCCTCCCGCTCGGGATTGCTGCAATTTTCCGTGGAATATCAGATGCAGATCATTACATCTCCATCAACTTCCTTGGAAGTCGGAGATGATGCTTTCCCTTCATTTGGGTATCTCCCCGTCGAATCCCAGACACAGGTCTCTGTCACACCCTTCATTCTGACACTTGTTTGGCTCATACGTCAACAGTTGTCTATTTTGCTCGGGCGTGCAGGTACCCGTCGAGGCCACCAGTCAGGGAGGGTGGAATGTCGCGGGCATTCCTCTTACCTTGAGCCTGATTACCAGTGCTTCGCAACCTCATCACTGTTGTCGACTGCTGTGGATTGTTGTTGTCTGTTGTCGATATAGTAGCTCATCAATTGAGCTTCTATGTGTTCGATAATATTGCTTTTCAGTACAGGTTGCATGTTACAGCAATAGATGATAACCAATGTAACTACCACTCTACCTCTAAAACCCACCGGCGTAATCCCCGAGTTCCATCAAACCCTTACTGCTACAAGCCTAGTCTCGTACTATCTATCTCACATCAATATATATTTCCATCGACAAGTCATCCACCACCCCTGTACCTATCCTACCCTCACCATCGTAATAAACCGCCCCTAAATTCGGCAAGCAGTACCACTTTCACCTAAACTTAGCTACCCCATCACTTATATCTTTGAACCCCAAAATAACGAAATCAACCATAATCAAACCATCCCATATGACCCAAACATAACCCCATAAATCGAAGCCTCAGGCACCTCCATCCCCACCCCACTTTCTATACCTTCACCTCCATGCATCCCCAGGCACCCAAGACATCCATCAAACCCAAACCCACCACTAGCGCCATCCTCAAATTCCACACCCTTTCCCTTTCCCTTGCAAAGCTTCCTTCAGCTCCCGAGTCTAACGCACCTCGTACCTGGTACCTGAGCACCACTACTACCCTTCCCGCTCTCCCCTTCCAGACCATGCTACTCCCCCTCAAACGGGTTACCGCGCATTCCACGCCATATATCCGGAATCCGCACTATAGAATTCACTCTACGCCTTCAACCTATCATGGGCTGCATCGACAGAACAAGAGCAGGGGGGTGGTGGTGGTTTCCATGGTGAGGTCGACTATGGGATAGCTGGGTATTCTCTTCTGAGGGTCTGTTGCTGTCGTTGCTGTTGTGTTCCTGGGGGAGGAATTGTGGTTGATGCGTGAGTGTTTTCCCTAGGATACGTAGACTGGGATCCTTTTGTTTTCGGATCTGGTTGTCCGGTGTTCTTGTCCGGTTGACTGGGTGGGCGGGTGTTTGGGCTTAGGGCGCAGGGATAGTATCTAGGGCATACATAGTCCGTACTGTCTTCTGGATTTAGTTCAGGGGATGAGTGATGGGGTGTGCAGGGTGTTGAATGGGGGTCTCTTCTTTGGATGAGGTTTATATGTGGGAGCAGTTGTATCTATTTTATGGTTGGTTGAGGTGATGGGATACGGGTTGGATTGCTGTGGCGTGGTGGTTAAGCTTTTATTTCTATTCTGTATTCTGTCCATCTCTATATATTTATCTTTGGTGGCGTTGGGAGATATTCGATGGTTACTGTTCTTGGATGTGTATGATACCTTGGGATTCGAGGCTTGTGTACTTGTGGTATGTAGCCATACTGTGAGAGGTAAGTCTATATCTAAGGATCTATATTGTTGTAGCTCTTTGATTGATATTTATTTGCTGCTATTGAAATTGGTACCTATTGATACATATGCACTTGGTACTACCGGTTAGTAGTGGAGGGGTCGCTCGGTAGTGGTGTCAAGACATGGGGCGCGGTAGGTGGCTGGGCGCTGCCTTTAATATCAACACCCTTCCTGTTCCACCCTCATGAATACTGAATCAGTTACCCTTATGGTTCTATCTACGATCGCCTCTAGAGCTAAGAGCTTATATGCAGAGCTAACCAACGCGTCACATGCTACTCGCTAACAGGTACTACGAGATTTCCTAGCAACAACAATTCCCCCCTCGACTACAGCTACACCCCAGTGAACCCTTTCCTCTCCTCCGCCGCCCAAACACAACACTCAATCCCCCTCTTCCTCAAATTTCCATCGATGTTCCGAATCTCCTGCACATAATACGGCTGCCTCGGCAGCTGCAACGTCCACCGCTGCCGCAGATGCAACTCGCGCAGCGGCTCCAGAAACACAGGCAACTTCTCGACGGGCTCGCAGAACCAGTTGCAACTCAGCTGCAGCGTGAACGCCTGCAGGCCCTGCATGCGCGTCACCGCCCGACATGTCTCGACCCACTGCTGCCGTCCGGCGGAGAAGTACACCGACTTGACGGGGTCATTGCTGGGGAGCCAGTGGCCCGGAAACGCCCAGCGGAGCTCGACGGCGCGGATTGCGTCCCAGAAGTCCGCGGGGATGGTCGGCCGCAGGTAGGTCAGCGACCAGGTATTGCTGAACTCGAAGGTGTTGAGCGTGTAGAGGGTGTAGATCGATTCGCTATAGCTATTTTTCCCATCACGAATTCGGGCGGTTAGTTTTCGGGAACGATTCAAGTCACGTTTGCCATAGTGGATTGTATGGGGGGATAGACAGAGGTAGCGGATCGCAGTCTAAAGGTGACGATGGGTGTACTCACATCTGTTTACAGGTCAAGGCCAGCGCGAGCAGTCCCGTCCGCTTGGTCACGGCCTTCGCGCTGGGCAGTCCGCCCTGACAGATCTCGCACCCTCCTGTCGTCTCTGGGCAGACGACATGGCCCATGCGTCGGTTCGATCGTTGCACGATATGGATGCGCATTCCGCCGAGAACAAGTTCCCAGATCATCATCCGCAGCTCGGGCGAGAGCTTCGCGAGAAGCGCGTTGTCTCGCTGGATGGTCCATTCCGTCCGGATGTCGGACTTTGGTTGCTGCTGCTGTGGCGCGCGTTGAACTTGTAAGGCGCTATATCGGCGGGATCGGGGAAGGGCGGTTGGTTTGTTGCCTTGGGAGGGCAAGGTATTCAATTAGTCAACAAAGATATAAACGAGGAGGGTAACCAATGTGGTGACACTCACTCTGATACCTTTGCGCCAACACGTCTTCCCACGAAAAGATTCCCTGCTTGATCCTGGCCATGGTAGAGCGTTGTATAAAAACCCTATGTTGTGCAATGAACGAGCGCGGAGAAGATTACAACTGTCAACAGTCCATGATTTCAATAAGACAATAAAGAAATGGCCTCTTTGTCCTTGATCAAAATAGAGTATACTGGGGCCGAATGAGGCACACGGTCGATTGAATCACGCGAGATCTCGACGTACGTGGCTGCGGGGGAGTGAGGGGGAAGAGCAAATCCGACTGTAAGCGCCAGCCTTAACCGGAGAGATTCATTGTGAGGGGAGGAAAAGAGACGTTGAGGGTGTCAATGCAGGAATCACTTGGCGAACCTCATGAGAAGTACCTATACACGAAAGCGTGAGGGAGAGACATCTCTGAAGAAAGTCGGTGAGATGAGATTATCACTCCCCCATCAAGGGGCTGGCCGCGAGTTTAAAATAGAAGGAAAGGAAGAGATAACTGCGATAAGCAGTCAATCCGTTCGGAGGATGTCGGACTGTCAGTTTCAAAGGTGAGAGATTACGGATTCATCGCCTAACTAAAATCCCGCCGGAGAAAGAAGCGGAGTAATTCCTGCTGGATTGCGTTCCTCGAGAACCACCATCAAATAATGATCCCTGGCCTTGTCAGGCATTCATCTTATCCCAATGGATCCTTATCGCTTTATCTTTGTGCTCCCCTTTCCTCCGATGAGATGAACGGCTGTCAGGCGCGCACTTGACTACTTCGTCACTATAACTGGGTCACGTTCATTTCGAGATTCATGACATTGTTATCTTTGCTCTAATAGTAAAAAATGGTCAAGTTTAAAATCTTATCTCACGCGCTATTCTCCTCCGACTTCTTCGCCTTGATATTAATCCATTCCAGCGCTGTCACTCCAAGGACACCGCAGTACGCCACGGCAGTTGCAATTGCAACATAGAGTGTCTGTGTCACAAACTTGTTGTACGCCAAAATGACTGCATCGTACAACGATGAGGGCACGGTATTGACCAGCCCGGTCGCATCCGCATTGACCACGGTGTTGGGGTCAATTGAAGGGACATCTTCGGCCAGGTTGCGGACTAACTGGTTGGTAAACACGCTCATCGCCACAGACTCCATGAAGGCTGCTCCGAGCTTCTCTGCGAAAATGATAATCCAAGGTCCAAATGCCACAACGGACAGGGAGGGGACTGTCTGGGAGGGTGAAAAGGCCGACTGCAAGCCGAACCCGATGCCCAGTCCCGAGGTCACTTGATAGCCAATCCAGTCGGCATGTCCGGAGTTGGCCTCTGGGGTACTTAGAAGACCGGCACCAATACCTAGGAGCACGACAGTTTCATATTTGAACGGCACGTAGTAGCCCACCACGGACGTCAAGAGACCTCCCAAGACAGACGCAACAACAAAGCGGAGGATCATGGGAAGGTTCATGATGCCCGACTCAAGGGCACTGGCGCCCTTGATGGTCTGAAACCAGATGGGGAGGTAATGTTGCAATCAGCACCATACAAGCTCTATCATGGGGAAATAGGTTGACTAACATAATAGAGCATCACGTAGAGGCAACAACACCGGCACAAAGCAGGGCAGAGCCCGGTTATGAAAGACGCGCATCGGCATTGTCGCCCGGTTTTCGCTCTTTATTTGCACAATGGTGAAGATGATGAGAAGGATCACGGTAATAACAAGAAGTGCAATGATGCGTCCGTTACTCCAGGTGTAGGTGGTGCCGCCCCATTGTAGGGCAAGCAACAAGCAACAAGCAGACGACGCCCGGCCACGGAGTCACTAAGCCAAGAGGGTCCATCTGCTTCACTTGTTCCAAGAGGCTGGTCTTGGTAGTCGCCTGATCATTCAGGGTTTGGATGAAGAAGATGATCACGGTAACCGGAATGACGCCCAGGGGCAAGTTGATATAGAAACACCCTATTCAGGTCAATATTGGGTTGTCAGTTGAGGCACCACCCTAGAGAGGTCCTAAAATCGCGGCGACACCTTACATGCACCCCATAAATCCGATAACCATAGGCCGTCGGCGTTCAGACCGATCAGGAAATGAGCTAGTTTCAAGCTGAGAATAATGACTAGGAGCTTAGCATTGCCAGTGTATTATGATTCGTCCGCGTTATCCTTGTGTCCGGCAGTAATCTGAGAGTGCTTGAATAGGTCTTGAAGATCGCCAAGTATGCGAAGGCAGCAGCCTCTAAGGGGTTCTCCTTCGGAAGTCTGTCGATGCTTGCTTGGTCCTGCTAAGGTCGAACCGCTAGACGCTCCTTGACAAACGAGAAGAGCTTGTCGCTAGTCGAAAGAACATTTGAATTCGCAATCGTAGCAGCCGTGCTGCAATTGAGGAGGAAGGTGGTTTAGTCATTGGTCATAATTATCATCACAAATTGATACAATTGAATCAATAGCGACGAGATCAGGTTGGTTGTAATGCTGGCTGAGGTAGCCGCGCGTCCCAATTGGCCAATGAGGGACTGAATGCTTATGATGCAAAATATCTGAATGGACATGAAGGCTTCATATCAACAGTTGAATTTTCTAATTGAAACGGTAAGCTTGCAATGGCATGGGTCTTGAAAGAGAGTGAGTGAGACGGAGAAAGATAAGATCTCTGAATTGAGGCGCTAACTGGTGAGCCATGGTGGCTCTCAATGATCTCCGGGCACTTCATGCCTTAGTGCTCAGGCTAGCCAGATTTAGTGTTAATTCCAGGCCGGCGGCCCGCAGCGCTTAGATCCATCACAACTACCAGTGATAGTCAAGATAGCCTACGGGTTTATTTGACACAATAACAACAGCCAGAATCTTCAATGGCTCACTTCAATTGACCATGCATAAGCGCCTTCAAATTGCATCTAAATATGTTTGAAGCACTCGGAATATGTGGCATGATAAATGCCTCGACATATACGCATATATAGAGGAATAAGCAGGCACTTTGCCCTCAACATCAATTCCCCGCAAACCTCAGTAGATTGACCTTGGCAGACTTCACGAACTCAAGGCTACGCCTCCCTTTCGGTCCCGAGCTAGCTACTCATCTCCCAAGGTTCGCTAACATCGTCAAATTCGGGCGCACGATAACCCTTCGCGCGGAAGACGTTCTCCCTCTCTATGTCATCCACGGGTACACCTTCTCGGGCCCCGACAACAACACTCTGACGGTCTCCATTTCCCGGAAGAAAATCACTTCAAAATGACGAGCACAACGCCAATGGCACCACCCACCCTCTCCTGGCCGCAATCTACCACATTCACGGCGGCGGCATGATCATGGGCGACCGCTTCATGAACCTCAACCTCCCCTTTTCGTTCCTCGCCTCGGACGACGTTATCTGCGCCTCGATCGAATACCGCCTCGCCCCGCAGCACCCCTTTCCTGGGCCTACCGAAGACTGCTACGCCGTTCACGGCGGTGTGTGTCTGAGATCGCGACAACAATCTCGAGGGGTGGACGGGCTTCCTGGGGGCAGAACGGGACACGGACGACGTGGGTGGGTATCAGACGGCGTAAATGGGTATGCGGCTGCGGCGCGGGCGGGGGGTCTCGCCGGGCTGTCGGAGACATATCTAGATTGGGTTCGACGGAGACGCTGCGCGATGAGGGGATTAGGTATGTATCGAGGTTGTTGGTGGTGGCGTGCAGTGTGAGTTGCATGTTTGGCCGGGGGCGTTTCTTGGATTCGATGGGCTTTGTCTTGGGGCGGAGTTGACGATGAGAGCGGTGGAGATGAGGGTGGATTGGTTGAGGAGATTGTGATTTGGGAGGTGTCGATAGATATAAGGTATTTCTATGGAGGAACGGAATGTTCTTCGCTGACTAGGCGAGTAGCGGAGGTCATAATACTGTTTATGTAAGGGATATAGAAGATATTCATAGATTATTGTGATCTGATGCGCAAACTGAATCTTAGATACTGATATAGGTTATCTATGGTATGATATCAATTTGCACAAAGAGGGTGGGAGTTTACAGCACGGCGAAAGCTGAAACATAGCTCACCGAGCTGTCATTCACATCTGTGATATCAGCACTTCGCTCATATCTGACGAAATGGAATTTGCCCCTCTTCCCTTCCTCTTGGCTGGTGATTTCTTCGAGGGCAGCCATGATGACACCGATTGGATGACGGCCGCACACGGTGTTCCCCGTCTTTTCGACTGCGTCCAGAAAACTCGCCGCGCGTCCCGTGGTGATAGCCGCCATGGTCGCAATATCGAAAGCTGAGATGCTTTCGTGAATTGCTGGCTCTTGACGTTGAATGCGGTCCCGTCGCTGGAGGGAATGACCGGCGGATACCATCTCCACGGTTTGTTCTACGTCTCTGTGGTTATTTCCCGGCTGTGGGAGCGAGTCCGCCGAAAGTGGGAGAACTGGTCCGGGCTTCGGTGCCTGGGGAACGTAGTAAGTGTAACGAAAGCGCAAGCCCCAGTGACAAAAATCAGAGCTGATAACGAATGCGTTCTCGGGATCTTTGAGGTAAGGAGCAAGCAAGGCCCCAAAGGCTTCCTCGGTGGCGGCAGAAGTGCTTCCCACCATAATAGGAACCAGTGGTGGATACTGAGATGTCGGTATGTCGGGATATTGGAGTTGAAGGAGACGGTGGATATAAGGGAGATGGAGCTCGATACTGTGCTCGGCTTCATCAACAGATCCACTCATGGTCGTGAAAGAGATGTTCGTTCCACTGCGCTTGACAGCTTTGGTTGATAAGAGCTTAGTGATAAGCTCGGTATCAAGCGGCAGAGGGTCGTCAGAGAGCGGGGTATAGTACGATGTGAGCTGGGGGAGAGCAAGCGTAGTCAAATAATGATGGTGGGAGGGGCCTAGCACGAAGATCCGTTTTCTGATGATGGAAGTAAGTTTCCAAGGACAAATACGCTCAGGGGTACCTATGATCCTTACGCCTTTGACAAGTCCAGAGCCTTATAGGCATGGGCAGCACATGGCCCGGAGTATGCATAGCCCGCATGTCTGTAGGATCAGCACACAATCAAAAGATGAATGGGTGTCTCAATCTGGACATACGGAGCAATGATGATGCGAGCACCAGGCACAGGCAGTGATCCGAGACCTTGAATCTCGTTGGGGACTTGAGCTAACCACTGGTCCAATTGACGCGTCAGAGTGTCTTGACTGTCGGAATACCAAGAGCCAGCGTGGGTGGCTTCACGAGAGGGCATGGTGGGCTAGTTTAATTCTTTAACGGACATATGCTAGCAAGGATTGATATGAGGACAAGTAAAAGAATTGCGAGAGTCAAGAATGTCAAGGAGCTGGGTTGCTTCGCCGGTTGGTCATAAGACAGCTTGATGAAGCAGAAGCGGGGAAGCGGGACTGCCCTCGTCATAGGCTCAAAACAGTGGAGTTTGCCTCATTCAGGTATCAAGATTCGAAGCTCCCCGCTGCCGGTATGCCGATCATCGTACCTGGCAAAAGAATTAACATATCTGACGGGCGCAAGTGTTGCAATGTTGTGGTTGAGATAATCGTGAAATGCGTTGATCTTGATTGAGAAGACTAGCTGATCGGTTCTGATGACGTTGCTTCTGAGATGCAAGGCCATTCCCGGCAAGCAAAATATATATAATTACCTTTGCGCATATATAAACACTTAATCAACACAGCTGCTATACCTACATCCATACACCAGAGTGACAACTTAACATATCCTACTCTAGCCTTCGCAACGAACCAACTAGATGGGTTGACGCGTTTGGTATCATCGTATGTGTCTGCATAGTGTCGGGAACCGCACCAACCCTTCTCATATCTCAACCTCAACGTATGATTCTGGTAACACGAATTTATCATGCAAATGCCCAAGTCAAAAGACTCAATTGAACTCCACAATAGCTCTAACAGCCTGGTCATCTGTGAACTACAGAGATGGAGGACATAATCTACCCGAACCAAGGTACGGCTGGTCCATTCAATTAAACCCTAATTTGGAATAGCGCATACTTTGTGTATCGCTACGCGGTCTCGCCCTCATTTTCTCCGCGATCCGACGCGCCGCCAGTGCCTCGACCAACCACGCCCGAAAAGGCTCTACCCCAGCCTTGCCCTGTTCCCTCCCAAGCATCTTCTAAATAAGAGAGCTGTTCTATCTCATCCTTGACTCACCTGCCGAGACAATCTCTCACAATCGCTCCCATAAGTCTATATATACTTTCATCGGTTAACATCACATTCGTTCGACGACCAGACGTTACGCCATTGACCTTGCATTCGACAAGTGAATCTGTACATTAAGAACCATGTCTCTCAAACGCAAAGCTTCGTTCCCAACCCTTGAATTACAAAATGGCACCTCGGCATCTATGAGAGAGACATGGAAGGATAATCAGATCCCTCAACACCTTAACAGTCGCACACGAAAGCGGTTCAGGAACGACCGCCCAGAGGATGAAGTTGTATATGGTGAGAGCACTTAAGTACTCCAAACGATGCAGGCATTGTGTTAATGTCTGTTAGAAAACACACTTCGTTGGCTGTTCACAGCCCAACAGCAACAGAGCTCGGTACCCCTTGCGTGCGAGGAAGAACAACCGGAATTTGAGTCCACCTTATCCCCTGAGACAGTCGACCCGCGCCAGCAGACGTTACTCAGATTCTTCCGTCCCTGTCAATCATTCCCCAACAAATCGTCCCCGAACACTTTCATGCAGAAAGCTAGCGATGCTCCATTCTTCCGCGCGGCACCCGTGCACCTCCACAACATGCAAACGTCTTCTCTAGCTCAGTCAACGGGTAGCAGTGCATTCAGCTCTGCTTCCCAGACCACGTATACCGATATGGATATCGAAATGGAATCGGGCAGTGATGAGTCAAACTACCAATTCAAAGGACGGGCTGGCGGTCTCGCCTGGATGGGACACCCTAGGTTCAATGTCTGAACGTCGAACAACAGCTTCGGTCTCTATTCTATGTCTATTTTTTTCTGTATCAGCGATTATACCAAGGTTAATTTCGTGCGTCACTGGGGTACCTTACCGGCTGCTGCTGGTCACGTCGGTTCCATTCGATCCCGAGCTGATGCGTCATCTCCTTCTTGATATCTGCATGGCATCGCTCATCTGTATATCTGCAGCTCCAAATACATTGCACTATTATTTTTGTTCTTAAACACCGTTGAATACGCGTGATTCTGTTAGTATTAATGGTGCGGCTTAGAATGTCGAGATGGACAAGCGCCTCGGACGCGGCCTGTACCTGTATCATTCCGCATATGCTGACATACGAGCGTGTAGTGCGAGATCATTGCGGATGGGACTGTATGGATCAATGTCCACAGTCCTTCTCTGGCTGGAATAGTAAGCTGTCTACCAAAACTGGCTAGTACTGTTTTGGGTAGCACCAACGTATTCACAAAGAGGCCTGAGCAGGAAGTAGCAAATCAAAGCAATGAGGTTATCCCTCACGTTGGCATAAGAAAGTTGATTTATGAGACAGGGTGGCTGAAGCTACAACATGCAGTCACACGCTCAGTTTCGGGTGTCACATGCGGGGAAGTAATGCCTCAGGTCTCCAGCGGCTCTATCCTTGCGCTACGCTGTTGACCATCTTTCTTCTCCCGAAGACGACCAGATCACCAACCGGAACACGCCCAATTAGCTTCAGAAGCCGTCGCCTCAGCTGAAGATATAAACCCCGCTTGATATTTCCCGAAGACTGCACCCAGGCAACTGTTACCCTCTCGTTTAACATCGGACAACGCAGAACAGTCCAGACCGCCAAGTTCTCCCCTGCTAGTGGTCGCCTTCACCCCCGCTCCCAAGAGAAGGTCAAGCCGGCAGCCTGCCTAGGAACGACTGATTGAGCCAAAAGGAAAAGCTATACAATCATGGATGAGAACAAGGCCGTGCAATACTTGGAATCGCTGATCGGTCGAGTCCTCCGGGTGCACGCGACAGACACGCGCATTTTCGTGGGCACCTTCAAGTGTACAGATGCGGTAAGTGGTTTCCACCCGCCTTTCCCTTCGGATTTGGCGGAAAGATACGAGTTCTCACGCAGTGCCCGCGGTGACTTGATTCTTGATCTGACCTCTCCTTTTTTTCCCTGCATTAGGCACGAAATATCATACTTGCCAATACCCACGAGTACCGGTTTCCCTCTCCGTCTGCCGTTCGAGACGCGGCCACGAATGCGGACGAGCTAGCCGCAGAAAGCGCGGCGACCGCGCAGAATATCACACTGTCCATGACTAGTCGGTTCATCGGGCTCGTGGTCGTCCCCGGTCAACATATTACCAAAATTGAGTTGGAGGAGACCCCGCAACAGGGCCGTATGCGGGACACCCTCGGGTCATAGTGAGGTTGCGATCTCATCGAGACAGACTACTGGAAGCTTAATTACCCTGCGGCACGGGTTACTCAAGCCACGAACACGAATACTACACTTGTGCTATTTGGGATATGAAGGGGAGGGTCCCGGGGAACATGCTGGGAGGGTGTTGCCTATATGTTAACCGAGCAGACGCATAAGTAGCGCAAAGCCGAAGCAGTCTGCACGCTTACCTGCGCGAAGGACCCACACATAACCACGCTTCGAAAACGAATTGAACTGGGTTTCCCTGCCTGAGCTGAGCTATTGTGCGAGCCAAGGCGACGCCCTCGAGCATTCCAACCACAACGTGGTCAGGAGAAATTTTCAGACAAAGTCGTTGGTGCTTGGCGCAGTGCATGGGCTTGGCAGCAGCAGCCACCGTCGTGACCATGCTTCCTGGGAGTTGGAGTTGAAATGGCGGTGTTCCTGCAGTTTGGCATACCGTCGATTGTTGAGATGCCGAGTTGGTGTGAAGGGTGTCTCGCATGGCATGATTGTTGCGTCCGCAGGGCTGACACAAAATCAGGAGGTAGCATAAGGGCAGTCCAGGGCGGATGACCGCTCCAGGGAATGGTGACGATTTCATCACATCGAACCACAGGATCATGGCTCGGAGCTTTGCATTGTGTATCTATAATCAGCCACCTGAGTGGATCAACAAGTCACTCATGACGGCGAGTCGGCTGTGGCCGGAGCGTTCTAGAGGCTGACTGTCGGTGATCATCCGAAGATAAGTGATGCGTCCGGGATCCAGGCAGAATTGAAATCTCCATGCATGAATCCAAGAACGACGAACCTATGATCTCTGGAAAGGAACGAAGCCAAGGACTTGGAGGGAGTGATGCGGAGAGAAGAGACCAACCATGTGGCTATGCGACTTCCGCGTAAAGAAGCACTGGATTTCGATTAATGCTATAGTTTTCATGAGAGATATGTTTGCGATGGAGAAGAATGGGATAGTCATATTGTCATTGATTATCCCACCGTAGTCACTAGTGTTATAAATAAGTCTGATGGGGACTCAGAAAGTCTGGATCGAAGTAAGATTTGACTTGAGGTGATAAGATTCTGTGGACAGTGACAAAGAAACCCACCCTTGTTCATCATCAAACATCATCATACTTACGGTGTGAGTGGGTTTGAGTGGGTGTGTGCTATAATAAGCAAGTGGTTCCTCATCTCACCCCGATCCAGCCAGACAGCCCTGGCAGTAACTTAACCCTTCCGCTAAGTTCATTCCTCAGGCTTCAAAGAGCTGGAGCTACCAGGCTTAAGCTTCCCCCGTTCCGGGCCGACCGATTAATCCGGACTTGCCACACCCGTTCAAGGTTGGCTGCAGGATTCGAGACCAAAAACGAACTGAGCTGTTAAAGTAAGTAGCCTGGAGGTAGTAAGTAGTAGGAGTTAAGTGGAAAGTACTCAGGTAGGTAAGCCTGGGGTTTGAGGCGAGAACCTTCACTTTCTTCCCCTTCCACACCGTTTATTTGTCTCTTTTTTCTCCTCCCCTCCCTTCCTTCTTCTGCCCTTCCACAGACTGGCTTCCATCCCACTGTTATTGGTATTGACCCTTCTAGTAGCTCGGTTGTCTCAAACCTGATACTTTGTGGCTTGTGTATGTGTGCGTGAGAGTGTGAGTATTATGGTCTGGTCTGGTTTCGATCCCCATTCTTTTCACTGCCACATCCCCCGTGATGACGCATCTTCTTCGCCTGTTCAACTCTTATCGTTTCCCCCTCCCAGATCTCTCCCACGTCCACCCCCTCCCCCGTCAGAAACGCGCCCCCCCTCAAACTTTACCTAAATTCTCCGTTCGAGTATCTTACCTGCCTGCTCTCCATCTCCACGTGTCACCTTTTTCAACTGGTTTCTAGTGCTTCCCCGGGTGGTATTTGTCATGAACTAGTGTTCTGCTTCTCGTTTTCCGCCTGGTCATGTTCCTTCATCGTCCTAACGGTCGCGAATTAGGAGCTTCTCGGCGAATCGGAGCTTATCCTTCCGAACACTAGCTCTCGGTGGCTGATGCTTTCGTCTCCCCCAAGTCGATGCAGTGTCCATCCATTCCTCCCTCTAATTCTTCTGCGCCATTAATCGACTCGACTCCCCTGTATCCTTCGCATCATCTCGGAGGGCTGGATCCCTTATCTTCGTACGAACATCTATCGTGACCGGTATTAACACCCGCTTCGCATCGTCGTGTCTTGTGGTCATCAACTGCCCTCGTGACGACCTTCGACCCTGTCGACTCCACCATCAGCGAAGTACCTTCTTCTCTTTGTATCTCTCCACCTACACTAGGAGCCATACCTAGCTAAGACACCTGCTAGCATTCCAGCACCTAGCAGGGCTTAGGACTCGGTTGCTGAACCTATACCTATCGTCGAGCGTTTGGGATTGAGCTTGGCAGATATTTGCCGCTGCGGTAATGGGTCAATCGCATTCCAAGGGCAACAATGGCCCTGGCGATTCTTTGCAATCGTATCCATCCTTTTCTCGCTCTGACACCAAGGAATCCCTTCGCTCTCTTCGTGGCTCGATCCGATCCAAGATTCGTAGCAGCGACAGTCCCCGTGCCTCCACATCTGCTCTGTACCAAACGGAAAGCCAAACCGATAAATCCGATGCTGGCTCGATCAAGTCGGCGGCAAGTAGACGCAGCTCCACCAATCTGAGTACTCAATCTCCTGTTGCCGATGATTCTGCTTCCAAAACCGACTCCTTGGAACCTCCTCCGTCTCCATCCCTGTCGAACAGTCTGAAAAGAGGCCACAAAGATGTGAACGCGATGCAGCAGAGTGGGGAGGTTGATCTTGTATCGGACGCCCCGCCGACCGGTGTCGCGCCCAAGGGTCCGTCCACGCAAAAAGTTGGCGAATCTATCCTCATCAAAAGAGAAAATCAGTTGAACCCGATCCTGGACTTCATCATGAATACCCCTATGCACGAGGCATCTGGATCGCCGGGAATGGGGATGGGCGCTTTGAAGTCAATTGACCTGGACGACATGATCTCAAGACTCCTTGATGCCGGTTACTCGACCAAAGTCACCAAAACCGTCTGCCTAAAGAACGCGGAGATCATGGCCATTTGTACCGCCGCACGGGAACTTTTCCTATCTCAACCCGCCCTCTTGGAGCTGTCGGCTCCTGTCAAGATTGTTGGCGATGTCCATGGTCAATACACCGATCTCATTAGACTGTTCGAGATGTGTGGTTTTCCCCCGGCCTCGAACTACCTCTTTTTGGGTGATTATGTGGATCGTGGAAAGCAGAGTTTGGAAACAATTCTGCTACTGCTGTGCTATAAACTCAAGTACCCGGAGAATTTCTTCCTCTTGCGTGGCAATCACGAGTGTGCCAACGTCACTCGGGTATATGGATTCTATGACGAGTGCAAACGGCGTTGCAACATCAAGATCTGGAAAACCTTCATCGATACCTTCAACTGCCTTCCCATCGCTGCTATTGTCGCTGGCAAGATCTTCTGTGTTCACGGTGGCCTGTCGCCCAGTCTTTCTCACATGGATGACATCCGAGGAATCGCCCGTCCGACGGACGTACCGGACTATGGACTGCTGAACGATCTTCTTTGGAGTGATCCTGCGGATATGGATGAAGACTGGGAGCCCAGTGAGCGTGGTGTCAGTTATTGCTTCGGTAAGCAGGTTATCATGAATTTCCTGCAACGGCATGACTTTGATTTAGTCTGTCGAGCGCACATGGTGGTTGAAGATGGCTATGAGTTCTATCAAGATCGTATCTTGGTCACCGTTTTCTCTGCACCCAACGTGAGTATTTCCCATAGCATGTGCCAGTGGTGTCATTCTTACTAATTGTTTCTGAACTTAGTATTGTGGTGAATTTGATAACTGGGGAGCCATTATGTCTGTCTCGGGCGAACTACTGTGTAGCTTCGAACTTTTAAAACCGTTGGATTCTACGGCTTTGAAGAACCATATTAAGAAGGGTCGGAACAAGCGAAACAGCATGCTTAGCAGTCCTGTAAGTCGTCCCTTGCTTGCTCACTTTTTCTTGCCAAGTCCGAACACTGCTCCCTTGTGTAACAATGCCGAGGTGTTTGTACATTGGACGATTCTTTCTCTTTTCGCGCTGGTGCGTTGACATGACTATAATGCTAACTTTTGCAGCCTGCAATTGTCTCGGCACAAAGCTACTAGAAGTCCCGGTACTTGCATGCCAAGTGATCACTATCCGCCATATGTCACCATCGAAATGCCTGGGTCCTACACCGTAAAAATTGACCAATGCCCATCGTTCGCTATCGGCAGTGCAGACCTTTCCAATTGGCTGAACTAGCACAGTAGCACCGTCAACTCGGCAGCTGCACCACAGTTTCCCGTCAAAATTTCGGGTGCCAGCCTAAGATATGCCACTGCAGTGCAGTGATCCTGGCTCTACCGACCAATTCCCTCCACTCATCCGATCCTCGGCTTAGCAGATGCCAGATATGCCAGGTTCGTCATCTCTCATGTTACTCAGAATCGACAGCATAGCGAGCCGATGCTCCGAGACACACGTCCTCGACAGACAGACCTTAGACTGTCCATACATGGTCCAACCAGCCGTACAGTCTTTCCAGACCTGCAAATACTCATTTGCTATACAGGGAGGAGGAATTTATGACTCAAAAACATGAAAGGAGCTCGGGACGATGCGAAAGTCGCCTGCGTGCTTTCTTTAGTATGATAAATCATGGTTCGCCATCATCACATTTGAACACTGCAACGATAATTTGATGCGTCACGATATGTATGCCGTATTAAGCAAATCAACAGGTTCTGGGTCGTTTTATTTTGAATTCTTGTTAGTTTGCTGCCTTCTGCATGAAACATGGTTCGTTCGATCTGTTTAACTGCAAATCGGGTTTGTGGTAGATATTTAAGAGGGAAATTACACTGGCGTTTTATTGACTGGCAGGTCTCGTTCCGACCTTTTTGTTCTTAAGTGTCTTGTGGTCCGTCTTTTCATCTATGAAAACGCGTTTACCATTGGGAGTTTACCGAAAGGGTGTATGTACATCACAAAATACAGACAATCGAAATCCAATAATGACAACAGACATCGGATTCGGGTAAGATGAGCCGGCCTATCTACCCATAGGTAACGATCGAGGCAGGGGGGGGGGGGGGGGCGGGGCGAACCAATTTCCATCTTGATGATCTGCTGTTGCTGCTGCTGCATCGTAGTACGTCAACCACGAAACTTTCGAGTGGCCATCATAGTACGTCACTTTGACTTTCGAGCCAACCACTGTACCTAATATCCTGTTTCATTTTCTTGTTTTGCCATTGTCTCTCCAGGATAGATAGACGTTCCCCATAACTCTTAGACTGAATAGCCACTTAGTCATAATGCTGTCCTACACCCGGATAATGACCGCTGGTTGAAGTAGAAGAACCGAGGACTTGTGCTTGACTTTTATGCGCCCCAAGAAAGATATCCCTGCGAATGACTTTGCCAAATATACGGGGACTGTTGCATCCTCTGGCACACGATGGATAAGATGGGCAAATGAATTGATAGTATGGTAGTTGGAGCGGCGGTGCCAGCTGAATCCCTCGCTCAACGAACACCCTCGAGAAGCCGGTTGCTAGGTGCTGGTGATCTGATGGTGTGCGGGACTGCGTGGGATACTAGACTCTGATCTCGCTCGAAAGTGTCTCTTGGGCTTAAACAGAATGGGATTGAGGCGCCTCTTCTGGTGAGTCTATCCGTTCGGATGCAAGGTATCACTCCCGCTGTTAGCAAATAATCATGGGCTCATGGAGACGGCCTTGAGACGTCTTCGAGCATAAACCAAGAGCTAGTCCGGTGTGAAGAAAAGCATATCGCACGAATGGCTGCGTTGCCTGTCAGCGTAATAATGATTCGAGTTGCCATAGGGGTCTGGATTCGTCCCTAGATCGAGTGTATAGCATGCTTATGCTGCTATAGCTGACATATAGGTAAGTCACGGTGCATGGCAGACTCAGGCACTTGAGATTCTTTGTTTCCATCATGCATAAGTGGAAGGTGAGATCCATGAACCTTCTGCCTCTGATGTTTGCCTCTCATGAGCGAGTACATATTGACTGTCGGACTTGGTTGGTAGCGGCTTGGGAGCGATACTTCCTGCCAGATGTTAAGCCATACATAAAAGTGACCATTGTCTCGGATTATCCTAATAGCATAGTTTAGTACTACATTGTTGCAGACTTGAGGTGTCAAAATAAGGGCCACTCGTAGCCGCAAGGACAGCCAAGCCTAAGCTTGTACCTGACTATTTCCATCACTATCGTTCCTTGGCGTCGAAGACAAACTTAAAGACGCACAAGACTTGTACTTAGGCTTCAGTATATTACGCGAATTCGAAGGGCTACATGCCATGTCTTCATGAAAATCAGCCACGGGCATCTGTCTCGCACCCCAAATCAACCCTTACAAAGCGTCCAAAGCATCGGCACTTGGCTCAACTATCTCTGCACAGAGACTAGGGGCAGTGGGCTTATAAGTGGAACTACAAGTGAACTTACTGAAACTCATCTCAGGCATCTCATAACAAAGTACGGAGCAAGCATTCAAATCCACTCAACACATACTTTGAAACATAGTCTTATATTTTCACAGCACAGAGAAAAGTCCCATCGTCCCAGTGTCAGCCCTGACGCCCGTCTGTTGATATCAGAGAGAGGGTCATACAGGCTCGAGACTCTGTACGTGTTACTTCTATGTCTGGTGGTTTGGGACAACAGTGCTTGAATCTTAGAGAGGCTGGCCCCTGAACCCAGGCTGCTGCACAAATTATGCAGATGACAAAGCATATGACCGCTTGTGTACAAGCATGAAGCTAGACTATGATAGTACTAGCGCAAGTCTCCGAAAATGGGCAAGTAACAGATTGCTCATTGCCTAACAGCAGCAGAGCACAACAGAAGAAGACTCAGGACTCAAGAGCATAATGCTCGATCTAGGCCACCAGCCGTCTGCCTTCTGGCACAATGCTGCCTACCAATAAATCGCCTGCGTCTTGTCATTGAATGCATCACCCTTCGGAGTCCGCCAGCCCGCCAGGCAGGCCCGAACTAGGTAAGTAGCCAGCCAACCAGTCACTATAATCCGTGCAGCCTCACTCTGCCGCCTGGCAATTAGTTCCCATGCAGCCTAGCCCCAAGAAAGAGCTGAAATGGCAGGCTCCTTCAATGACTCAGAAATTAGGTAAGCGGTCTAGTCTCACCCTTCCCACGGTATCACAACAAAGCGGCCCCGAAAAAAACAACGCAGGTACAGCTGGCAGCACTGCGCAGATACCTACGTACTGTACCTTGCCCATGCGCATCGCGCATACGGGGTCTGTCTTGCCCTGGCACCCTCCTAACCTTCCTAACCTAGAAACCTCAAATCAAAAAATCAAGAAGCAGCCAGGACATGCATGCCTACATACGTACATACCTTACAGCTGGTACAGGAACTGACATGTCTGTCCTGTTTCAACTCCGCTCAATGACATTCCAGACCCGAGGCACGGTTGTTCATCTGGCGAAGTTGAGCTTGAGGTCCAGGCGCTCGCGGGCCATGATACTGATTATAGTACAGTGCATACGAATATACAGTATAGTAGCATACATTACCGGCCAACAACATATGTCTACTTCTAGGTCGTGAGTTCCAAGCACACGGGACTGTTTCCCTTCTAGAGTGATGAAAAGTACAATTACTGTAGTCTGAGCGAGCTTCCGTCTTTTCCGGGGCTTGTCTACAGAGAGCCCATTACGGCGTGCAGTCAAGACAGCGGTGAGGTCATGAAGGGGAATAAGGGATCATCTGATATCGAGGAGTAGAGGAGGGCCTACTAGTACCAATGAAGACTGGCTTTCTGAAGCTTCCATCCAACCACAAATGCGTGCTCACTGGGCTGGCTTCGGGGAGATTCGAACCAGAACGGAACGCTGTAGCTAGTCTAGGTAGGTATGGTGTTCTATGTCCTGACCCCGGTAGGGTTTAGGGGATTATTTTGGGTACTGGGGGCTTGGGGGCGGGGGGGAGTGGGTGGACGCGGTGCATAGCCAGCTTGACCTATCCTGTTCGTTCGTTGGTAGCTAACTAACTACCGTACCTAGTACAGAACCAAGGCTAGACTATATGGGCTCCATGGGCAAGTTAAGTCAGTGCTGCAAGGTAAGGTGGTACGTAAACTGCTTGGGGAAGAGCTACATGCTACACCGCAGAAACGGTCAGCCCGTTGAAAAATAGCAGTAGTATAACGTTGTTTGGCACCCGGGCTTTTCTTCCCCGAGTACAATTGCAATCGGACTGAAGTGAGATGGTTCGATTTTGGGAAGACCACTCAATAATCAGATAGTTCGTTTCGAAGGTTTAGAGACGGTGAGAAGGTATAATCGCGCAAACTATAGAAAGCTAGACTGCGCAGACCCGGTATTCGGGAAAATCCAAAATCAATTCTCTCGGAAGATGGTGAACAAGGCAAATCGATACAGCAGCATCATTATTGTCAATGTCTGGGAGGGAAAGGACGATCTTCTCACCGTCACTCACGTAGCACGCCAGCCAGTGATGGCAATGATACGATGTGAAGATGGCCAGGTAGGTAGGTATCCGGACACGGTGCTACTATTTTGGTCTAGGTTCGTTTCTGAATAAGCTAAGCTGCTGCTGCTGCTGAGTGTTATTGTTCTGGTGGTTCCTGGCCTTGGTCGAGAATCACTGGGGGCGTTCGTCCTGCTGACATGAGTCCATGACGGTATGGCACCGATGGAGACACACGGTCATGTGATCGAGTGTCGTAAGAGGCTGTAAATGATGCATTGAATACACCACTGCAGCCAGTCAGAGCTATCTGCAAGCTGTTCTATACGGTCATTTGCCGGGGTTGGTCGCCCTCCTGTGACCAGCCCGTCTCGTATAACAGGTAAGGCAATTGGGTTGAACCATACCGTATCTTGGGTCGAAGGGAAGGCCCAGACAAGACCAGCACTGCACGGATTATCACCACCATATCTGGTGTTCTGAAGAGTTGTTGAGAAGATCCAATACGGAAAATCCGTTGGTCGAGAGACTGTCTCACCCTCTGCCGCGCCACAGCATTAAACTGAAGACGCAAGTGGAAGGAGTCCGGGGCGATGAAGACGGTGTCCAACTTGAAATCAGGCGGTGCTCAGGAGTCAAAGTGTGGCTGGTGCCCGGGCAATAAGGCTCACTCGCCCTCCCTCCCTCCCTCCCTCACTGACACACTCGCTCTCTAAGGTGTATCCTGGGCCTGCTCACTCATTGAACCCAATGGGTCCTTGAAACCGCGCTTTTGTCGGGAACTTCAAGTGACGAATCATCCGGGTTTCCGCCTCGTCTCCAGTCGGGCTCTGTTTGCCCCTGGCAGGCAGCACGGTGGAGCCTTGGACGCTTCGATGAGGATTCCAGACATTCTATTTTCTTTGGATTTCGAATGATGGACCCCCATCCACAATAGGCCATGACGTCTGTAAAGCGCATTGGGATCGACGATGCTTTGTAGAGCGTAGGCGATGAGTGCAGCAGCAGGCGGACCCGGAGCTTCTTCCTACTAGTTGCTCTGCAAGATGACCGATCCTCCCTTCTTCCTGGGTCGTAAAACCCGGGGGAGCCACTAGAGATTCGATTTGGTCTGTTTTTGGCATTGCTCCAGGCCCCAGTCCAGATTTGTTTCTGGCATGGTTGTCTATTCCCGATATACTTCTTCCTCCTGTTGGGAAACATACAAAAGGCCCCCATCGTCCTGCCCTTCATCTCCCTTCTTCTAATCCAATCGATCAAGCAACTACTACTATAACAACGCAACAACACTTCAAACACATTTGGTCCCTTCTCTATTCTTCTCATTCTTCATTATCTTGTGAATCCTTTGCCTCCGTGTGTTCCATCATCCTCTTGGCTCTCTATTGTGTCTTGCTCAGCCACAGATCAGCCAGTCCTTATATATCTTCTGCCTCTGTCAATCCTCCTGCATTATCGAGCTCATATACCTTATTTTGCTACTGGCGGTCTTAACATTTTGACATCCATCTACTTTTATTATTTTATACCGACTTTCACCATGCCTCACAAAGTCAGCGATTCCACTTCGTCCCTGTCCAGCAGCGGCAGTAGCGGAAACCGGGTTGCTGTGACGGATATGCGAGGTATGTCTAGATCTTATCTCCGTCCATTCTTCTCCTCCATGATCTTCGAGCTAACCAACACTCTTGGAATTAGGATCGCATACTGGCCCTCGTCGAACACAGCCTCCGGTAATCGTTCATAACCAGGGTGGTCAAATCTACGACGAGACGAGACCTTCGGATTGGGACAAGCAACGGTGGAAGTAAACTCATCCACCCCAGCCTGTTCCGGGACGAAGAAGCTCCCCGAAGCGCTGCTGGGCAGCAGCTTGGGTCAATTTGTCGCCGGGACCGCGGATTATCCGCGCGGCTTCAATTCCAAAAGTGAGGCGGACCGATCGACGGCTGCTTGGCCCTTTCGAATGACTATCGTTCCGGCGTCTCTTTCGTTCTCGACCGGCAGGCGACGGATGATGCTCTCTCGCCATTCTGGACTCTTCGTCACCGCAACAATACGGACGGGATAACCTCCCTCCACTTCATCCCCCCTTGACGAAGATGCATTGCGTCTCCTCCGCTGCCGCCGTTCATGCCGTCAGTTCACATTGGAATTGTTGTTCCGGATTACCGCTAAAACCCCCCTCTATTGCTGTTTCTTTTCCATTTCTGTACCATACATCATCTGTGCCATATCTCGGGTTCTTTATGATCTTTGTTGCTTTGGGTTTCCTCTTTCGGGAGAGCTTCTTGCCCTCAGCTCTCTACCCCTCCCTCCCCAGACCTTCCTAGGTCCCTCACACCACCTCCTCCCCGACACGTACACACACGTGTTACATTCCTTCACCCACTGGGCGCAGAGGACAAGGTCGCCGAACACTATCTCGGCCGTGTCCCATTGTCAGAGTCAACTGCAACGAAATGAATCCAAGTTCTCAACCCTTGCTTGCTTGCTAGCAAGCAAGACTGACTAGGGATACTTCACTCTGAGACTCTGAGCCAGTGCGGTTGGCCCTCCCCCTCCATCCATCCCTTTTCAATTCCCCGCCTTGCCCCATGGCATTCGTGTACCATACCGCGTCTACTTCTTTTCTGTCATTTCCGCATAGCGTGGGGCCTTTCTTCTGGGGAAGGAAGTTGTATTCTACCTCACCTTCTGCTTACGCCATCTCACGTCCCATCATGTCATGTCATGTCACTCGTTCATTTGCTCGCATCCGCATCCGCACCTGCATCCGCCTATGCGAATGCACCAATACTGCACTGCATCTGCACCCTCCAGGATTACTCATGACAGTCTGCGATTGCCATCGGGGATGCAGCAACAGCAGCAGCAGCAGCAATAACAACAAGAGCGCAGGTCGCACAAGACCAACTCACTCACTTATCCCACGATGTACCTTTCCACTCTTTTGGACATGACCGATGCCGTTGTCAGCTAACCAACGATTGCCGGTGTGTGTGTGTGTGTGTTCGATAGGAGGGTATATCTGTATCATACTGTTGTTTTTCGGGTTTGTGATCACTAAATCATTGTACTACTTTCTACAATATGATAACATTACACTATACATGAGCACTTGGAAATCTCCTTGGGATGGCTGAGACCGACCGTACTTGTCAGGGTCTGATTCCACCGCATATCTTTGCTATCAATCAACACAGCAACATCCGTCATCATTAAATTAATACTTCCAACTCCACTGCGACTAGAATCTGGCTGGTGTACACAGCCAACCAACCCACCCACCACCCCCAATAACCTCCCATAGAAAACCACAAACTTCCCCATTCGCACATGCGCTGTAGTCGATATACACGATGGGCTAACGCCACGGTGTTGAAAAAAAGGGATGAGAAGAGCTAGTCGTCTCTTTATACCTGTTATTATTTTGCGGAGAGAGTTTGAGACGTACACACCCACAGCAGCACTCACTCTTCTCAAACCAACCCAGTCAGCAATGTGGCCGTGACCACAAGCCAAGAACCAACAGGCGTTTTGCACTGGTGTGTAGATGATTCTGCTTGCTTGCTTGTTGGCGGCGGCGGCGGTGGTGGTGGTGGTAATGCCGGACTGGGGATCCGATCATAAGTCAGACCGGGGAAGAACGAACGAAGCGCATCGCCCCTTCTTACCATTCTATCTCCTGACGAATATGCCAATAATATACGCCAAGGGTGGATGGAGATTTGCGAGAAATACCATCTACGGAGAGAAGCAAAGAATATTCTTGTATAAGTTTCTTCATGCAATACCACGCAGGCAAAGATATGAAAAAGAAGGTTGTGGTGGGGTCTTTCAATTTGTTCCATCTATAGCTCTTCTTCTTTCTTGAGCCTCCTTGCTAGTATGTTGTGTAGGTAGTGTGGAGAGTGTAGGTCATGTGTAATGTGTAAAAGCGCAAAATTTAGAAGGGGATAGGTGGGTGGTAGGGAGGTATGTGTAGGGCCGCGAGAAAAGATCTGGTTCGCCCAAAGCATTCAAATCACAAAAACCACAGGGTAGTCTGTTTTTGGGTTTCTCGAACTCCCTTGTCATGTTTGTTTTTTTGAGGGTATATGTATAATATGGTTTGATCTGTTTTCACTTGACAGGGAGCTCTTTTCTGCTTTTTTTTTTGTTGTTGAGGGAACCTCATTCCATCATCCAAGAAAATGATAAGAGAAACAGCGGCGGCAATACTATCAAAAGCATGCTCGCACTCCTGCTTGAATGAAGAATGGAGGTCGAGGTTGAGCCACATTAATGTTCTTTACGAGTGACAAATGTAAGGTCGGGCAATGTAGAAAGAGGAAAAACACAACACCTTCGGACCAGGCAGCCGCAGAGAAACGAAAGATCTGCATTGCTGGACTGGAGCTGCGAAGAGGGGGGAATAGAGAAAGAAAAACACAGTAAAATGCGGTAAATTCGAAGAGCTCGCGCTTGCAATGCTAGTTATAGAAGACGACAAAAAACGAGCTAGATGCAACTTGGTGAGCCCAAGGGGTGGTATGCGAATCGAAAGATGGGTATGCAATTTTTGAACAGGGAACAAAGGAAGATGGTGGTTGGAGGAGATAAACAAAAAGGTGAAACCCTATTCAGCAGATTGGCTGCGGTCGGATCGAGGAGAGATCGTAACCAGAGATGGCAACTATGGCACAAGACGCAAGGTACATCGATTCTAGGTGTCAGGAGAGGTGATGATATACTATCGATGAAGGGTACTTCCAGCCAGCTCAAGTTTAGTAGCCCGTGCTGAACGACATCTGAGGTTGGAGATATTGTTGTTGATATGTCGCTTCCTGTGCGTAAGCAGGAGCACCCGTGTAAGGAACACTAGGAGGGGGCGTGGGTGACGGTGAGCAGGCGCTCGTGCCAGCTACTCCTTTGGCAAAGGTGGGATTACCACCGTTGGCGAAGACCTCGTTTTCAGGAGTAATTGGCGGTGTGATGTAGCCGTGAGCCATGGTGGATGATTGCGGGGCCTTTTGCGGCGTCGCAAGACCAATTTCCCCTTCATAGGGTTTAGACTCGGCCGGGACAACATCGGTTGACGGGCTAGGGGGCGTGTAGCTCGCAACCGAGGCCTGCCGGGTGAGGAACTGCTCCAGGACCTTCGACACCCGAGAATAGTGGGCCGATGAGTACTTCCTCGAGAGCACCTGGGAGGGCTGGTGTAATTGTTGAGACAAGCCCACTAGCGTCATTGAGTCGTATTGAGAAGCCCATTCGGTGTGGCGAGGCTGAGTCCGGTTCAGAATGCACCGTGCCAGAGCCAAAGAGGCTCTGGCGAGATCGGACGAGGGCTTGGAGACGAATTCCCGATGGAACAAAGATATTTCCGCGATATAAAGAGCCAGGTGTTCGACTTCAGCGTCGTAAGGGCAATCCATGACGGCCATCTGTAGGAAGTTGTCTACCGTGGGATGTCCGATCGTCCAACCCAAAGTCTGCAGCACGTGCCACTCCATCTGGATGAACATGTCATCGTCGTAAAGGGCGCAGCACATCGACTTGAGTTCCTTGATGGTAGGAACACGGTCCTTCTTGTCACCGTATTTGGCGGCGATGAGTAGAGCCGCACACCCGACTAATTGATAATGTCTCTTGTAGACAACACGTTTCGAGCAGTATCGGTCGAGCAGGTTGATTGTCAGGAACAGGGTAGACGGCAACAGTTGGAACGCGGTATGGGCTTCAATCAGGAAATCAAGGAGGTAGGGACGCATGAACCATTGAATCTCGGTTTGAATGTCGATGGACTCAACGTCAGGAAGAGTGGCGGTCTGTAGAATTAGGATTAGCCAGGAACGTCTTACAACCAGCGAAGGGAGAACTAACATCCATGTCCAGCATGTGCGCCAGAATGTCATCACGGAATTCTTCGCTAGTGATTTTGGAAAGTTCATCCGCAATGGCATACTGACGCTCACGGGCAATCAGTCTCGCATGCTCCTTGGGTTCCATACGGGGAGCCGGGAAGTCATCATACGACTCCACAAAGAAGGTATCACAAGGCTGATAGCTAGAGGCAGGACGCTTTTGGTAGGCCATGTTGTCGGATTGGTGATGATAACGATCCGAAGGATTATTGTAAAGAGTGGATCTGATAGATGATTGTCTATCAGGAAACGACGGAGTTCAGAGAGTGACAGTCGCCGAATTAGTTGGGGAAATTAATGAGCGGAATTAGTTGGAAATATTAGGGTGTCCAGTAAGATGACGATAGTCCGAGCACTGGAAAGAGAAAGAATAGCCTGACAGCTGGTGGAGAGCCTTTTGCGGTGGCCGGAGCTAGATGAAGTTAAAATTAGTATATATGATATTAGGAATAGAAAACAAAGATAATGAAAAACTAAGATGGTAAAAGAGTGTGATGCAACATAGAGCGAAGCAAAAGGAATTATAAGATGTTAAAGAAAGGCTTGTAGTTGGGAAAGGAAGGCCCAAGGAGGGAAGAAGAAGGAAAGGTGGAGGGTGAAAAGGGGGACTCCCTGGGGGATAAAAAGGTACTAACCCAGATAGAAGGCCTTCGGGCAGAGGGCACGATGCAACCCTTACCGTGACGGCGTGTCTGGCATCTAGGCTGAGCCAAGACACAAGAATGACCCGGCGAGATGAACTCTGGAGGATACCAATTCAAAAGACGAAGTGCGACTGAACGCCTTCGCCCTAGGAACCGGTTCTTGAACTGGCAAGCCTATGTGCACTCCGGAATGTGGAAACAGGAGTACAGGCACGAACCCTGTGAAGGGGTGGGGAGATCGTCAGGGGGGGAATCGAGGTGCAATGAGAATGATCACAACGTACAGTCGGCAATCCAGTGTCCTTTCGAACGTTCTTGTGCAGGACAGGAATGAAGTTGCGAGATGCGAAAAGCGCTAGAAAGCCAAAATCCACATTAAAAGGAGTGAGGCTATATCGAGGCCAAAAGCGGAATTAATCAAGAAAGAAGCAATTGTCTCCTAGCAAGTAGAACAAGCAAGTTAGCCGTCAAGTTCAATCAATGCCATTGTGTGCTTCTCATGATCGAGGTGTGGGTTTGCAATGGTAAGATTGCTTGGACATCTCGGCGTCGAAAGCTTTGAGATCGTCCCTTCAAGTATGCGGGAAATGGCCTATACATTTCCGCCCAAGCACATGAGCAACCCTTAATTTCTTGTCCGAGTCGAAAGACGAATTCGCTTCTCTTGCAGTCAGCCTTATAGGTTGAATTGACCGATGCCCACTCCGAGAGAGGGCACCTCTAGTCATTCCTACACCCACGCTGCTCGTCTTTGTCTTCACAAAACCATCAACTTGTCCCCGATCCCCTTATCAAGACACAGTTTATTCCAACAAGTCCATCCCAGTCTTCAATTGCATTGAGACGCATATATGACGAATAGCATTGAGCCTGGGCTGTCCAATGCTTGTGAAGTCGAAACGTGACAATCTCGGGGATCCGCTGCGGACAATTGCTGACTGACAGGAACCGACCTCAAGGGATGCTGACCGTGCACTGACAGGAAAACATCGTCATATCCACCTTGAACTGGGGTCACAGCCCGTGTGAACGTTCTCCGGCGGGTTTGCCAGCGGAAGCAAACGCCAGATGAGAGGGTGATGTCTGGTGAGGGGACAAGATTGGAAAAAAAAAATTTGAAGCCTCACCTCTTAGGGAATCACAACCAAAATACAAGCATGTACACACAAAGCTTTCGGAAAAAGAACAGAAAAGAACCCTTCTCTTCGCTCTTCTAACCGGCAGGAGCTGAAATCAGGGGAATCCAACGGCCGATGTCACGGGGACGGGCACCGGATGTCAGATGAGGTGGGGAGGGGGGGAGAATTCGCCGTTTGAGTTAACAAACGTCGAATGAGGACGTCGAAGCAGGAGCTGACGGACACGGCTCGACTGGAGAGCTGGTGCAACGGGCGACAGACGAAGTTGACTGTTATAGTGCAGTCAACTGGATCGCAAGCCTGGGACCAGTCTCAGATCTCTCCAAAAGAATTGACGGGGTGGCAGGAAAAGGGGGGAAAGAGGAGGAAGGAAGGAAGGGAGAGAGGTGAAGATAAGAAGAATTAGGAGGAGAGGAAAGTGAGGAGGAGTTGCTCTCTCTCTCTCTCTCCAGACGGGGTGTAGTAGAAAGAAAAGAAAAGAGAAGAACCAGAAGAGATGGGACGAGAGTGGCCCGGAGATAGAAGTCTCTCAAGAGGATCGCTGCAGGTTAGCTTGCCCACGATGTATGGTAAACCATGACGCTTTTCGTGTATCGATTGTGGTAATTGGTATTGTGTCCCGAGGTCCCGGAAGTTACTGCTATGAAAGAGCGGGTTACGGGAAGGAGAGAAAGGTACTAGGTACCTGTACAGTATGAATGTATGTATGTATGGACTGGTTCTGGTTTCATCTGGTTTCAATGATACCTTACCGCCGGGCACAGTTGAAGGTTGGCTGTGGGCTGGGCTGGCCTTGGTTCTCCTCTTGCCATGGAACTGTCAATTCTCTTACTTGATCTGTACAATTGTGCATACTGGAATCAATTGGTTTGATGCTATACTGAACTGTCTCTCCTCTTCTTGGGGTCTCTTTAGTTTCCAGAAACACGGTGACCGAATGCTTCGCGTTGTCTGTGAAACGTATGGCGTAGGTAGAATTTCCATCCAGATCCAACCAGTAGAGTGGTTGTGGAACAGACCTGACATAAGGAGGTCGGGGGAGGGAGGGGGGCGGGCGCTGCTGTAGTCGCTGCAGCAAATTACTGGATCATACCAAAAGGTTGGTCAAACTGGAACCTCATATGCAGATACTATAGTAGTTAGCTGGTCTAGGTAGGACGTCTCAGGGCAATTCAGGGTGGCCCAGTTCCTCTTCATTTTCTCCTCCTTCAATGCGGCCTGAGCCACAAGGAAGCAGCAGCCCTTACTGTAAGAGTGAAAGTCTAAAACCCTGTCTGTCTGTCTGTCTCTGCCTATGTCTGCCTGTCTCTCTACCTGTCGGGACCTGCCTGTCTACTGTCTCTGCCTGGGGAACACGGTAAAGTACCGTCCTTCGCGTAAGGATGCTTCGTCCGGGTCGAAGTCCTACTAGCCCCGAGCCAGCCTTTGTCCCATGAGGGGTAGACTATTCTTGTGCATTATTCTTCTGCTGCTGCTTTGCTCCCCTATTGACCGACCGATTCAATGTTAAGCATACGATCGCAAGTCTTTTTGACGTTGCGAACCAAGCTGAGGAATAGTGGAGGATTTACTTCCTTTGCTTTGCAGTCGGTACCAAAGGAATCAATTCGTCTTTGTTCACTGATAGTCTGTCTGTCTATATGGATGTATGTATGTACGGGGGGAAACATGATACCTGATCTGTCTGTGATGGCGGCTTCTCGACACTCATTCTCTCCCTTTCCTTTCTTCTTCCCATCCAAGACCACAGTAGTGCACCCTCACCAAAGCCTAAGCCCAAGCCTAAGTCTAAGCCTGCAACGCCAACCAGTCCCAAACTTCCATCCCCCCCAGCACCCGCGCTCCGTTGGTGGACTGCTGGGTGGGGTGATCTCCGTGCTCACCAGCCAGTGTTTGCCAGCAATTGCCCTCCCTGATTCAGGCCAGGAACACCTCCGGTCCTTGGCCCCGGCTGCTCTTCTCTCTTCGTGGCCTCTCATCCTGATGCTACAACCAGTCCTACCAAGTTTCCTTACATGCCTTGAAACCCATGTCAAATGTCAAGATAAATTAGTTTGAAACCAATCACCTATTAAGTGGCCATTAATCAAGTCCGGACGGACTTGCTTGCGTGTTGCGCCACCCTCTTCTGCAACCGAATCATTCTCATCCAGATGATCCCCATGAGAGCGGTCTACACACATGCGACACACGCATTGTCTATTGTATAATAGCCCGCCCGATATAATTCGACTATTGATGTGATTTCTCTCCCCTCACTGAAAACCCGATCGATTTTACCTATCCATCCTTTTCTTCCCCCTGCAACCCGGTATATCATAACTTCATAAGAACGTAATGCCAATCGACGCCCACTCGGCTTACCCACAATGCGGAGTAGCCGACTGAGTTTTTTGTTGGTTTTTGCTACTTCTTTTCAACTGCTTACTGTGCCCGTAACCATTCCTCAATCTAGTGGTTCGCATCTTACTTGGTATGGTCCCGTCGTATGTATGTGTGCAGTAAGTATACTTCCTACATACAGTAATGGATGCCTCAAGTCCATACAAACGCATACCACACAGACACACCATTCACCCATCTATTGGCAGCGGTCGCGTCCCAGAGGCTCTCTCCCCCTCCTATTGCCGTCATCGACTACTCCGACTGGCTCCGTAACCAGACACGACCCTGGCCATTTGAACAACACCAACATCTCGCGTTGTGTGTCTCCTCCACGGATCATTCTTGTCCAGTCGCCATTGCCCCTCTCCCTGAAGCCTATCGTGCCGATCAACAATCAGCGACCGCTTGCATCGACCACTTTCTTCTAATTGATGTCTTTGCTCTGGATAGCAACCAGGATGTAAAAGAGAAGCAAAAAAAAACCCCCCCGGATCCCGAGGTATATGGAAATCACAAGCGTCGATACTTCGTAGATTCTTAGAAATGCCAATGAACCACAGTGAGGAAAAGTCGGGTTAAGCAAGAAACTCTTGCGTGCTCGCTGCGCCGCTTACCAGTGCAGAATCCATCAAAGTACAACAACTCCATGTCATCATCACCTTGATAGCAATCAAAGCTCCCTACCATAGGACAACCATCAACGGTCGCCTACTACTGGTTCCTCGACAAAGCGAACCAACGCGATCCAGATCTACATACTTCGGGTTATTCGGAGGCGATCAGTCTCCCCAACCAGGTTTCTGTCGAGATCACCCCCGCGGGACAATGACCAGCAAACATTTCTTGCTATTACGACCCACGATGCGCCTTCCCTCCTTCCCCCAAATGCAGTCGTTCGTCCCCGTATAGCTCATAATGAGTTCCAGTGGCAAGGGCCGACAAGTTGAATCTAGGTCAACCGAGACCGCCAGCCACGAAGATGATCCCAGCGGTCCCAGGAAGCAAGGGAGAAGAAGTTTCTGTCACCGTCACTCTGCGGTCTGGGAAGTCTCTACATGTACCATGGGCTTTCGTCCCCATTGACTTCCTTTTGAATAACCTCAATTACCCTTCCAGTGAGTAGTAGTAGCAACAATCAGAGCGTGCCGTTTGCCATCGAGCACACCTCATTATCCTCCTCGAGCTTTGAATTGAGAGAGATGTGTAGCGCAAATTTCTACAAATCACAAAAGCACCTTTGAACCGCGATAGCCTGGCGGCTATGGCTGAGGAAGTGGCTGGCGATGGACCACTCCTCTATCCCTGTCTTCGATAGACGATATAAGCTCTAGTTGACTTGCATCAAGTGAGTGGACCACCACATCTCACCGGATGTGACTGGCACTCAGCCGCTCAACCTCGCCGGGCTGGGCCATCCGACCAAAGATACTGCATCATTGCATGTCTTCCTTACTTCGCTGATATAATCCACGTACCTAACCTCCTCTCGAGTCGTGTTTGTTGGCTCCGGAACGCATGTGCAAAATAGCCGCCATGTGGTCTGGGTATATCCACTTCAGCTCCTCTCTCCCATGGGGAGAAGGGGGCGGCGGCCGCGGAATGCTAAAATAAGCAACATCATCTCTCAGGCGCCCACATTCATCTCGGTATCTACGGAGATTAGACAGACAATGCTCCATATTGATGCATTATTGCTTCTCGTGTAGATGGCCCCGAGGATCAGCCCATCACAGTCCAGAATCTAGATCATCTTTCACCTCCGAGTTCTAGGTAGTTTCCAATGTCAGGGGTAAAGGGGGTATTAGTTGCAATAGCGCGGAACTTCAACGTCCCGTCACAACAGGTCCCATAGCTTCGCGGCAAGTTGCGAGATAATTGTGTTATTGCTATAGAAGAGCTTTCCGGCTCCTTGTATACTTCGCTGATTGATCCTGTCATTCGGCTGGTTGTATCATACTTCTGCTCTACTATGATGGAAAGGGGGCCCTTACTACTAAAGCCGCTGCTTGCCGTAAGGTCTGCCGTTCCGCGGCAGTTGAAGCATACATAATCTCGACATTTGAGCATCGCGCGGCAATGGGAAGCCGGATCAGAATCCGACAGATCCCGGTGAGAAATAAGTACGATGCACCGGGAGCGACTTGACATGCATGATTGTTGGATTATTCAACTTTGTTGATGCAAGGGTAATCCTGCCCGCCTACAACATTGCAATTCACTAGCCTACCCGCGGATGTAGGAATGACATGGTGCTTTTCTCCAGCATGCTGCATAAACCTAGGGGAAGGAACTGACACACGACGTTCGTTCGTTCGATAGACCAGCCATCTGGAGGGTAGCGCGCGCCTCCCTCAATCCACACAGGTTTCTTTTCTCGGTCTGCGACCAAATACACCCTTTTATAGATCCAATCTAATGGGAATATAAGCGCGCGCTCCTTGCTGGGGTACCTGCAGAGACCCTCAGTCTCAATCCACGGCCGCCTTCTTTCGAGTTTCGACAAACGCCTCATCCTGGATCAACCCGCGGGTTGCTGAGGGATTCCTTGTCCTTGGGACTTTTAATCGAGTCGCTTTGAAGCGAGTAATGGAACGGAGCATATCGCCCCATGATCGCCAGGCCAACCAACCGTACGGGTTATTTCGTCTCCCCCAGGCCCCATGAAATGGTTTGTGTAACCGTTCATACCAACGCATAGAATCCCCGCCCATACCCCCATGCAAGGGCCATACTCCTGGGACATGTTCATTTTGCATCGCATCAGAACTGGTCCAAAACCCAACTTCATGTTGTATTCCCTCCACACGAGCGCTGAAAGATCGGGTCGGGGGATGTGTGTGGCGGGCTATTCTTATCATCTGAGTTTCCAATGTATGTTTTCCTCTTGCTCCACAAAAGAGCGTCTTGGAGGGTTGATTTGTGCATAAAGTAGCTAAAAGCATGATGCGTAAGGCTTGCCTGGCATATCAATCTTTACTTTTTCATCGGGCTTAGATCTGAACTGCATAATGGATGGACCCTCGCTTCATTCCCCGAAAACCCTTTCTTCTCTTTTCCTTCGATGTTACAATTGATGTCAAAATCAGTGTCAGACCATTTTTTTCGTTGACCGATGACTTTCTATCTCTTTCTACTGGTAGTTTGGTATAGTTCAGTATCGGAAATTTCTAGTGTCTGTACCATCTGAACACACCGCATTCGGCTCCATGAAATTTACTCAGCCCACTGCGGATCTTGAATTTTTTTCCCTCTTGGAGGCATACTCTAGTGCTGGGTCTTAGAACCAGGATTTGGCTCAATTGAGTTTCGGTAGGCCTCGATAAAGAAAGTTCTCAAGCCAGCATCAAAAATCTTTAAGCTTAAGTAGCCTGTCGAGATAACGTCATGTTTATCAAGTTACACTCACAGAGAAGGGGAAAACCACCGTTACATCAAGAACGGACGTTGGACAAGCAAATCTCTTCCTGGTAGGCTACCAGGAAGCAAAGGCTGTTTTCGCCAGCCCCGCAGTTCCGACAGAACGGATCCACCTTCAGAAAACTGGCCTCCAAAAGCCCCAAAGTGGGCGTTGGTCGGGGATACACACACAACTGGCGGTAGCCCGGGAGGCAAATGGGTACCGTTGCGGTGAGTGATAGGAAGTGGGCCATGTGAAGAGAGAAGAAAAAATGAGTTGAGAGCCAGAAGACAGAGAGCAAAGTGAACGCGTCAGGTGTTCGTCGCGATTAGGAAATGTTCCAGAAGGTTCACAGAACTTTTCGATGTATAGAGCACAGTGGGTTTGGACGCTCGGCTAGTCTGTCGATTGATCTGTATCACATTGCACTGGGCTGGCTCGCGATATGATACATAGTCATTGGTCGATCTTGATAATCTGTAAGATGTTTGCTGATGGTGCAACAAAAGACTTTTGTGATGAATTATAGTCCATGGGTGTTTTATCGAAGTAGGGAAATATCCGCGACAGAAGACCGATGAGCACATGTTCGCAATGGATGAATAGACTCATTATTGTAACTGGTGTATTTATCACATACGATCGAGGCTTGACTTTCGCCTCCTCGTCCTTCACAGGCCATACCGGTACTAGGGTACTCCGTACTTGCAGTCAGGAAGCGATCCACTCGGCCGGGCGTTTTTACCTAAATATTCTTAAAGTCAGTATACAGTTGATGGTGGTGCACGAAACATGGGATGTCAGATGTTTCCCTGAGCTTCATCATCCGAGTCTTGATTTCGTCATAGAGTCCACTTCTTCTTCGCCTCCATCATGTGGACGGACCGGCAATCAACTCTTCTGGGGTGCAGAAGGCAACGATTGCCTCCTTACACGCCATCAATTGAACGCAATGCGAGCATCATAAAGATATTGCAAGGACGGATTGCCCTTTCTTTGGAGGTGGAAGTGATATCCACGTTGCCATGGAGCCATTGATCAGATTGACGAATCGAGATCTAGCTAATTTGAATGGAAATTCCCGGGCAACCGGTGACGCGAAAATCGCCAAACGCCCCCTCGAGGCTCGAGACAATATACCCTTTTCTGGTTAGGTTGGTTCGCGACAAATGAGGCCGCGGAGAGCCTCAACCATGGACAAGATTTGTTCCATTTTTTACCCCCCCCCCCCTCTCTCTCTCTCTAGTCTCGCCGTTTGACGGGCGAGTCGGGATGGGTCTGAAGCGGATGTAATTCTGTCAAGATCTAGCCGTATAGATGTAACCCGAAGACAGTGTACATACAGCGTAAGGGTCTAACGCAATACATACCGAACACGACGGGGAAATCGTACATACATACGGGTGAACGATCACAGATACAAGACATGGCTCTAGATGCGATGGGGCTTAGCGCAGGCAGGAAAAGCGGGCCCGATAGTAGTGTAAATAAACCGCTCCACATTTGACCCCAAGCCAAATTGAAAGCTCTAGTAGTGGTTATTCAGCGGTCACGGGCGACTTTCTGCCAATGAATGGTGTCGAATGCAAGGGCAGTCTTCAAGTCAGTCACTGCTCAACAACGGTGAGTGATGGTCAATTGATATCATCTTTATTGCTTTGCTGCAATACTGCTTCGATTATTGCAGACTCTGACTCGGGCTTTGTTTTATTTCTCTCTCAGTGCAAATGCTTCCCAGCCAATGCACAAACCTTGATCCCCAGACGCGCGGATTTGAGACGGGAAAAGACCGTCGATACTTGCCCGCGCGTTCTGTATGTAAGTGTTTCTCCTTCTTCCAAGGCCCATGTCGTCATTGATTTGACTCGCGTCCCACGTTTCGGGCCCCCGGCCTGATGTCCGGAGTTTACGAGCCATCGAGAGGAGATTATTGGCGGCTGTGAGCTATTCATTCAGCATAATCCCTACCACCTATAGTCTCTCCTAGGGGCAATATCCCATAACTGTGATTTCTGATATAATGATTAACATCTTCCGTTTACCGTTCACACCCACCCTAATCTCCCCTGAAAGCGACCATTGGTTTAATCTCCTGACTGACTGGACTGTGCAAGGCAGACACGCCACGTTTCCTCAGCGTCCTCCTCTAATCCATTGATGGGGAGTCAGCACGATTCTCACCCCCGGACAAGCGGTCGCGCGACCATACCCCCCCGAGATGTCTGAAAAACTAAGGGGCTTAGGAATGACATAAATCTTGAAAGCCTTATCCGTGGTGCTTGGCGCGGATGCTGTGCAGGTCCTTGTACGCGCCATGATTCGGCGATCGCGTTCTCTCGCGCTTATTGCCAATTTGGCGTGTTCCAGTTCCAGTTCCAGTTCCAGTTTCCCCCTCGCGGCATTATTCTTTGGAGGTTCTCCGGATAACTTTGGCCCAGACATACGAGAAGAAGCCTTGTATCTACGTCCCGCCTTCCCGTGCCTTGCAAGTTACCACTAGTCCGGGATGGCAACATGGATTCACGGGTCACGACTCCCACTATATGCTCTGGTGCTGTGATAACTCGCTTGGCTAAGACCTGTGCCATTTACGGGATCCTTGGAGTCCTGACCACTAACTCCCCTCTACATTGCTTTGTTACCTTTGAAGGTTGCAATCCACCTTCCTTTTATCTACTTCCGGGTCTTGGAAAGTGCCGCAAATCGTGTCCGAGTCTGAATCTTTAGGTTCAGCTGCCATTCACCCAAACGGAGCCACTCCCCGCTTCTCGGGGGTTCCTCTTGAGCCACCTTCCCGATCGAGAAATGGCTGATGCCTGTGATAACGGGCGCTATTATCCTCCCATCGGTTTTAGCGGCCTGGCCCCCTAAAGCGATCGCGGAGGGCTTTTGGATGGATTGACTATGCAACGAATCTGGAATCTTTATCTGGCTGACCGTGGTTGGATAATGCGGTCGCTGCATGGGCCCTTGTCAACCACACTGTTTCTATGACTGGGACTGATTGCTACGAGTTCGTACAATCCGCAAGAAAGGGGCGATCGCATCCAAGGTGAGTAGGTTGGGATTGCGCGTCTAGTGCTATGGTCATGGTTACGCACATGGGCCGCAAACTTGCGAGACTCGAAGCATAAACGTCCCTTTCAAACCAGTGACCCTGCGTCAGGAGACTTGATGCTTGACCTGGGTATGGTATCATGTGTCTGTGCTGCAAGCTGCGGTCGATGCAACGGTGGTGAAACGAATTAAGCCTTATAAATAGAGTACAAGAAGGACTGGCGTATGTCGCTTGTTTCTTCCCTTCTGCCTTGTCTTTGGTCGTACAAGGTGGTGGTCCAAGAGACTTAGCAGATCGCTTGTCACCCAATAGACCTGGATCTTTCACTCTGCTGAGCTACAGGTATGTTTGAGATGCTTCTGCGGCTCGGGAAATTATCCTATCTTTGTCTGGCGTTTAAGGTTCACTCGAGCCACGAATCTTCTGGCCCTTGAACTCACAGGTTGAGAGAATGTGGATCAGAGTCAATGGGCCGTGCTGTGCCTACTGTCTTTAAGTGATTGACAGGCGATTACTCCGACGCTGTCTTCAAAGAATGGCAAATGAATGGTGGTGGTTGTGCGGCTCGGGCTCCTGCTTCCTCAGGTCCGACAGCGGCAAATCATATCCGGATCGTGTCCATCGCACTGAACACCCCGCATTGCCGCAGATCGAATCAGATGGAGGTTTTGGTTCAAAGGAATAGAACCCTAGAAAGCCACCACCCCCTAATAGATGGGGTTCAGCTGAGCATTCAAGAAGAATTCACCCCTGATGAATTTCAAGCAGCTTTCATTGAATCAGACCCACCAACACTATTGTGCCTTGCTGCTGACTGCCTCAAACTACAGGGATCATGGCTGCTAAGGATGTAAACCCTTCCAACCTGCCATTCACCACCTGCTTTCCCCTTTTCCTTTCCGTGGCGGAATAAAGGAGGCGGATGGCATCTCTCCCTGGCCCCTCCATTCAACCTTTACATTTTCATCATGCATAAGTCCTGGATGCCTTTTTGCCCCCTGGCCTAGCCCGAGTGAGTGGACAGGTGCAGTCAGTCTGCGATGCTAGTCGCATCGCCACCCTACTCTGTCGTCGAACTCGCGACTCGTGTCGTGCAGGTAGTTGCTCTGACGTGGCATGCCCTTCGATCTCCAACGGACCTATCGATATTCAAGGAACTGACAACGTCTGGTCCCTGGGCCGGGAGAGATACGACCCGCAATGATCGCAATGTCGCCATGCATACAGCTTCAATGGCTGTCCACTTGTTCGTCTCAACGCCTACTTGCAGACACTACTGTGGTCTTTGCCTCAATTGATTTGTTCCGATGACATGTCTGTCATCATCCCATCTGCATTGGTGGGTCAACATGGGTCCAGGTCTAAAAAAAAAAAAGCCGTGGCAGAGCAGGCTGCCTAGGCTGTGTGGTCCTGCTGCCTTGCTCTCGTCATGCTTGCTAGATTTGAGGATTGGGAAGAAGGTAAGATGTGACTAGAGAAATACACTGTTGATTACGCATATGATGTTTCGTGTGTCGAGGGGAATTGAGTCGTTGACTGCGATTTCTCGATCTGAAAGGCACACCCACACATTCAGTCGATGAACTCAAATCATGAACTCCTCGCTTCGTTGCTCTCCCTAATCTGTTGTGTAATGTGTTGCTTCAGCCAGCCTGGCTGGTAGACTTCTGACTAATGTTCATTCTGTGCCTACTCAGTTATATGTGCAGTTATGGAACAAAATATACCTATACTCTGACGAACACGCTACAGAGCAGACGCATGGGATCAACAGAGGTCATCAGAATGCAGTACTGCAAGTCTTCTTGGTTACTCGCATTGCGGAGAACTATGTAATTCAATCTGGTCTATCTATAGCGGCAACCTTCCCCATAAAATACTCTTCAGACGCTCTCAAGACAAGTAAATATCTAAACAAGCTCTTAAAGAGAGTAAGAGCCTTATCACTTGTTTACCAGAAACGGATTCATTATAAACCTGGAAGCATGAATGCTGACTATGCGGTGCAATGCACGTGACCTTCAGGTCCGAGTGGAACCTCCGCGGGAGCGCGCTAAAAATCATATCCCAAAAATTTCCCCGAAGGACCGGCAGGGAAAAAAAAAGTCTCGATTCCGGCTTCATCAACCACTCCACCTATAGCTCAACCAGAAACACCCATTCGGGATGATTGTTTGAACGGTCGGCTCGATAAGCTGAGCCGGGTACTTCTCAATCTATACCACCAAACCGAGGAGACAAATCTACACCTTCCTAAAATTCTGCTCGGAAATCTAATCGCCAGAAACACCCTGTTGAAGAACGAACCAACGACCATCGCGTCCATCTACAGAGGAGATACATATACAGCCAGGGACCGAACGAGCATTCATACCCGAAGCGAGAAAGAACCCGACGCGAGAGAATTTTTTCTTTCCCATTGCCGCAATCATGGATATTCACCGCTGTCGTTTCGTTCCCTACAACCCGCAAGCGATCAATGCGCTCGCCTTCTCGCACCCTCCCTCCGCCGAACTCGCCGGCCGCGGTGTCCCGACGCTGCGACTGGCGATCGGGCGCGCCAACGGCGACATCGAGATCTGGAACCCGATGCGCGGCGCCTGGTTCCAGGAGACGGTGCTGCGCGGGGGTAAGGATCGGAGTATCGAGGGCTTGGTGTGGACGCAGGATCCGCAGGAGCCCGGCCCCGAGGGCACCAAGCTGCCGGGCAAGCTGCGCCTGTTCAGCATCGGATTCTCGACCGCAGTGACCGAGTGGGATCTGGAGCAAGGCCGGCCGCTGCGCCACTCGAGCGGCAACTACGGCGAGATCTGGTGTGTGGCGGCCCAGCCGCGCTGGCAGGCGTCGTCTTCATCGTCGCGCGGGAACAAGACCACCCCCGCCGAGGGCGAGTATACGGGTCAGCATCTGGCGGCTGGCTGCGCGGACGGGTCGATTGTGATCCTGTCCACCGCTGAGGGGAACCTTCAGTTTGTGCGCCTGATGCGCCCGTCGACGAAGCGGGCGCGCGTGCTGAGCGTCACCTTCCAGAACCGGAATACGATTGTTGCGGGTTATGCGGATAGTTCGATCCGGTTGTTTGATATTCGCAACGGGCAGCTGCTGCGCACCATGTCGCTCGGCAAGGGCCCCGCTGGCGGTACTAAGGAGCTGCTCGTCTGGTCGGTCAAGTGTCTCCCTGACGGGACGATTGTGTCGGGTGATTCGGCGGGTGAGATCCGCTTCTGGGATGCGAAGAACTATGCCCTCATCCAGCGGCTACAGGGCCATATAGCCGATACCTTGGATGTGGCGGTCAGCGCGAATGGAGATACCGTTGTCAGTGGTGGTGCGGACCAGAGGACGGTCGTCTACAGGAAGAAGGATGGAGAAAAGAACGACAAGCGGGCGAGATGGGTTGAGGTCATGCATCGTCGGTACCACACGCATGATGTCAAGACCTTTGCTGTCTACGAGACGAGAGATATCAGTATCGTTGTTTCCGGAGGTAGGCTTCCCGCCCCCCATTGCCCTATTCACTATATCTCAGTCGGCTAACTATGGGTAATAGGACCCGACGCTGCCCCCGTCGTCCTCCCCCTGCGCGAGTTCGGAAAAGAACATCACAGAAAATTGTCGAGCCTGCCTCAAATACCCCAGCTTAATTCCTCCCCCTCGTCTCGTCTGGTAATGAGCTTCTGGGATCGCGAAGTCAGCATCTGGCGCATGCTGCGTGGGCCCGTGTCGCACGAGGTTCCTGATGGACAACGGCACCGCTTAGTTGGCAAGGTTATGATTCAGGTAGGATGGTCTCATCCGTCTTTCTCTGCTTATTGTCTAACAGCGTAACAGGGCGAAGAGAACATCACCTCCGCCATGCTGTCCGCAGACGGAAAAATTCTGGTGGTGGCCACCATCTCTACTATCAAAGTGTTTGCCGTGCGTCGACGCAAGAGTGACGAGAAGGGCACTCTTCGCGTCCAGAAGCTGGATGTTCCTGAAGCGCTCACAGAGGACGGAGCTCGGTTGGTCACCGTTGCCCCTGATAGCCGGTGGATCTGTGTCGTCCGCCCGAACAGTGCTATTTACCTTGCCCGGATTCAACCCGCCCCTACCGCCCAAGAAAAGCCCCAGATCATGCCCCAGCTTGTCAAGCTCAACCGGGCTTCCCGTCACTTGCGCTTCGAGAAGGCTTCGCACGGCACGCTAGGTGACTACGAGCGATCGGTCCGCTGCGTCGTGTTCTCCCATGACAGCAACGTCGTCGCTTCGGGTGACCTTTCCGGCTGCGTCGACACCTGGGTTTTGGAGAAAGCGGACGGGGCCGCCTCGAGCCAACAGAACAAGAAAATCACCGCCGGATCTGACGATGAAGACTCCGACGACGAAGACGACGAATCGCCCATTGTGGAGGGCGAACGGTGGAAGTACGCGGCGTCCGAGTCTCCCATCCCGCGTCTCAAATCCGGTGTTGTCCTCCTCTCCTTCCGGCCCGCCAACCTCGCCAAGTCCAAACTCCTGACCAACGGCGACAACAAGAAGAGCAGCGAGACCCGGCTTATGGCCCTGACGAGCGAACACCAACTCGTCGAATTCGACGCCGCAGAGGGCAAACTCTCCGATTGGTCGCGACGCAACCCCAAGGCCTTCCTTCCCGCCGAGTTCCGGGGCGTCAAGGACCGCGCGATGGGCTGCGTGTGGGACCTCTCGAAGACCCGGGAACGACTCTGGCTCTACGGCACATCGTGGCTGTGGATGTTTGATCTGAACCAGGACTTCCCATCCCCCGAGGAACTGACCGCCGCCGCCGACATCCCTGCCACTACCAACACCTCCAACAACAACCCGACCTCCACCCCCAACAAGAACAACAAGAATACCCAGCTCACCACGACGAACAACAACCAAAAACGCAAGCGCGACCCTCAAGAGGATGACTCCACCACCGCCCGCAGCACCAAGAAACCCAACAGCGGTGCCGGAGACCGCATGTCCATGGCCCAATCAGACCTCTTCTTCGGCACCAAGATGCGCAAGATCGTCGGCGCCGACGACACCCACGCCGAGGAAATCTCTCTCGAGGGGACTCCGTCCCGGCCCCGTGGCAAAAACACCCACGACAACAACGATGATGACGAAGAGGAGGACGACGAGGACCGCACCGCGCAGAACGAAGTGGCGCTGGCGCGGCTCCGTCGTGAGCGGCAGGCCATTGAGACCAGCACCCCCATGAAGCGGGTCTCTCTGGGCGGCCGACAGGAGAAGTCGCTGCTCAGCCAGGAGTCGACGATGGACTCGCCTGCACCCAGTAAACAGATCGTGTTGGCGACCGGTGACGAGACCAAGAGCCTGCCCGCTCGCCGCTGGTGGCACACCTACAAGTACCGTGATCTGTTAGGTATCGTCCCCCTGAGTGCCGCGGGTCCCTACCACGCTGGGAGCGGGGATGCGCTGTCCTCGGAGGAGGACGAGGACGAGGAGGTCGACGGGGAGCGATTCCTTGAGGTGGCTGTTGTGGAGAGGCCGATGTGGGATGTTTATCTGCCGGATCGGTGGTTGAAGGGTTATGATGAGTAGACGTGGAGGGGGTTGAGTCGATGAGGGAAGGTTGTAGAGTGAGGCGAGCATAGGTGGGCGAGTATAAGTTGTTTACTACTTTAGTTTTTGATGGTAGACCAATTCCATCTTTTGTGATTCTCTCGTGCTTTCGTTCTGTGCATTATCCACGTTTGTCTATGCCTCATCCTATATTCTGGAAATTTGCCCTTGTATTCGACTACATACGTCCCATGTATACGCTCGCCGAATCGAGTCCGTTAAGACTTGCACCATGGACTGAAGCGCAGAGATGCAAGCCATCCGTTGTTCACCCGGTCCTGGAAAAGGTGCACTTGAGCTGCTACAACTGTGTGTGCAACGGCGCGCGGTTGAGTACGAGGGAATAGAGTAGGAGTTCAGTGACTGCTGATCTAATTCCTAACGGGAGTGGTGTGAAACATCTTAAGTCCCAGAGGGGAACGACACGGGGTCATGTCCGCAGCAACATGATGCCATTTGACTTTATACAATGTAGCTAGCTTACCGTCCAACCATACCGAACACCGCCGGTTGAATCAATTCACACCCATAGCACCTATCGTACAGTACATACATCCATACATCCATCGCATATCACAATCTATAGACACCACCTCAGAACAGGAAATCCGTCGCGTTCAACTCCCCCGGCAACTCAGCCTCTACCACCTCGTCGTCCTCGTCGTCCTCTTCCTCATGTCCTCCCGCCCCAGCGACACTGCCCAACAACCCCACATGGGCCATATACCCCAGCAACGCCGCGGCGCCACCCACCACGACCGCCACAGACAACCACACATCCTTCTTATACCCGGTGACATACTCGTCCAGCGCCGTGCGCTCCTCAGTCGACAGATCAGCGTCCCGGGAGCGGGCGACCTCGCGCAGCCGCGTGTTGGCGCGGATATCGCGCCAGATGGGCGTTGCGTCCGCCACGGTGTTCCACAGCGTGTTGCCGACGGTCAGCCAGCGGGGTCGCTCGGGGGCTCGCCACGGCATCTGTGCGGGGTCCAGGCAGACGCGCTGCAGGCCCTGTACCCACTCTTCCAGCTTTGGTGCCTTGCGTCGCATCGCTTCCGATAGCCATGCATCTTGTAGGTGTGCCGGCCCCAGTGCTGCGAGGCTCCCGTAGCCTAGGAGAAGGCAGTCTACGCTTGTCGGGTGCGAGCCGCCGAGGAGGTATTCTTTGCTGCTGTTGCTGGTGGTGGTGATGGTGGTGTTGTCGTCGTCGACTTGATGGCCCAGCATCGCGGCAACGGGCTCGAAGGCCGCGGCTGTCACGGCCTCAACGCGGAAGCGGTGGCTGGGCACTAGGCCGGAGGTCTTCGGGGTCGGGGTGCGGAGGAGCGGGAGGGAGGCCGGGATGCGCCCGGCGGCGACGGCGGCCGAGTGTTCGCGCTTGCGGTCTTCTTCGAGCGCGACCAGGTCCAGTGACGAGAGGCCCAGGTGGTCGGAGCTGCGTTTGGCCGCTGCGCGGAGTTGCGGTGGGATCAGCCACGTGGACGGCCAGCTGAGGATCTGCGATGAGTAGGCGGGGAGGACGGAGTTGTAGTAGTTTTGGCTGGTGACATAGAGGGAGAGGGCAAGGAGTGGTGGGAATTGCGTGTCCAGGAAGGAGGTGAATCTGTTTTTGGCGTGTATTTCCTGATTTTAGTAGGGGGCTTTGATTGAAGGGGAGGGAAAACGCACGCGATGCTATCCGCTCGTTCTTGTTCGGTCAAATCGGCATCCAGATCCCAGTCGCCGGTTGAGTATTGCCGGAGGTAGTCGACTATGTTGCGGAAGCGGGACACCCAGGCGTTGCCATTGCGGAGGGCGGGGAGTTCGTCTATTTCCGAGGTTCGTCATTAATTATTGCGCTCTGAATGATAGCCACATGGGATGCCCCCCGTTAAGGCCTTACTCACTGGTTGGAGACACCGAGGGATCGCTACTTGCGACTAGCACCCACGCGTCCTTGGGCAGGGCGAGCGACAGATAAGCAATGGTCGCCAGACATTGCGCGTCGATGGACGGCAGGGAAAATGCCGGCCCCCAGACGTGGAGTTCCAACACCATCTTGTTTCGGGAGATCAAGCGCGTGCGATGTTCGCCGGACAAGCTGTTTTGGTGGTGCAAGATGCATCGGACCTGTTGATGGCGGACGATCACGTGCAGACTCCAAACTCTTGTAGGGCCTCAGGCCTCAAGGCATCAAAGAGCTTCGAGGTGGGGCATGATTTAGATGCCTGAGGCAGGATGCCTAAGACAGGCACATGCAAACTGGCATGCTTGCCTCCATCTATTTGTTGCCACTATCGAAGACCCAAGACGGTCCACGAAGATTAGATCGTCGCAAGAAGAGTGGTTATCACACGATCAGCCTTGACTACTATCTCACGTAGATTAAATACGGTTCCAACATGGCGTTATCGGGACCATGATTCGCATACATCGTAGTTAGGCTGACAAACGAAGAGGCACCGAAACAAGAAACCGGAGATCAGATAGATGAAGATGAAATAGTGGTATGAGCGATTTAGCCGATCACTCACATACTAAGTAGTAACTCCCCCTCGCGCCTTTCCTTTAGCAGCATCAGACTGCAGATTCAAACGAAATGAAGCCAGAAGCACGGTCACATCATCTCTCATCTTAGCTCATTTGGTCTCGATAAAGACGCCATCGGAGAAAGGGAGAAAGGGGGAAGGGAGGAACGATCGAATGATAAGCACCCATCACGAGATTATCGCCGATTCACCCTATGACGAGCCATACTCCAGTTTCCCCAAAGGCGATCAACAGTGAGGCACCACCTATGCAAGCAAGTTATTCTACTGTATGTACTGTACAGTTCCTAGTACATTCTAATTCCGGCTTTCCCCTACATAACTAGTAGAAACTGAAACCACCCACTCCTTTCCCGAATCGACGAGCCGCAGAGCACAACTCATAACGGCGCACTGGCGCTTGTCATCGACACTTCCAGTTCGTAGTAGCGCTTAGAAGGGGGAAAAGATTGGGGGAAATCCCGGCTTTTTGCTCTTCGATTCGGTTCGTTACCAAATAGGCAGGTAACCGTCCAGGCACAGGCACCCTCCCGATCGAGGAACTCTATATTCATCCGCGTCCATAGAAGGGAGCACATGGCGATGGCGTGACATCCGTTGAGCCAGCAATGCGGGTAAGAGTGAAACGTGCCCGCCTGGACCACCGCATTGATTCCAAGGAGGGGTGGGAAAAAGTGGCGTTTGACCGAATCAGGTAACCCCCCTCCCCGCGTCAGGGCCAGGGTCAGGATTCAGGTCGGGTCAGTTGACCTGCGATCGGGCATCCCGGGCTAGCCACTCTTTCGACTTAGTGTGAGGGTGAAGGTGTGTGTGTGTTGTCATCGTGGACATGGCCGTGGTCGTGGACGTGGACACTCGAGGGGGGAAGTTTGAGAAGGAACTCGGTTGGAAATCAAGGATACGGAGACGTTATAGTAACGGTTCAACCAGTGGGCGTCGGTTCCTTCCCCCGCCTCTTTGGCTTGTAACCAAGGAAATGCAGTGGTCTATGCTCTATACACTGTACTCCGTACAGGACAGTCCATTGGGAAAGAGCCAGAATGGAAGGAGGTAGAGGCTTCAGTGCCTGCCACTTGGTTAGTTAGGGGCTGAGTAATAGACTTGTGGCAGTGACTGTAGCTTATCATGATCACTTCGTCAGGTTGCCTTATTCAGATCAGCACTTACTCAAATCCCATGTCATACATATGCATGCCAATAGATAGTGCATGTGGTTAGATTAGCTTCCCAAACAACTATCCCACCCATAGTCGCAGACATTATTCTCACAATTCCAGAGTACAGTACAAGTGCATGTGCACTAAGCAGAAATGTACAATGCGGTATGGTATGCCCTCAGCCTGATGATGAACGGCTAAGTTTCCACTTTCCCCCTCCCCCCTCCCCCCTCCCCACCGTCACCGTATCAGAAGTGCCCAGTGCGCGCCACCCCGGGAGAGCTAGGGAGGCATGGAGGGATGTCGTGCCTGCGGACTATTGACTTTTGGCGCAGCCATGGGAAAAAAAGCAAAAAAAAAAAAACAAAAAAGGTACCAGGTTGTCCTCAGCTCCGACAAGGCCCGGCCAACTTATCACCCACACCCAGCCAGGATCGGGATTTCGTAATGGATGGTGATCATAATCATCATCGCCTTCGTCATCATCAGCACCGGAGTATAAGTCATTTGAGTCATACCTCCGCTTTTTTCTTGATCCCAAGGTTTCAGATCATTAGATAGTTAAGCGGGGAAATGTCAAGTCGGGTATGAGGCTGGTTGACTCGTCAGCTACGGAATCATGATCCCTGCTTGCCCGAGCATCACCCAGCGTAAGTGTCTGTCGATCCTCAATATACGAAGGGGGTCGACCCTGGTATCGCAATTACAAACGCGGCCAATGGGATTGTGGAGTCTTACAATGCGGATGTCTAGTGATTACAACAAGAGTCAAAGCAAGAGAAGAATGGAGGAAGTAGTGAGCAGATATAGTAGGAAATGTAATTAGCGATATCAAACCGCACGCAGTAAAATGCGCTATGCTGTTGGGTATATTAGGTCTATTATACATGCACGTAGAATCAAGAAGAAGCTCAGACCCTCCGAAGACGAAGATAAGAAAAAAAGATGATACAAGTGGACTGGGCCGAACGAAATAGAAGATAAAAAACCCCGATGATTAAAAAGGCTGTGGTTGTGAAATGCAAGGGATCCATCCGCCAATAGCAATGCATGATGGAAACACACAACACCGATCAGCGCACTGACATCAAGAGTGAGAGGGGTCCCGGCAATCCCAAATAGGATCCGAGACTTATCTCACATGGGAACCGAGCGGGCGGGAGTCGTGTCGTCACTGACTCTTGCGGGTTTGGGTTGTGACAAGGCTGCCGATTTGGAACCCACGAGATACTGACCCGCCGTGGACCAGATGAGACACATGCCATCTCGCAACTGTTGCAGGTTCGGTAATTGAGCGGCAGGGCCCGCTGGTCGGTCCACCAAGCCACGTAAGGCCTGAATGGTCGAGAAAAGTGATGATGTGTTGATGTCGCAACATCAGAAGCGCGGTTGCTGGTGGAGAAAATGGAGCAAAGCGCCTGCGCTCATTCCATAGGATCGTGTTGTGTCAAGAAGTGAAACATCGGCAACAAGGGAGAATCGATCAGATGCTGTCGCATAATCCCAGAGTAGGTAAGATCCGAAAGGTGAGGAGGGGTGAAAAAGAGGTGGTATTTGAAGTGTGTCGAATAAAAGGTGTATGTGGTAAACAGTCGTAGTGCGAGTCCCAAAAACGAAGTCGTCATATCCATGCCAAAGGGTGCAGCTCCCATATCATGAGCGATTCGAACCGGTCCGCTCGATCGAGAGGTTCGTCAGAGCGGAAAGAGGATGCGATGGAGAGAAACCGGTCCGAATCGGTTTGGTCGTCAAGTTCATATCGAGATGGTACACCCATTGTTTACTTGGGAAGCGGGGGAAGAGGTCCCGTTGGCGGAGGGCCAGGGCAAGGAGGGAATTGAGATGTACCACCGATGGAAGGCATTGTGATGTAGTTGTTAGGAGGAGAGACGGATATAGTCGAGATGGTGTTGGTGATGGTGTTGTTGAGGCAGAGTGATTGAGTATCTGCGCAATGGTAGTAGTAGTGGTGTAGTGGTAGTCGTGGTAATGACTCTTGCCAGTGTCAAATTCAAAGATCTTTTGAGGTCTAGGGAGGAAGAGGAAAGGGAAGACTTCGCAAGACGAGGTTCGAAGGAGCCTAATATATACACTTGAATCTTGCTCTCTGTCGCGGTGTTATTATTTTTTTCCATTTAATTTTCGAGAATTATTTTTATCGAAAATTAAAAACATTCTCGTTTTCGATTTTCTTTTTTTGTTTTTAATTTTATCTCTGAGTGAGCGAGCGAGCAAAAAACACCGACTAGAATGATTGGCGTTCGACCACAGCGCGGGCGCCAGGAAAATCGACGAAAATAATTAAATATTAAGGACGTACCCCTGTCGGGAACAGGAGCTGAGCTCCACTCGGACAGAAGGGAAAAGACCGAAACTACGTCAGAATCTGACGGTTCTTAGTTCTTTACACTAGTGCCTACACTGCCTAGTGCTGCCAGATGGGAAGATGGCCCCAATAGGAAATTCCACGGAAAATTTCTAGAAGTTCTCTTTCTCCGTTTTTTACCCCTCTCCTTCAGTTCTTATTCCTTTCTTTCTTTCTTCTTCGTCCCACTTTCGGCTGCCCGGGGTTTGCAGCACTAAGGTAGGCGGTTTTTCGCCTCCCCCTTTTTCGAAACCAAACTTGCTCCGCAGGTTTCATTATTGATTGACTTCGCATGAGCTTGCGTAGTGGGAGCTTAATCATGATGAGGTTCATGAATCCATGAAGTCCAGGGCCGTCGTTACAGGAGAGTCTGGCTCAGTCTCAAACGGAATCATGTCTGTCGGAGGAACCCGATCAGACAGATGCAGTAAGGGTTACGAAAGCCCAGTCAATGGCTTTGTGAATCCGGTACAAGGAACAGAGTAGAATTTTCTTCCATCCGACCACAACGGGAAAACAACAACAACAACAACAAAAGGGAAATCGAACCCGACCAGAACAGATCATTTCTGAAAGGGCAGTCCAGGGTAAAAGGGCAAAAGAGGCTCCCACGACCCACACAACTCCCTCAGGCTGAGGGTGAGTGTGTGAGTCTCTTGTCTGCCGCAGGTTATAGTAATTAATCTGTTCGGTTTTAATGTCCTTCCGCCATGTTCCAAGCCCACCCGGACCCGGGAAAATCTTGGGATCTTCATCTCTTGTCCTTGGTCTTGGACTTTTTCCACCCTCCCTTCAACCCAACCCCAGGAGTGCTAGGTCAGAGAGATGTACCATATCGAAGTCTTTCCAGAAGGCAGAAACGCCGCATTGGCGCTAGTTGTCATTAAATACTCATAGTTACGTAAATTATCACGCTGGAGATGCTGAAGAGATTAGTCAGTTAACATCATCGGTCCGCGATGACTCAATCGCATCATCGCCAATGGAGTGGGAGTGGGATCCGATAACGACCACGACTGACAGCCAGCAAGGCTTTTCCCTCCTCCGCAATCATCGACCAGGATAGTTGCGCGCGGCGCTCAGGCAATCCCCAATCACTGATTTGCGTCTGATAGGATAGGCTTACGCGGGAATGGGGGCTAGCACTTCTGCCATGGCGACACGTGCCAGTTCGTCGATCCCTTAGGGGAAGGTTTTTTTGACTGATGAGTTAAAAGGGAGGCTGTTGAGGGAACGGAGGGAAAGAAAGTTGGAGACATCAAGGAATTTCCAAGGGATTCGCATTCACACCCCTCCTTTCCTTCAAGCGGGCGGCGGCTGTTGCGCCAGGCTGCGTGAAACTTCCAAGCCCTTCCCTCTGTCATGCGTGTGATCTCTCTTACACCGACATCCAATCCATCAGGAAGAGGGAGGGGAAGATCCTAGCTTCAGCCAGAGTGCCGGGTCCGGGTTGCGTCGCTGTCTATCAGCTCTATCTTAGTCGTCGATTCCCAAGCCACACCCACATCCTCATCGGATCCTCCGACCTACAGTAGTTACTTATAGTACTGTACTTTCTTACTGCTGACTTTGGCAGCCTGGAGGAACTAAAAACAGTACAACCCCCAAGGCTGTGGCGCTGGCCTAACAGACATTCGAATTCCTCCGCCCCCGATTATGAAGATGGTGTAAGACCTAAGAATGACTGCATAAATAACGTGTGTTTGTGGATAGCTGAACAACAAGCTGGTCTGAGACTGGAACTTGTCCGTCTCCGTCCTTGCAGCCCTAGTCAGGGGTGAGTGGATGTGACCGATGCAGCGCGAAGGCAAAAGACAGTTCGCAGGATAATGCGCAAAGCGAAAGCGCGCGCGAGAGAGAGAGAGAGAGAGAGAGAGAGAGAGAGTCATAATGACAGGTCGTTTCATCTGACCAGGGGCAAAAACCTCACGGAGTAGCCGTAACCTAAACGGTTAGTAGTGCGGCCGCACATCGTTTCAGGGGCAGCCGACGACGGTGGAAGTTGAGGTCGACCAACCACTAACTAGATGGCCACCGCTGCTCTTCTGCAGTAGTCTGCAATTTGCAGCCGCATAATAGAAGTGTAGCTAACTACTTGCACAAAGCCCACCGTCGCGAGTCAGTGAACCATTCCCCCCTCTCCTCCCAAAATTGGAACCATCTTGGATGTCCGTCCCTCTCTCTTTGGCGCGCGCGCGCATCATGGCAACGATAAACCTGCCAACGACAAGCCTCCTTGCAGGACGAAACGGAGCTAAAATACGAACCTAATGTACTCCATATACCCTTTTCCTACACTTCGTATTATCTATCCGAGCTCCCGGGGCTGAGAGGATTCTGACGTGAATGGTTGGGTTTTTGACAACTGGGCATGTCGCTTGTCATTAGACTACCGGTAGTGTACACAACTACACTGGCCTCTCCCTCTTTCTCGAGGGCGACGAAGCGTTCCTTTCCCCCAGGATTTATTATTATCAGTAATGTCTTAAAGTCACAAGTCTAAATCTGACGGTGCGGGCGAAGCGGTTACTATTCCTGGGTGTGGTTCATCACAGCTGCCTCTTGGCGCTCGCATTTCTGTTGACTGTTAACTGCTTCGTGGCAGTGTGCTGTGCTCTCTATCTACAATCTCGAAGCCAAGATCTACGCTCTTTTCTCGTTCCCTCTGTCATTTCATCATCGATTACGAGCAAAGACAAATCAAGGCCACCACCCTAGGCCGGGATTGCTCGGCTCCGTGAAATCCGGGGGGTGCCTTTCGTTGAATTCTTGACCAAGGCAAGCAGGCAAGCAGGCAAGCAGGCAGGCAGGCAAAAGGCAGGCAAAAGGCGGCGCGCGCCTTTTGCTGTGACCCCAATTTGTAGTATAGTCAGTTCCTGCAGACTTATGCAATGCAACCTGGATGGTCCTCTCTCCCTGGTTCGTTGTGGCGCCTGGAGTAGATTAAATTCGCTCAAGCCGATACTGATCGTGTCTCTCTGGCCTGATTTCAATGGCTTCTTCCTCTGGCGTGACATCAAAGAACGAAGTCCAACGAGCTACCAGGCGAGAATAATGGACAGCGCAGCGCAGCCAGCAGCAGCAGCGTGAAAGGGCGGATCACCTGCAGAAGTGAGCAAGAAAGTGGTCGGGAAGGAGGGAGGGATGATGATCCTGCACGTCAATCGATAACTTGATGGCCTTCCTTCTCACCTACCCATCCCGCAAAGTCCTTTTTACTTGCAGTGGGATATTATTTGGGGCTTTCGGCTTCTGATTTGACACGGCGCCTGCGCTTTCTCCGACTTTCGAACCCATTTACTCGTTCGTACTCGTCCTAGGCTACTAGAGGTACTATCTAACTAGGGGTGGGCGCCTAAAACAACTCCGACCTAAAACCCAGGTCGCGGAGTCTCTAATCGACTTAGCGTATAGGCAGGCTGGAGGGGGGGGAGGGGGCGGGGGGGACCATGCATGCTCCTATGCTGTATCGAGCATGGCGCGCGCCTTGCTTTTCTTGCTCTCGATTCCTCTCTTTTGATCCTGGCAGTATTCGGAGTAGTCGGTTTCGACTCCGATGATATCTGTCTATGGTAATGGCCATGGATGATGATGATGATGATGATGGTGATGATGATGATGATGATGATGATGGTGATGGTGATGGTGATGGTGATGGTGATGACGATTATGAACCACTGACGCCAACCATGCGTATCCGCGGTGTTCCGGTCTCTGGGTCAGGTACGAGGGAGTCACCGTCGGAGGAGGCTGAGGTTCCTTTCCTCGGAATCCATACGGGAGCAACAATTACAAGACGGAATGGACCCTTATTGATGAGAAAACTGAGATCTCCCTGGGCCGATACCAATGAAATCATGGATTGTCAGTTCTGAAACCCTGGAAGGCGATGGAACGAACACATGGCAATTGGCAAAAACAGAAACATCATGAGAAGGATTTCGGTACAGTGGGTGGAGCAATGGTTCCAAGTGAACGAAATGAGATTCCCCACTGTTCATTCCACGCCGTTGGCAAAAAGTGGGAACACAGAGAGAATCAGCTTTCACGAAGTCCAGCAATGGAGGGACGAAGGGAGGGACGGGCCCCTGCGATTGCGGAGGCAGTGAAAATCATGGTCAATCATTATCTCCTCGGGTGGGCAGCAGACTAGGGCGGAAACGAAAAAGGACATCCATCGGAATTGCGATGGTCGCTGGTTCTGTCTTGTGTTGTTTAGTTTCTGCACTTCGTTTCCTATCACGGGTTTGGTGGGTGCGGATTCAGATCGGATTTCCTCTAGTCTTCTTGATCCGTCATAGCCTTGGAAGCGGTTATGATCATGTGCATGTCTTGAAGTGGGTACTGAGAGAGATTGCTGTCCCGAGTCGGTCTTTCCAGTTAGACACTCCCCCGAGTGTGGCACACACACACACAGCCATACTCGCTCACGCTCACTCAACCACACATTTACACTTCCTGACTCATCTGCTCTGCTGCACTACTCGTGCCTTTTATCGATGGGTGATTGGTGCCCTGCCGCGAGAACAATAATTGGTTAATGCAGGTACCATATAACTATGCACCTCGCTGCAACTCATGACAATCCTAATTAGAATTTATGCAGCCCCGAGTACGGGGTACTGACTGCGAGACAGACTCGGTCGATCCCTCCCCTCCCGCCCGAACTCACTTTCCTTTCCCTATCTATCTTCTAAAGTCAATGCCTAATATCGGTCGGTGTATTAGTATCCGCAACCGATGGGGAAGGGCACGCACGATCGCAGCCCATCTCCAGCGGTGAAGATCAATATCAGAAACAAATTGTTTCTGTCTCCGCTTCATGGAATGGTACCCGCCCTTCCAGAAGTTTTCACATTCCATGGTTCACCGCTCCTTTAATTAGCAGGGCAGATTCTGGAGAGACGACAAGATTCCGCAATGGGGTTTTGCTCTCTCTCTCTCTCTCTCGACGAATTAATATGGATCCATTTCGAACGACACCCGACAAGTCAACCTAACAACCCGCTGCGACTAAGTATCCTAGTCTACTTTCTACTTAGTACTTAAAAGGTGGGCTCAAAATGGCCACTAATTATCATGTAAATCCCGCTAGTCACCAGTCCATCGTGAAGCGGTCCCAGCCGCCAAGCATAATCGTGGTTTTCAATTGCAACCGATGATCCACTACGGCTGCCTCTTCTCGAGCAAGTGCGCGCGCGCGCATGAGGCCGTCCTTAACGGTGGGATAGTGCCATAGTCTAGCTTGGACAAAGATGCCGACATTCTCCATTCTTTGACGTCGAGATTCGGTAATTCCTGCTGAACTTGTACGACTGTCACGAGTGATCTCCATGATTGGGCTTTAAGTCTTGACTATCCATCCCGCAGGCCCCGTCGGAGCCGCCATGGAACAACCAAATGGAAGAATCCTCCGCAATTCGTTGGGCGTAGGAATGACTCGTAGTGCGTCTCTAAGTCCTTTTAGTTCTTTCTCCCTCCGATCTTGAAAGAAAACGGTGAGCCGAATTGGGAGGAATTCTGCGCCACTCTTCTGTTGGGGAGAAGTGGAACGGGATTAATTCGGGTCTATCCGGGATCAGGCTTTTGACATGGGTTATCAGCAAGCTGTGGATTCTAAACGCTTAACCATGAACTCCGCCCGGCCGCCAATATCCCGGACAACATTCCGTCCATGCCCTGTTCTCGGTCTCTAATTGCGTGCTATATCGACGGCTCGATATAGTTGTCAAAGAAATTGCAAGAACTTCCCTGTCCATAGAATCCTTAATGCCAGGATCTTGGCATATGCAACAAGCCGGAAGTTTAAACAGTACCACAGGCCCGACGGATGCATCGGGGGTGGTGTCACAGAGCGTCGCGCAACTAATTTCCGTACAGAGCGCCACAGCTGGCATTGTACGTGCTGAAACATTTCCGCCATGTTGGACAGGACCGACTCTGGCAGAGAGGGACTCGGTGCACAGCTAAGTCGGTACAGACAACAAAGAATGCAGGGTCATCAAGTGCAGCACCTTGAGACTCTGGGTTGCACAGAACCATTATAGACCACGGTAGAGATGGCCTGACAACTCCACAAATTGCTCATAGCACTATCGCCCTTGCTGCATAAACGGGCGCAGGGGTGTGTTTCAAGGTGACATCCAGGCTGCAGCACTGGGCCCCAACTAAATATTGTAGAGCTTGCCATCATGCCAGATGAACGTCAAGATCGTCCCATTCTGCTCGTGTAAGGTCACCTTCAAGGATTCCTGCAAGGCAGGGTTTCACTTCATACCCGCCCCCCTGCATTGATGCAAAGTCGACACGAACAAGATTGCACCTTCGGTCTGCCGACCATCGGATCCGAGTGCCATTGCTGTTCAGCTTCGGCCGATGAGCCTGCCTACCCCGCACATATTCAATCAAACTCTCTAGTATCACTCCTCAATCAGGTCACCTTGAGCCTGAGTGGAAATCCATTCTTCCATCAAAACCTGGCGACCAGGCTCTGAGGAACCAGAGGTTGCGCCTACCCTGTCACCTTTACGCGTGACGAGTAGGCACAGCACCCAGCCGTAGATGTTGAATCCCTCATAGTTCGTTTTGAATTGCATCTTTTTGTCCTCGGTCTCTGCTGCGTGCAGCATGGAGTCCTCATCCTTTCTCCGTTTTGACGTGCGTCGATCGTTTGGGGATGCGCTTCGCTCCTCCGTCGATCGCGGGCGTTTCCCTCCTACATTGTCTTCCCCCTCCGCATTTGCTTCTGGGATATCCTGCATCCGCAGGTTATCCTCATCATCGCTTTCGACCAGAATGTGGCCACCGGCAGTATCAGCAGCATCCTGAGCAGGCCACTTGCTTCGACCCGAGTTGTTTGCATCGTCTTCGAACTCCTTGTGTCGCGTCAATAGCGAGTGGCGTGTTCGAGATTCGCGAAGGAAAAGGGCAACTTCGAAGTCATCTGCATCCATGGCATGATCTTTAGCAAGTCCCATTTCAAACCCCGCTGGAGATTCTTTCCCACCGGATGATTACCATACCTTCTGCGATGACATCCTTGACGGGCTTGCCCTTCTTCCGGGCGAAGAGTCTCTCATTCTCTTCGCGTAACTTGGGGAGGACCAGGGGCCGAATGGCGGCGAAGATACGTTGAAGAACGGGGTCACGACTGCTGAGGAGCCATCGGATGTCGGAGGGATTTTCGAGGTAGATCCGGCACTCGAGCACGGTGTACTTGCTGATCCGGAGGTAGCGGCGGATCGGCGCCATGAGAGAGAGGGCAACGGTCACGGTCTGAACGTTACGGTTTCTGCGGTGGTGTCCGGTCGGAGGGAGAATGCTCTTCTGGATCAAATCCAAGATTAATGCCGATAGCTTAAGATGAGATGTGCAATATCTCTGAGCAAATGGAAATGAGTGCGTGGATTGAGGTCATGCGTGGGGTGAAGTTGTATGCGAAGGGTTGGCGGAATACGTGACGTGACCATGTTCGGGCTTCGGGGCTACGCTGCCAAGCTCGGCCGGCAAGGGCGGAAAGCCTGGGCATGCCACAAGGGCTTCGGCTATCTAAGTACTAGACTCACAGGACCTTGCACCCACAAAGGCTGGGGATAGAGTGATTACTAGACTGTGGTGGCCATTGTCACCTGTTATTTTCGGCTTGCCTACAATGCCCTTCCTGATGCTATGTCACCCGCAATTTGCAAGACCACCACTAGAATCAAACCCTGTCGTTCCCATGTGCAGGGTGCTCCAGAGAGTTTGACTGTCGTTGCATGATCACACCCCAGTAGTTCTTCTTATTCGCAACGACATGCTGGTACCATGACTGTGATTTAATCTTGACCGAATAGAGCGCTAGCTACCTTTATATATCTCATTGTAATGCATTGTACGGTACATGCACTGCGAAATGCCGTCATCGCTCACGGTTCTTCAAAAGCTATGGATTGTATTTGTATCCCTGCCGGATTTCTATTCGCCAGGCCTGGCACATAGTACCTGATGTATGTCACAGAGAAGATTGCTCTAATCTAATACAGACAACAGCAGCAGCAATACCTCTACATAATCGAAGCCATCAGTACATCTTATCATATCTCTTGCCCTGCACGTGACCTACCCCTCCCCGAGCTTGAACCGGACGAATGACAGACCGGAGAAAAGGAGGGTCATCTCGTCCGCAAGGTCCTCGATGGCCGAGAATTTTGACGTCGGTTTCCTCCAAGGTCCCCATCCACAGCAACATCGACCCGCACCTTTCCCAGAACGGAGTCGAATTCTTCATCGCCGCCACGATGGACTTCCTTAACCACCCCTCCCATCCGCCTGCTGATTGCGCCTGTATCACCTCAGGTGCGCCTGCTCGTTTATCGCTGTGACGTGTTGGTCTTTTCCGAGTCCTCAGACCATCTCAATCGCTTCCCGAGTCACGACATCTGCATCTCCCCCAACGCTGTGCTAGCAAGGTCCCCATTTGACGTGGGCATTCTTGACTAGTCTCAAGGACCTTGGGGACTGTCGACGTGCCCGCTGGCAACCGCACAACCGTATTTCAAATCCAAGAGCGGGGACCGAAGGAAAAGGCCTTTAATAAAGAACGCGGACCTTGCAGACGGACGCTGGCAGCATTTTCAACCCTTCACATTCCTCCTCCCACGTGCCCATTGACGCCCTCCATAACCCTGTCACACGCACTCGGCGATATCATTGGACTCCATAAGGTGTCACTGGCTTTCTAGCTGTCGATCTATCCCGTTGAACCTAGTCCCTGAAGGCGGGCCCGTGCCATAGCACCCAGCACAGGCCCACGGATTTTAAGTCGCAGGCGGATTTGAAAGGACGTTAGAGGGCACGAAGAATGGACTCTCTTCATACCCTCATTGCCAGAGACGATGGCTGCTCAACAGGCAACGAGTACGACGGCCGGATGGGCCTGCGCATCTCCTCCATCTTTGTGATTTTTATTGGCTCCTCGTTCGGTGCTATCTTCCCCGTCTTTGCGCGGAACTTTGGAGACACCAAGCTGTCAAAATGGGCCTTCTTCGCTGCCAAGTATTTCGGTTCCGGCGTCATTGTTGCCACGGCCTTTATCCACCTGCTCGCACCTGCCGAAGAGGCTTTGACGAATGAATGCCTGACGGGGCCGATCACAGAATACGCTTGGACCGAAGCTATTGTGCTAATGACCATTGTCGTGCTATTCTTCGTGGAACTCATGGTTATGCGCTATGCACGCTTCGGTCACGGCCACGCTCACGACTCGGACAGCGAAGACGATGACAGCCACCACGTTCATCACCACGCCGTGGCAGAGCAACCTGTCCCTGTTTCCGAAGACTTCAAGGGCCATATGCCGGGAGAAGACCATCTCGGCCACTCGCGGGAGCATCACGACGTCGAGATTGGCAAGAACAACTCGCACCTTGAGGAGTACATGGCTCAGTTGACATCTATCTTCATCCTGGAGTTCGGTATCATCTTCCACTCGGTGTTCATCGGGTTGACTCTTGCGGTCACTGGGGCCGAATTCGTCACATTATATGTTGTTCTCGTCTTCCATCAGACTTTCGAAGGACTCGGTTTGGGATCCCGCCTCGCTACGGTACCATGGCCTCGATCCAAGCGATGGACTCCTTATCTGCTGGGCCTCGGGTTTGGCGTGTCCACACCTATCGCTATCGCCATTGGGCTGGGAGTACGCAACAGCTACGCCAATGAAGGTGCCACCACTCTTATTGTTAGCGGTGTCTTCGATGCGATCTCCGCCGGTATCCTGATCTATACGGCGCTGGTGGAGCTCCTGGCGCACGAGTTCATGTTCAGCACGTCGATGCGCAAAGCCCCGATCCACGTGGTACTCTCGGCCTTCGGGTTATTATGTCTGGGAGCGCTGCTGATGGCGCTGCTGGGTAAATGGGCATGATGCATGATTGATTAGACCTGTATATATATAGAGTTTTGTTGCAAAAGGTGCTTATTGTATATGAGCGCGTACATAGAAATAAAGCCGGACTTTAAATTCTGTGACACTTTCAGTAGCAGCATCATCTCTGTAAACGTTATGTGCATACGCTCAATTGAGCAATCCCCCCTCACCAGATAATTCCACAGCTTCAGCGCTGACTCTACCCGCCGTGCACGTAAACAGGCAAGGTAGGCAACCAGTAGTACTACTCTTGCCGCGGCGTGCTCTCCGAGATCCATTTTAAAGTTCCGTCCCGTACCCGCCACCCCCGCCCGAGTCGTCCTCCCTCCGGAGAGCCTCCCCAACAGCAACGTAACCCATAACTCGAAGTCTTCCCTCCCCTCTCATCTTTCTCTCTCTACAACCCACAAACCTTCACCACCCCCGAAAACACAAAAATCAAAATGCGTCTCCCAATTCTAACCCCCCTCCTTACCCTCGCCCTCGCGACCCTCACGACCGCAACCTCTGAACTCGGCATCGAAGTCACCCACCCGGTCGAATGCACCCGCAAGACCCAGAAGGGCGATACCGTGCACATGCACTACCGCGGTACGCTCGCGGCCGACGGGTCTGAGTTCGACGCCAGCTATAAGCGCGGCCAGCCGTTGGTGTTTCCGCTTGGTGCTGGGCGGGTTATTAAAGGGTTTGTTTTCTTCCCTCCCCCTTCCTTCCCTTTCCTTTCCCTCGATGGTTTCTTTTGGACGGTGGTGGAGGGATCGCTTCGTGCGTGATGCTGGGGATCGCTTCGTACAATGGTGTTCAGGAGACGGTGGTTGTTTTGCTTATGAAGGAACTGCGCTAATCTGCTATTTCTCGTGATAGGTGGGACCAAGGTCTGCTCGATATGTGCATCGGCGAGAAGCGCACGTTGACGATTCCCCCGGAGTTTGGATATGGGGATCGTGGCGTGGGACCCATCCCTGGTGGGGCGACGTTGATCTTTGAGACGGAGTTGGTCGGGATTGATGGGGTGAAGAAGGATGAGTTGTGAGTTGGGGAATGGTTTTGAAAGGATTTGGGGAGGGCTGGTTTGGCCTCATGCTTGATACGTCTTGTTGGTGTGGTTAGAGGTCCATTGACTGGTTTGGATCTATGGTACTATGCGATGCTTGTTTTGAGATAACTCCTGTGTTTGGGTGTTGAAAATAGGAGGGGAAGAGGGTCCTGCGCCGAAATAGAGTGATGTTCAGATGTTGTTCTATCTATATGGAAGTGTAGATATATACGGTATTTCACAAAGGTAGGGTGGGCGATATGCCATATTCCGCCCCACCAAGTCTCAAGTCTAGGGGTATCATCATGCAAAGACACAGTGAGATTCTCCAACACGACCTCAATCCATCGCGTCCAACTGGTTCGTCGCTTCCGCGCTCTCGGTCTCCGCCACCAAAATCCCGACCAAGCACTCCCCGAGAATCGCATCCCAATTCACCCACGGGTGGATCTCCATGAACAGCTTCCCGGAGTCCTTGCCCACCCCGCGCAGCAGTTCCCCCTTTCCACCCGGATGGAACGGAAGGTACGGGGTGATGTTGTAAACCTTCCCTTGGTACGACGTCCACGCGTCGGCTCCCTTGCGCCCGTTCTGCGCCTTGAGCATCGACGGTGTGACCCTGATCAGCGTGGGTGGCAGATTCGCGCCGCGGAGATTGTTGTTCGGGTTGGAGGTCAGCGCGGCCCAGTCGAGTGGTGAGAAGCCTGGCTGGAGGATCGGTTTCTTGGATGACGATGAGGACGGAGGCTTCGCGATCAGCTTGGTGGGCGCGAGAGAGCTGCTTGGCGGTGCGCGCAGGGAGGAGGCTGCTGACGGGGGCGGGCGGAGAGACCCCGCTGTACCGGCGTTGGCGTTCGGGCGTGGGGGGTAGCGTCCTGCGGTCAGAGAGGATGGTGCTCGCTGTGCTTGCTGGGATGCTGTCGGACGGAGTCGGGGGAGGGGAGGCGGAGGCATGGAGGTGGTTTTGGCAGAGGTAGCAGCGGAGAGGGTCGAGGAAGGCTGTGAGGAGGGAATGATTTGTGGAACCGGTAGTGGTGGCGGAGGCATCGAGTTCTCATTTTGAGGGTTGAGATTTGATGTCGCTGTCGCTGTCGCTGTCGCTGTCGCTGTTGCTGCTGCTGCTGCTGTTGCCGATTGAGAGGTTAAGGGGTTTATCGGTCCATTGTTGTGGGGTTGGTCATCATGTTCCGCGACCGCCGATTTGGGCTCGCTGTCGAGCTTTAAAGAAGGTATCGCAATAGAAGGTACGTTTGTTGCAGAGGCTTTAGGGGTGGTTTGGGATTCTTCCGTAGATAGATCAGGCTCGGACTGCTCTGTCGCATCCTGGGTGCTATCAGTGATGGGAGGCTGCGCGGATGGTTTCTCGGGCTGAGGAGGCTGAGGCGCCCAGGTAGAAGGAGGATGTCGGTAAAGAATAAAACATGCAGTCGCAACCAAGGTCGCGACCCCGACCCAGCCCATGCTAGGCAGTAGTGCAATATGGTGAGCCGTAAAGAGGAGGAGGAAGAAGGAGAAGACGAAGAACAACATGCGGAGGGTAAAGGCGAAAATGACGCCGAGAAGCCGGCTATCGGCACGTGGTCCCTGCGTCCCCTGATCGCCGCCTCAGGAATCCCTCGACGGCCAACACTATCGCTCATATTACTAAACGCTACCACTTTCGTATAATAAGGCAAGGTACTCTGCAGCTTGACTTCTGCGCTTGTTACAAATAAGTCGTCATGATCTTGGGAGTCGTTACTCGTAGGTCTGATAATTAGAGCTGACTGATCCAGTTTCACGGGCATATAATTCATGGTCCTCAGGTCGCTCTGCTAATCCCACTTGGACGAGGCTCTGTGGTCCTCGGGATCGAAAAGCAGAAATGGAATTAACTAGGGGAAGGGTTGGTGGAATCCGAATTGTAGAGGCTCCATACGACACTTTCAGGTGTTAACGCCACATTGGTTTGTTGGTTGCCTTTGATTGAAAAATCCTATTTGATTCATGACTAGGGCTATTCATGGAGAGGAAGTGATTGTGTTACCTGCTGCTAAGTCTGAATTATGAAACACGACAAGGCAAGAGACGAGTATCAGAGTGACAAAGGGCTTTGTGTGTGGGATTGTTCATCAAAGACAGTTAAGCCTAGGCAGTGAGGCCCAAAGAACAAAGGTGCCGTTTGATGGAACAAAGTGCATTGACTACAGAAAGAGACAAAGCAATGATGTGCCTTGGGACTCGGTACCGATGGTAGCACTGAACCAGGGCTCATTTTGAGGCCATACAGACTAAAACAGTAAGGTATCGTCCAATCATAGAATAGATACGATGGTATTTGTAGGTATGTACACTCGAAACTGAGAGAGATGGTGTTGGATTGGTGTTCACAGTAGTTCACGGCAAAGCACACACGTTGATAGAATTTCCAACCCAGCCAACGGAAACCATAAGGGGAATCTGAGAAAGAAGGAAAACAAAATCATATCACGAAGGGGGAAAGATCTAGTTGTAGTCGAGGTCGACAGTCAGACGGACGGACTCAGCGTTGGAGTTGCCGCCAATGCCGTCCTCATCGGCAAGGTTGGAAGTGTAAGCGTTGATCACGGAGCCGAGGGCGTTGGTGATGGTGGAGCACTTGTCACCGGTGTGCTCGCAGATTCTCATACCCTGGACTTCGTGGCCAGCGTTCTGAGCCTGGATGGCCGACACATCCCAGCCGGACCAGCCGTTGTTGCTGGTGTTGCCGAAGTCGAATTCACCCCAGGTGCAAGAGTAACCGCCAAACTCGTCAGTGGGAAGAGTGTCGCCCTTGGAAGCACCCCAACCACCCTGGGAGTCGGAGTCGAAGGCGACGTAGCGGGTCTCACCGGCCTTGATCTTGAAGGTCAGGGCCGAGTTGCCGTACCAGCCGTTCAGGCCACCGTTGGGACCAACTTTGTTCCAGAACTTGACGATCCAGTCGTCCTCCGAGCTGCCCTCGAAGCGGACGACGTACTGGTAGAGACAGGCCTTGTCCTCGCTGACCTCAATGATGTTGCTACCCCATGGGGAGCCGACGTTGCCGGCGTAGTAGATGGCATCGGTGGTGCGCTTGGCGTTGGACTTGGCACCGAAGCCGGCGCGGGAGTAGCTCGACGAGGTCGCAGACCAGGACTTGCAGGTGCCGTCGGCGGAGGAGACAACCGAGTCGGAGCTCGAGGCAGAGCTCGAGGCAGTGGCAGCAGCGCTGGCGACAGCGGTAGCAGATGCACCGACGTTAGCGCTGACCTCGACGGTGGCAGAAGCGGCAACGGTAGCGGCAGCCTTCTTTTCCTCAACGGCGGCCGTGGCAGAGCCAGACCAGTCGTTCACCCAGGACTGGAGGACACCATCGATGACGGCGTAGACCTCGTCACCGGCGTTGCGCTTCTCGTGGTGATGGTGGCGGCGCTCATGGCCGTGCATGCGAGCGACAGAAGAACCAGCCGTCAAGGCGGTCAACAGAAGCAGGGAGTTCTTGAGCTGCATTGCGAAGATTGATGGATAGTGTTCTTGGGAAGGGTTTTCTTTTTTTGGATATGGAAAGAGATGCGGGATGAGGGTATCACTGGTGGTTTAAGTTGTATCAACAATCGAGACCAGGGCACACGCAGTTGAAAGAGTGATAGGCAGTTCAAGTGAATAAGGAGTGACAAGAGCAACACAATAATGAAGCTCTCAACCTGAAACAAGCAATCGACAAAGGAGTGTGGGATGCGAGCACCTGGAAGAAGGATGGGAGGGAAAGAAGAAAGGGAGGAAAAGAAGGAAGGAGGAGGGAGAGGGGGGAATAGAGAAGTTAAATTCAAAACCGAAATTGAGCGAGCATTGAGCCAGACTCTCACCGTCCAGTTGGGGATGGAGGGATGGGGAGTTCTGTTGGTCGAGATGAAGGCACACAACACCGACAATTAAATGAAAAGGGGGGCCGGTTCCTGAACTAAGTCGCTTTCTGAGCAGCCATTGGCGGTAAGGCCCACTGTAACCGCGGTTTGAGACCCAGATTTCCCTGGATTGGCCCTGCCGATCCGCTTCCAGTATGATACCGTTTAGATTACCGTGCCTGGTACCTTACATGATGGATGATGGGTGGTGGTGATGCTGAAGATGTACGGGGTACACTGCGCAATGGGAGTGTCTGTCACTCAGTCAGACACTCCACCAGCAACGCAAGGCCTCACCGTCTCTCCCTTCCTCCCTCCCTTCCTCTCATCGCCCCGTGAGATCCCCACGATCTCTCTCTATCGTTCCGACACGTCATAATCTTAACAACAGACAAGTCACTATCACAACGGCCATCCCAGATGCCTGATTGATTAGATCGGGGACTGGCTGCTTTCCACTAAGTGGAATGCTGCCCGATCTGAGGAATTCCACCAGCTCAAACCATATCGCACTGCTTATCGATACGTCCCTGCTGAAGACTCGCAGCCTGCAAGTGCACTGTAACTTCATCATCCCCTGCGAATCCCATCTTCCCCTCACCTTCTCGTGTCCACAGACGGGATGTCAACAAACGGTGTGCTGTACACCAATCTCAACGGACTACGTCAAGGCCCACGACGGTCGCCGCGCTGGCTTTTCGGGCAACCGATTGATGATGTCAATATCTACAATGCAATGGAGGCATCGCGCGGGAGGGGGGCGTGATAGAGACTGTGTTCAGGCAGGGCTCGTGGAATTCCCTCAGTACAGAATGAATGAGTCCGCGGCGTATCAACTTGACACATACACTGCCTATACTCGTACAGACTGAACAGTCCGATTGCGATCTATTCTTGCTCATTCAATATACAACCAGTTGGGGACTTTCCCCAAGAGAATCAAGAGTCGGTGCGCCGCGGTCGTGTTGCCCCTTCGTGTTGCGGAGGGGCCTACAGCACTAAACTGCCTTTGTTACAGTATGGTTGGTAATGTGACAGCCTAGACGCTGAACACGAATACCTTCAGGGCCTTCCAGGGACTTCAGGGTCTGTTGCCCCTCCGTCCCTGGATGCCATCACTCAAGCCAACCGGCGCCAGTAGGACCCTGAATAGCCCCCAAATCGAGAAACATCTGAAACGAACTTCGCGGCCAAGTGGCGGCTGCAGGAACAACATTGTGGTCGGCGGCGAGCGCAACAACACAAACAGAGCGTTACTTGAGCGTGTGTTACCCGTACGAAACGGGCCATAGAGAATTGAATTGAATCGGTCGCCCACTATGACCAAGCCCACAGTCAATCGCCACTCAGCAAGGTTGGTCCGTGAAAGAGCGAGACACCAATTCAACTGGTCCAAAACTCAGATTATCCACCATGCTGTGTGACCGACAATGGTCTGGATCATTTCTTCTTAAAGCACGTGCTTGTCGAGGGACTACAGAGGCCAGTAAGTAAACAGTGATTCCTTGGGTGGTTGCGATTTGGGTGAGACGGAACCAGACTTGCTCAACTATGGAACTGCTGCTCGAAACTGCGAGCCTTTTTTTTCGGCGGTCTAAGACTGACAGGAATGGGAAGTCTGCCAAGTTGCCTCGCCCCTGATCCCTAAATGGCATGATAGTATGATACACTCCTTTTTCTTGCCTTGGAGCCTCCAAATTTAGAGTGTTGCCTATCCTGTTTGAGACGATGCTATTCCTGTCAAGGAGAGCGACTCGTCAGCTCTTCTGCGATCTTCCACCCCGTCCCGTGTCAGGTGATCGATTGGCTGAAACGATCTTAGTGTAAGTGCCTAGAAAAAGAGGCATCCGCCGGCTTCCGTGGAGAACGCTCATCCACGGATTCTATGGTATAGTCCCTGCCAAATAGGCCTAGCATGCGTCAGCAATGGTCACTTCATTGCTATCTAACAGTATATTCTGATGCTCTATATAATTCTCTAGGTATGGTAATCATAACAGACATAACTCAAAGGCGACGACGGTTTACTTTTGCAGCTCAACCCCTCCCTCGAATGCAGCGCCTCCCGCCTCGGCGTCGACCTTCATACTCTCGTCCAACCCGCAGACACGGAACAGCATTTGTGGTGTCATCTCTTCGCTCAATCCTGGAATTCCATCCCTCTTGAGTTTTTCCATCGCCTCCTGCATGGCCTTGTAAGCAGGACCAATCGCTGCGAATGGGAAGATGATGATGCGGAATCCCATCTCCTTGGCCTCCTGCGCCGTAATGTCCGGCGTCGCTCCATGCTCGACCATGTTCAGCAGCAACGGCCATCCGGCCAGGTCCTGCACAACCTGTCGAGCCATTTCCTTGGAGGTGATTCCCTCGAGGAAGCCGACATCTGCTCCAGCGTCGCGCGCCGCCCGCAGTCGCGCTATACTCTCTTCATAGCCGCGAACCTGCAGAGCATCTGTCCGCGCGATCACCACGATATCGCTGCTGATCCGCTGACGGGCTTGTACCGCGGCGCGGATCCGCGTCACATAGGTGTCCTGGTCCACAAGGATCTTGCCTCCCAGATGTCCGCAGCGTTTTGTCTGAACCTGATCCTCGATGTGGAATGCAGCAACTCCGGATCGCGAGTATTGTTCTGTCGTGCGGGCGACCATGATCGGGCCGCCGTACCCAGTGTCTGCATCGGCAATGACGGGCGTGGTGGGGGACAGATTGGAAATCATCTCGGCATTGGCGCGCATGTCGTTGAGGGTGCAGATACCCAGATCCGCATGGCCATGAACGGAGGCGGCCGTACCGGCACCCGTCTGCAGGAGCGTGTCAGTGAAAATTGACTGTTGCCGCAGGGAATCTGTTGCCACTTACCATGTAGAGGGCGTTGAAACCGGCTCCAAGGGCAATGCGCGCGGAGAAACCATCGTACACGCCGGGAGCAACAATGAACGCTTCCGGGTTTGCGAGAGCCTGTCGCAGGCTTGTGGCTGCGGTTACCATAGGCATGATGGAGTTGGCGGCTCTATACACGAGTAGATAGTGGTAGCGTAGAAAAATGTCAGTGACGTCGCCACGTCAAGCCGGGTGTCGAGGGCGACTGAGTGGGCTTTATAGGGCGTTGATCCATTGCCCGGAGCTCAACGTCGCCTCACCGATACTCGTCTCGAGCCACAATGAATCTCTAGGACCCATATTTCTTCACGGCAAAGGCAGACTTCTAGAAAATGTCATTACTACTGAACCCGACATCGGCGGATGTTAGGTAATCCCTCGGCCAAGTTTCGGACTTGAAACAAGATGCAAAGGGCTGGCTTTCGGCAGATACTACCGACCATACCGGAAGGATGAAGTCTTGAAGGTCTTTGCAGTTCGCCGATGCTTATCGATGCTTCGGTTCGGCTCGGCTGTATGTATGATTGAAGACTTCCGCGCCGTGACATCGGGACTCTCCAGTTGGCTCACCTCTGGGCCGCAAGGTGATTGCGGGCTTTTTCTGCCGCGATTCAACCTCAGCTCCGCTCCACTTCTCTCTCCTTCCCCCTACTTCGCCGCATGCAATTCGCCTCTGCTTCCCCTTGGGTGCAAGCATGATCTGAAACCACTGGTCTCTTCAATTCGATAAACCTTTCCCCGCCCTTTCTTTCGACCGTTCCTCGACAACCATCTCCATGGCCCGCTCCGCCATCGTGCAAGAGTACGCCCCTCCGACCTCCGCTCCCACGCTTTCCGTTGATCGCAAAGTCACCCACGAACGCCAGCAAAATGGCGTCGCTCGTCCTCAAGGTTACCGCGTTTCCTGGCATGCGAACCCGGCCGTCGAACTGCACCATTTCGGCCAGTCACATCCGATGAAGCCCTGGCGGCTCACTCTGACCAAGCAGCTCGTGATGGCGTACGGCATGCACCATGCGATGGACCTATACCTGGCGCGCAAGGCCACTTACGAGGAGATGGAGGAGTTCCATACGACAGACTATCTCGACTTTCTCCGTCAAGTCAACCCGGGAGATATGGAGAACTCCGAACAGAGCGAGAACATCGCGCGATTCAATTTTGGCGACGACTGCCCCATCTTCGACGGCCTGTACAACTACTGCGCGCTCTACGCTGGTGGCACGATCGACGCGGCCCGCAAACTCTGCAATAACCAGTCGGAGATCGCGATCAATTGGTCAGGAGGCCTGCATCATGCCAAAAAATCCGAAGCCAGCGGCTTTTGCTACGTGAACGACATCGTGCTCGGAATCCTGCAGCTCCTCCGCCTCCACCCGCGCGTCATGTACATCGACATCGACGTCCACCACGGCGATGGCGTCGAGCAGGCCTTCTGGTCCACGGACCGCGTCCTAACCGTCTCCTTCCACAAATATGACAAGGACAACTTCTTCCCCGGCACCGGCGCGCTCGACAGCACGGGTCCCACGCACCCGCTCAACCCGGGCGCGCACCACTCGATCAATGTGCCCCTGCACGACGGCATCGACGACGACAGCTACATCCAGCTTTTCCGGGACGTGATCGGCTCGTGCATGGATGTGTACCGGCCCGGCGCGATCGTGCTGCAGTGCGGGGCCGACTCGCTGGGCTGCGACCGGCTGGGCTGCTTCAACCTCAACGTCTCGGCGCACGGCGCGTGCGTCGCCTTCGTCAAGACCTTCAACCTGCCGCTCCTGGTCGTCGGCGGCGGCGGCTACACGCCGCGCAACGTGTCGCGCGCCTGGGCCCACGAGACGTCGATCCTGCTCGACGCCCAGGACGTCATCGACCCCAACATCCCCGACACCGTCACCTTCCGCAACCACTTCGGCCCGGACTTCTCGCTGTTCCCGCCGCTGTCGGAAATGCGCAAGCTCGAGAATAAGAACCCTCGCTCCTACCTGGCCGGCCTGCTACAGTCCGTCCGCGAGCAGCTCCGCTACATCGAGGGCGCCCCCAGCGTGCAGATGAGCTTCATCCCCCCGGATATTCTGGGCCTGCGCGAGGATACCGAGAAGGATATTGAGGAGGAGACGGCGCTGATGGAGGAGGAGCGGGAGGACCGCGCCGGCGGCGGCAGTCTGAACAAGGCCAGTCGACGGAGGGAGTTGGAACGTGCGGCGGGACAACGCGGGGAGTCGTATTAGTGCTTGTATGGGTCAAAATCGGGTTGCCGCTGATAGGTGGGTGGCTGTCTTTTTATTGACTGCCCACGTGTATTAAGTTGGGGTTATTGGATGTTTTTCTTCTTCAGTTCTCGGCGTTGCTGGGGCTCATCTGGGATGATGGAAACGGCGTTTGTGGTTCCTTGATTGGCTGTACGGATGGTTGATGAGGCAATGCGATTTACGGCATATGCAGTGCAGATGGGTTTTGATATCCTCCTTGTGTCTTGTATAATACTTGCTTAAGATTTGGAGATTTGAGTAACAATTTAAGATTGATAGATGACAGCCGGCTAGGCTTCTCTACGTTCGGGGTTTTATCCAAGTTTCTCGGTAGAAGAAATTCCTCGTTCAGTCTATGGCCGCCAGCTCCGATACAGCGGTGTATGGCCACAGCATATTAGTGGCCATGGTAGAAGATACGGCGCATTGATGATCCTCAAGAGGCAGTGACAGCCCTTTTAACAGACCACTACACCAAGAATTGAACCATTGAATGTCATTTACCATTGTGGAGTATAGAAAAGTAGCCATTATCTCATACAATTCCAGTTCTAGTGAGCCCCGCAAGGCCGGCCCCATGCCAATTTTGGGGGACATCTACAACCAGGCCAAGGTCCACAGCGCCGGCAAATGCGGCCATTTCTCTTGCCAAGCGGCCAGAATCTCCGGCACGCGCTCATCGAAATTCCTCCTAGCATCGCCGGTACCATTCTCCCATTCCGCATCTGCAGCTTCGGCCGTCGTCGTCCCCGTCCCCGTCCCCGCCGCAGCCGCCGCAGCACGGCGCTCCTGCCTCGCCGCCTCATTCAGCCGATTCGCGAGATCGAGAATCGCCTTACCGCCGACGAGGGCCTCCTCATGATTATCCTTGATGTCGACGTTGAAGACGTGAACGGGCCGATTGAGCGGGGCGCCCTTGGCCATGAGGTCGTCGACGACGGCGTCCCAGCAGCGCTCCTCGCAGGTGATGATGACATCGACGACGCCGCCCTCGGTGCCGTGCGCGCCCTTGTCCCCTTTACTGACGTGGTCCACGCGCGGCAAACCCGGCACCCAGTCCTGGAACCGCTCCGGTCCCCATTTCAGGTTGCGGTTCCGGTCCAGCATGTTCAGCAGTCCGTTGTACCGGTACAGCCGCTCGTCCTTCGCCTGCAGCTCCTCGTACATCTGGGCGTAGCTCGTCGAGTTGAAGTGGTAGATGTTCGGTTGGTTTATCGAAGGCCCCGGTAGTCGCACCAGGCTGCCTGTTCCGAAGGAGATCACGGGGAATGGTGACGGTGTTGCGGTTGAGAGCCGCAGGTGCGCTTCCATTGAGCGGTTTTGGTTCGACGCGCAGACGGTGCAGAAGCGGAGCTTGTAGCTTTCTTCTTCGGGGATGGGTTTGGGTGGGTTTGCGGCTGTGGTTGTGGTTGTGGTCGTGGTTGTGCTGGCTGTCGGCGCGGCTGCGGCCGGCTCCCCGGTGAGTGTCGTGGCTCGCAGCATTGAGTTTTGGGAGACCGAAGTTTGGTTTTGTTGGTGTTGGTGTTGCTCTGGAGGTGGTGGTGGGGGTGGGGGTGGTGTCAGGGTGACGATCGACGCAGTGCCTGCACTGCTGGCTGTTGAGGATACTAATCGCGGGTCGTAGGCCATGATGGGCAGGGACGTAGATAGAAAGGTAGATAGGTAGGTAAAGAAGTGAATAGGAAGGTAGGTGAGGATCTTATGAGGCTAGCCTATCTGATAAAAGTGGGTCCACGTGGTTTTTGGGGGTTTTTTTTTCTTCTTCTTCTTTTACGCGTGAATACTTTCGAGAATCTGCTCTGGTTCTGTTATGGATTGTGGTTGTGGTTGTTGGCCTTCGTCCGATCAAATCAAGGAGGCTGGAAGATGTTTTCACTGGGGCCCTGCAATGTCTTACTGACCGTTAGAATCTCTCCGATAGAATTCGATGATGATCAACAAATCAAAAGTAAAGGCAGAATCAGGTAAAAAATGCGTATAAAAGGTTTGTCCGCATAATTTGCTCGGACAGCTCCAATAAATGATAAACTCATCATGCTGCTGCAGGGGAGGGTGCAATGGAAGGAAATGACGGCAATCGATGTATGCATACCTCGAGGTAACCTCTCATTATAGGTTGAAGCTCATTTACGCAGGAATCTACTGGTTGCTGGCGGAGAGATGGTGTCAAGGGCCGCAGCCCTGAAGAATTGCGAATTGGAAGAAGTTTGCGTGGATGGCGAGAGCTTCAGGCGCGGATTTTGTGGTCAAAAACTAGATGACTCAGCATCGTCTAGCCCCGATCGGGACAGCTTCTCGGTCAGCTCACGGGCCGGTGAGGAGGAATCAGAGGCAATTGTTCATCATCATCATTGTCATCATCATGATTACCTCTTGAGGCAGATACTTATGATACAGTGTTAGTTGGCGTCTTACTGCTCAGGTAATTTCATGCAGTCAGCTCGTTCGCGTTGAACAAACGTGCATCGCCGACAGACAGTAGCAACTACACCCAGTCAGAAGACGGACTGCTGATTCCAACCCCTCCGGTCATCTGGCCCAATGCTTTTCATGTCATGCTGCACCATCCCGAAGGAGTCTCTGGGGAGATGATCACGGGAGGGACGATGAAGCCATGCGCCCATGCGTTGACGACTGTGGCTCAAAACAGAGAGGCCATCACAGCTAAGCCGCGATCGACCCTAGGCCTCCGGATTGAGGCTATAAAACGGTTAATTATAGACGTCAACCGAACAAGCCCATACTACTCCTGCAATGAGGTTGGGATTTGAAACATCTTTGGGCTGTCATTCCAGCCATCCCCACCCCGCCAAGCCGGTCGCCCCTCTTGATTTGAAGATGCAGCAGCAGCAAGAGCAGGAGCAGGAGGAGGGGTCGATCCGGGAGGGGTGCAGATATCGAAGCCATAAAAAGCCGAGAGATTTCGCTGCAGATTCGTATCCCAGTCCTCTCTTGAAACGGAACAACAATACGACCAGTTTGGAGGCGAAAGTGATAGACAAGATTTAACTTGTAGCCGTGAGACTGGAGACACGCAAGGCAGGCGATCAACGTCATCCGATACACCAGAGGCGCCGCCCCCCTCATTCATTCAGACAGAAATCACATAAACCCAGTAGATTTTGCTTCGGTCTGGTCCGCCAGTTCCGCTCCATCCTTCAATCAGACCTTCATCCTCGAGACCGCTTCTTCTGACCTGATCGCAAACCTGCTGAAAGTAGTGGCTGTGGCGCAGAGCTCCCTTCGTCTTAGCCGAGCGACATTCACCATTGATTGATTGATTGCTAAATTAATTTTAATTCCTCTCTGCGCGAACTAAAGACCAAAAAGGGACCACGAGAACGAAAACGAGAAGGGAAGAAAAGGGTCCGACGCAACAGATCAGTGACTGTTCTGCAACTGTCCGAGGTAGCAGCAGCAGCAAACAGTTTTTTTTTCTTTTCCCTTTCCCCTCTCTCTTGGCTTCATTCTCAATTATAGCTTTTCTGGCGGACAAGGAGTTATTCAAATCCACCACGGCCTGCAAAACAGTGAGAACTTCGGCTAGCCATGACTTTAAACATTCCTCATATCCGACGTCGTTCGTCGGTGTCTAGTCCTGTCAGTAAGTAGGAGTACTTTGTTCTAGTTGTTGTTGCTGCTGCCGTCGCTTTCCCCTCCTTCTTTTCCTCCCCACGTCATATTTTCTCCTCCTCCCCTCCTCCTCCCCTCCTTCTCCTTTGCTCCTTTCTGCCTCTTCCCACCCAGTTCGACACCACACCTCCCCCACTTATCTGCCACAGTGCACTGTCATTATGTCTGCTGACTGGGGCTCTTTCTTCCATTCAGGTAGCAGGTCTTCCCATGAGGAACCTAAGCCTGACAATGTGAGCGGGGACGATGAGATCGTCGAGCCCGATCAGGGCAACGGTACGTTTTGTTCAGCTCCTCGCCCTAGTTTTGAAGAAAATATACCCAAGAAAACGGAAACCGGGGGTCTGGAACTCGTCTTCTACAAGAGCTTACCAGAAATTATTCTATCCATGCTGACCGGTGCTGCCAGTCCTCTCCCACATTATCTCGCAGCTCCGACCGGGAGCGGATCTCAGTCGGGTTGTCCTGCCTACCTTCATCCTCGAACCCCGGTCCATGTTGGAGCGCATTACAAAGTAGGTTGGCATCGGGCCTTGCTAAAGAAAACCGTCGCTAACTCGGCGCCCCCTCTCCAGCTTCATGGCACATCCCGAGACGCTGCTGCCTATGCCCGATATCGACGACCCCCTCGAGCGTTTCGTATCCGTGGTCAAGTTCTACCTGAGCGGATGGCACATCAAACCACCGTATGTCCTTCCACTCTGCATGCCCTCTATTTCCAGCGCTTCCGGACTCCGCTGACCTCTTCCGCAGCGGTGTGAAGAAGCCGCTGAACCCGATCCTGGGCGAGACCTACACCTGCTACTGGGACTACCCCGACGGAACCCGCGGATACTATATCTCTGAACAGACCTCGCATCATCCTCCCAAGTCGAGCTACTTCTTCATGGCCCCTGAACATAACATCCGCATCGACGGCACTCTCAAGCCACGCAGCAAATTCCTCGGTAACTCGGCCGCCAGTATGATGGAGGGGATTGCTATCTTGCGCTTCTTGAACCGCGGTCAGGACACGGAGAAGGGCGAAAAATAGTAGGTGGCTGTTGAATCTTTTGAGTGTTTTCTCTAATAATCCTAACGTGCACTAGCATCCTGACGCAACCCAACATGTATGCTCGCGGCATCCTGTTTGGAAAGATGAAGTATGAGCTTGGCGATCACAGCTACGTGCGGTGCCCGGAGAACAATCTCGTCGCCGATATCGAGTTCAAGACTAAGGGTTACTTTTCTGGCACCTACAATGCTATCGGTGGAACAATCAGGAACGAGAAAACCGGGGAGGTCTACTACGAACTGTCTGGACTCTGGAACGGTGAGATGTACATTAAGGATGTGCACGTATGTTGGCCAGCCCATTCTCAACTGGAGGTGTTATTCTAACAGGAACAGACCCACAAGAAGGAGCTTCTCTTCGACGCAACCCACACCAAGCACACTCCCCCCTTGACTCGTCCTCTTGAGCAGCAAGGCGAGCGCGAGTCCCAGCGGTTATGGCACAGTACAGTCAAGGCCATCATTGCCCGGAACCATGAGGCAGCCACGGACGAGAAGACCAAGATCGAGGATCGTCAAAGAGAGGAGGCGGCCAAGCGGGTCGATGAAGGTGTGGAGTGGCACCCCCGACTCTTCCGTCAGGTGCAGGGTGGGCCCAACGGCCCGGATGAGGGCGAAGAAGACCTAGACTGGATCATTAACACGCATGTGTAAGTTGCCCGGCCTTCTGCACATTGAACTCGGACTGAACGGAGACTGATGCGGCTCAGTGACTCGCATAACCCCGAACTTGCGGCTAAGCAGATTCTTGCTATTGCGCCGATCCTTGATGGCCAGGCCGAGCCTTCTCAATATCAAATTCCCCCGCACAAGTCGAACGAACCCCTCGTCCCCACTGATGACAGCAACGGCGAGGCGCCCGTCCCGGAGCAACCCAAGCCCGAAGTAGTGGAAGCGGTTGAGCGCAAAGATTCACGCACAAATGATATCGACGCTTACGTGGACGCAAAGGAGAACTGAGAGGACAATCAAGTGAGCGAGTTCGCAAGTTTCCACGAGCAACTCGAGCAGAGGTGATTGCCTGCCCAACTGCGGCGACTCACCACTGAAAATGAGAAAGAGGAACTGGTAGGGCAAGTCGGGTGTTGTGGACATGCCTTGAGACCTGCACAACAGCCTATAATTATGGTTCAACACCGGCTTGCAGGACGAGCTACCGTTCGGCGTCAAACTATACTGGATACCCGATTGATTTTATAGTATGGATCATACGTTCAAAAAGTTTCAACAAGATAGGGAAAGGGGGGAGAACCTCGACGGAACATTGGCGAAAGTCTCGCATGATAGTATCGCGGGGAGGAAGTATTCTTTCCCACGATTCGTCGTGAATACATACCATTGTTTTGTACACATTCGGAGGAGGTCGGAGGCGGGAACGAGCAGCGAGCAATTATTTCAGCACTAACCATAGACTTTAGTCCACTGCATGTGGATAATATAATATTTCGATTTCCAACTTTATCAACCTAAAGTCAAAGCAAGTAAAGGGTATCTATCATTCGTCCATCGCTTATAAAATATTCCGTTGTCAACCCAGATGATCAGAAAAGTCCAACGACCACCAAAAGCCTAAAAGATGTTTGTTCCCTACCTAGCAGATTACAGGTAAGACCTACCAAAGATAATAAAGCGTCTCAATCCTCAGCCTTGAAAACCTCCTCCCTCCGTTCGGCATACCACCGTTCCAAACACGCCCGCCGCTCCGCCTGCGTCATCCCCTCAACCACGAGCGCAAACTCAGTCGCGTTCGCGAACCCGAACCGCCTAGCCATGCTACAGAACTGCCGCTTCATGACCTCCGGCGGCGGGTGGAACTTGTACCGGATGGGCTGCTTCGCGCCTTCACTACTACCTGACGGGCGTGATTGGGATTGCGACTGCGACTGGGACTGCGAGTTTTCGCTGCGCTGGGCGGCGGCGAAGACCTGTCTGTCGAGGTGGCGGTGGTTGTCGTCGGCGGTGAGTTCGGCGCGGCGGCTGAGGCGTTCTTCGATCTTCGAGGAACCGATGACTTCGTTGTTGAGGTGGGTGTATTCTACGCCGGCGTTGGCGAGGATCGCTTGGATGGGGTCGTGGCGCGGTGGGGGGGTTTTTGGCGGTAGGGTGGTTGGGGTGGTTTCAGGGTTTACTGCTGCTGCTGATGATGATGATGATGATGATGATGATGATGCTGAGGGGTCGACGGTGCTGCTTTCGCCGCGGATCATGGCGGCGAGTTTGTTCATGACGGCGTCGGTGGTGGTGTCTTGGTGGAACTGAGAAAGTTTGTCGTCGTTGGTCGTGGTAAGGGTGGGTGGTTCGGACAGGTCGATGTCCATGACTTGGACGCCGGCTTTGCTTTCGGCGACGTTGGTCTTGTTGACGATGTCGCGCAGGACGATATTGTCGTTGCGGTAGGCGAAGAGGTTGTCCATGCCGAAGATCTCGCCCTTCTTGTCCTTCTTTTCCTGCACGCCCTTGAAGTACCGCCGCTCCGAGCTGGCGTTGTAGCCGATGTTGGCCTGCTGCTGCTTGTAGATCTGGCGCGCGTAGACGATCTCCTCGATCGTGCCGGCCGAGATCAGCCGGAAGACCTCGACGTCGCGCGACTGGCCGATGCGGTAGGCGCGGTCCTGCGCCTGCAGGTCGTGCGACGGGTTCCAGTTCGGGTCGACGATCACCACCTTGTTGGCCGAGGTGATGTTGAGGCCCACGCCACCCGACCGCGTCGAGATCAGGAACACGAACTGCCGCGCGTCCGCGTTGAAGTCGTCCACCACCTTCGCACGGTCCTCGTAGCTCATCGACCCGTCCAGGTAGCTGACATTGTAGCTGGTGTAGTGGAACAGCATCTGCAGCATCTTGAGCAGCCGCACGCTGTGGCTGAACACTAGCACCTTGTCGCCGTTGGCGTGCCACCACTTCAGCAGCTGCCGCAGCACCTTCCACTTGCCGCAGAATTCGGGGTTCGCGAAGTTGACGATCGAGTCGCGCGAGCGGTACAGCTTCTCCCACTGGTCCGGCAGGGCCAGCTCCAGCATCTCCTTGTCCTTTTCCTGCTTCTCCGTGGGGTCGCCGCCCTGGGGAATCAAGATTGCGAGGTGGTTGCTGAGCTTCTGGAGCACGGCGATGGCCGGGAAGACGTAGCTCTGCCATTTGCCGGCCCCCGAGGGGAGGAGTTGGTGGCAGCACCAGCCGGATTTTCTGCCGGAGCCGCAGTCGCAAGGGTCGGTGGATGTCTTGATGTATGTGACGATGTCGCTTTCCAGGATGTTCTCGTAGGCCTCGGCCTGGGTTTCAGTCAGCGGGCAGAAGACCACCCGGTCGACCTTCTTGGGCAGTTGGTCGGCGATCAAGGTCTTCATGCGGCGGAGGAAGAACTGGGGCAGAAGATTCTCAACGAGCTTCCTGGCCGTCATACGGGCTTTGCGCAGCTCGTATACAGTGGCGTCGTGCGACTGTCCGATCTTGAGAGGCTCGGAGATGGTCTTCTTCCAGACGGTCACTGGGCCGAGCTTTCCCGGGTTGCACCAGTTCAGGAGCGTCCAGAGCTCCTCGTATTTGTTTTGGATCGCTGTTCCCGTGAGGCCAATTCGACAGAGTGCGTTGATCATGTTCATCGCTTTGGTGGTCTCCGACTTGCGCTCCTTGATGACGTGGCACTCGTCTGCAATCACGCAGTCCCAATCCACCATGTTGACGGCGTCCTTGTTGTGCAGATATGTGCTGTATGTGGTGATCAAGATCTCAATTCTGCCGGACCTTGCTGCTTGGAGCGCAAGCTCCTTGCTGTCACCATGGTAGGTATCAACCGACCACCACCCCCAGCGAGCAAGCTCGGACATCCAGTTCTTGATCAAGGTTCCTGGGCAAACGATAAGTGTCCGCGGATACCAGCGGTCTTGTCCACTGCGGCGCATCTTTCTCATGCGCTTCGCATCCCTCTCATCCCCCGTTTTACCGTACGCTGCCGTCAGAAAAGCAATCACCTGCACGGTCTTCCCGAGACCCATGTCGTCGCCCAAGATTCCACCCTTCTGGTAGACAAACATTTCATGCAGGAAGGCGGCTCCGTCCACCTGATACTGGCGCAGCCACTGCGCAATCGGGGCTGGGATCAGCCCCAGAGAGTAAGGCAGTGTGATATCCTCATACTTGTTGCACGGTTTCAGATGCTGAAAGGCTGGCCTCTCCTGGAGGAACTCGAGCCGCTCGTCATCCGAGAAGTCGACCTCGTCGTAGCTAGGGGGCAACTTCAGCCCCGACGCTTTGAGATGTTCCGCCCGGCGGTCGAACTGCATCCGGCGCCGTTGCAAGTAGTCCGGGAGGGTGTATTCCATCAACTCGTCCTCAGAGGATACCTCCGCGCCGTATTCTCTCAGAGGACGCCTCGGCTGGCTCCTGGCATTCTTTTTCGGGAGTCGGCCGACGAAGGAATTAATGGGTGTTTCGGGCTTGAGAGGTCCGGTGGTTCGGCTCTTCCGTGCGCTCATCGTTTGGCGCTTGCGTTTGAGGGATTTTCGGTTCTTGAACTCTTCATAGGCGGCTGCGCCCTCGTTGAAGGACGATGCATCGTCGCTATCTGTGTCGCTAGCAAGGTCCACGACGGGGGTTTTGATTGCGGTTGCAGGAGGCGACGATGGCTGCTCGGTCGGGGTGCTGGTGCTCGCTGACGGACGGGGTGTCCTGACCCCTGGGCTAGATAGTCGAGCTGTATTTAAAGTGAGAGAGATGCCAGCTTGGTACCGACAAGAATGCGGGGACATACGAGTGAAGACAGGCCGCGCAGAGGAACCTGCGGCGTCAAGGTCGTCGTCATCTGTACCGACCGTAGTGGCATCTGAGTCCTCTATCTCCCAGCCTGAGCCCATACTGAGGCCGACTGCCGATTGAGCGGGCCGTTTCCGACATGAAAGTGAAGGATGGCAGAAGGGAAGTTGGAGATGCGGAGACGCGATGGAGGAACGGAGGTGAGTGTGCAGTGGTTTCCCGATTGGGCAACGAGCTGATCAGATAATTCGGCGCCGAAAAGTCAACCTCCGCAACATCAATCGATCGCCATTTCACCGCCATACTCCTGCGCACGCCCTTGATAATACCTTCTCGACGACCTGCTCGCAGGAAATTGTGTACATACACGAATCGCCTCACTCTCAATCTCAAGTGTAACCCTCCGCTGCCGTTACCAAGTCGACTGCACGTGGTGCGGGGAGCAAACTCGGATTCAAGGTCGCGCCTTTTCTATCTCCGCTGTCGCAAACCACAAGCATTCAAGCACACATTGAACCCGCGCGCCGGCCAAAATGCCTCTCGACACATCTACAACATATCCTCTCACCAAACTCCGCCTGGATGGCCGTCGCTGGAACGAGCTGCGGCTCCTCCAGGCCCAGATTTCCACCAACCCCGCCAGTTCCGGATCTTCATATCTAGCGATGGGCAACACGGCCATCATCTGCTCGGTCCACGGTCCTGCCGAGGGACGTCGGGGTGATGCATCTGGAGGGTCTGCAGGCTCTGCGGGGGCGGTGGTTGAGGTGGACGTGAACGTTGCAGGGTTTGCGGGCGTGGATCGCAAACGCAGGGCGGGTGGCAGTGACAAGTGAGGAACACACAGCCCATACAAAAAGAGCCACAAAAATGGTTGAACTCGCGTGCTAACAAATGCTCAAACTGAGCAGACAATCATCGCGCATTGCTACTATTCTACGCTCCGCCTTCCAGTCGCACCTCCACACGTACCTCTACCCGCACAGCACGATCAGCATCCACGTCTCGGTGCTGTCGGCGGACGGCTCCCTCCTGGCGGCGGCCGTCAACGCATGCACACTTGCGCTCGTGGATGCCGGTATCCCGATGCCGGGGCTGCTGTGTGCTTGTACGGCGGGCATGAGCGGCAGCGCTTCTACGCCGCGCGACCCGAACAACGATTTCCTGGATCCGCTGCTGGATCTGTCGCTGCCGGAGGAGCAGGAGCTGCCGTTCCTTACGGTGGGGACTACGACGGCCGTGCCGGTGGGGGAGGCGGCGATGATTAACGACGACGAGGATGAGATGAAGGTGTCGATGTTGACGATGGACTCGAAGGTGCACTGCACCTATGTGGAGACGATGCTGGCGGTGGGCATCGACGGCTGCAAGCAAATCCGGGAGATCCTGGAGGGTGTGATCAAGAAGTCCGCCCGTCGGTGATGATGTGTATCTCAGGTTAGGTTGGTTTCGCACCGAAAAGGAAAAGCATGGCAGGCGAAATTTCTGTATATACCCCGTGAATTGAGTGCCATGGGCGGTGTTGGGCGTGTCGTGTTATTTGCTTAGGGACTTCCCATCCACTTTTCTTTCCAACCGCATATTGGATCCTTCTCTTTGCACGGGGACTGTGGTTGTTGGTAGTCGGTCGTGGCCTGAGAGGGTCGGGGTGCATAATGTGCTCAATTGCGCGCGCTTTGTCGTCCTCCCATTGGTCCGGGCAGGGGTGATGCTCACTAGCGAGTGGGCATCGTATCAAAACAAAAGTCTTGGAATCTGCGCAGGATGAGCAGGTTTTCTTTGGTGATGGATGCTCCGATGGATCAGGGGAGGGCATTCGGCGACTGTTACGGTGAGCGGCGTTTGCTCGAGGTGGTAGTATGTAAACCCAGCAATATCAACCTCTTCCCTACCGTTTTCTTCTCGACCATATCCCCGGTTGACATTCTACTCTTCTCATCGAACTAGGAGCAGACTCTCTGTGATCAAAGTCTCGCTTTCCAGACCTCTACCCTGAATCATGGACTCGATGCCCACGGCCTCCACAGCCATGAACATGGTCATGGCGACCACGACCAGCGCAGCGATGAGCAGCAGCAGCAGCGGCAGTGCCTCCAGCATGTCCAAGTCAATGGGCATGGGCATGGGCATGGGCTCCTCAAGCTGCAAGATCACCGTACCTCCCCCTTCCCCCTTCCCATGACCCATCCCAACCAAGACCTTCTCTAACCACTACGGAATCCACCCAGATGCTCTGGAACTGGACGACCGTCGACGCATGTAAGGGCCCCCAAGCACCCACCACGCACCACCACCCACACCCAGAACCCTAACAACTTTCCTTTTAAAAAAAAAAGGCTTCCTGTCCCGTACCTGGCACATCACCTCAAAAGGCATGTTCGCCGGCACCTGCATCGGGGTAATCAGCCTAGTGCTCTGCCTGGAGTTCCTGCGGCGGGTGGGCCGCGAATATGAGGCCTTCATCGTCCAGCGAGCCCGACGACGATACCAGTTCCTGTCTTGCCGGGCATCGGAGACGTCCCTCGCAGGACCATCTGCTGCTACTACTGCTGCTGCTGGACATGCTTCCACGACCTTCAACCCAAAAGCCCCCGCGGCCCCGGCTACCCTGTGCAACGACATCAACAACGATACCACGGCCACACATCCACCGCCGCCGTTTCGCCCAAGCCTGATCGAGCAGCTCGTTCGGGCTACATTGCATATGCTCCAGTTTGCGGTGGCGTACTTCGTTATGTTGCTGGCGATGTATTTCAATGGGTATATTATTATCTGTATTTTCATTGGGGCGTTTTTGGGGGCGTTTATCTTCTCGTGGGAGACGATTGGGGAGGGGCCTCGGGCAGGGTACGTATAACTTCTTCTCTCTTTCCTTGACTTTGCGTTTTGTTGAGTGTTGTTCGTGGTGTTATGTGCCTGTAAACTTGACTGGGGGCTTGGCTGACCTGGATGATACTATAGGAATGACGCTACTGCCGTGACGAAATGCTGTGGCTAGTTTTCTTTCTATCGATCTGATGGCGGGCTGGAGCACACGATCTGGTTTACAGCAGTGGCTTAGCTGCAAACAACACATAGGATCAAGAGAAGGTTGGAATTATAGGGGTGATGGTAGAATGTATACTCCCCTCTAGAGTAGTTATTTACTGCTGCGGGTCTACATGAAACCACGCATTCAACATACAAGAAAGATGGATACACGGCTGTACCTATGGCTGTGATCTTGCATGTTAGATTTCCATTCTGTATCAACAATCTAGAGCTGCCAGTCTGCAATGAACCGCGAATGCCTTCCAGAGAAGTAGGAACAAACTATTCAAAGGACATGGACAAGGCTCACTGCAATAACGAAGGACAGTCCTCTCGCCAGAGTCCATGGGGTACTCATTTCCGTCAGGACTTCTATTCTCTTTACATGGAAGATTCGCACTTTGTGAAAGTACTCCATCTGCAATAAGCCACACAGTGTATAGTACACACTCACTACAAGCTATGTGGCAGTAAATACCAATCACCAAAGGTTGTCCCAAATGAAGCCCATACATCTGACTGAACAAGGTATCAACTAGCAACTACCGTATCTAGTCAAGACCACATACCTTATGCCCGCAGATCCAAAACTAAAAAAAAAAAAGATAAACCCTTTGAACGGTGATCCCATACCCCTTGAACAAACAAAATCCCCAACAACTGTATCCTAAGTACAACTCAAAATACCCAAGTAAGTCTCCTCACCTCAATAACGACACCATAGGAGCATAGTATAATCAAAGAACCAAAAGCAACCGCACCCTACCTTCATCCCTCCTAGCGCAATAGTACTTGAAGTATACTACAGAATCTGCATGCACCCTGCACCTGCACCAAAAAGCAGCGGCAGCAGCAGCAGCACATTGCAGAAGAGGAGAGCAATGCAATCTATCCACTGCAGTCCATGCAGCAAGCAGCAATTGAATGCATTCACAAACCCGAACTTGCAGCAGACATAAGCCGGAACCTCCGATATTGTCCGAGGTTAATAATCCAGCTTCTCTCCCAAGGTTTCTTCCGGCCGCGACCCCGCCATCTCAAGCGGGGTTTTCTGTCTTTTTCTTTTCGCCACTGCAGCTCCCCCTTCCCCCCTCCCTTCCCAGGCTTAATGCTGACTTCATTATGACATGTAGGTCTTTCATTACCCTACGGGGTTTTTACTATGTATGAAGGTTGCGGTGAATGTGTGTGCATACGGGGTTAGGCTTGGATATAGATCTATGGGTTTACGTAGTTCGATCATCCCCAAGAGAATGATAGAGGGAACATATGCGTCGTTCAATATGGACACTCTAGACTACAGCATACACCACTAAGAGAGAGAGGAAGTAGTTAAGAAAGAGACATTTAGAAAAGAGTTAAAAGAACAAAACACAGAAAGTGACTGATTGTGTCCACCTTCAGTAGAAATTCAATTCCTTTAACACATGTTTTGGGCTCTTTTTTTTTTTATTTAAATGTGGCTAATTTAAAGAAAAAAAGAAGAAACCGCTTACAGCTCACCGCAAGCAACGATCTTGGGCTTGATGTTGCTGCGAACGGCACCGGAGCTGCTGCCGAGAGCCTCGACCTCACGGACGATCTGCATGGACTCGTTGTCGGCAACCTCGCCGAAGACGACGTGCTTGCCATCGAGCCAAGAGGTGACGACGGTAGTGATGAAGAACTGGGAGCCGTTGCTGTTGGTGCGGGGTTAGTGATGACTGCGTTTCATGAAGCGGAAAGGCAAAAAAAAACTTACGTGTTGGGACCAGCGTTGGCCATGGAGAGGATACCGGGCTTGGTGTGCTTGTAGATGAAGTTCTCATCGGCGAACTTCTCACCGTAGATGGAGCGACCACCGGTACCCTGCATGATGGGTGCACGTTAGTAAAAACGAAGTTGATGTTGCAGATGATAGAAACTTACGTTGTGGCGGGTGAAGTCACCACCCTGGAGCATGAACTGGGGGATGATGCGGTGGAAGGTAGAGCCCTTGTAACCCTGACCCTCAGGAGCCTTGCAGAGCTCACGGAAGTTGCGAGCGGTCTTGGGGACGTCCTTCTCGAAGAGGTTGAAGGTAACGCGGCCCACCTTGGCTGGAGAGTGAGGGCAAAAATGCCATGTCAGTCAGGAGTTCATTTGCCATTGAAACACTGATCGGTACGATGAAAAGAAGATGAAGCAAGACTTGAACCCTTCATTCATTCCTCCAGCAAACTCGGAAGAGGGGTAACAATCTCATCATCTCCCTCTCCCTCTCGCCAGGCAGCCATACCAGCAGCAGGGGCAGAGAGGGGAAAAAATCAAAAAGAAGAAATCAAAGAACTTACGGGCGCTGGAGCCCACGGGGGCGTACTCAATGTCGAAATAGGCCTTGGTGTTTCCGGACATGGCTGCGGATGTTTGATGGAAAGAACGAAGAGAGAGGAAAGAAGGGGAGTTGCAATTGGGGATGGAGAAGAGGGGACGAGAAGCGAAGGACGAGCAAGGTGGGGTTATTGTTGACCTCAGGCTTCGGGAGAACATTGTTGCTGGAGGGGCAATCTGCACTAGACCGTTTTGGGCGTCAGCTTGGTTTGTTGCCGTTGCACTTGAGAGTGAGTCCGTCCATCCACACAGGCCAGAAGTGCAGGTCTTCCCACTTGATCATTCGTGGAGCCTCAGGCTGCTAACCAGACTAGCAGCAGCCTTAGCAGCTAGTAGCAGCTAGGCCCGGGCTGAGGTAGGCTGGTCACCAGCCAGCCAGCCAGCCAGCCCCCTTCCATCCTCTTCCATGGAGATGCGCGCGCCTCCTCTTCCTCCCCAAGCTCCAACCGTCATCCAGCATCATCATCATCATCATCAAACAGCATCGTTTGAAAGATCCATGCCAGGCAGCCAAGCCCTCACAACCTTTGAACTCACAAAAAAAAAAAAACAAGGAGTGGAGGTGCACTTACAAGAAATCAGATTACAAGATGATTAATGATGGTGCAATTGCAGCTGGCGTGAAGAGGAAAGGGAAATCAAGCTCAAGAGGAAGATATCGGACCGGCGAAGAAAATATTCCAGCCAACGCCCCCAAAAGAGTATGGCTTTAGATTAGGTAATACCAGCGAGGAGCTCCCCGGGAGCCCTCCAAACCTGGTTCCAGCCAGCCAGCCTGCCAGCCAGCGATCTCGCCCCCGGAATCCATCGGATACACCTCACCCACGTGATTTGCCATCGCCTCAACAACCTACCTACCTGATAATCTAACCGCGCACTCAATTGGAAACCCATTGATTCTATCAATATATCTGCGATATACAGGGAGGGCATGAGGCAATTCAGATCTAGAAGTACAAATTTAGGCAGAAGAATGAAGAACTGATCGCTGCACCAACAACGGATCAGCTGTGTCTGCGCACATGGCAGCACAGATAGGACCACCATAAGGGTCGGAGAAAGTGAAAAGGTGAAGGAGAATCGCTAATAGAGGAAGATAAACAAAATAGCAACAACAAGAACTAAGGGCGGAGGAAAAGGTAAACCCCCTATGGTAAAGGCACCCCCACAAGATCAAGGGAGGTAAGTAGGAAAGAAAGCAGTCATAAATCTCCTCCAGGTATCAACATCTCATTCCGCATGGTTCTTCATTGTCATGCACAATATCTGCAGATAGATGCCGCCAAAAATAGCAGTGAAAAGATCATCGTCCTCCGCGCTCCGGCAAATGGACGACTAAAAAGGGTTTGGAGAAAGTATGTAGAAGAAGTGAAGAAATAAGATACAGAATGTCTTGTCATCGACATTGTGCGATAAAAGGTGGAAGCTCTGAAACGAAGGAAAGCATATCCAAGTCGTGTGGACTCTTTCAGTACTACCGGAAGTCATCTTCCTCGTCATCGAGCTCATGGGGTTCCAGTCGATGGACCAGCTCCTTGGTCTCCCGTGCGATCTCGAAGGCAATGGGCGGAAGCTTGTTAGTGATTGTGCGCAGCTCAGCGGGGTCAGAAATTCCTTCGCCCTCGGCTGCAGTTCCCGTCAGTCGGTCCCGGTGATGCTCCAAAGTCTGGATGATGGAGCCCGCACGTTGCCGCAGGGTGGGGTTGACTTCAGGACCGTCGATGTAGTGCTGTGTGGACGAGTTGACATGCGACACAACAGAGGAGATAGCAGAGATGTGGGTGCTGATGGTGTTGACGCCTTGCTCGGCGCGAATGCTAGCAACCAGGGCCTGGATCGATTGAACAAGCCCGTCCGTTTGATCCTCAAGGTAGTACTACATGTCAAGTTAGAACCAGGTCATCAGGACTCGAAAGAAAATGCACCCACCTTGAGTTCTTGAAGCTCGTGGTCCACGGACTGGACGGGATACATTGTATGCATCCCTGCATTCATTCCAGGAGAGGTAACTTCGTGCTCGGCAGGAGGACTCATGGCGCTGTAAACCGAATCGTTGCGGCTGAGTCTGCCTTGGCTAGGCGCCACACTGAAGTAGTCAGGGGACCTCATCTGGGCAAACTGTGCTTCATCGTCTTCGTCGTCGTTCAACTCGTTTGCTGGCGTAGGGCGAATTTTCACGAGGCGGATCAGTCCGATGACGGCAGTCGACAAGTGTGAAGCTGCAGCATCCAGGAGAGAGACTGGGGAGAGTCCACCGGAGCTGGCGAAATTCTTGGTGGCCGTGATCACGTTATTTGCTGTAGCAGAGACCTTGCGCGTGGCCTTCGCACCAAGCGCCGCGAGCTCTTCACTGCTGTCTTTACGCAGCTCCACATCGTGCAAGATATGGCGGACGGCAATAACAACCGCTTTGATCTGCTGCATGACCAGCTGATGATCGTCCTCTCGCGCGATCCGCAGCAGCTCATCGATGGAGATCTGGAATTTCGTGACATGCACATCCAGGATGGAGCCCGTCTCGTGAAGGAACTCGTTATCCCTCGCGACGCTAGCGGCATCTGATCGCAGCTCCGACATGCCAATAGACGAGGTGCGCTGCCGTAGTTGAGTCTTCGCCTTGGCGTACCGTGCTTTCCATTGTTTGACCTCTTCCTCCAGCCGATGGACCTCAGTCGTCAGTCGTTCTTCCTGCTCCCACTTGGTATGACTCTGTTCCGACAACGCCCTCATCTCCATGAGGAACCCTGCGGCCTCCCGCCTGACTTCCTCTGTCACCTTTTGCTGTTCTTGCAGCTCCGTCTGCAAGCTCTGGTGCTTGATCTCGAGATTGCTGAACTTGGCCTGCAACTCAGGATCGCCCGTGCTTTGTCGCGAAACCTGGTCGATCTGACTGCGTAGATCCATCTCGATGGCTTCCTGTTCGGTCCGGACCTTCTCGAGCTCCTGCTGGAGTGAGTGGTTCAAGTCCTCCGCCTGCGTGATCTTACTTTCCAAGTTCGACTTTATGTCCTCCCACTCTTGACGCTCTGCAATACTGATCTGATCCGCTTGTGTTAGCCAAGATGGGGATTCATGCGATAGAGGCAATACATACCTGTGATCTGTCTTGCTCCTCTTGGTATTTCGAGAGCTCCTCGTCCTTGGTCTTAACTAGCTCCTCCAGCAAGCCCACCTTACTCTGGTCTTCCTGGTAAGTCGAGATCTCCTGGTCTCTCAACTTGAGCAGCTCCTCGAGCTTTGTCACCTTTTCTTGCAGAAAAGAGACCTGCGACTGCGTCTCTGCCAGCATCTTCCGCTCACTCTCCCCCAACGTCGTCCCCGTACCTCTTCTGCTGTTGAGAACCACATCCAGGGCAAACGCATCACTGCGCGCATCGTAATCATCTTCCGTACCCGCTGCGTCGTCATCATCTTCCACCATGGTACTCTTATTGGGAACAATCGTGTTGCTCTGAAAGGACTTCGCCATCGGACCATCCCCATTCATACCAGGTGGTGGGCCTCCCAAGGATCCCTGCCGCGGAGGATAACCCATGGGACTTGCAGGCATCCCGCCGGGCGGATACCGCGGGGGTCCCCGATTCTGCGAATTGCGACCCCCGGGACCCGGCGGAGGGTAGCCATTAGGCGGAAAGCCGGTCGGGGTCGGCGGAGGGCGTCCGCGGAAACTCGGGGCGGGACTGACGGCACGATGGGCATCTCTGGTAGGGAACTGCGGAAACCGGCGCTCCAGTTCTGTGTACACGTCCGTCGCAAGGTCCCGGAACCGTTGGTGTTGTAGCGAAGCCAGCTTCTTCCGTGCCTGGTTGCGCTTCTCGTGGAACTCCTTTCGCGGGGGCAAGAACGGAGGGATATCGGGACGAGGGGGGCGGGAGGGTGACGGCATCGCCTGCTGGCGCCGGAGCAGTTCATCGTAGACGTCCGTGCTGAGTTCGTGGAACTGGGTGGGCGAGAGTCGCAGCAGCTTGTCCCGGGCTTTGTTCGATTTGCTGTTCAGGCGATCCTCCCGGTAGGGACCCTGAAGGAACCGTCGCAGGGCGACGTAGTGTTGGCCTAAGACTTCCTCCAGCCGCTTCTGCCGTTTGGCGCCATCGGGTAGGGTTCCAACGCTTGATCGCGCGGCGACGGAGCTCGGCGGCGACGGGTTGCCAGCGTCGCTCACCGGACCTGACGAGCCATTGGGGACTCCCTCCACAGTCGGGGTGCCACTGGGGACGCCTGATGTCGGGGGAGTCGCAAGATTGCTCCGAGTCGAGTAGGTTGGAGAGAAGGGCGGATCGGTTTTGTTGTATTGATTGATCCCGGACCAGTCACTCCCATCCACGGAGACAGGCGACATGGTCCCTGAGTGACCGTTCATAGGGAAGCGTGGTGTCGGTCACTGAGGCGGCTCAAGCAGACCGGGGGTGCAACTATGCATGCGAAGATGTGCGACGGACGGGAATGCGGCACCCAGGCCATCGACCGGGTTCGGTGGGAGGGTCTCGAAGGGAAAGGTATTGGGTAAAGAATTCGCTTGTCGCTTCCAATGAGGCCAGAAGAAAGACCTTGTCGCAAAAGCCAGTCGTGTCACGTTTAGGGGTGTGGTAGGAAGTGATTGTTCCGTAGCGACAAAAGGAGAATGCAGGCGAGTCGGTACGGGGGGGGGGAGAGGGAACGTAGCTTCTCGGCCAAGTCGGCACGGGCACCAATAATGAAGAAGAGACAGCCAGGAAGATGGAAGTAAACAATGAATGAGAGTGGAAAGGTTGGAATAGGGATCAGATTAAACCCGGACAAATTAAGCCACCGGGGAAAAAGCAGCAGCCACCAGGAACCTTGGAAAATAGCCTCAGGGAGAAACAGCCAGCCGACTAAGAATAATGGAGAGAAGGAGAAAGAGTAAGAGTGATTGAAATTAGTTGGTTAGTAGTCTAGTTAGCTGAGCCACCCAGACCTAGAAAGCCGACTTAACTTAGTCTAGCCGGAGGATTAATGAATCGAGAGTGAAAGAGAGGCGGGAAAGATATTTTACGAATACGACAAAAAGGGGTATGGTATGGTTACCTTATTGACGGTGTCTGCCTGGGTACAGTCTTACCCAGTCTGTTTTTCGCTTCTCTTCTCCATCGGTGTGATTGCCTACCACCTTGAATTGTGTTTCTGTCTCTGTCTCAGCCTCTGTCCTCCTCCTGTCCGGGCTGCAATCATGCAATGTCCAGCAGCATGGCATGCGGAGTCGCTGGGAGACTGTCTCAGATTGACCCCAGATAGACCAGCCCAGCGAAGGCGATACCCGCCAGGCTGATAAGAGCCAGATCGATATACGTCCAGTCCAGTCCAGTCCAGTCCAGTCCAGTCGCTCACTTCGAAGCTGCAAGTAGATCTCCATCTTCCTCGCATCCTAAAAATAAATGCTTCAGACTTGCGCTAGGTGGATAATGAGTACGTAGCTTTGTAGACCTGACCATCATCACTGTCAATACCAAGCATTCCAACATCCATACATCCATACAAACCAGAACTCGACAGATACAGATCATATACAGCTCTTCAGGAACCGAAACTCACTCACGCGGACTCCACTCACTCTCCGCCCGGAACCGATCGATCAAAGTCGCCGGTCGGTCATTTACTTACTCCTAGCAACTACCTACTTACCGTACTATGTATGTAGACGACAGGAAGCATAGGGTGGCGGTGGCTGCTGCACCTGCCAAACAAGCACTGCACTGCAGCGGTGCAGTGCATAAAAGTACCTTCTTTTCTATACATCCAATCCAGAATTACACTATAATGAAGTCCCATCCTCCTCACTACTACGAGTAATACACCCCAAAATAAGCATTCCTGCCCTCCCTTTTTCCAATCCTCAACTCCCACCACCACCACCCATTACCGGCACTTCCCCAGCACTTCCTCAAAGACATCAATCACATCGCCAAGGGATAAAAGCCGATGAGGCTGGTAAGACACCCGATATACACAGAATTCCCTGGAATGAGATACCCAGCCCCTCCAATCGAAAACCCATCCAACTCAAGCAAAACCAAAGGGGGAGCTCCTCTCCAGTCCACTCCACTCCACCCGCCTGGGCACCCATCGCGGATAGGTGGTCGAGACTGGACTACACCACCGGGTAAGCCAATAAAAACTTACCGGTACTTCATTTCGTCTAGTTCAGGAGAACAGCACCAACAAGTCCCAACAGCAATTATCCTCCAGACTAGTCAAGAAAATTTACCTTTTACTGGAAATTACGCTCGCCCCTCCCGGCGCGCCGGCACGTTCTATCGGAACCTGTCGAAGCTCCCTTTTTGGGGGGGTCCAGAACCTTACCTCAGCTCCAGCCTACGGTAGTAAGTACTCCGTAGTTACCGAACCTATTGTTGCAGCCGGACTGAAAGTGCGGCCACCGGCGGGCTGATCCTTTTGTTTCGCTTTTCCATCCTACTTTCGTAAAGCAAGTAGGTAAGCATGCGCTACCGGTATTTTGGATAGAAAGTGTCGAGTAAGTCCGTCTTTGAGTGGGTGTTGCTTTGGATTTGGGTTTGGGTTTGGGTTATTGCTTGGGGGATTAGTGGTGGTTCTAAGGTGGTGTACTGTACCTAGTGTATCTAGTACCTAGTGGTGGTGGTGTTGCTCTTGTTCCCCCTTGTTCGCCCTGCGCAGTGGCAGTAGGCATGTCAAGATTCAGGGGTGAAGAAACAGATAGACTTCTCATCCGACCGCTTCGTGGCGTGGAGACTCTCCATAGCCCACATAGTCCATGCTCCTAAAGCAGAGGCCTAGAAGGTTCTAGGTTACCTGTTACACACTTTACAATTCCAATCAACTACCATTGCACAACACAGGTATCAAACAGAACAAGACAGTTATTGATTCGTTGGAATATCCATACTCCGTACAATATGTTGGTAAACCTTCAGGTGTGCGAACACTTTCCGGCCGCCACAGCCCAGGCATCACCAGCTTGGTGCTCGTTTTCTACAAAATCATTCGCTTTTCTTCTCCTTTGTCTATCAACATCCCTGTACTCCACAATCAGGGTAAATCCTCCACTCATTAAAGGAACAGGCACGGAATGTGCAGAATGCCCGGATAAAGTACCAATGTTTATGCAGAGTGTAAATGTACAGTCGTAAAAAGCCCGTCAGCGTAAGAAGATGGCCAGAATTATCCCAACTAAATCATGGGCCAGATAGCCAGAACGGTGTCGTGTGCGGAGGGAGACGGGCGAGTGAGGTGTCTCCGGAGAGCGCGAATGAGAAGAATCTGCTCAGTGGCAGGAAGATTGGGGGACATGCATTCATAAGGCAACCGAGCGTACCCGGACTTCATTTCGACGAGGTCATGGCGAGGCCCCGAGTAGCACCCACGGCGGCAGAAACAGGTGTCGCCGAGCGCGTCGGGGCAGCACTGCGGTTGTGTGCCATGTGAGCCCGGACAAGGTGACCAGCGGCCAGGGCAGAGCACAAGCTCAGCTCTCCGGCAAGAACAGCCGCGCCAACAATGCGCGCCAGCTGGCGGGCGTTGTCACCGGGGTTGGTCGGGTGGGATCCACGCACGCCGAGAAGATCAAGCATGGCCGACTGTCCCTCAAGGATTGTGCCACCACCGATAGTTCCGACCTCGATGGAAGGCATCGAGACAGCGATCTGGAGGTTGCCGTTGAGACTGTGAGACGTTAGCATCATGTACCAAGAAATTAGTGTTGTCAACTTACTTTCTCATGGTAGTGATACAGCTGCTGCTTTCCACGTTTTGAGCAGGGTCTTGACCAGTGGCAAGGAAAATGGCAGTCACAATGTTGGACGCGTGGGCGTTGAAGCCACCAATACTTCCAGCCATGGCACTTCCAATCAAGTTCTTGCTAGTGTTCAGCTCGACAAGGGCATTGACATCACTCTTCAATACACTCCGGACAACGTCACCAGGAATGATAGCCTCCGCCACAATAGATTTACCACGGCCATCGATCCAGTTGATAGCAGCTGCCTTCTTGTCTGTACAGAAGTTACCCGAAACGGAGATCGTGGCCATATCATCAAAGCCACACTCAGTAGCCATGACATTGAGGGCCTTCTCAACACCCTTGGAAATCATGTTCATGCCCATGGCATCACCTGTCGTCGTCTTGAAACGAATATATAGGTAGGTACCGGCAAGAGCAGTCTTCATGTGCTGGAGTCTGGCGAAGCGGCTAGTAGAGTTGAAAGCAGTAGTCATGACACGCTGGCCTTCCTCCGAGTCCAGCCAGACCTTGGCAGCAGCAGCTCGTGCGAGGGTAGGGAACCCAACACAAGGACCGCGAGTCATACCGTCACCAGTAAGAACAGTCACGGCACCACCACCAGCATTAATGGCCTTAGCACCTCGGCTAGTACTAGCCACCAAGACTCCTTCGGTAGTGGCCATAGGAATGAAGTAGTTCTGACCGTCAATAACCATTGGGCCAGCAACACCGAGGGGCAAAGGTAGATAACCAATAACGTTCTCGCAGCAGGCTCCATGAACCAGAGTGTAGTTGTAATCCTTGTAAGGAAGCTTCGAGGTCTCTAAGGAGCTGCTGTACTCGGAGGTGGCAGCCGTTCTGGCCACGACAGATCGACGGATCTTCACTGCGCGCGTAAAAGCGTCAAGGCGGCTCATAAGTTCCTCATTTTCCATGGTCTTTTCCAAAGCGTAACCGGGAATTTTGCCCTTCAGGGAAAGGTCCACGAGTTCCTCGTCTGACAGAAAAGCTGCCCTCTTTTCCTTCAAGAAGATCTCGCATTCTTCTGCGCTCCTCTTGGGGCCCTCTTGGTTATTCAAATCAATCTTCGGGTAGACCTTGGGCTTCGGGGCTTCCGTCTTGGGAGCAGTTTCCGGTTCCTTGATGCTCCATCTGGCAGCGTTGAAAAGATAGCCATTTAAGATGATACTCAGAGTCAAGGCAGCGATGATCCACTTGCTGATGACCGGGTCCTCAATGCTCTTCAGGAGGCTTTCAATCACGCGTCCACCAACAGCATCCAGGAACTGGTCGGTGTACTCAATCTCGAACCCTGCGCTCTCTCCCAGCGCAGCATAGTGAACAGAGGGATACTCCAGCTTATACTTGATGGGAGGAATGACAGTTACCACGGTCTCCTGCATCTGGCTCTTGGCAGAGACATAGATAGAATCAAGCCCATTCTCAGCGACCCTGAAAGGATCAATGGGGGTGGGCGCTAGGACATTGGAAACGCGCGACAGAAGAGGAATGCTAGCGGAATCCCGGAAAGGGATAGCCGACAAGTTCACCACATTGATCAGGATGAAGCCTCCAACCATAAGAATCTTAAAGAGACGCACGTTGCTGGACTTGAACTTCTTGCCGAAGATGCTGGTTTCGCTGTTGCCATTGTACTCGGATCCGGCTCTGGGCCAGTCGTTGTTAGAAGCCACGTTCTCGGCAACGCGCTGAGTAATCCCATCTTCCTCGAGAGCCTTGCGGAGCGCAACGTGACGTCTGATGCGGGTGATTTCGAGTTTGATGCAAAGAATCGTGGTGTAGAAGGTGAACAACAAGAGGCAGTCGAAGAATAAGATCCAGGCCGCAAGGAAGCAGAATTGTCTGAGACCTCCCTGCACACCAGAAGCTGCACCAGCAGCAAGAATGGCAATTTCAATGCAGTAGTCGCGAACGAGCTCGAATCCCTGCTCTTTGATAGCAGTCTGGATTGAATCCTGGATGGATCTAGGGGTATTGCCAGCCCGACCACCTTGCTTCTTATCCACGGAAGCGCTCAGAACGGCCCGAGTGAGGATGATCGACTTTTCAAACCCAATGGTCACGACAAGGAACGGAAGACCTTCAGACAGCAAAAGCATGTTGATAGGAACGCCAAGCTTTGTAGTGACCAGAAGTCCGAACAGGAAGGCGAAAGCACCAGAGAAAAGAACGGTGGTGGCCAACCAAAAGTTTGACCCCAGACGGCGCATGGAGAAGAAGAGGGAAACAAAGCTGAGGTGCATAGAGAGGTAACCCAGGGTCATAATGACAATGTCAATGGTTTCAGCGTGCTGAGTAATCAGTTAGCAAACAAGAGCAGGGCTGAGTACGTTCTGAGGAAAAGTACCTTGACCAGATCAACAAAAGAGCCCCAGGCGTCTGCAAACCAAAGCTTGAGAGCCCCAGTAGACCCATAAGCCGGGCCGCGAGCTGCCCGCATGATCCATTTCTTCTGTTCGCCTTCTTCCGTACCAGGAGAAGGCTCGGGAATCTCCTGAACGGCCTTCAAGAAATCGGAGACTTGCTCGAAAGGAAGAGTGAACACAAGAGACGAGTCGTGAGAGAAAGGCGAGAACAGATTCGGCGTATGGGGGACTCGCTGTGCAGAGGTATTCGCAGGAATTGGAACCTCATCGACAAGAGGAGCAGTCGATACTGACTTGGAAACCGAGTCGGGAAAGATAAAAGTAGCCAATGCCATGTGCTGAGCGGACTACCGAGTCAAATGAATCAGTACGTGAACAGACTCAAAGGAGGTAGATCGAGCAAGTCTCACCTCAGAGTTTTCGGCAGTCAAAACGTCCTCAACTTGCCATTTCCATGAGGTACTTTCTCCTAGTCGCAGGCTTCTGCTTCCTCTGAGAAGAGTATCCACGTCAACTTGACCAGGGATATTTCTGGGGTTCTTAAACGAATCGAAAAGGCTTCCCTCGAGCAGGCCGACATAAGTCGTACTGGCAAGGAGAGCAATTATGACGATCGTATGAATGGGGTGAAGACAGGCACGGCGGGAGATGAACTGCAGACCGCTTGTGACTTGACGCTTGAGCCATCCAGGTTCAGCAACGCGATCTTCCTCCGCTGTTCGCGATTTGCGAGGAATCAATAACGTCGAAGCCATGGCTGTATATGATGGTTGAACAATTGGGGGGAGAGAAGGAGCGGTGTGGACCTTGATATATGGGAGGCTTGAATCGCGATGGCGGTGGTCCACGCGTTGAGAAACCGCCAAAGAGTGGCCCAGACTGTTTTGCACCTCACGCGTAGAAAAGTCTGAGATAGTAGATCCGAGCGAACACCTCCCCAATGATCAATGGCATGAGGTGAAGGAGCAAGAGAGGCCGTTGTTTATCGGACCTGGGAAAAAAAAAAGAATGCGATGAGCGTTGCGATCGGTGGACGGAAGGCAAGGGAGAACAGAGGAGTTCGGAGTGGCTTTACCTGACAGCAGAATGTCCAGAGTCCGACTTCAACTCTAAATTGGAATCAGAACCTCAAACAACCGTCTTTCTGAGGTATTTTACCCCTTCTGGATCGTTCTGACTCGATCACGGGCCCCTGAAAGATGCAAGGGTGGAAGTACTTCCACTAGGAAGCCACAAGAGGCGGTGGGATTAGGTAACTCCGCGAGTTTCGCCGCTGGACCAAGCCACAGGACGGCCAACAAAGGCAGCCAATCGAATGTGGTGCGGGAAAACGGACCGCAGTAGTGCCAAGGTGCCTCAAAAGTACACCGGTCGCGTTGGGATACAACCGGTTGTTCACTTATCGAACTACTTCCCAAGTATCAATGGACCTGGTAGTAGATGATATAGTGAAGTAGAGAAGACAGCAGAGAGGGAAGGAGGGAAAGGGAAATGAGCGGGGAGGGAGAGAGAGAGAGAGAAGTGAGGAAGGGGGGGGGCAACCCAGAATAAAGAAGAATTGGGAACAATAGCGACTACCGGGACAGTTCCAATGGAGATAGCCCGAACAGGACTAGTACAAGATGATAGTGGTTTTCATTTCCCTTTTCCCATTTTTTTTTTCTTTTACGAGCAACCCCCGTCTGTACTAATCAGTAATCAGTTGGGTAGTCCACCAAACTACCTACTCCGCTTATCGGGAAGCCGCAACAATCCCAACGTGGAGGATGCACAAATGATGCCAGCTGCAAGTAGATTTTACTAGCGCTCTCTGCGATCAGCATTTACAGAATCTGCAGCCACCTGCAGACTAACCTTGCATGTTGATCGTTGAATGGTGTGTGCAGTGTGTGTTTGCGTGTGAGGATGTGTGTGCTTTCGCGAAGAAAATTCACAGCAAGAAAATAGTGCTAAAGAGTAAAGACAGCCTAAAAGCAACCTAGCAGCCACCTTACCCCTAACACCCGAGCTAAAAAAGAAAGGGTATCCATGAGTTCAGCTCCCACGTAACTCATCATTGGATCTTCTTCACATCGAGAGCCACTTACTGGTCGGCAGACTAAGCAAGATGGCGCTCTCTTCGTGAAATCAAACGCTTGGCCAACCGCATGTCAGGCCAACCTCTTCAGCTTTCAGACTTAAAAACGTACTTACAATGGACCGCAACTGTGGTAAAGAGTTCGGAACGTAAGGGATTGGAGGAAGCTTTTGAGTCCCGGATCAAAGCTGAACACTTCGAACACGTCGGTATTACAAACGTCATCAGAGAAAGGATCCATGTCCTACGAGGGATACGGATTGTGGAACTGATCGGTGAGACCTACTAACCATGGACCATGTTTTCTTTATCGTGATGACTTCAAAGAATCAAGCAGCGCCTGACAACTATCGGCGCATCGTCCCTACATGCAAACAACAGCACAACATACATCCTCATGATGTTGTTGGTGTAATGGTGGCAAGGAATCCTGGGTCTGACAGGGCAATCACACACTTTAGTTAGTTGTATAAGTAGTTTGGTTGGTTGCGTTAGGTAATTGGAAGCTCTACTGGTCCGCTATGGCTGTTGGAATCTGCGTAAGAGTCGTGCCCCTCCATCTGATAAAAAACTTCAGGACTGAATCCATAGCCCGATATTCCCTCACTCTCTCGGGGCGGGGGGGGAATGGTGGAAACCGGGACAGTCGGTGGCCACTGAAGCGTTGCGATTCATCGGAGATAACACAGCCTACCCACCCTTTTCCATCTAATCAATCTCTTCATCTCTCTGGCGAAGGGGTCCCCATCTGTCTCACATGTCGTTGTTTTGGGTATAGGCCTAGCCTAAATTTCTCTGTGCGCTCGGTGACTCCTGACCTGACATTCCTGACAGAGAATTCGTGCCAGAAAAAGCATTGTACGCTGCCCGTCGGAATTTTGCCAACTTGAACAGGGTTGATCCCCCTCAGGCAGCAAAGAAACAAAACTCCCGGTAGATAGTCCGGAAATCGGCAGGGAAAAACCAGTTCAGCTGCGGGTCTCGCACTCTGGCACGTACGTAACGAGCTCGGACCAGAATGAGATCATGAAGCAGGTCGCTACCCTCCATGGCAGTACGATACTTCTGATCTCCAGTCAAATATCAACCTGGCCACTTAGGGTGTGATGGCCTCGCCTCGCAATGCTAGCTGCACTGTGATTGCAAGTTCGGGGGTCGGATTTGCCCTGAGAACCGATAATCAATCAATGGAGACCTTGGCCCGGTGATGGAACCACGGAGACGCTGGAAATTTGTCTGATCCAGAGATGAGGGTGGGGTGTTCTCGTCAATGCCAAGGAAGAACAATGTGAGGTCGGTGAGTTTGTGATTCTGGTGGGCTCGATCATCTCAACCCGTTGGCCTCAGAGGCAGATTTCCTTCCATAAAGTCTGTCTCTCAGTGTACTCTGTGTCACGTTCCAGAGGATGATGGTCTAGAAGGGGAGCTGTCAGTTCCATGCATAAGCCGCCGTGCTGCAAAACAACCTTCTTGTTTGCATTTCAGCCCTTGAATTCGAAATCTTATAGCAACTTGTTTCTTCAGCATTAACAATCCGAACATCAATTCTCTTAGTAGCCACCAGTTTGCCCATCTTATCCGGTTCTTTACTCTCTCGTCCGAGAATCTGCTAGGGCTGGCGGGGGCGGGGGCGGCTGTGTTTCAACCTCCATGTCCCTGGCGCCTAAACATTCAACACCGGGCTGGGTGAATGCTTGCTGGCTGGCTGCTGGACATCAACGAGCGCCGACCCTACGCTTGAGACAAGCTAGGCAAGTTTACTTCTAACAAGTATGGAAGGGGCACCAATACCTGAAATGAATAGCAGCCTTAGCTTGTCGAGTTTAGCCAATTGGCAAAGTTCAAGTCCTGCTTCGCCTGCAACTCTGCAACAACGGACTGGGTCAACCCTCACGGGCGACTGCTGTCATGAGATTATATTCCAGCCCAGGCTAGGCGCCGTTGCTAATTTCAGACCGCAACAGTGTGTCGCGTCTCCTATCACACCAGGCCGATCCGATCTTGTTCTTCATGCCCATCGAGCTAGGCGTTGAAGCCGAATAATGCCTGTCATCTCCCCTCTGGATCAACAGGGGGTGGAAAAGCTTGGTCGCGCTACCAAAGGAATCAATTGGCTCTGGGGTGCTCCTTGAAGATCTCTCGCAGTCATGAGCATATATTGCATTGTCCGTAGCGCCTACAGAAACGAGTTCTCTATGACGGATGCAGCTTGACCGAGTCGCTTCACGCTTTGTGTTTCGAGTGACTTGATGGTATTGGACACCGCTTTGATTCTCAATTTCTTTTGAGACATGACTGCGGTCATAGGGCCCCAGAGGGCGACAATAGCTGACAGTGGCTCCCTTCATCAATGTCATTGTTAACATCCGTGGCCACCCGGTTCTTTATGTTTGATCTATTGTATATTGTGTCTCCGCTAAGGGTCATTGTCATTGTCAATGACCATCACCTATTATTGCTGAACGGAACACTCCAGCAAGAATCTACCACCTAGAACTTGAAGATACATAAGGGCAGGGTCTCCTTATCACTATGAGGGTATAATACGTATGGATCGCCCCTGCCTTCTGCAACCACCATTGCATCCACTGACCACAAAATAGAGAACCAACCACCAAAATCTCTTCATATACGACCCCGCTGGCCGGTATCTTACCTTGTTAATTCTTCGCGAGAACAATCCAATATAGAAAATAGCCACCACAACCGGAAGAGCGCAGTCATGCTTCTCATTCGTGACACAGTTTTAGGAGGGCTCCTGCTCGCCCTTAGTCTACCCTCGACTGTGGTCGGGCACTCCTGGGTGGAACAGTTGACGGTCATTGCACCCAATGGAACATTTGTCGGAGCGCCTGGCTACCCCCGAGGCAATATTCAGCGGTCCGCCTCTGGCTTCAGCGATACCGAAATGACCTATCTCATTCCCCCGAACGGCCGCGCCAATCAAAGCCAGATTTTGCCCACCGACAAGATGTGCAAGGACAGTCAGCGAACGGCTAAACAGACCGAAGGAAGCCCACGACTGCAGGCCAGCGCCGGCGCTGCCATCGCTCTTCGATTTCAGGAAAACGGCCATGTGACACTTCCAAACACACAGCCGGGAAAGCCCAAGAATCGGGGCACGGTATACGTGTACGGGACGACTGAACCAAAAGAAGATGAGAACCTCCTGGACGTCCATCGCGTCTGGAACCGAGATGGTACGGGAGGCGATCGCCGAGGCGTGCTTCTGTCCAAACAGAATTTTGACGACGGTCGCTGCTACCAGATCAACAACGGGGACATTTCTGAACATCGCCAGGCCAAATTTCCTCACGTTGCCGATCAGACCATGGGCGCCGATCTGTGGTGTCAGCAGGATATCGCGCTACCTTCGAATGCGCCGTCCGGCAAGCCGTATACACTATATTGGGTATGGGACTGGCCGACGGCGCCTGGTGCGACGGCAGAGCTGCTCAATGGAAAACAGGAGATCTATACCACCTGCATGGACGTTGATATTGTGGACAACGGTGATGCGACATCGACAACCACGCATTCACACGTCAAAGCTGGGGCTGCAGATTATGTGGAAGGCCAACCCTTGGACAAGGCCTCGATCCCATCGCAATTTGCAGAGATCGTGGATTCACGTCCAGCCGCGAGCGAGTCCGGCAAGTCTGTTCTGTGCGCTGCGACGCCAGCCACCGCATTGTCAAAACCAGCCTCCAAGACCACGTTTCTGACTATCTATAAGACCATTTATCCCAGCGCAACACCCACTCCTCGTTGATTTCTCTATTTCGAAATTCAGGACTGGACTGCCTTGCTTTCCACCTAAATATATCTCCCTTGCATGTCTCGGGAGAAAAATGGCTAGAGTGGGTTCGATGCGCTTCGAAGCGCCATGGCAGATCGAACAATCAACCTGCCGATGCCCTTTCCTTTTTTTTTGTCTTTTGCACGGCTGGCCGAGCAGGATAATGATGAGCGCTCTATGCTTTTCTAAGTATACTTTTGAAATGACCAATAGACATCATTTTTTTCCTTTCCTCAACTGTATCCGAGGATTTACTCTTTGTTGTAGCGCTCTCTGCAAGGTTGGACGGATTCAGCAAGATGGAGTCACGAGTGTAAGATCAAAGCTAAGAACTCCGCTGGCGTGTACTGGCATACCGCCAGGACTGGCTTGTTTGGAGAGGGGCTGTGCTGGCTGTGCTGGCTGTGCATAGTCAGTAATGCCTGAGGAGTGTTCAAAGGAGCTGGTGGTGGTGGTTAGAAAGGAAGCAAGGATGAAACCTGAGGCAGTCTATCCCAAACAGGGATCGCCTGAGGCATCCTCGACTGAAACACGCTAAGCCACGCGTGGTCCGTCACGTGTAGACAGGCGAGTCTTCAATCTTCAGCCCATCGGAACATTGCAACAAGATGTTGCAAGCAGACAGATCGAGGAGCTTGTCTGCATGAAGCTCTCTTGCGACGTGTCTTCCGATCAAGTCTTTGAGAAAGCAGAGGACCAAAATCACCCGTGGGTCTGTGAGTGTGTTCCTAGTCCCTACATTTCTCCTACCTGGGGGGCTGCGCCTCGGTGATCCTTAACGCATCGATTAACTAAAACCACGACTAGGTAAGGTAATCTCCGACGCTGCCAGGCCTCTGCCCTGTCTCTTTCGCCCTCGCTCTCGCTCGCTCCACCATCCTTTGAGTTAGTTCTTTCTTATCCTCTTGTCAATTCTCTCTCTTCTTGTCCTGCAGGTGGTGTCATCTACAAGCGCCCACATTTCCCCTCCCCTCCCCTCTCTCCTCTCTTCCACCTCTCCTCTCTTTCCCTCCCTCCTCTCTCCTCTCCCCCCGGTTTTCGCCTAGAATTCTTTGGCTTTCCCCTCCAGCGTCCCATGGGTTTTAGTAATCGCCGTCTCTAATAGTGGCGCTTTCCCTCCCTGCCCTCGTTGCTAAATTTAGCATCCCCAGTTCTACCCTCTTTTCTATCCATCCAATCCATTTGTACTGTCAAGCGCGGGACACCACGACACCACGACACAGACGCTCGAAAAAGCTTCCTGTCCTTCGGCTTCGTTACAACTTCCCCAGACCTTGAGCGCCTTCCCTTGAACATTTGTGCGATCCTGGTTGTCTGGTCGGAACCGCCTCCTCATTACTGTGGCCAATTAATTTCCTGTCGCTTATGTGAGAGGGGGGCAGTTCTGGAATTAGTGAAGATCGCTGTGGTATTCTGCGATTGATAGCCGCGCCTTGCCTGTCGTCCACCGTCCACCATCACTGGTCTTTCCAGTATCCTGGTTGATACCACCTCGCCTCTCTGGCGCCTAGTACCCCATCGTTCGTCGTTTGCCCAGCTCCGTGGTTTCGAATTAGGACAATCCTCCTCGGCGCAGCCTCCTCCAGCAACCCGATTTGCATCGTGCTTGCACGCAAGGAGTCCCTTCCCTCCCCACCAATTCGGCTTGCACGCTACTCTTTCAGTTCCCTGCCTGGTACGATTGACCTCGAGTGACGTTCCTCGGACGCGGGCTGGTATTCGAAATTCAGTGGGTGGGTGATCGCGATGCAAAGCTAGGGCGAACCGGTCTCTTGAGCCTTCCCCCTCCCCCCATTTCCTCCCTGGGTTATAACATCCGACTTGACATCACCTCACACGACATTCTCGACACGCAATCACACTTCTCGCGCGCCGAATCTTCTCCACATAAGACCCAAAACTCATGGCCATGGCTTCTGCGGCATCATCCCCTCAGCCGCAGCAGACGGCCTCCTCTGCGAACCTCACGGTCCTACCTCCGATAGTCACAGATGCTTCAACTAAACGGCCGGGCCGTCAACGCTCTTCTTCATACGCCCGGGAACGTCTTTCCACACACTCGAATGTCTCGCTCGCTTCACATAACCGGTCACGGCCTGGATCGCATGTCTTTCCCATCTTCCATTCTAGCCTGTCATATGCTCTCGTGCGCGACTTCGCATACCCACCGATCCACCCACTTCACTATGGTCCACTGCCTCCTCGTGTCTCTGTAGCATCCACCCCGGCCAGTGAGCCACGACGCCTGTCTGACCCTCCGGCTCCATGGGATAGCTCGCGTGGTCAGTGGTCTATGAGCCCATGGAGCACTGATCACAGCTACGGGCATCAGCAGCTCCCTGCCATGTCCTTTGGTGATGGACCCCCATACAGTGAAGACGAAGATCTGCACAGTCCAGTTTTCTCCACACCCCACCACCGGAAAAACAAGTCCACTGGGACCGACCTAAATGGACGTAAGGGCCGGAAGTCCAGTAATCGTGCACACCACGGAAGTGTATATTACGAGAACGATGCTGAACGGGGCATGCTAGTGAGCATGAATGCCGATGGCAGCGAGACCTATTATGTGAATGATGATGACCATGATGATATGGACGACGGTCCCGGGGGCGAGTATGTCACCTATCCAGCCAGCGAAAGCCGGTACTCCCGTGCGGGCGGGTACGGCAACGATCCGTCCTACGGGCACGACGGCGACTTCGAGTCCGAGGACGACTATGGCACACATCGGTATTCGCGCGATTTTCAATTCGCGGTAGGATGTCCGGACGAGGAGATGCACGGCAAGGCGGTGGCGCTCTTCGACTTCACACGCGAGCATGAGAATGAGCTCCCTTTGACTGAAGGGCAAGTGATCTTCGTGTCATACCGGCACGGTCAGGGCTGGCTGGTAGCGGAGGACCCTCGGACGGGCGAGAGCGGACTGGTACCCGAAGAATTCGTCCGGTTGCTTCGTGACATCGAAGGAGGGTTGACGTCGTTGAACGGCGAGCCTGACCCGGAAGATGAAGAAGAGGTTCATCAACACGCATACTTTGATCCCAACTCGACCACAGGCTCTGATCAACAAACGATACCATCTGCGACGAACGAGCAGTCACAACAGCAGCAAAATCGTCCGGAGCCAACCTCTGCGTCCGCCGCCAACGGAGAGAAAGGGGAAGAGGTTGCTTCCAGTTCGTCGTTGCCCAGCGGTAGCAACTCCGATTCGAACATGTCACATCTGAACCCGCCCCAAAAGCAGGGAATCGATGTCCCGGCCGAGAAGAACAGTCACATCCAGGCTTGTTAAAACTAATTCCTATTGTATATGCCCCTCGCTATCCTCCCATTCACAGCACTTCGGATTTACCTACCTACCTACCCATACATCCAAGGTATAAAGAGGAACAGCCCCTTCATTACCTAAACTCCTCCCCCATCAAGACCTTTCAACCTTCCCCTCTATCTTGGTTCCCGTGTGAATAGCCATACCATGCCACAAGAGGCAGAAGGAAGAAGAAGAAGTGTTCGTCTATAATCACATCCTGCATCTATATTTTATAACCCCATCTCTCACTCACCACCTTATATTATTGTTCATCGTTCCCCGGCTGGAACCTGTTATCTCAATCTATATCTTCTTTTCCTCCTTTTTCTGAAACATGCCCCTCCCGAATCGATAGCCCTTTCTTGTTTTCAACTGCAAACAAACGCATACGGTACATCCATACATGGTATTATGATATCAATTTCCAATTTTGTTTTCGTCTGTTTTACCTCCATCATGACTGACTCAGCTTCCTTCAAATTATTCTTCTTATCTTTTAGCGTGGGAGGGAAATCTGTCTATCTGTCTATGTGTGTCTGATCCCGTCTACAGACATTGTAGTGTGAGTGTGTGTTCGTACCAATGGTAAAGAAAGGGGCACGCCCACTAGTTCTTGTTGTATTTTCTCGTTGTAAACAAAGGGATAGCCCGGGAGGGAGGGTATACATTCTTCGTGTTTCCCACTCCGTCTACCATGACACCCTGTCGTCCTGGTATACTCAACGCCTGTAAATATCTAGCTGGGCGTCCCTCTCTCTCTCTCTCTCTCTTTATCACTGCGGTGCGTCTATCTGTGCACACTATATAAGTACACAATGCTACGAAATCGGGTTCAAATTCTCCCCGGAGATACAGATCTCATACGAAGTATGTGCAGTAGCAGCAAGAGACGCGTTCTCGCGTGGATAACGAACAATGAAACGTAACAACCCCGCCCAACACTAACACCAACAGCAGCAACCACCAGCGTGGCACATCCTATTCGTACAACGGGAGGTTGTAGTCGGTTCAACGACTCGGTCGACTACCGTCTGTCGCTTACTTGACCTCCGGAACGCTGCATTGCAACACGGGTCCATCGGGAACCATGTACTGTATGTAAATGAGGAGGAACTTATAGTGTACGCTGAGCACTGAGGACTGCGAGGCTTTGTATGAGAGCGAGCGACTTGAAGCTAAGCTGACCAATAACCACCTACCACTACCAAAAACAGCAGCAGCAGCAGCAGCAGCAGCAGCAGCAGCAGCAATAGTGCTTACTTTCCACGCTCCCAGTTATCGATCATCTGAATTGAAAAGCGGCCACTCATGCAACACAAGGATACCCAAAGGGAAAGAGAGAAAACGAAAGAAGAAGAAAAATGCTTGCTATTTTGTATGAAAACGTGATAGTAAGAAAAAAAAAATCTCTCGAAGATCTTTTAGAGCAAAATGGCCTTGAGCAATGGCAACAGAAGCACCAGGAAAAAAAAAAGGAAAAAAAGAAAATGGATCGTACTACGATATAACATTGCCCCCAAAAAGCCCCACACACACAGATGCACACACACATACATAGCAAAAGTTTAACAGGAAAAAGAAAATTGGTAGAATATCCCTAGCCTAGAAGGTCGTCTAGTCCCGAGCTACCGGTCTTAGATCCGTTGTACTGTGTTTGATGAGATGGTGAGGTCACATTGCTTGTGCTGGGCGTAGCGGGGGCGCCCCAGATGCCGGCGCTGGCTTTCTCCTTGGCCATGCTGGCGAGGTTGGGGCCCCGGTTGGCGTTGGCGTTGGCTTTTTGAAGGCCTGCGCCGGCGCTGGCGGTGGACCATAGGGATCCGAAGGCGTCGCCGCCGGAAGATTTGGATCCGGCGGGCTTGGATCCGGCGGATGCGGTGGTCGTGGTGGAGGTGAAGGAGGAGGTGGAGGGCATGCCGGGGCGGTGGCCAGAGACGTTGCCGCCTAGAGGAGGCTGGCCGGCGGAGACGGAAGTGAAGTAGTTGGGGGTAGCGGCTTGGAAGCCACTGGGTCTGGGTTGCGCTTGGGCGGGCTTGTGAGGCTGCGCCAGGGAGCTTTGCGAGAGGGTGGGTGAAGCGAGGGTGCTCGAGGTTGGGGTCGGGGTCATCGACGTGAACCCGACGATGCCGCTTAGGTTCGACCCTTGGGTGCCGGATACGGGCTTGGGAGCGGCGAATTGCGTGCTGGAGGTCGTGCTGACGGTCGATGCGGGGCCTGGAATGGAGAATTGTGCCGAGGATGCCGGGGCAGGCGCCGGGGTCGCAGACTGAAAGTCGTCAAAGTCATCGTCGTCGACGGTGTCGGTGTTGAGCATGTCGAGACCGCTGCTGGTACTAGCTCCTGCGGGCTGCTTGGAGGTGGACGCCGTCGTCGAGACGGGCTCTTCGCTAAAATCGAACAGATCGGGCTCGGGCGCCTTGGGCTTCGGAGGCTCCGGTTGTTTGGACGGACGAGCGCGAGGAGGACTTGCTGCACGGCGCCGTGAGGGCGCAGCATCAGCCTCATCGTACTCGTCATATTCATCGAAGCGGTTCGAGCGACTGCCGGCATCATTGAAGTCACTCGTGTTGCCTCCGAAGCCGCCTCCATCGCCATAAACACCACCGCTGTACCCGCCGAAGGACAGACTTTCACTGCCAAACCCTCCGTATCTGCCGGTGTTGGACATGCCGCCGCTAATGTGCGAACCTCCCTCGAAGCCACCAAATTTGTTCTTGTTTGTCCGCGCCTTCTTCCTCTCCGAACGGATCAAGTCGACATCACCAAGCAACTTGACCAACTCCGACGACCGATTACGTACGTTGATACCCTGGTCCTTTCCGTTCTGATCGATGAAGTGGAACTGGCGAAGCATGCGAAGGAGTGACATGTGAGAGCGCGCATCGTCGACGACTCGTTCGGATCCGTTCTTGACCAAGAATTCCAGAAGCTGGAGAGCCTGTTATCCGCGGAAGAGCGTTCCGTCAGCTAGGATCCCGCAGTATATTGAGAAAGCTTGCCAATGACACGCCCCGAGCAGTCAAGCAGTAAGTCTAACCTTGTAAATCTGTCGCCATTCCTCCGCGGTTTTGTCGGTAAAGCGCTTGTAAATCATAGGCATAATTTCGTTAAGCAATTGACTGTATACACCAACAACGTCATATCAGCAACTATACTACCACCCGAGGATGCGACAGGGTCGGTGTCACTGACTAGCTGTGGGTTCCGCTGGCAATTTCGTGCATCAATGAGTTCGAGGCGCCCCAAGGCTCGTTGTTCGTAGCTTCTCGAACCTGCGTGGCGTAAGTGCGGTGTTCATCATGACCCCGGCCTTTGTCCGGAGTTCAGGAGATCGGAACGGGAGAGCCGGGAGAGGGGCGACGGACCTTGGCCTCCATCTCAGTGTAGTTCATGACAGCTAAACCAGTTAGTTACATCGCTTAGCCCCACGAGAGCGAGTTCCGAGTGGAATAATTGGCGTAATATGACGGGCTTCAACGGCGGGGGGGCCTACCATTCTGGACCTTGCGGACTCCCGCCTTGAGGTCATACAAGGTCAGATTGCTGACCTGGTCTTTGAGGCTGGAGAAATCCATGGCGCCTTGAGCACAACGGGCGGTATTGACAAGCGACCTGATAACAGCCGAGGAAGAAAGAACAAGGGAAGAGAATAGGACAAGTGGCCAGCAGAAGGTAAGAGGAGTCTCTCGGGGAAGAGGGAGTAGGACATGTCCATCGACTCCAGCTGGCATCGATCGCCGTTGGGCCCGAAGACGTCACGTGGCACCCCCTGACCCGGCATTCGCTGCGTCATCCTTTCTCTACCTTCCAAACACTCATCAGTTGTGTTTTAACTCTCATACTTACACATTTAATCTCACATAATAGTTATAGGGGCCACGCGGCTCCTTTTCATGGCTGTCTAGCATGCAATAAGTACAGCTGAGCATAAGGGCTACATACATAGAATCATCAAATCATCATAGAATAGACATGTACTCAATATCATCAAAGGAAAGTATAACAACTAGCAAGAGGGGTAATCATCGAAAATAAGGAAGTTCGTCTCTGTGCATCGTACTCGACGAACGGTCTTCATGTTCAACATGTCATAACAGGAAAGAAGTGGGATATCACAACGGCATAAGAGGGAAGAGAGGATATAGAGAGAAAAGAAAAGAAAAGAAACAACCATCTTGTTGAGGGGTCGTCGATTATTCGTTGTAGAACTTCCTCATGATGAGGTGCAAGAAAAGATTGACGTTCACCCGGAGCTGTCCGTCGAAGAAGTCAAGGAATTGCATGTTGTTGAACTGAGCCTGAAGCAGGTCATCCAACGGTACCTGGGCGTTGGCGCCTGGAACCATCATCGGGCCACTGCTTCCGTCCAGGGTGAAGACGCCAACTTCGTTACTCGAGATTGTCAAGTCAACGCGGTCCCATTGGCGCTCGGTGTATCCTTTCCAGTGCACAAGGACACCCTTGTCAGCCAAGTTGCGGGCCGAATATTTGTACGAGCCGAACTTGAAGACCTTGCCCGATTTTTGAAGCTCACGTTGGTGATCCCACTGCTTGGTGAAGGGCATGAGGAACCTCTTCTTTCCCTTCTTATTCTGCAGAGTAATCATGGCCTGCTCGATATAGTCGTTGTATGTCTTCAGCTGCTGATCCAGCCAGACAGCTTGATCATTGAGACGCGCGAGCGTCATTCGTGCGCTATCCAATTCCCGCTCCCGTTGGATTCTCCGGCGGTGCTTTGTTCGGATATCTATGGCGATGGCATTCAATAGATCCTGATAGTAATTGTCGCGGCGGATCTTGCCGGTCTGTTCGAGTTGCAAGATATTCTCAAGTGCCGTCCGCTTGAGTTCGGAATAGCTCATGGAAGCGATATCCACCATCGTGTTGGCTTCCGCATATGCGCTTCGCCGAGTATTGTTTGCACTCAGTTCGTCGCGCACCAGCATCATCCACTTAGCCTCATCTTCTTCGGTTGGTGGCTTGACCATGATCTCCAACAGGTTGGCACCTGTCTGGACTCTGATGATATACAGGATGCATCGTTTCGTTTCCATGAACAAAGCTTTAACATCGGCTTCTGGGTCTACATTTGGTCAGCACATCAGCGCGCATTGATTCAAGTTGAGCATGACTCACCTTCGACCTGTGCAAGCTTAGGGTTTAGTGTCAGACTAATCTCAGAGGAGTTGACGCTCATCAATTCGTTCTCGTTAGATTTGACGTTTCCAAGATCACGGATAACTTCTTTCAGGATATCATCTTGGCTTTGACACATATATTGTATCTCGCTGGCGACAAGTTGATGGATGGAAAAGATATCGGACATCTTGATGTACAAGGTGGGCTTTGTCTTGGCGTAGAGGTCATTGAACTCGTCGATATCGAAGTAATCTTCCGCATCTTGAACAGTAATCACTATGAAATAGTCAGTATCTTGAGAAGTTCCTGCTCCTTGTCTCCACTTACGGTCACCCCAAATCTGGCCAAGCCGTTGAATCGAGTCACCTATATAATTGTTCAAGGGCTGGAGGTAAACATTCTCCGCACCGAAAAGTCGTCCAGAGGCTGCTTGCGCAATCACCTTGGCGATTTCCGAAAGGTTTCGCTTCTGCTCCTGAGTCAACCCTCGATCTACCACACCGTACTTTTCGGGTTCGAAGACAGCAGGCTGGAAATAGTTCTTCCACACCCAGTGGCCAACGGTCTGGAGTATAAATCCAGGATCTTCTCTGGGGAACTTTGAGAGCAAACTCTCATACATCTCTTTGGCAATGTATCGGATACCGAAAGGCATTCTGTACAGTAGCTCCTCAAAGGCAGAGAAGAATTGATCGGCGATATCGCGAAGGTCCTGAAGGTTCTGGATAAAGGTAGCCCTAGTCTCTGGGTCTCTGATTGCCTCTTCTCGTGGGATATCGGGCCGGCGCCTGCTTCGCTGTCCGGTGCGAAGCTCCTCATTGTTAATGGCCGAGCGATAAATCTGGATAGGATCACTTTCCAAGTCCAACTCCGGATTCTCGATGATGTTCTCTCGCACAACAGGGCCCAAGGTATCCCGCATGAACTTGCGGTCTCGGGGCGATTTGATGTACGATGCAAAGAGCTTGTTCCAGAACGCATTGCAGCGCAAATATTCATGCAAAGAGTCGAAGCTTTCAATCTCTTCCCGAGCGGAGCGAGCGAGCAGCTTGATCAAGTAGTATTCCTCTCTCCTCTTCTGCGAGTAGCCGAAAAGCCCCATCATCAAGTGTCTAATCCGCTCATATTCCTTCTCGGGCGTGTTGAGCTCGCGCAGACGCCGAAAGAGCTTGGCCAAATACTGCGATTGGGTCTGGAGAAGGAAGAAGAATACTTGATATTGTTCCAACTTTCTCCTTGACGTCTTGTTCAGGGCCTTGAGGTCGAAAGGATCTTTGGAGGAAATTTCTCTATTTGGCAGTAGGCTGCCGACGTGACCACCGAAGTGCTTTTGGTGCTTGACGACTTCATCGAGGGTGATCTTGTTCTTCACCAGAAGAGCAATTTTGATGTCGAGCTGACTGATGTACTGTTCCGCGAGCTCATTTTGTCGGACTTGCTGAACCACCAACTTTCTGGTCCGTTCAAACTCGATCTCCTCGTCGAAGTCAAATTCACTGTCGTTCAATAGATGTACAAAGCCCTTAACGGTTCCCACTGGGGGATTTTTTCCAGTTGTAAGACTCTTGTATGCTTGACCCTGTATTCTTCCTCGCACATAACTTTGCGCCTTGATCACCTTTTCCATGTTCTGTCGGTAGTACTGGCGTTTCTCTTCGAACTTCGAGCGGACAAGGTATCCACGTATGTGTGATTGCAGTTCCATGACTATGTCTTCCTCAGCAGCAAGATCTGCCAGCATTTGGCCAACTTCAACGCGGATCAGCATCGCTCTGATCTGTGCCTGCAGCTGACTGACTTCATCCTCGCAGTCTTCAAGCTCGTCTAGATCGGCGCCGACCTTGATCCTAAGAACCGCAGCACGAGCGAGGGCCTGAAGATTGGTTATCACCAGTGCTTCGTGTTGCAAGGCCTCGGCATCAGCCGCCAACCGTCTTCTGAGGATTGCCCCTCGGCCCATAGATTGCAATTCTAGAATGGACGCCTCTGCATCTGCCAAAGCTGCTTTTTGTGACCTAATTCCAGACCGAACCACATTCCCTCTCACTATGCTCTGGAGGTCGTTTGCCGCCTGGTCATGTTCATTCAGGTCCTGCCGGAGCTGCTCGAGGGTTGCTCTCAATGCACCACCACGAGCCATTGCCTGAAGTGATATGCACGCTTCAGTCGTCTCTGCGAGTGCCGCTGCCTGCTCCTGCTGATACTCTCTCAATGCATGGCCTCGAGCAATGGATTGAATGAAGGTGATGGCTGGTGTTTCGAAGGCAAGTGCATCCTTTATGTGAGCGATAGACTTCCTTGCCATCATACCGCGGATTGCTCCTTGTAAAGATATCGTGGTGGGTTCGGTACCATTGATCTCGGCGTGCTGCGTATTCATCTGCTGCCGTAAGAGGCCGGCTCTGATAATAGCCTGGAGTGTTATGACTTCAGCCTCCGCCGACCGCGTCGCTTCGTACTGCTCAGAGAATTTGTTGCGTTGTAGAGCACCCCTAATATGTGCTTGGAGTGCTGTGATACCCTCTTCAGCGGAGCGTACGGCTTCGAGTTGCTGTGAGACTAGGCTGCGTTGCAGAGCGCCTCTGATATATGCTTGGAGTGTCGCGATACTATCCTCGGCAGAGTGTGCTGTTTCGTATTGCTGCGAGACATGGTTCCGTTGCAAAGCTCCTCGGACGAGCGCTTGAAATGCGGTAATGCTATCCTTGGCGGAGTGTATAGCCTCTGCCTGTGCTGAGACTTGACTGCGCTGAAGAGCACCTCGGATAGCAGCTTGTAGTAGACAAACTTCGTTGTCTGCGCGTCTTGTATTTTCACACAGCTCAGATACAGTCTTGCGTTGCAAGGCACCTCTCAGCGCTGCCTGAAAGTGTTTGATAGCCGATTCCTCCTTCCGCATCTGCGTGCGCAGATAATCAACTCCGGCCCTTGCCTTGGCACCGCGAATGAGACTCTGTAGCTGCAAGATATCCACCTCTTGGGCCTGGTAGTGTTCCTTGACATCTTTTTGGCGGCTCCGCACGATGAATGCCCGGCAAAGCGCTTGAAGATTAGTGGCAAACGCCTTCATGTCCAAGCGATACTGAATGATCTGACGGGCCCAGTCACCACGAATCCGGGATTGCAACTCCACTAAGAAAGGCTCGAAATCCCAGAGATCATGCATCAAATTGCCCAGCTGCAGGCGCGTCATTGCTCCTCTAATCTGGGCTTGGAAATCAGCGATTGACGCTTCACTCTCCTGCAGTTCGCGCTGTATTCTTTCCTCTTCAGATTCCGGCTCAGGCTCAGGTTCTGGCTCAGGTTCTGCTCCGAAATTCGCAGCCATCCCCGAAAAGCTAGGCATACTGACACCAGCCTTATCGAGCCCCTTCTGTGTCTGCTCCAGCTCATGGTGTTCGAACTCAAGCTGGCCTACGAGATTTCCCATGCGAAACTCGACAAGACCTTTCTTGAACAGTAGCCATGACAGAGCATGAACGCAATGAATAACTTTAGGTATGTTCTTCTTCTCGTACAGATCAATGAGCTCGAATCTGAAGAGCTCGGGCAGTTCCACGTCGTCCAAAAACCGGAAAAAGAGGGCGATGTTATCGGAATGTCGATATTGAAGCTTGGGATGTCTGAAAATCCGAAACGTGCGCTTTGGGTTCATCGCTTGTACCACTTCTGCAAGCGTTACACCATCGCGAAGAGCTTCCTCTAATTGTACGATGGGAGGGATTTGTTTCTGTATAATTTCCTCGATCCACTCCTTGGCTTCTCCGATATGGCACAAGTACTCGTAGGCTTGCAGAAACTGTCGCTGCTTTTCCATCCAGTTTCCTGCTGCCCACGCCGATGCGGGCTTCTTGCGCACACCACTGGAGCCATCGTTTTTGGCTACCGAATCTGCTCTTTTCAAGCGACGTCGTCCTTGTAATCCGACCACAGAGGGGCTGTATGTGTCAAGGCCAAATCCATCCGTTTCTCCCGATTTCGCAAATTTGGAAAGTGTTCGAAGATGGCCTGTGGAGGATTTCTGAAACGTCTCAAGTTCAGGTGCCGATAGGGTGTGGGTGATTGGTGAAGGATTGGACAAGCTATGCGAATGTTGCACTTTCATCTGAGGCCGTGCATGTGGTGAGACAGTGTGTGGTTGCATATCGAGAGTCGCTTCGCTTTTGGTAGGTGTTACCGTGGCTGGAGAGTCCGTATGTTTCAGTTCTTCGGTGTCATGATGGAATGTGTGACGAGAGGTGGGTGTTTGTGGGCGATTTTCCTTCCAGTACTGGGGATGGTCGACAGTCTGACTGCGGCCATGGCGGTAAATAGATTGTTTATTCGAGGGAGGAGATGCATTGGGTGCTTGGGAGAGCGGTCGCAATGAGCGGCGGATATTCTCGTATGTTGCGCCCGCGTTGGACCAACTTCCCGGTTCCGAGCGCCCTCCAGCCATTTTGTCGGTCGGCACCTTATTCAGTTCGCTCTTCCCCCGTTTATGACCAATACTGGGCATGGACCCAATGGATGCGCTCGAGGAGACGGTACTGGTGCGACTTGGGGCGAATGGGTTTGTAGAGACGGTGTAGATGGACGAGCTCGTAGATGCCGTGGATCCATGGCGGAGTGGACTCGAGGTTTCGTCTGTGAGATCCGTCTGCGTACGTCGGAGACCGGCTAGATGGCTTGACATAACGGGTGCCGTTCCGTGGACGAGATCGCTAGAACCAATGGGAATAGAAGGTAATCAATCTCAATTGGCCGCATACCTGCTCCTCGAAGCGAAGCAGTAAACCGGCGAAGAAGTTGTATGGAGAATATTTGTGTCAAATTTACCAAGGCAGAATGTTCATTCAAGGGCTTCAGGGCAAAGCGGCATGGTCCTATGGTAACCAGGGAAATTGGGCGGGAAGAATTGGTTGATGCAGAAACGGCGGTTTGATTGGGCTGGAAACCACCAATTCAGGGAAGGGCGGTGGTCTGCAGTGGCAACTAGAACTGAATCACAAGCAAGGGCTGCGGGTTGCGAATAAGACAAAACGCACGGTAGGGAGGCCAGACGGGCTCACTTACTACAGGAAACAAAATGAAGAAAAGAGGCTGAAGCAGTTGGAGGGAATAAACAAGAAGGAAGATAATCAATCGGCAACCAAGCGGGGGGAAAGGCAGTAGTAAATCGGAGGCAGGAACGACCCCAGCCTCAGCCGGGTCGAAAACAAATCTCCCAATCCGGTAAGGTGGGCACGGCATGTGACCGCGCCCCGATTGCGATCGGAGTGACGTTGATCATCATTGTCCCAGCCACTTCATTTTATCTTGTGACTGTTTCAGCGGAGATCGAGCAGGATTCTCAACTAGTTATTCTCGGGAGATCTGACTCAGGAGCTTGACCCAGAGGCATCCGTGCAATTTCAGCGGTTTGGCTAGGCTTTTTATGCCTCGTTGATGTCATTGTATGTTGCTTCTATTTGTCTCAATACCGGTTACAGCACGGATATATATCCACATCCGAAGAACGTGCTCAGGAACCAAACTCAATCTTGGCATGATACTTGCATAGTGCAGCAATAAGGATGATTATGTTGCTCTTGTAAGTTGCAGCTACAAATCTTACATCCGTAGCAATTGCATCAAAGGTCTAGCGCCAAAATAAACTTGTAGTCACCGAGCCATCCTTCAAGAGTTGGAATGAGCTGTACGTACTCTTCGTTAGAAGAGTGGAGTTTATTTATTGCCCCGATTGCCCACTGGGGCTGACCTACCTTGAGAGTGATTTGTACACTATATACGGGAATTGCATCTAATCTCTTTTATCGAAGTGAACTGTGATTGCTGCAATATTCGTGGAATGACCTCGAGAAAACAGCTAGGAAGATTCATGTGATTTGTGCTCATTCCTGGCTGTTTTAAAAGATGGTGCATCGCGCAAGGTTGAACAGTAGGATTATCATGACATACCAGCCAATTGATACATATAGGTAGGGGTTCACTCCCCTAGTTGGTGACTAATCACCATTGTGAATCAACAGAATCGGCTTTACTGACCTAGTCCAGTGCTACCTGGCCGGGTGCGACAGAGACTACTGCAAGACAACTATCCAAGCAATCCCAGTAACATTGATGGCTTCGCGGCTGTCTAGTGTCCGACAAGGCTATGCGGGAACAAAGCCGACAGTTCCTTAGCGGATGAACCTATGCCATGCATAGATAGCGCGGGCGGATGCTGGCGGCTAATTCTTATCGGGAACTGATGGTTCCCCTCAGACCGCTAGTCTCTGGCGGAGGCCATGAACCGGTGTGATGGTTTCAGCCATTGTTAGGGCTCAGCAGCATAGTAATAGGTATGTACAGTAGCAACGGTCCATTGGGTCATGGGTGGTACCGTAGTAGTGTACTACCGTTGTACTAGGTAGCACGATGCGTGAATTTGCCGATGGAAACTACTGTCAGTACCACAAAATTTGATGCTTATCAGTCAGAAATCTCTAAGCGGGCTGAGTCACTCGAAGTACCCCTCGCTCTCACCGCCCGGCATCACTTCGTTTAGCATCCAATCAGGATGACAAATTCGTCGAGTATAGGAACGCTAAACTGATTCCGGCATGGAACCGACCGGCCCCGATTAGCGTGTGCGGCGAGAGCTCAAAAGCCAATTTTTTCTTCCTCCGATTTTTCTCTTTTTTTCTTTCTTTCTTTTCTTTGGGAAAGGAAGACTTTCTCCATCAGCAGAACGTTTCTATCATCGATCTGTTGATTATCTTTGATATTTGATTTCAAATATCTCTACCAGTTTTGATAGAAGCTGTAGAGTCTTTTTTTTTTTTATACATCATGACTTTTGCCAACGGTGACATTCCCGGACCTGCCATGAAGGCTGAGATCCAGGACTACACCAAGGCCCTGGAGGTCTTGAAGCAGGAATACACCACTAGCGATGGTCTTGATGTCGACACCCTGCTTGACTCCGACAAGCACGGTGCTCTGACCTACAACGATTTCCTCATCCTGCCCGGGTACATCGGTAAGGCGAGAACCTGTACTTCTCTCGTCGAACTGGGTTGCTGATGCCTCTTGATAGGCTTTCCTGCTTCAGATGTCACTCTCGACACCGCTGTCACCAAGCGTGTGTCTCTGAAGGTTCCCCTTCTTTCCTCCCCCATGGACACCGTCACTGAGCACAACATGGCCATCCACATGGCTCTCCTCGGTGGTCTGGGTGTTATCCACCACAACTGCTCCCCTCAGGACCAGGCCGAGATGGTCCGCAAGGTTAAGAGATACGAGAACGGTTTCATTCTGGACCCCGTTGTTCTCGCTCCTACCGCCACCGTCCGCGAGGCCAAGGAGTTGAAGGCCAAGTGGGGCTTCGGTGGCTTCCCCGTTACTGGTAAGTCGTGGTCTTGTCTTGCATATCCTCTTCCAACATGATGATCAATCACTTTTTTCTTTATAACTTTCGTTCCACTGGAGCAGCGAGAGCAGCACTGTAGAGAACCAGTTTTATCTGACCTGTCACCAATTCACTACCGTCTACTTCTTGTTTGTGAAAACCGTTGATTCTAACTCGATTATTCCCAAATTACAGAAAACGGAACCCTCCGCTCTAAGCTTGTCGGTATGGTCACCACCCGTGACATTCAGTTCCACTGCGACCTTGATGCCCCCGTCACTGCCATCATGTCCACCGATCTCGTTACCGCTCCTGCTGGTACCACCCTCGCGGAGGCCAACGAAGTCCTTCGTTCCTCCAAGAAGGGCAAGCTCCCGATCATCGACGAGAACGGCAACATTGTCTCGCTGCTGTCCCGCAGCGATCTGATGAAGAACCTCCACTACCCCTTGGCCTCCAAGCTTCCTCAGTCTAAGCAGCTGATTGCTGCTGCCGCCATTGGTACCCGTGAGGAGGATAAGACCAGACTTAAGCTGCTGGTCGAGGCTGGTCTCGACATTGTTATCCTGGACAGCAGCCAGGGTAACAGCATGTACCAGATCGAGATGATCAAGTGGATCAAGCAGAACATCCCCGAAATTGATGTTATCGGTGGTAACGTTGTTACCCGCGAGCAGGCTGCGGCTTTGATCGCTGCCGGTGTCGATGGCCTGAGAATTGGCATGGGCAGCGGCAGTGCCTGCATCACCCAGGAGGTCATGGCTGTTGGCCGTCCCCAGGCCGCTTCCGTCCGCAGCGTTTCTCACTTCGCCGCTCGCTTCGGTGTTCCCTGTATCGCCGACGGTGGTGTCCAGAACGTTGGTCACATCGTCAAGGGTCTCGCTATGGGTGCCTCTACCGTCATGATGGGCGGTCTTTTGGCTGGTACCACCGAGTCTCCTGGTGAGTACTTCGTCAGCAAGGAGGGCCAGCTCGTCAAGGCCTACCGTGGTATGGGCAGTATTGCCGCCATGGAGGACAAGAAGGCTGGTGCTGGCGCCAAGGACAGCAAGGCCAGCAACGCTGGTACTGCCCGTTACTTCTCCGAGAAGGACTCTGTCCTCGTTGCTCAGGGTGTTGCCGGCTCCGTCCTTGACCGCGGATCGGTCACCAAGTTCGTTCCCTACCTCACCGCTGGTGTCCAGCACTCTCTGCAGGACATTGGTGTCAAGAGCCTGAAGGACCTCCACGATGGTGTCAACCAGGGCAAGGTTCGCTTCGAGATGAGAAGTGCCAGTGCTATGACCGAGGGTAACGTCCACGGTCTGCACAGCTACGACAAGAAGCTCTACTCTTAAGCGGTGACAGCTTGAGTGTCTTGTTTCCTTGTCTTATACCTTTTCATCTCTTTTGATTCTTTTGCATCTAAGAACCGTCCACCCTGTTTATATGATTTGGTTATATGATGCTACGTGGTTGCTACGAAAAACAAAAAGCCTGGGCGTGAGGGACTGGAGTTCGACCTGGAATTGTTCATACTTTGCTTTATGATAACTCAATTCAATATTCCAACAAGAATAATCTTTCGCTAGACTGTCACTTCAGTGTAATTATTGCAACATATTGTACTAGCCCGCGCGACAGCCCTATCGGTGACTATAGCCTCGGCCCTGGCCCTCCGCCAAAACGCGGGGTAGACCGCTTTCGTGCGGATCTTTTGTCACTGCGATTCCAGCCACGGCACCCTCCCTGCCTTTCATCAAGTATTCGCTCGGCCCAATCATCCGTTGAAGCCTCTCGTACGGCCATGAACGTATTTCCGCTAGTTGTTCCCAGCTGTGGCGGCCGGCTAATAAACACGACAGCCCCTCACCGCTTGGCCCTCGCCCGAGGTTCCCGGCTTTTAGCTTCTGGAAAGTATAACCCCCGGCAGCTCACATGCTTCAATGACTACACAGGCCAGACCACCTGGAGATCAAGCTCCAATGTCCCGCGAACCCAGCAAGTCGCTGCCACCCAAACAATGTCGCCTGCAGCACCGACGCCGAAGTCCAAGCCAGCGATTCCGCGCCCCAGTTCAAGGTCAGCACATTGTCAAACATATACTTTGCCATCCCGTTTCCTGCTGCCTCATCCGCTAGCCACAAACCTACAAGATCCAAAACTGATCTTGGATAATTCATGCTCAGCGTCATCCTGGTATCGCCCAGAAACGAAGTCCTCCTACTCCATCGCGTGAAAACCTCTACATCCTTCGCCTCCGCCCACGTATTCCCCGGAGGGAACCTCTCAGCGCAAGATGGCCCATGTCCACCCGCCGAGGATCTCAAGCGCCACGACGATGGCCGGTGGTACCGCAACGCGGCGATCCGAGAGCTCTTCGAAGAGAGCGGCATTCTCCTAGCCAAAGACAAAATCTCAGGCCGGATGCTTGCGCTTCCCGAGGAACAACGCGAACAGGGCCGACGCGCCATCCACCAGAACCAGATCACCTTTGCAGAATGGTTGGAGCAGCAGAATGCCAACGCGGCGCCGGATACAGGTAGGACGAAAAACGCATTCCCCCCTTCTCACCACCCCATGTAATGCAAACTACGGGGAATCAAACGTCCGTGTAACCGTGCCCGAGCTGATCTGAAACCACACGAAAAAAGAACACTTAATCCCGTTTACTCGATGGATCACCCCCGCAAATAACACTCGACGATACACGACGCAGATGTACTTGTACTTCCTTCCTCTGCCTGCCGATGCGACGGACCCAGTTCTCGGTGAGATCCCGCCTGAGGGACAGCGGGAGGAAATCCAGGTTCCGACGAGCGATGGCGGCGTCGAGGTTACGGAGGCGAGGTTTCTTCCCGCCTCTGGGTGGTTGCGTATGGCGCAGAGCGGCGAGGTCATGCTCTTTCCTCCGCAGTTTCTTCTGCTGCATCTGGTGGCTGGGTTCTTGGATAAGGACCCCGGCGTGGTGAACTCACTGCACGAGTTGCAGAGGCGGCGGGATGAGCTTACGGAGTTCGTGGCTACGGGTCAGCCGCCTTGGTCGGAGAAGTGCATCTCTCCGAAGATGCTGAAGATGTCTTCTGATGGACGGGCGGTGCTGGCTTTGGACCAGCCGGGTCCTGAACTGAGAGGTACAGATAGACAAGGGGAGCCGGATCGGGTTGTGCTTGTGAAGTTCGAGCGGGGCTCGGCGCGTGATCTGGAGGTGCGATGGAAGAAGGATGCCTTTGAAGAGAAGAGTAGCCTATGAGGGCAATGCAAGCATTGCTGTCATTGATATGGGCTTCTCGCCATGGATAGAGTCAGACTCAGCCCGCCGTCCTTTCGGAATTTAGAGCCAAGGCGCCGCTGTAGAAACCTTCGCAGATCAGATATAAGACCTTGCGAATCGAAGCTGAGAATGACTACTCTCAGGACCAAGCACATCCCTACCTATATTACCCCATATGAAGAGCAAGTCTCCGCTCAGCCGCCTGTCACCTGCGTGGCACTACTATCTATTCTAAGAGTACAAGAGTCCATGCCGAGCTTTCCTTACTGCAGGAATGGCCCGACGCCCGTACCTCGCGAGAAGCAACCAGCAAACGTCCCTTTCGGTCCGAACGCTAACTGTCTTTCGATGTCGAGGGAATCTCAACTCTGCCTTAATGTTAGAGTTTCTAGGGGAACTCCATGGATTGAAGCTTCTACAGAATTCGGACCGGTATATTTTCTAAATCATGGACGAGGGTGACTAAAGTGGTCGGCCTTGAACGCTGTCGGTCCCATACGGTCCAGAGCCAATGCACGGGAATCTTGGACATGTAGGTGCCCGCTGACTCAATATGTAGACGAGGCGAACATGCACTTTCACTGCAGTCACCGCGAGTGAGATGTCGTGGAGATCATGTTCTCTGCCTTAAGAGTATAGTACTGAAGCGAAGGTCAGTCCTTTGCGAATGAATACTCCGGCACCACCCGCGCTAACCACATCTGGCAAAGCCCCTTCTTACCTAATCCAACAAACCTTAGCGGCAAGCCCTCGACAAACAATCACATGACCCACAACCGGGAAACGCAGAAAGTTGTCCGGGTCACCATTTCACCACATCCGCCCAGTCTCAATTTCCCGCGCACCGCTCCGTTTTTCTCGTCAACCTCAAGTTCCTCACCACCCACCCAACCCTCGCCAAAATGGAGAACGACAAGGGAGAGATCGTCGATCTGTACGTACACTTTTCTTACCCACACCCTGTGACTTTTTCCGAGATCCGGAATATCTGGGGGGTGTTCGATGGCGGAGAAGAGGCAGACGACAGCAGGAAGATGGAAATGAGGGAGGAATACAGAGGACAGGAGACGATATGCGATCTGGCCTGGTCAGGCTTTTTTTGCGAAGGAACCAACCGAGAGATGAAACGCAATTTGGGAAAGAGGTGGAATTGAATTGGGAACAGTGCAAGGTTGATATTCACATGGGATGTCATGGGATATCAATCTGTCTGCACCAGGTCGGATCGCATATCGAATCTCTCCGCCTCTGGCCAATTCCTTGCGTTGTCTGGCGATCGCTTGCCCAGCCATCAGGAACATGCCTCAGAGATATTCGCGCACATGACATGACAAAATCTAGCACAGATCGCTAACCCAACCCGTTCTTCCAGCTACGTGCCCCGCAAGTGCAGCGCCACCAACCGCATCATCAAGGCCAACGACCACGCCTCCGTGCAGATCTCCATCGCCAAGGTTGACGAGAACGGCCGCTACACCGGCGAGAACCAGACCTACGCCCTGTGCGGTTTCATCCGTGCCCGCGGTGAGAGCGATGACTCCCTGAACCGTCTCACCCAGCGTGACGGCTACATCAAGAACGTCTGGACCGCCAGCCGTCAGCGCTAAGCTGTTGTGCCGGAACGGACAGAAACGGGTGGTCAATTATTTTTTTTGATGTCGGGTATCTGGTGATGGTAAGGTTGCCCCGCATTCATGACGAGCTGTAAACGCACGGCCATTCCGCATGCCGAAATGGTTGCTGTCTGCTCGCTGCATCTTATAAACGAGTCATACTGACTCGGATTCTCCGCAGGATGAGATGTACCATGCTTGAAATATGGTCACATCATGATATATCTTATATCCAAAAAGAACTTGAATGAAAGAAAAATTTCAATAAACCCACTTCACCCGACAAACACTTCCTGAACTTCCTTTTCCTTGACTTGCTTTTGTATACACCTACCTGTAGAAACTTTCCTTGCTTTTCCTTATACTTTAATCTCCTATCTACTCCCCTGACCGGCACCTCAAACCTCCTCACCCCTCGAACCCGGATTGATTGGTCACTAGGAGCCAGACATCTGACATTCGATTTCCCATGAGCGAGGAGGTAAGAAGAATCTGTAGAAACCCTACATCCACAGAGAACGCCGGAAGATCACCATCTCCGCCTGCTGAAGAGCCACTGTCGCAGAGTCGTGCACTGGGGCACAGATACGGGTGGAACATTGCCTATACTCCAGCATGTTTTTTTCTTACAAACAAGCCAAAAATGGTTCAATCTTTCCATGCAGCAGCGTGAATCTCGTAATCTGAATTCGTATAGTAGTAGTGTTTTCTGTTTCTAAGAGCTCCATTACTTTCATCAAAGGTACACAGAAAAGAAAAGAAAAAGAAAAAGAAAAAGAGGTCAATGTCATGGGCTCTCTCTGCGTCCTTTTTGTTGCTTCTATCTCTTTCACTCCCGTCGCTTTCCGTATCTATTGCTCTGTTTTTTTGTGGTTGCTCTAGTCCTTCTCCAATCTAACGGCCGGGTTGCTTTCGATGAAATTGAGGTCCACCTTGTGGCCCAGCAGTTCACGGATATTGCTGACGCCGTACCTGGAGGGAAAGGGGCTGTTAGTCTGGGGGTTTCTCGGTATGGGTTTGAATATACTTGAAACTTACTTGATCATCGTCGGTCTCTCCAGACTCAGACCCCATCCGTAGACTCGCATGTCCTTGGGGATGCCCATGGGCTCCAGCATCTCGGGACGGAACATGCCACTGTTACCGATCTCGACCCACTTACCCAGGCCATTGTGGTAGCCGAAGATTTCCATACTGGGCTCGGTGTAGGGGTTGTAGGCGGGCTTGAAGCGCAGCTGGTGGATACCCATCTTGGCGAAGAAGACCTCCATGAAGCCGATGAGGCCGCCCAGCGTGAGCCCGTAGTCGGCGATCACGCCCTCGATCTGGTGGAACTCGGCCAAGTGCGTGGCATCGACCGCCTCGTTGCGGAAGACACGGTCGATACTGAAGTAGCGCGCCGGCCGCGGGTTGGCCGCCAGCTTGTGCAGCACGTAGGTCGACACTGAGGTCGTGTGCGTGCGCAGCACCAGCCGCAGCGCCTCGTCAGCGTCCCACGGGTAGCGGTAGCCGATCGAGCCGTACTTGCCGCTCTCGTGGACCTGGCGCACGTCGTCCCAGTATTGCTTGTAGTCGAGGGGCTTCGCGGTAGTGGTGGTGTTGGCGGATGTGGAAGTGGTGGGCTGGAGGGTCTTGATCTGGTGAGGGTCGTTGGGCGGGTCCTCACGCGGGGGGTCGGCCTTGACGGGGTCGGCGATGTAAAAGGTGTCTTGGAGATCACGGGCGGGGTGTTGCTGGGGCACGAAGAGGGCGTCGAAGTTCCAGAAGCCCGTCTCGACGAAGCGGTTGGTCGGCATCTCCTCGAAGCCCATCTCGAAGAAGATGTTGCGGAACTCCTGGCGCACCTTGTTCAGCGGGTGGAAGGTACCGGCCGGCGTGGGCGCACCCTTGGCCTTGAAGTTGTACGGCTTCAGTTGTGCCGTCTTCCACGAGCCGTTCATCAGCATCTCCGCTGTCAGGTCCGTCTCCTCCTTAACGAACTCGCGGGCGTACTTGGCGCCCTTGGAGATCTTGAACGTGATCACCTTCTGCACGGTCACCAGCTTGCGCCGCTTCAGGTCCGTCAGCGCCTTCGCGTCCGACACCGTCTGCGTTTTCTGCACCGTGGCCAGCAGCTCGCGGGTCTCGTCGACGATCGTCTCAGTCGTCGCCCGCAGGAGGTCCTTGTCCTTCTTGATCCAGCCCTTCTTGAACGCATTGCCCTGACCGACCTTCGCGCTCTCCTTGCCGACAACGCCTGGCAGATCGCCAATCTTCAATCCATCCAGGGCCGCCAGCACGGCCTGGAAAACCTTGGCCTCGTGACTGCCATTGGTGGCAATCTCTTCACCCTCCGGCGTCAGCACGACGATTTCCTTTTCGAGTGTCTCATACTCGACCATCTGTCGCGAGGCTAGACGGTCGAGCGCAGCCTTGATATTTAGTGAGGGGGTGGAGGGGAAGGCTTCGCTGGAGAGGATCGAGGCGTCGGACGCGGACAGAGCGTCCAGGATTGGTTTCGTCATATCGGTCGCCATGACTACAAGCCGGTGGGCTCCCCAGAAACTGAGTCCGAGAGGGGTTTGTGGAAGGCGAGAAGAGGGGGGGGTGACTAGAGCAGGAGGGGGAGGGGTCTTGATCACTGCAGACACTGCCCACTTCCAATTATGACTCTTTTCGGGCACGCTCTTCGATTACGGTGGGCGATGCTGACCAGAAGCGTCGTCCCGTGACCTGCCATCGGTCTTGAACCCCGCCATTGCGGGTTTTGTTCTTCGGTTGTTCTAAGAACTACAAGAGAACTTGTCCAGCGAATGTTGCCCTTCTCCTTGGCTCTACTTTGATCAATAGTACAAGCATTGTCTGCTGCATATGTTTCATGCTTGTAGTTCTACAAAGGACCACTGTCTGAGCAGAACAAGTCCCATGATCTTACCCAGGCCGTCAAGGGATTGGATCGAAATCCAATGCTTCGCATCAGCATAAGTCTGTGTCACCATGCATATTGACTGTCAGTGACAGGTAGTAGAAGACCGATCGGGATCAGCCATGGTCGGTTCGAGTATATACCTTTTTAACTGCAAGGGGTCCTGGGCCAGGAATCACCAAAACAAGAACCACCCTTTCGAGCCATTAAGGACTTGTACAGGAATGAAGGGTATGCTCGAACTGAGGCTCTTCCGTTTGGATCACGACCGAAACACGGTGCACAAACTAGCTTTCAATGAGGAGGCCCTGTACGGAGTAGATAGCCGACCACTTAGGCATCGTGTTCAACGGTCGAGGGGAAGGATTCTGTTCTCGATCCCGTGACAAACAGGGCCAAGCCGCGTTCGATTCCCTGTCGGTTGCGATTAACTTTGTACGACCATAGAATGCCAGGTACTGACTGTCTGTAAGTTATGGAGCGCGGAAGATCCGAATGGACAGGCGATATATGATCTCGACCGGACCAAGGCAGTCGCAAAGTACCAAGCGGCAACCGTCCTTGGTCTGGGGCAGCCCGCAATTGACGGAGTGGACACCGGGAATCCAATGACGCAGCGACTATCTACACCATCTCTGCGATCTGAAGGATTGTTCCCTGCTTGTCCCGTGGTGGCTGGCCGCTGGATAGGATCTCTGGGATGGGCGGCATGGTTTTATAACGGTAGACGAGGCCTAATCCAGTCTAGCTCTCAGCAGCTAGTCGCCAGTCACTTGTCCTGTAGTTCGATTAGTTAGTGAGTTGGGACGCCAGAACACCAGCTCATTGACAGCCAGGGTTAGCGTCTGCTTCAAAAGCAAGATTTAGGGGCACCTCGCAGCTTCTGATACTCACCTGTGATGACTGACTTCTTGGTAGGTCAGGCAGGCAGTCGGTATGTGGCTCCACCCCTTTGCCGCTTCAATCGAATCCGACTACAGGAAGTACTGTACGGAGTACAGTACAGACCGATATCGATGCCTCCATTATCTGGCATTCCTAGATCCTCGCATGATAGTCCCAGACTGGCATAGTTAGATGGGACTACGAAAGCTCTTCTCAGTATTGATCTTCATGATTGGCTTATCGGGGGAAATCGATGGGTCTTGCACGCGACCGTTGGGTCTGGACTGGATCTCCCCGAGGAGGGAGAGTTGAAGCATCATGGATCCATCCTCCGGCTATCTTCGCTGTCGGCGTTGATGGTCAGTCGGTGGTCGTACCATTCGTTCCTAAGGCAAATGGCTCGATATGTTCTCGATATTGCTGAAACAAGCACTCGTCGGTAAACCCCCTCTCTGCCTTAGACTTCACTATCTCGACGATCCTGCCGAATGTCCCCATTGAAAAGACTTCGAGAAAAGGGTTAGGAAAATCCCATTTCCATGGTTCTTCCTCAAGCCTTTGCTCCACTTATCGCCAGCCATGGCTGATGCCTACAAAATCGGCTGCTCCGGCACGTACAAAGACTTGGATCATTGCCCAACACGGCTGGTAACCTAATTTGCACCGGCCGATGAACCTTGGGCTTATATTTTCTATTGATTCATGACCGAACCTAATAGTATTGAGATCCCCGGGCGAACGGGGGAAAGACGTCTCGGGCATGGACCTGTGCGCCTGGGCTGATGGTGCACAACAACGGGCGGGAAGATTTATGTATCAAACCGCCAAATGATAGCTATAGTTCGATCCATCCTCCGCACACCTTCTCAGTCGCAAGATGATACAATCGAGCAGGACATTAAGTCATAGATCATCTTCTAGACCAGCCTCTAGCCAACACAATCAAGTCTGGCTGTAGCTAAGGGCACCCGAAACACCACCTCCCGAGGCAGAAGTGTCCTGTTCCTGCGGTTGTCTGGTCTGTCCAGACCGGTCTGCCCTGCATCATTCCTGCTCTTTCATTCAATTTCATTCAAGTCTCTCTTCCCGTCTTGCAGCTTTTGTTTCCCTTTTCCTTTGGTTACCGACCAGTCAGATTGTTGTTCGATTGTGATAGGTAAGTAGAGACCAGGGCCGCCTCCCTACATCTCACCTGCCTGCCTCTGGAGCCACGGCAATACGAATACCACTACGTAGCCGACTAGCCGAATACCTGTTCTCTGCCCCCCTCCCTCTGATACCTTTTGCCCTCATCTTACACGGTGTGGGTGATGGAGGGAACATGACCGGTCCTGTTAATCTGGAGAAGGTCACAAAGACGCGTGCCTTGTGGTTTGCTTGTCGATGCTGCGGGTCGATGTCGTTCTGCAAGGCTTGTTGAATAGGCGGCAGCAACTGTGGGTGAGAGGTCATAAGTCTGGGGAGAGAGAGAGACGACTGCAGTGTGATTCTCCCCTTCCTCTGCCAGGTGTAATGCGAGTACTAAATGCCATTGCTTCATTGCATAGAATATTCAATGTTGGCAAGCCCAAAGAACCAATACTCCGCAGCTAAGGGGGACACCGTCCCTTAACGAGGTAAATCCCTTCAACACCAGAATCAGAGAACCACACTGGCCATAGAATGATCGGTAGCTGCCTGGTTCAATATTTTTTTTTTCCTTCTGCGAATGTTCACAAAGCAGGGATGCCCGTGCGTTTGACTGCAGTAAGTGAACTAGTAGTTGTGGTCATTTTGTGGCGGTAAGGTACTATGTATGGTCTTTTCCTCTCGGCCTTTCCCCCTCCCTCCTTCTCCCTCTCGAACAATGTCTGTCCTCCTTCATGCTCACGCGGCAAGGTCGCTTTCCGACACGCGCCAAGGGCACACACACACACACACAGTGAAAAGCTGTTCGGTGACACAGGGGGAGAGATGCCCTCAGAATTTTTTCACTCTTTACCTTCCCATTTTTTGGTTGGTGTGAGACACACTGAAGGGGGGACCACTTTCTATAACAGTTGTTCCTTATGAGACATGATTATGCCGTATTCGTTCTGGTTAAAGGTCGCGGTTCACGAGGAAGGGAGGGCAAAAAAAGGGTAAAAATAAGTCATCGGTCCCCACACTGCGCGAGCTGAAAAATGCATTCTGTTGTCCTGTCATGAACCCTCTGTTAGACTAGCTCAACTGGTTTGACAAAGGGGAAGGCATTTCTAAGCCCCGGGAGAACCAAGGGTCGTGTCATATCTCGGTACGGTTCTTTGGGTTCCCTTCCCTCCTTCCTCGGAGATTAGGTTAGGTTAGATTATTATCATCATCTCGAAGGGCTTCTCATCTCGGTTGCCAAAGATACAGAAGCAGTCAACAATGAGGACAGGGGATAGAGACTAGATACAGGTCATAATTGCAGACCTACGCGGAGCACAGAATACAGATCAGATTATCTAATGTTTACTGCCCGGAATTCGCTGTTATTTTGTTCTCTGTGCGGGGGGGAAATAATAGAGAGAGAGAGAGAGAGAGAGAGAGAGAGAGAGAGCGAGAGGGGGAAATCAAGGAAAATTCTCCAGATCCTCCGGGAGGGAGATCAGCCTATGACTGGAGGAGGAACTGTCCAGTCTGTACCTAGTAGTGACCCAACCTGGTAGCGATCCCTTGATAGGTGCAGTACCTGGGTTCCTCAGCTCTTTGAGTGCTGCGGTCCTCCTGACGGCCTTTTGTCCCGTGGTCTGGGGCTTATGATCTTTTCCTTCCACGGTATAACTAACTACTCGTTAGAGGTGTTTGTTTGCGTTGTTGCTTGCTTTTTGTATTACTTCACTTTTAGCGGCCCTTGCTATCGGTTAATTAGTTCAATTGACCCAGTTTCAGGAGCTCAGCAGACTCAAAAAAGGCAGACAGAGAAGAAGTACCCCAGGCTGTAGACTGTGGTCAATAGTAAGTACTCATAGACTTGTCGACCCGACAGTTGACAGATACAGCAAGCAGCAAGTACATACTCAGTGAATGAGTGCTGCCAACCCCTCCAGCCCCCTCCCTCTCTCACTCTCACTCACTTTAACTCTCTCTCTCTCTCCTCCCTCTGCTTCGATCACGCCTCGTTGCTTTGCCTCCTCGCCGGGCGCGTTGCTTCCATCCACCCTCATTTGACCTTGACTCGCACACATGGGACTTGACGGTGCTGTCCATTCCAATTCTACCTGGGTGATTTCTATCTTATCATTATCAATATCATTTCTGAAATTTTGAAGTGTTGTCATTTGCCCTTGGACGGTCATAATTGTGTCTTCACAGTTCCTCTGTGCTGACTGATTCAACATCCTCTTTGCCCCCCCTTTAAACTTAACTCTCCCAATAATACCCCCAATCCTTTTTCCTCCCCGCTCGATCTCAATTGCGCGCTGCGCTCTCTTTGATCTATCTGTTGTCCGTTGAATCTTATCCGGCGACTTTTCACTCAGCCTGTCGGCTCTGGTTCCCAAAGGTGCCTGCCTGCCTGCCTATCTACCTCCTCACCTACCGACTGTGTTTCTTCTTCCTCTTCCTCTTTCCTCTTTCTTGCTCCCTCCCCTTTTTGATTTACCCAAACCCACCGAAGATCAACTTCTTTGAGCCTTCTTTGGATCTTCGTGCCCACTCTCCACCACCAGACAGACCAACCTTGCAACCGATACACCAAACCACAAACCCTCTTCCCCCCATGTCGTCCTAACAGACCTTCCCACTCAATCATTCGTGTCACGAAAAGCACACTTCCGGCTTCCTATCCAGGTAGGGAAGAACTGCCCCCCTCCGGCCCCCGTCACCGTCAGTTCATCTGCTTCGCCGACATTTGCTTGCTTACCCACTTGCCTCTCCTCTCTCTCCCACATCAGTTCTGCCTTCGTCCAATCATCCTCCCCCCGAGGCTACTGCATTGATTTTCCATTATTTTATTTTTGCTACTTTGCCCCCCTCAACACAACTAAGTTGGCTGTCGCAACTGCCATCCCCTTTCCGAACGACCAGCTTGCCTACTAATCATCTCACTACGCTACGCTACAGCTATTGCTGTCTTTCCCCAACTCCGCCCTGCTGTCGAATTTTTGTTTTTTTTTTATTTTCCTTCTTTTGCCCAATTTTTTCTTCCCACTCGCCAACCATCCTTTGTTATCTCTTTCTAACATCCTATTCTCTTCTTCAATTTCTCATCTCCTTTCTCATTCGCCTCGTTCTAATCTAATCACCTTCGGAGTCGAGTCCCGGTCACACCCCCAATAAATTGACTTTCGACTTTTCCCCTCCTGGCGTTCCCCTCCGCCCGCTTCCCTTTGCCTGGTCTATTATTCTGCCCTTGGCTTCCTCCCTCCCTTTCTTTATTCTTCTTGACCTTCACCGTCACTCCCTTTCTATTTATTTTTTTTATCCTCGCTTCTCCTTCTCATATGCAGTGTCACAGCAAATAAGCCGTTATCGGATCCATCCCCGGGAAAAAAATTTCTGCTCGACCAATATACTTATGTCCCCATCGGACTGAGGAGTCCTAAGGCATAATGGCTGGCGCGGACGAGACGCTCGCGGCCGCTACTGCCATGCTCAGGGAGCTCGCCAGAGAATCCCCCGGTGCTCCCCCTTTCGACTTTGAGTTTTCCCACACCTCTACCAATGGTTGCGACTCGAAAGTGGCCAAGCTTCCAGGAGAAAAGAGCGCGGCAAAGGCGGCTTTCGAACAGGAATTGGAGGCTCTAGTCCGACGAGTTCATCATCTGGAATTTCAATCTGTCAGTCATCGATCACCCCCAGGAATCACCTTGAAGGCCTTTCAGCCCACCCTCGTCCCTAGCGAGAACGATTCTGAGACCCCTTGGGCATTTGGCCTTCCACGCTTGGCCTCCTCTGACGGTTCTGACTCTTCTTGTCTTATACAGCAGCACAACCCACACCGCTCCCATGGATCAAGGCGCTCAGCTCCCGGACCGGAAGATGGCGAAGCGGAGGAAGATATCGATGATGAGGACAGCGATGAGGACGAGGACCTGGGCTCAAGGACACGTCTAGTACGCGAAGAGGACATCAGTTACTTACGCAATCATGTGCAGAAACAGGCGGAGGAAATAAGTTTCCAGAAGGACATCATCGCTCAAGTGCGGGATGAGTTACAGCAGCAAGAGGAGCAAACACGCCGGGCCCTCACCAAGGTGGAAAACGAAGATGTCGTGCTGCTCGAGCGAGAGCTACGCAAGCACCAACAGGCCAACGAGGCTTTCCAGAAAGCGCTACGAGAAATTGGTGGAATTATCACCCAGGTCGCCAACGGTGATCTGTCGATGAAGGTGCAGATCCATCCTCTGGAGATGGACCCCGAAATCGCCACCTTCAAACGTACGATAAACACCATGATGGACCAGCTGCAAGTCTTTGGTAGTGAGGTGTCCCGAGTCGCCCGCGAGGTCGGTACCGAAGGTATACTCGGTGGTCAGGCGCAGATTACAGGGGTGCATGGTATCTGGAAGGAATTGACGGAGAACGTCAACATAATGGCCAAGAATCTCACGGATCAGGTCCGTGAGATCGCTGCAGTCACCACGGCTGTCGCCCACGGAGACTTGAGCCAGAAGATCGAAAGTCGGGCTCAGGGTGAAATTTTGGAACTTCAACAGACGATTAATACTATGGTGGACCAACTTCGGACATTCGCTACGGAAGTAACGCGAGTCGCGCGTGATGTCGGTACGGAAGGTGTACTCGGTGGACAGGCTCAGATCGAAGGGGTACAAGGCATGTGGAATGAACTTACGGTAAACGTCAACGCCATGGCGAACAACTTAACAACACAAGTGCGAGATATTGCGACAGTTACCAAGGCAGTCGCAAAGGGTGACCTGACACAAAAGGTCCAGGCCAACTGCAAAGGAGAAATCGCGGAGCTGAAGAATATCATCAATTCCATGGTGGATCAACTGCGTCAATTCGCCCAGGAGGTCACCAAAATCGCGAAGGAGGTCGGTACGGACGGTGTTCTGGGTGGTCAAGCAACCGTTAATGATGTGGAGGGCACGTGGAAGGATCTGACGGAGAACGTCAATCGAATGGCAAACAATTTGACCACACAGGTCAGAGAAATCGCAGATGTCACCACGGCCGTCGCCAAAGGTGATTTGACTAAGAAGGTCACCGCCAATGTCCAGGGTGAAATACTCGATCTCAAGAGCACGATTAACGGCATGGTGGACCGGTTGAATACCTTCGCCTTCGAAGTCAGCAAGGTCGCTCGAGAAGTCGGCACGGACGGTACCTTGGGTGGGCAAGCCAAGGTTGACAATGTAGAAGGAAAGTGGAAGGATCTCACCGACAATGTCAACACCATGGCCCAGAATTTGACTTCCCAGGTGCGAAGTATCTCGGACGTCACACAAGCTATTGCCAAGGGTGATCTTAGCAAGAAGATTGAGGTGCACGCTCAGGGAGAAATCCTAACGCTGAAGGTTACCATCAATCACATGGTGGACCGATTGGCCAAATTCGCAACTGAACTGAAGAAGGTCGCACGCGATGTCGGGGTGGACGGCAAGATGGGTGGTCAGGCCAACGTGGAAGGAATCGCAGGAACATGGAAGGAGATCACGGAGGACGTGAATACCATGGCCGAGAACTTGACATCTCAAGTACGTGCCTTTGGTGAGATCACTGATGCTGCAACCGACGGAGATTTCACCAAGCTTATCACGGTCAACGCTTCGGGGGAGATGGACGAGCTGAAGCGCAAGATCAATAAGATGGTTTCCAACCTCCGAGACAGTATTCAGCGTAACACGGCGGCCAGGGAGGCAGCCGAGTTGGCTAATCGCACCAAGTCTGAGTTCCTGGCGAATATGAGTCACGAAATCCGGACTCCCATGAACGGCATCATCGGTATGACGCAGTTGACGCTGGATACGGATGATCTCAAGCCTTATACACGCGAGATGCTGAATGTCGTGCATAACCTTGCCAATAGTTTACTGACTATCATTGACGACATACTCGATATCTCGAAGATCGAGGCGAACCGCATGGTCATCGAAAGCATTCCGTTCACTGTGAGGGGCACTGTCTTCAACGCCCTGAAGACCTTGGCAGTGAAGGCCAACGAGAAGTTCCTCAGCCTTACCTACCAGGTTGATAACACTGTTCCTGACTATGTCATCGGTGATCCTTTCCGTCTGCGCCAGATTATCTTGAACTTGGTCGGCAATGCGATCAAATTCACTGAGCATGGAGAGGTGAAGCTTACTATCTGCAAGTCGGATAGAGAGCAATGTGCAGCAGACGAATATGCTTTCGAGTTCTCTGTATCCGATACAGGAATTGGTATCGAAGAAGACAAGTTGGATCTCATCTTTGACACTTTCCAGCAAGCGGATGGCTCCACAACGCGGAGATTCGGTGGAACTGGTCTCGGGTTGTCCATTTCGAAACGCCTGGTCAACTTGATGGGTGGTGACGTCTGGGTCACGTCCGAGTATGGTCATGGCAGCACGTTCCATTTCACTTGCGTGGTGAAATTGGCCGACCAGTCCCTGAGTGTCATTGCGTCGCAACTCCTGCCGTATAAACACCACCGGGTTCTCTTCATTGACAAGGGAGAGAACGGCGGCCAGGCTGAGAATGTCATGAAAATGCTCAAGCTGATCGATCTAGAGCCTATCGTCGTGCGCAATGAAGACCATGTACCGCCACCCGAGATTCAAGATCCCTCTGGCAAGGAGTCTGGTCATGCCTACGATGTCATTATCGTGGACTCCGTTGCAACTGCTCGATTGCTGCGGACATTTGATGACTTCAAATATGTCCCTATTGTCCTCGTCTGCCCCTTGGTGTGTGTAAGCTTGAAGTCCGCCCTCGACCTCGGTATCAGCTCATACATGACGACGCCATGTCAACCAATTGATCTCGGCAACGGTATGCTGCCTGCTCTGGAAGGTCGTTCCACGCCTATCACCACCGATCATTCCCGTTCGTTCGACATTCTACTGGCAGAAGACAACGATGTCAATCAGAAGTTGGCCGTCAAGATTCTGGAGAAGCACAACCACAATGTCTCTGTTGTCAGTAACGGTCTCGAGGCTGTCGAAGCCGTGAAGCAGCGTCGTTACGATGTCATCTTGATGGATGTACAGATGCCGGTGATGGGTGGTTTCGAGGCCACCGGAAAGATTCGTGAATATGAAAGGGAGAGCGGTCTCAGTCGAACCCCCATCATTGCGTTGACGGCGCACGCTATGTTGGGTGATCGAGAGAAATGCATTCAAGCCCAGATGGATGAGTATCTGTCCAAGCCTCTGAAGCAGAACCAAATGATGCAAACTATCTTGAAGTGCGCCACCTTGGGTGGCTCGCTTCTGGAGAAGAGCAAAGAGTCGCGAATCTCGAGTAGCGGCGAAATGCATCCGGTCCACCACAGTGCCGCTGATGGTAAGCATCAGCGTCCAGGTATGGAGGCAAGAGCCTTGACCGCATCAGGCACCATGAATGGTGGTAGTCTGGCAAGCCCGACGCTGGAGAAGGAAGACCTGACCATGGAAAGGGTAAGTCGGCATATGCATCCGCCGAATTTGCGCATACTAACAACGTTGATAGGCACTGTTGCGGTCCAACAGCTCGTGAGACGATTCTAAGACTCTTTCGTTCCGCTTGTTTTTCTCTTTTTCATCTTTCGAGTGGCTTCGATGCAAATCATATACCCTATCCCTTTGCGCGCCTGTACGAAATGTTCACTGGCATGGTGACTTCTATGTCTTTCAATCAACATTCCTCCTTCGCATCATTCCAGTTGTACGTGTGAATTTCAGGAGAAACTTTTACTTACTGAATTTCATGCGTGACTGGACATACTCAGCTCTCGCGTTGTCTTCTCTACCCCCTCCCCCCTTTCCTGGTTCTCGGTCGATTCCTTCATCTTTGCATATGTCTTTTGTCGCCCGTACCATTATCGACAGTTTAAGCCATGGTCATTTATGTGTTCTCTCTGACACGTTTCGCGTATACTATATCTTCTGTCTGATCTCGGATTGTGATTGTGACCTATTATGCCAGTTGTCTCTCTGGCAGGGTGTTTTGCGGCGCATGGAAAATTTTCTATGACTTGGTGGGAAGGGGGAGTGGGGGAGGCTACTCTTTACACAATTTCTGTCCCGACTATATTACATGTTTGCATGGAATGAAGATTGGCATGAGTTTGATCCGCAACCACACTGAAAAACTTCTCTGTATGGTTTTCGTAAATGGTTGCACAACACTTTTCTTTCTCTTTCGATTCTCTTGCATATGTTTCGATTCATTTCTCTAGCCCTTTTCCGCCCTTGCGATTCTTTTCCATCCATCTAAACCTTATTACACACATTCTTCTTTCCCCATTCTCGAAGCATGCCACCCGGTTTTCTTCTCCTGAGCCCTATCTTTTTTTCCTTTGTTTCTCATCCTTCTTTTCACATCTGTATTGTATTTAATCCGTTTCCCCCCTTCTCGTTCCATTTTGACAGATGATGATGTTCGAGTTTGTGCTACTTCAAGTGTCTATGTGTAGTCTCGTAACTTCCCGCGGATGATCGGGTATACCAGGCAGGAACGATATGGACCAACGTAGTCATGGCTCGGTTGATCGCGGGTGCTGTCGCTATGGATATCAACTCAGTTGACCATCGACGAGATGGAGCACTTGGACTACGCGCGGTGGGTTGAAGTAGACCTCGGAGAAGGCGGTGGGTGCTTCTTCCCCCCCCCCGCTCAAAGATGTAATAGACTATGAAGTAGGGTACGCACACAAATCCCAACACCCAACCCGGAGTTTTCAGGGAATTCTCCATGGGTGGATCATTCCTCCCTCCCCACCCGGCCCCCCACGCCTTTCATTGTTAGTTATGTCCTCTATCTACGTAGGCTTAACGGTGGAGTATTGGAGATACGCGATGTCCCTTGAACGATTCTCTAAGTTCAGTTCAGAGCATATTATGTAAGGTAGAGGGTCGTGTTAAACAGAATCATATAACCACTAGTTATGGCCATCCATACGAAAGAACAACGGTAAAACGGCATCGCATACTCGTTTGGGAACCGGGGATTGATTGGGATTGCCGCAATGGCTGAGGACTAGATGAGGAGCTCAATTCGATGTTGTTATACCACTGACACCTTTTTTTTTGTGTGTGTAGACTGATTATTATAAAGGGAGTAGATGGAAATACCAAGGACGGAATTGCGCCGGGGGGGGGGAAATTAACATAACATAATATCACGAAAAGATCCGAGAAAGATGAGGAAAACAGATAGAGGTTCCTGGGGCTGAAGAAGAATGGAAAGCAATGAGCAGAGGAGGACGATTCGATTATTCAGTCCACTTCCACTTGTGTCTCCTCAATGACCCGGATTATTCCAACCTAATCCTGGAGATGATGGCGGACGATGTGGGGGAATTTCATGTTGTTTTTGCGGGGGGCTAGGTGGGCTGATTGTGATGGTGTTGATGGGGTCGTTGAGGTTGAGGAGGAGGACTGCGTGAGGAAGGTAGGGGAGAAAACGGAGGTGAATGAGACGGACATATGGCTTGCGCTTGTGGCATGAGGAGGTGGGGGATGGGGGTGTTCGGCCATGGGTCCGAAGGAGGAGGAGGAGGAGGATGACGGTTCGGGTTCGGGTTCGGGTTCGGGGGTGGGGAGAGAGAGAGAAGGCGAAGGAAGAGACAGCGAGGGCCGAGGGAGTGACGGCATTGGAGGAGGGAAGGTATGAATCGGCGGGATCATGCTGCTGCTGCTGCTGATACCTTCAACTGGTGGTGGTGGTATATGGACAGGCTGAGTAGTAGGATGGGCACCTTCCTGAATGGTGGGATGAATCGGCGGTACCAGCGGAGTCAGTGTCGTCGAAGTTCGAGTCCGACTGCGACTGCGAGTGCGAGTCTTGGTGCGCGTTAGCCGGATGCCTCCCGTATCGCCTGTTGGTATAGGCCCTCCTCCTCCGCCTGTCAGAATGGAGATCTCGCCGCCAATACTGCTCGTCTTCGAAGGTAGTGGTTGGGTCGGGGATGACGGCGGGAGCGGGAGGATGCAAATGACGACATCTTCCTCTTCGTCCTCCTCCTCGTCTATATCTTTGTCTTTATCTTTGCCTCGGTCGGGCTCGGTGTCGTTCGTACTTGACTTGGCACTGGCTGTGACACTCGCTGGCAGGACCCCGCTGCTGTGGTCGATTACGGCTTTCTTGAAGGAAAACTGATGCAAGGCAGAGATGCTGGTGCTGGTGCTGGTGCTGCTGGGTGTCACGGTGACGGTGACCATGTGGGCGGAGGGACATGGAGGGCACTCCACAGGCGGGCACGCGGGCGAAGTCCCGACGGGCTTTTCAGTAGGCTCTGGCACCGGTTTCGAGGACTCAATATCGGGAGGTGCAGATTTGGGAGGCTCTGGTACATGCGACGAAGAGGCGGCGGAGCTTGACGTGAGGGAATGCGGGGGATGCACAAGAGGTTCGGACGAGGGAATGCGTCCATGCGGCATACTGCTGCCGGCTGGAGACGCAGATGGGACGCTGGGAGAAACCGGGGGCGGTAGATGAGCAACACCCTCGGCAGGGGCGACTCCTTGAGGGACATCTTGAGAGGCAGCTGCAGCTGGCGACGATATCGCTGGGGGGAATGGATGCACCCCGATATCAGAAGTGGGAATGAGCCTGCTCGAGTTGGGAGTTCCCTCGCTAGGAAGAGGCACAGCGCTTGAGGATTTAAGCGCGGCCGTGGAGGACTGCCCAGAGCTGCCGGCAGAGATTCCAGGATATTGAGGCACCGCCGCGACTTCCGGGGAAAGCGCCCAGGAAGTCAAGATCAGCGCTAGGATCTGCTTTGGAGACGGCATCGTAGTTTGACAATATGCTGATCTTTACGAAGGGTGTTTGAGAACAATCCAAATTGGCCCAGGACTGCCAGAACGAAACTTCATATGTTCATTGGAAATTCCGCGAAGTGAGATATATGAGGAGTTGCATGACTTCGTCTCTATGTAATCAAGGAACCAAATGCGTAAGTCCCTGGAACCCCCCAAACCACATTACTGATTGCTCATTATGACAACAAATGCTATGTTTGTCACTGTTGGGCAGACGTTTGTCGGAAGTGAACTCCGCACATGTACGTACATCCGGCTCGCCTCGTGCTCTTCCTGGAATCTGGGCCAGACTCTCCAAAACTATTATTAACATTAAGCAGGTAGATGTAGGCAAAAGTTTCGCCGAACATTCCTTTATCATAATTTTCGCCAGTCTCCATGCATTGTCTTTGAGACCCATCGAGCCATTAGATAGGATGACTGATCGAAAGTTAATTTGCAGGGTATTTTGAGATTGTTACCATTCTCAGTCGTGATCTAGTAAATCACGAAGGCCTGGCGCCAGCCGACACGGACTAGTTTGGCTGCAGTAACGCAGACGAGACCAACGGCGTAGCAACAGATTGTGAAGGTGATAAGACCCCAATACTTTCCATTGCACCGGGTAAGGATCTCACCAGCAATGGGCATACCAGTGAGGGTTCTAGAGACCGAATCGTTAGCTGGAGAACCCACCGCAGTTTGCGATACTGAAAAGAGCAGAGTATCAACCTACCCGAAACTGACAATTGTGTAGGCTGTGGCATAGTACCTGCCGTAGTTCTCGATTTTGCAGAGCTGAGAGATACAGACGGGAGTAAGACTGATGTTGCTGCCGCTTGCAAAGCCGAAAATAACGCAATATACAATCATGACCGGAACACTATCGCTCGCCGGAAGCCACAAACATGCATTGCAAACAAGGCACAAAGCAACGGTGACGATCAGTGTATTAAAGCGGCCCAGGTAGTCAGCAACGAAGCCAGGGATACCTCGTCCGAAGAACGAACCAGCGTTCAGAATTGCAAGCATCTGGTACGACAGCGTCGTAGAGACACCATTGTCCAGCGCGTAGGAGGAGATAAAGCTGAGGGGAACAAAAAGCCCCCACTCGATGAAGAAAATGCCGAGGGTCGTGAGCGTAAATACGGGGTCCCGGAAGATACTGAAATCAGGAAGGACATTCTCCTTCGAAGCTGGCTTCTTAGGCAACCGGGATTTGATGAGTAGGCAAGCTGCCAGCAACGTGATGAGGCAAATGAGAGCAATCACTCGAGTGGCCCATGCCCATCCTATCTTTGGAAATAGAGCTTCCAATGCCAGTGGGAAGATGACGCCGCCCACGGAACCACCCGTTGCGGCGATTCCCGTGGCGATTCCGCGTTTCTCGTTGAAGAAGTGACCGATCGCCGAGATGGCTGGCGTGAATAGCAACGAAGCTCCGACTCCCCCAGCGACACCGATCACTAACATGAAATGCCAGTACTGCGTGCAGAAACCCAAGGCGATCATCATCGCCATGATGAGCACAGCGCCGGCACAGACAAGAAACCGGGGTCCTTTGGCATCGAAGATAGGGCCGATCTGGATGCCGCAGAAGAAGGTTAGGAAGGCGTAGACGCCAAAAATCCACCCGATGCTGCCGGAGCTGTAGTCCTTCAGCTGATGGCTCTCGATGTACGCCTCAAAGGTTCCGATGGTGTTCACCAGACCAAGAGAGCCAACAAGGCCCATAAAGCTCCCAAAGACGACCAACCACGCTTCTAATCCTCCCTCAGGATAGGTGTTGCCATCAGCATCGGTCGTCCCGACTGTCACAGGGACGCTGCGCGCTGAATCATCCGAGGGGAATTCGCCAGACGAAGGCCTGTACAAACCGCCTTCAAGGGTCGTCGGTGCACCTTGTTGAAGGCTATCGTTGGCCTGTGTCCTTAGATGTGGCTGTTTCTCTGTACCATTCCGAAACAACGTGCATTCATCGTTTCTGGCCTCGAGAGATGGCTGTACGGCGTCTACAGTCTGTTTCTCACCCCATGCCGGGGTTGTCGTACTGCTCAAGTCATTCGGAGACGAGGTGTGTTCAATATCCCCGGACCGTGGAATGTCCGAGGAATTGAAGTTCGTCGTCATATCCAAAGTGGTACTGGCGGGAGATGGACCACAGTCGAGATTGACAGTGAAGGTACTCCGTTTCTCAAATGGCTTGTATAAAGATTGGAAGAGATTTCAGCAGGGCAAAGACAGATGAAAGCACGCAGATTAAGTAAAAGTTCTACACCAAAAAAGCAACCATCTAAAACACGATCCGCCACCGGTCTTCAAGTGCAAGCAAGCATGCCCGAACGAACCAACAAAAGTATAAGTCACGACCAGCAGATGTCCGGGGAAAGCATGGCGGCAAAAGAAGAAAAGAAAAAGTGGGAAGAGAATGGAAATGGTTAATGGATAAGCTAGCCGGACAATCGATTAGTGGGAGACTGCTCCACAGTGGAGAGCTCTGACTGTTGGCTTGGGCCTCTCTGCTTGTCTTTATTATACCACGTAGATACTCTAGGAGTCCAGGACTTCGGGGCCTCGGACTCGTCACAAATCATATTTGCAAGCAACCAGCACTGGCAAGCGAAGTAAAGAACCTGTCGACTTGATTTGTAAGAACAAGGGTCTGGCTGGGCTGTCTGTTGTTGGGCTTGGCGAGCTTGGAATATACGCTAAACGGCAATGGGAAGGTGGAACGAGAGGATGTAGTTTAGTTGTAGTGGCGTTAATGCAGTATCCAGGATTGAGGATGAAACTGCACAATAGTTACTTGTACTTTGTAGAACCGTGTTAGTCAGACTTGTGGCTCATGAAGTCGCAGCCATGTAGAGCAAACCGGAAAGGAGAGAAGGTAAAGAGGAAACGTAAAGGAGCGGTGGAGGGAAGTTGAAGGGAAGTGACATTACGTAAACTGACTACCCTTGCCTGCCCTTTTGGTCAGCCTGAAGAGCTCTCCGCTCCAATGGTGTATATGCCTATTTATGCCTATTTCCGACCGCTACTATATAGTAACAGGTATCCTTCAAATTCTGGGTATTGTTGGGAGTACATCTGAGTTGAACCACAAGCATGTGAAGAATTGCAATGGTCGTTGCCTGAGTGCACGGGTCCAGTAGCATTTGGAGACGCATGGCAGTCAAGATCAATGCTGTGTGACTGTTCAATAAACCGCCCTGTTTGATTTTCCGATTCCTTCCAAGGTGTCACATCCCGGTAGTGCTCGATAGATTTTTCTGGAGTAGTGCTATTGAAGTCCTTGATATTAAAGCGCAGGTGTTTCCTCCACCACAGTCCGGTCTTTCCTGTCCTGGGTGCATCTTTGTTTCTCATACCTCTAGGGATGGCCAGCACTACGCCAGGCAACCGAAAGCCGCGCATCAGCGAGCTGCCAATCACAGTTCAAAACTGGCACCGCCATGTGGATTGGTATAACACGACTTTTGTCGTTATAATACCTCTATTCGGCTGCATTGCCGCTGGCTTCACGCCTTTGCAACAAATAACGGTCATCTGGGCTGCTATATACTACCTCTGGACCGGGCTAAGCGTCAGCGCTGGATACCACCGGCTTTAGTCACATCGGACATATAATGCGTGAGTCTTTCCTCAATTGGGATGGTTCCAGAGCCTAGCCACTTGTGCACATGGACAAGATTGAGGACGAATATATGACCTTCCAGAAGTCTACCGCTGAGGATCTTCCTCGCCTGTGGTGGTGGTAGTGCCGTGCAGGGCTCAATTCGCTGGTGGAGTATCAAGCATCGTGCCCACCACAGATGGATTGATACGAAGAAGGATCCATACAATATCCGGCAGGGCCTGTTGCACTCACATCTCCTCTGGCTCGTCCTGAAGCATGACCCTAAGAACAGTGCTCGGACAGATATCTCGGACTTGAACGAGGATCCAGTAGTCGTCTGGCAGCATCGATATTATAAATCGTTTATGATCGGCTTTGGTTTGATCTTCCCCATGATAGTAGCCGGCTTGGGATGGGGTGATTGGAAGGGTGGCTTGGTGTATGCTGGCATCCTGCGGATGTTCTTACAACAGGCGTTCTTCTGCGTCAATTCGTTAGCTCATTGGATGGGCGACCAGGGCCAGTTTTCACGTGGATTTGGAGGGACACTCTAGACTTGCTGACCAGCCTTAGCCCTTTGATGATAGGAGGTCACCGCGCAACCACTTAATCACCGCGTTGATCACTCTTGGAGAGGGCTATCATAACTTTCACCACGAGTTAAAACACGTCTTCTGCATTTAGCTGGCTCCCGAGAGGTTACCCGTCCTTTATGATTAAACCTTCGTTAGTTCCCATCAGATTATCGAAGTGGTATCGAGTGGTGGCAGTACGACCCTACGAAATGGGCCATATGGATCTGGACGAAATTGGGCCTTGCCTCTGACCTCAGGCGATTCCGTACTAATGAGATCGAGATGGGCCGGGTACAGCAGTTGCCGAAGAGACTTGATCAGCGGACGGCTTCTCTCGATCGGAGTGTCCTCTTGGACCAATTGTCAGTGGTCGACTTGGACGATTATGTGGCTGAAGCGCAACTTGGAAGAACAAAGGCTTCTCTTGCAGATGATGCACACGACGTGACAAGTCCATCCGAGAGCAACAGGCCGAGGAAACAAATGTCCCCAGTCATTAGCCAGGATGCTACTACCATCTCCAACGATGACCCGTAGTATCCCAGAAAAGCGGCTCACATGCGCCCTTCGACACCGTCAACCTGGGGTGCGCGATTGTGGTGGTCCCAAGAAGGATGAAGACGAATATCTGCCTAGTGAGAAGGATTGATGAATGCGACTGATGCGTCTATTGGCCTCTCATATCTCGAGGTTCCTGCCTGGATGGCTCTAGAATGAGTGTGTGGTTTTCCAATTTTCACAGAATGAATCAGTAAAAATTCAATGTTGTTGTTGTTGTTGTTGTTGTTGTGGTCATGTGCTTTCTTAACAACCAGCTCCGTTTCCTTTCTCCGGCTGATCTCCGCTTTCCCCTCTTCCCACTTCTCAGTCTCCACCTTGACTGCAGATGATGGCTGATAAGCGACTCTTTCGAATAAATACTTTGCTAATAGATATTGCTCAATTGATTGGAGATCCTCAGGCCTCTTACCCTTCTTCTTTGACGGGCATGCGAGCCATTGCCAGTCTGGTATCTCTGAAGAGTTTGTGCTGAAGCGTCCGACTGCCATGAGATGAATCGAATCCCACGTTGTCCCTTCCAAAAGGTGGAAATAGACCATACTGACAACGAGTCATGCGCAGTATTGTGCTGAAGGGCATTTGGAATGTATGGCTGGATTCGCCCGCCACAGCCTATCGGCAAAAGCTTGTCCCAAGTTCGACACTAGTCGCGGTGGGTGGCTCTCGACTCCATTCTATCTCCGTCGTACTCCGTCCCTCCTCCGTGAGACACTGCGACGTTAGCAATGGTCTATCACATCATCGCATTGAGACGACCAAAGTCCTAGCCAGTAGCCGCTCGCCTTCGATATTGGCTTATCAGTGCAAAATCTCAACACACTAATCGCCTCCTCGACGATCACTATCATTGTCGGCACTAAGCGGTCAACGTCGCCATTTTTGTATTAGTCAAAATGATCATCCACAATTTAGGGACCTATCCCCGCTACAATAGATGGGCGTCAAATTGGACTTGATTCTGTTCCATGTCAATCGCTGCATTCACCATCTGATCGAGCTTGCCTTCTGCCAATCGCATACTCTTTTTCCATATCATATACCCGCAATCGGCTGCGGTCAAGAGCTAGCCGAGCACTCTGCAAGGTTCCATCGTGCATTCAGATGCTTGCAGGTCGCCCCAGAGAACCAATTATCCTGGCCTCACTTCTCCACTCTCTCACATTCGAGTGCTTCAAGGCGATGCATAGATTGGAGCTTTCGCCGACATGGGGCTTGGTCCACATCATGGCCGTAATATTCTCGCTCATCGGCCTGTATTCTTGATAGCTAGCACGTCATAGCTTGAGTGATTTAAATACCCCTCGTTCGCTCGACCGGTCTCTCAAACAGCCGGGCAAATTCTCGTTACAAGCGTTTTCAGGTCCACTGGCAGTATGCTGTTCCGCAGTTTACTCTCCACGGCTGTTCTAGCCGTCTCATTATGCGCAGACAATGTGTCTGCTGCCAAACTTGGCCGATTCGCTCAAAGAACTCGCGACGCTAAACCGGCGAAGCGTGCAGCGGAGCTTGCTAAGAAGTCGCACTCAACGCCCGTTGAAGACTACCGGTTCTACAATAATGCAACGGAGTGTAAGTTCCCTCTTATGGAGAAGCTTGAGGACAAAGCTGATATAGATCCCAGCCTATCGTGTGAAAAGCCTCCCTGATGTTCATTACGACATTGGTGAGACGTACTCGGGCTTGATCCCTATCGAGAAGGGTGACTCATCGAGAGCTCTTTTCTTTGTCTTCCAGCCTACCGTTGGTGAGCCTGTGGATGAAATCACTATCTGGTTGAATGGCGGCCCAGGCTGCTCGTCTCTGGTTCGTTTCTGGCACTCATCATTGTGCAGCATGAACGCATTGCTAATGAGTTTGCAGGAGGGCTTTCTCCAAGAGAATGGACGGTTCACCTGGCAGCCTGGAACATATCTGCCGGTTGAGAACAAGTACTCTTGGGTGAACTTGACTAATGTGTTATGGTAAGTCGCCAACTCTATCCTACTAGAGGTACTGAGCTGAGAGAACCACTAGGGTCGATCAACCTGTCGGCACCGGCTTTTCTGTTGGCACGCCGACTGCAGTGTCGGAGGAAGAAATTGCACAAGACTTCATCAAGTTCTTCAAGAACTGGCAGCAGACCTTTGGCATCAAGAACTTCAAGATTTACGTGACTGGCGAGAGCTATGCTGGCCGCTATGTCCCTTACATCTCCGCTGCCATGCTGGACGAAAAGGATAAGGAGTACTTTGACCTGAAGGGTGAGTGTCTCCGAAGAACAATTGTAGCTAGGCCTTTGACTCATCATGTAAAACAGGAGCATTGACCTACGATCCTGTTATCGGGCAGTTTGACTATGTTCAGACCGATGCCCCTATCGTGCCCTACGTGCAGGAGAACAAGGTTCTCTTCAACTTCAACGCGAGCTTCTTGGCCGAGCTGGAGCAGCGCCACGAGTCCTGCGGGTACAAATCCTTCATCGACGAGTATCTCGCCTTCCCCGCCAGCGGTGTCCAGCCTCCCAAGAGCATGGACTCCCTGAACGATTGCGACCTCTGGGACCTGGTCAATGAAGAGGTCCTCGGCAACAACCCTTGCTTCAACCCCTACGCGATCAACGAAAACTGTCCCATCCTCTGGGACGTGCTAGGCTTCCCGACCGAGGCCGACTACGTTCCCGCGGGGGCGTCGATCTATTTCGACCGGTCCGACGTGAAACGCGCCCTCCACGCGCCCGCCAATATCACCTGGTCCGAGTGCTCCAACGAGAGCGTCTTCGTGGGCAGGGGCGGTCCCGAGGGCGAGGGTGACCTGTCCGCGAACCCGATCGAGCACGTCCTGCCGCAGGTAATTGAGGGCACGAACCGTGTGCTGATCTCCAACGGCGACTACGACATGGTCATCCTCACGACCGGCACCCTCCTCGCGATCCAGAATATGACCTGGAACGGCAAGCTGGGATTCGAGGCCGAGCCCGCCACTCCGATCCAGATCGACCTGCCGGACCTCCAGTGGGACCCGATCGTGGGCACCACCGGCGGCCAGGGCGACATGGGCGTCCAGCACTACGAGCGCGGGCTGATGTGGGCGCAGACGTACCAGAGTGGGCACATGCAGCCGCAGTACCAGCCTCGCGTGTCGTATAGACACCTGCAGTGGCTGTTGGGGAGAATCGACAAGTTGTAGATATGGGTACTGTGTATACAATGAAGTTGGGAATGACGGACATCACAGCGATGTTGTTAACAGTATATATGATACGAGCAAATTGGCTTACTTGAGAAAGAACGAGGACAATGTGCAAGAGGGACATATATTCCACATCAGTCAACTTTGTCCCTTGAAGAACGGGACAACGTTGACAAACTGGGGATGTCTTTCCTCTTCCAAATCAAGGACTGCGCTGAACTAGCCTGGACAACATCTTAGCACTATACTATAGAAGTAGACTTACTCCTTTCGGGAAAGAAATACACGCGATGAACTAGTAGATAAGCTCAATCGACCAGGGTCTATCAGCCCCTCTAACTCAGCCTAGCATATCATAGGTCCTGTATCCCCTTATCCACGAAAGCGGCGACATAAAGCTCAGACCTGCAGAAGGGACACTCACCAATCACGCATTGAGCACCGTGGACGCACCATCCGACTACCCCTGACCGGCAACTGACTATCACTGATTCCCTGAATGGTATCGTATTCCGGCTAACGCGCCCTACAGGTAGTCCCTGGCTGCGCCCCACCGCAAAGCATAGTCCAGCCCGGGCCTTTGGCGCGCTTCGATACATTATTCAAGGCTGCAGTCTAGTCATCCTGGGTGTCAACTAGTCATTCAAAGGTACCCACACCGCGCCTCCCTCACTGTGTATGTATCTGGGAAGACATGAAGAAGTGCCCCCCCACCCCCTCCCTCCCTTTGTCTTCTGCTCAGCGAGCACTTGGGTCAGAGGTGCGCTCTTGCTTGATACCCAAGAGGCAAGGTCATACCGGCTGCCTTGGTTACTGGTAGTGCGCGGGAGTGATGTAAAGGTAAGGTACAGTACTGTACATGCCCGTGCTCAGAGGAGCGAGTCGAACGTCCCCGATGCTAAGCTTCTACCGGAGAAGTCTAGCCCCGTGCGGTGCATGGACGGTGGCTAGGTAGTCCTGGCCAAGAATCTCGGGTCGTTCCAGCTTAGTGCTGCAGACTTCCGTTTGGGCATTTGAAATAACCAGTCAGGGGTGCTCTGTTCGAATGGAGATTGATGTATGTATCAGTGCACCTGGCAGCCTGTCCAAGGTATCTTGTCTGTAGAGTAGTTCGCTTTGTCTATACTGGAGAGTCATCTAGGTTAGGCTGGTAAGGGTGTGTGACCTGAGATATGGGTTGAACAGGTGGACGAGGCCTATCTGAGATAGAAGGTAAGTCGCCCTGTTTGAATATATGGTCGCAAGTGATGATTTATATTAGAATTCGGATCTGGTAGAGGAGATTTGTTCAAGCCATGAATACTAGCTACCCAGCTACTGACTTGGTTCATCACTATGGTAAACCTTGAAGTGTGCATGAGGACCCATGAATATGTAATCTGCAGCTCATCACCACGGCTGCGTACTTTCGAGTCATACTTTCTAGCTTAAAAGGCTTACGGTGCGTCTTCCCCGATTGGCTCTTTCGGAGGCGTGCTTGTAGGGTTTCGAGGGGGGATATCATTTGGGTTGTTGGATTGTTGGGCTGTGGTTTTGTGGAGAGGTGGTGATGCTGGTTTTTGATCACCTGCACTTTGGCTATATATGGTGCTTTTCAGCTTGGTGCGCAGGATACTGTTGGTACACTATGCTGTATGTGCCCTACTGACCCAGACCTTCGCAAACGGTAGTAACAGGAATAGTACGATTAAGAGCGGCTCGGCCAGGGCGATAGGAAAAGCCGGCACGTATTAGTGATATGTGAGATCGTGATTCATGACTTATGTAGGCCTAGGCGTCAAGGTGTGGGTTGACAAGCAGACAGGCAGATAGATAGCTTGATGACTGGGGCCCGCTACGTCAAGCGATCTATAGGCTACTATCGAGACGTTGATTGCTCAGAGAAACCAAGCATATCAGTTGTGCACAGTTCACTGGGGTGACTTGAGCAGCATGGGCCAGGACAAACATACATCATTGTGCTCCCCACTCCATGCCGCTCAGTGAGCGAAACCAACGCCAGGTTTGCCCTAAAGCGGGAAAGAAAAGTCAGAGGCCGCTGTGCTTTCGCTTACTCTGTAGCGATGCTAAGTTAATCTGGTTAGTGTAGTGGTCGACAATTAGACTACTACGTAGACCATTCTGTCTTACTCAGCTCATCTCTCAGCCATTCAGCTGCCATATGCTTCAATGAAGATTCGTAATGGATGGGTACCTTATATCAGGCCATTACTATACGTTCCTTTATGAGTCCAGGTGCAGATCATGCCATTGTCGGGTGGATCTGATAGAAACTGTGCTAAGTAGATATGAGTCGGTTGAAGAAGTCAATCTGCACAAGAATCTGGTTTGGTTGGATTGGGATCGCTAAGCTGAAGAGGCTGAAAAACACTCGACCGCCTTCGATGCTGATAAAATGCTCCATACTGCACGGTATCGATGTTCCGGACTGACCTACCGTCTCCCTCCGTTAATGAAGAGCATTCGGTACCATTAATAACCGAGATTGCGCAAAATGCAGCAACGTAAGTCGTTGAGTCGATCAAATTGCGACTCGTGTCCCGGTGTAACATCAAGTACGCTGACAGGCTGGAGAGGGCACGGTTTACCCCGTACCTCGGGATGTCTTTTGCCCCAAAGACGGTCTTGTCGCGCTGGGAAGACAAGGTCAATTCGGATTGGCTGGGACCAAGGTTGCCAATGCCGAGCGGACTCGAAGAGAGACCATGGAGAAACAGGCTAGGGGGTCCCTAGACTAAACGATACTAGAGATGTTGGACTTTGGCCGCATCACCATGGGTATTCGGGACGGATAGATTAATCCCGAGCCACCTTGGCGAAAAAGCACAGTGATTGGTCAAAGTGCGACAGCGCTTTCCGTCGGTCTTTCAACGGATTGAGTGGAGGGGTGGAGGGTGAGGTCTGCAATCACCCTCGGAATGACCGAGGCCTTGTGTAATGTACAAGCTGTGCTATTCGGCAAGTATTCTCTGCCCTTTCGGACAACAGATTTGGTGCACCACGACAATAAAGCTGGGGTGGTAGCGGACGCTCCGGGCTGGAGGGGATCCTGGTTCAGGACGGATGCGGAAATGAGGAATAGGGCCATGATGAAAGGCTGCATTAATCTTGAGCCCTAGCCTGCTCCGGAACCCAGACTCATGTCAACAGGGTCAGACAAATTGGATTTGTTGACTTGTTGGAACTCTTGGCTCCGTGCGGTGATGCGGTGGTCGTGACTCGTTCGCATGTCTCATGTAGATCGTTCCCTACTACTAAGTCCTTGTCGGAGTATCCTTGCTGTTTCTTACCCAGACAATGTTATTGAAAGCCATACCCACCCTGATTCTCTCAAGATGACTGCCCTCTGCGGTGAATTGAAGTCTCGTCTCAAGCCTGTGGCCAGCCGAAGAATTGCAGCGGTAAAACTATGCGGTTTCGCGGCACCTTCCAAATTGTCGCCAGGCATCCATTGGCCCCGGCCCGGTACTGACGCTGTCTCCGGATGGGGTAAGTTCATTATTGCCGGTTGTGGATTAGTGTCAGATTGAACCGTGTGTGGCTCGATGACGTAGAAGTCACTTCAATCTTGGCACGTGGTCTTGGCCCATCGGCGCGGATATTCTCCATCTTTCCCAATCTTTCCCATCCGGCTGGTTGATCAATCATGAGAGAGTCCTTTCCAGATTGACTCCAGCCATTCGTTGTCTAACTGGTTGATATCATCACGCGATCAGATGGACACCGAACTGGTACTGATAGATAGATTGTGCATCAGTGATGCAGCGATCTCTCCATCTTGCGGCGTGCGGTGGGGATTCCAATCCAGGCGGAGCCCGCGGATGGCCAGAGAGCCACCGAGCCAACGCCCAAAGAAGCTTAAGGTCGCTTCCCAGTTCGACGCGAGGCTCCAGAAAACCATCGCGAGCCAGTGAGCCACACCCGAAAGATGGGTCATCCATGATGGGGTGGCTTTTTCCCGGTCGAGGACCCTCAATCGAACGGTTGAAGATGGAGTTTCATGTGAATTGAAGGAAGAAGAGAAAAGAAGAGGGAAGGAGGGAAGGAGGGAATCGATAACCTTTTCTGTTATGTGTTGGTCTAGTTATTGCCTTTTATGGTCTGAAACTGCACCGATAGTAATCTGTGACTACCATTGGAGATTGATAACAAGATGATCGTCATCAGTGCCTGTGGTGGTGGACTTGTCCCTGTGTGTCCCTTTTTCTTTTTTTTGCTCGTGTCTCTCTGCCCAAACGCAGTGCTGCTTTTGCGGGCCGTTCTGCAGCCAGACAATGCCAAGAGCACCAATGCCCCACCTCCACACCACGGGTTGATCAATCAGCGCATGGCAAAAAAGGTGTCGGCGACGGCCGGCGTGATCTGGGCTGAGCCTATCAAACGCCCCGCGCCATTCTCCTTCTCCTCCGCTCCCGGCTTGCTGCTTGCTTGCTTACTTGCTTACTACAGACTGACTATCAATCACTGTCCACTACGGTTCAGCTGCAGTCTGTTTTGTCCACCCAAGTCAATGTGGCTTGTCATAAGATTTCCCCTTGCAACTCTTCAATATTGCCTGTGTAGCCCTCTGCAATAGTCAGGAAAGAAGGATAGCATACTGGGTGGGTCTTCTGGGACAGCCTGGAGAGCATTCAGCATCCTGAGGGACAGGGAAAAGTTTTTCTATCACTTTTCTTCTCAATCTTGATGCTGACAGTCTTGCCACACGCTGACTGGCCCATCAGCTGCATGAAGACCCATTGTGTCTGTTTTGCCCCTCCAGTATCGATAGCAGACTAGCGTGAAAAGAAAAAGTGTAGAGAAGAGCGAGCAAGATGAGGGACGATGCCATCACTCTCGGCTTCTCCCTTTCACTGCTTCTCTCGAATTTCAAATCGTATATAGACTGCAAACTATTCTCTCCATCCCTAGACGAATTTCTTCTTTTTTCCCCTTACCACCTCACGGCCCTACTCTCTCTCTCCCTCTCCATCTCCCTTTCCTCCTCTCTTGGTTCCTCTCCGCCCCTCCCCCGCAATCCCACCCATTCATCCTCCCTTCCCTTTGCATCCGGCTATACTACCACGGCACCACTGCTGGAGGCCACCACTCCCGCAGTAATTGTCTCATCGCCTCCTGAGGCTTCATTTCCACCCTGTTTTCTTTTTCCAAGGACCTGTCGTCTCTTCAACTGTGACCTCATCGCCTTTCCCAGGTTCCTTCGTCCTGTTTTCGCAGGTCAATTGAACTACCGTTTTTTTTTTCAAACTATTCTCGCCCTTTGGGCTATCTACATACCATTTACTCTTCTTGGCCCTCTTCGAACATTGTTTGCACAGTTTCAGCTGTACTATTTGCCTCACTAGCAGCGACATAGGACCGACAGATCTGTTTTGCCCTCGCGCCAAAGCAATACCACTGCGCCCACCAATTGACCCTCGCGACTACCTGCTTCATTAGCCAAATCCCATCAGCGCTCTGTCGTCTCAATCCCTCCCTGCCTGCATCCTGTGCGACCAGAGAAGTAGTACGAATCTCACCAGTGCCATCCGCTGAACCCACCCGGTTGTCCCTTCACGGTAGACAAGCCCTCGACAGCGCCTTCTCGTCCCTCATCGTCGGCCATTGACCCCCCAGAGATCGATCCCAATTCCCAGCATCATTATTGGCCCTAGCAACCATGCCGTTCGGAATCAACCCGTTCAAAAACCACGACCACAGCGACTTCGCTGGGGTCGTGATCCCTCTCGAACAGGCCCCAATGCACGCGAGACCCACCCCTCAGACAGCAAACAGCCCTGGCAACACTGATGAAAAGACTGATGAGAAGAGCCTTGACAGAGCTCCGTCGGAGGAAGCCGGCTTTGGTTCGGTTCAGAACTATGACCATATGACCATTGAGGCCCTCCGCGCGGAAATTGAGTCCGACCTGGTGGCCACGGGCCAGGACAGTGTTTATGACCGTATGTTATATTGCAAGTCATCGCGCTAACATGATGGCCCCATTGCAAACATCCTTTTCCTTCCCTGCTGCTTAAGGGCAAAGCTAAATCGCAGATATCCAGGCAAGGCAAAGGTCATCAACAGAGCTATCCAAGATATTGGTATGGGTCGGTATCAATGGGAGCTCTTTGCCATGTGTGGTTTCGGATGGCTCGCGGACAAGTAAGTAGAAAGCCCTTACTTCCGCAGGTTATCATGTCGCTGACGCTGGACCCACTAGTCTCTGGTTGCAGGTAAGAGATTCGAATAGCCGGGTAGATTCGTGACGATTGTCATGCTAACGTTCCCAAGGGTATCGCTTTGACGCTGACACCCATTGCGGAGGAATTCGGTGTCTCCGACACCCGGGTCCGGTTTACCACCTGTGCTCTGTTCCTGGGTCTCTGCATTGGCGCTTCGTTTTGGGGTATCGCTTCTGATATCGTCGGACGTCGTCTCGCGTTCAACACGACGCTCTTCATTTGCAGTGTCTTTGGTGTTGCCGCGGGTGGCGGTCCCAACTGGGTTGGGTATGTTAAGTACTTCCTATTCGATGATGGTCAGCGACTAATCTTGATAATTCAAGTACTTGTGCCCTCTATGCTTGCTTGGGTCTTGGTGTCGGTGGCAACCTGCCCGTCGACGGAGCTTTGTTCCTGGAATTCTTGCCCTTTGCTTCCGGCAACATGTTGACCATGTTGAGTGTCTGGTGGCCAGTTGGTCAGCTGATTTCCAGTCTGCTCGCCTGGGCTCTGGTTCCGAACTTCAGCTGTGAGAGCGGTCTCCCTTCGTGCCATGATGTGGCAAGCGGGGTTGCTTGCTGCAGCAAGCAGGACAACATGGGCTGGAGATACCTGGTCTTCATCATCGGTGGCTTGACCTTCCTGATGTTCATCTGCCGTTTCTTCCTCTTCCACCTCTATGAATCGCCCAAGTTCCTGCTCGGCCGCGGCCGCCAGGCTGATGCTGTTGCTTCTGTCTACGGCATTGCCCACAAGAACAAGGCCCAGACCTGGCTCACCGAGGAGATTCTGAACGAGATTGGCGGCCATCATGAAGAGGCGCAGAAGGAGAAGCTCAGCTCGGGTGAGATCGTGAAGCGATACCTCTCCAAGTTCTCCTTCGACCACATCGCCCCGCTCTTCGCCACCAGGAAGCTTGCTATGAGCAGTACGTTTACCAACCATTTGAACTCCAAATGTCGTTGAACCTTAACTTGCTAACATCATCCTCTAGCCATCCTGCTCTGGTTCTGCTGGACCACCATCGGAATGGGCTACCCGCTCTTCAACGCCTTCCTGCCGCAGTACCTGGCCAACAACGGCGAAAGCGGCTCGAACTCGACCTACGTCGCCTACCGCAACTACGCCATCACCTCCGTCGTCGGCGTCCCCGGCTCCATCCTGGCCTGTTACACCGTGGAGATCAAGTACGTCGGCCGAAAGGGCACGATGATCGTCGCGACCCTGATCACCGGCGTCCTGCTCTTCTGCTTCACGACCTCCACCAACTCCAACGTCCAGCTCGTCTGCTCCTGCCTGGAGGCCTTCTTCCAGAACATCATGTACGGCGTCCTGTACGCCTACACCCCGGAGGTCTTCCCCGCCCCCAGCCGCGGCACCGCCACGGGTATTTCCTCGTGCCTCAATCGCATCGCCGGCCTCTGCGCCCCACTGGTAGCCATCTACGGCGGCTCCGCCAGCCCAGACGCCCCCATCTATGCATCGGGAGGGTTGATCCTGGCCGCCTTCGTCGCCATGTGCTTACTCCCCATCGAAACCATGGGCAAGCAAATCATGTAGAAACACGAACAGAGTCTTCTCCCCCCCCTTCTTTCGCAAATAAGGGGTCCCCCTGCTTCCCTTCCCCTTCTTCATCACGCATCTTGATGTCCTCATGTCGATATTCATGTTCATGTTCATGTAACGGTTTTGGTAATGATGCAGCATTGATCTACCTCATGATTGATACCATTTTTGTATTGTTATTGTTTTCTTAGTTTGTCTCTTTAGGTGATGATTGGATAAAGTGCACATAGGTAGATGCATGAGTTGCGTGCATATGGATGTTGGATAAGATTTTCCCATGTCGTCGTGTACGGTCGAGGTTCATTTTCTGACCTGTGTATATCGTGTTGTATCTGATGGATGGATATGTTGTGCATAAACACCCCCCTCCCCCCGTCCCGCTGTACAGAGAACCAAGGTCAAAATCAAGTTCAAATTCCCGAAAGACAATCAACCGAAAGACAGTCATAAACATAAGTTGACATCGATTCTCATCTATCATACAATACATATGATAAGTCGGCAAGATCACTTCATTTACAGACCTGCCACAGAAAAAAAAAGGGACAAAGAGCTGGTACTTATAATCTACGTACCAACGTATCTTGACACACATAAAAGCTGTTTAAAAAAGGGATCATAATGAGCAGAAAAAAATAGACGAAAAAAGTCTGTGGAAGCCCCAAGAAATTTGCTCCTTCGCAGGTGTATGTTCATGGACGGATAGCAAGATATGACAAGATCATGGTTAGGGGATTTAAAGCGGATTGGGAGGAGATGTATATGATTTGATCAATCGAAGAGACGCGATAACCGACTAATTGGACATTAGAAGGAAACGGAGACGGGGGCATATATGCGTGGTAATCCGAGTTGCAATCCTGACGAAAGAGGGGGAAAGCAGGGTAAGGGGAGAATTGAAGAAGTGTAAAGAAGTATAGAGAAGTGAAGTGAAAAGAAGTGAAGTAGAAGAAAAATCACTGAGAATATCGTCGACGCAAGGAGAAAAACACGCAAAAAGTTTTATCACAAATGGAGAAAAAACACCCGGAGAAATGCAACCGATTGATAGATATGACCCACCCAGAGGAAATCAATCCCATTCACCAAATCAGAGAGAAACATTGTCACCGTATGCACTGAAATCATAAATAAGGATTCGTAGCCCGAAGGCTGTCTCGATTCGTTAGGAACGTGACCTCGGATCATCGGCAAGGAAACTAAGCAACAGGTTGGCCATGCTGTCGTCGACCGCGCTTCTCGAGCAGAGTAGCATTGTCGAGGTTCAGCTCGAAAGGTTCCCGGGCGCCTCTAGCGATGCTCTGCCTTGCAGCAGCGGCCACCTTGGCACTATGTTGTCCGTAACCCTGTTGCTGTCGGGGCTGGTGGGCTTGTCGTGCTTGAGCGGCATGACTAGGGGCGCCGCTCAGGTTCGTAGATCGCAGCTTCGCCTCCATAGCGGCAACATCGCCAGCCTGCTGGGACGATTTCGGGATCTTGGACGGTGCGAAGTCTTCGCGCTGTATGGGTTGATAATTGATCTCATCCGGCTCGTCGTAGTCCTCATTCAAAGGATTAAGCGCCGACCGGAAGTTCGTCGAGGGGTTGGCCCCACGGTATCCTTGACGGAAGTTCTTGCGACGCTTGCCCTCTTCTTCTTGTCTGTGCACAGCGTAACCAACATCGAACACCTCGCGCAAGTTGATCGCGCCTGGGGAGCGGAAGTCCATGGGGCGCTCCATACCAGCCGAAGGTTGATCGCCCAGGCGGGCGCTGATTGGCGCGAACGGCGCTTGGTCGGCGGCAAACGCATCCAAAGGCTGTCCCTGCTTGCGAGTGGTAAGAGGAGTTGCAAGGGGAGGAGCGTCTGCGGCGGCCTCGGTGGCCTCATCGGTGCCTCGGATCCAGGGATGGGCGAGGAACTCCTTAATGCTATAACGCTTCTCCGGATCCACTGTCAGAAGGTGAGAGATCAGGTCCTGGGCGGACTTGGAGATGTCGTCCCACCATGGCGACAGGAAGGTGTATTGGCCACGCGCAACCTTTTCTGTGAGGATCTGGATGCTTTCATCATAGAATGGCGGGAATCCACAGAGGAGGGTATAGAGAACGCAACCCAGTGCCCACATATCGACACTCTTGGAGTACCGCTCGTCTTTGACAATCTCGGGGGCGGTGTATCCGACGGTGCCACATGGTGTCATGGTTTGGCTGTCCCAGATAACCTTCGACAGCCCAAAGTCGGCAATCTTGATCACACCGATTCCACCGGCACCTTTTCCGGGTATAAACTCGCCCTCATCGACCTTATCTTCATCACCGGGCTGGCGAGGCTTGGGGTGTTTGCTCGGAATGAACTCTGTGGGATAAAACAGAAGATTTTCGGGCTTGATATCGCTGCAGTACGGGTCAGTTTTTCTCTATCGCACCAAACCGGAGGTCAAAAGTGTTCATACCGATGCACAACTCCAGAAGTCTCGTGAAGATATTCAATTGCCTTGGCGACCTGCAAAATAACATGGCGACTAAGCTCCTCACTGAAGTAGGTCAATCTGACGATTTGATGGAACAGCTCGCCACCGGGGCAGAGTTCGAGGATGATGTAGTAGTATTGACGCGACTCGGAGAAACTGATCAACTTGACGATGTTGGGGTGATCGAGGTTGCGCATGATCTGCACTTCTTTCAGAATGTTGGCACGCTATAGCATGGTCAGTCATTCTTGTCCGATAACACAATTGGAGCCACTTATAGCGAACGACGCGGAGCGTAACGTTGCAGGACATAAGTGGATGATAGACAAATGCAATTGGTGGGCGGAGGATGTTTCTAGTGTTTCTAGTGTTTGCGCACCTCCGTAGCTTTGGGTTTCTTTCTGATCCCCGGATGCAGATGGGCGGCAGTCTAGTAAAACGACATTGGCCAAACAATTCAACGACAACGACAGAGCATCAAACACGGCACCATGGGAAGGGGAAGAGAGATGAGAAAAGAAAGCAACAGTAATCAGAGCAAGGGAGACAGCTAGTGGTCCTACCTGGTTGCTGTTCATCTCGAATTTGCGCACCACCTTGATGGCGACTTCCCCAAATTCGCCAGTAGTGTCCTTCGCACGGTAGACGTTGCTGAAGGCGCCATCACCCATCTTTTCCATCAAGATCCAGCGCTCGAGACCCGGGTATTTCGGCATCTTGTTCCGGCTGCTCTTCTCCTCCGCGATGATCTGTTCAATCTCGAGTTCGCGAGCTCGCCTGGGCTGCGACGAGTCGGAGTTTCTCTGCGAAGGCTGGGCGTGGCCGTTACCCAATTTGCTGTCAATGGCGTCGAGGTTCCCGGCAGCGGCGGGATAGGAGCCTTGTGGTTGACGTTGTTGTTCGGCATGGATGGGCGAAACATTGGTGGTGGGTTCGGCATGCGGCGTCACCAGGCGGGCTTGCTTCCCATGACGTATGAAATTTTTGAGACTCTGTATGGTACTCATAGTGCTGAGTAAGGGGGGTTTTGAAAATGAAATGAGAAGAGATAGAAGCGGAAAGATGAGGGAAGGGGGAGGGGAACGGGTCCAGGTAAGGTAAGGTAGCAGTAGCCAGAAACAAAAGATGATGATGAAATAGGATTTGGAAAGAGACCGTCAACCGGGAATGATGCGGCTATCGTCCGGAAACTCTTTTTGTCTAGAGTTTCCCTGTCTTAAACAATTTATCCTTCCTTCTAAGTACTGCTTGTTGTTTGGGTTCCAAGAAAGCCTGAAAGTTGATTGTTAGTGGGTGATTGAGGGTGAAGAGGGAAGATCGGGAAGTGGTGGTGTTGGTGGTGATAATGATGACGATACGGGATGGGTCGGAATCAAGAAGGAAAGCAGACGGGCACAAGAGAAAGACAGAATGGAATGACAGGCATAAAAGGGTTGGGAAAGGAAATGAGAAAAAAAGAGGCGAAGAAAATAAGAGTGGGGAGGGGCAGATTTACCTGCTGATTAAATGCGCAGTGCAGAAGGAAAAACGGTGCGCAGATGACGGTGGTGGTGGTGATGATGGGCGGGGGGAAGAAACGATAGGGAAGAGAGGTATGAGATAATTTAATTTAAGGCTGGGCTGATGGAAGGCAACACAGAAGGCAAAAGAAGGCCGTTCAGATCAGTTTCAGTACCTGAAAGAGGAATTCTAAACGTTTTGCAGCCTGAGAGGGGAGAAAGTCGAGGAAGATAGTGGGGAATGGGCCGATACAGTTTCAATAATGTCTTTTAGATTGTGTATTTGTGTTGTGGGAGAGAGTAGGAAAGGAAGCAGAAGAAAAAAAAGAGGAGAGATGCAGACGGCGACACAATTGCGATGAATGAGGATATAAAGTTCAGATCAAGTGCGCCGTCAGCACAACGCCATGGCTTGCTGGATGAGGCAAAGAACGAGATTAGCAGCTGATGAGCTGAAGGGGAAAACTGAGCAAGCCACTCACCAGACTACACCATCAAACAGCAGCAGCATAAACGACAGTGACAGAGGGGACTGAGAGTCTCAGAGAGAGAGAGAGAGAGAGAAAGAGAGAGAGAGAAGCGTCATCGTAAGTTTGATTACAATCTCCATACCCCAATAATACATCTCCATACCTACCCAAATCCCGACGACGCCCCGATTTCCCTACCAAAATTACCGCCTGACCGAAAATCACAAACACGATGACGTCGCGGACGAGGGGGGTGGTAATTACTCAATGCGGTCTAGTGGACTCACAATCTGGCTGAGTCAGCCGCCCAGGGCGGATCGCTTCCCCTCTCTCTCTCAGTCTTCGTTCCTCTCTTCCTCGGATCTCTCGTTCCCTCTCCTCTCTCTTCTCCCCCCCCCCACCAACGGCAGTGACGGAGCACGGCGTCATCTCTCGTCATGTTTCCATCCCGATCGTCGCGACGGTTCTGTTTTCTTCCAATGGAATAAGATGTCATAGCTTCCCATCTCCGCAATCCCAGGTTGAACTACTCAGTATCCGGGAACCCAGAGGCCCAGCGATTGTCTAGATCATGTTCCGAACCCCGTTCACGCACGATTTGGTTCCTCTCAAATAGCGGTTGATAAATGGATGTCATGGTGATAACTGCTGGCGGCTGGAGATCGATAAGGACACTTACTCTAGAGTCTAAATACAAAAGAGATCGAATCTTGCTGGCTGGCTTCTTCCCCCACTTTCCTCCCCTCCCCCCCAGGTCTCTCCTTGTTCTGTCAGGAGTTCATGGGCTAAATCCCAGCCATTAATATCAACTAGCATTTAAGCTTCCTTTCGGTTACGGGGAGCTACCAAGAAGAAGGAAATCCAACCATCAACAACCGGAACGAGGTGGTGAGGATTGACCGTGGGTTGCGCGCGCCACTCCCGAGCGATGGGCCGTGAGAGGATGTCATCGATGATGCAATGCGACACACTGTGTTGCTGGTTCGAGGGGAAATCCCAAACAATAAGTACTAGAACAATAATATAGCCTGGAGGGAGGGCGTGGGAGGACAGGGCGCTGACAGCCGAGTTGTAGTCTTAAGTCTTAAGTAAATATAGTAGGTAGTGGTGGTGCAGGAGTGGGAGTTTCCCGTGATGCTGCAGGTTGAGAACAATCTGAGTTCAATGACTGGTGGACGGACGGCTTTCCTGCTTCTCTCCATGTCTGTTTGTCTCTCCTCTCTCTCTCTCTCCCTCTCTCTCTATCATTTTTCTTCTTCCCAACTCTTCCTCTTCTTCCTAACCCCCTCCCCCTCTCTTTTCCCTTCTCACCGTCCAATTCAGCTAGCCAAACAATTGTATCCATTTGTTCAGTCATGTAGATCATCCTAGCCCAACGTCTATTGTCCGCAGCCATTCTCATTGCTTTTCTTCTGGTGGGTGAACCCCAAACGGAACTCCACTCGCTGTCCGCGCTGGATCCGCAACGTGGAATGTCCCTGCGACTCGCTCGCCTTGCCTCGTTCCTCCTCGCTCTGCTCTTCTCGGGCCTTTTCGTGCCAACAGGATCGCCTCCTGCGGGTCGTGCCTTGCCTGCTGTCCGTTCTTATCTACATACTCTATTTGTAGAGCCAGTTCAGCCGGTTCGAAACCTTGGACTTAAATTTATCTGGCTGTGGGCTGGCCTGGAGCCGGGTGGTGTTGGGACTTTGTAAGACGCGCATTGGAAGGCAGTCACACACACTACACAGACACACACCCTTACGCTGCACAGAATCTCCCTTGCTGTCTCAGAGGAAACGAAGGGTCCGGAGTTCTTTGATCTATAATCTCTTTTGGTTCTTTTCTTGGCTGTGCTTCTACAGGATTGTAGTGTTCCTCCACCGACTCAGCCCCCTCTCCCCACTCCGAGGCAGCGTCTCTCTCTTCACTATTGCTGCTATGCGGCCTGGGCCAATCTGACTTGGAACACCCCCTTACAAAGAAAAAAAAAAGTGTTCGACATTTTGAATCGCCAGAATCCAACACCATTCAACCTGACCACTGCCTGGTGGTCACTTGGACCAATCTGCAGTACCGTTGGGCCTCCTCACAATGCCCAGCCTGGCGAGTGCTGGCACCTCTGGCACCTCTGGCACCTCTGGCACCTCTGTTGCCTCACTAGAACACTTGGATCCGCCCCAGTTGAGGGCCCACAAGTCTCTACGTCGCAGACCTAATGTTCCCTTGAACTCTCCATCCTCCACCTTAATAAAACAAGTGGGCCACAATGGCGTCCCGTCAGGGACAAGCCCTCTGGCACCAGCACCTGTTCGTCCCTTAACGCCCCCCGGTGTCGCCCCAACTGAAGACGAAAATATCCACGGGGCGCATATCGCAACAACACCTTCGCTACTCTCGATAAGCGATGCAATAACTCCGAGGCCCTCGCATCCTCCCACGCCCGAAACCACCCCGCCTCAAGTCGCTGCATCGGCTCATCGTCCGGCCCTCAAGCAACTCGCGCAGTCCTTCTCCTCGTCTCGGGCGGATTCCTTTCGCACCGCCTTGGAAATCATCTCAGATGCTGGAACTGAAATTCCGTCTCGGTCAGCACGATCCTCCTCGGTTTTAACCCGGCAGAACGACTCGTCCGATCACAGCGACACGCGAAGCGGAGACACGACTCCGATACCATCACACTCACCTAATCGGAATCGTTCCTCGACACCAGAGATGCCCGCAGCAGAGACTCGGAAAGATGCAGCAGCAATTCCACTGGAGCCGCCTCCCCGTGAACGAGAATCTGCGTCTTGCCGTACCTCCCGCGTCGACCGCGACCCAGACACAGCGGAACAACGATTTTACATGGTCGGGTCGGATGCAGACAGCACAGACGTGCTTCCCGTCCGTTCCAAAAGCCAACGCAAGCAGGGGGGTGACTCGCACGAGCCTGTAGGCGGGTTGTCAATCGAGCAGTTCCGGGAGCAAATCGGCTGGCCCCAGATGGAACCACAGCCGGCCGAGCCAGACGCCTCTCGAAGACTATCCAACGTGTCGACATCATCTACTGTAGAGGTCATGATTATCGATTCCCCGAGGTCAACTCAGCGATCGCTGCGTCACACGGAGAAGAGGAGCTCTCTCCGCTCAGTCAGCTCTCCCTTGACCAAATCGGAACACACATCGCTTGTTTCTAACCCTGACTCGCAGCATCGCCTGGTACACAAGAGTGCGCGAATCACAGAGCATGATCGTCAGAGTGTTGCTTCGGAGATGTCGTTATCCGGAACTTCGGCGATGAGCTATCTCCCCCAGAACGTCGAAGTGGTGCCTGTGGTGGTGATTCCTGAGCGACGTTCGTCCCTCAAGTCTTCGGCGTCGACTAGTCGGAATACTTCCCAAAGTCGCTCCCGACATTCGAGTCGGCGGGCACCAGTCGCCTCAGGAAGCCGACCTGGCTCACTTGAGCCTCCGCGTCGCAAGGAGCGGACGCTGTCTGATGCGAGCAGCAGTGCGGACAAGCGGGCGCAATCTCGAGGTCGAAGTGCCGGGCAGCCAGTCATCCCGCAGCGTAACTCATCATTGTCCGCACCGACTAGTCGTAACAATTCACGGACCACGTCTCTTACATCTGAAAGCTTACGAGATCACACGGCGGCGATGGAGCAAGAGACGCGAAAGAAGCCGGCACCGCTGCCCCTGTCTCAGCCCGAGGGTGCTTCTCACCGCCGAGCCGCGCCGGATGCGCCCGAGGCCGCCAAAACGCAATCCATCATCATTGGCGTCGAAGACATGTCGCATCTCCGGCCACCCTCCATGCCGTATACGCAGGTCTCCATTCCTTCGTCCTCTCCCGGCGTGATCGAAGTCAGTGAGGCGAGGACAGTCGCCATCTTCCCGCACAACAACGAGTCATTATTGCTGGTAGAGCCACAATCACAACCTATCGCGCGTGTACAGATTCCTGATCTAGCATCCCAGAACGAGCCCCACACGCCGGTCACGGCGACGCGATTCGAGGTGGACTCGCCCTTGAAGAACCCGCGCCAACCCCCCAAGCCACCAGTCTGCCAAGTCTCGCCTCCTTCGCCCGTGCAAGACGCCAGTCGCCACCTGGGAGCGGCCGTGAGTGAGTCGACGGATGCAAATGGACGTCCAGCCCGCCGGTTTGGGTCCATCCGACGTCCGTGGATGGTACGTCCTCGGTCTGATTCATATAATTCTGCTCTCCAGTCTTTCTCACTGACGTCCGTAAAGAACCGCAAGGCGGGCAACGACATGGACGGGCGTCTGCAGCCCTTCTGGCGCCCGCGCCGCTTCTGGGACGACTCGGAGACCGACAGTGCCTCCTCGCCGCGAGAGAACGGGAGTCCCGTTGACCAGCACCCGGAGCCGGACACGGTGATCAAAAACTCGCTTGGGATGCCTCAGCAGCGGGCTGTGCTGGAAGGGCCGTCCATCTCGCGGCCCCCGGAGACCAGACGGCGGCTAGCCGCCCACCATGCCAACCGTAGCACCCTGGTCGGCAGCCAAGTCTTCACGCCGGAGGCCCTGTACTCGCAAACCTCGCTCCACCACCATCGCTTTCAATCGCTGTCGTGGTGGCGGCTCCGCCTGCGGGCCGGCAAGGTGCGCAATCTGCGCAGACGCATACGACGATCGTGGCAGCAGCATGCCGAGCGGCGCCGCGAAGCCAAGCGCGAGAAGCTCAAACAGAGCATCGGTGATGCGGTGCTGGTCGATTCCAGCACCAGCCCTCGACCATGAGAGGGTTTACGATCAGATGATTTACGCCATTTGGATTAGAGTTGGATGTTTACGTTATCGTTATTATTTCTTGATGTTTATGAGTGACGAAGTTCAACGATTGATGATACCACTGCCTGCTTTTACAGTCTGTTTCTCATATTGATACCGCAGCTAGCTTTTTCTTTTATAAGTATATCCACATCAATTTCAAGAACCAACAATACTAATCACAATTGGATACCACAAATAAACCCCGAGATAACCATAGAACCCCCCATCCATCCCTCCACATAACCCAAGCCCCTACCCAAGCATCAAAACGCAAAGGACATAACCCAATCCATCCCACCGCCACCCCCACAAAAAATACATAAAAAAAATCACCGCATCCGCCCCCGAACAGCCATCCCCGAAAACTCCGCCTCCCGCACCTTCCTCCGCCTCCTCAACTCCTCCCTCTCCGCAGCTCCTAACCCTAACCCCTCCTCCCCCTCCCCTCCTCCTACAACCCCAGGTACCCCAGAAATCCCCATCCGCCCCGCATCCACCGCCCTCATCCGCTCCCACATCCCCGGATCCAGAAACGGCTGCGGCGCCAGCGCGCCGCGGAATGTTGTTTCCTGAGGATTACGGTGACTGTCTTGAGGGCTGATGGGATCTGGGCTTTTGCTTGGGTTGGCGGTGGAGGGGAGGATGGGGAGGGTGGGCGTTGGGTTTATGGTTTTGGTCCTGGGGCGGGATGGTTGCAGGAGGGGGCGTTTGTGCGGGATTAGGAGGGTTTTTTGGGATTCTTTTGCTTGGGGGGTGGGTTTGGGGGGCATTGCTGGATTTATCTGGGTGGGTTGTGCCGTGCAGTAGTTGTGGTTGTTCTTCGGTTTGAGGGGAAGTTAAGTATATATAGAACAGAGTAGTATGAGGTGCCAGGATTCACGTGGGTTGAAGTGGGATAGATAGGTTTGGGGGGTAATTTATCTTGATGCAGTGAGGAGTAAACACGTGACTTCTACTGTCCCACTAACAGGTAACGAACTATGCGTTGGAGAAGACATGAAGCGGATCTGACATTCTTGGAAAGAAAAACAGAAGAACATGCATCAATATGTATGTACAACACCTCCCCTCACAACCTTCCTCATCATAATGTCACGATCAACGCATAGGTATCATATCAGACTCAGAAAGAAAACTCCAGCGCTCTCGGTCCGGCGCACCCTCGATATTATCATCGTCATCCCGCTAAATATGGTACACATGAAACAAAGGTCATAAACTTGGATAAACGCATCACACACTCCACTACGCACTAAGCGATTCCCTGCGACTCCATCCCCGAGATCGTGGAATATGAATACGGGAGATCCACCAATCCATCCAGAAGCCAGTTCAATGGATCGAAAACTTCATAGTTGGGCTCGATAAATCCGCTGGGTAAGGCCCCGACCCCACTGCTGGGTGGTACGCTGATCCCCGGTTGGGAAAGCAAAGGCGCCGGCGCGAGACTGGGGTCCGCGCCGGCCACCCCGGGCGTCGCGGTCGACGTGCGTGTCGGTCCGCCTGACGAGGCCGACGAGTCGGCGTTGGAATCTGGGTTGGTTGGATTCTTAAGACAGGCTGTAATCCGAGTCAGCTCTGGGTCACCCGACGTCCAGATGGAAACATACCTTCAATATTACGGCCCTTGGTCCGCGCATCTTCCCGCCACCGCCACACAGAGTCAAAGAGGAGGGACATGCTCATTCGGCACCGCACCTTCAGCATCAGGGAATCATCGACCTCACTACCGTCAGGCCCGAACTTCGGTGTCGGCGCATTCCCCAGTCGCCACATCTGGGCCAGGACCTCGGCCAGCCGCTCAGGGAGATCGTTGCTGGAAACCGAGACACCCCGAATCGCCCAGATGGTCCTGTTGAAGAGGTTCTTGGCATAGTCCATATCGATATGGGCCGCAAAGAAGCTCTTGCAGAGTTTCAATAAGGTACAACCTCCCGCGACCATCATCTGGTACACGTAGTACGGTGTGTACGAGAGCACTGGCCCAACTTCAGTCTCGAGGGTCATTGCTGCCTCAAGGAAAGTGGTGGCGGCAACGTAGAGCGAGAGAAGACGTTCGCGGTAGTTCTTGGCCGTAGTGTCGTCGAAGAAAGCCGACAAGTGGAGATGGAGATTCGATGCACGCAGGTATAGATCAGTAATAGCTGGGTATGTTAGAAAAGCCCTTTTTACGACAAGGTGGGGTGCCTTACCGTCTCTTTGAGGCTTGAGTTGATTTTCCAACTCATCAAAATCCCGAGAAAGAAAAGAGATCAACGTCGACCTCTCCTTGTCACTACAGAGCCCAACAGGGTCACTGCGGTTCGTGTACAGTGACTTGCTGATCTTGTCGCAGAACTTCTCGATCTCCAATCGAGGTTTCATGTCCTCCGGCAACCTGAAGTTCGGGTCCATGGACTCACTCGATGACAGTGTCCAGTCATACAGAGTAGATGGCGGCTGACCGTACCCAGTGGCGACTCTGCGCGAAATTGATTAGCTCATCAGGTCGTTGGGACCTCAATTGATGCTTCTTCAAAAGCGTACCTCTGCGCAACTATATTGCATACTGCCCACGTCCGGACCTTATCACGAAGCTCTTCCTCAATAAGCTCCACCCGGAACTTGCTGAAATCTTGTGTATGTGACGGCCGATGCAGACCAAGCTGCATGGCGACTTGTACCATCATTCCGCACAGCATGAACGTAGGATCGTTTGAGGTGCTACTCGTAGGGAACGGCCACGTGCAGAGCAGGCACAATGCTTTCACGACGTGGTAGCTCTGGGGGATGTCCGCCAGCGTACTCCATACCAGCCGTGTCACCGGGCCGGCCAGAGAGTTGAGAAGATGAGTGTCCGATTGGTACCGTCGGGCGCCAACGCTAATGATTGTCCAGAAAAGTAGGGGCGATGCATTATAGTAATCATCCGGCGATTGCTCGCGATCGAGGAACGGAAGGAATGGGTGGTAGAACGTGAAAAAACTGGTTTGGTTAGCCGCCGCGCGACGTTGACCAACAGCACAGACTTACAGATTGAATAGCTCTGTCACCCTCTCCGGCACCACAGCCACGTCTTCAATCCGTTTAAAGTGATGGGTGCCATTTCGCATATAATTACTTCCATCGAAACCCGAACGTAGGTCCAACAGAGATGCGACAGCTTCGTGCGAGCCCATGTACTGGTCGGTAGACATGGCTGAAGGTGTGTGGTAGACGCCCGAGCCAACCTGGCTTGGAGTTTCTTGCTTTGGCGTTTGCACTGCCGGCAAAGATGTCGGAGTCTGCTGTGGCGTGCTACCACTTGCCTGCACAGTAGCGATCTGCTTGCGGAGCTCGATGATCTCACGCTCCATCTCGGCATTGCGACTGCGCTTGCCAACACGCTTGAAGTTGGATTCAATCTTACAATCCAGTTTCAAACGACGACATCGGGAGCAGTCAGTCCATGGGTCTTGAATCACATCGCATCGAAGCTGCAAGGATGGTACTCTACATCAGTAAAAGCTTCATGGTACGGGGACGGACGCGACAGGCGACATACCTTCTGCTGGCGACATTCATTGCAAGCCCGCTTCACGGGCTGTCGCTTCTTTTCATCACGGTTTTCGGGATCTTCGACTTCGTCGATGCTGGCGGCGGGCGAGCTGTCCAACCCTGCTACAGCAACATTGCGCTTCCTGACAGGTCCCCCGCCATCGGACCCGATAGCAGGTGAGACGGATGGATGGTCGGCACCTCCCATTACGGGGCTGGAGGCAGCCGAAGCATTCTTTCTTGCGCTTGGGTCCAGATTGTTGCCCTGCACACCCTTGCCTCCGATTTCGCTCGGCGATCCTTCGAGGGAATCCAGACTGGTTGCGTGAGACCGATCAACGTTGGGCGGCAGTAGAGGCAATGGCGAAAAAAAAAATAAAGTCTAATAAAAAACCGATTCCACAGTGGCAGTCAACTGGACGACAAGAATGGCCACGTGCTGATTGGAAAGAAGGGTGAACGAATGAACGATAAGTCAAGAAATTTTACCCACCGGCTTGCACTTTCCAATGCAGACCCTGAAATCAAGTGGTGGAATGAATCACAGCGGCGGGGGTCCGCGAGGAGAAGCTGTCCGATCTCGCTCTCACGTGACACTCTTCTTGACCAGTGATTAGTCACGGATAAGTCAGCCCCGCCCCATCAGCAATGAATGCACAACTTGTTGGCATTGGCTTGGTGGAGAGGTCCAGTATGGGTAGACTATAGAGCCTTCCACTCCATTGTGACTCAGGACTCATCTTTACTATACAACAGTAGCAGAATCTCTGTGAGTAGCGAGTCTGTGGGCATCTACTCACTCTCACAGACCAAATCTCAGACCACAAACACAGATCATCTTCACGCACGGACACTGTGTCATGCTGTCCCGCCGGTCGCCCGCCGGTTTTATCAGAAGATCATATGAAGCTGACCCACAAACGAGACGAATCCGTGTGTTCGCAATGATTGACAATTCTACATAGATCATCCTCAATCACAGTCCATTAGGGTCTGTGTCCGAGTCGTATTGAGTCTGCAGAAACGAAGCGTTCACGACCTCCAATAGCACTTCGTATTGTCCGGCTGACACCTCGCCTTATTGTTTTACTTAGCAGCTAAACCACTATCGCCCACAGGGCAATCCTAGGCTGAGCTCTAAGTCTGCGACTTAGCACGGTGTTCTAGCGCCAAGTAAGCCTTGCGCTGCGACATTGCCTTCCCTGCAGTCGTCTATATTCAAGAGGATAGACCTTTCGCTCTGGCGCCGTGTCTGTCACTGTCTTGAAGCGATCCAGTCATAGCAGCAGGCCCAGTGTCAGCTTACGCACATTCCTCTCCTGTATGCCACTGTCGAGATAGAGTGGAAAAGGCCGCGGTTGCCCCGCCATTGCCCCGGTGCCATTGCTGGCCGATCATTCTACGTCCATTCCAATTATGTCAGACGTTCGTTGAACAACACGGACCTACAGATGACAGTATTAGAAGGAAGTAGATTCCGTCGTGAAATGTTTGAATATCCTTTCATATAACATTTCTTTCTATTTCATGCGTGACATGCAGCCAAGCTCATATTAATCTATTTCTGCCAAGATGGCTAAAGAAACAGACTCGGTGGGAGATCAACCGCCTGCATACAATCAACTTGACCAGTCGCACCTGGCATTGCCACCTCTAAATCTCACTCGAGATGCCGGACCACCTCAGTACACGACAGTCGCATCTGACCAGTGTGTTGCCCATCTTAAGCTGCTCGCAGCACTTGCCGATCTGCGCGACAGCGTGGCCAGCACTCGTGGGATCTTCGGTATCCAGGACCCTGATCCGGAGATCTTCCATCCAGAGTCCCAGGAGGCAAATGAAGCGTGGGCTCGAGTCAAGGAAAAGCGATGGGCAGTTTATACCACCCGAGCAGTGGACCGTTATGCAGCCTGGTGGGAATTGTGTGCGCCTGCTTCCATCGCACGGCCTGGGCTCAGCAACCTCAAGAACCCCAGCTACGGAAAGATAACGGACTGTGACAAGCCCCTGGAATGGCTGCAGGACAATCTGCCCCCTCTCGGTAAGACGAACCGCGTGCATTCTCTGCTCGTTTCAGGCCCCTGACCATTTCTAGACGTTCTGATGGTATGGCATGCACACATGCTGAATCCTCGTGCTTTTCTCGAGGACTGCATACGGCACGGGAAAATGAGCTTCTGGGCCAGCGGCCTTCCTTGGGAAGCCGTTAACGCCTCCATCGACAATGTATCGCTCGACTACGATGCAGGGCCCAACGCGCAGGAGACCTTTCTGCAAAAGACAGGTCACCCCTGGGACAATCTTGAGGACACATCCGACAAGTCGTTGACCTGCCCCGGCTGTGGAAAACAGGTCTTCGTCCCTTGGACAGACGGGGGCATGCTCCTTGCGCTGGACGACGCATTCGAGCACTGGCACGGCTTCGCAGACAGGGATTTCCGCCACTCATGCCCCCATTGCTCATACCGCATCGACCACGAGAGTCTCAAGATCGCCAAATTCTGCCGAGACATCGAATTGCTCGTGACGAAAGACATCCCGATGCCGGGCACCTACTACAACCTGCGAGGGATTCCTGAGCCCGCCAGCGATACGCGCCGACGGAGACAGCAGTTCAACTTCCCCAATCGTCTTCTCGAGGTCGTCGGCACTGATATCATCGACTACGCCAACCCTCGCTGGAACCGCGGTCAGAACCTGACCATGAAGACAATCAACGACTACCTCGGGGCGCAGATCCAGCAGAAAGAGATCATGTACAAGTCCAACCCGGGCAGCTGGCAGACGACGCTGCACCCAGAGGAGAAAGTCGCCTACCGGCGCATGATGTCGCACTACTGGGACAACAGCTCGCCGCTGGCGCTGGACCTGGTCGGGGCCGTGATCCGGCAGGGCACCTTCATCCAGAAGATGGACCAGATCGACTGGCTGCACTCGCCGACGCTGCAGTCGACGATGGACCGGCTCATCAAGAAATACCACACCTTCTTCAGCATCATGTCACAGAACCCACGGCGCATGGCCGTGCCGACCCTAGACGTGGACCTAGCCTGGCATACGCACCAGCTGACACCAGCCCGCTACTTCGCCTTCTCGACCCACCGCACCCGCGAAGACAGCGCCGGTCAACCCATCCTGATCGACCACGACGACAAAGTCGACGAGACCAAGCTCTCCGACGGCTTCGAGTGGACGAGCAAGGCCTACAAGAAACTCACCGACGGCGAGATCTACAGCGAATGCACCTGCTGGTACTGCGAGGCCGTGCGCGCCGCCACCGACTCCCCCATCGCCCTCCCTCCCTTCTTCCCTTTCTCCTCCTCCACCTCCTCCCGCGCCCGCCACGCCGCTAGAAGACTCCACGACCGCCCCGACATCTCCTCCGACCCCAGCAAGAACCCGCACGTCTCCGCCCACAGCGCCGTCCGCCCGCAAACCGCTGACAACACCAAGACCAACGACAGTAAAACCCGTGGTCTGGATTCCCGCGAAGTCAAGTTCCTGAAACTCCGTCAAGATTACGAGAAGGCGCGTCGCCGCGCCGAGAAGCGCGGCAGCAAATCTAAGGATGGGAAGAAGGATCCCGACAATAAAACCGCAGTGGACCCGGTCTACGGGTATTATCCTCTGCTGTGGGGGTATCCCGTCTACGTGCCGTTCTATGCGCCCTACTCCTGCGACCCTGGCGTGCATGCCGATGCGTATGTTGCGAATCCTAGCTGTATGAGTTTCGTGGAGGGAGTGCATGGGAATTGTGCTGCGGGGACGTGTGGAGGGGGCGTTGCGGCCGGGAGTTGTGGCGGGATGGGCGGGACCGGCGGTGGGGGTGGGGGTGGTTGCGGAGGAGGAGGAGGAGGAGGAGGAGGCGGCGGTTGTGGGGGTGGTGGTGGCGGGTGTTGACTTAGCGATGTGTTTGTTGTGTTCTTCATGCCTTTGATATGATTTTTTTTAGCTTGTGAGGCTGGCTGGTCAATGTTGATGATTCCCACGTATACTGAACTAGAGTCTGACGGTTTCGATGCTCCATGAAAGCGTTTCGTTTCATATGCCCGTAGGCAACTGTCCACTTTCTAGTAGACGAGGTCCTTGCTTGGGCGTTCTTCACCCACGGCAAAAGCAAAGAACCCAGATAGGTTGTATAAAGGCTCATCAGCGCTGACGAGCATCGCAATCTACCAAAAAAATACAAGCCAACTTAATATTTGTAACATGCAGACCATGATCCCAACTCTAGAACAATAGACACCACGCCATCGCTCTACAATCCCGAATATGTTCCTATCAGTCTATGTACACTCCAAATGTTCAAAACCAAGGATGCAACAAAAGAAGAAGACCAAGAAAATCTTCAATGAGGAAGAAAGGGTAACCATGCTACATCACAATGCACTTGCTTCGTCGTTTACTCCTCTCGTAAATGGTTTGTTCATTCCACTCCTCTATGCGCCTCCGCCACTGGTCATGTGCGGCCGCTTGGGAGCTTGCAGATAGCGTGGGGTCGGTCGAGGCCCGGTGTTGAAGAGGTGGGATACCCCCAGGCGGAAGTCGAACCTCCTGGGATTGTGGGCGGCGGTCGCCGATATGGTAGGGATAGCTGGGACGAGTTTGACTATCTTGAAGGGCTTCTGGCGCGTCGTACTGAAGGGTTGATGATACTTGGAGGTTGGGGGAGGAGATGGAGTACTGGCGGGTGTTGCCAAGTTCCTGTTCGGCGGGAACGGAATCCACAAAGTCGACGTGGGCATGTATGAGAGGTTGTTCGGGCGAGGCATTGGAATTGCTGGCTTGGGGGTTTGACGGGAACAAAGATGGCTCGGTGATGAGGGGCAGCACAGATCGGGCTGGTTGCGCGGAGCGGTCGGGGATACTCTCCAGCTGGGCTTGTCTCCGTGGTTCAGCCAGATCTTGAGAGGGCGTTACCAGCGGTGCTAGCCTGTTCAAGCTCTCGAGGTTCTGCGGAACGCCAGTGGCGGAACTTCCTCTCCTGCGCATGAATGTGCTGTGTCTTCGTACTCGCTCAGGAGATACCGGCTCCCTGGTGTTGCTTCGCATTAGGCGAGAGGCAAGCCTGGAGCCAGCGATGCTATTCAGTCTCTGCAGCGAAACGCGAGATGACGATTCCTCGACCATGTTCTGCAGGTGACTGGGTTCCAGACGCTGGGCTTCGGCCAAGGACTCCCCATCTCGAGTGATCGGCTCTGATCTAGAAGGTAACAAAGTTCTTCGCAAGTAATCAGGAAGAGGCGCATCTGGCACTTGAGAATATGGCGGGGGAGGCGGCACCCAGTTGTCGGCATCGCTTTCATGAGGGACCTGGAAGCCCTGAGGAGCTGGCCTCGGCTGTTGAAGGGGGTGTTGTGCATCACGGAACTGGGTATAACGTTCCCTTGTGTTAGCTGCGGCGGTTGCAGCACGCCGCAGTGTATCGCGCGACCGCGGTTGCGTATTGTCGTACGGGGACTCGGGAATGTGATATCCATCCCCATTCGAAGAACTGGAGAAAAAGGAGCTGTTACGGCGGATGTTCGGCCGAGAAGGGTGGTGCACAGAGTTGGCCGACGGGTATGACTCCCTAACAAAAGCCCTTGCTCGCGGCGAGGTGGCATTTGCACGATGTATGCGAGTCCTTCTCCTTTCTAGTTCCACCTCGGTGTCCAGACTAGAGTCTGGCTCGCTAAGCATCTTCGGTTCCGCATCACCAACCTCAATACTAATTTCGGTACAGTTCCCATCGCTTGCTGATCGCGCGAAGTCCAGCAGAAGAACGCGTCCACCATCCACCGGCACATCTTCCTCGCCAATCGTGGGAGGACTGATGCCACCCGGCGCGACGGCCACTAATCGGCGGCGTTCGGCGATAAAATCTGGGAATTCTACCCAGTGAGCTGCCGTCATTCCCGGCATATCACTGATTTTATGACCCTTGATAAGAACTTTCGGTTTGGTGATAGCCCGCTGCAGTCGAGATAAGCAGTCCTCACCAGGTAACGCGCCTTCCTGTGCCCATTGGTCTAGCTCCATATCGGACCCTGCCGGTGGCCGTGTTCTGGTCGCTACAGGCGCGATATCGAGACGATCAGGAATGCCATACACCCAAAGACCAGATTCCTCGAAGCCAGCCGCAACAAGTTCTCCCATACCGTCAACGGTAGGTAGCATGATGGGAAGGGACTCTTGGGTGCCATCTTCGGACATAGGCGTCACAAAGTAGGTTGTGCCTGAGCCAGTATTATTGGCCCCAAACGCTCGGAGTGAGTTGATCTGTTCGTCAAAGCCCAAGATCCAGCTACCTTCGCCCTCAGAGTGGAGAGGGAGCATACATGCGCGACTGAATCCCGAGGTAACATCTGGGAAGAGGATTTGGGTGGTCCACATCCGTCTCTGAACATCTCTGAGAGAGAGTTCGGGCTCTGATTCGGCGTAGAAAGGTACTGTTATGGTGACCAAACCGCTATTCTGAGGATCAGCGGATGTGCCGAGAAGCATGGCCCCATCTGAAGAGAAAGAGACAGAGTCAACACCAGAGCAGCGCACAGCTCGTCTTTCAGTGGCTAATACCCCTTCTCCGATTGCGTGTACTTCAATCCGATCATCGTACGCGATAGCAAGCACGCCTCCCGTGGGAGATAATGCTAGCGTCCGAGGAACATCGTTCAATGTCAGGTCTTGGACCAACCTTGCTTCCTCGCTACAGAGGTTGTATATATTGACGCGATGGCTGGAAGAGACCACGGCGAGCAGAGACCCATCGTCTATGATCGTGGCATGTAGTGGACGTCTCCAGGTTTTAAGTTCATGCTTCACTGAAGCATGGTTTGAGGTGACATCAAGGACAACGATTCTAGAAGAACTGATACACAGAATTAATTGGCCGCTGGGTGAGAAAGAGAACCGGAAAGCTTCGCCCTGCGGAAATGCTGTCGATGAACTCATCGAGGTCGATATCAGCTTGATTAAAGTCTTGTGAGGTCGCAAGAAGGTCTCAAAAGCATTTCGTCTGATTTGGGTGCAGAACAGTTTCTTGAGGTGGGTCAGATCGCATGGCTGAGATGGCTCGGCGATAGCTTTCTGAGTTAGAGCAAAGGACGGGCATTGGGCTAAATGATGAGAATACAGCAGAGTCGAGTCGGATATCCGTCTCCACTTCCGATTCAGCAAAGAAAGCGATGCGAATGTGTTCGCATCCGCGACGACGAGTATACTGTGTAACCAGTTAAGATCGAAACGCATATACAGCCAAGCGCAGGTGAGAGTGTTGAGAGGAGAGCAGCAGGCTTCCACCGTCCCGCCAGCTAGAAGGCAATACTTACTGTTCAATAACTGTGCGAGGTAAGCGGGCAAAGGATGGAGAACTTTGCTCGCCTGCGAGCTCTTTCTCCTGCTTGGCCACGCACTGCAGCTTAATCAAACATGGTGGTGGTTGTCGCTCATCATCGTGATGGGGCCCTTCGAGCCGCTCAGCCAAAGGTAATTGGACATCCTCATCCATGATCAACGATGACCAACCCATGAGTGTCTACATTTGTTGAACACAAATGCAGACAAATTTTTTAAATCAATTGCACCCATACAGCATCATGGCGGAAAAGAAAGATATAGGGGGAGTAGGCAGGATTCCGAAGGCACCTGGCAGGATTCGAGCTTGGGGGGGGGAGGAGTGTGAGTGGAAAGCACGGGAAGCGCCAACTAGCGACTCGGTGGCTGTGTCTTTCCAAGCGTAGACACCAATGCAACGATGATCGTCTGGCCCAGTTTCAGTTGGCAGAACTCAATCAGACAAGGCTAAGCTAAAGAGGCATGGGCAGAGACAGCAGAGTCCAAGCACTGCTGCATGAGCTAACGAATCAATCAACTGGACTTAGTCTAAGTACAGTACTCAATAGAGTAAGTAAGAAGTAAGTGACGAGGTTGAACTGCACGCGCCAGGCGGGGAGAAGTGAAACAGAGCGAGTCGATGCGGTGCCTGAGGAGAGCCTGAGGGGAGCCTGAGGGGAGCCTGGGGAGACCTTGTCCAGTCCCGTTTGGGTCTAGTTCACCGATCTAAATACAGTCTCCGATTCAGGAGCACGTGGTTGGTCGAGTGGCTGACTCATCTATATTTCTCCCCCACAACTTCACAGCAGCCGATAAGAAACGAAGATTTTATCGGCTTCGGTGGAAACGCAAGGGCTTATAATCCCGCGCTGGATGGACAAGACCCCAAAAAATTGAACCCGTCGCGCATCGCAATGCCTGCTTGATTTGAACGCTGAGGGATTATGCAGTACTTGGCGCAGCTTCGCGACTAACCTACCCCCCTCGGTCCAATGCTTTCCCCTCTTGCTCTCAGAGTCATTTAGCTGGGTGCAGCGCTATCTCCCGATCATCGGTGGCTGGCCGAGAGCCGATCCTCCACCACACGCTTCACACTCGCCGGTCCAGTCCCGCCCTTGACTACGATTGTATGACTTGCGCCGCGTTTAATTGACGCACGAGCGATTGATGATCCCTCCCAAGAACTCCCGATAAGGTTACATTTCGTTGAGGCTCATCATGTCATCCACGACAGCCCCGAGTAGCTCCATCCAGAAGCTCGCCTCTCCGGGATTTAATGCCGGAGCCAGACCCTACAGGTCACACAAAGTCAGGGCATGCGATTTGTGTAGGAAGCGCAAGTCTCGATGTACAGTGGATATACCCGGCCAGTCGTGCCTTCTGTGTCGAGTGCAGGGCGCCGACTGCCACTATCAGGAGGACTCCAGCCAGGATCCTCCGCTCTCAAACGGCCATGAAACCAAAAGATGGTCGGCAGATCCCGCGCAGGTATCGACTATTGGCCAAAAGCGCAAGCGCAGCTCAGAAGTTGGCTCTCCGGCCAGTGTCAGCCGCCCACGAGCGTCCAGTGTTCCTCAGTCAGATTCCCTAAGTGGCCACCGAGGAAGCGAATCCAGATTCGACGATCCTCACAATGAGTCTGTTCTCATAGTCGGACCTGTGGTAGCCGATGATGCCCAAGTGATTGAAAAGTACATGCCTACCGAGCGGACCAGCAAGTCCGTGGAACCGAAGAACAATACATATAATGTCTACTCGAGCGATCCGAGAAAACCCATCCTTTACACAACCGTTTCACGACGGAGACAAGGCATGCGCGTTGGTATCCCACCGGGTGAGAACCAGAAAGAGATTCTGGAGCAAATCCTGGGGCCCTTCAAGCACGATCTAGTCAGACTGTATGCCTCTCGTTCATCTGGAATCGGAAGTGGGTGATGTACTAAACTTTGAAAATAGGTTCATTGACCGGTTCAACGCAGCATTCCCAATCTTCGATGGAGAAAGTTTCTGGGAGGCATTCATCTCAGAAACACCCGGTGACCCACCGGCCTCGCTCTTGTGTCAGGTTTATTCAATGTCTTTAGTATATTGGAAGCACACCCCCAAACTGGCTTGTCATCCCAAACCTGACGTCCGATATGCCGTCAACATGACAGTGGCCGCTCTACATGAGGAATTCTCTGCTCCTGGTCTGTCCACAATCAGCGCAGCTCTTATCGATTTGACCGGTCGCCCGATCTTCTCCATGACTGGCAATGCGATCAGCAGCGGTCGTATGGTCTCTCTCGCTCATTGTCTTGGACTCAATCGCGACCCCAGTCATTGGAAGCTGTCTCCGGCTGAAAAGAACCATCGTATGCGCTTATGGTGGGGGGTGGTAATCCATGATCGCTGGTAAGTATCGTATCCAGTAGACAGGAATACTCACTGACAATGTCCCAGGGGGAGCTTCGGCCATGGTGTACCGCCTCAAATCGCCAAGAACCAGTACGATGTGCCTCTTCCGACAATCGATGTATTAATACCGGCAGCATCTCGCACCCCTGAGCGCGTGAGAGCCGCGCATTGTCATATCGCGCTGTGCCAATTGACTGAGATTTTGGGAGAGCTTCTGCCCCTTGTCTACGGTCTCCAGCATCGATTCCCGCGTGAAACCACCAAAAAAGTGCGACAAATCCGGACGGATCTGGATGTCTGGGAGGACTCACTGCCTGACTGGCTGAGAACGCCTCCACGTACCTCGGAGGAACGCATCTCCGGCACAAGCAGTCTCCAACTAGCCTTCCTGGCTGTAAAGATGTTGGTGAGCCGAGTGGAGCTGAACGTGAGCAATATGCCATCCGACAGAAACTTCATCTGTCCGCTCAACTAATGATTTCTAGGAGGTCAACAACTCAGAGACGGAGAACCCCGAAGCTCGCCGCTACTTTCAGACCGAATGCCGCAAATCAGCGGAAGAAATAGTGCAATTCATCTCATCCCTTCGGAAGGAGAATTTCCAAGAATTCTGGCTTCCATGTGAGTCCATCATGACTTCAACCGAGTCTCTGCCAGGCCGGTGTTCCAGAACTGACAAGCACAAAAATCAACAGATAGCGCCTTCCATCTCACAACCACGGCCACGCTTTTAGTCCGCTGCGCGTTGGAAACCACCGACAGCGAAGTGGCGCGGTCCTGCCTCACCAACGTCGAGACCTTCCGCGCCATCCTCCGTCGTGTCCGCGAGGATGAAGACTGGGACGTGGCCGACATGTGTCTCGACCACTGCGAACGACTCCTCAGCCGTCTCCCCGGCGGCAGCAGCAGCAACCCGGATTCCAACTTCACCCACGTAGGACCGACCGACAACCGCCTCGTAAACCCGGCCGCCATCTCGCTGCCCGAGACACAAACCAACAACGACATCGTCGACGATATGATGTCGATCTCTGGCACGTTCGGCACGATGGACGGTTTCCCATTCGATATGACGGGGATCTGGGACGTCTCGGTCTTCCAGGACGTCAATCTAACGTAGCTTTGGGGCATTCTACTTACACCTTAATATGTGAACATTTGCTTCACTATTCTTCCTTGCTCATTCAACGAGGGTTTGGGAACTACAGCCTTGATTTTTTGTCTTTCAACACTATAGAGTCGAGAGTGGGCGTGGCTGGGCGAAAGGGAGGGAGGCTTTTTGTTCGCTTGAAATATACCCATTTAGGCAGTGCATATTTGTATGGCTGCTGCATTTTCTCTTTAGAGAAGAATCAATACGTACAGTTCATTGATATCATCCTATCCAACAACTTTTTCACAGCTCTTTTGAGTTTGCGATTCGAAAATGTGGGTTAGACTGGAAAGGTTGTTGCGAAGATCTATATATATCCGCGAACATTAGAGATGCCCGAGCTTGGGCGATACCGCACGACAGCACTAAGACAATTAGTAGGACTCGAGCACACATTAAATTCAGAAACAGATATGACATTAAGATTTTCTTCCCAATTTATACAGAAACCTCCCTCCTAGATGGACGACAATAAGAAAATGCTATTTTACAAATCAACCTGTGATCAAGGCGAGAAGGGCAAAAAAAAAGCCCCTCCTTCTAAACAAGGAAAAACGAAAACCCCGGTCCCGAGAACAACAGTAAACAACAGTGTACCCTAGGTATACGTAGATTATAACAATGTGGAAGACATGACGAGGAGGAGAGAGGGGGAGAGAGGGAGAGTGAAAAAGAAGACTGGGCGTTCACACTTGATGCACATCATAACGGATACACATTCAGTCTTCGAGGAACGGACAAAGCAAGTGATAAATTGGTTGGGTTTTTTTTATCTTTACTGCTTCTTGTCGCCAGCACCGAACATGCCGGTCAATGAGCCCTTCATCATGGCCATCTGTTCCTGACGAGCTTTCTCCTCCTCGGCGGCCATCTCGGCCAGCCACTTCTCGCCGTTCTCGCGAATCTCCTTCTCGATCATCTCGTAGTTCTTCTGGCCACGCTCGCGGATCTGATCCCAGAGCATCTTGCCCTGGGCCAAGCCCTCGGAGGGGCTCTGCTCGCCGTCCAGAGTCCGGTTGGACTTCAGGCCCAGAGCGGAGGCGAAAGTGCCCAGACCGCTGCGTGGGCGGCGCTTCTGCTCCTCGGCGAGTTCCTGCTCGAAGCGCTCGCGCATGGCCTTCTCACGCTTGGCGAACTCGACGGGGATGGAGGCGCCCTCGAAGGACTTGAGAACCGGGCGCACATCCTCGACGCCCATACCGGCCAGGTATTCCAGGAAGGGGATCAAGGCAACCAAGGTCTTGTCCTTGGGGTCGCCGCGCCACTTGTCGAGGACAATGGCGTTCTCGGGCTGCAGGCGGGCGTGTTCCTCCTTGGTGTCGATGAGAATCACCTTGGAAAGGTCACGGTTCAGGTAAGACAGATCCTAATTGAAGTCGGTTAGTGGTTTGAACAGTCAAATGCCAAGCGGAATCGATTGCGTCATACCTTGATGTATTCGCCGTCCTTGTATCGGGTGGCCTCTCTGAACAAGGGCCAGCGGATGATACGGTAAGGGTCGAGTTTGCGGAGCACCTGATCGGCCATCATACTGGGCACACTGGTGAAGAGGACGAGCTCGTAGTACTGGTTCAGATAGCGGAGGAAGTAGTCGACACCGGGCCGCTTGGCCACGCGCCAACCGTGTTCACGGCTCCACTCGCTGTGCACTAGCAAATCCTCCAGACTCAGCACCAGAGTGTAGGGCTGGCGCATGTTGGGGTCCTCGTCCGGCAGCAACTTGGGGAAGGCCGGGTCCTTGTAGTAGCTGGTGATGTCACCAAGACGGGCCTTGGCGCGGTTATACCACAGGCCCAGTCCCCAGCCGGACGGAGTGTCCGGGTGAGCCTTCTCTTCCACCTCGTTCTCCCAGTTGCGGCCCAGGTAGGCTACACCACCAACACCGGCCAGCAAGAACATCGCGGATACCAGGTTGGCCATGCGGGCGCGCTTGCGGTCGAGGGAGGAAGTATAGTGATCCTTGTTTCTATCGCCGCGACCCTCATCCTCAGCGTAGTCTTCGGCGCGGGAGGGATCCTCAGTGAGGTTCAGAGAAGTCGATGGGCGGCCTGTTTGGCGAGCTTCCAACTCGGCCGCGAGGGTGGAGGGGATGCCCTGGGTGAGATCGGGGAGGGGCTGACGAGGGAGTTCCTTTTCGGGAGCATGTGATTCGGGCTGAGAAGTTCATACTGGTCAGATCAATAGGCACAGAGGAGATTAGGGAGTAGCGGCAACTCACGGAGGTCTGTTCGGAAGAAGCATTGCTTTGCGGGTCGGCCTTGGTATCAAATTCGACCTGCTCTGCCGAGTAATCTTCTTGTTTGTCTTCTTGCTTCGGCGCCTTGGAGGGCTTGTTCGGCTGCGAGGCTTTGATGGAGTCGGGAAGTTTGTAGGATGGTTTTGGTTTACTGTTCTTTGCATACCAGCGCGCGTGAGGAAGTGTGACAGTGGAAGCACGGACGGTCGTGGCGAGGACGTTAGGCCTCGTCAGAGGCAGTACAGCACGGCTAAGCATTATGGGAGGAGGATAGAGGAAGAGAAGATTTAAAATAGATAGAAAAGGACAATTTACACATGCGCCGCGTAGCACAGCACACGGCAGCCGACAAGGAAACCGATGTGAAAGAAGTGAATGAAATCCGGTTCAAGAGTGGAAAATCGGCAGAGGTCGGCGGCGGAGAAGTCGAAGGGCAAGCAAGCTCCGTCACTGGAAAAAGTTCAAGGCACGGACGGGCCTGCGCGGTCCGGCGGGCGACAGAGCCCTGGAGCGTATTTTTCTGCCTCCATATAAAACCTTCCGCTTTCTGCCAATCTCTCTTACTCTTTTTCTTTCTTCTTTAACCAAATGAAAGTTGAAACCCAGTCCACAAATTTGACCCTTCAAGCCTTTTTTATGCATGCCGGGTTGTATTAGCTGGGGAGACCAATGAAGTTTTGCTTCAATCCCACACCCAAGAGCCGCAGCAAAGGTCTCCTCTGCAGCTGCAGCCCCGTTAGTGGGATATAATCCTTTTTTGCCTCCTCGGCTAAGTAGTTGTCAGCGCTTCGATCCCCAACTTGCACCCGCTTCCATCCGGGGCATGTCGTATTAATCGCTACATCACTTCTATGAATCCAGCCGTTTGATGCAACGATGGATGACAGAAGACCGCATTCTTTCGGTTAAAGATTACATCTGCCATATTATCCGTATCGTGCCGTATAACTTTCTTTTCCCCGGCCGCAAAAAAACCTTGAAAGAAGACCGAACCACATATCTCGCCTTCACGCAAGATGACCTCGTCCCTCTCTAAGGACTTGGAGAACTTGAGCCTGGGCGGTCCGCCGCCGTCCAAGGTCTCCAAGAACCTGCGACCACAACGCAAGAAGGGCAAAGCGCCCATCGTGCCATTCCGATTCTTCGACCTCCCCTCGGAGATCCGTCTGCGTGTCTACCATTTCGTGCTCTTCACGCCACGCCGCCGCCGGACGATGCGCGCGGCGGGCAGCGTGGGCGCCTCGTCGAAGAAAAACCCGCCGCTGGCGCCGGTGTCGCACCGGATCGCGCTCTTCCTCGCCTCGCGCCGCATGCACGACGAGGCCGCCGACTACTTCTACTCGACGCAGGTGTTCCGCCTCTTCCACATCCAGGATTACTCGAAGATGCCGACGGTACGGGCCATCGCGCCGCAGTACCGGCCGTCAATCGCCACCATCGAGCTGATCCTGGGGTCGAGCTGGACCGCGCCCCCGTCCTCGTGGAAGGTCACCGCCGCCCTCGGCCTGGAGGACATGGTCCGCATCCGCACCCTGAAGGTCTTCCTCGAGGTCGACCCCTCGCATCCGGTCTTCGAGGGCTTCCGCATCTCCCGCGACTTCTACACCGATTTCTCCGGCGACCTCCTGCATGAGGTCCTGGCCCGGCTGCCGAATCTCGAGTACGTCGAGTTCGACGGCTGGCCGTCCGTACGGAAGAGCGGCGCGCTGATGAAGCGGCTGATGCACGAGGCCCGTGCTGCGAACAAGAAGATCGCGTGGGGCCCCGAACGCGGCTGGACGGATTACGACGGCGAGGAGTTCGACGAGGACGCCTACGGTCTTAAGGCGCAGGAAGCCAGAGCGGAGGAACACAGGGCTGGTCAACTCGCTCGCTTGAGGGCTCTCATGCCGGCGAGCTTCATCCCCGAGGCCCTCATGCCGGAGGCGCTTATGCCGGAGGCTGTCTCGGTCATGGACTCATGACGAGAAAGACACGACCTTATACATACACATACACATATATATTGTACGATATACGCCGATTGGCTGCGGCGAGTCGATGCTGTGGGATGAACCTAGTACATACAGGCATTCTTTGCATCATAGATTAGATATATCTAGATTGATTAGCGATGCCTATGGTTTACGAATCGAAGAACTTTATTCATGTTTGACATTGAGTTTTCTGTCTTCTAAGGCGTCTATACAACTCACATTGCTCGATTGTAACGTTAACGTCATTCGTTGGTAGTAATATCAAATCCAAGACCTAGACTTGATTCACCGTCTCCGTACAGAAGCCTGCCCCAACGAGAAGAAATTCACTTTCAACCCTAAGATGCATTAAGAGACAGGTATTATACGTTTATCGGATGCTTAATACATGCTTAGAGCTCCTCGTCCACATCCATGCCCGCGCCACTCTGGGATTCGTTACCATTAGACTGCCGTGCCACGGACGCCTCCTTGTCGATCATCTGTCGGGAGACCGCGACGATGTTATCCTCGATCAATTGCTGACTGACGTCTTCGATGTCTGTAAAGATAGTGTTAGTCTTGACACAAACGACATGCATCCGGGTTCGAACTTACGCTTCTTCGGGTCCACCTTTCCAACATATCTCGTCTTGAGCTGATCCTTGCTCAGCTCCGTTTCCTCCTTGACCCGCTTCTCATAGCCCTCCGCCAGGCTGACGAGCTGTTTCATGCGCTCGACGTTGTGCTCGCCCTCGTCGTGGAAGTCCTTCATCTGCAAGGCTTCCGTCCAGACGTGCTTGTGCAGGTTCATCAACATGTTCTCCTCCAGACCCGTCTTGCGGTAGTTGATCGCAATGCTGTAGTAGTGTCTGTTCAGGCCGTGAATCAGGGCCTGGATGGAAGGCTTGTTCAGGTGACCCAGGTTGGATGTGGTCTGACGGGGCTCCTGGCCCATGACGACGGTCTGAGGCTGGATGAGACGGAAGGCATCGATGACGACCTTGCCTTTCACGGACTGGATGGGGTCGACGACGACGGCCACGGCACGGGGAGTAAGCTGCTCGAACGATTGTTGGGTGTTGATATCGACGGACGAAAGCCAGCAACCGAAACCAGGATGGGAGTGGTACCAGCCAACGACGGTCTCGGGTCTATGGACGAACAGTTTGTCAGTTTCCAGGTGGTCGCCGTGCAGTTCTCGTCATGGTCTTACCGTCCGGTTTGCCGCAGCATGTCCATCATCTTGGTCTGGAAGACAGGATCCACCGCCTCGACACTAACTCCAGTACCGCTCTGAGGCATAGCGAAGACATCAACCACCCGGACCGTGTATTCATCGACGAATTCACCCAGCATGAGACCCATGACTTCCATAGGAACACCCGCCCGACCATGCCTTAACATCTTCAGCAGAGCGAGTGACGAGATGTGGACGGTTTCGGAGTTATCGATCAAGTTAGGGGTATCCTAAAGCATCCATGGTCAGCCACCATTGTCAATGCCTCTCTGCAGGGAAGGTTGGCGATTCCGCATCCTGGCGGGTACGCGGATGACGGGCGTATGATAGCCTGGGGAAGACAGCAAGCGATCGGAGATGGGAGACTCACACCACCGGGAGCTCCTCCACCCATACCCATGCCCTGGGCTGCCTGAAGCATTCTATTGAGACGGTCCATGATTGATGGGGGGATGTGAGTTGAGGAGAGTTAGATGGAAAGACGACAACGGATGACTTCCTGGGCGGAAGCTCCAATAGGCACGAGGGTTGGAGGAACCGAAGGAGTTGAAGCTACAGAAAGGTGCGGATAATATAGGCAAAGATGACTAGCTCTTAATCAGCACGAAATGGTTCAAAAGAGGCAAGAATGAGTAGCACGAAGTTGACGGGAAGATGAGTGGTGAGCGGCGCAGCTCGACGTGAAGCCGTTGGTCGAGCTTCCAAGAAGCCTGACGAAGGCGGTGGAGCAGCTCGGGGTTCCCGCCCGCCTTTGCGTCTCCCCTTCCCTTCCCTCTCTTGTTCCCCATCATTTATCGTTCGCCCGCCATTGGGAATGCCTCTTGTTTGTTCCAACCTCTCAACCACAGTCAACTTGCTTGGTTGATTGACGAAGGGATACCTTCTGTCACTCAGACTTGGCTTCTGCCTTGGCCTGGATACACTTCCCTGCTCACAATCAACCTTTACAATCAACCTCCGTGCACACACCGAGAAAACACCGTGCTGTCGATAGGCTCGCAACTGTCAACCTGCGTGAGGATTCGTCTCGTGTGTCGACACGCTGACTTCCAAAATGTCGACTTCCTTGCCTCCTCTAGACCCCATTACCAACGGGGCGGGGGATCGCGGTAAGAAGGTCGCCTACTTTTACGACTCGGACGTGGGTAACTATGCCTATGTGTCGGGACACCCTATGAAGCCCCATCGTATAAGGATGGCGCACAGCTTGGTGATGAACTATGGTCTCTACAAGAAGATGGAAATCTACGTGAGTCTAACTGGCATATTTTTCTTTCTGCCCAGGGAGTACTAATCACGAACTCGCCACAGCGTGCGAAACCGGCCTCCAAGTACGAAATGACCCAATTCCACACCGATGAATACATCGATTTCCTTTCCAAAGTGACTCCGGACAACATGGACTCGTTTGCCAAGGAACAAAGCAAGTATAACGTGGGTGATGATTGTCCTGTCTTCGATGGGCTCTTTGAGTTCTGTGGTATCAGTGCAGGAGGTAGTATGGAGGGTGCGGCACGGTTGAACCGGAACAAATGCGACATCGCAGTCAACTGGGCTGGTGGTCTTCACCACGCCAAAAAGAGCGAAGCTAGTGGATTCTGCTACGTCAATGGTGAGACGAAGGAAGAACATGAAGGTAATTTCGACGTTCGCTGATTGTCTTATAGATATTGTTCTCGGTATCTTGGAGCTGCTGCGGTTCAAGCAGCGCGTTCTTTACGTTGATATCGATGTTCACCACGGCGACGGTGTTGAAGAAGCGTTCTATACTACCGATCGTGTCATGACGGTCTCCTTCCACAAATATGGTGAATATTTCCCGGGAACTGGTGAACTCCGCGATATTGGCGTGGGCCAGGGCAAGCACTACGCTGTCAACTTCCCACTTCGCGATGGTATCGATGATACTTCTTACAAGAGCATTTTCGAGCCTGTTATCAAGAGCGTGATGGAGTGGTACCGGCCTGAAGCTGTGGTCATGCAGTGCGGTGGTGACAGTCTCTCTGGTGATCGTTTGGGCTGCTTCAACCTCAGTATGCGCGGTCATGCCAACTGCGTAAATTTCGTCAAGAGCTTTAACCTGCCAACTCTTATTCTTGGAGGTGGTGGTTACACTATGCGTAACGTTGCTCGAACCTGGGCGTTCGAGACCGGTGTCCTTGTTGGTGACAATTTGGCGTCGGAACTTCCCTACAACGACTACTACGAGGTGAGTCTGGCTGTGTAAAACTTGCATAACCTAGCTAAGAGATGCAGTATTTTGCTCCGGACTACGAATTGGATGTGCGCCCCTCTAATATGGACAACGCCAACACCAAAGAATATCTCGACAAGATCCGAACGCAAGTCGTTGAAAACCTTAAGCGTACTGCTTTCGCGCCATCCGTGCAAATGACTGATGTACCCCGGGAATCCCTTGTAGACGGTATGGACGATGAAGCGGATGCGATTCTCGACGATCTCGACGAGGATGAGAACAAGGACAAGCGATACACGAAGCGACGCTTTGATCAGTACATCGAAAAACCCGGCGAGCTGAGCGACAGTGAAGATGAAGACGAGAATGCGGCCAACGGCGTGCATCGCAAGCCGCAATCGCTGAAGCGAAGGAACCAGATTAACTACCGGAATCTGGATGTTGCTGACTCGGGGCCGGAGAGCGGCATGGCTACGCCCGTTGACGCTTCTTCGATCCCAGATGACGACATGGATATCGCCGCTGATACGAAAATGACGGAAGCTCCGGAGCCAGAGACTGAGGCGCAGGCTTCGCCTTCGGTTGGTGACCTCCCGCCCAGGACCGAGGCAGTATCCGGTGCGAATGCTAGGGAACTGGCACTCGACGGACCAGGCGACCAAGCTGCTCCCTCGGCTCCCCTCTCCCTCCAACCATCTCCGAAACCTCACGATGAAGACACGGCGATGGAAGATGCGGGAGATGAGGCGCCGGGAACGGAGCAGGCCGAGAGCGCACCAGCTGCCGGCGAAGCAGAGAACAAGGGCCATGAAACGAAGCCCAGCGAAGAGACCCCCGCAAGTGCTGTACCTGAAGGTTCTTCGGCGCCTGCCAAGAGCCATTCACCGTCGACAGAAACTAACCAGCAGCCCGAGACCTCCGAGGTCGAAAACGCTAAGCCAGCAGCCGCATCCACCGAAGCCAGCGCATCGAAGGAAAAGAGCCCCGAGACTTTGAAGGATGACTCGACAGCCGCCAAGGCCGAGTTTGAGTCCAATGGCGGAGCCAAGGAGGCCACGAAGGAAACGCAGCCTGCCGAGCCTACGAAGAGCGAGGACTAAGGGCTCCTGTAACCTCGGGATTGCTGGCGTAAGGGACGGGCAGTAATGGTGTTTCTGGTTGCGATATTCTGCATGAAAATTAGGTCCAACATATATCTCTGTTCTGATTCACTATTGCTTTTATTTTCTTAGATGTATGTACTAGGCGAATGCATGATAATACAGTATGAATATGGGTGAGCTGAAGGGCGCTCGACAATAAGCTTACTAACTGTAGTGTATGCTGCGCTACACAGGGTGAGGCAATAAAGATAATTTTATCGCTCACAGCGAATATGTGGCAATCTGGGCAGCTAACCAGCGCCATTCTCTACAAGTAAGTGCATTATTTCTGGACTATCATACCTCTTTCGTAAGATAGTATAGTCGGTGGTGGTTAACTCAGGGCTATCTACGCCTCACCCTAACCTTACTATACAAACCACGCTAAACCCAAGGCAGCGAGGGGAATCACCTGACCCAGCAATCAGCCCAGCAAGCTAGCCCTAGGGCATTTCCGCCCTCGACCAATCAGACGCACGCCGCCAAGATTTCTCCCACTGAATGCGCGCACACTAAGCGAGGATTCGACCGACCGCCCGACCGCCCACACGCCCGCCGTGCCCCCCCGACGCCCGCCCGTGAGAAAGAAGCTGAGTTCGACCTTGTTGTCGTTGTGTCCATCGCCCAATTCTCCATCTCTCCCGACAACCCCGTGTTTAGAGATACACAGCAGCCAAGATGTCTCAGAGACCGTGAGTTCACCTTTTTTTTTTTTATCTGTGATTTTTCCTAGGGGACGTTCGTGAGGCAAGGAATGTGCATCGCAAGAGGAGGAAGAAAAGGCTCCCGGACTTGACAACAACCGACAATATCGAACGAAATGCGTGTGTGAACGGCTGGGAAGATTACCGACTTGTGGGAGGTTTGCGGTTGAAACCTGTCGCTGGACAAGGGCGAGCCAGATCCCAAGCAAAAAGAGCTGGAAACGATTTTTCGAACCTCTCTTCCACGACTCCGATAGGAGGTCTGGTGCAGAGTTCTCCCTCAGACTAGGAAGAGATGGGGTTTACGACAAGTCCATCGATTTCGACTTTCAATATCGCCACCGCAGTATCGACATCGGGAAAGGGCCATCTAGAAGAAAGGATACAAGGATGCATTGAAGGATTCGAGACGGGATCAGATCACCTTTATTGCGAACCTCCGCGAGCTGACATTTCCATCTTATAGGCGTCCCTCCGGCAACAAGCTCAAGATGACCCTTGGTCTTCCTTGGTACGTGTGCATCGAACTCCCATACTCCTTTATCAGTCGATAAAAAAAATCGATATCACCACTACACCATCACCTACACCAATACATTCATCAAACGGCTCCAATGCAACATCCGCAAAACCCATTCGAACCACCACACTCCCTCACGATTCATGATCCGAAAAACTAACCAATCCTCGCAATACAGTGGCGCCGTGATGAACTGCTGCGACAACTCCGGAGCCCGTAACCTGTACATCATCTCCGTCAAGGGTGTCGGTGCTCGCCTGAACCGTCTCCCCGCTGCCGGTGTCGGTGACATGGTCATGGCCACCGTCAAGAAGGGAAAGCCTGAGCTCCGTAAGAAGGTCATGCCCGCCGTCGTCGTCCGCCAGAGCAAGCCCTGGCGCCGCGCTGACGGTATCTACCTGTACTTCGAGGACAACGCTGGTGTTGTAAGTTTTCTCGTGCCTCCTGTCCGCCTATGACATGAGGAATATCGCGCACGCAAATGCTGATTTCTGTTACCTAGATCGTCAACGCCAAGGGTGAGATGAAGGGCTCTGCCATCACCGGTCCCGTCGGTAAGGAGGCTGCTGAGCTTTGGCCTGTAAGTTTCTCTGTATGCTTCGTTTTGGATGGAGAAGATGCTAATACCTTACCTCCTTCTAGCGTATCGCCTCCAACTCCGGTGTTGTCATGTAAAAAAAGCCTTTATCTATATGCGGGTGTGTGACAAAGCGGATTTGGGGAACGATACCAACCTCGGAATCATGGGTGTGCAATTTTTCAAATCTATGACCTGAAATAAAATGAAAATGAATTCATTAAAAAGTTATCACTGTTTTTGTAGATTTATACGCTTATTCTTGTAGTGGTTGGATTTGTAGATTTGGCGTGATTGTTCCACTCAGAGTGGTATATGGATTCGATCATCTATGCTTGATATAATTCCTTATATATACTCCGATTCTTGGATGGAGTGTACACCTCTTATGTCTTCACCTTAGTTTGCGGCCTGCTGCTCTTCTCCGGGACGACGATGACCCTCTGCTTCGACACGGCAGTCAAGAGCATGGCCACCACCGCGACGAGGACGGTCACCAAGTCCACCACATGCACCGCCCACCAGATATGCTGCACGCCGGCCGCGCACATCTGGATCTCATACTCCCACTCCTGCCGGTCCGCGTCGAACCACACAGACAGCAGGCCCGCGTACCCACCGTATGCACCCATCATCGACCGCATGGTGACCTCCCGGATGGAGGGGGTCGAGGTGTCGGCGTGTGCTTGGGCGGAGTAGCGTTTTGCGTCCCATGCCCAGTCTTTTTGGGTCTGCTCTGCTTCGTTCGAGGCCTCCTCCTTCTCACCCTCACCCTTGGCGTCTGAATCCTCCCCCTGAGCATCCCCCTCAGCACCCTCCTCCTCCCCTTCCCCATCACCCAGAGCCACCCCCCTCCTAACAAAATGCAAAACATCACACCCCTCATGATCATGCCCCGTCAAAACCAACCCCTTCCTCCCCCATCCACCACCCTCCACATCCCCCTCCCCACTCATCCCAAACACACCCTCCAAAACGCCATTGCCACTCACCCACTCACTCAAATGGTTCTGCTCGCGCAGACCGCCCTGAAACCACCGCTTTTCCTCCTCCTGGGCGTCAATATCATCCTCTTCAAAAAACCGAAAGAGCGGCGCATCTACACAGACCCCTTCCCGCTTATGCAACGGGAGATGTGTGAGCAATAACGTGAAGGTTCGACGGTCTGTCACGGGGGCCAGGCGCTCCGTGATCAGGGTGTTGAGGTACTCGTAGGAGGCAGTTTGGATGTCGGGGCTATAGGCCGGGGTGTCGAGGGTTAGGGAGTTGAGGTTTATGATGTGGATTCTTGGGGGTTGTAGTTCATTTGTCTCGGGGGCGGAAGAAGAGGAGGTGGTGATGTTAAGCCAGAATTTCACGTCCCAGTTGACGAGGCCGAAGGTGGATTCGAAGCGGGAAATGCGTGAGGCGCGCGCATCGCCTGCGTAGCCGATGTCGTGGTTGCCTACTATATTCAGGATGCGGTTTGTCCAGGCTGAGGGTTGGGTTGTGGGGTTCAGGGCGAGGGTGTTGTCATCAGGCGAAGATGATGATAGAGGAGAAGGCACGAATGAATCGCCCCGGACCCCGCCCTTGAATACTCGCTCCCAGTACCGCGTGCCCCGTCGTTGGAACTCCTCGTCGCTGACCCATTGACTGCCGATTAGGTCGCCCAGTACCGTGACGTGCGTCGGCTGCGTCCACCAGTGTAGCGTGCGGTAGATGTGCGCCAGGTAGTAGTCGTTGCCCAGGAGGTCCAGGCGTTTGCGGGCTGCTTTTAGGCTGCGCGGGAGGTCGGTCTGGAGGAGGGTCTGGAGGGCCGTTGTGATGGCTTGTTGTGTCGCGGGGAGGTTGAGCTTGAGGAGGGGGGCTCGTTCTGAGAGGGTGTTGTTGGTGGTGGTGGTGGTGGTGTTGTCGGGGTTGGTGGTAGGTTCCGAGTCGGGCGAGGAGGTCTCGCTAGACGGAGATTCAGAGGTATCTGACTCAGCAGCAGCAGCAGCAGCAGCAGTGGTCGAGGTCGAATTCAGAGGAGAAGATCTTGGTGCGGTCAAAGCAGCCCGGATCTCCCCCCAGTGGTGTCGCAAACGCGCGGACAGCTCACTCTCCGGCTTGGGTAGCGAGCTGTCTCCCTCGAGTTGGGGATCTGCAAGGACGAGGAGCCGAAGGGGTGCTGCCGGTGCGGGCTCAGCGTCTATGGGTATATGCTGTTGCAAAGTGGCTAGAAAGGCATCCGAGAAAGAGTGAGAGTCATCATGCGGCAGGGGAAAGGCGCAGCCATGGACGACCGGATACAAGTAAAGATACAGGCTGCTCGTCACGGCCAGCGGGACGAGCAGCACCAAAAGACGGCAGAAAAGAAATTGAAGGAACATTAAAGTAGAGTAAAGGAGTGTGATTGAAAAATCGAGGCATCAGGAATAGGCATGATTGTTGGGGGCGTGAGGTTGCTCTGAAGAAGGTTGTTTGTTGGCCGATGCGGCGGGAAATTGATGGGCCTCGCGTCTCGGCTCGTCGATCCTCACCTCACCTCACCCCAATCAAAATACTACGGAGTGCTTGAGTACTACTGGCAGTGACAAGGGACTTCGCTGAATAGACAACAGACCATACAATAAATCATTCAAGATCAACTATTATCTAAACAGAGTATCGACTCATCAAGCCTTGCGAATTGCCTCAATCCGCTTTGAAAAGAATTCCAATGGGTATATCACATCAACGCCAAGCGAGCTCGCCGTCATTTACTACAAGAGGATATTAAAAGAAGGAGGGGGGGGGGGGGGAATAGAAGGGTAGGAAAACGTAAACTCCGAGCTGCGTCACTGTGAATTTCGGATCGACTCCGGAAGTAAGGACGCCGGGCCAGTGTCGACTTCTCCCAGAGGATTCGATAGTCGGGAACCCTCCTCATTGCCGTCGCGGCGGGCAGGCTCCCCATCAAAGTCGAGCCCCTTGATCATTAAGCCTCGTTCTTCAGGTGCCTCAGATGCTTCCGGCGTCTCTGCTGCTGTCTCCGCTTCGGTGCTCTCCGATGGTGTCTTCAGCGACGCAACTTCTTTCTCCATCGCCTCGGGCGGCGCACCATCTGCTACTCCAGCTGCCGCTCCCGCCATCAACGCCGGCGGCCGCTGGTTCATCAACTGCGCCTCCTTCAAACTGATCGTGCGCTGTTTATTCGTTGTCTCGACTGGCAAGTCCATGTCCCGTTCAATGGTCGCCTTCATCAACGCGGCCATCCAGCGTCGACCCTCCTGTACGTTGTCGACTTGAAAGTAATGTACTGCCGGCTTCGTGAACTGCACCGTTCGTGACGAGCCCGACTTGGGTGGAACCAATTTGAAGAAGAACGGACCCTCGTTGCCAGCCTTGCTGACTCGTGGTGCCTCGGTGGTGGGGATGGGATCGGTCGAAGAAGTCCCATCAGCCAGTTGCACTGAGGGAGCAGGCGCGGTGGGCGATCCGGTCGATCCAGTGATTGTGGCATGCAGCGCAATCATAGGGTCGTGGTCGGCGCGCAGAACGCGATGCGCAGTGATATCTATCAGACCCCGTTCCTCCGTGTCTTGTTCCGAGTAATAATACGACAGCCGGCGACCCCGCAGCACGAAGAGCCGTGGCTTCCACGTGGTAATTAGGTTTGGGGACTTTTTCTTCATCCACCCAACGTAGTCGCAGCCAGTCATCTGCTCCTGCGGAGATTTCTTCTCTAAGCCACGCATATAGGCACTGGTATCCTTCTTCGATTTGGGCCCAGTCTTGACGGAAGGCCGGGAGCGGGGCCACAGACCACCCTCTGTTCCCTTGCCGGAGCCGTCCGTGCTCAGCCGTTCAGAACTCTTAGTGGTCGAAGGAGTCGTGGAGCCAGTCCTGGCAGGAGCAGGATCTCGGTCCCGAATTGGCGACGGCGGCGCAGCGGTCTCTGCGCCCTTGTTCACCACATCAGACATGGCTCGAAGACCTACAGCACGAAAGAACTTCGGACCACCGATCTTAGCCGTTTGCTGCGACGAACGGGATGCATCGTTCTCTGACTTCCCACCAAAGAGCGGCCCGAACAGGCTGGATCCCCCGGAACGGTCTTCGATCGCGGAAACCGGAGCCGACTGCGGCGCTCGTCGATCCACCAGACGGGTGCTGAGACTGCGAAGGCGTCGCTTGGGCGCGGGTGCTGTGTAAGACTTGTTGGGCGGGGCAATGGGCTGCGCAGCCTTTTCTCGGATCGAGTCCATGCTGCTGATACGTGAATGTCGCTTCGCAACCCGCAGGGGCTCCCCGGGAACCGGCGAGATGCGTGCATCGGCACTTCCAGTCGCGGATTGCCGTTTCTGTAGCAATCGCCGGTTTTTGCGAGTGTCGCCCTCGGGGCCCGAGAAATAGCCGCGATCGAGGTCATCCCGCGTTGCGGCTACTGCGTCGGAGCCATTTGACTCGTTTGGATGATGGCCAGTTGGTACAAATCCCGTCTCGAAGGCAGGGGAGGTGCCAGTCGAGGTGCCGGCAGATGTGCCCGGCCGCGTGGGAAGCCGTTGCTGGGGTCCCGTAGACAAAGACCATGCACGGTCAAACGAACCACGCTGCGTGGGTCCTGGGGAACCATCGACGACGCCCGAGTAACAGGTGGTTGCATCGATTGACGAGTGGCGGCGCGAATGATTGATTTCCCGCACCGACGCAGCGGACGGGCGGCGCGAATGATCCATATATGGGGGAGTTTGCGGCGGAATCGGAGAGCCACTGCTGCTACTGGAGACCGTGTTGCTGACAAGCCTGGGATGGGGCGTATTCGAAGTGCGCAATGTCGGAATGCGCGGTAGCAATGGGGCCGTCTGCCCAGTTCGACTACGTGTGCGCTCAGGGGAACTGGGACCTGCCGCCAGCGAGCTGCGCGGTTGGGAGGGCGATACTGCCGGCGATTGGGGCTTGCGGCCGACTTTGACTTGATCCTGGAAAGTGCGGATCTTGTGCCAGGTCTTCAGGCGACGGCCCATAACGCCAAAGTCAAATTCCTTCATGAAGAGAAAATCCTGGTTCATGTCGAGCAGCACGTCGCCGCTGATCTCCTGCTCCTCGAAGATGTCACAGTGCCTGTCTTCGATGCCCAGCTGGCGCAGCTGGCGGGCCGCGTAGGCGGGAGACCAGCGTCGAACCTGGGCCTCCTGCGGCTGCCGCTCTTCTTCCTCGTCGGTTTCATGACCATTGATGTACGAGCGACGGTGATCGATATGGCTGCTGTACTCGCTGGCGGAGTCGTTCAGAACCGAGAGCTCCTGATCAGCCACACTATGGCGCGGCGTACTAAGGTCGGTGATGTGCTCATCAATTACACTCAGGGTCTCATTCATGACAGGGCTATCTTGGCCGTTGCGATGTTGCCCCTCCAGCGCCTGACGGATTTCAAGGGTCATCTTGGCAGTCGGCAAGGGGGAGGAGGCGGAACGTTGTTGTGGCTGCTGCTGTTGCGGGGGCGACCGCGGCACCTCGGTGGCGCGTAGGTCAGAGATACTGGTATGGCGCGAAACTTGAGGGGTGGATTCGCCGCTCTGGGGGACTGTCTCAGCATCAAGCGTAGTGCCATCAGTTGCTGTCGGGTGCGCCGCCGCTGGCTGCTGCTGCGCCGTCTCGGTAGAAGGGCGAGTGCGGATCTTGGGAGCGGCGGTAGTGTACACTGCAATGATTCATTGTTAGAACCGAACTGTCAAGGGGCATGGGTGAGCACCAGTTGACCTACCACCAGGGAAAAGACCAGTCGAACCGGTGGTTAAGTCTTTGCCCAAATACCAGCCATCTCCGAAGCCCTCGTCCAGCTCAACCAATTCGATCTTTTCGCCGCGTCGCAAAGTTAGTTCGTCGGGGCCGCGGGCATCGAAATCATCTGCGCGGATAAGTACGGCAATTCGAGATAAAGCGAAGGATACTCACGGACGACAAGTAGGAGATCCCCGGGGACAACATTGCGGGGAGGAGCGGCGAGGGCCATTGGGGATGAGAGGCGAAATGACCGAGAAAAAGGTGGGGGGAGGAGGAGGAGGAGGAGGAGGAAGTGAGACTCAAGTGCCGGGCATGGGGCCGCCGCCCAGATTAAAGATGGTCTAGAATGAACGGAGGGATCGAGGAAGCGGGAAGAGGAAGTATAAGTAAATAAGCTTGAAGGTATGGACGGAAAGCCGGAGGAAAGACACAGAGAATTAAGGTAGGGCGGAAGGAGAGTTCAGTTGGACTGAAAGAACCAGTCAGACAGAGAGAGGAGTCGATGATGCAGGGTGATGGCAGTAGTGGGCAAAATGATGTCGATCAATTGGTGGTGGTCATTGCCCAGGAGATTGCAGCTAAACAGAGGGCGAGGGGGGAATGGACAGTTGACGGGGAGCTTTCTTCGGAGGATAGGTAAGAATAAGTGATTTGTTACAAATGAGGGACACGGAGGAGAGATGATAGAAGAAGAAAAGAAGGAAAGAAAAATAGAGAGAAAGAAGAAGAATGGGAGAAAAGAAGAAGCAGCAGCAGAAAGAAAGCGAAAGCAAAAGCGAAGTTGGCAGTTGAATTGGCAAGCGTCAAGGCGGACGAACCACGAATCGGAGCGGGGGAATGAACGGATTCTGTGCTGGTCGGGCAGAATTAAGATTAATCTGGATATAATTAGTAGTATAGAATGATGGGTTGATGGGGGAATTGGGACTAGTTAGGACTAGTCATAATGTTGTTGTTGTTATTGTTGTTGTTGTTGTTATTGTTGCTGTTGATTTTTAAGAATTTTGTGGGGGGCAAGAGAGAGAGAGAGAAAGAGAGAGGAAGAAGATGAGGATGAAGAGGCAAGTCCATACACTTACCTTAAGAGGTACTTGGGAAGTATACCTACTGCCTCTCTTTTCTCTCCTCCCTTCCCTTTCCTTTCCTCAACGACTGACTGCATTCAAACAATCCCATTCATTCCCATTCTCCAACGCTCTCTCTTCCTCTCCTCCAATTCCAATAATCCCCCACCACTACCTTCCTCCCACTGGCTCACCTCCAATTGACAGGTCAAGACCCTCTCCGAAACAAGCTGTGCATTCGGGCGATGATGGATCGCATTCAGCCCATTGTGATGTATCCAACCCAGCCTGGTCGGGGAATGTTCGGCCAATATTCTTTACTCTCTCGGCAACTGACTCTAGTTCCCTAGCTATCCCAAGCTACCAACGACATCCTGGTCGTCTTGAAATTGGTTAAATTACTTATACGCCGCTATCTACCTAACTACTGTGACTACTGCAGTAGTCACAGTGCAGTAGTCACAGTAGTTGGTTAAGTGCGGCGTAGTCTGACAATCTCTTCACTTCGTATATCTGGAAATTGCTCCAGCTCAAATTCTGAACTCTATTCCAATTCCTGATTCATTCACTTTTGGAACAAGCTCTTGACAGTTTCTGGTTATATTCACTGACTGAATGGGGGTGTTCCTTCTCTGTTTGCTGTCTTGATCGAGATTATTGTTATTGTTGTTGTTGTTGCTGCTGCTGTCTCTCCCCCTCCTCTTTCTCCTTCTTTTCTCCTCTCTTCCTCTTTCTTGTTAAAATAATGACACTCTGGATGTATCCCATGAGAGACTGAAATGAATCCCTGTGATAAATCAAACCAGAAAGTCCTGAGCATCAAGATGCACCATGTCTTCCGCGAATCAACCCGCACTCCAGTCCAGCAACTCCACCGCCCACATATTTCTAGGCGGCGCCCGACCGGCCTGGATGAATGCCTTTCCTTCTTCCTCTGCTGATTCACCCCCAGGTGCTTTCCGCACACGTCCATCAGGCTTGCCGATCGTTCCTCCTCCTCCTCCTCGTCCCGCTAGAAATCTTCCTCCGCCGCCGCTGCCTCCGCCGCCGCCTCCTTCATCGCTGTTCCCAATACCCATACAATCACCGCCACCACCTTCAGCTTCAGCTCCGCACCTGCCTCCTAGCCCTGCGAAATTCCTTCGCTCAATTGCTGCTCGTTCAGCTCCGCCCCGAGCTCTGACCACGCCCTTAGATCTATCACAACCTCAGCCGTGTCTGCCTCGGAATGCGGCCGGTCCAGCGCCTGTGCCCGCGTCGCACCCTACGCCCTCTCTCCCCCGGGCCATGACGCCCTCCACAACCGACACTCCCACGGAACCCCCCAGGGGGCGTACCAAAGCTTGCTTTCGCATATCGGCCGGCCCGGCGTCTGTATCCTCGTCACGCCCCGGGCCCTCCTGGGCCCCGGCCATGACGCCTTCCACTACAGCGGGGACTTCCACACAAATAACCCCGCCCACCGGGGCCAGCTCTCGCATACCGAACCCCGCAGTAAGGACCACAGGGACTGAGCCAGTCAGTGTTATCCATAACCGGGACAATTTCTCGGGCTACCCGCCTCGACTCATTGGAGATCCCGCGTATTTTTCCGCCGCGTACGAGAAGTGGCAGGCTTTCGACTCCGACCCCTCACGACATGCAGTCGGATCCGTGGCCTTGGAGAATGCCCGCATTCGTCTGCTGCGCGATGCCCTGCAAAGTCAGGACATCATCTATCTCGTGATCCATCAGTTATACAGCCTGGCTACCTACGCCCCTGCGGAGCTATCGCAGCTGCGGGACTTCTCGGGATATCATTTCGAAGGCTTGAAGGCACTCGGCCAGCTGCTCGTCGAGAATGGTCTTCTGTCGCCGAGATTCCTTCAATGGGCTGTCTACTTCCCAGAGCCAGTACCGAAGATGCTGTGCCTACCATGGTGGTCGGCGGCTCTTTCTCAGGCCATGGCTGCTTTGGTCCTGCTCGGCCGGCGCTGGAATGCCTTCGAGCAGCACATCCGTGAGCGAGGTCTGCCACCTTTGGTTGAGGAACTAATTAGCAATTTCGGCTTGCGCTCCCCTGTGCTGCATCAGACTATCTTTCTGGCCTTGACGCGCCGTATCCCCCACCCGAACAAGCAAGAAGGACGTCTGTCCGAGATTTTTCGGCATGACGCTGCCCTGACAGAGGACCGTCTGGCCCTCGCGATGACGGAGGCCGTCCCCTTGTCACGCGCGTGCATGGAAACCGATATGATTCTCACCTTGTATCACGTTAATATGGGTTATCCTCCCACAAACACACCGCCGTCCCTCTTTGGCTCGCCATCCATCGGTGCCTCGGGTCCCCCGCATCCGGGTAAATTCATTCACTCGCCGGGCAGGCCAGGAGTGTTACCATTACCGACCCCACCTCCCGTGGGCCTTCTCTCGCAAATTTCACCGATTTCACCGATTTCACCTGCTGCCGCTGTATCAGCTCCGCAGCAACCTCTTCGATCACCCGCCTTGACACCCCCCATGGCTCGTATGTCCGTCACTGCGCCTCCCCCACGTCCTGTTCCTGCTCCTACGGTGACACCGCCGACGCAAGCCCAGCCTCGACCTCGTCCAACGCCTGTGCAGGCTGAGGCTGCCCAACAAGCCATTCTAACAATGCGTCAAACCTCACGGCCGGGGCTGCCTTCTTCGACACCGCGAAAGACTTTAGCCTCAACACTGCTCCTGCCTTCGCCCGGCAAGACCTTGTCAGCCAACACCATGCCACCACATCCACGGGATGCGTTGCACCAGGCCCATCTTCGTGATCCAGTTCACCAGCTTATCAAACGGGGACCGGCTGGTGAGGTTCAAGAGGCAATGCTGTTCCAGTATCTTGACTCATTTGCACTCACGCCGACGCCATTGGGCCGCTTTGAGTGTCAGTTTCACTGGTCCTTCAATCTAACCCAAGAGGATGCGGGCCGTCTGCCAGCGCCTGCCCAAATGAGCTCTGGCGAACTTCCCCATCATGTGCGCGTTTTAATGGATGGTCAGCAGCTCTACCGTCTGCGCTGTGTATCTGTCTCCCCCAAGTCAAAGCTCCCAATTGATGAATCTACTTGGAGTCTGGCCGACTGCGTCTGGCCCAGCGTAATTTATATTTTCGTCAATGACACTGAACTTTTTGTACGTCGGAAACATCACCATGCCAAAGACCTACCTCTCGACATCACTTCCCATCTGCGCCCGGGCGAAAACAAAATTTCGTTGCACTTTATCCGTGATGCAGACGAGCAGAAGGACAAACTCTACGCCATCGCCGTCGAGATCGCTCAGATTTCCGCTCGCGAGTCCGTCATCGCACTTGCACAGACGCTCTGCGCAGATGACACCCGTCGTCGCATTCACCAGCGTCTCGAGGCGGCCACCAGTCATGATGACAATGATGATGACCTGCACGTGGTTAGTGATGACCTTGTGATCAACCTTGTCGACCCCTTCACGGCTCGAGTGTTTCAGCAACCCGTTCGCGGACGATCTTGTCTCCATTCCGAGTGCTTCGACCACGAAACTTTTATACACACCCGCGCCGCCACCTCTGGGCAGCGTCCCTTGCCCAATGATTGGCGCTGTCCAATTTGTCGTCTTGACGCCCGTCCACAAATGTTGGTGCGCGATGAGTTCATGGCTGACGTGCACAAAGAACTGCTACGCACGAATCAGCTTCATGATGCCCGCGCCATTCGAGTCGCTCGCGATGGCTCTTGGACGGTGGTCACGGAAGCAGACCTTCCGACTGCTAAGCGCTCCTCTAGGGGTCTGGACAGTCCTGTCCCCAAGAGACAAAAAGTCGACACGCCGGAAACAGTATCCCAAGTCACTCAGACAGTAAGCGAAGCCTCGGCGGTCATTGCCCTCGACTGAGGCCCTGGCGCATCATCTGGGCCATTTCCGGGGATTAAGTTGGTGGATAATACAGCAGGGAGCCCATCTAAATTCATTTTTATGATATTGGATGGTGATCAAATTTGAGCAATGGTGCTCTCGGTATTTATTTCCGCCTTTCCTTGACTCTTTTCACTTTTTTTTTTCTTCTTGTTTGTTATTTTCTCTTAGCGTTCTGAGCCAACGAATCTCTTCTTCAACGATACCCCCACCCTTGTTTCTCCCTGCCTATTTTTTTTTTATTTCCCATCTCTGGATGAGAATGGAGTTGGGATGCTGTTGCTGTGGATATGGTCCTTGGTATCAAGTAGATTATTAGATACAGAATGGATGATAGATGGACCTTCAAGTCTTCTAATATGATTGCTGCTGACCCTGGGCACTTATGGCCGGTACCTATAGCATGTAACCATAATTCTCCTTCCGCACATAACAGGTTCAACAACGGACGTCGGCGTGAATTTAGAAAGCCGTGTCCGTAAGGGACCCAGACAAGTCTTCGGGTTCTCCCAGCAGGTGATCGGTTAGTTGGAGTCGACCGGATGCGTCCGAGATCAAAAAGTACCGCTATCGGTCGCCGAAGAAATAGTAATGTCTTATTCAAGATCATATATAAGCTGCACCCGGAAACACAGACATGTGTTCCCCAGGTTGATAGAACCACGAAACCAGCACCACACAACAATAGCCTATCCCTCTAAGCAATTTAGAAAAGAGGGATTGAACTGATACCAGAACCACCCATCCAATAGAAGAAGGAAAAAAAGCATGTATCAGGTATATATCATATCATTACCAATTACAACTTGTTTGTTCCCTTACCCTCCGCCCGTCCGCAGCACCCTATCCATTGAGTGTAATCCGTCTGTTTTGCTCCCCTCCTTGTAGTGACATTATAAGCTATAAATAAAAGAACGGACAGCGAATCGGTCGTTCCCCACCCCCCGGGCGCCGTTCCGTTCGAGTAAGGAGCGAAAAGAACCAGAACTACTTGCGCACTCTCCTTGCATGGCTGACTAGATTCTCAATCACGCCTTCGAATGCCTCCTTCTCACTTACTAGCCCGTCTAGCCGTTTCAACCAGTACTCTAACACCGAGCTCGCTCGCAGTGTCACCCATTCTAATTCCTGGACATGGCCCTTGAGTTCCCCGTCCGTCAGACCGCCTAGTGCCGCGTCTGTCGTGGCGCAGAGGCGGCGGACGGCGGAGAGATCTAGGTCTGGGGGCGGGGAGGCCTCGCGTCGTCGGCGGGCGGCGCTGCGGGGCGTGCCGCCTGGGCTGCCGGTGCCGCCGGCTGTGCTTTGGGTGCTATTGCGGTTCGCGTTGGCGGCGAGGCTCTGGGAGCGAGAGTGAGAGGTTGCGTGGGTTGGGGTGGCGGTGCCGGGATCTTGGGAGGTGGGATTCGGGGTGGCGGTTGAGGAGGTGTTGGAGGAGATGGTGAGGGAGGGGAGGACGAGCTTCTTTTGTTTGGATGCGGGGAGGATCTCGTCTAGGTCGACGGGGACGCCTAGCGAGACGAGGAAGAGGCGGCGGATGCGCGATTTAACCCAGTTCTGGGGCTGGAGGGGTGGGGGAGCGACGAGTTGGGACCAGAGGGAGAGAGAGCGTTCGGTGCTGAAGATGGCGGTAGCGTTCGGGATCGGGTCGAGCTGTGAGGATGGTAATGATGTCGTGGAGGGGAAGAGTTGATCGAGAGGGTCGTCTAGCGCTGCGTAGAGGTCGGGGATGGTTTTGTGGGTGGTGAAGTCGAGAAGCGTCGGCTTTATGAGCGTTAGCAGGCATTCATCGACTGAAAAAGGTTGTCACACATACAACAGAGGGCGGCGTGGGAGGTTGCGAGACTTCGGTGTCGACAGGAACCGCTGCACTCGGCTCCTGGAAGCCGTCGTCAAAGTCCCCGAAGTCCGCGTCGTCGAAGTCTCCCATGTCGTCTTGTCCCTCGGTGAAATCATCGAAGTCGTCTGCACCACCCCCAGGCATTTCTTCTTCCCCGAAGTCTTCATCGGTCACTGGGGATTTCCGGCGGGTGTGACTTCGATGGCTTGCAGGCGAGTCTGCATTGGTCAATCGTCCCTGAAATTTTATGCTGGTGGTTAACAGAAACCCGACTTACCTGGGGGCTCCGCCGCGACCATTTCCGTCTGATCCGGCTGAGGGTCACTGGGTTTGGCCCGATGAGCGTGTGGCCGTGCTTCTACATCATCTGCTGACACTTGTGGTGATGACTCTTCGTCGTTTGTGTGCGAGTTGACTCGGGACAGCAGCGTCTCGGGCGCGGCTGTATCGGTAGGAACGGAAACCGACTCGGGGATGGGCGCAGCATCCGACTCGGATGCTTTCACAACGACGTCTGGTACCGCATCCGCTTTGCGCAGCTCGTAGGCCGGAGTGCCAGGTATATCCCCATGACTCGGTTGGTCCAGATCCACCTTCTCGACTACCGTCCGGGGAATGGGCGAACTGGGCGTCATCGGTCGCTGCTGCTGCCCGGACATCGAAGTGCTCCGACTGCGGGACCCATCAGGGATGACTTCGACCTGATCAGGAACCGCATCTTGAGTTCTAATCTCGTAGGCGGATGTTCCGGGGACTTCGCCATGTGCTGGATCCTCATCGACTCGTTCTACTCGTGTAAGTGGGATAGGGGATGATGCGCGGCCGGCGGAGGGGCGGGAGGAAGGGTGCTGATGACCTTCGCTGGCATCAGAGAAATGCTCATCGTCGCTGTTGGCGACTGTTCAAATATCGAAATTGTTAGAAGTTTCTGCGACCAGGCCCAGTCCGAATTGCGAGGATGGTGGGTTGAAGAGAGGCTTACCGGAGTCCCGAGCACCGGGGTCTTCCAACTCGACGCTCTTCCTTGGGGGCTCCAAGTATGGACTGGATGGACGGGAGAGCCGGTCCGACATTTGGAGGGGGAGCGTTTAAGCAAGATTCCAATGGTAGAGCATGTATTCCTGAAATTTGTTGTTTTTGTTTTGTGGATAGAAGTCAGGAGACAAATGGGATTGAGGCGAGTAGTAGCCAGACGAAGGATGCATGAGGTCGTCCAGCCGTGATCTTCGGGGTCGATGTGAGTCTCGACCGTGACCTGAGGCAGTAAGACACAGGTGCTCTTGATGCCTGATCCCCAAGCTTGTGGCCTAACCGCCAGCCGCGACAAGCGCCTATGCTGCTTCCTTCAGCCGCCCGCCCGCCGCCCAAAGAGTAAAGGCGGCAGAAAGTCTGGAGATTCCCAGCGTCCAACCACCAGATCGTTGATATTATCCTTTCTTTGCTTGTCAAGCACGCGGATTTCGCTCCCTCAGTCCGATCAATTGCGCATTTTGCTTTCCCGAGGGCGCTTCCGTGACCTCTCATCGGGCGCAGTCAGTATCCCTCTGTCTGCTGGACTCTTTTCATCTTCTTCACTCCCGTCTTAGACTGACTTTGTTTTCTCGTCCCTCTAGGGTAGCCCTGTCCATTCCATATCCTTCACTCCTCCTCCATCGCCATGAGCATGTTTTCTTTCGACTCCAACGCCAACAGCGGCGCATCTAAAGGCGGCCTATTTGGATCTGCCGGAGGCGCAAATGCTGGCACCCCCAGCGGTGGTGGGCTCTTTGGCAATGTAGGAGCTACCACGACAAGCGGCTCATCTACACCTCTGTTTGGAAACGCTGGAGCTACCGCTGCCAACAGCAACACTTCACCCTTCAGTTTCGGCGCTGCAAGCAAGCCGGCAGCCACGGGCCAGTCGACGCCTTTGTTCGGCTCCGGTGCTTCTTTGACACCAAACAAAACGACCGAAACCCCCAGCTCGGGACAGCCTGCTACGAGCGGTCTTTTCGGGAACAATGCCCCTAAGCCCCTCTTCGGAAACAATACAGCTACTCCAGCGCAGCAGGGAGGAGGTCTCTTTGGGAATGCTTCGTCCACCACGCCTGCTGGGCCACCGCCTGCCACCACAGGCCAGACGCCTTCTCTCTTCGGAGGAGCTCAGCCAGCACAAAAGCCCGCCAACTCTCTCTTCGGAAACTTGAACCCAACTCCCGCCGCCTCCACGACCCCGGCTGCCACGTCCGCCGCCAACTCGGCGACGACAGCGGCGACGACTACCCCTTCGTTGTTCGGCAATGCTAACGCTACACAGCCGCAATCGACCGGCGGCGGCCTTTTCGGGTCAAATCCGGCACAAAAGCCATTGTTTGGTGCTGCCCCGTCGGCACCCACGGGTGGTGGCCTCTTTGCAAACGCGAACAAAGACAAGCCGGCGGAGTCCACAACAACGACCCCTGCGGCTACCACCGGTGACAATGCCCCGAAGTCTCTCTTTGGCAATGCTGCTCCGGCTGGAGGCGCCGCCCCTGCTTTCAAGCCACTGACCGGCGCTGATGCGACAAAGCCCACTTTTCCCTCGCTGGGCACCCCAACTACCAGCACCCCATCTTCAACCACACCCGCTGCTTCCTCTTCCACTCCTCAAAAATCACTGTTTCCCACACTCGGCGGAGCTACCTCATCGGCCACCCCCTCCACCACCCCAGCTGCTCCCAGCGGCGGATTGTTCAACCTTGGCGGAACTACCGCGACAAGCACGACGACAACGACACCAAGCACTACTGCTACTGCTGCACCAACAACCACTCCAGCCGCTGCCCCTGCTGCCGGTGGGTTGTTCAGCAAGCCTGCTGCGACCCAACCCTCTACCCAACCCGCTACCACATCTGCGACTGCCGCAAGCGACAAACCCGCGACGTCGACCACCATGCCTGCAACAAGCGCCAGCGGGCTTGGTGCTTCCACGGCCGGTCCCACCCCTCCCGCCCAGTCCCGCCTCAAGAATAAGACTATGGACGAGATCATCACTCGCTGGGCTACCGACCTTACCAAGTACCAGAAGGACTTCCGTGAGCAAGCCGAGAAGGTCGCCGAATGGGACCGCATGCTCGTCGAGAACGGCACAAAGGTTCAGAAGCTCTATGGTAGCACCGTGGACGCAGAACGAGCCACCCAGGAAGTGGAGCGTCAGTTGGCCTCCGTCGAGGGACAGCAGGAAGAACTTAGCTCGTGGCTCGACCGGTACGAGCGTGAAGTTGACGAGATGATGTCCAAGCAGCTCAACCCCGGTGAAACCCTCCAGGGCCCGGATCAGGAACGTGAGCGAACGTAAGTCTACCCCCTCCATGCATGCTGGGTCAACCACTAATCCAGCTACGATTATAGTTACAAAACTGCCGAGAGGCTTTCCGAGCGCCTTGATGAAATGGGCAAGGATCTCACTAGTATGATTGAAGAAGTCAACAGCGCCTCTGCCACTCTGAGTAAGACGAGCAAGGCTGATGAGCCGGTACGTATTCAATCCTACCCCCCTCTTCGCACCATTTAAACGAAGGCTCGTTTCCGCGATACTAATTCATGGCGTAATAACAGATCTCTCAAATCGTGCGCATCCTCAACTCCCATCTTGCGCAGCTCCAAACCATCGACCAGGGCACCACAGAGCTCCAGGACAAGGTCACCAAGGCGCAGCGGGCAAGCCAGACGCTATCCTCTCGGTTCGGGTATGGAGGATTGGGTAACTCAACGATGGGCGGTAGCGCGGCAGATGATTTCTATCGGTCTTTCATGGGACGGCGGTAAATGTCCTGCGGTGGAGTTCTTATTTCCTACTGTTGGGGGGCATTCTTTACTTTCACTCTCGTTATTCACTCTGCTGTTGCGTTGTTTGTATCCATTGAGAACTGCTTTGTCGGAGTACACATTTTGCACCCGCGATTGTGATTGTGTCGGATTTGCCATGGACTTCGGATGGACGGATAATGAAGAATAATAAAGTATCATTATACTTGCAGAGTGTTCTGTATGTTTGGGCAGTAGGGGTTGCTGATGAACATGTGCAGCTCATTCATTTTTTTCAGCCAGTAATTGATTTGATCGATCTAATGGGAGCCCGCGCTATGTTGCTAGCGATGTGGCGCTTCTCTAAGAAAACATCATGCAGAGGGAAGCATGTATACCGTGCAGACAAATCCTTTGCCTGATTACATTCTTAAAATAGTGTTGTATTCTGTCTCGGCTTCGCTTGACCATAATTGGTTCTTAGCTTACATAGAACTAAAAAGATGAATGCCTCGAAATGGAACAACTGATTGCGATAATAGTATAGCTGGTAGCTACTTGAGATCGAATAAAAGCCCCAGACCCTTGGTTGTCCATCAGAAGTGAGTCGACAGCGCTCTGACTACGTCTGGCATCTGCGGCCTACACCGTACCGCGGAGCAGTTGACTAAATCCAATTATCTTATCGACCCTCACGAGCGTTTACACATAAAACGTAGCAAATAATATGCTCCAGCATAGTAGAGTCTCAGCATAGACTAACTCGCTAAAACCTATGCTAAGATCAAAAGCGAGGCCATCCACATCAACATACAAGTCATATCGTGAATTCCCCTTCAATCACGAAGCATGAATGAAGGAGAGAGGTAGGTAGATAGTAAGACCTATCCCATCGGGGAAGGTGGATATAATAAGTGGGTTAGAGCATTGAAGAGTGTAGATAAGAAGTGGAATTCAGTGTAGTGTGGGGAAACAATGCGTTTGGGGTATTGCAATCTAATTCTGCTCGCCGCCCTGGTTCTTGGTGATTTCGTCGCTGTCGGAAGATGGCCGGATTAGTACTTCTCTTCCTTGGGACGGGCGGATGGTTGCGGGATGGTTGGTGGGGTTATTCAACTTACATGTGCTTGTCGAGCTTGTCGAGGTGCTCGCGCTGCTCCTTGATGTGTTCTCTCAGTTTCTGGATCCTGTTTGATTGGGGAGGTCGAAGTTAGTGATGACGTGGATGGAGTTGAGTTTAGATGGAAGGGCGGGACGTACTTCTCCAATTCCTTCTCGTAGATGTAACGGGATTCCTGGGCGGCTTCGCGCTTGGTGAAAGAGTCACTGCATAGGGATTGTGTTAGCTTGAGGTTGAACGGTGAGAGTGATGGTGTGGATGATGTCATTTGTTTCTTGGAGAGGTCTGCGCTGTTTTGAATTGGCGAACAACATACCCAGATTGAACACCCCCGGGACGGGGAGCACCAGTGTCACCTGCGGCCATTCTGGGGGCAAGAGCAGAGAAGGAGCGACTGAGGACAGTGGTGGTGAGAGGCTTGGTGATGGATTGGCGGAGCATGGTGGTGATTGATTAGGTTGAGCGGGAGGTGGTTGAAGTGTGAGGTAGGAGGATGTGATGAGGGGGAGCGGTAGAAGGTATCGGGTCGGAAGAGGATGTGTCAGATGGTGATAGTGACAAGTCAAGGTACATGAGACGATGCAGGGCGAGCGAGCTCTCCTCAGGTACTTGTAGTACTCTGGGTTGGCAGTACTTTCGTACTGGATTACCTAACCCTCCGGGTGTCAAGACCAATGACGACATGAGGTCACTTAGTAGGAAGTGGTTGGCACGGCACTGGCAGATCATGTGATGGGCCGGCCCGGATGGGGAGATGGTCTGAAGAGCGGTTCCAAGTTGACTCAGCCATCGTCCGATTGTCGGGTCCGGTAGCTCAGGTCAGGTGAGCTGTGGCCGGAAGGCCTGCACGCTCTGAACTGGGCCCGGGTCATGACTGTTCCCGATTCTGCTGTTGTTATTGTTGTTGTTGCGGTGGTGCGGTGTGGTGTTGTTGTGGCTGAGAATGCTGGATGGAGCTTTCCACCTCCCCCCGGCACCTACTAATCTCAACGCAAAATCTACAGGTTCACCACTCCACAATAATCTACGAAGTACAGGACTCAAGTCTGGTAGTCCAGATACCAATCATGTCCTACGTCCGTGTGTCCTGTCAACGGGCAACTGGCCAACAGCGTTGACAAGCTTGACAAGCAGCCGCCGGCCTACCAGCGATCCCTGAGGGCTATTTATAGGACGAAAGATGGAATAGCCTCCTTCCAATAGTCGGATCCATCAGTGCTATTCCCCGAAATTCCAGAAAAAGAGAAACGCGACCCCCCTTGAGCTCAGATCAATCAATATTTCCAATGCATCGGTCACAGGATGCTACCTAGCGGCTCCTCTATCTTGACCCTTTTCCCTTGTGTTTTCTTTTTCTGAGACTCCTTTACCCGCTTCACGAATTATTACTGTCCGGCCCCTTGGTGGTTGACTGGACTGGGAAGTGAAAGCGTGGGCTAGACAATTGGCGGAAGTGAAATAGGGATGACGATGAGAGGCCCACCGAACCACTCAAGCGACCGACCCAAAGCCAGAGCCAGCCAGGCAGACAAGCTGGCAAATCACCCTCGCCATTACTGTTAGGGATTCAGGAGACGTGCCTATCCTTCGCGATCTTGGGCAGACGGTACTTCCTCGAGGACGGGGGCAAGTCTGGGGATTCTTCTTGATTCTGTCCCAGTCTGGGCCTCTTTGTCAATGGGCATGATGATCCTATCCCGAATGTACCTCCATCCAGTGTGCTTTGGTTGAAGTGCACTACGTAGGCGCCAGCAGACTGGAAGCAGAGAGCTTCTGTCTGCTTCTGTCCGTCTCTACTCCCTCTTTCACATTGGCCTCTCTCCCACACCCTGCGCAATTCCCAGCAAATCAATTCTAGAAACCCACCAGAAGGGGGGAAGATCTTATTATTGGCAGTAGTATTAGCAGCAATAATCCCGGTCCGCAAACCCATAGTGGTAATATTGCGGTGTTTTTCCCCATTGATCTAAGATTTTTTTTTTTCCTTCTGGGAAATAATGAGGGGAGAGGGGTGAAAATGGATACACCTTCATCCACCTCCTATCTTGAGTAGATTCTAGCCTGACGGGGCGGGCGATGTTCATTGTCACTGCTCATTGTAGGGGAAGAGTGGCTGTATGGTTCGGTTTAGTTGCAGGAGGAAAAGGAGTAAGAGGCGTGCATGAGTTCCCTAGTTGGAATTTAGAAGTCAGGCTGAAGAGGCTTGAGGATCATGACGACGATGACAATAATGATGCGATGTGCCTTTTTTGCCATCCCCCTCTAAGCTTGGGGGGGAGATTTCCTGGCCACAGAGTGATTATTGAGGGAGGGAAGAGAAAGAATAAGGAAGAGAGAAGAAGGGAGTGACTCCCTTTCTGTCTATTTTGTCTGTCTGTCTGTCTGTGTCTGTGAAGTCTTGTGTCTGTCACTCACTCAAACCACCGGGCCCCCCCCCTCTTCCGGCCGCCATTAATTGCCCATTTCCCACCTGGCCCAAACGGACTGATTCCCCCCTCCCTTTCTCTCCCTCCCTCTCTTCTTCTTCCCATTCTCTTTTCCCCCTCCCCCGACACTAAGCAAGTCAACTAACTACTAAACCTCTCCCATCTTACTTCCTCCAACTCACTAACTACTAACTACCACCACCACCACTACTACCACCACCACTCTAAACCTATCTCTCTCACTCTCCTCCTCCTCTGACTAACTCCCTCAACCTATCTCACTTCCTTCTCTCTCCAATCCGGTCAGTCACCAGTCAATCCTCTGACTTCTTCCTAATTTCCCCTCCCTCTTACTTCACCCACATTATTCTGCTTCTCCTTCTCCCCTCTCCCCCCCCTGCCCGCTTAGTGATCCAACTTGGCTTCTTTCCCCTCCCCCCAATCCCCCAAAATTCGAAACAGAAAAACAACCCCAAACGAGCAATACAGAAAAAAATTACTCTGCTCTATTATTCTTCTAGCACACCTATTTCACTCTACTGCAACACCACTGACTTTGCAGGCGATAGAATCCTCACAATCCCTCTTTATCTTCTTCCGTTCAGGTGAGTTGCTTCTCTCTTTTGTTCCATTGCCGTCATCTCTCCCACTGCCACTCCTACTTCCAAGCCCAAACTTCCCCTGCCTCATCCTGGGTGATCCAGCCGCTCCGTCGTTTCCGACGGGGTCTACGATCGCAAATGACCCAAACATGCGGTATTGAGAGGCTCTGGGACACTGGAAACGATCCTAGCCAGGGCTGCGCATGGAATGGCTGGAACTACCTGCAGTCATCACTCTCCCCTCCCTCCTCCCGTCTAGACTACACTGGAACGCGACACAACCGTCTTGTCACCGGCTAGCCGAAAGAAGGCCCGGCAGGACGAATCTTCCCCTCCCTGAGCCGTCAACAAGCCTCTGGGATCGTCGCGATGCGTCCTGTTGATAGTCGAATGGATGTGTGGGTGTGTGGTGTGGTCAGGGACGATGAGCACAACGGACATGATCCGAGGAATGACCATGCTTGCTTATTCCTACCTCTCCGTCTTTTTTTCCTACACCTCCACCCACACAATTTACGTACTCTCTGCGACGGATGGGCAATCGATTCCCTATCACGGGGAACGGTTCCAGAAAGCCGGGAAAAGGAGGGGAGGGGAGGGCAGTTATCGCTTTTCGTGTTCCTTGCACCACTTGACTTCACAGCCTCACTTTTGCCCTGTGACTGGCTGCCCCTCGCTTCGGAGGCACTATCTATCAACTTCCGTCGACGCTGTGGCGCTTCCCCCCATCCTTCCTCACCTCCCTCATCAATGCAAATCTCGTCATAACGTCGACATTGTTTATTAAGTACCACTTATTGCCTGACTAACATTCCCTTTTCTTTTGCTTCATCCAGATAACCTACTTTCACAATGGCCCGCGAAGATGCTGTTTACCTGGCCAAGCTCGCCGAGCAGGCTGAGCGTTACGAAGGTACGTCATCCCTGAACGCCCCTCCCCGCGCTCGCACGACCGCCCTGATACTGATCCTTTCCTCTCAGAGATGGTTGAGAACATGAAGGAGGTCGCCTCCACCGATGTAGAGCTCACCGTCGAGGAGCGCAATCTTCTCTCCGTCGCTTACAAGAACGTCATCGGTGCCCGTCGTGCGTCCTGGAGAATCGTCACCTCCATCGAGCAAAAAGAGGAGTCCAAGGGCAACAGCCCCCAGGTCACTCTTATCAAGGAGTACCGCCAGAAGATCGAGGCCGAACTTGCCAAGATCTGCGATGACATCCTCGAGGTTCTCGACAAGCACCTGATCCCCTCTGCCCAGAGCGGCGAGTCCAAGGTCTTCTACCACAAGATGTACGTCTATTCCTGTGTGTCTTGCTTGGTCTTCATACTGACGTGAGCATTTCCGTTTAACAGGAAGGGTGACTACCACCGTTACCTTGCTGAGTTCGCTGTTGGCGACCGCCGCAAGGGCGCCGCCGATGCCTCCCTCGAGGCCTACAAGAGCGCTACTGAGGTCGCTCAAACCGACCTGGCCCCTACCCACCCCATCCGTCTCGGTCTCGCCCTGAACTTCTCCGTCTTCTACTACGAGATCCTCAACTCCCCCGACCAGGCCTGCCACCTGGCCAAGCTTGCGTTCGATGATGCTATTGCCGGTACGTCTAGTCGATGATCACGTGTGGACAGACGAGAAGCTAACGACTCCCCGCAGAGCTTGACACCCTGAGCGAGGAGAGCTACAAGGACTCTACCCTGATCATGCAGCTTCTCAGAGACAACCTGGTAAGTGGACGCTGTATTCGGGTTTACCATGGCCCTTACTTATCACGGCACCTGCTAATAAATATCTAGACGCTCTGGACCTCGTCGGAGGCCGAGCCGGCTGCCGAGTCCAGTGCTCCTGCCGATAAGGAGGAGGCTGCTCCTGCCGAGGAGAAGCCCGCTGCCGAGTAAATTAGTAGAGATAATGAAGGACTCGCGTCCGGATCCGCGGATGAAATCGGACAAAACACGGTCTAGGTAATGGATGCGCGAGGGCTGCGGGTGTGAAATCGGAAAACGGGATGAGTGCTGCACGCTTGTCATGTCGCCCGTTGACTTTGCATGGTCTTGAACTATCACGGGCAATGGGCGGAAGTCAAAAAGCTGGCTTGCGCTTAGGGGGTATTCTGTGCCTATGTTTCCCGCATTTCTGTTCATGTGATGCTCGATGTGTTCTTCCATCCACACCATTGCTCGTGCATTGCCTTCGGGTTCACCTGTGGATCTTCGATTCTTGTTCCATTTTCCCTTTACATTTTCTCGTTGATTTCTTTATCTTTTTTCTTTATTTGCCTATTGTCGCAATTCCCCCCTGGAAAGAATACCTCTCTCTTGTTACCTACCCACACTCATACAACAAACACATCTGTCAAGAACGTCCCTCTCGCGTGGGCATTGACTTCGAATCTCTGCACAGCCATGGCGCCTTGTCCTGGTTGACCCCTTTTGTGACACGTATGGCGTTTGATCGTGCGCCTTAGCTGCGTTTTATTAGACTTCACTTCCAGCCGATAGGCTCCAAGAAACTTGCAATTCGCGAAGATCTGGGTGGTGGATGTACCGTAGCCAGGCACGCGGCTGATAGATAAAGAAATAAGCATAGGTCCAAGCATACGACATGTGCACTAAGCTGGGGTAGGACCCAAGTAAGTACTAAGTATTGAAGATACACCGTGCCAGGATTAATATTCAGCATTATAAAGATGGTGCAATCACTCAGTCGTCTGTGTATTGCGCTAAGAAACATCCTGGCTGCTTGACGCAATACCAGATCTCAGCCTCACATCACACGCGCCAGTCCTTGGTGAAATGAGTTCCGGCGTCTCCAGCCAAACCATCCACCGACTGATCCCTGCTCATGAGCAGGGATACTGTAGCGCTGCCGGTGAGACCGTAGATCACTGAGGTTCTCTCTTCTCAGCCTCTCAGCCCGGCAATAGAAACAAGGCATATCACTCGGTAAGAGATTACCGCCCGTTGACCTTGGTGTATAGGTCCAGTATGACTTCATTCACGTTGGACTAAGAATGTATAATGAATGCCCATATAGCCACCCACCCACGCACACCTACACGAGACTGCCCTGCAATCAGAAAGCATGTAACGTAATCGGTAAGCGAACCGGCCACGTAAGCGAGCCGGCCACCCCAACATGAATCGCCCACCCTTTGAATATGAGGCTATTCAAACATCAATATCTCCACGAAAAATGCCTAAATTATTAAAAAACTTGGTAGAACAAGAAGGCAGGCTCTGCTTGGCAGTTAAAGCTATTTAGAAACATCAAATTTTGTTAATCTGTGAAGCTGCGCGCGTTTTTTAAGTTCCTTAGTTAATACTGTAAGAATACCTTAAGGGAGTTATATTTCATAAAGAAATATATACTAATTCCTATAAATTAACTCCTTTGGAAGAGGACTTACTTGTTAAATAGATTTATTTACTTGATAAATATAGTACAGTACTAAGACACTTTTAAGTCTATTATATAACTATAATCTTACTGTAGAAGTATGGCCAAGATAGAATTTATTCTATAGGTAAAAAATAGATATATAACTTTATTTCTCGGTATAAGTTCTTGAAAAGTCGGTTTACTTGCTAAATTAACTATAAATAAGTAAAGTATAAGGATCCTGAGGTTATACAGGCCTGGTTTTAACATATTTAAGCTGTTATTGCTATATACAGAATTATAGATAAAGATATCTATAACTTTAATAAAACTGGCTTTACTATAGGCTTGGTGGTTACAGTTAAGGTTATTATATATTCTTTTTATAAAGAAAGATTATTTTTTATACAGCTAGGTAATCATAAATAAATAACTTTAATTAAGTATATTAACACCGCCGGCTAGGTATTACCCGCATATTTAATTTTAAAAGCGAAAATATATATTTAAATATAGTATAAAGATAGTTTATCTTCTTTATAATATATTATGATATTGCCAAATAACTAGACTAATTAAGAAATTAGAGAATACTAGCTTAAAGAATACTTTATTTCTTATATTAAGAACTAAAGAACTGACTAATATAGCTTCTTAATTCTTAACAGGTATAACTCCTATTTAATACCTTAATTTGATAATATATACTGAGAAAATAATATTATTCTAGTATATATATCTACTAACTCCTCTTATCTTTATTAACTATTAGATATAGTCTGCTTTTTACTGTTGAAACAGGCGTATAACAGCTTTCTTAAATATCTTATATAAACTAGATATTATTATATTAAGAAGATTAATTTTCTTAACCTCTATCCGGAAGCCTATATCTAAATCTTTAAGAAAAAGAATATTTAAAGTATCTTTAAAGCTGCTGGAATTATTTCTTTTAATTTAAATAAAATCCTAAATAATCTTATCTTTTATAGAGAGAAAAACCGGCTAAGTAGCTAAGAAATAGTTTTAACTGTTACTAAAATATCTAAGAATTTAAAGTAATTCAAGAAGTATAAGTTAAAAATCTCTGAATTACTTCAAGAAATAGATCCTTCGACTTTATCTATATAAATTGTCTTATTATATATTTTTAAAAGTACTAAGATAGCCTTAAACTGAGTTATTTTTTTAAAATAAAAGAACTCCCAACTTCGTGAGGCTGTTAAGAAAAAGAACTTAAAATAAAGATATAATTAGTATTAAATAAACGGCCTGAACAGCTTTACAGTTCAGGAAGTATATAAGGCTTTTAAAAATATCCAGGCCTTGGAGAAAGTAGCTGGTGATATAGAGCCTGGAGATAATTAATTATACTACCGGGTACTGCCTTACTGTAGTATATACAGAGTTCTTGGATATATATATACAAGATACCCGACTAGAGAGGCTTGATTTTAGGTGTTTTAACAGCTATATAAACATTTAAATTACTGCATATTTTGTATGTAAATCAGAATTCTGATATACACAGCATACAGGACTGCTTGCCAAGCCGGCCGGTGGCCGGCTCGCTTACATGGCCGGCTCGCTTACCAAATACGTTAATCTGTACTGTACTTCGTAATCTGCATATACCAGGTTAACCCTTCGTCTTCGCCACATAACTCCGTCAATTATACCCTACCCACCGTCCAAAAATCCCAGTACTTTCTTCTCTTCCCAACTCCGCTGAGATCTAGTGCCAGGAATGAAAGTACTACTACTATTTGTCTGCAACACCGCCAGCATCACTAGCACCCCTAGAGGATAGATCGAATCGAATATACAGCATGTAAAAGCTGCAAAAGCTCGTTTCCCACACACCCTCCTACATTGTATGTACATACCTATATCTATACAATACCTACGACTTTCCATCTTCGATACAATTTCCCCCCCCCCCCTCCCAACTAAAAAAAAAAGCAAAAATAAAAAGCAATAAGCAAAAAAGCGGTTGGTCAATGCAAATGCACCCATACCGTTTTCTTCCCACCCAAAAGCAAAGCAAAGCAAAGAAAAAAAAAAAAAAAAAAAAAAAAA